CTCAATGTGGCCACACTCATTGAAGAGAGAATGCAGCACCAGACTAAATTTGCTGAACATGTCATTCATCAAGCAAATCAGTCTACTTCAATATGCACTCGATCTGATTCAGATGACTCTGACAATCTCAAGGCTCGTATTCAGCGTCAAATGGCAGAGCTAGTTCCGGAGGTCCCAGTGGAGGCTTCATCGACAACGACAGGGGTCAATTGCCAGGTTAGGCATGCTGGAGCATACTCTGATGCATCATCAGAATGTTCAGGTGCTCATCGCAACAACAGGGAGATGCTGCAGATGGTTGCTGCTAATGTATGTCTCTCGGACACTTCTAGATACTACATGTCTGCTCACACATGATCATAGAACTTTATTCAGCATCGAGTTAGAGAATTTGTGAGCCTCCAAACTATTCATGAATGCATGGATGATGCAAATGTCAACAGTCTTTGTACACTAGTCCCAGGGCACATTGTAATTGTGCTATCGACGTTCTGTGCATCAAAGAGTAAAACTGAGATACTTCTTAGTGAAGGTATGTCTTCCTCCTAGTATATGCTGTTACTGTATTAAGTGATCCTGCTATCTCTAGTGACAAGTATATACTCAAAAATGAATGCAACATATGGATGCCATAACTTCGAGACCTCTGTACTGAGTATTGGTGCCATGTCCTACCTAAATGTTCAGATCTATCAGTTGTTCCAGGGCTCTGTCTACTCATCAATAGCATGTCCGTCACTAGGCTGTGGTACCATGTTACATATTCCATGCACGCATATCCTCTTCTCACTTGGCCCAAATATGAAGGAGGTCACTCTGGAGACCAAACCCAGTTTAGGCAGCAGTACATTTAAGCTCCTTGCTCTGAGTGGAACAGCCGCACAGGTATTTCATAGCATTTGTGACAAGGAAGTCATTGTCAATTGGGCCGTTCGCAGTCTTTGTCAATCACTGAAGGGCTCGAAGCGAGTACAAGGTCAACAAAGTATGACCATTAGTGCAAACATGGAAGAAGCAGATAGTAGTGGCTCTGAATCAGAGCCAGAGGCATGAAGCTGGTTTGTGATGTTCATTTCTTGTAGTGAGCAACCTATACCATCTTTTGGCAAATTTCTACAATGTTTCACAATTTTGTGGGATTTTTTTATATTTTTTGTATGTTATATCCTAAATGAGGGTATATCTGACCCCTATATGGCTCACCTGATCTGCATGAGGGTATAAATGGTTAAAAATTGTGAGGGTATATAGGGGGTATTTTGGATCAGAGCTATAGGAGGATAGTCTGGGGGCCTGGTGTAGAGTACAAAGTAGATCCACAAGGTCACATATGCACCAACCAATCAGAAGACCTCAATATCTGATGCATGATCAAAAAAATCTCAATCAATTAATAAATGAGCTCTCCATTTCTTGTAGAATGGACTCTCCATTCTTGAAGTACTAGACCACTGAGTCACTATGACTTACAAGCCCTATGAGTCATTTCAAGTCACTCTGACTCACTCAGAGTCATTCTGACTCATTACAAGCCTCTATTAGGTATGCACAGCCTCTCACCATTTCTGTATATATAGAGCCTCTATTCTGCTAGTATAGTGTGCCCGCATCTCTGTTTGTATCTGTCTATACTATATAGTGCATAGAACAGAGAAAAATTGGATTGGTGAAACCAAAATCATATATGAGGTGCTCTGAATGATTCATAGAATACATTATTTTAGTGAAGCATTCAAAATGAAATTTCTAAGACTTCAGATTACAGGTGAGCTAAGTGAAGGATATTAGATAAAGCATGTGACCTTACATAGGTCCTTCAGCTGATCCAAGATAGGTCTTCAGATTGTCCTCAACTCATCTAAGAGCACAGTCCGAGATATGCCTTTAGATTGCAAGTGGGCTGAGTGGAGAATATTATGTAAAATATGCTCTTACATAGATCCCTCAGCTCACTCGAGAACACAATCTGAGACATGTCCTCAGATGACCTCTCAGCTCATCTGAGAGCACAATCTGAAGTGTGTCATTTCTCTATCACACTCAGCTAACTACATGCTATTTATGACTATATCTACACTATATACAAGTTCTTACTCTCAGCTGACCCAATTCCACTTCACAACATATCTCAGCCTCAGCTAATTCTGCTGATCTGAGAGTCTGCCTACAATGTCAGGCTCAGCTATTCAAGTACATTGATAACATGTACTGAGCCATGTGCAGGTGCAGTGTAGCATTATGCTGAGAATATGCATAGTTATCAGATATATCTACTAAACAGAAGTATATAACTTACATTAGATAGCTCATCTTTATCAGCAAATGATATACAACACATAGCACAGACTGGTTGCATAGGCAGATCTATGTTATCATAATAATTCTGAAGAGCTATTTTAGATAGAAATTGAATACTGCAGGCTCAGCATTGAGGATGGTCATCATGTTCCATAGTAACATGCTGTTCATATAGAACTGTGAGTACTTCCCCAATCATGAATGAATGCATGCACTATTTTATATGCAACATTGTCTGCAAATCTGAGATTGCAACTATCATAGTGCAGATATTGTGAAGATTCTGTATAATGCTCCTGCTTTGATTCTTTGCTTTAAAATACCAAATCACATAGGCCACAAGATAATTTGGGGTGTGCAGTCTTAGAGTGCTAGGAAGGAGTCAGAAACACCACATGTGAAAGTAGGGGAAGCTACAGACTCCTTTCTCGACATGCTCAGAACATAGGATGCAGAAGAATATTCTGTGAGTAGAGGTCAAATGCTGCACAAGGAAATGAGAATCAGTGAAGCTGAAATAAGAATCAGGACTTACCAATATCAAAGCAGGCTTATCCTTGAAGGCTTTTAGACACTTCATGCATCTCTGATGCTTGGGTAGCATTTCACAATAATGCTCTTTGAGCATATCTTTCAAAGTGAACATCTTGCCATATGGTATGCACATGTGCACATGGCACAATGAAATACAATGCTGGATTGTGTTCAGTTAGTCATGCGTAGTGGAATACCCAACATTCATCAGCAAATTTACAAGTCTTCTTGGGGATCTTGAACAAGATCTCCAAGAAGACAAGTCATTCAAGAACATCATCTTATCCAAGTAGGTTCATCTTTCTTAGACAAGAATATTTTGAGCTTACAAGAAGGTGGCATACATCACAAGAAGCATTTAGTGCTTCTTGGACAGATCTTGAATTAGTAGACAAGGCATTATCAAAGATAGACTGACTGTGTCTGATGATCGTAAAATGGCATCATACTAAGTCTGAACAAGCCATCAGCTACCTGTTTTGTTTGGATGAGAACTCTCAAATATGGCATGGAATATATGGACTAAACCCAATCCAAGCATGGATTCAGATTTTCTAGGGTTGTTCCATCATTGGCATGATGACGGCCCAGATTACTGGCTGACTAACCACCAGAGATTGTGGATCTCATAAAGCCCAATGTACCTTATAATGCCATCTCAGGACATATGGCATGTTTATAGGAATAATCGTGTTTGATGAATATTTCACACATGCTATCCCTTGATAAACACTTGACATCTTACCATGGAGATCCCGATGGTCACATAGGCACAATAGCATTAGCTACTCACAACTTTTGGCCGAGAACCGGGGGACGCAGAAGCACCTCCAGAGGGCGCAGCACCATTCTGTGCAATGTAAACTGCTAGGAATGTGCAATGTTTTTTGCTTGTAAGATGACCCCGATATCCATCTTCATTTATGAAGGCCCTTCCATTACAAACAGAGCAAGTAATAGCCATCACAAAAGAATACTAGCCCCAATAAGAAGGAATTCAGTTGCGCATAGGAAGAGGAAGTGAAAGCAAAATGACTCGAGCCTGCAGTATCGATGCACGGACACGCGTCGACCATACATATACACACGGAGGGTTCTTTTCGGGAGCGCTCCATAACTCTGCCTCGAGGACTATCAGCTGGTGAACTGAGCCTATCAGCTGGTCTGCAAATTATGAAAGACAGCTGTCACGTGGCAACAAGTATTAACGTTGTTGCCAATGACAAGAAACCATACAAACCCGCATTTGACATCGAGTACTTATTATCCGGAGTTATTAATGCTGAAGCCAAGTATTGGCAAAGACGCTGCGAAAGCGAGCTGGGGGACCATTTGGAAAACCGTAGCAAGGGGAAACTAGGAGCCAAGGAAATCATCATACGCATTAACCACAATTATACGATACCTTCAATAATGGTGAACAAACCCTTCTGAAATCCAGACCATAATACACAACAGTCCGAGCTATTCAAAAGGCAAAAAAAGAGGACCGTTCAGGAAAACATAACGCGTCAAGGCAATTAGGACTTCAAGCTTCAAGTACCACTCATAGGCAGGAGTCCACGCCTTCTTCGCGTCCTTCTCGATCACATCCTAGTGGTGAGCATGTCAGTCATACTGTAAACCAGCATGTTATAGAGAAGAAACTTGAATACAACATGACATACCCCATGGCAAGGAATGATACGTTCGAACTCTCAACCAGCTACAGTCGCTGCGTCGCGTTTACTGCACTAGCACACATGCATGAGACAGTGATAGACGCGTTTCAATCAGGACGAACAATAATGAATGATTTGTGTCCACGCCCATCGAGCAAAACCATTCGCTTATGAAGATAGCTCGGACTGCGCGAATGACATACCTCACGAATAACCAGATTCTCGTTCGTCAGAATCATAGATAACGCTAAACATACTGGAACAGAATACAGAACTAGGGGATAAATGAGAATGTGTGTGTACAAAGACTAAAGTGAGTTCGTCGTAGACACTGCATGTACTAGAGAAGATCCTTGTCTGTACTAGTAGCGTGCTTGTGCATGTCTGAGTCTCTGATGATTATCTTCATCCTTTCCCTGAATGAGTTTCAAGATGCCCGAGACAAATTCGTTACTTCTCGCAAACTGGCAACATTTGAAGAAAAGAACAAAGTGCAACGGATTGAGCATGTAAAGCATAAAGTAATGTTTCAAGCTAGAGATGGTACTAAGAATCCTTCAAGAACATCTTTACGATATCTGATCCATTCGAAGTATGCCGAACTAAATGGCATCACGAAAACATCATGAACGCACAAATGGGTACAACAACAGTCTTATAAAGTGTTTGGTTCAGAACTTAGGGCTTTAAGCTGACAAAAAGCGTTTTTGAACAAGCAGGACATTTTCCTCGGCATGTCAACCTGTCGAGAATACATCTGGGAACAGATTTTAGGTTGTAATATATAAACATGGGTGAGAGGGCGAGTACACACTTGAGACAGAAGACGTGACGGCATTGCGTCATAACTGGATCAGTTGCAGTCCGTTCGCACGTTTCGCAGTGAACTGGAGCAACCAATTCATTGGTGTTCGTGTCGTGGTTTCTGTTCGAAGCAACAGAACTGGACCCTAGGCTCTCCCCAGCCAAACTTTCAGGGTGATTCGGTAAATCCGTGGAGCATGCAGGATGTTCATTCTCGAATGAACTTTTATTTCGTGAACACTAACGACTGCGGTAAAGACGACAGTGAGCGCACCTGACAGGCTGCGGAGCTTCAATTCGAAGCGACGCGTTCGAATGTGGTACTGTAGACAAACATTCTCGACCATCAGCATCCTCGTTATCTCCTAGTAGAGGGTGCTTCCAAAGCAGAAGCTCATCTCTGAGAGAAAACGAGAATGGCTTTGGTCTTGTTAGAGGCGGCTTGGTGAGGGTTCCTGCCTACAGATAATACATGTAGAAGCGTCACTTGGAACGTTGTAGGGTACACACTCACCATAGAATTCCCAGCAGGTGTTGGAATTCTAGGTGCCAAGTGAGCTTGCATGGTCGCCGTAGCCACAACCTTCGTTCTCGCTTCAGACCTATCAGGCTCCCGTAGCACCCTGTATATAGTACGTTACTGTAGACGATTCTCGACACGTTTGCCCGTCCACATACGTACATTCGGGGACGAAGGCGCCATTTACGAACGTACGCCTTTAATCGTTGTCCGACTCCCGCTCTGCGCTTGCCTTTTGCCATAATAGACTAGTGAAGTAATTAGCGAGCGAACATATTCCAAAATATAGAGCGGGCAACTGACTTCCAGCTCAGGCCAACGTAACTTAGGCCGCTTCTCGGGTAAGGTATGCCTGTGCTTACGTTCATGACAACTCTTGTCTTCCTTCTTTTTGAGCATGCTACGATATCTGTTCTGGAATACCGGCAACATAAGCTCCTTCAGTAGGAAGCGTGTCTCATCATATATACCTTAGTCATGCTAGTACTTCCTGGCAAAAAGCTGGGATGCTAACAAAAAATAAATCTGAACTTCTAAACATCAACATCATTTCTGACCAGCGTACCGGGCCACGTTGCCTCCAATGGGGAGTATGTTGAAGAGAGCGACGTCTAATCGCCTGCCTTTTGGGATTATTTCTGGCTTGCAAATTACTGAACTCATCACGAGACAAGGCTCTATGAACTAATTTGAGGTGCTATGCAACGCGTCAGTTGACGAAAAACTAAGCAACAAAAATCGTAAGCTTACCCATTCCAAAGCTTCTTCATCGAATAGAACCTCCTTACATACGCGGCAGCGAGGATGAAAGCAATACGTCTTTCTACAGCGCCAACGACAATCCCGGACTGACGGAAGCTTCACAATCTTGGTTGGATGATTCCGTATCATAGTGCTCTTGTGCATGTTATTGGAATGCTAGAGGGTCGAAGTCAGGTCGGGAGGTTGAATCCGATGCTGGCCAACAGACCTGATGAAGTCCTCCGCGAGAAGAGAATGACCTCTTACACTGGGTACAAGGTAGCAGTTGTCCAGAGGCGACAGTCGATTGTTCCTTCTTGGAGACTTTGCGGCCCTTCTTAGCCATAGCAAAACCTCCTGGGTCGTAGTATTGATTGGAGGAGCTGCGCCTCGCAGGCTCTCTCTTGTATACCCGGAAGATTAGAGGTTTATGACGGCCTCGAGGCGTTGTCAGCTGCTCATGCCCGCGATACGTGATGAATGTGAGCAAGTTAATTGCCCTTCGAAGACAAGCCACATGTTTGCCTATAGAGTGACCAATGCCACGCGTCGTACATGAGTCGATTCGAAGCCCTCGAAGGACGACAGCAGTCGTCGGACCCAAAGAGAGGCATCTGTGCTTATCCTGAAGAATCTCAGTACGATTGTATAACCATAAATATGTACATTACGAAGAAAGAAAATCAAAGAATCCACCTTCATGAACCCGACACTAGACTTGCAGACGAAGCAAAATCATACTATCGCAAGCAGGGCAACGGTCATGGTTTGCTAATTCCTGAATGAGGCACCTACGAACCCGTTAGGTTTGATCAACACTCCGAACGAAGGCCGGCGGAATCGCTTACTTATGACAGAACAAATGCCCACACATCGTGGCTACAGGCTCTTCAGGATCACTCTTGCAAATACGACAGTCAAAGGACTGTTTCGGTCGTGGAGCGAGCGTCGTTCGCCCTGAGGACAACGCGGACTGTAGCCGTGCCGGCCTGCTCTCTGCCGATTCTATTTGGATGATTCAGTAAGGTGTGAGACTAGACAAAGAAAGGTCGTACCTTCGGGCAGCCCTCGCGCAGCAAGCTGTTCGTTCAGGGAGACTGATATGCGATTGGCGAGCTGGGTAGGGGCGACACTAGCCTGAATGTCAGATGCTTCTGACGACGGCAGTGAAGCAACCAGAGGCTGTCCAATAGTGCTTAAAGTTACGCTCGACAAAATTGGGCTGGCTGGTCCTTTGAGCGAGTCGCTATTGTTAACAGTGACGGGTAGTCAGATCACCGAGTATGAATATATATGGGAAGTTTCCCGTACCTGTGATCAGGATTGCCTGCAGTGGAAGGTAGAGGTTTGAGCGATACTACGGAGATGTTGGTACTACCTCGAGCCATAAGTGTTGTTGTAACATTTCGCCCGAGGACACCCACAATCGATCCAGAAGAATCTAGGTTATCATGGACCTGATGATAATCATTTAAGCGGCCTGAAAAGAACAGGAACTGAGTCAAGAACCTCATCCACATCACATGCAGAGGACGTGTCTTCGTCATTGTTGACATGTTCCCAAGATTTGTCGTTGGCGTGAACCTCTTGAATATGCTGACTCAAGCATCTCAGCGTATCAGACCTTGAAGTGAATGAGGAGACACATACGTCGAGAAGTTCTACGTTCTCTTTGAATCCTCGCATACACGTCGGACACGTAGCGTGCATCCCAGATTCGATGTAATGTTGCTCCAATAATACAGATTCTTCGAAGGCTAACCAACACGTATCGCAGCATAATTCAGGATGCAGACCAAAGGTATGCTACAAATTTGTAGTCAGTCAGTTGGCAAGAACTCAGAGAAAAAAAACAAATGAAACCTCTGAAAACAATAAGCGGTTCTCGAACCCCTGGTCGCACCGAGTACACGACGGATGGTTCGAAGATGTCTTGAAATGGGATTCTAACTGATCAACGTCCAGATACAGCCGACATGGGGTGCAGAGTACTTTGGGATGATCAGATGCGAGATGCTAGAACGGGTCGAACCAGTGAACTATATAGATCAGGCCATACAAAATAAGCTTACGCTGGACAATCTGTCTTCATCACTGAATCCTTTGCCGCATTTGGGGCATAATGGATGCTTTGGAGGTCCTGTAAGCCGATAGTGCTTGTGAAGTTCCTCCACATTGTCGAAAACAATGTGGCAAGGCTTGCAACCAGGACCCGCTTCATGTTCAAAAATCATATGCTGTCGAACTGTTAGGACCTTATATATCATGATGACCAAACACCATCGCGCGCACCAAAGTCTGGTCGCCTTCAGTCTTGAATCCAATATCACACATAACGCAGCAACCGTGCTTCCCTGATATCTTGTAATGTTCTGAGAGGCATTCCTCATTCAGGAATATTATGTCACATTCTTCGCAGTAGATCTCTGGATGCGCCTCTTTCACATGCTATCAAGAATCGTTAGAAAAGCCCATACATATACTCAAAGGGCATGACAAACCTCGGTAGGAAGGTAATGATGACAGTGCACGCAGAGGTCGAGGTGGTGAACAGCGTGAATATGCTGCATCGCACGTCTCAGCAATATGCTACCGCTGATGTATGGGGCTACTCACATCGCGCAAAGCATCTTCGTCTTTGACGGACTCGGAACACTCCATGCATCGTGGATGACTGGCAGGTGTATCATAATAGTGCTGCTTCCGAGCTTTGATGGTTGGGAAGCCAACGTTGCAGACAAGGCACGGATATATATGTTCAACGCCTTGGTGCTGATCAGAGAAACCCACATCAGCCGAGGCTAATTCAAGATGAAAGGGAAATTTACCTTCAGATATGCATCCATGTCTTCAAAACCGATATCGCACTGAACACAAGTCGGGTGGCTGCTCGAAAGCTTCCAGTGCTCAGCTAGTTCATCTTTATCCACAGCCTCGTTACACGTCGTACAAACTACTTGAGGATGAGATGATGATCTATGCTACAAACGGGTTGCCAGTGAGTAAGACAACATATACAGCCGACATACGTACGCTCGTTAATGCCCCTGCGTCTCGAAACCCTTTATTGCACTTGGCGCACTTTGGATGATTTGGAGAGAGCGTGTAATGTCTCGCAAGTTGCTCACGATCAATCCACTGCCGACAGGGATTGTCGCAGAAAGTCAACCCATGAGCAGCAGCAAGATGCTGTCATTTTAAAGGATTAGTGTCGGTTCAACCATCGCAATTAATTGCCACCTACATCCTTCATCCCAGCCTCGTTCGCGAAGGTCGACTCACATTTAAAACAAATTGACTTATTTGCTTGACTACCTGATGAGCTGCCTGCAGAAGACTGGTTTGAAGGTGGTAACTGTTGAGTACTCGGAGTTACACCAGTCGAGGCTTTGGAAGCACGCTGTAACGCGGATGCTTTCTGGAGATGTTTCTTCCCTCCAAGATGGCCGTCGTATGCAGTTTGATCAATGAATGACCGTCCCTTACATACTGGGCAGGTGATACTCATATTCCAGACAGAACTAGTTCAAATGCGAAAAGACGACTGGAAGAGAATGGTCAAAGATGAGAAGGGAAAGTCAGAAGGGTAGATGGGAAGGTAGACAGAAGGGTGAGATGGACTGCCGTCTGCGACAGCGACAGCTGCACGTTTTCCACCTCGCATAGGCACATACCCAGCCGTTCTTGGGGGAGGACCTACCATACGTTTGCCTCGAGGATGACCAACTAGGCTGTAAGTTAGCAAAGGAAATACCTGAATGGAATGATAGAAGACAGCTGTCGCGTGGCAACAAGCGTTAACGATGCGTTAACACTTGCTGCCAATGACCAGTCAAGCAAAGAAACTGTGGAAAATTACATCGAGGATTACCCGGAGTCACAAATGTGGTGCCAGGTACTGACAAATCGTCCTACTATAGGGTTACTGCGAAAGCTCGCTGCGGGATCACTTCGAAAATCATAGCAGGCGGTACTACTAGGAGCCAACGAAATCATCATACACATTAACCACAACCATACGATACCTTTGACAGTGAAGGTAATCCTAGTGAAATCCGGCCCATAACACGCAACTGTCCGAGTGATTCAAGACGCGAAACAATGAGGACCATTGAGGAAGCCGCGGTGCGTCAAGGCAATCAGGACTTCAAGTACCACTCATAGGCAGAAGTCCACGCTTTCTTCCCATCCTTCTCGATCACATCCTAGTCATGAACGTGTCAATGACATTGAGAAGCAGTATGGAATAGAGAAGGAACACCACACGACGTACCCCATGGCAAGGAATGATACGTTCGAAATCCCAACCAGCTACGGTTGTTGCGTCACGTTTCATCGCACTAGGATACGTCCATAAGCCGAAAGATAGGTTCTCAAAGGGAGTAAACATACGCTTTATCGACACCGGTCGACCAAACCATTCGCTTATGAAGGTAGCCCCAGGGATTCACGACGCCGCCTAAGAGCGGAATGCGGCCAGATGTGCCAGTTTTCGAGTACTATAGCGGATACTTAATGAAGAACGGATGTCTTAGCCATAATGAAGCACCTACTTGCTCAGTGGGAGGGAGGTTCAACAAGAGGTCGGCCTCAATCAAGGTCTTAGAGGATGGGTGGAAGAATGCGACGTCCTTGTTCTGGAATCCAGAGAAATAGCTGTTATCAATTTAAGTGTGTCACTATACTTCACCTTTCGTCTGCTGTCTTGGAACATACCAATGCTTGATCTGCAAGCAATGTCAGTCAACAAAACGTGTGATATGTAACCATAACTGACCTCGTCCTCAAACCCGTACTGAGTATCAGGCGGGTCAGAACCCCAGGCTACGTCAAACTTATTGGTTGGGTTGCATGAACAGGAAAGAAGGGGGCCAACCTCCGTCAAACTTAAGATCCTCCTTGGCCACTTTATCTGCGGCATCGGCCACAGCGATCACCTTTGCGTTAGGATATGCCTTCTTGAACTCGCCTGATACATGAATCAATATGAAGATAAAGCTGTTCGAAATCGCGCATACCAAGGAACATATAATGAACGGCATCCGCGCCAATGATCCAGCTACAGGAATGAACAGAGAGTCAGGACATCCCACCTGGGTTCATGTTAAAGTATCACGCACCGAACATCTCCCAGTTCGCTGAGTTTGTTCTTGGTAACCTCATTCAATGGTGTTGAGGCAAGTACCCACACGGCACCATCCTTCAATTGAATAGCAGTCGACCGACCTCCAAAAGGGATGACGCCGAACCGCTTGAACGGTCTGCAACGCTCTCCAATTAGAACATGCTTGACAAACTAGAGCATGAAAACGAACGTTGAGAACGTCCAGATACCCTTCGTAACCTAAGGGGAGCTCCCCCAGTCAATGCCTGCGACAACTTGATTGAATATTACAATGCCTGAAGGACATACCTCACGAATAACTGTATTCTCGTTCGTCGCACTCATAGATAATACCAAACGTGCTAAAAGCGAAATGGTTAGTTGAAATGGGGTGGTTTACGTGGTGGTTAGAGTAAGAAGCAATGAATGCACAGGTGAAATGCTGGCGGAATACCCACCTACATATGCCGATCGATGACCTCACACCCGCCTCCACATGCCGAATTATGTCTGGCCTCCCACATTGCGAAGACTCGAGCATTAAAATATCAAAGGTCCAAGTGTCTTCAGAACTGGGGAGACGTATTGTGGATAATTAACGAGAATGAGGGAATGTATACACCAAAAGCGAGGTCTGTGGAGAAGATCTGTAGCGCCCATATAACCGGTGCATGTCTTGGCACGAGACTCTTGATCATGTCCTTTCTCCAGTGGATGTTTGTCGAAACCCACAACCCGCTTTGAGTCTCAGGGACTTCTGTTGCTGATCCCTTGCACGGGAAACATCCTTCAAGGCAGAGACCATGATTCATGCAGACCGTACGAGCTCGAGGTGTTGGCACCATGTTGACAGATCAAACGGCAGATGTCAACTTGTTCGCCTCTCTGAGCCGCGTATACGAGCCGTGTTGATGCTGCGTATAATTATCGGTGAACGGCGTCTGGGAACGAGATCGTATTTAGAACGTCGGTGGAAGGCAAATGGCGGTCCTAGCTTCATTACCACCGTCAAGGTCTCCGGTTCCCACTCCCTCTTCTTGGTATCCAACGTTCAACCTTCAGGGAAACATCCCCTCTTGATTGAGCATGCCACCTTCCAATGCGGAGAATGAGATTATCATTCGCGAGGTATGTTCTTTCAACGGAGGACTCTCTGTTACCTGATAGACCTTACCAATTCTGAATAGGTCGTGAAAGACGTCTGGATATTCTCTCGGTACGAAATACGTTCGAAGACATATTGCGTTCAGTATAAGTTGACTTAGAGCTATAGACCGTTCAACCTCTTCAATCGTTTGCCGGTCGGCGGTCGCTCCACCGCGATCAAACTCAAAAACGGAGACGTGTGGTTAATTGCTTCGACACCTCTTACTAGTTCTACGCGGAGCAAACTCGCTGAACTCGGGGTGGTTAGGTGCGTAACTTGGTTTTGTACGCGCCCCAGTAGTAAACGAGGACTAATAGACAATCATGCTAGGTACATAATAGCGCCGAATGCATTTCATAACTTGTTCTTGAAATCGTACAAAGATGCTTATCCTGAAGCGAAAGTCATTGGCCCAGAAGAGCTGAATGAGAAGAAAAGGGCAGAAGGATGGCAATTAGATGAAGGTTAGCATATTTTATCTCGAGATTTCCGGCGTAGTTCAGGTATGGACTAATCATGCGACAGTATTCAACACTAGCGTACCAGACCCGAAACTTGGGTTCGAAGATGAGGTAAGTACTTCAATGGTGACACTACTTAACGTTGAGATTGATGAAAGTCGATAGATCGAGCATTGGTATCTAACTCACCTGCTCATTGCTTCTACCACAGGCACTCATATACTTTACTAGTTTCTTCGTAGGTTACAAGAACAAGGACGTAGCCTATCATCACAAGGCGTCCAAGACTGTTGTTGCAGCAGACTTACTATTCAATTTACCTGCAACAGAACAGGTACGACATGTAGCGTCCTCAGACCATTACTACATAAACCATGCTAACCGCTGCGTCGTCTCCAGTACTCCCAAACGCAGAATAAGCCATCTTTCCCGATCATCAATAGTTGGTCGGCGAATTCTTGGGTTATGAGGATGTTCGTATGGCTCAAAGAGGGTGATTTCGCGTAAGTTCAGATCCGTTACTGAAGCGGGGAATGACACTCATCCACCAAGTAGTGAGATGCAGTGGAGTGCACGTAAAGTTGGAACTTGGGACTTCGACAGATGGATTCCTTGCCACGGAGTACGTTTTATTGAATTCCTCTATAGTTTGAAGATGCTGTGACTTATGGACGTACAGGATGTCATTGAAACGAATGCGAAACAAGTATTCAAGGAGGCCTATAGGCGCTATTTCTAATTGTGTGCCTGTCTTCGTCTACCTATTTATTGGATTAGGTTTCCTACTGTCATTTCGTTGATATGATATTTGAATCTTGAATCTTGAAACCCCGATGGTTCATTTTTTACGTACCCAATGGACATCGTTTGTGGCCGCAACCTAAGAATGATTTGCGCTGCTGATGCAAACCTTTCTTTGGCTAACTCGCAGGCCTCCCCGGTCGCCGTCCGCTCAATGTTCAAACATTTCCACCATCCAATCTTTGCAGGATCGCCAAGCTCCACTCTAATGCGGGTCAGGGGAACCAGCGCACACCAGCGTGTGCCCACCACGCCACCAGTCGGAGTTCCGACTGCAATATAAAATTCATAGACATGTCCTCGTTCTGAGTCAGCTGACAAACCCCCAATACTTTCATTCCGTCATGGCAGCATTATCTGAGGACATCGACGATGTTGTTATCCGTGAGGTTCGCATCTCTCATTTGGCTTATGCTCTTGCGTAATGCATACCAACTATTGATGGACAGGTTGCGCAGGACGTGTGGTCAATTTCCCGGTATGGGATTCCACTGTTCACTTGTGATTACATTGGCTCTGATGCGCTAATGAATAGACCTTTCACAATTTGGAAATTTGTACCAGTTGGTGGCCATTCTGTCGCAATCAAACTCAAGAGCGGACACGTGTGGCTTTTTGCGTGGACGCCTCTAACAGACTTGACCAGAAGCAAAATCGCCGAACTTGGCGAAGTCAAGTGCGTCCCCTGACCCACCTACCTTGACGACATCTCAGTCAAAATAATAGATACATCATTGCTCCCAATCCTTTCCATTACTACTTTTTGAAGTCTTACAGAGATGCCTTTCCCGATGCATTGGTCATTGAAGTAGATGTATTGAATACAAAGTTGGCAGTCGCGGGTTGGCAGTTGGACGCCGGTTTGTCCCCCCACATTTTTCCCGTTAAGCCTAACCTTCTACTGATTCGGCACAGTGATCACGGCGGAAGCTCCGATGACCAGCTTCGGGTTTGAGGATGAGGTGAGTCTACTTTCGTAAGGTTTCTCAAGGGACTGAGTCGAATGTCGGGCACAGATTGAACATTGGTGACCCTGGTATTGATGACCGTTATTTAGACTAAGCTCACAGGACCTACTCTGGTTTCTTCTCAGGCCACAAGAATCGGGACATGGCCTACTATCATAAGGCATCTAAGACCGTCATCTCGGCAGACTTATTGGCAAACCTCCCACCCTCTGAACAAGTGCGTCTTATTTGCTTGCTGAATACCTCAATTTGTCTCTTATCCAATCTTGCCTGGAACGCAAAGTATGTTCGGACAAGAACGACTGAATTCCATATCTATATTGTAGCGCAGCTGAATCTTGGATTATGAAAGTGTTTATATGGCTCAAGGAAGATGATTTCTCGTGAGTCTACCCCCTTTATCACCAGACAGGGACTCTTTCGGTCTTACGTATGTCGACCTTCAGAACTATGCAGCGCGATGTCCACAAAGTGATTTCGTGGGATTTCGAGAAATGGATCCCTTGTCATGGAGTACGTGGTATTTGTGCGAATATGAGCACAGTATACCTGGGACTCATGAAATACTTATGCGCAAAACGTTATCGAGTCACGCTCGAGACACTTTCAAGGAAGCGTATGGCCGATATCTCTAGCCAATTCTCGTGAATCGACTGATGGACATTGGACAGCAGTAAGATTTTGACCTACTTGATTCCTCATTCTGAAATATATGCTTGTCCATGTCAATGTATATTCAGTAGGTCAAAATTTTACTGCTGTCCAAAGTTGTTACTAAGTACTCCATTGAAACTACATATTGTCAGTGTTTGTCATCAAAGTTCATCACAACTGTAAATCAACTTTATAGTTTAGTTGCCACTGAGAATTAGGAAAAGGTCTTTATGGATTTAAATGATGATATTCTTTACATATGATTAGATAATATATGGTGAGATGGCCGAGTGGTCTAAGGCGCCAGACTAAGGTAACAGCTGTTAATCTGGTCCGAAAGGGCGTGGGTTCGAATCCCACTCTCATCATAACATTTTCCCCGCTTGATTTTCGTTTTTGCACCCGTAAGTACAGTATCACGTTCGACTCGACATCACACAGTGACTCGGGCCATAAAGGAGAAGAACGCAAAAAATTAGGTAGGTATTATACACAAGATTACGGTTATTTCACTATACAAGCGACCAGGCTGGCACAGAGATATTGCTTCTCTCTTTGGCTCCTCAGGCCTCAGAGTTTGCACAAAACCACCCGCGAAACCTATTTCTTGGGAATTGGAGTGTGCACCCCTGCAGTCATAGCTTTGTACTTCTCTTCAGTATATGGAGGGTATCTCAATCCGAAAGCGGGCTCCATCCTATAGAAGAGGTCAACTTTAGCCCCGAGAGTGGATAGTGAGGAGCGATACTTACTCGGGCGGAACGTTTGTGAAACCCCTCCGGTGAGTGAAAGTCTCAAACGTTTCTTGACCATAGTAAGAACCATCTGTCCATTCCAGATGGTCAATTGTTTGAGTCTACAAAAAAGGCCCTTGAGCACTTACATCCAGAATGACCGTGACCGCCGAAGGGTATTTCATGAGCGGCAAGCATAGTGAAGGTATCATTGAGAGCAAGACGGCCACTATTGGTCTTTTCGATCACTATGACCCAAAGAATGTTAACATCAAGATAAAGAGGGGGAAGGTTGCAACTACGAACGTTTCTGCTTCGTTTCTTCGCTTCGGGTGAATGCATAGAGAACGAGTGGAATCGGTCTGATAACAGGATCATGAGTATATCCAAATCTGAAGAACAGTAACAGGACGTACCGCTCAGCAACAAATTCAATTGCCTCATCTACGTTCTCGACTTCAATGATTGGCAGGACAGGTCCGAAGTTCTCCCTGCACCAAGTGATCGGGGTCAACATCAAAGCGGACATGAAATAGGAAGCCGTTGCAAACGCACTCTTGCATCAAAGAATCATTCCCGGAAACGCCAGAAACGACGGTGAGAGAAATGCGCTTCTCATCTACATCACCTCCCAAGATAACTTGACCGTTGCTCCTCTCAATCAATCCTTTCACCCGCTTGTAATGCGCAGAGTTGACCATTTTGCCCCACTGTGACGACGGGTGAAGAGGAGTCTCAGGCCAGAAATCCTTATGCCACTTTGCAAGAGACTCGCGGAAAGCCGGTGCTATCGAACGAGGAACGAGGACATAATCCGGCGAGACACAAAGCTACAAATAGACATCAGCGTCAGAGCAAAAGAAGATTCGAAGGTAAGGTGGATACGCACCTGACCAATATTCTGTAACTTGCCGTACAAAGTTCGCTTTGCGGCAAGATCTACATCACAGTCGGTATCAACGATAACAGGACTCTTGCCGCCAAGCTCTAAAGTGACAGGCGTGATATGTTTTGCGGCGGCCGTGGCGACAATTTGTCCCACTTTGATACCGCCGGTGAAGAAAATGTGTGCCCATCGGAAACCAAGGACGGTAGTAGTTTCGGTGGGTCCACCATTGACAACGGCGTACGCGTTAGGATCAAGATATTTGGGAAGTAACTTGGCAAGGAGGGCAGCGCAGTTGGGAACCGCTTCGGAGGGCTTGAGGACAACTGGGCAACCAGCTGCAATAGCCCCGATCATGGGGTTGAAGGAGAGAATGTAAGGGTAGTTGTACGGCCTAATAGTTATGTAGACTCGTCATTTATTTAGGCAATAGGAAACCTAAACGCACGATATAATTAGAGCAACACCCTTGGGGACCTTGTAGACGGTCGTATCCCAAGAGCTCCTCCACGCCTCCACTTCGGGTTTCTCGGGTCGAGCCCATTCTTCCACGTGTTCTATGGCATGCAGAGCGGACTGAATTACTGGTGAAACTTCTGCGAAGCTGACCTCGAAGCGAGGTTTTCCGAGATCTGCTAGTTGAGCTTCCTCAAGAGCATTTTGGTTATCTTGCATGAGGCGTGCAAGCTGTATCAATTGCTTGCGACGATAAGCCACAGGACGCGTTACTCCTGATTTGTATGTAGCAGAAAGTCGATCATAAATCTGCGAATGTGTGAGACATTCAATTTAAATGGATCGAAGCGCTTGAGAACGATCGGCGACATACGCTCTTGAGCTCATCGAGAGAGGTATACTGGAGCTCGGTGGCCATGGGGAGTGGAGGGAGGGAAAAGTAGGAGTGATTTGAAAAGCCGGACTGCAATCATTGCGTCGCTTATGTATTTCCTGGACGCCCGAGTTCACAGATGACCATGTCGTCAGGTTCGGTCAGAAAGTTTGCCAGAACAGCCTGTGAAAGATTGCGAGGAGAAGCCAGATTGCCCTTGAGCCGGTAAGTCGTTTTGCCAAGCACGCGATCGCCAGAAACTAGCTTGTGCCAAGAATATCGTGTGGGATTCCTATAGGTCCACAACTTTTGCTTACTTTCTATTGCAGCGGTACCAAGACTCTTGTCTTAAAGTGGTCAGAGCTGTTACGAGCAGCAACAATCAGTAACTGTCGAGTCGATGATGAGGAGACTAATTGAGAGAGACAATGTAGCTCATAGTCGTTATCGATGGCGCTTCCCGTTTCAGCAACCTTGAAGTCGTTGGTAATTTGTTTCGGAAATGTATCCATCCGGTTCAAATCCAAGCCCCTTAGCGGTCTTTGGTGTGTGTATATATAGGACTTTTTGATATAGCTTCGGAGGTCAGAAGGACTGCTATATGCATGCTTCTGGTTAGATCGGGAAGGCAAGCAACGTTCTTCCTTTGGAAGGCAAAGAAAACTGCCGCTAATGTCCTCACATGGCAATGATGCCACGATCTCTGAGGTACTCAATGGTACTCGTCCACATGAGAAATATGTTGTGAAAACGGACTCTGACAGAATATTGTCCGCGATGCGCTCATTTAATTACTGTATTACAAGTCTATGCAGTGGAAAGTCTTGCGAATCTTATTTATCTCTTTCACACTCTCACCTCTTGCTCTCTAAGTTGTGTCTCGTTCTCGTAAACACCGGAAGACTTTGCTGCTGCCCAATTGGTTAATGGCAGTCTCTTTCACTGGCTCTCTCCATCATAATTTCTTTAAAGGACCAACATTAAGTTTGATCACAGAATATATATCATAGAAGAACTTACTTCAACATCATCACGGATGAGCTAATTCAAACAGAGTTTATAAACCACTAGAGACTTGTTGTCCTCACAGATATGCCGGCTTGAAAGCTGTCTAGTGGTACTCTTTTCCAGCCTCAAGTATATTGTTGGAGGACAATCGTTCCTTATATTATATAGAGCAGAAAGCGCACGAAGGTGGAAAACGCAAAACGGAATGTTTAGCACGGAAATGATCTGATCACTTCCAGCGATCTAATCTAATCTCGTTTGGAGCTCCGTCATCGCGCGGATGATTCTGAGCGGATGTACATAGAAAATCTGCCTCCGCCATTCAGCCAGTTATATTTTCCATGGGTGCATAATGCAGTACTACAGTAACAACCGTATCACCTTGGATTTTAGCATCGATTCCTGCCTTGCGAGGTCACCAAGATGCCTATTTTCATTGGAGACCTGAACCAGAGCGAATATGAAACATCAGAAGTCAAGAAACTGAAACATATACAGGAAACCCGTAACTTGAAACCCGGTGACATTGTCGAGTTCTTCGGACACGCTGTCCGTTGGGACGCCGACTGTGTTACAGAAGACAATTGTCTTCGGTACGTCCTCCTTCATGCTAGCCTGTTTTCTTTCCAGTTGACCATATATATGCACGTAGTTGGAGAAGAGTTGGTGACCCCCTGTGTGATGATGCGTTACAGCTCATCTTTACGTCGCCTTCTGCAAGTGCAGGAAAAGACCTGCTCGAATGTCTCCAACAATACGTCTCTACAAACCCAGGACCAAATGCTGCAACTATTTTCTTAGGGGATTTAAATCAAATACCACCGAATAGTCTCATCGCTTCACAATCTCAAGTGGAAGCAGGACGTAGACTGTTTCTCGACCATGCCGCACTGATCATGCAGGCTCTATTGCATTATAGTTTGGCGGCAGGTTTTGCTAGGCGAGGATTATACCTCTGACAACGGAAAGACTTCTCTGCTGACGCTTATCCTCAGTGCTCGAATTACTAGGACTCTTCATGCAGTATCTTACCTTGTCCCTCCTCATGAGTCGACCTCGCAGGCTTCAAGCGATCGGATTTACACTCGCCTTCTGGAAACGTTTCAATTTGTCCTAGATATTATGGGCTGTACCCCTACACCTCCTGCACCTTCATTCGGCTCGAATATCGAGATCAAACCTGTGAAGGAACCTCCTCAGCGACGTGCAGGTACGCTCGAGTATCTCCTCCCAAGAGGTGAAGGCTGGAAGTCTGCAGTCAGAGTGAGGATGCTCCACGGTGTCGCGCGTCGACGGGCAACAGAGCGATGGAACAAGCTCAAGATGAGAGACGCTGGCTATGATGAGGAACTTGACATCCCGATCAGTCAAGAAGACATGAGTGCTACGTACGTGCGCCTGTATTATCTCGACCCTCTGACAGACATTGACAAGAGTTCATATGAAATAGTCTAGCGTCTTTCTGTATCATACCACTTTGGTGCCTACATCGTCTTGGCCTATATCCTGACCCCATGCAAACTGAGGCTTTCTTGGCCGTCTGGAGACACGTTGGATTTTATTTGGGCGTCTCGCCGTCTATTCTCCGACGTTACTTCACCTCAACATCTGCAGCGGACAAGTTCTTGGCATCCATTGTACTTGACTTATTTTCCAGCGACGATAATGCTCCACCTGACATCGGTCCCATTCCGACCATGCCTATCTTACGCGCAATCTCTGGACGCCCTCCTGGCAACTCATCTCTGGAGCATAATTGTGCTGTGACTCGGTGCCTCGTTGGATTTGAACTCGCAGATCACCTGGGTGTTCCGGAAACACGTGTCATTACCAAGCTCAAACTTCACGCAACCTTTTTGTTATACAAGATACCAATCTGGTTCTCATGGTGGTATCCACGTAAACAATGGGCGGTAACACGACGAGAAGTTCTTAGTGAAGGTATGGCAAGGAGCGTCAGGTGGAATTTAGGCATGCGTCGTACGAATTTCCGGCCTAGAGGCAATGTCATTAAGAACGAGGGACTAGATGATGGACAGATCGAAGAGCTGGAACGCGTCATTCCTGATCCTGAAGGCGGAATGGCCTTAGTGAGAAAGTGGAGGGAGATGTTAGCCGAGATGATTGGCGTTTGTTTGGGTGTTGTGTGTGTCGGGCTTGGAGGGTTGTATTTTGGTACTAGAATGTTCTTGTGAGGGTTGCAGAGACCCCCCCCATTACTATTGACCTTGTGCCGGTGTGTTCAATCTTTCGTACCACAGTCTATAGTCAAGTGTACTAATGAGTTGTTCGTGATCGTCGATTATCGTCAGATAGAGCGGCTCCTGCCACAAGTGGTTGACGTTGGGTATGTCGTATGCCATCAACCCCCGATGCATGGACGAGAGTATACCCGAGGTACATAAACACTCATCTCGGGTCCCTCACGCCCGTGGCATATCAGCGCTATATTGCTAAGAAATTTTACAAATCTCGTGCAGCTCAGTGTACGAAGCAAGATTCGTGGCATTCATCCCCTAATTCACGTTGTGTGCCTAGTTCTTCGCGGGAACGGAACTCGGCTGTGCTCGCAATGTCTATTCACTTAACTTACTTGGATCTATCGTCGACAACCAAATTTGCACTTGCTAAGAATGGCCATGTTATTGGTAACGCAATTTTGACACGCTCCTGGATGATCTTCTACACCCCACAAGGCTATCTTCTACCATTGTCAATGACCTCCTCCTTGTACGGACAGGAGAACATGCGCGTGACGGAGGCAGCCATCGGTTTTCAGTATCCTAAGTATCTAAATCGGTGTCAATCGATCACCGGCGGAGAAAGTTGCGAACAGGAAAGTATATGCAGGCTGTACCAGGAAGACACTTGGGAGCAGATAACTTTGGACATCCGTATTTGTGGCTCGTTATAGACCGGAATGGCGTCACATTTCCTGTAAATGCGCTTTCAGGGTTTCATTTTGTTGACCGTCCAGTGCTCTCACATGTCTCTGTGCTCAATCTTCCATGTCATTCATAGCGCAGGTCACGCCGCTGCCTAGTGGCTCCATGCTCGTTCCGTCATCTCACAACCCTATTCAGCTATGGCGGGCCGCTCGAAAGACAAGGTGTCCTCGTGAGAAGTGTCAAGCCGTATAAATAATGCTATTCATTGGATGGTTGGGTCAACACCAACTTACAACCCAATAACCACCTTTACACTCGCTACTCTACACTCACAATGGGACGCACAGTCACCCAGTATCGTCTTCCGGACACCTTGGCTAAATGGCCCTATCGTCGTCGATTGAACTTTCATTATCTCCCTGTCAAGGCTGAAGCGTCAGCCTGGCTTGAGAGTTTCAATGCTTTGAGCCCGAAAGCCCAGAATGCGTTCAACCGCTGCGATTTCAGTGAGTATCGACTCTGTTCCACGAATTTATAGGAAGTGTACTGATGCTGTCAATAGACCTCTTTGCAGCTCTCTCGTACCCGACGTTTGGCGAAGGTGACGGCATTTCATTTGAATCTCGCACGGCTAATCTCATGTTATAAAATGATTAGATCGATTGAGGACCGCTTGCGACCTCATGAACCTTTTCTTTCTCTACGACGAATACTCCGATCGGGAGGGAGTCGACGGCATGACCCAGCTCTCTGCTGAGATCATGTACGCTCTCAGAAACCCCCATGAGCCTCGCAAAGATGGGAAATATATTGTCGGCGAGATCTTCAGGCAGTATGTCTGCCCAACTATCTATTACCATGTCTCCTAACTAATGATACTGCATAGATTTTGGGAACGTGCAATTAAGACCGGTAACCCCAACGCCCACCGCCGTTTTATCGAAGCTTTCGATCACCACACTGCGGCCATGGTCGAAGAGGCTCATGACCGTAGCAAACAGCGTATTCGCGACATCGAAGGATACCTTGAAGTTCGTCGGGGGACGATCGGCGCACGCCCTGCATTCGGGTTGATCGAGTTCGACATGAACTTACCTTCCGAGGTTTTGGACCACCCTATTGTACTTGAACTCGTGGCTGCTGCTACAGATATGCTTAGCATCGGAAACGTATGTTTTGATTTTTAATAGCCGCTGCAGACGATTATACCGATAGTTTTGACTCTGAATTTCTCACTTCACAGGACATCTATTCATACAACGTCGAACAAGCTCGCGGAGACGACACCCAGAACCTTGTCACCATCGTGATGCACGAAAAGAACGTTGACCTCCCCTCTTCTCTCACCTGGATCAAAGAATTCCACGACTCACTCGTTTCCACGTTCCTCACCAAATCGAAGGAAATTCCTTCTTTCGGAGAAGTCATCGATGCCGAGGTCGCGCAGTATGTGGAAGCGCTGGGGAATTGGGTCCGGGCTAATGATTGTTGGTGTTTCGAGAGTCAGAGGTACTTCGGAACGAAGGGTTTGGAGATTCAGGAGCAGAGAGTGGTTACTTTGTTGCCGAAGGTGAATCAGGCCAGTGCTTGAAGACGGAACAGCGTTATGTTGATAGACTTAGCGCGACCATAAATATTCTTGTGCATATGTATAGACCGTAGAGCTCATTACTTCCAGCCTATTTATGCTTCCTATTGGAGGACAATCATTCCTTATGTACTGCTACACTGCGATGCCTCTCATCCTTGGTAAGTGATAGAAGTACAAACAAGTATCCCTCCACACTGGCATTCACAACTCTCATAATAAACATTCGAGTTCGGATATGATATGAACCTTGTTCATTCAATTGTACCTACGATGAGGATAGGAGAGATATATGTACAAGCCGAGTCGCAAAGACGAATATCGATATCTACGGAGCGGAGAGGAGCAAGAGAGTACTCGGCAATCGAGAGGAATCAAAAATGGACAACAGGAAATGGGGAAGGAGAGTTGGGGTGGCGAGAACTTTCTCAAGAGGAATCAAGGAAAAGGAGAGACGAGTGGAAAGGAGACCAATTATTGGATGGAGTTATGCAGTAAAGACGAGCAAGATGGGAACATATTAATGATGAAGAAGGGAAAAGAGAATGAAAAACGAGAAACTGATATTTCTTCAGTTCTTTCACTGTCCTTTTCTTATACAAACAAACGAGACCCTGGATCCTATATCACATTCCAAATGACAACGACAGCAAGGACAACAACAGCGACAGATAGCAACGACAACCCAACGGCTCTACAGGTGCATATTCCGAATACCCTCCTCGAGGAGATTCGTCACACCAGTAAAGCACGCTCCTCCACAATTCTTCTTATCGGCCACAGGCAACATTTTCGGCGATGCTGACGGTGACGAGCGCTCACTGACTGGAGCAGGCTTAGGAGAAGGTTGTTGAGGTTGAGGATCAACGTCCACCACGCGAACCACAGCCTTGCCCTCGAGGACTTTCCTAACCTTCTCAGCATCCCAATCTTTCCTAATTGAGGGACCTGACGAAGAGGAAGAGCCAGAGAATGCGTCCCAGAACGCGGAACCGAGTTTGCGAACGAGAGTTTGTGAGGCAACGGCAGCAAGCATAGCTTGTTGCTCTGTTGGTGTGGCTTGGGGTTGAGGAGTGGGGGTTGAAGCGGGGGTATGTGACATGCGTGGTGAAGCGGGAGGTGTTGGGTAGGCGCTGGCAGCAGATTTGCCAGACAGCAGAGCAGAGAGGGTAGGGCTTGTCTTGGCGAAGTAGTGCGGGCGCATGCCACTGGCAAGGCCATTGAGAGGAGAAGGCTGCTCCTTTGCTTGCTGTGCCTGTTGTTGTTGACGAAGCAGTGCTTGTTGTTGACCCATACGTGTCCAGAGCTGCATACGGAAGCTATAAAAAAAAAAGAAAGTCAGCAACCTGCTCTTCTCAGGAGAAGGGATTGGACCCACTCTTCCATCGATTTGAGCGTGAATAGATTCTTGTCGGCAAATGCATCGAAGTTGTTGTTCAATGGGAGTTGCATCTTCTCCTGTTGGTTGTTGTTCTTCTGAGGAGTGACACCCATACCAAAGCCGGCAACAGTGCTTGCAGTGAAACCGTTGAGCGTCGGGTTGATATTTTCCTGTAGCGACGGTCGTCGTTCTGCGTTACCACCGGAGACAGGCTTGCCAGAAAGTACACTACTCCATTCAGGAATGAGAGTCGTATGTACTGGTGTAATACCACCAAATCCACCAAGACCGCTTGCAGCGCCGCCCCAGAAGCTGCGAGCACCGAGTCGAGGTGAGGTGGGCAAATCTTTGTGGGTGTTGGGGGTGAGGAGAGGACCCTTGGGAGTCTTCTGGGCTTGCATAGCGGCGGAGACAGCAGGAAGAGGAGCAGGAGGAGGAAGAACGGGGGTGTCAGATCGTCCACGTCCATCGAGGAGAGCTTTCTTCAACGCCGCAATTTCCTGGCGCAGAGCAGAGTTCTCAGATTTCGTACCGAGGAGTTCGGTACGAATGTGGTCAATAAGCCTGTCACGCTCAGCAATATCGCCCTCAAGCGTATTAATATATTCTGTAAAAGACTGTCAATACTTCGCTTGAAAACTGTTAAAATGATAATTACCCTTTCGCCTGACACGGAAGTTGCGCGCGCTAATCTTGTTGCGAAGCTGTCGTTTCTCTTTCGAGGACATCTTCTTATACTCCTCCGGTGTTGGCCGCCAATCGTCCGGCTCCATGGACGTTGTCGAAAGCATCGCCGGCTGATTCTCCATCTTATCCTTCAGCGCTGTACCGCCGGACTTCTTCACCACGCCTCCGGACTGAACAGTTCCTTTCCGGGCAGACTTTCCTTTTCCGCCAACCTTGACAGGGGTGATAGAATCGTCTTCCAGGGGGCTCTCGAGGATAGTCTCCAGTTCATGGGCATTCTCGTGTTCCTCCTCTTCATCAAAGTCGCTCATCGCTTTTGACCCAGAGGGAGTACCGACGAGTGAGGGATCGATGCCGGGTGATTCAGCAGTAGAGTGCGAACCTCCAGAGGAACCCACGCCAGAATCAGGACTGCTGCTCTGCATTGCTGAGCCGTATGAGAATGATGGATCAAACGATCCGAGGAAATCAAAAGGAGCAGCAACCGTTGGGGGTGGCGCGAGGGGGTTCGTCTTGGTGAAATCGTCGTCCAAAAAGTTGAAGAAGTCGTTCGCTTGAACATCGGGAACCGTATATGGATTCGGTGGGGTCGGGGGAAGTGCAGCGAAAGCAGACGAGGGTGAATGAGAGGATGAGCGAGAGGAACTGCCTGAACTTGAGGCGTTCCCGGTCGAAGGACCTGCCAGCAAGTCCATGTTGAAGAAATCTTCAAAGGCAGGCTGCTGAAAATTAAATGTATTGTCGACAAGCATGGCGACGAGGAAGAGGAGCTGAGTGAGTTGGTTGGTTGATGACTGTTGTGGCCAAAAGACAAGAATGAGTGTAAGAGGCGTGGTCTGAGGCGGAGTTTCCTCCATGCGCCAATCACCGCTGCGCTGCGTAAGCATTTCCCACGATCCGCCTGGGCGTTACGACCTCGACAGAACAAGATGGAACATCATCAGCACAGTCATCCCGGTGCCGAGTTGACGACGCAAGCCCTCCATGATGGCGTCGGTATGTTTTGCGTTTGGTTTCTGGTTGCGCAGCGAACTTTAACACAGAGTCAACAGTTGACACGTTTGTCCCTCTTGCACAGAGAACAGCCTAGGTCGGTCACCGAATTGCTGCGAGCAATGGTTGAATAAAGACTTGCATCCTGCGTCATATGCAGGACCTGTGTGATTCGAGTCGTCGGAAGCACACTGGTTATTTCCACGATATCGGAGCTGCGGATGTTACCGTCTTCAGATGAGGTAGGAGAACGACGTGTTCTATCATGAAGCGTTTTCGAAGACTAAGATGGGGATGAAGAGTAAGTAAGTCAAGAGTCTCGATGGCCTTCATAAGTCTCTCTGCATGGCCGCCATCCTGTGTTACATAATGACTATGCCAGACTGTGTCGCAATCGTTCGGCCGCATAAATGTGAAGTTAAAGCTTACGTGCCAGTTCCGTGACGCATACTACTAATTCATTGTTACTCCTGTTGCCGGTGCTGCTCTTTACTGAGCTTTAATTTTTTCGCAGGTACTAACTCTTAATCTCGGTGAGCCAAGGTTAATTCATCCCAACCGGGCTTGCATATTAAAGAGTAGCTTCGTCTAGCACAAGTGCGTTTCTTTGAATTGACAATGTTCTATTTATCCTGCTCTCATCCGTAGGAACGCCATAATCTGGTTCCCTTGCAATCATGAGGGTGGAAGCTATGGGCTCTATCTTATTTCCAGTACCTTCCAGAAGTCACTGGATCACTGACACAGTAACCTCAAAACGGGAACTTTGTATCTTGCTGTAGGTCGTACAGTATGTACGCGTGAAATGAAGATAGCACTGGTTTCCTTGCAAGGCAAACTGACAATTTTTCATAGTGCATTGCCTGATCCTTGCTCCGATTCACCTTTCGATTCGTTCTCTCCCCAATCTGTCACGTTGGGTCACATGCACGTGTATGTGACCCCGCGTGACGCCGGAGGCGCGACTGCTCAGCGATGGCTTGCATATCCTGGTTTCACTTGGCAGTTGCGTTTCCAAAGTGTCACGAGTTTCGATGGCTGGAAAGCGTTCTCCGACCTCATGCCGGTTGAAGTACGCAAGCTCGAGAGACAAGCTGCCGCACCTGATACTCCCACGATCTGATGGTGATTAGCCTTGTCGATGGGGTCGGACGTCGAGGCTCTTGGCAATCGATTCTGCCTGTTTCCCTTACTTCCCAGTATTCCACTCAGGATCTCTTGCCCTCCGCCCCTTTCCCTGCTGTATAGTTCCCCAGCCGGCACGTCGGCATCCTCCCCTCGCGCCACGCGGTCTCCCCATGGGCCAGCCCTTCCTTCCGGCTTTCCCGCCTCAACTCCGAGACCACCCGAGGTCTTTCCATTCTGGGAACTGCCCCTGGCGTTCCCCGATTTTCTCGGGGTACGCCCCGCTTCCCCGCCTCCCTTCCCTTTTGGGCCACGCGCGCGTGCACGTGCTCACACTTGACGCCCTGGCGCGTCGTCGTTTGTTGTCTTCCCACAGCTTGTACTCACGCCGCTTCTTTCTTACTTCCTTGCCTTCTGCTCTTTCTGAGGCTCTTCTGGTTCTTCATATGGGTACTAGGTCCAAGTCACGCAAGGGTCTATCGTCGTCGGTGCGGGTCCGGGCTCCCAATGGCTTTGGGCGGGTAGTACAGGAAGTCCGCCTCAACACACAGATGGCTCAGCGAAGGGAGGAGATCGCCAAAAAGCGGTATGACCATCTCACCAGTACGCCCGAATCGTTAACCTTACTTTACAGACACCATCAAGTACTAATCCTCATAAGGCCTGACCTTCGAGGAACGCGAGGTTTTCTTCAACGACGACGCTACCGGTGCTACACCTATGGACGTGGACGAAGACCTTGCGTTCGACCATCTTCCTCCGGGTGAGGAGGGTTTCTTTGCCAGTAACGCTGGAGGGGAGGAGGAGCTTTGCCGTACTTTCTTCTTATCCAATAATGACAGGTATGAACGCTTGCATAGACTCTCGAATACGAACATAACCAGTATCCCCCAGCAGGAAGCGTAAGGACGTTCGTACGCGGCGCGATCGCCGCTTGCTACAGAACAAAGAATGGGCCGAGCAGATGTTGTCTCTGGTCGATGCTTTTCTTGACTGGCAGATGTCTCGCTCAACGGAGGTTCACGATACCGCGCAGTTCGACGACTGGGAGGTCACCACGGTCGATTTCTTTAGTAAGCAGTATAGTCTATGTCGTCGTTGCTTATCTGAAGCATTGATAGGTAGAAGTCGCCGCCGCTTCAATAGTGGTCCATCGGTTGACCGCGCCAATGTGGTCCTTATTCGAAACGGCTACATCGGCAGTGCCCCCCGTAGTCCGACGGTGGCTATTGGCCTCCAAGTACTTGAGGCCTATCACGAAATGCATGCGGCATGCCCTCGCTTTAGTATACAAGCACAAGTGCGTGCCCTTTGTCGTCTTCACAAGGTACATATGTCATCCTACTCGTTTCCTCATATACAGTGACTTATTCTCTCTCCTTAGGTTCATTATATGAAGTACTTAGCGTCACAGTTCCGTATCGCTTACGACGTCTACCTCGCGATTCGGCGCTGCATTGACGTTCGTGCCAACGCCGCGTTACACCGTGACATACCAAATTGGCGCATGAAGAATGCATGCGCGGCGTGTCTGTACGCACTCGAGAATGAGGATCCTCTAACATATGCCCTACAGGTTTCAATGGATGGGAACCAGTCCTTGAAGCTCGTCGATGACCACTTCCGGAGGGGGCCATCACTTGCGGACACTCGGAGTGGTATCTCAGACATCTGGCTCAACCCTGAAGAAGTAGATATCTTCAAGAATGAAGTGGGAAAACCACAACAGGTGTGTGCTCAATCTCTTACTCCTCTACTTTTTGATATAGTGATATATCATCTCCAAGAGCCAACGCAACACAGGCGATGCCCACGATATCGACGATGATATCGACTGGGTCAATATTGCCGACCACACCGATTCCGCCGATGTGACACTATCAACAGACGAATGTGTCAAACGTTGGCGTAATGCGGGACCGGAGGCTCGCAAGAAGATGTTTGCCCTGTTCGCAGTAACGGGCGTTTTTGTATGCCTCTGTCGCCATGGGCAGCTCCTTGCAATATGCGACATGATCAGGAGCGGTGAACTGTATGTATCCATTTCTTTATGTTTAGTTATGAATAACCGTCTTTGCAGGATGAAGTACCCGCTTGCCATTGTTGACAAGCTCATGCGAGTACTTGGAGTTACAGTCCAGGTCGCATACGACATCGCGTGCGCGTTCATGAAAATACTCGAACGCAGTTCATTGGGTGATCGAGTACAACAACAGGGGCTCCGTGGTATCGTTCCGGCCTTTCACGGACATGCGCACAATCGTCTTTGTCAGGTAGATTGGCATCCGCTTTATGTTGCTGGATCAGGAAAGGAGGATTTCGAAGGTTGCGAACGAGTCTTTTCCCAGTCGAACGCATTAGCTTCGACAACGCGTTTCTCCTCACCTTTCCATCGCCACCAAGCCATCGACGAGTTCTTCAAATCTTGGGCCTTTGTGAAGCATGCAGAGCTAGGTTTGTATTTCAATTCACTCTTGTATTGTTTGACCTCTGCTAACACGTCCCTAGCTAATTTCATCCACAACAACTATCGACAAGCCCTCAAGATCGTTGCAGAAGATTCGGCTACTTTGCGGGAGCTGTGCACGCGACTGAAACTCAATGACGAAGACTTTGAACAATATCTGCAAGAAGAACGAGCTTACCTGAAGAACTTGGTGGCGGAAAGTCCAGAAGTAGCCTTCACAGTGGAGTATATGGAGGCACTATTGCGGCTTGATGGTGCATTGTATGTAAGACCTCTAAACATATCTGATTATTCTGACATCTAACCAGTGCCGAGTCTGAGCATGCAAAGCGCGAGTACCAGAACCTCGATGCAAGGATCATCCGTGAGGGTCTTCGTGGAAGGGCTATCACCAACATCAAGACCCGCTATGTGACCACCTACACGCGCTATGTCGACCTTCACGAGCACGTTCGTCGGATTGAAGAAGTGCATGGAATTGTTAGGCGTTGGACGAAGGACTCGGAAGAGTACAAGAACGGTTTGGTGGTTCTAACGGAGAGAAAATATAGAAATGCGATTGACACGTTGGAACGACTACTTCTCCAACGTCTGCTGGAGTTAACAAAGCTCAGTATGAGCGGCACAGGTATGTAGTCACATTTTTATAGTATTGACACCACTCTGAAGTCTCTGTAGGCTATAAGATGCGCGAGAAGATCACAAAGGCGTTGAAGACTCGGGCGACCGCGATCAAAAAGGCTCTTGAAGAATACAATCGACGCGCTGCAGAACTTAACCCACCCCGACCTTCGCTTTCGTGGTCCGACGTCGTGGATATGGTGTCCGTTGCAGAGTTTGATCTCCTTCGTGACGCTCGTCAAGACGTACGTCTGCTGGCTTGGGCTCAGCCTGCTCAACGGCGAGCAATGAATTTATACTTCAACATCAAACGAGCAGAGGAAGAAATCAAACGCCTCAATGTCGAGATTCGCCGACTGCTGACGCACATGGTTGATGAACATGTGGACTACTATCGAACGATACGAGACAACATGGTACCTAATCCCCCACTAGCCTACGAGCTCTCTCTCAGGTGGCGGTACTCAAATGCTGTGAATACTGAGCTTGCCTACCGTCTTCAGCAGACATCAGAACTTCCAGGATTCACTGGTACTCTTCGGACGGGACACCGAGTCGGTCGCAGTCCCATATTGGCAGATGGAATTCTGCTGCCGCCGTGGGTTTCATTACAAACTCAACCTACAGAAGGCTTCGATGCTTCTGGTAATGAACTGGAGGATGACGAGGAGCTCGGAATGGAAGGGGTTGGGAATGAAGACGAAGCAAACGTGCTCATCGACTATATAGACAGACTCGGCCTACATAGCGAATAGAGACTGTCTGAAGAATACATGTCTGATTCTTTCTTTCTCAGATCTTACAAGTTCAAAGGGCGATAAGAGATCGGAGAAGGGTAAAACATACCAACCTAGATCGATGATCCGCCGATCAAGTGTCTTGTACGCCAACAACGCAATGCGCCATTCCGTCTACAGTGTTCATCGTCCCGCCGGCGTCTGCCATCATCCGCGTCTTCGTCTTCGTCGCGCGCAACAGCGAACTCGCTCTTTCACTCATCCCTCCATCGTTTCTCTTGTTTCTTTTTGCAGATAACATGTATTATAAGATAGCTACATAACAACATCACTTGTATATTATATAGCTTGCCCCGTCTAATAGGAACCAACACCACAATATACCCTGACATAGGATATGTCATGAAGTTGGATAGGATAGTCAGAACGAAGCAGAAAGTAAATATAATGATAGTACTTACCAGTTATGACCAGAGAAATGAAGACAGACGTGAAGGGGATGCCAGGGAAACCTCCAGAATGCGGCTGTACAGAAGGCATAGGTAGGCAAACGGAGAGCGTGTACGACACTTCTGTGGCTTATTTAAGCTATGCTGGATGGCGAATGAAGTCTGTAAATATGTAAGAAAGATTATCAATGGGTGATAGGGTAATACGGAGTGTCCAGAGCGAATATTGAGGCGGCGCGAGTACAGAAATGTATATGACCGATACTCGGAGCACCCAAGGGGTACAAAAAGTATTTGGAATGTCTTCTGCAGTGTATTTGAGCCAAAACGATACCTCGGAGCATTTAGAGCGGGTCCTGGCGCATTAGTATGGCTAGACATGATGGGTAATCAGAGAATTACTCACCTGGGCCAAAATACTGCAAATGGTGATACATTTGGTTCACTCACAGACCGCTTATATGCATACTACATGATCAATGAAGCTTCTAGGCCCCCCCGCCAAACGTTATGCCTCCATTAGATACATAGAGTTGGGACTCACCGGCTTGTATAGCACCTCTGAGCCGCCGCATGTCCGTGACACTTGGCTAGCATCTAGTTACGGCCTCTGCTCGTATGAGAAACATTGTAGCCTGGTGGTATAATGTAAGTATAAGGCTGTACAATGTGAGGAACTTACCATGACTGAAATACTCTCTGACTCGTCTCCTAAGCTGCCACTTCGATTACTTTCCTTCAAGTACTGGGAACAAAGAGAAACACTGTATGAAATGCATTTCACATCACCTACTTGGACAGGGAATGGACGGGACAGCCAAGAGTTGAATAAAATTGGAGAAGTAAGCTGTATGAATAGATAGCGAACCATAGTTCACAAGGTGTGATCAGGGCCTCAGAACATTCGTTGACACCAGGGGGGATGCGTGCTGTATAGTATGGGACACATTCCAGGCGATAGAGTGAAAGGAGGAGCAAGACCGAGTGAGATAATGAGAAATGGGACGAAAGTGTGGGGAAGCGCTGAAGTACTTTATGGACGTTGAATCATCCATAATGAAGGCTCAGCGCCTCCCCACACTTTCCTCTCATTTCGTACCTCCTTGTCTCTTCTTACACATCGTGTTCCCCTATTAACCGGAAATTGTCAGGACTTCTACTCAACATATTCCCTCAGATACTCAGATACTTTGCGCTGCCTCAATTCCTCGATATCGACTCTGACTGGCCATACGGTTGAGTGTATCACCATGGCAGTTCTATTTAACTATTGCCATCGACGGGCGCAGCCTCTTTTCAAAGATACATTGGTTGGTATGTAGCATCATTAATACATGTAATCTGAACTCTTTGTGGCAGGGAAGTGAGACGGCTAGTCAGGAGAATGGTCAAAGCGGCTTACCTGCATGGTATGTTACCTGTGCTGTGTCGCCTCATGCTGACGATATCGTGCTAGGTTTATATGTATACTCGATACTACAGCATCTCAAAAGCACGTCAGTGAAGTGCTGTTGATGTGCGATCATTTCCAGCGGCTGCATGACCCAGTGTGTTCTAACCTCGCATGTACCTCTGGAGATGTACCACATGATTCAGCTTCCGGAAGACATCAGTCTGTGTCTCACATACACTTGAGTGTTGCTGTAGGACCCTCACATCATCGTCATTTTCAGGCGTTCAGCGCAGATGAGGTATTCTCTGAATACCTACTACCTCTATCTATACTGATGTTCCAGGAGCCTCTACAAGCGCCGCAAAGCCTCTTTTGGTCTCAAGTATACTACAGAAGACATTTCCTATACTTTCTGTGCATACCCAGATCTTCTAAAGTCATCTCACCCCAATTTTTCAGGTTTTCACCACCAATTTTCGCTTTGGACACCCCATGCCATATTCTATCGCCCCGTTAATTTCTCAGACACTCTTAGCAACTCTCTGAATGACATAAACTGCCATAAATTATGCCGCAAAGTATCAAGTTCCCTTTCCATTTCTCTCCCCATATCCCTCAAATAGCCGCTTTCTGGAGGGTTTCCTTGGCCTCCGCCTTCGTTCCTCTTTCTCTACTTGGTCTTTACTGGTGCGTACTATTATTTCACATACTTTTCACCCCTTGCTGACTGTTCTGCTTCGCTTTCTGACATATCCTATGTCAAAGAATATTAATAACACAATTCTATTAGACGAAGCGGACTATATATAATACAAACTATGAATACATGTAGCTACATTAAAATACATTCAATATGCAAAAAGGAATGAGAGAAACGATGGAGCAACGAGCACAGTAGTGAGCTCGCTGTCGCGCGCGATGAAGATGAAGGCGGGCAATGGCAGACGCCGGCGGGATGAAGATCGATGATCGTTTGTCTCCCTTGTTCAGGGCGAGCGATCTCTTTTCAACGCTTCACAGACACCTCAATGTCGGGTCTTCTTCTTGAAGAATGTCGCCTCAATCCACTTGGACTTGAGTCCCTTCGAGGGCTTTTTCAACACAACATGCCACAGTACGACCGGTATCAGCCTCAGTATGATCAAGCCGCTCTAGCCTTCCTCCTCCATGGCAAACATAAGGATGGAAATCATAAAATGGCACTTGATACATTCCATTCCGACTGGCGGGTCGCGAGGGAACATGTACCCTCAGGTATAGAAGGCCAGACAATCCGGACCAAGTTTAAGGAGGAAGTCATGGAGCTTGTATTTGATTCTGTACGCACGTCCACCTCGCTGTCCATGTTCTGTGTACTGAAAAGCGGTGATTTCTTCTTGCTGCTAACATCATAAAGATCACAGCATGGGACCGTATTACTGGCGGAACGACGATTCTCATCCATATTGATGGAACGCTTGAACCAGATGCTCCGGTGTCTCCAGAGTACGTCAAGGCCCACGTCTACCTCAATCCTGGCCTATTGGAAGACATGCCAGAGACCACTGCGGCCGTCGTGCGTATGGTGCAATTGTTCATTGAAGACATCGGACTGCCTGTTATCAGAAGGTGGTTTCGTGCATTCAAGAAGGAAGGCTTTTCACTTACCAAACATTCAACTCGAGCGATCCGTATTCCGTCCTCCATTCCACTCATCCCGAGGCCCGTCCCTCGATGCTCGACTCATCACATCTTTAGGGGCCATCCAACTGGGGCATTGGATGCTAGGCTCGCAAGCCTCTCTGTGCCGATGAGAGATATTCGTTCTGAGGTCGCTTCAGTTACAGATACAGATGATGCGGAACTGCAAGAGCTCCAAGTTCGTTTCGACCAGATGTCGATGGGATACGCAGAGAAGATGGAGGTGTTGGAAAAAGCACTGCACTTGGAATCGTCCGAGCACCGGGAGCTTGTGGAGCTTCTCAATTACAAAGTTGACAGCCTCAAGGATACTTTGGCAGATCGCGATGAACTGATTCGAAAGTTACGCTCGGCCCTTCGTGCATACAGTACGTGTTGATCTCTGCCTATCCGATGTCATTACCTTGTTCGACGACAGTTTCTTAGGGCTTCCTATGGCGACACCTTCGCAATCTGCTCCATTGTCAAGTCATTCTAATGGTAAGTCCATATCTCTGCAATTACAGTTCTCCTGTACTGATATATACTTGCGTGTTGTATTCTGCAGAAGGTCATTCTTCCTCCGGTTCCATGGTCACGTCAGTTTCAAACGAGTCCAATGTTTCCGCTCACACGGTCCATGGTCAAGTCTTACGCTCATTTGGAGTGGCTACTACAGACTATATCAGGAGCACTGGGCGCAACCGTCAATGGCATCGCAAGCTTTATGATATTTCAGTAACGCACCCTCATCTCGAGTGGCGGGAGGCCTGTATGTTATATTTCCAAATAGAGGAAGCAGAAGCAGAGGAACTTGCGAACGCCATGATGAAAGATGCAGGTATTGTGTAGTCTTCGAATCAATGTTATTCTAAAGTATTATCACGTACTCCCCCTTCATTCTTCAATTTCTAAGAGCTGCAGAACATATGTCACGTGTACCAAGAGTGACTTGCACTAATAAGGAATCGGAAAACATTTCCGATACAGATGTGAGCACCACTCTGGATCTGGTGCATTGCTGGGTGTTTGCTTGCAGCGGACACCAAGAACAGTCTTTTATTCTCATATGGATACTACAGCAGATATTCACTACGGCCCCGCCATTTCCGCAACGGCACTTCCGCGCCCTGCCGCCAAGCGCAAGAAGGCTGCACCTATTGACTCAGAGAAGCGCAAGAAGATTAAAGCACGTCGTGACGAGAAGAACAAGGAGGTCGATGAGCAGATCGCCACCTGGTTTCAACAGACAGTTGCGTTGGCAAGCAACATGGCAGAGAAGTATGGCCAGACAATGCAGCACTATCTCCGACTTTTTTTCTTTGGTGCTGAAAGTCACACGAAGAAGCGACAGCCATCTGCCTACAATGCGTACATAAGTGCGATGGCAGCGGACACGAATTCAGGTGAATTGTACCTCTTCTGGATCTTCCCATCGGAAGCCGACTGACTCTTCAATACCAAATATCAGATGCTGCTGCTGGGAGCGCATCGTCTCTGATCGATGTTCAATTGGACCACCGAGAGGCATACTATGACCTAACGCAGAAGGAGAAAGATGAGTTTGTCACAGAACTACTGAAGAAGCGTGAAACGGAGCAGAAAGGTTCCCGTCCCAATCAACGGTCTCGCATTCAAGATGCCAGTGCAGTGCTGAGACTGATTGAACAGGAGGTGTGTCCACAGAAGAATAGATATTGCATATCCTTATAGGCCATCTAACAAATAGACCTACAGCTTCTCGGCTTGAAGCACAGAGTCGGGATTGAAGGGTTTTTCTGCATGGTCAAGAATAACACGGAATTCAACATGGGACCTCAGTGGTTTTTCACTGATCAGGAGATAGAACGCTACCTGAGTGTTACTGTACGGAAAGGGTGGGATACAGGATTCATCGGCGCCGTTACGGAAGCATTCTCAGTCGCTGGATGTGATACAATGAGTACGTGTCCTATCTAACTCCTTTCCGGATTGATACTCACATGAAACTCACGCTAGAAACTCTCACAAACTCAAAGCAGAAGGCAACATACCTCATGACATCAATCCAAGATGAGATCCAACGAAAGCTCGGTTTGTTCACAGCGCTTGATCTCACGTCAAACTCTATATTGACTTCTATTCCCACAGCTGAAATTACCGGTAACAACGATGCCCAAATGCAGTACATCAAGTACGAGAAGGATATCGTTCAGCGCTATGGGATTGAGCTTCAAGGATGGACCCACTCGGAGTGGACCACACCGCGGAAGATGAGCACTAGTCTCCCCCCTTTGGAGACCTTGCTCAATGCACTGCGCAGCGATGCATGCAAGTTCGTTAAGCTCACCAAAGCGCAGCTAGATGCACGTGAGAAACCTGTTGAGAAGCCGAGAAAGAAACGCGAGGACTTCGGAAAGAAACGCAAGAAGCGTACGTCAGCTACGGATGGTGGTAACAACAGTGGTGAGGAGGACGGTGAGGAGGATGACGCCGAAGGGGACATTGAAGAAGCTACCCCGCCGGCCCCTAAGAAGAGGCGCCGTAGCAAGGCTCAAATGAATACTGCAAGTGGCGGCAACTAGATCTAGTAGCACAGTGTACATACAAGTTATATCCTGTCCATAGGGCTATAGACTAGTGACTATTACATTGACATATACCGCCTTATACAACCCTAAGCCTATCACTACTAGTCACTCTATATACTGTTATATGTACTCAATAAGGCTGTTGTTTATATACTATATAGACCCACGACGAGGACGATAGCGCCACCAGACGGCGACGACGTTGCACGACGCACCAAGGCGTGACGTGTACGCGGGCGCATGTCCCAAAAGGGAAGAGGCGCGCATCCATGTCTCAAAAGGGAGGGAGGCGTGCGCGTATGTCCCAAAAGGGAAGGGAGGCGGGGAAGCGGGGCGTACTCCGAGGAAATCGGACAACGTCAGGGGGGAAGTTCCCAGAATGGAAAGACCTCGGGTGGTCTCGGAGTTGAGGCGGGAAAGCCGGAAGGAAGGGCTGGCCCATGGGGAGACCGCGTGGCGCGAGGGGAGGATGCCGACGTGCCGGCTGGGGAACTATACAGCAGGCAAGGGGTCGGAGGGGCAAGAGATCTTGGGTGGAATATTGGGAAGTAAGGGAAACAAGTGGAATCGATTGCCAAGAGCCTCGACGTCCGACCCCATCGACAAGGCTAATCACCATCAGATCGTGGGAGTATCAGGTGAGCTGCCGCATAAGTGTAGGTGGAGCAAAGCAATAACCATTTACGGTTAGTCTCCTCCGGACCTTGGCTTGAATACGTACTTGGGTGTGGAGAATACATAGGAGAGGTTGTGTTATTCTCTTCTTTGACTTTACAGGAAATGCCAAGTATTAGTGGATATCCGAGAAAAGAGAAAGGATAGGCCTATCTAGCCACATGTGAAACACCGCCGGCATCCTAGCTCCAATCCATGGGCTTCGTGGGGACCAGAGTAGGGGTAGTGTCACCTCTTATAAAAAGCGGCTACACGACCAGTAGCCGTTCCGAGGCTTAAGCACGCCCTGAGCTCAGTCATATAACACGTTGTCGACGCCACTGCCATTTTTTGGTTTACTAGAGAACCTCGGATCACCTTATAACAAACGTCTATTCAAAGGACCTTCTCAGCTGTTTGGAATCTGGTATGTTCTGACAGTGATTATCATGCTTTGATACAGTCTGATTGATGATCAACTTTCGAAGCTCTTCAAGTTTGTATAAGAGCAAAAGAGTTAAACAAATCCGCTCGTACCACCTTTCACACCTCAGTAGCACCACCAATGCTGCCTCAAGAACTCATTGAGTATATCTTGGATGACCTTTCGGACGACTTGCCATCCGTGAAAACCTCAAGTCTCGTGTGTCGTGCATGGAGACCGCGAAGTCAATATCATATTCACAATACAATCACACTGTGTCGGAAAAGCGACGTATCCGCACTCTCCGACAGGTTCGCTTCCTCACCAATGATCGCAGGTTATGTTCGCTGCGTGAAGATGGACTTCAGCAGGCTGACGAAGGAATTCTGGGACAAAGCATTACCGCTATTGCACCACCTTCCCAACATAAACTCCGTCGCGTTCGTTAGCGTGGATATGTGCATCATCCCAACCAACGTTCAATCCTTCCTTGCCGAGCACTGTTCCACGTTAAAAGCGCTCTCGCTCTATAATGTCGTCCTGAGTAATTTTGGAGCATTCGCTATGCTCCTGAATTGCTTCCCTCATCTCCTTCACTTGAACGTGCAGAATGTGTATTGGGGAGGATATCGGAATACACCCATCCCTTCACGACTTCCGATCCTGCGGTCGCTCTCTCTGGCATACTGTACAGAGCAGACCGTGCTCATGGATTGGTTACTTTCCGAGGATGACGATATAGTTAAATCGTCACTTTTCACACTCGAAGTCATATGGAATGAGGACCCTGCCGATGCACGGCGTATTCTCAGGTCTGTTGGATCATCTGTGCAGAATCTGGTGTTTTTGTGCATTCCCTCAGGAAAATACGTCTCAGGTACGCTTTAAGCTTCGGATTGATTTTTTTGGCGTTCGTCTTACTAAATTACTTAGGAGATACTGCTGAGCAGATTGGGCCACTCTGGATTCGCACTCCCTCTTCATCCCAAGAGTATTCAGAATGTCGAATTCAAATGGATCGACATGCCCACGATGCTCGTCGGCAAATCGCAATCAATCTGGAGCATCATCAAGTCAAGCTGTATTCATTCGATCAGGTTATACCTCCGTCCCTCTATCGTGGGTTCATATCACGCTCCGAATTGGGATCGCGTTGACGGCTGTTGAACAAACGTCGAATAAAAGCTATTATCAGATATTACAGATCTATGTACATTATTCTCGCAACCAACTACTAAACACGGCGATCTTTACTAGATGAAGCTTTGGAAGAGCTCACGTATGGGTCATTTTGGATATAAACAAGTCCTCTCGCACGACGCAGCCATTCATCATATGAGGAGTAATCCATTTTGAGGGCTCCTAGCTCTGCCGGGGATGACTTGGGCACGATCCATTCCGGATGTCCAAAGCCCACGTCGCAACCCGGAAGAAGTCCTGGACCAGCCAGATAGTCGTAGGTGGGATCAAACACGTTTGGATTAGGTGGCCGGATAGCAGTCGCAGACACTGGTCCAGCGGATCCATTGATAGGGCTGTCAACAACCATGTCGTCGGAATGCTGTCCACGCTGATTGGCGGTGCCTAGCTCTAACAGAGATGACTTAGGTCCAATGGCCTGATGATCTTGAATTGTTGTCTGGTAACTGGGAAGACGGTGTCCTGGTACTGGTGCGCGTGAAGCGCCATGGCTGTCGCCCATTGAGTTGAAATTGACTGATCCAGTAGTAACCATATGCGGTGGCTGAGCAGGCCCTCCGGTAGGATTGTCAACGATCATGTTGGAGTGCTGTCTATGTTTGTCTTCTTGCGACGAGAAAGCTGGTGTTCCGGATGCATGGCCAAAGGCAGGAACTGGAGCTACTTGCCAAGATTGGGACATAGCGTGGTGCGGAACCCCCCGTGCATATGACTCTGAACTCATCGGAGCCCGCCCATTGGTCTGTGATGTGGGTGCGACAAATCTAGGGTCAGAGGCTGATAACTCGCCGTCGCGTCTCTGTTGGCCAGATGGATAATAATTATTCGCGTTTATCTGTGTCTTAGAGTTCCTGCAAAATCTCTCAGTTTATGACGGGAAACACCAAGAAGAGATGTACCTATGCAAGGTTAGATGTAACAGAGCATCCGCATGAGTATTCGATATGAAATTACAACCATCCACTCCGCAATCGTAACGATAAATAGGGCTAAAAGCCGATGAGTTAGAAAACAAATGTGATATCAACAGCGGCCACGTACTTGGTCTGCGTAGAATATTGCATTCCCGTGCTGTTTGAGTTAGGTCTTGTGACAGTCTGAGGCCCATACTGTCGTGTAACTGGTAGAAGGGTACTAGAATGCTGTGTGCGCGATAGAACGTTAGAACACGAGTCAATGTGGTAACCAAAATCTTACATTGGGAGGCAAGTTCGCCATTGTATGAGAAGACAAAGGAGATGTGTAGGATGTAAGATGTGTGATGCAGAAATTTAGAGGAACACGGAATTGGAAGCTCAATATTTATACTTACCATGGGTCCATTCTTTGGACTAATTTAAACAAAGGAAGACACACGAGGACGGTGGACCAAGGCCAAACGTCCTTTGTCCAAGCAGCCTGAGCACTGCCATGCTAGATGCGGCGAGATCCACTATCCAGGGATAATTCGGCTACCTGCATGTTCTAAGACAATGCACGGCCCCAGGTCCGTAAGCATCATTGTGGATAAATTTTGAGATTGTGGAATTAGTGGTGGCCCAGCGACCACACTCACACAGATCACATTGGGACTTACATTCCGAATTCCATAGGAGTCCTCCGTAATAAAACGAAGTAGTCTATTTTCTCGGGTGCCGAACAGAAGACAAGTAAACAGGGAATTGTGTACTTGTCATATCAACAGCTGTAAAGAGGTATCAATATAGGGGTGTCGCAATTGTGCCATTCTGAACGCTAGAAATAGATAGGGTCTACTTACCGATGACATTCGCTTCTAAGCCAGATGCTGGAAGCTGCTCACCACTGCTCCTTTCACCAAATGCAACTATTAGGCGTCGTCCTACGGTATCTTTCCTGATAACAGACCAATTGTAACCAATGTGAGAAGGGTATAGACAAGTTACAGATGACTTACGAAAAATAGTAATTCGACACCAACAATGGTTAATATCTAGGTTACGACTCGCAAGATGCCTCGTTGGGCCATCTGCGGAAACATAGCCATGACCTCCTCCCGCACCCGTACGGGAACTGGTATATCCACCAATCATCGTCCTGCTTCTTGCGTGTATCGAGATCGCCTCCAATTCGTCCACGAAAGCGGACTTCACGCATGTAGTTTGCGATAATCCTATAGGACATAACAACCACGGCGACTTCAGCGAGCCTGCTCCGGCTATCCAACCTGATGTGAGTCAGCGGATGCGAACCAGTCTTTTTTGATGAGAGCACAAACACGCGGGGGGGGGGTTCGAAAGCTGGCTAAGGATCATGTCTTGCAACCCAGAAGGGAGATTGAGTGGTCTGGCTACAAATGATTGCAACGGGCTTCAGTGTGAGCTGAACCGTTGTCTAAGTTTAAAGATACAGACCTCTGCAGAACGAATCATTATCTCGACACAGTTGTACTCTAAGAAAAAAATTTTAAACTCACATTAATGCTTTCGCCTTCACAGCTAAGCGCCGTCTAAAGGATTCGTCAGTTCAGAATATCATCCCTTTCATTCGCGACAACGTACGATCGCCTTGGTGGCATCTTGGCTCTGTTCAACTGGTTATGGAGCGTAGAGTGCGGTTGAGATGGATTTTGAAACACAGGGAACGCAGAGCAGAGGGCTCCCCGGCATCCCGGTCATGTCTCACCTCAGGCATTGTCGTCAACCTTCCTTGTTCAACATCTTGAATTCACGTGGTGCAGAATAGAGCGTCTCCCCCGAGGATAAGCTATATAGATTCTTCTGAGCCTTCATAGTGTCATTTCTCGAACATGGACTGCAGCAAGAACATCAATATTTCAATGTTTACACTTGCGCAAAGATATCGACCGGGCCGGGAGAGATCGTGTTCGCCAGCCTTTGATCGCCCAAAGTCGTCACTTCATCTTCTGCCCACTAGGCCACGCACTCCGGGGTCTGAGATCTGACGTCTAACGGTCGTCCCTCAGTGGGTTCTAACAGTTTTCGTGCTAACCGTCTCCAAATTCGAGTCTGCACCTTCATGGCAACACCACAGAAAAGTGTGCAAGAGGAACGTATTGAAATACACGTCGCGCGGGAAGAAAGCGAGTCGTAACGTTTGACCACCTGATACTCCCACGATCTGATGGTGATTAGCCTTGTCGATGGGGTCGGACGTCGAGGCTCTTGGCAATCGATTCCACTTGTTTCCCTTACTTCCCAATATTCCACCCAAGATCTCTTGCCCCTCCGACCCCTTGCCTGCTGTATAGTTCCCCAGCCGGCACGTCGGCATCCTCCCCTCGCGCCACGCGGTCTCCCCATGGGCCAGCCCTTCCTTCCGGCTTTCCCGCCTCAACTCCGAGACCACCCGAGGTCTTTCCATTCTGGGAACTTCCCCCCTGACGTTGTCCGATTTCCTCGGAGTACGCCCCGCTTCCCCGCCTCCCTTCCCTTTTGGGACATACGCGCACGCCTCCCTCCCTTTTGAGACATGGATGCGCGCCTCTTCCCTTTTGGGACATGCGCCCGCGTACACGTCACGCCTTGGTGCGTCGTGCAACGTCGTCGCCGTCTGGTGGCGCTATCGTCCTCGTCGTGGGTCTATATAGTATATAAACAACAGCCTTATTGAGTACATATAACAGTATATAGAGTGACTAGTAGTGATAGGCTTAGGGTTGTATAAGGCGGTATATGTCAATGTAATAGTCACTAGTCTATAGCCCTATGGACAGGATATAACTTGTATGTACACTGTGCTACTAGATCTAGTTGCCGCCACTTGCAGTATTCATTTGAGCCTTGCTACGGCGCCTCTTCTTAGGGGCCGGCGGGGTAGCTTCTTCAATGTCCCCTTCGGCGTCATCCTCCTCACCGTCCTCCTCACCACTGTTGTTACCACCATCCGTAGCTGACGTACGCTTCTTGCGTTTCTTTCCGAAGTCCTCGCGTTTCTTTCTCGGCTTCTCAACAGGTTTCTCACGTGCATCTAGCTGCGCTTTGGTGAGCTTAACGAACTTGCATGCATCGCTGCGCAGTGCATTGAGCAAGGTCTCCAAAGGGGGGAGACTAGTGCTCATCTTCCGCGGTGTGGTCCACTCCGAGTGGGTCCATCCTTGAAGCTCAATCCCATAGCGCTGAACGATATCCTTCTCGTACTTGATGTACTGCATTTGGGCATCGTTGTTACCGGTAATTTCAGCTGTGGGAATAGAAGTCAATATAGAGTTTGACGTGAGATCAAGCGCTGTGAACAAACCGAGCTTTCGTTGGATCTCATCTTGGATTGATGTCATGAGGTATGTTGCCTTCTGCTTTGAGTTTGTGAGAGTTTCTAGCGTGAGTTTCATGTGAGTATCAATCCGGAAAGGAGTTAGATAGGACACGTACTCATTGTATCACATCCAGCGACTGAGAATGCTTCCGTAACGGCGCCGATGAATCCTGTATCCCACCCTTTCCGTACAGTAACACTCAGGTAGCGTTCTATCTCCTGATCAGTGAAAAACCACTGAGGTCCCATGTTGAATTCCGTGTTATTCTTGACCATGCAGAAAAACCCTTCAATCCCGACTCTGTGCTTCAAGCCGAGAAGCTGTAGGTCTATTTGTTAGATGGCCTATAAGGATATGCAATATCTATTCTTCTGTGGACACACCTCCTGTTCAATCAGTCTCAGCACTGCACTGGCATCTTGAATGCGAGACCGTTGATTGGGACGGGAACCTTTCTGCTCCGTTTCACGCTTCTTCAGTAGTTCTGTGACAAACTCATCTTTCTCCTTCTGCGTTAGGTCATAGTATGCCTCTCGGTGGTCCAATTGAACATCGATCAGAGACGATGCGCTCCCAGCAGCAGCATCTGATATTTGGTATTGAAGAGTCAGTCGGCTTCCGATGGGAAGATCCAGAAGAGGTACAATTCACCTGAATTCGTGTCCGCTGCCATCGCACTTATGTACGCATTGTAGGCAGATGGCTGTCGCTTCTTCGTGTGACTTTCAGCACCAAAGAAAAAAAGTCGGAGATAGTGCTGCATTGTCTGGCCATACTTCTCTGCCATGTTGCTTGCCAACGCAACTGTCTGTTGAAACCAGGTGGCGATCTGCTCATCGACCTCCTTGTTCTTCTCGTCACGACGTGCTTTAATCTTCTTGCGCTTCTCTGAGTCAATAGGTGCAGCCTTCTTGCGCTTGGCGGCAGGGCGCGGAAGTGCCGTTGCGGAAATGGCGGGGCCGTAGTGAATATCTGCTGTAGTATCCATATGAGAATAAAAGACTGTTCTTGGTGTCCGCTGCAAGCAAACACCCAGCAATGCACCAGATCCAGAGTGGTGCTCACATCTGTATCGGAAATGTTTTCCGATTCCTTATTAGTGCAAGTCACTCTTGGTACACGTGACATATGTTCTGCAGCTCTTAGAAATTGAAGAATGAAGGGGGAGTACGTGATAATACTTTAGAATAACATTGATTCGAAGACTACACAATACCTGCATCTTTCATCATGGCGTTCGCAAGTTCCTCTGCTTCTGCTTCCTCTATTTGGAAATATAACATACAGGCCTCCCGCCACTCGAGATGAGGGTGCGTTACTGAAATATCATAAAGCTTGCGATGCCATTGACGGTTGCGCCCAGTGCTCCTGATATAGTCTGTAGTAGCCACTCCAAATGAGCGTAAGACTTGACCATGGACCGTGTGAGCGGAAACATTGGACTCGTTTGAAACTGACGTGACCATGGAACCGGAGGAAGAATGACCTTCTGCAGAATACAACACGCAAGTATATATCAGTACAGGAGAACTGTAATTGCAGAGATATGGACTTACCATTAGAATGACTTGACAATGGAGCAGATTGCGAAGGTGTCGCCATAGGAAGCCCTAAGAAACTGTCGTCGAACAAGGTAATGACATCGGATAGGCAGAGATCAACACGTACTGTATGCACGAAGGGCCGAGCGTAACTTTCGAATCAGTTCATCGCGATCTGCCAAAGTATCCTTGAGGCTGTCAACTTTGTAATTGAGAAGCTCCACAAGCTCCCGGTGCTCGGACGATTCCAAGTGCAGTGCTTTTTCCAACACCTCCATCTTCTCTGCGTATCCCATCGACATCTGGTCGAAACGAACTTGGAGCTCTTGCAGTTCCGCATCATCTGTATCTGTAACTGAAGCGACCTCAGAACGAATATCTCTCATCGGCACAGAGAGGCTTGCGAGCCTAGCATCCAATGCCCCAGTTGGATGGCCCCTAAAGATGTGATGAGTCGAGCATCGAGGGACGGGCCTCGGGATGAGTGGAATGGAGGACGGAATACGGATCGCTCGAGTTGAATGTTTGGTAAGTGAAAAGCCTTCCTTCTTGAATGCACGAAACCACCTTCTGATAACAGGCAGTCCGATGTCTTCAATGAACAATTGCACCATACGCACGACGGCCGCAGTGGTCTCTGGCATGTCTTCCAATAGGCCAGGATTGAGGTAGACGTGGGCCTTGACGTACTCTGGAGACACCGGAGCATCTGGTTCAAGCGTTCCATCAATATGGATGAGAATCGTCGTTCCGCCAGTAATACGGTCCCATGCTGTGATCTTTATGATGTTAGCAGCAAGAAGAAATCACCGCTTTTCAGTACACAGAACATGGACAGCGAGGTGGACGTGCGTACAGAATCAAATACAAGCTCCATGACTTCCTCCTTAAACTTGGTCCGGATTGTCTGGCCTTCTATACCTGAGGGTACATGTTCCCTCGCGACCCGCCAGTCGGAATGGAATGTATCAAGTGCCATTTTATGATTTCCATCCTTATGTTTGCCATGGAGGAGGAAGGCTAGAGCGGCTTGATCATACTGAGGCTGATACCGGTCGTACTGTGGCATGTTGTGTTGAAAAAGCCCTCGAAGGGACTCAAGTCCAAGTGGATTGAGGCGACATTCTTCAAGAAGAAGACCCGACATTGAGGTGTCTGTGAAGCGTTGAAAAGAGATCGCTCGCCCTGAACAAGGGAGACAAACGATCATCGATCTTCATCCCGCCGGCGTCTGCCATTGCCCGCCTTCATCTTCATCGCGCGCGACAGCGAGCTCACTACTGTGCTCGTTGCTCCATCGTTTCTCTCATTCCTTTTTGCATATTGAATGTATTTTAATGTAGCTACATGTATTCATAGTTTGTATTATATATAGTCCGCTTCGTCTAATAGAATTGTGTTATTAATATTCTTTGACATAGGATATGTCAGAAAGCGAAGCAGAACAGTCAGCAAGGGGTGAAAAGTATGTGAAATAATAGTACGCACCAGTAAAGACCAAGTAGAGAAAGAGGAACGAAGGCGGAGGCCAAGGAAACCCTCCAGAAAGCGGCTATTTGAGGGATATGGGGAGAGAAATGGAAAGGGAACTTGATACTTTGCGGCATAATTTATGGCAGTTTATGTCATTCAGAGAGTTGCTAAGAGTGTCTGAGAAATTAACGGGGCGATAGAATATGGCATGGGGTGTCCAAAGCGAAAATTGGTGGTGAAAACCTGAAAAATTGGGGTGAGATGACTTTAGAAGATCTGGGTATGCACAGAAAGTATAGGAAATGTCTTCTGTAGTATACTTGAGACCAAAAGAGGCTTTGCGGCGCTTGTAGAGGCTCCTGGAACATCAGTATAGATAGAGGTAGTAGGTATTCAGAGAATACCTCATCTGCGCTGAACGCCTGAAAATGACGATGATGTGAGGGTCCTACAGCAACACTCAAGTGTATGTGAGACACAGACTGATGTCTTCCGGAAGCTGAATCATGTGGTACATCTCCAGAGGTACATGCGAGGTTAGAACACACTGGGTCATGCAGCCGCTGGAAATGATCGCACATCAACAGCACTTCACTGACGTGCTTTTGAGATGCTGTAGTATCGAGTATACATATAAACCTAGCACGATATCGTCAGCATGAGGCGACACAGCACAGGTAACATACCATGCAGGTAAGCCGCTTTGACCATTCTCCTGACTAGCCGTCTCACTTCCCTGCCACAAAGAGTTCAGATTACATGTATTAATGATGCTACATACCAACCAATGTATCTTTGAAAAGAGGCTGCGCCCGTCGATGGCAATAGTTAAATAGAACTGCCATGGTGATACACTCAACCGTATGGCCAGTCAGAGTCGATATCGAGGAATTGAGGCAGCGCAAAGTATCTGAGTATCTGAGGGAATATGTTGAGTAGAAGTCCTGACAATTTCCGGTTAATAGGGGAACACGATGTGTAAGAAGAGACAAGGAGGTACGAAATGAGAGGAAAGTGTGGGGAGGCGCTGAGCCTTCATTATGGATGATTCAACGTCCATAAAGTACTTCAGCGCTTCCCCACACTTTCGTCCCATTTCTCATTATCTCACTCGGTCTTGCTCCTCCTTTCACTCTATCGCCTGGAATGTGTCCCATACTATACAGCACGCATCCCCCCTGGTGTCAACGAATGTTCTGAGGCCCTGATCACACCTTGTGAACTATGGTTCGCTATCTATTCATACAGCTTACTTCTCCAATTTTATTCAACTCTTGGCTGTCCCGTCCATTCCCTGTCCAAGTAGGTGATGTGAAATGCATTTCATACAGTGTTTCTCTTTGTTCCCAGTACTTGAAGGAAAGTAATCGAAGTGGCAGCTTAGGAGACGAGTCAGAGAGTATTTCAGTCATGGTAAGTTCCTCACATTGTACAGCCTTATACTTACATTATACCACCAGGCTACAATGTTTCTCATACGAGCAGAGGCCGTAACTAGATGCTAGCCAAGTGTCACGGACATGCGGCGGCTCAGAGGTGCTATACAAGCCGGTGAGTCCCAACTCTATGTATCTAATGGAGGCATAACGTTTGGCGGGGGGGCCTAGAAGCTTCATTGATCATGTAGTATGCATATAAGCGGTCTGTGAGTGAACCAAATGTATCACCATTTGCAGTATTTTGGCCCAGGTGAGTAATTCTCTGATTACCCATCATGTCTAGCCATACTAATGCGCCAGGACCCGCTCTAAATGCTCCGAGGTATCGTTTTGGCTCAAATACACTGCAGAAGACATTCCAAATACTTTTTGTACCCCTTGGGTGCTCCGAGTATCGGTCATATACATTTCTGTACTCGCGCCGCCTCAATATTCGCTCTGGACACTCCGTATTACCCTATCACCCATTGATAATCTTTCTTACATATTTACAGACTTCATTCGCCATCCAGCATAGCTTAAATAAGCCACAGAAGTGTCGTACACGCTCTCCGTTTGCCTACCTATGCCTTCTGTACAGCCGCATTCTGGAGGTTTCCCTGGCATCCCCTTCACGTCTGTCTTCATTTCTCTGGTCATAACTGGTAAGTACTATCATTATATTTACTTTCTGCTTCGTTCTGACTATCCTATCCAACTTCATGACATATCCTATGTCAGGGTATATTGTGGTGTTGGTTCCTATTAGACGGGGCAAGCTATATAATATACAAGTGATGTTGTTATGTAGCTATCTTATAATACATGTTATCTGCAAAAAGAAACAAGAGAAACGATGGAGGGATGAGTGAAAGAGCGAGTTCGCTGTTGCGCGCGACGAAGACGAAGACGCGGATGATGGCAGACGCCGGCGGGACGATGAACACTGTAGACGGAATGGCGCATTGCGTTGTTGGCGTACAAGACACTTGATCGGCGGATCATCGATCTAGGTTGGTATGTTTTACCCTTCTCCGATCTCTTATCGCCCTTTGAACTTGTAAGATCTGAGAAAGAAAGAATCAGACATGTATTCTTCAGACAGTCTCTATTCGCTATGTAGGCCGAGTCTGTCTATATAGTCGATGAGCACGTTTGCTTCGTCTTCATTCCCAACCCCTTCCATTCCGAGCTCCTCGTCATCCTCCAGTTCATTACCAGAAGCATCGAAGCCTTCTGTAGGTTGAGTTTGTAATGAAACCCACGGCGGCAGCAGAATTCCATCTGCCAATATGGGACTGCGACCGACTCGGTGTCCCGTCCGAAGAGTACCAGTGAATCCTGGAAGTTCTGATGTCTGCTGAAGACGGTAGGCAAGCTCAGTATTCACAGCATTTGAGTACCGCCACCTGAGAGAGAGCTCGTAGGCTAGTGGGGGATTAGGTACCATGTTGTCTCGTATCGTTCGATAGTAGTCCACATGTTCATCAACCATGTGCGTCAGCAGTCGGCGAATCTCGACATTGAGGCGTTTGATTTCTTCCTCTGCTCGTTTGATGTTGAAGTATAAATTCATTGCTCGCCGTTGAGCAGGCTGAGCCCAAGCCAGCAGACGTACGTCTTGACGAGCGTCACGAAGGAGATCAAACTCTGCAACGGACACCATATCCACGACGTCGGACCACGAAAGCGAAGGTCGGGGTGGGTTAAGTTCTGCAGCGCGTCGATTGTATTCTTCAAGAGCCTTTTTGATCGCGGTCGCCCGAGTCTTCAACGCCTTTGTGATCTTCTCGCGCATCTTATAGCCTACAGAGACTTCAGAGTGGTGTCAATACTATAAAAATGTGACTACATACCTGTGCCGCTCATACTGAGCTTTGTTAACTCCAGCAGACGTTGGAGAAGTAGTCGTTCCAACGTGTCAATCGCATTTCTATATTTTCTCTCCGTTAGAACCACCAAACCGTTCTTGTACTCTTCCGAGTCCTTCGTCCAACGCCTAACAATTCCATGCACTTCTTCAATCCGACGAACGTGCTCGTGAAGGTCGACATAGCGCGTGTAGGTGGTCACATAGCGGGTCTTGATGTTGGTGATAGCCCTTCCACGAAGACCCTCACGGATGATCCTTGCATCGAGGTTCTGGTACTCGCGCTTTGCATGCTCAGACTCGGCACTGGTTAGATGTCAGAATAATCAGATATGTTTAGAGGTCTTACATACAATGCACCATCAAGCCGCAATAGTGCCTCCATATACTCCACTGTGAAGGCTACTTCTGGACTTTCCGCCACCAAGTTCTTCAGGTAAGCTCGTTCTTCTTGCAGATATTGTTCAAAGTCTTCGTCATTGAGTTTCAGTCGCGTGCACAGCTCCCGCAAAGTAGCCGAATCTTCTGCAACGATCTTGAGGGCTTGTCGATAGTTGTTGTGGATGAAATTAGCTAGGGACGTGTTAGCAGAGGTCAAACAATACAAGAGTGAATTGAAATACAAACCTAGCTCTGCATGCTTCACAAAGGCCCAAGATTTGAAGAACTCGTCGATGGCTTGGTGGCGATGGAAAGGTGAGGAGAAACGCGTTGTCGAAGCTAATGCGTTCGACTGGGAAAAGACTCGTTCGCAACCTTCGAAATCCTCCTTTCCTGATCCAGCAACATAAAGCGGATGCCAATCTACCTGACAAAGACGATTGTGCGCATGTCCGTGAAAGGCCGGAACGATACCACGGAGCCCCTGTTGTTGTACTCGATCACCCAATGAACTGCGTTCGAGTATTTTCATGAACGCGCACGCGATGTCGTATGCGACCTGGACTGTAACTCCAAGTACTCGCATGAGCTTGTCAACAATGGCAAGCGGGTACTTCATCCTGCAAAGACGGTTATTCATAACTAAACATAAAGAAATGGATACATACAGTTCACCGCTCCTGATCATGTCGCATATTGCAAGGAGCTGCCCATGGCGACAGAGGCATACAAAAACGCCCGTTACTGCGAACAGGGCAAACATCTTCTTGCGAGCCTCCGGTCCCGCATTACGCCAACGTTTGACACATTCGTCTGTTGATAGTGTCACATCGGCGGAATCGGTGTGGTCGGCAATATTGACCCAGTCGATATCATCGTCGATATCGTGGGCATCGCCTGTGTTGCGTTGGCTCTTGGAGATGATATATCACTATATCAAAAAGTAGAGGAGTAAGAGATTGAGCACACACCTGTTGTGGTTTTCCCACTTCATTCTTGAAGATATCTACTTCTTCAGGGTTGAGCCAGATGTCTGAGATACCACTCCGAGTGTCCGCAAGTGATGGCCCCCTCCGGAAGTGGTCATCGACGAGCTTCAAGGACTGGTTCCCATCCATTGAAACCTGTAGGGCATATGTTAGAGGATCCTCATTCTCGAGTGCGTACAGACACGCCGCGCATGCATTCTTCATGCGCCAATTTGGTATGTCACGGTGTAACGCGGCGTTGGCACGAACGTCAATGCAGCGCCGAATCGCGAGGTAGACGTCGTAAGCGATACGGAACTGTGACGCTAAGTACTTCATATAATGAACCTAAGGAGAGAGAATAAGTCACTGTATATGAGGAAACGAGTAGGATGACATATGTACCTTGTGAAGACGACAAAGGGCACGCACTTGTGCTTGTATACTAAAGCGAGGGCATGCCGCATGCATTTCGTGATAGGCCTCAAGTACTTGGAGGCCAATAGCCACCGTCGGACTACGGGGGGCACTGCCGATGTAGCCGTTTCGAATAAGGACCACATTGGCGCGGTCAACCGATGGACCACTATTGAAGCGGCGGCGACTTCTACCTATCAATGCTTCAGATAAGCAACGACGACATAGACTATACTGCTTACTAAAGAAATCGACCGTGGTGACCTCCCAGTCGTCGAACTGCGCGGTATCGTGAACCTCCGTTGAGCGAGACATCTGCCAGTCAAGAAAAGCATCGACCAGAGACAACATCTGCTCGGCCCATTCTTTGTTCTGTAGCAAGCGGCGATCGCGCCGCGTACGAACGTCCTTACGCTTCCTGCTGGGGGATACTGGTTATGTTCGTATTCGAGAGTCTATGCAAGCGTTCATACCTGTCATTATTGGATAAGAAGAAAGTACGGCAAAGCTCCTCCTCCCCTCCAGCGTTACTGGCAAAGAAACCCTCCTCACCCGGAGGAAGATGGTCGAACGCAAGGTCTTCGTCCACGTCCATAGGTGTAGCACCGGTAGCGTCGTCGTTGAAGAAAACCTCGCGTTCCTCGAAGGTCAGGCCTTATGAGGATTAGTACTTGATGGTGTCTGTAAAGTAAGGTTAACGATTCGGGCGTACTGGTGAGATGGTCATACCGCTTTTTGGCGATCTCCTCCCTTCGCTGAGCCATCTGTGTGTTGAGGCGGACTTCCTGTACTACCCGCCCAAAGCCATTGGGAGCCCGGACCCGCACCGACGACGATAGACCCTTGCGTGACTTGGACCTAGTACCCATATGAAGAACCAGAAGAGCCTCAGAAAGAGCAGAAGGCAAGGAAGTAAGAAAGAAGCGGCGTGAGTACAAGCTGTGGGAAGACAACAAACGACGACGCGCCAGGGCGTCAAGTGTGAGCACGTGCACGCGCGCGTGGCCCAAAAGGGAAGGGAGGCGGGGAAGCGGGGCGTACCCCGAGAAAATCGGGGAACGCCAGGGGCAGTTCCCAGAATGGAAAGACCTCGGGTGGTCTCGGAGTTGAGGCGGGAAAGCCGGAAGGAAGGGCTGGCCCATGGGGAGACCGCGTGGCGCGAGGGGAGGATGCCGACGTGCCGGCTGGGGAACTATACAGCAGGCAAGGGGTCGGAGGGGCAAGAGATCTTGGGTGGAATATTGGGAAGTAAGGGAAACAAGTGGAATCGATTGCCAAGAGCCTCGACGTCCGACCCCATCGACAAGGCTAATCACCATCAGATCGTGGGAGTATCAGGTGCGTTTGACCTCGTTGAGCTCTCTGAGGCAAACAGATGAGGTATGTACAAAGATAACTAACTACTTATATTCTAGAAAATCCGCCAAGCATGCGGGACTCCGTCCCGCTCCTCTCATTCCTTGCACACAGCGACGCTCGCCGCTTCATCCTATATTCCAACAGAACGTCCTTATGACGCAGATTATCTTCTGCAATCTAGCAAGCTGCTCGCATACGCCTGTTTGATGCTGCTTCGAAATCTGTACACATCACCTGGGCCTTCAAGGTCAGTATCGCGTTACCTCGATGCGGTCGCATACAACTCTCTTCTCGCGTACCAGGGGCCATCAACCTTCTCCTGGCCTTCTGCACAGTGTAAGTAGACCGCGATCATCTACTTAGGTCTGCACTGTTTCACATTCGTGTTTCCAATTAAGGCACATACTTATATTGATGGCGTACCTTTAATGAGAATGGGCCATACCTGACGCATTGACCTCCATTGGCCTTTGACATGATCACTGCCTAGTGCTTTCTTTGACCTGCTACAACTTCTCAAGCGGGGCCTTTGACCATCGAGGTAAGTTGGCCATGTCTTTGTTCTCCGAGAGACATAAATAGCGGTGCGTGTGGACCTCCTTCAATCCGTATCCAAATAACCAAAGTCAATTATCGCCACTCGAGGTTAGCTCTTTCAATGCCTGTTCATCGCACAGAAGTGAGTGCATTTGTTTTGAACATCGTTGTCATACCTGAGAACCTCCCCTCCGTGTCACCAGCGTCCTAAATCTCGAGCTCGTGGTAGAAATAACTGTCCCTTTTGTAAACAATACTTTCCTGGCAAATCGCTCAAGACGCATGTTGAAGAAATCCATTTGAAAGGCAGACGTCCAACTCCAGACGATCCGCACGTATCTTTTATCACCGTATTAATTGCCGCCAATACTTACAATATTGCAGGCTGCATATATGCACATTTCCGGGCTGCGATAAGTGGTTCATCCAGCGAACCAATCTCCAGACGCACGCAAAGATGCAGTGAGTGGCTCTGCGAACGAATAATCCTGTCTGTTGCTCACCGATGACTTGCATTGCAGTACGGGCGTCAGGGATAAGATTTGCCCTCATCTAGTTCCAAGTGAGTCTGATTCGGGAGAGCTGGAGAAATGCCTATGGAATTCCGGAGATCCTGCGTCTCTTACACGTCACAGAAGGGACGTTCACGGATATCGACCCAGTCACAAAAATTCAGTAGACCCATGGGTTACGGAGGAGAGCAGTGAGCACCATGGGGGAACGCTGAACTGGGATGAGGCTCGGGGGATACAACCCGGGAGAAGTCAAGTTAATGCAGAGGCGAATGGACCACGTAAGTCTCGGAGTCGGCCGTCCGGCGGCACTCCTGCTCGTACACGAAATCGACAGTCTCCTACTGCAACGCGACCACGCCGTCCTTTCCCTACTTTACTCCTCCCGCCTGGCGCTGTTGGGGTTTTAGGTATCCCTCCGAACCCTCGGGCTATAGCACTGATTCTGCAAATGCAAGGACGTGCCCTGGACGCCGAATCCATTCTTGCTCAAGCTGCTGGTCCATCCAGAAGTTCGCTCGTTAATGTTGATGTCCCGAAGAGCCGTTCTGCCGAAGCCCAGGTGGGATCGTCGCCTAGAGAGCAGAGTCCAACGCCGGAGCCCTCTCAAGTGGCTGAACCCCAACAAGAAGCTCTTGTCAATACACCGTCCCGCCTGGACGGTCTGCCGGCGCTCAAAGACATCAGAAAGGCACGCAGTGGACGGCAGTACCGTCGAGAAGATAATGGGCTCCAAGTCGAATTTCAACGTGGCGTCTGCTAGTTCAGAGCAGTGTAGCAAATTCACAAGAGACGCTCCCTGAATGCCCAACCAGGAAGCTGCATTGTGTCTGCACCCTGGATGAAACTCTTCCTCTTTCATCGCCGTCTCATCACAATCTAAGTCTCTGTATATTTTCCGGTTCGGCGGGGAGTATGTATAGTCTCCCCTCGCCTAAAACGAGTTTGTGAAGGCCACAGTTTTCACTATTTATGCTAAACCTCCTCCCTATTTATCTATGCCTATGGTTTATGTCATACCATATCACGTAATGCAAAGCCCAATGCGTGGATTCGCCCGAGAATGCCTGTCACTCTCGAGCTAGATTTATGACTCGTGCATTTGAGCACCTAAAAGGACAGCATTCCGAATTAGAAAGTGAAATTATGAATATATGCAAGACTTACCTAAGGCTACACTGCACGATAGTGAAGTCTCAATATTCCGCGTTTGAAAAGTCCCGGAAAGGCCTTCAAGCCTGCCTGCCTGACTTTTCGAGGAGGCTGATAACGCCTATGTATCACTTCCAAACATTCTAATTGGCGGAATTTGTCACTGCAAAGAAGATTGTCTAACGGTTCGACCACGTTGTCACCAAGGTCGCCCAACTCCTCTAGCCTTATGATACATATAATATGTTTCAGACGAGAAGTATGGGTTCGAGAGAGAATACGGCAAAGAGCGTCGACATTGTCTTCAAGATATCCCACGTTGAAATAAAGTCTGTTGAGGTTCGGGAACCCGGACAGGTCGAGGTCGGAGAAATCATCTAGAAGTGTAAATATGTCAGAACATGTATGGCGCGAAACCTTATTAAACACACCAAGCTGAAATGTACTACATGCAATGTATTCCAGTGACGGACAAGGACACAAGTTGGAAATGAACCTGATGAATGAAACGACTTCAATCTTCCCCCCAAATACCAATGCCTTCAAGGAAGATGCAATGTGTCGTGGCAAAAGCCAAGCCTTCAGAGGGTCGAAATTAAACGGGTCGAATGTCGAATTCTCGTCCTGGTCCACATTAACCGCGCGTAGTTGTGGTTCAGAATATGAGAGGGGGAATAATACAGCTGAGCTGGATGACCCTGTATTTCCCGCATGTGACTCTCCAGGGGTTTCAGCACTGTCTAATTTGGGAATCCGAATGGCATCCGGATCACCAGAATCATCGACAACGACGTCGCAGAATTCAATTCTAATGAGTCGTCGGAATGAACGGATGATCGCCGTCAACGCATTACTGCTCATTGTGCACACTTTCAGAGTCAGGTTCTCCACGCTCTTGAGCGTTCTTAATGAATAAACCCAAGTCGCAAATTTCTCCTGTTCCTCCGTCCGCCTCTCCTCGTCATATACATCGGTGGAGCGATAGAAATTGGATAGCTCTATGGTCTTGAGGCACTTGAGGTGGCCGCCGAGCATATATGGGAAGTGGTACATCCACCAATCGTCATCCTGCTTCTTGCGTGCATCCGTCTCGCCTCCAACTCCTCCACGAAGGCGCACTTCACGTATGTAGTTTGCGACAATCCTATCGGACATAACGACCTCGGTGAGCTCAGCGAGCCTGTTCCAGCTATCCAACCTGATGACGCGAAAGATGTGAGGGCGAGCGGAGGTGGACCAGTGTCTGTTGATGAGAGCGCAGGAACGCAAAGATGCGGCATCTGAAAGTTGGCCAAGGATCATGTCTTGCAACTCCGAGGGAAATTTGAGTGGTTTGACTACAGACGATTGCAGTGGGCTTCAGAACGACGTCCAACATAAGTCTGAATTTGGGCTACCGACCTCTGCAGAATGAATCATTATCCCGACACACTTGTACTCCGAGGAACTCAATTTGGACTCACATTGATGGTTCGGCCTGCAAAGCTAGACGCCTCCTCCTAAAGGATTTGTCAGTTCGGAAAATCATCCCCTTCATTCGCCACAACATACGATCGCCTTGGTGGCATCTTGCCTCTGTTCAACGGGGGATGGCGGAAAGTGCAGTTGAGATGGTTTTTTGGAAAGAAGGAACGGGGACTAGAGGGCTTCCCATACTCAGCGCGTCCCGATCGTGTCTCACCAGAGGCATCGTCGCTAATGTTCCTTGTTCGACATCCTAGCGTCCACGTGGTACGAAATAGAGCGTCTCCTCCTCGGAGGATAACCTGTAAATTCCTGTCTGCACTCATCGCGTTATTTCTTGAACACAAACTCCAACAGAAACAATGTTTGCACTCACTAGCTTCGAGTTGAAAGTTGGATGAGACGGTCTTGAGAATGATGGATGTCAACCCGTCCAGGAAGGTCCGGGATCGATCGTGATCACCGAACATTACCGGACGAAGACTCAGGAGGTGAATGCAAGGTGAATGGGTCCTCTTTTCCCGGCTCCGGCCCGTACGTTCCCGCCCTTCATAGCTGGAGGAATTGGCGTTTCAGCTTGAATCCTACTGAACAAACATTCACTGCAGAGAATTCAGTGCAACCTCCAACGTTTAAGTCCATCAAGTTCATATTCCTCAGTCAACGAGATAAAACATGTCTGAGTCAACAGGGTCAAGATCTAGTGCCCATGGGACTTCTTCTTCCGCACAGACCCGTCTAACCTCCATCGTATCCCACCTCAGGCATTCATCTACGTCTCACAAGCACAAGGTTGTTGTTACTCGAAATCTGGGTCCGGATATAATGCCCTTATTATTAGACCACCCTGACTTAGAGGTGAAGGACTCTATTTAATCTTCAGTCGTTTACTCATGATGTCTTCTTGAAAGGTCATCACTTGGCCAGAAGATCGTGTTTGTGATCGGTCTTGGTTTCTGGCCAATCTACCTGGGGCGAGCGGTGCTCTAGTCATGCTTTCAGAAAAGGTACACTCCTTTCTGGTTGATCCGAGCGTGCGCGCTGAAGCTCCGCATAATGATAGATCAACGCTGAAGCGTTGGATAAGGGCACAGTATTCTAAGTCCACCTCCGCAGGATTCTATTAATATACAAATATAGCCGGTCGAACTCTCAAAGTAGTCTCCACAATGTCCGTTCGTTACGGTAGGTTTCTGATCCTTCGGAGTCCTTTGATAATCTTAAGCAGTCTGGTTCAACGCAGACCATGTCGACCTTGATGCTATTGCGCAGAGAGGAGTGAAACTAGGCCACACTCCAGATGTCCTGACAGATGCAGGTAAGTCTTTTCTGATAAAATACTAAGCTGTGGTTGCTAAAGGCGTATCAAGTGGCTGATCTCTCTGTGATGCTGGCCCTCATGGCTGGTAGAAACTCCAAAGAAACGACTAGTATCGTCCAGAATGGCGAGGTAGGCCGTCCATGATTCGTTACTGATAGTCGCGAAAGTCAATGATTTTCGTCAAACATAGTGGCCTAACTTCAACTGGGCACCGTTTTCTTTCTGTGGCCCTCAGCTCAGCGCGAGCTCTTTCAGTCCAACCCGCACCGCTGGATTCATTGGCTTCGGACGGATAGCCCAGGCCACACTCGCTCGCCTAATACCCTTTGGATTCACGCACTGCCTGTTCACTGGCAATCCCACCTCTAATTCTTCTTCATCCGTGGCTTCCTCGATTCAGGCGAAATACCCTACTCTTAAAGCCGTTCGCCGTGTAGGTCTGGATGAACTCGCTAGAGAGAGTGATGTGGTGTTCGTGCTTGCTCCTGGAGGAGATAAGACCTATCACATTGTCAACGAAGCATTTCTGAAGCAGATGAAAAAGACTGCGGTCCTCGTTAATACCAGCCGTGGTACCTTGGTTGATTCTGACGCTCTGATAAAGGCTTTGAGGGAAGGTTGGCTCTGGGGCGCAGGCTTGGATGTTGTTGAAGGTGAACCTAACATCGGTTTGGATCATCCGTTGGTTCGAGAACCCAGGTGAGGGCTTTTAGACTTACTTCCTATCGTACTCGTTCTCAAAGTATCATTTTCAGATGCGTAGTTCTTCCACATATTGGAAGTGCGACGAATGAATCTCGGCTAGGCATGGCTACTCTGGCGGCACAAAACCTCATTGCAGGTGTCTTGGGAGAGCCTCTCCCGGCAGAGCTGAAGCTCACGAAATGATGTACGGATACTCAATATTTGATGTTCAGTGTTCAATAGAAGATATCGGTGTAAAACTAGACATCTCATCGACAGTGTATCAAAGCGAGTATGATAATGCTACAGAACTACAGGCGAATATCGCTACGGCTACAGAGGATGGTACGTGTTTATGCTTGTCCAAGATGAGGCTAGGGAGTATAAAGGGTATAAAAAGTGACAGAAAATGCAAAGTAATTAGACTGAGATAGGATACGTGAACGTTCTTCAAGATGTAGAGTCGTAATTTTGGGACGTTCCAGGTTTGTCGTCATGGTGAGCGTTACAGGAGGAGTGTGCGTCTTCCGTATGTATCTGATCTGCGTGGTGATTCTCCTGCACGGCCATTAGGTCGTCACGCTCAGCCAGAGCAGCAAGTGACCTTTCTGCAGCGTTGATCATTCCTCGTAGTGTGCCTACAAAAATTTGAATAAGGGCATAGAAAGGAGCAAACATCTGGACTTACGTCCGACACTGAGCAAGAAGAGCGTCTAGAGTACGTATAAAGTCAGAAATCACAGTAGAAATATGATGGATAGAGCACACCTTTCGAGCATCCTTATCCTGTAAAATCTCCCTCTTCGCCCGGGCATTGATACCCTCCAATTCAGCAATTTGGTCCAGAAGCGCCTTCAACTCCTCCGGAATTGAAGATTTCTTACTTTTGTCTGCAGAAGCCTCTGTCTGGTCGTCGACATCATCGTCCTGACCACGGGAAGCAAAGTAATGCATGTGTTCGTGGAAGTTTTGCGCGTGACGTATGATCTCTCTAGGGAGTTGCTCGAGTTCCTTCTGCGCTTTCTCCTTAGCAGCATTGGCGGCGTCGGGAAGTGCTTCCTCGTAAGATGAACCGTTCGGGCGGGAGGACTCTTCATCATTTGCGGAGGTGCAATGTCGATTGGATGCTATTCGAGCAGTTTCTTCACTCTCACGTTGTCGATATTTCCTCACGCCATTGTCGAACATCGTAGAATGAAGGACACTCTGGTACTTGGACGAACCGGCCTCTTGCAAGACTAAGCACGTGTACTTGGTTCCAGCTTTGCATTAGCAATTGTAATCGTGTGCGTACCAGAGATTAGAATGGTCATGGTGCCAACTCCCAACAAAGCCCACACAACAAAAAGTGAACGTCCGGCAGGTGTTGAAGGTGCAAAGTCACCGTAGCCGCACGTGGTGAAAGCCGTAAAACCTATGAAAGGCGTTAGCCTATCACAACGAAGATATGCAGTGTCACTTACAAAAGTACATCGCAGTCCCAAAGGCCCAGCTTTCGGTAGCACTGAAGATAGCAGAGCCCACCTAACCGTGTGTTACGTGATGTCAGACATAGTAGTACGAAAGCGAAGAAAGCACCTACCATCCAAAAGAGAAGGAATAGAGACCAAGCAAAGATGAGCTAGGAATCAAAAAGTCAGTTCCAATAGCAATCTTGAATACGACATAAAATATACCTTCACATAGTAAGCCCTCCGTTCCTCCGTCTCCATTTGGTCTTTGTATGCTTCATACGAGAATTCTGACTTCTGCACGGTTCCCATAGCAAGTTGTCTGGACAACTTTGGTTCCTCGAAATGCTTTTGAAGATGCTCCAAATGTTCACGAGAGCCAACATCGGAATGCTGGCTCGCCTGAGCATCGCTGCGCCCAGTAGCTTGCCCTTCGGTGTCCCTGATATCCTCAATACCGCTGTTTGTACTACCATTGGGCTCCGCGTCCCATCCGTCGTTTTTCCGCGACGCTTCGGTATTCACTCCAGACTCTTCTTTCGAATCGACTTCAGGGAGTCGACGTTCAAGCGAGTCTGAAACCTCGCCGGAAGCATGCCCGACCATCCTGACATGCGTACCAGAAACGGCCAGAGCAAATTTTGTGACCATCGCAGCCATTCGGCCGATCTGAGCGTGCGTGGGGGTCTGAGGATGAGCGGGCCAACCACTGGAAGACGCTGTTCGATATAGACCATGACCAATGCCAAAATGTGAACCAGATCTCCGATGACTACCATCGCTGTTGCTGGTATGAGATCCCACCGCAGGACGCCCTTCCACTGGAGCGAGAAACATCTCTAAAGGGACGCCGGCCTCGAGCGCAGCAGCTTCGAGTTGTTGAGGAGACAAGGCGTTTATGTTCAGATGCTTTCCTCTATGATGGGCTCGTACGTGTCCTGTGTGCTCCTGTCGCCTTTTCAGCGAACCGATGGAGCCCAGCCACTTTCTCATCCAGTGAGTTTCCTTTGTTTCGTCTTGAAGACCCTCGAGACCGACGAACCGAACGTGTTCATGGTCGCTGTGTTGGTCCGGAATCCAAACAGGTAATCCCTTTTCCTTCAGTCTCCATTCTACGGCTCTTGTCCACCGTGCTTCCCATCGTCTGAATCTCCGGGCTTCACGACGGTGCGTACGCATCCGACGCATTCGTTTGCGGTATCCCACTTCGAGGCTTTCAAGAATGGTCTCTCGACACATGCCGATTGTGATGCCGATAATCAAGATACCAAAGACCAGGTAATGGCAGACAAAGATCCGTGCGCCGGTGGTGTTTGGAGTGATATCTCCAAAACCGATTGTTTCTATCGTGACCACGGTGAAATAGAGTCCGTTGATGAAAGTAAGATCCTGGATGAGCGAAGTGCATAGTGCACCGAGAGCGATATAGACCAGAAGAATCATTACGATGATCACCAACGACCGCTGTTTGCGAGTTAAGCCGCTACCTAAGAAGCCTTTGCATTAGCCGAAGATCAGAAGTCTGAGGTGTCATCCATCTCACCGCTCTTGGCGAAATCTGGTGTCTTGACATAGTCCACAATCAGAGAAATATTCGTAAGCGAGGACACGACGGTAGAGCAAATGGTTATCCAAAAAGATTCGCCGTAAGTAAAGCCATCATCAAAACGATGTTCAACGCCAAAGATTACTACGACGTGGATGTTGATTACATCTGCGGATTGGTTGTTAGTAGAGTGCCGGGTATGTACAGGCTATGATTAACGAACCATGCAATGTGAGGAAGATGATCGTCAGTAATGTGGATATCTTCACTTTCTTCTCCAAGAAACGCATGATGAGACATACGTTCGCCACGACCGCACATACAAGCGAAATGGCAAGAGCAACGTCCAAGATTGCCGAATTGCTCTTTGTTTCGACTGTCTCGTTGCCTTCCGTTCGAATATACCATCGCTCAGTCAACCCTGGAATTTCCAGAAGGATGGAGAATGGTATCACGATACCAGATAGAATGGGTGTCAAACGATAGTTTGGTACGAACTGCTCCAGCGCCTCTGGGTCCTCCTTGGGGAACAGGAGTGACTTAATCCTGGACGTGAGCGATGGTCCCGTGTCCGTCTGCGACACTTCTTTCCCTTCAGACCCTGGCAATTGTACTGAAGATGGAGGTGCATCCTCCTCGTTTCCTACGGCACTTTCACCATAAGTTTCGGCATCGGCCCCCTCCCGCTCTTCTTCCTCTTCATGATCTGTTGGAGGAATATTTTCCTCATTTATTGTAATACCTTTCTCTGGATCCTTGGATGATTTAGACGGTGAAGATGATGGATACAGGTGGAGAGCAGCCAAAATGACGGCTACGCCGACCATCTGCAGAATGACCCTATAGGCCAGGAAGCAGAGACGGACCAGATCCGAGCCTAAAGCCTGGGTTGCCTAGTAGTATCGTCAATATATAACTGAAGGTTTCTCCTTGAAAGATGTGTATCCAGTCATGCCCATGGATGGAACAATCCCAGTCGAGATTAGGTAGTGACCAGCGAATATTATAGTTGGACTCGGAGACGAGCTAGGTCTAAATACAGAACTTACTCCTTATATGAAGTGGCGGATCTAATCTAATCTAACAAGGTTTCGCTGCATTGATCGAAAAGTGAAAGTGAAAGATATCATTTATTTCTTCCATCCTCCCATCTCGGATTCCCCGCAATCTACATTAGAACCATGTCGAACCTCACAAAGTACCAGACCGAACTTATAGAACATGGCATGGCTGCTGGTGCTCTCAAATTTGGCTCGTTCACTCTAAAATCTGGCCGGTCTGTCTCCTTCAACTGCTTTACTTGAACCCCCATATCGACGAGAGCAACGAACAGACAATCGCCATATTTCTTCAACGCAGGTCTACTTGCATCGGGACCTGTCCTAGATACTCTGTGCTCTGCATACGCAACTACGATCGCCGCTTCACTGGAGGCTGCCAAATCAGGATCACCCGGCCTTCCGGAATTCGACATTCTGTTCGGCCCTGCGTATAAAGGAATTCCTTTCGCAGCTGGGACAGCTCTTCTATTGCACAGAGACCATCATATCGACGTCGGGTATGCTTACGATCGTAAGGAGGCAAAGGACCATGGTGAAGGTGGAGTGATGGTTGGTGCACCAGTAAAAGGCAAGAGAGTGCTCGTATTAGACGACGTCGCTACTGCCGGAACAGCGATCCGAGGTGCAATGGATATTGTGAAGCAAGCTGGCGGAGAGGTTGTTGGTGCTGTTCTGATGTTGGATCGTCAGGAAGTTGGAAGAGAAGGGAAGAGCATGATCGAGGAAATCGAGGGATTAGTGGGAGGCAAAGGGAGAGTACCGACAATTTTGAAGATGAAAGATCTGATGGCATGGTTGGAACAACATGGAAAGACAGGCGAACTCAAGGCGATGCAGGAATATTGGGAACAATACGGTGTGAAGAATGCATAAGAGATACGCCATCTGTACATTACAAGTCCCGGTTCTCAAAAGTATACGCTTTGAAGCTAGAATTTAGACATCACGCCTTTTAATACCCACGACGCACTCCACAGGCTTCCTGAGGAATCCCTCCAAGATCTCGAACTGAAGCGAGGTCTGGTCAGGGCAAGACACCGGGTGAATATAGACGATAAGCCACGTACAGGTTTATCAGGTTGTTCCAAAACGAAATGATACCGTCTGAGAATGGACCCAACGATAATCAATAACTCCATGCTAGCCAGGTTACGCCCGACGCAGCTCCGTGGACCAAACGAAAACGGATTAAACGTTCTTTGGATATCATTTTTATCCTGCTCAAACCAACGTTCTGGCCTGAACGCATCGACGTCCTCGCCCCAAACCTCTTTGTCCCGATGAATAGTAAAGGTTGGAACACTCAACACAGTGCCCTCAGGGAAGGTACGTCCGCAGACAGTCAAGCCACCTTCAGGTACGATGCGAGGAAGGCCAATGCCAGAGGTGGAGTGAATGCGAAGGACTTCGTTGATGACCGCTTCCAAGTAAGGTAGTTTCTTCACCTGTTCGAAAGTGGCGACAGGATTGTCGTCCGTACCGAGAGCTTCATCAAGTTCCTTGTGAAGTTTCTCTTGCACATGAGGGTTGTGTGCGAGATGATAGGTAATTGCGCAAGACGAGCTGACGGCAAAGAGTCATCAAAAGATAGTTTTACAGGGATGTTTTAGGGAATCTGAAGGCATACTTAGACGTGGTATCAGAGCCAGCAATGAGCTGAGTAAGTGCCTCAGCCGTCAACTCTTCCCTACCCATAGGGCGTCCCTCATCGTCCCGTCCGTCCTGCAATTTTCCGAGCAAGTCAACCCTATCCGTTGGCATAGTCAACCTTTTCGCAACAGCCGCAATAGCGATACCTGCAAGAGACTTGACTGCCTTGTTGCCCTTGCTAAACCAAGGAAGCTTCTTGGCAAGAGGTCGCATCCAAGGTGGCAGAACACCCATCGAAGCCGAGTAGACCCCACGGTCGTTGAGAATCTGGACAGCAGGGACGTGAACAACTTCAATATCGCTGTCCTTTCCGCCGTATGCCGCCATTGCATCCTGTTGAGAGACCGCAACAGGTGCGGAGTCTTGGCAAGTCTTGAGCATGCCAAAAGGCGATCCAAAAGCCAAGTCACCTATACCACGCAGATAAGTTTGGTTTGTAAATACTTATTTAAACAGTACAAACCAATGATGTCAAACGCAAGGTAGTTGTACCACGGAAGACAGTCAAGCCAGACCCGACCATCCCGACCTCTCCAACCGCCCTCACCGTCGTTTCCAGACAAACCTTTCGCGCCAGCTTCACATAACCGGTCCCAATTGCCTATAAGCTGCCCAATATACAAACGTACGTTAGGTTCGAACTCAAGTACGCTCTTCTGAGAGAATATGTGTGATACAATCTTGCGTTTACGAGCGTGTTCGGGACGTGAACGAGTGTTGAAGAGACCACGTTGAATGGAGACGAATGCATCGTAGAAGTTTGACTTTAGAGATCCATTTCCGTGTGCGTAGACAACTTGGAGAGCGTCCGGGTCCGCAATGGAAAGATGATTGGGAGCAATGCGAACGAAAGTACCTTTGAAGGACAAATGGTAGACGATCAGTGATCACATGTACATCGGAAGAAGCAAGGAACCGCAGGATCGATGACAGAATGCGTCAATTCCCCACAAGTTCCCCACATACAAGAAATGAGACATGAGACATGCAATATGAAGAGAGCTAAAAAGCTTTTTCCGGCTCGAAAGCAGACCCTCGTCATCGTCAAGCGCGTACGGGTCGCGAGCCTTAGGAAGTGAAAAACAGAGGAAAATATAACAAAACAAATACTCACCATACTTCTGATGCAACTCATGCACAACCTCCGAACGATGTCCTAGCGCAACAGTGCGTCCAAGCCACAGGTCAGTGAACTTCGCCAAAGTCGGTCCGGGATAGGCACGTAACGCGTGAGGATCAACAACATACGCCACAATATGACCCAGCACGACAACAGCAAAGAGCAGGCCAAGCAAAGCCTTCCAGTCAAGTCCCAAGAGTGCCTCTGCGATCGCCATAACGCGTTCAGAATTCAGAGAATTCGACTCGTTGACTTGCCTGAGAGAGTCGGTCTGGATTTAAGTAGGCCAGCCAATTAGCTATGCCGGATATGTGCGAGCTGCCCGACGATGAATTCTGGTGTGACGATTCCTGGATTGGATAGAAGATGGTGTCGTGGTTGATTCAAGTCTTTATAAGTCTTCTGCTGTTGGAGTTCGTGACCTCTCAGCGGTCGGATGAGCATAATGATCCGGAGAACCATGACGAGAGGCTGACAAGTAGTCGCCAAACGACCATATACTGCACGCTCGCTCTCATGCATGTTTTCCTCTGATGGTAAAACTGGCTTGGCCGATGCATGCATATGGTGTATTCTGCGTTAGCTCGCGAAAGTAAATTGCAGGAACGAGGTTGAAAGCAATCGGTGGAGCGGATCGACTTAAAGGTACCTGTAAGCTGTGCACAGCCCCAAATCGATCATTCTGTTCGACTGCAGCTTCAGACGGAAGCAATTGGCAGCTTATCTCTTCAGACGTCGAACAAATACAGCAGAGCTGGAACTATGGGTTGAGTTTCCATTCCGACAATATACGACTGCCCTGCCAAGGAAGAACTCTTGTCTCCACCTTCCTCAAGTAAAATGTTTCAATTCTAACATTGCAATTATAACATCAACGGTCCAATGCGAATAAGATACAAACATGAAGGGTGGGTATTGAAAGAAGCTGTAAGGTATAACGATCAGTAGCTGAGCTGGGGGTGAGTGATGAGCTGACGATACAAAAATAATGCCGAATAAATAAAAACGATCACAAAGCACGGTTGCAAGAAAGCGTCGATGAGAAGACAGTAGCAGAGCAAGAAAGGAAGCACGAGCAGAGCGGAAGATGTATGTTGTTTTCGGGCGTCGCAACTCAACGAATAAGGATATCTTGGACGTCCTCTCGAGGAGCAGGTGTGCCACCGGGTATACGAAGCGTAAGGATTCCATCTTCCATCGATGCGTCGATGTCAGCGGGCTGTTGAAAGTGGGTCATAAAAGTCAAAGCAACATACAGCGAAGGTGTGTACCTTGGTATCGGGGGGAACGACGACAGTCCTGCTGAAGTCGCCGAATTTTCTTTCCTTGATTGAGAAACCATTATCGGGAAGTGTTGAATGGGTTCGCCCGCTGATAGTCAGTTGTCGCAGATGGCTATATGGGCAGAAACTCATTCGAATCTTCAGGTCAGACTTTTTCAAACCAGGTAGTTCAAACATGACCGTCATCAGATTGTTTGCAATGTCGAAATGAGCATCGGTGCGAATATGGTAACGCTTTACAGGTTGAGCTGGGCGGTCGGCTGGTTGCTGCTGCGGTTGGAAGGCCGGTGGCAGTTGAACGGCTTGAACGTTCGGCGTGTTGGAGGACCCAGGCGTTGGCACCTTGGCTCCGGGGCTGGACGATTGAAGACGAGGGCGGGTCGGTATGAAGACCCACCTCCGAAGCTTGGAAAATAAAAGCAATCAGCGCACCTCGTAGTCGTCACAGTGGCTACCGTTGCGGCACTTCCACCGCTAACATTTCGCTGGATCTGATTTTGGTTACTCTGATTCACTCTCCATACGGAGATCGCGGGACACGACACAGTTGTCGAGCCCATACCAACCGCAGGCATCGGGTGCGCGACGCCCACGCGCATCTGAGGCATTGGCTCAATATGATGCAGCTCACTAGCTCGTTCTCGACGAGAAGAAGAAGGTCTCAAAGACTGCCCAGAAGCAGGAGAAGAACGCATCCCCGAAGACTCTGGACGTCTATACGGATGGGACACTTGCACATGTGGTCGCCCATGGGGGACTCGACTGGGTCCCGCCGTAGGTGGTGAACCACTTGTACTAGGACGCACTTCGTCCACATCGACACGTAACGAGGGACGTCGAGAAGACGATTCCCCCGTATTTGGTCGCCCAACATGACTCCCACCCTGCTGGCGCAGGAAATGGGACTCATCAATATTATCAAATCGAAACTGACTGGGCTGAATTTGAAAGCGATCTTCAACGTAGGCAGTGTGCGGAGGCTCAAAAACCGCTTGGATCTGCTGGGGTTCGGACGGCGGCTGTATTTGCAATTGTTGTTGGTGGTGTTGAGGTTGATGCTCGGTTGAGGTAGGTGTTTGAAGCGGCTGCTGCAAAGTTGGGGGTGAAATACTGGCAGGTTGATTTGGAGTTGGTGCAGAAGTCGGCACTATTGGATCTTGTTCGAAACCTTCCCAAGAATACGCGCCAGGCGTCGTTGTTTCCGAGTAGTCCACGTACTGCTGGAAGGGGAACGACATCTCGTATTCGCAATCCGTCCTACGTGGCGAAAGGAAAGCTAGCATCGGTGGGAAACTGGACGAGGAACGCGTCGGCCAGCCTTATATACTGCCGACGGGTCCGTGCAGCGAACTCGCCGGTGCACAGCCGGCGCCGGTCCCATTGTCCGACTCTGACTCCAGTGATGGGCGTACTTACCAAACTGAGCAATAGGGCGGGATTCCCACGCGCTCAATTGGGTTGTTCCCCTAATATGGTAATCTAGCGCCCGAGAAATGGGCGCTACCATCCACGAACGCCGCTTTGAATTGTGTCGACAACAAACTCGTTCAATGCGCACCATCGGATTGTTGAAGCGCTGAGTGACTCTCCGTTAGACATAGTCTTTATCTTTACAGTTACTGGAGAGTGGACACACCGCTGTAGCAGGGCTCTTCATCGTGTATGTAAAGGTGAACGTCCCATACTGTAAAATTGAATCATCATACGATGTACTGACAAGCTTTTCCAGAGTTTTGTAGATTCTTTCTCGTCGTCATATCGTAGTGATCCTCGCAGATTACGATCGCAACGTTCTAACCGCATCGCAGCATTGGTGCCTCAGCTTACCCATTGGAATCTTCCAATGAACTTGCACGGTGCCTTGTGATCAGTCTAAGGACGCTATCGCATGTGCATGGGCGACTGTCTTACAGATCAACAAAGCTCGGCGTAGTACACGATATTATGATAACGACACCGTTTTCCAAGCCTTCGTTATGGTTGAACCCCAGAAAACCACTGTCATACTTTGCCCGACTTGTGGGTTGCTCTTCGTCCTTGTTCTGCTCTGCCTGCAACATCTTTCTCTTCCTTGCTCCTATGTGAATCAGGACTTGAGCGCCGCATGCTTTGAGCGCTGGACTACCGGGAACTTCTCTTCAACACGACTTTGACGGCTATCGATTTGGTCCCCAGCTCATACATTAGCGAAGTTACGTTGCAACGGCTAGTCTGGCCATGAGGCCGTTCTGGCTACCTGCTATAAAGATGGCTTTGCTCATGCGGAAATCAATCAGGATCTCAACCGTTTTCCTGTTCACCGACTAAGCAGCCTGACTTATTTCAGCTTAGCATGTCTACTGCCACTCGCGTCGCGTTCATCACTGGTGCTGCTCAGGGTATCGGTGAAGCCATCGCCCTTCGTCTCGCCGATGATAATATCGACGTTGCCCTTTTCGACCTTAAGGAGAAGGAGCCTCTTCTTAAAAACGTCGTAAAACAAATTGAAGCGAAGGGACGGAAAGCTATCTACTTCGTCGGTGACGTCACACAAGAACAAGATGTGAAAACTTCAATCGATAGGACCGTCGAGACTCTTGGTGGTTTGGATATCGTATGTCGCCTCACCCTCTAATGATGTTTTCCAGTTTGGATATGAATGCTTTACCCAGATGGTCGCCAATGCTGGTATCACTATATTCAAGCCTTTCGTTGAGAGTATGGCGTCTTCGGCTTTGCTGGTATTTCTGGGTTCGAATCTGACAGCTCATACGATCATCAGGCGACATCGAAGATTACAGGCGAATCATGGACATTAACGTACTTGGCGTCGTGAACTGCTTCAAGTATGCCGCTATCCAGTTGATCAAGCAAGGACGCGGTGGTCGCATCATTGGTAATGAAAGATTGCTTGTGCAATGTCCCAATCGCTCACATGGGTCATAGGTGCTTGCTCCGGCGCGGGAAAGAGGGGTAAGACATTATATCATTCCGGACAGATTGTTCAGAAGCTTATGTCGGCTTTCTAGGCATTAATAACATGTCCTTATACAGCGCCTCGAAGTTTGCCGTTCGTGGCCTCACTCAGGCAACTTGTAAGTTTTCCGACCTTTCACCATCGATCTTGCTGAAGATTAATATCTTACAGCGCTTGAGCTACGTTCGCACAAGATTACCGTCAACAGCTACGCTCCAGGCTTTATCCTTACTCCCATGCGTACGTTATTCCTTCCATCTCGCCCCTTCCCGAACACCACATTGATCCATTGCGGTTCGCTAGTCGCCCATCCTGATGACGATAAGTTTGGCGGACACGGCTCAGTCGCAAAAATGGTAAGTCCACATGCACTCTGTTGTTGCACTTGTGATGATTAGGTTCATCCCGGCAATAGGCTGCGAAGATGGACCCTGATTACGAAGGCGCTCAGCCTAGCGTCGTCGCCGAACTGGTGGCATACCTTATTAAACCCGAGGCACATTTCGTCAACGGTGAGTATGCATTGTTCTTTCTCAGTCTACAGTGTGGACTGACTGTGGTCCATGCAGGTCAAGTTATCAACATCGATGGCGGTCTCCTTTTCGACTAAGCTTCTGTAAAAGTCAATCTCTCGTGTACTATATCGATGTACTTCTTACCCTGTTTTCTGGTATGTGCCAAACATGTACAATGAAATCTGATTTTCTCGCGCTTCAGCCACAATTCCGTCTATCCCTGGACACTAATACTAATGTTTGTGACGTGTCGGTAGTCCATGGAGTTGTTCTAAGAAAAACACAAATGAGCGAGGGACAACCTGGTCATGCTCTGATTCGTGGAATGAAAGTGTATAATAAACATCAAGTCTTAGGTCGATCGTAGTCGGTTTTCAAGCTCCATGATACCGAAACAGGGTGCGTTGCCATATCCGCGGGATTTCATTGTTTTGACCTCTCTTCATCATAACTTCGCTTGCAGTGCCATCTTCGCCTTTAGAGATTTTAACTCTCAAGCCTAAGAAGCGTAAGGATGTTGCCTTCGCAACCATGAACGGTCTCTCACGATGACAGCTTGGGCCTCCGAGTTACCTTGAGGGGCGACACTGCACATCCGAGATGTGAAATGAATTTCCAAGGCACATTATCGGGTCTATTCAATGGCTTCTTCCGTTTCCTACATCGTGTTCGCGTCCTTCGTCACCAGAGGCTTCTTCCAATAATTGCAAAGTGGCATTCCTCATGCTGATTTTGGAATGCCTGCACGGTGAGTCTAATACTGGAGAGTCCTTGCAGTATACGAACGTTGATTACGACCACGTTCATCCGGGGATGCATAGAACTTGTTGTTTAGACAGCATTCTAAGGAATATCTCAGAAACTCGGCAATCGCTCATGTATTGGATGACGGGTCGAAGATCAAAGATATGCCGGTGAGGTCGTGATTATTCTCAGATATTTGGCTTGAGCATGGATGGATCCCAGAGCAATAATAGGATTATCAGCAACGTTCTTTAGAGGGATTGCAATTCCACCAGAGCGTGCTCTAGTGCCATGATTGAGCACTCGAAGGCTGTTTTTCGTTGCTGTTCACCATCAATTTCGGAGATCTGGGTGAGATATGCATCTGACACAATGGAAATACTTCGACTGTACCGAGCGGTTGCAGTTGGACCGATTCGTTCGTTGTAGTCAATTCAAAGCGTGAATGTGGTGCGTTCTCAGAAATAATTCTGCACACCTTGCTGAAGTTTGGATAGGTCTGCAGTGGTGTTTTCAGTGCCTCAGTGTGGCGCACTCGGACTCAGTTCAGTGAAGAGCGCAGAGGATACATACCAGATCATCTTGTGCCTTGAGTCATCAGGCCTTCTGTCAAGATTGCATCCCATCAATGCTGGTTGATGGTTAAGCTGCGGGTCCTCGTGCTTCAAGCTTAGTGAGAGGTCATCTCCGAGATCTAGATTGCTCTGACGCTTCACAACACTGCAGAATGAGGGTCATCCCGAACTCGTCCAGACACTTCCTTTCGGTTGGTTCGCTTGCACTCTGAGACGCTTGAAGCTCGGGCGTTTCACTTGTACTTGGGCGCCCTAGGTTATATATGTACCGTCCTTGCACGGGCATTTCGGCCTGAAAGCTCGTTCTTCCCCACTATTTCATGTCCACTGTTGGTAAAGGCAACAATGACAAATTGGAGCGATCCTGAAGTCATCGCAGCCCAGAACGGTATGTTTCTGGCGTCGTAAGAAACTGGGAACATAGACTCAGTATTCCTTAGCCGCGTTCGTGAAGCTAGTTCACGCTTTCGTGGGGTTATACTTGTAAGCTCTTCGTAGAGACCATTGGAAGGTACAAGGAGTACTTACTGTGCATTCGATGTCTAGTTGGGAATTCATCATTTCAATTGATTTCGACTTGAGCTTCATCTCAGGCAAAAGAAAATTCAGATGGCCAATGGTGAGTCCGATGATACTAGCAGATCTTTCTTTGATCATGGGCTTATGCAATGATCAAGGCGTTTTACTTCCTTAACCGGTATTTCATGCTGGCGACTTTCATCTGTCTGTAGGTCTGGGGTGACCCGTCATAAATGATAACAATTGACACGCATGAAATCGCATCGCAGCCTGTACTCTCTGGACGTCCCTCCGACACTGTGAGTACTCTAGCTGGCGATGCCGTCTATGTATCTGATTGTTTTTTTTCCTGCAGTGAAATAAGTTGTCGCCCACTCTACATTTTCATGCAGGTTTGTCTTCCTCTCGCGCGCGTTTTCGCTTGGTTCTAACACCCACTTAGTTGGGTGGTAACATGTCGGCTGGCTTTGCTAGCATAAATCTGGCCTTGCGCACGTGAGCCTCTCATTACTCTAGAGTTTGAACGTCACATAAGTTGACCGCAGGATGGCCATCTGGAACCAATCAAAATATATCGTCATTCCTTTAGTCGTCTTGATTCTCGGACATTGGTCTCTCATCCTCCAGGGCAAGCATAGTCTGCATACCTAATGATCACAGCGACTGACACTTTCCGATTAGGTGGTAACTTGAACGCGGTCTGGGTCGCTGGTCAGGGTTGCGTTATCGAGTCCACTGGCAACAAGATCTTCGCGGCTCAATTCATTTACACGATGTGCTTCGACTTAATCGTTCTGGTGCTAGCAGGATGGAGGCTGGCTGGTCCGAATGGATCACAATCACGGATCGGTAACCTGTTATTCAGAGATGGTCTGGCGTACTTCGTGCTTGCGTATGTATCTTCACCCTTCTCCTTTGCTTAGCTCACATGTCAGTCGTACCATTTCAGGTTGATTGGCAACATTGTTGTCAGCGTCTTTGAGATATTGAACTTGAATCCGGTAATGAACGTCATGTTCAACGTACCGTCGATTATGATTGCCACGGTACGCACATCGTTCGTAAGACGTATGCAGAAGCTCCCATATTTGCCATTAGATCGCTGCTACTCGCGCGGTACGCAACTTACAACAACATGTCTCCAGGGGACCGGAGGTGTTGTAAGTACCTTATTCAAAATTGTTCATTTCATTCTCACCATGCGATCTTAAAATAGCTCTGGGAAGCAACCTTCGTCCTCCTCAGGTCTGCACTTCAACGCTCATCCTGCTATCTCCCTCCAACACAACCGACGAGCGGACGGCGTTCACGTGCAGGTATGTCGCTTCCCTTTCGAATCTTGGGTGCACGATGCTTATGTGTCCCGTAGATGGAAACATTTACCGCTGGAGATGGAATCGATGGTACTCACGACAGTATGCGTAAGAAGAACTTGGATGTCTGATTGTGTTATACTCGTTCGCCGTATTGGAGGCCTGCTACCCCGTGAGCAGAGGTAGATCAACATTCCTTATCATCAGCACCTGCGTCAGCATTCTATTCCACAATATACATGCCTGAATAGGTCCTGACAGCTGTAGCATAAGACTGCACGAAGTCCTTGATCTTCAGAAAGATGAACGCGGTCAACTAATGACCCCTCAAAGAATATGGTCCAGTAGACATGGTGATTACACGAGGTGTCTCATCCTTGTCTTCTTCATACCTCAGATTATGACTTTAGCATGTTCTCGAACCAAAGCTTGGAAAATAAATAAAACTTTGCGATTTCAGGAATCCTATGGCACCGAGGACGGGTTTTTGCGAAGTTGTGTTCGGACTGAACAACATCTCTCAAGCATTGATCGAGATTGATCAGTAAAATAGATGGCTATGAAACTCAACTCACAATACCATTCTCGCAACCGAATGGCTCACTGACTGCGACTGTGTACATTGGGTGATGGAGCTATTGGTCTCTAAAATGAAACCACCGTCTTAACGTTCCTCTATAGTGACTGAACCTGAGCTTAATACTGGTCGACCTTGAATGTTCAAATAGTGAACACCAAGAAGGAGAACATAAACAACAGGTGAATGTGAATGAAGCCGATGAGAACCTTCCACTAATCAGCAAGCTAAACATGTTCTATATTCGATTAACCAAGATGATATGGTACGATCTTTGCATCAGTACAGGTATATTCTATAGCTTGTTGGTATCGGCGAATGGGTAGTCGATGTAACCCTTCGGGCTCTCCGGAAGGTAAAAGGTATTGCGATCGTATGGGCTCCGGGCAATATCCGCTTTCAGACGAAGCGGTAAATCGGGCTACACACCAGACGTTAGACACATCTTCCATGCGCCGAAATCTGCAGAGGAACTTACGTTCGAGATGAAGTAGCGTCCAAATGCAATGAGGTCGTCCTTCTCATCTGCAAATTGAATAGCGAGATCTCGGTCGTAGCCGCCTGCACTAATAAGGGGACGAGGTCTCCAGATATCTCTAATGAAGTCGTTGGACTATAATGAAGAATAAATACTCAACATCCGTCATACCAGGCAGACAAGGTAACACCTACCTCGCCCTGTGGGTCTCGCAAATCGTACCCGCTCACTCGAGGTTCAACTACATGTATATAAGCCAAATCGGAGTATAGCTCGGCAATGCGAGACACAAGATATTTGTAGGTGGGAATAGGATCCTGCATTCTTATCTCTGTGAATATAAGAACGTCAGCTAACAATCCGCAGAAGTTGCATTGGTGGCGTACCGTTGTAGAATTCCCAAGGACTCAACCTGATGGAAACCCTCTTGGCTCCAACGGCTTTGACGCATGCATCAATAACTTCGAGAGCGAATCGAGCTCTGTTCTCAATGGAGCCACCATACTCATCTGTCCGATTGTTCGTAACATCGTGCAGAAACTGGTTTATGAGGTAACCATTGGCACCATGGAGCTCAATGCCATCAAAGCCAGCACGATGTACTGCATTAGCAGTGGCTTGACCATAAAGCTGCACGTATTCCTTGATCTCTATAAAAATGTATGTTCAAGGCCACGTCACATTACCAGCAGGTACCAGAGACTTACCTGCGATGGAGAGAGGGCGAGGCTTGGGCTTATCCTTAAGAGGGATATCAGATGCGGCGGTATATTCAAACCCTTCCTTCTCGAGAATAGTTGGTTCTGCTGCGCGACCCAGGGCCCAGAGCTGCGCGAAAATGAACGATCCCTTCTCGTGAACAGCATCAGTGACCTACGAGATCAGCAGGTTGCGAAGTCAGTCAATGAGGATCAAGTGGATGTTATGATACGTCAAGAATTACCTTCTTCCATGCGTCTATCTGCTCGTTGTTCCAGAGTCCAGGAACATTATTGTAGCCACCAGCTTTACCTGCGATGAAAGTGGCCTCGGTGATTAGCAAAGTACCAGCAGTACTGGCACGCTGTCTGTAGTACTCTACAGCGAGGTCGCCATGGACGTGATGAATGTTCGCGCGGTAACGTGTTAGTGGCGCGAGGACGACTCGGTGCTGAAGGCCAAGGTTGCCAACTTGGACTGATTTGAAAAGCTTGCTGGTAGACATGATTAGCTGGTGCGAATCGGTGACGGGAGTTGATAGTACCTTTCCAAAGTATTGTAGGACCTTATATATCTTGCCACACGCTGCAGTGCGAACTGCAGTCAGCGAGATTTGAGCAAGCTGACATCATCCTTAGCGCGATTTCGACAGATGTGCTGACTGAGGCCCAAGGGTGAGGAAAGTGCGTTCTCATCAACAACAATATTCCGTAGGCCGCCGAACTAGGCAGCGCTCAAAATGGGTAGCAGGCTACCATATAAAGCAACTATTATACTTCGACCGGCGACCATAGCGGAGGGTGTGTCGAAGTCGGCGGCCGTTCACAATATACTCGAGTACGCAAATGCGAGCTTCAGTATCTGGATTTGCACAATAAGGGCCAAATATGTACTCATAAAAATATTGGGGAATATCATAGCCTACTTGGATTTCTTTCAAGGTTCTCGACCCAGGAAAAGGGGGAAAGTCATAGATACTAGATCACGTGAAGTAGATGAGATTTATATTCAAGCCATCAAGCATTGTTTTGCACTGTTCGGCGCCGCAGACGGAAGAAAATCAGTATCAATGAGGCAATGTCGAAAGCCATGATACGCAACGGATTGGTGTAACGGAATATATTACTTCCTTGAGCCCGTCTGACTGATGGCGTCCACTTACGATCGCCAAAATATAAGTGACAGCGGCACGCACAGTTCAGTCAGCATCATTCTGAAGTGCTGCAATTCCTTGTTCCCCTGCAAATTTAGCCCATGAGCTTCGCAACTAGAAATCAGGATTATGCCAAAGATTGCTTACTAAAAGACATCCTGTCAGCTGAATCAGCCCGGGGGAATGTGGGTTTGCTCGTCTGCCTAGGTCAAATTCTGCCTTAAGACGCAACAACCGGTCTCACAGTCCTGACACGCACCATCTGCCAACGGATAGTCAATGTATCCTTCGGATCCGCGCACGATCGCAAGGCGCCAACCTGCCAAGGGCGTTTGCTTTCAAGCGCGGTGGTAGATCAGGCTAGGCAGCTCAAGGTGAACCGCATTGTCCGTGCATTAAAAGGCGGAGTACGTTGGAAACGAAAAAACAACCGAATGCAACGATATCACCATTTCCAGCGGATTCGATAGAAAGGTCGCGGTTATAACCATGAGGACGGACTTTCCAGATGGTCCACAGGAAAACATTCGACTAACATACCTCAAAGGCCACTTCGTACCTCGCCTGATGCACTTCTCGCTCAAAAAGCTGCTACTGGGGATTCAATAACATGGGGTGTATGTCATTTTAGGGTGCGGCTCGGCGACTTTGCAGACGAGGTAGAAAAAAGTTGCAATCGGATTGTTCAGGCACATTTCTACACTCGTCAGAATACGCATATGTATCCCATAAGATCATGACGTACTATTATTCGTGCAACAGAGGTCGGGGATTAGCATATTTAACCCCATATGCCTCTAGAAATGCAGGTGAAACGAACTCGTTATCTGCTTCCAGGAGTTCACTTACCGGCCTCCATCGGGATCTTCTAAGACGTGCTAGGTGTCACAGATACATAGTGGCTTCATAGACCAAGTCTGATTGCGACCCAGATGAGAATCTAGAAATACTTCATACTAGCCCACATAACGCCCAATCTCACGTTCATTAACATGAAGTGAGAATAATACTGCATTTTGCTCGTTAGATGCATGGCTGTGAAATGACATATGTCGTCAACGTACCTATGATGCAACTCCTTGGAATACATTTATGACAACGCCTTGCTGTTGAGCTTTTGGCAAACAGCGTCTCAACTTATTAGCCAGTAGGTCTCCTCTCAAGGAACCCATATGATAAAATCGAATCTCTCGAAGAGTTCGCAGATGGGAAGAGCATAGAGATTCGTCCAACGCCAAAAAGTCCTGAGGTTTGATACTTCGCAAATTCTTGAAGGTGACTGTGAAAGTTAGGGTATGTAGGTGCACTGATTTGACGGATGACAGAAGCAAGTTGACGCCGGCAAACAAGGGGTCGATGTGGAGATTCAGGCTGCGTAACTCCGTATTATGCGAAAGATTGAGATAGGCCATGATATCTGTATGGCATTGTGGGATATGCATCAGGAACGGCAGAATGGTTTAGAGACAAAGTGAGATCTGCTTACCCTCGTACCTTTGCGCATTATCACCCCAAGATTCCGACTGACCAAACTCTAGACAAAGATGATGTACGGAGCCAAGAGCTGAAATGAAGCTGCCGACCAATGGCAAATCGGATGGATATCTGCTACAGACGTGGAAGTCCCTCAACGTAAGCATCGACTCAGTAGGGTATATCCAGCCCAGAATATCGGCTAAGGAATATGACCCTAGGAGATTCTCCTTGCGTATGCACAAGGAAGTCAAGCGGGGTTGGTGATATTTGGGGGGAGCGACTCCGTTCATATCATCATCGAATTGAACTGAAGAAAAGGAAACGTCGCATAATCGTAGGGTAGTGAGCTGAGGCAGGCAGTAAATGATCGCCTGTATTACATCCGCTGGGAACGTGCACTTGCTTAAGATGAGAGATCTGACGGAGGTGAAGCGCCTGAAGTTTGGGAAGAACGTCCATTCTGCATAATGCCAGGTAGGACGTTCAACTCCAGATATATGGATAGCATGTAACCTCGGAAGCAACTTTGGTAGCTTCTTCGGGACCTTATAAATCCATGGCATATCTACCGGCCCGTAGTAGCTGAGAGGATAGAACGGGACCGCGTCGATGCGAACTTCACGAATCCATGGCGAAATACTGGGCTCACGACCAAGTCTTCGTTCTAGACTATGAAGTTGATGTTCTGTATGGACAGCGACTCCGCGGTAGAGGTAAGGAAGAGCAATGGAACGCCAGGCTCGACACGTTGACGACACGGCTCGTAGAGTGTCGTTGTCGATCCACAGGAATCTTGCGAGATACTCAACGAGTTCTAGGGGAAAGAAGGGCTCGGTGAAGACCATACCTAGACAACGATGTCACACATGCTGGCAACGTAACAATTGAAAAAAAAATGACATACCGATGAAAAATGATTCTATGAAACTGTGGACGAGAGAATCAGCTTTCGACAGGCAATGGAAAGAAAAGACATCTGGCTGGAATCGTTCAATACTTATATTCACCTGAGCCTTCCCGAACCCACAACCCAGGCATCATTCCCCGTTTTTGGAAGATTGCGGGCCTGTGGCTCCGTGGGCATTGGCTCAGGCGTGGGTTTGGCGTCACACAGACAGTCTAAACTCGGAGAATATTCCCGAAAACACCTGATACAGAAAGCCAGAGAGCGGATTATCGATACAACAACAGGACATAATTAGTAGATACAGAGAGCGATACCAATACATCACCATAATTTTACACGACTTCAACAAAATTTGCAGGGAACACTCCTTCGCGCCCGTTCAACTTTCCTTTCCACCTGCAATCGAATGAGTAACGCACGCAGCAAAGATTGTATATGGAAGAGATCTTACCATGTATCGGTACTATCGTTCTTCTCTGTTACAATGATAACCTGACCTTTGTTAAATGAAAGATCTCCAGGCTACCAAACGCAATCGATCCATTAACCAGTGATCATGTTTGCAATTTTAAGAACATACCTGAACAGCTTTAAAGTCGTACAATGCGATCGCCCGAGCAACACCCTCACCTGGCCTTAACGGCGAATTTAAGGCAGGCTTTGCTTTTAATTTAGGTACAAAGCTATAATCAGTAGGACTCGGTGGTCTTCCTTCAAGGTCCTCCAAATAGTCAACATCTCCTGACTTTGTTGAATGCGAACGTCCATAAGACGGAGAGTACGGCTGAGGCGATGAAGATGTGAAAGAACTAAAAGCGCGCCGGTGACCAGATGAATCCGAAGCTATATTAGAATGCGCAGTCATGAACGGCGGTAGAGAGTTGAAAGGCGACCCTTCTTGAAATTCGTCCTGGTCGTTGGCTAAAAGTGGGGTATTCTTCCTCTGAGGTGAGAACTTGAGCTGCGGGTGCTTCCGAAGATCTTCTTCGGGAACGAAGTCGGACTCAAACTGCGTCTCGAAGAGTGTAGCTGTAGGTTTACTCTTACTCGTGGAAGAAGTTGTTCCAGAGGAGTTGGACATGCCCAAATTATCCTGACTACGATCTCGGAAATCAAAGTACGAACTCGAGCTTGCCCGCCGCATGAAACCAGGTCTTTCATTCTTCTTCTTTAGTTTTGATTTGGTCGTACCGTCAATCCCGGGGCTCTCCATGCTTCCAAACATGTAGCCATCATGCTGGGCATTTAGGTCTTGCACCCACCTGCGATTCCCCGGAAGTCCCGTGCACTCTTCGAGAGTTCTGACGAGTGGCATGGCCCATTCGGGAGGATCGACGGAGCCACTGAGGAGTTGACGGGCCGAAACGTCGGATCGATAGGCTTGTGCGTTGGCATCTTGTCGTTCAACGATAACCGAACCTTCGATAGAGACACCGCCGAACAGGCCTCTTGTCTTGGAATAGCTATACCTGCACTGATTGTCAGCGGAAGGTGAGTTGCGGTCTTACCATGTCACGCACATAGCCGCCATCTTGCCACCAGAATTGACAGCCCCCATGGCTTCGCCGTTCCGACCAAGTGGTCCAACAGCAATACTTAGATTGCCGCCCAGAGTCAGGGAACCCGCTGCCATGAAAGATCTCTGAAGAGGAAATCAACATCCCAGAACATGTCAATCAAGGAGACAACCTTACAACCGCAGACTTGGAGTTGAGCACCACAAGGAAGTCGGTTAATTCGGCTCCAGCTTGGCCTCCTACACCGAGACCAGCTGTACCAATAGCGCTAGGTGCAGACCATGCTAGAGAATCAATCAGTATCGGCTGCACAGATACTGCCATGTCATGATACGACCGGCGGAGACAAAATCTACTTGCATCCGTCATCTAGCCTCGCAATAACTATGCCGCTTCCTGCTCGAGCAGAAAATAGGAATCCGGCCTTGAAGATGGTGAAGATAGCGAAACCCTTCGCGTTCTCGAGAATACTTCGAGGAATGACCTAACATACCAGAACTTCTAGCACAAGTCGGACGAGGACTATAAGAGCCAGAGCTTACACCATCGAGACCATTGTTTCCGCTATCCACAAAGGACTTGACTGTGATCTGGTCAGTCCTGAACGGTGAAAGAAAGACACGAAATGCGCACAAATTGAGGCAGCCTTCTGACATTCCTTTGGCAAGGGCTGAGGTAGAGGAGACCTCATGGTAGTACAGAGAGAGTTGTGAGTTTGAGCATGTTCGCAAAGTGTTAAGTTATGACCAAGTGCACCCGCGCCGGCCGGAATTGGAACTCGGGAGCCGTTGCATCATAACTCGGCACGACTAAGCAGCCCAGACCCTTCGCTACATTTCGGTGATTCCGCCCGGCAAACGCCGATGACTATAAACGTTCAGGACGGCATTTTTTCTTTTTTCTTTACGCCCGCACCTTATCACTCTTGCCCAACTCTTCCTCACTGGTCAAGGGCCATTGTTCGCTGGCGAAGATGACAATTGGCTACTCTTTCGCTAGCAGCTCTATGCGCACGTCGCGATGATGGATTTCTAGATAGTAGTGCGAGCTACATCTTTTGTCGGCTTCGTTTGTCTGGAGTTCAAGTAACTACATGAAATATAACATGTTGCTTCTTCCCTCGGCCACGGAGATGATACGATTAGTGACTAAATGCTGGCTTGACAAATGGGTGTTTCCGCAGTTTGTGGTAAGACTGCTGCGGCCTGCTGCGTGAGTACAATTATTGGCTGACTATCAGGATAGCGATGCGCTTAAAGACTAAAATGGTTGAGCAGTGTAGTTTGTGTTGCACATATTTCGTGGAGCCTCATGTGCATTGCTGCACGATCATAGTGGAACGGCTTAGCCGCCTGACAGTTCCAGTTCGCTCTTTCGAAGTTGTTCACCGATGCTGCAAAGAAGTGCTCAAGCTGCGCCATATGTTCGGATTCCATTGCCAGTGACTGTTCCAAAGAGCAGATGATAGATATTAAATCATCTGACTCTGTCCACCAGTGCCATATGTGTGATCTCAAGTGACCGCCATACAGTTTCGAGCTTGATATCTCTCCATGTTGGACACACGGTAGTGCTACGGAACTACAACGAGATATTTCTGTCTTTGCATTGGCCATATATGCCACTTACTGGCGTAAATGGTGGGCCTATCAGTCTTAATGACGAACATACACCCTGGCTTTGGGATAAGACTTCCTCCGAAGGACATGACTCCTCCTGCTAGTATCTGGATCGGATCTGGATCGACGTCAATACTCTTAATTTATAACCCTCATATTGAACGCGAAGCTTATAAGAGGCATCTTTCTTGACCGTTTTGCGGGAGTGATAAGCTCTCTCTCCATTGAAACTATCACAACACGCCGTCCGAACATGTCAGCAACTGACTCAAAACCCACCACCGATTCCAAACGTGTGGTCGTGATCGGCGCAGGTATGCGATGCATTGGGACGATCTTTTCCTAGAATGATACTCACATATTGCTTTTAGGTGTTATCGGTCTCACAACCGCGCTGAAGATCCAGGAGAAAGGTGGTTATGCCGTGACTATCGTCGCGGAAACATTCCCAAGTGACCCGAAATCTATCAAATACACAAGTATTTGGGCTGTAAGATATCTTTCTGTTCGGAAACAGTATCAAAGCTGATTTTTGTTCTATCCTACGACAGGGTGCACACCATGTCAGCCATGCTGAGGGCGAACCAAGGCAACAGAGTATGCCCTACTTCCTACTTCCCCTAACATGTACTGTATTGTGACTCCGTCATACTGATAACTACGCAGAGATCGATCAAGAAACCTTCGACGTGATGTGGGCTCTTTCTGCTCCCGGAGGGGATGCGGAAGGATGTTTCCTTCGTATCCCACAATATGACTACTATTTTGATGGTCGAGATACCCATCTCGACTGGATGCCCGACGTAAGTCCCATTCATTTCAACCAATGGTCAACGCAGCGCAAGACTAAGTATATACTTTTTAGTTCAAGAAACTCTCTCAGGATTCACTCATTCCCAATGCCGTCACTGGCGCGTCATTCACAACACTGACGATTGACACCCCAGCCTACCTAAACTACCTCTTGTCTCGTTTCCTTTCCCGAGGTGGCCAAATCGTTCGTGCCCCAATCCAACATATCAACCAAATTATCGAAGGCGGTCCCAATGTCTTTTCTCCTTCTTGGGCCGGCAAGACTCAAGTAGACGCGTTGGTGGTCTGCCCAGGACTGGGTGCACGTACTCTTGGTGGAGTCGAAGATAAGGATGTATACCCTGTGAGAGGCCAGGTTGTGATTTTGAGAGCACCTTGGGTCAGATTTGGGAGGACTACAAGCCATTTAGAACAAGGATTGTGGACGTATGTCATTCCCAGACGATCTGGCGATGTGGGTTGTTTTAAAAGTGACCTTTGTTTAAAGGTACTCAATGAACTTATCAGGTTATCGTTGGTGGCACGAAGCTGGTAAACGATTGGTACGCTAATGCCCCTTTCTCGCAGTCGTCAAAAAAGCACTCATCGATTCACTTTCTAGGTATCCAGTCGCTCGTCCCGAGACCACACGAGATATTCTCGAACGTAATCTCGCCCTCTGCCCCGAACTTGCTCCTCCAGAGGTCCGCGCCAAGCGCACCCCAACGGTAGATGACCTTTATCCAATCATCCTAGAAGAGGGATGCGGATTCAGACCTGCGCGCAAAGGCGGTATCCGTCTTGACGTAGAATGGGCTCAAAGTCCCAGGGGCTCTAAGATTCCGGTGGTATTCAACTACGGGTAAGTCCATAATGTTCTTCTCTCTAAGAATGGGTGGGAGCTCATGCATTCTAATTAAAATGAAGGCATGCCGGTGCAGGTTACCAGGCTTCCTGGGGCAGCGCCTCCATAGCTTTTGAGCTTCTCGAGAAGGCTCTGCAGCAGGGCCATGCGTGAAAAGAGGCATCACGATAGCCCTCCAGTCTGTATCCAACGTCCAATTATTTGTTTAACAAGTCTAATCAATGTCTAACAAAACAATTTTGTATTGCACGAGCTCTATTGAACTTCCTTTGCCGCCCACCACTTCCGAAGTGTGCCATCACTCGCAAAGTCCATCCGAGCAACGAACTTCGTCTTACTGAGAAGCAACGGCATCCAATACACGTCGTCTGCCCACATCTGAGAGTATGGTATCTGAGGTAACTTGGCGATTTCAGGATCTGTCGTCTCTTCCGCTGGTTGAGTAGCAAACCACTGTGGTCGCATTTCTTCCGTCCTAGCATACCAAAGTCAGCTAGTGAACGCGTGATGCAAGAAGAGACCTACTCAGTGACTTCGCCCGTAAACGTCTCTGCTGTGAAAACGTGAATGTGGAACGCCCAAGCAATTTTCTCATCCACGAAGAACAGGGTACCGCACTCGCGCAGCTTAGCCTGTATGCCGGCTTCTTCCTGTTTCGATAAGTAATATCAGACTAAGACAGGCTGCGTCGAGAAATGCAGTAGATGGACCTGGAGTTCACGTTCTGCTGCCTGTAAGCTGGTCTCGCCGGGGTCTAGTTTCCCTCCGAAACCATTGTACCTAAAAGATGTGATTATCGACAAATTTATCGTGGTTTACCACGGTTTACCCTTCGAGAGGGCCTGAGCAACTTACAAATCCTTCCCGAAGCCTCGTTTCTTGTATCCCAGCAGGATCTAAAATCGTACATAAATGTAAACGCACTGTAGAGGGATTGCATGAGTTGTACTTACCTTGCCTTCCTGTCTAATGAACGCGTTCGTGTAAGGCCGAACCTCACTAAACTGTAGCCAATCTTCAGCACCTCCATTATGCACCTCAATGAGGTTGCCCTCGTGAGTGACACCAGGTGGAGGAGATATCGACATGATAAGATAACGTTAAGAAGTGCATCGTGGATACGGCGACTTGGGCGTAATAACGAAAGTAATTTGAAGAGTGATGGGGGTGCTTCACATTGTTACTAGCAGTTCAAATACAATACTATGTATCCAAACACCACTGTCAAGATGTCCAACCGAAGGGTATACGCAAGAACTCTTCTTGGTATCTATTGCTCTACAGTCGCATCTATCTTCTTGTCTACGCGAGACTCTTTGCTCAACCTCTTGACCCGAGCAAAGATCCCGACCTCAGGATCCCTAATGAAGTTGATAATGACCATAGGCCAGGACGGATGTGAAGGAAGGGTATCGTAAAACTCCGGTGCCAGTTCCCGCAATGCGGGAAGACGTGTCCAAGCAACTGCAGGGAAGTCGTGGTGCTCGTTGTGGTATCCGACCTATTGGAACACTTCAGCGCCAAACGTTAGAGAAGGGTAAAGAGACTCACATTATAGGCAAGCACATTGAGAGGCCCGTAGTATGAGTAGGTCTCTTGTGCTAACCCGTCCCAGAGATAGTGTTCAGCGATGAAATGACCGGATAGCGGGTGTAGACTACCAGCAAAGAAACTGGACGCGAGCAGGTATATAAAAGGGCGAATACCAAAGTTCGTAATCAGCACATAGTCGAAAACAAGCTGAACCACGAGGTTGAGGAAATGCCACTGGGTCAGCTCTTGCGAGCGCACGAAACCGGGACGGAGAGCGTAGAAGAGTATTTGGAAAGTTCTGGAGTCGCAATGTGAGAAAACGTGAGAATGAGAAGAACAAAGACTTACGCGAAGAAGACCTTCCCTAGGACATTATTCAGACAAATGAGCTCCAGACGTGTAGGAAGGTCAGTATCAACGCCATCTTCTCCAAGAGCCTTGTGATGCTCAATGTGATATTTCTATACCCACGCCAACGCACGGAAGGTTGTGTTACATTGAATTAGAAGCTAGGCATGCAGTGCCTACCTTGAAAGCGGTTGAATATGGAATGCCGATAGGCAAGTTCGCGAAAATGGCGAGAGCTTTGTTTGCCTTTACGCCCTTGAAGGCCAAATTATGGGTAATCTCATGGATGGCCAAGAATAAATTGTGGTTGGCAGTTCCTCCGATCGCGTAAGCAATAAATATAAACCATGGAGAAAGCACCTTGGTATGGCGAAGCAATATGGCAAGGGTGACTTGCAAAGAAACCACGAACAAAACAACGTATTTTGTCAAGGGTTCATAACCCATGAGCTTCGTAACCTAATGTTCTTTGTGAAGCGTCAGGTCATCGCGTAATTTACAGCTTCTAACGCGTACCTCGGGATGTGCTTTCATGATGGCCATTCTTCGAGAACGATGAGGCTCTTCTGTCATTACCCAGAGGAAATCCGATGGATCCTGAGCAGGTCCGGGGTATGATCGGCCATCATCTTCTGCTGTAGGTGAAATGACCGTAGTTCTACGTGGCGACCGGCCTTCGTCCAGAGATTCAGCACCTCCGAAGTAGCTGAAATCTTGAGAAACTGAGAGACGGAAAGGTGGACAATTTCAAATAAAATAGCCAACCTATTTTTGAAGTGTCATTGAGGACGCGTTCAGTGCTCGTAGTTGCCATGAGAGCTGAAAGGCACCTTAATGAGGTTAGAAATGGGACGACTGGGAAATATTCATTGTTTGTAAATGTTGTCCAGAACCTTTGATCTTAATGCCAAATCAGGAAGCTATTTACTTGTAAATTGACACAATGATTCCCACCCAGTAACTTTCAGGCCTGATTTCTACTATGACTCTTCACCTGCGATTCGCATGATCTACATGCCCGCGCATTGATCTTCTTACTAGTGAGAATTTCAAGAGCTGCGCTTTCAAACGACTGCGCATTGAGCAATCTGGTTCAAACTCTCCGCCGTGATGGAACGACACCGATACGATTATGATCCTGACCGCCCTTTACCCAGCAAATTCTCATCTGTTCCCCATCCTCCTCGCCCTCCACCAGGAAATATAGCCCCATGGGCAATGCGAGGACGTCCAATGGGTCCCTCAGTCCCTCGGGGTCCACCCGATCGGTACTTACAACGAGATGGTGGATACAGGCATCCGTCTGAGAATCGTCCACATATATCTCCAAACTACCGTGGTAGGGGGCGTGGTCGAACCATGACGAAGGCCTCTGGATGGGGTGGACCTCCAGCCAGGATGAACACAAAAGCGGCAGGAACGTCTTTTCCTCCTCGCATGACGGGTGGCGTGTTCCAACCAATTGATAACTCATCACACCCATCCAACGATACCAGCACATTTAAAGCCAGTGGTCGACCCAGCCTTCCAACTAAAGTACCTTCCAAATTCTCATCGCGCTCTGAGGACGACGCTAGGCGCAGAAAACGCGACATTAATGACGTTGGCGTGCGCTCTGCTCCACGCATGATTGCTTCCACTTCCCTCACTAATCGACCGCAGCAACTATCTTCTACTGGTGCACGAGGTTTTCAGCCTCGAAAAGCAGCCAGGAAGTATGGTTTCTATCTCGACAACGGGGTGCTACGTCCGACCAAGAGCGCTAATGATGATTCTGAGGAAGACCATCCAGTTGATAAACCCGCCTCACCACCTAGGTATAATGTTTCGTTTGACTACATTGTATCAATGTACTAATAGAGGTATGAAACAGGCCCAGGAAAACCATGCCACACATGCAAGCAGTGGCACCGGTGAAAGCAGCTCGGAAGCATGATCAAGTAGCATCTAAGTCCAGTATCTCAGGAGGACACAATGCCCAAAAGACTATTTCTAATCCTGCTAGTGCCGCCAGTGCCGATATCATTGAACTGTCTGATTCCGATGAAGCCAAAAATAACACGGGCGACGACATAGCCCATCTTCTCTCAGCCTTAAGTAACCTCAACATCGGGGCAAGGCGGTTAAGAGAACATTCAAGGTTACCTTTCTTAAGGCGTAATCTTCGCCACGGTTTCCTGGCTAAATGTAGGATGGCTGGTGTACAGGTAGCACCGAAGAACCCCCCAGCTCATGCCGTGGACATTACGTATCGATACCTTCACGATGACGATGAGTCGGGAAGCGATGGCGGGTCGTCCAGCTCTTCAGTCGACGTTTACGAGGAAAGGCGAACGAGTATGCTGACATGGCTGTGCCCGTTGTGCGACATGCATGGAGAATTCCCAAGACGCGAAGTCCTGAAGTTCCATCTTGACCACGATCATGCTGGTGTGAATGTCGATTGGATAAACTCAAGCAGAAATCAGGTGCGTCCGATTGACATATCTGAACAGTTGTTGTACGGCTGACAGTGATCACTCAGGCGGAGGCGTGGCGAATGATCATCACTATTCCTCCTGCTGAGTCCATTGCTGAAATAGAGGTAGAATTCGAAGAGGACGATGATGAGTCGGAGAAATCTGACTCGCCGTCACCGGAGAGGTGCGTTTTCGATGCTGAATGCTAATTCTTTCAACGTTGTTGATTTGATATAATGACAGTCCTGCGGCAGCGGACGATGATTCTGATTTTATTGTAGAGATAAGCCCTCCAGGAACCTTGGCTATTGAATCAATGGACAACCCGGTCTCTCCAATAGTACTAGATGATGACGACGATGATGTTCAGGAAGCTCTTCCACCTGTCATCGAGATAAAACACAAGTTCCGGGCACCCTCACCACCGTTGTTATCCACCCTACAGAATCAGAGAGAGGACCGTGACTCTGGCAGGCCGCCGTCATACAGAGGATCACTACCCGATCGATACCCATCACCGCCGCCTCCATCGAATCTCCATGGACCAGCAGCTCAATATCCGTACCTGTACGCAGTTGAGAAAGAGGGGGAAACTGTGTATTCGTGCCGGCCGGGTGGTCCTAGGTTATTCGACCTACTAAACACACTTCCTCTGAAACGCTTCGGAGTACTCTCGTGGATGATAGTCGACAGGGAGGAAGAGCTTTATGAACTGGAAGACGTAAACGATGAGGACAAATGCATGCTCGCTCTATGGAACAGGTGGATCATGTTGAACCGGTATGTCAAAGGCACACTAACTTGAGACGTCCTAATCTCATTTCGGCCATCTGACAGAGTCAAGTTCGTGTTTGAAGGATACGCTGATGGGGTCACGGAATTTATAGATGAATACTGGCGAATGATACACCTTGCTGCCGGATGGGGAGCTTTGAGGGCCTTTTTACTTGTGAGTGGTCCTTCATGATGTGATGGTCCATTTTGATAGATTTCGAACTCAGATGCTCATGACTGAGCGGTATCTCACTGTTTCTGAGGTTGCCCGTCTGTTGAAGTACTACGAGGAAAAGACGGGGATGAAAGACTGGTACAAGAATACAGAAGATGCTTTAGAGTGAATCAATGAATCAGCTGGTACCACTTTATTGGTTTCCAATATCATTTTGACACACTGTATGATTTTTCTCTATCTTCATAACTGCATCTGAGAACAACTGGTTACATATTGCATATAACCTCCTTACGTTTCAGGGAAACGCAGCTGGAGATAGAGGAAAAGACAGTGTATGAAGGTGAGACTAAACAATGTAGAAGGTTGTAGCTCCCAGACTCGTTATAAGTGCTAGCTGCTCCCTACATAGAAACGCCTTACACTGCCTTGTGCATGGCTCCAGGGGTAGTACGGTTCTATCCACACTTTTCAACTCCCAGTGTACTCGAGTATGCAAAATTTAGTTTTCCTTCTATAGTGACGCCAACTTATGGATGCGGTACACCGGAAGGTCATCAGGTCCGTCACCAGCAACATCGTGATATCGCGCAAGTGAACAAGAATGCCAGTGGCGGTTTCGCAGCAGATCGGATCGCAGACCTTTTTCAACCTCGCTGAAACTGCCATTGTTAATCCGCCCTCTGAAATCCGGGGCTTTGGCTTCGATGGATGACTCATTGCCACATTCCTGGCAAATTCAGATACAAGCTTAGTATCCCTGAGGCAGAGTAGAGAGAGACGTGACCTTCGTGCTTCAGGATATCTCTGATACAAATTAGGACATTTACATGAACAGGTGACATCGGCTTGGAAGAATGCACGATTTTGGGAGAAGCACTTACTAATTAGCTTCCATGCATCAGTCATAACTTAGCTTTGATTGGTTCTGGTCTGATGTCACACGTCTATTCGGTTCTCCTCTAAATGAGAATATAAATGCCTTGAACTAACCTGTGTGCGCTTGACTCGCACCGGCGAATTTGAGTTGCGGAATGTCGATGTCTGTTTCTATTCAGGAACATGAAGTCCTGAGAGAAATTGTCGCATACCATATGTATTACCAGCAGCTGGCTCAGAAGGCGCCAGGTACTGTAGACATCTTGTTAATACTGTCCCGCTGGACGTCAATACGGCGCGCTCTCGGTATATTCGGCACGGTCTCGGCATGTTGGTCCTCGCTTGTGCTCCACTTTATGCATGTTCACTGACACTACTTGCGTGGTCCATCGAATGCCTCTCCGTAACCGTCCAAAAATGTTCTAAACAAAATACCAGTAGAAACTAGCTCAGATGCCTGCAGGACGAGGCCCTGTTTAGCGGTAACACAAAGTCAAGAGTAGGAAAAGGGAGGGAAACACCTACCCCGGCCTCGCTCCTCCCCCCTTCTAGTTGTAAACTAGAAATACTGTATAGTTGACGTTTCATTTTCGCCGTCTCCTTAGCTCCCGCTACTCGGCGGCTCGCTCCGGCTCCTCCTATGCTAAGGTCGATGGTTGCTGCTTCAGCCATTTGCAACAATCTACGACGTCGTGAGTTTCAATACTATGGTTTGACAATTCCTGTAAACCCAAGGTAATGGGTTCATTCAACATAGACTTTTATTTCTAGGATTTGCTCTTAATCCTACGGAAAGGCATTCGCTATAGTGTATTTCTATTCTTTGATGCATTCCCATACTATGCTTTTCACGGTGCCACCGTGATCTTGAATTGGTCCGTACCTCCGTCCTTTCCTTTCTCGCTGTCATATCTGCCGCGGCCCTTTGGACTTACCCGTCATTGACCCTGGCCAACCGCCTTTTCTCCATCCGAGCGTCCATTTGACCTAATCGCCGGTGCTAAGAGCCTTGAACAATGGCGGAAAACTAGCACCGTCTTCTTCGCCGGTTTAACTTCCATGTACCTGTCAAAAAATGCTCGCTCTCTTTCCATTTTTGCTTTGAGCCTCAAGGCATCGCTTTCTCCCTCCTTTTAAAACCATGGCTTTCTTCACCGCATCTCCCTGTCACTCCTACTCACCTACTCTGACATGTCCAAGATAGTCGTAAGTACCCTGTCTACGACATTGTCTATGTCATCGTATTCAGATAGCCGTTGTTTTAGGCTGCCGCAGACGAGGTTCACCTCGCTGACCGTCCTCTCCCCATCGCCCCCGACGGTCGTTATGACTGGCAAGTCAAGCCCACCACCGACACGCCTACCAGCAAGGACGTCGACCAGCACTCCATCCTCTACACCCTGTCTTCCGACATTGAAAAACGTATCAAGAGCGGCCCCCTAGTCAAGGATCCTAAGATTATTGTACGTCCTAGTGTTTTGCATTTTACCCTTGTCGGATGTTTGACTTGTCGTTGCATAGGCCGCCGCTTTGGATGTATTTAAGAATAAAGATGCCATCGACGACCGCAAGGGTCTCGTGAGTGCCTTCCATGTCCAACTATCTTATCACAATCATGATACTCATTCCGCGTATAGTTCACCACGGCACTCTCCATCCTCTGCCAACTTCCTCCGGACTCTGAGATATCCAAAAAGCTCAATGACAGCGCTATTACTGTTCTTTACAACTCCCTTCCGCATCCCCCAGCAACCTACATTGGTAGCGACATCCCTGTTGCTATTCAACCTCACCAGCCCGGTGACGTGGCGACCGCCGACAAGGCAGGCTCTACCCTGAACACTGCCCTTGTTGATGGGAAAGGGGTACCTATCCCTAGGTCGCCGTGGCAGTTCAGAAGCGCTGATGGTAGCAGGAATAACCCTCTTATCCCAGAATTGGGTAAGGCAGGGTTGCCATATGCGAGGAGTGTGCAGGGCAAGCATCCGTTTGCCTCCAATGGACTTCCAGACACTGGATTGGTGTTTGATAGTTTGTTGAAAGCTCGTGACGTATGTATATTTTGTCTCACGTGCTTAGGATAATCGTCAGTCTAATCTGTTGGTCTCATAGTGGAAGCCTCACCCTGGAGGTAACTCATCCCTGACGTTTGCATATGCGTCTCTCGTCACGCACCAGCTCTTCCGTACCGACCCTCGTGATATGACCAAGAACAACACTTCATCTTACCTTGACTTGTCGATCTTGTATGGTATCAACCAAGACCAACAGGACTCAGTACGTAACAAGGCAGCTGGACGGGGATGGCTCTGGCCAGATAGCTTTGCAGAGGACAGGTTAATCCTCGTCCCGCCTGCTTCAAGTGCGTTATTGGTCATCCTGAGCAGAAACCACAATGTAGGCAGACTGCTGGCATTGAATGATACATGAGCTGATGATTTGTGTAGTACATTGCGAATATGTTGTTGAAGATCAATGAACGTGGACGTTGGAGCGACCCGCCTCCAGAAGACCCTGTCAGGCGCGCGTTACAAGATGAGGAAATATTCCAACTTTCGCGCAATGTCAAGTACGCTTTTTTGATTGAGTTCTTAATCTGACTCGCACTAATATAAGTCCCCTTTCTCACTAGTTGTGGACATTTCATATCCATGATATTCGGTGACTATGTCGCTGGATTCTTGGGCCTTGGACGGGATGGGAACAGTTGGAGCATGAACCCGTTCGACGTCAGTTCACTCTTCTCATACTACGAATGTCGTTGAGGTACTAAAAGTTCATACGACTGTAGCCTATCAAGACAGATGACGGTATCGACATCTCTAGAGGGCAGGGAAATCACTGCTCGGTTGAGTTCAACGTTTTGTACCGTGTACGTCTCTTATTTCTTAAAGCTCTTCCTCGAATGTGTCCCTGACCAAAACTCTACTAGTGGCATGCCACAACGTCCCAAAAGGACATCGCTTGGACGGAGGACTTATTCAACAACGCGTTCAACAGTAAAGCTTTTGATCAGCTTCAGATGTCAGACTTCGTTGGTGGTGTGACGAACGCTTGGAAGCAAGTCGATCCTAATCCTAGAACAAGGGCATTCGCTGGGTATGTCATTGGTTTCGATGTACAGTCATAGTATGCTGACGATATTTTCTTCATCAGTCTTAAACGTGGACCAGATGGTTCTTTCTCCGATGATGATCTCGCACGAGTCTTGCAAGATGCCACTGAGAATACGGCTGGCACATATCGTGCTCGAGGTACTCCTGCGGTTTTGAGATTGATCGAGATCGTGGGTATGGAGCAGGCGCGTTCATGGGGCGTTTGTTCAATGAATGAATTCAGGAAGTTCCTTGGCTTGAGGCAGTTTGAGAGCTTCGAGGAATGGAGTTCCGACCCCGAGATTGCTGTAAGTTCGCATTGCCTTTCCTAGCTTCAGGCATACAGATGCTGATTTTCTGGGGGTTTCAGAATGCAGCGAGACAATTGTATGGTCATATTGATAATTTGGAATTGTACCCTGGTTTGCAGGCGGAGGATTGTATGCCTTTGGGACCTGGTTCGGGTATTTGCTGTGGTTATACCATGACGCGTGCTATCCTCGGTGATGCTATCGCCCTCGTTCGTGGTGATAGGTTCTTCACTCATGACTACACACGTAAGTTGTCCTCTCATTCATCCTCATTTTCTTCCGACCAACCGCCTTCGGTTTACAGCTGCAAACCTCACCACTTGGGGTTTCCAAGACTGTGCTCGTGACCCGAACAATGGCGCGTTCGGGGCGGCTCTTCCCAAGCTCCTCTTCCGTCACTTGCCTCGTCATTACCCCGCTAACAATGTCTACGCCCTCTTCCCCTTCTTCACCCCCGAGGTTACCCGTCAAAACCTGACCAAGCTTGGTGTCGCTGATCAGTACTCGTATGATCGTCCCAAGGCCCAACCGATCCCTAAGGTCGTGGATACCTTAGCGGGGATCCGATATGTGTTTGCTGATTACCAGAAGTTCAAGACGACGTATGGAGATGACATGAGGATGCTGACGAATGGGTATGGGTTCTTCCTTGTATTCGATGAGCAACCGAAGTACGTCCTCGATATATGCCAGCCTTGAGAATGGCATTGACATATTCTTTAGGCACGAGACTGATCGCGGTCAGCTCTTGCATGCTCTTTTCCCAGAGCCTGCGTCCCTTACGGCTTATACCTCTTGGTACAAGGAGAAGACCATCGAATTTGTTCTCGAGCATTCGTATAAGATTCAAGGTGTCCCTGGTACTCGCGTGGATATTGTTCGCAATGTCATCAATCTCGTTTCTGTACATTGGGTTGCCGATTGGCTCATTGGTATCCCGCTGAAGACGAAGGCTAACCCCAAGGGCTTGTTCACCGAGCAAGAGTTGTACGACATGTTGACGATCCTCTTCCAATGCGTCTTCATCAATGTGCAGCCAGAGCATGGGTGGGCGTTGAGGCATGGCGCGAAGCAAGTAGGGGATATAGTGTTACAGATGATTGAGAAGAGTTTAAACGAGGCCTCGCCTAAGACTGCTTCGGTATGTTATGATTCTATCTCTCCTGTTCTGGCTTCTGATCCTTGGGCAATCTAGAACCCTTTGACGAATATCTTCAATGCCGTTTCGAGCTTGATTTGGCGTCCCGAGGATAAACAGTGTTATTCATTCTTGCGCAAACTAGCGGACACCGGACGTCCGACAAAGGAGTTAGTTGCGCAGGTCATTGGATTGGCTGTTGGATCTTCTGTTAACTATTCTCACGGTTTGTTTTGTTTGCATCTTTGTTTTTGCATCGACAATGCTGATCTTTATGGTCCGATTACAGCTACGGCACAGGTCATCGACTTCTATCTTGATGACGAGCGCACTAAAGAACGCAATGAGATCATTCAATTAGTCAATAAGAGGGACGCGCAGTCTGCCGAGCTACTCCGTGGATATGTTCGAGAGGCCCAACGTGTGTTCCTCTTCTCCGTTTGATCTTTGTCTTGTTTGACTGATGTGGTGGGACACGTCTAGGATTAAATCCACAATTTGCTGGATTGTTGCGAGTAGCTGTTGCTCCTGATAGTATTCCTTTGGGTAGCGGCAAACCTCCAGTGCAAGTCCAACCAGGGGACATCATCTTTAACAGTTTCCGTAATGCTCATCTCAACGTGTGTCGATACCCTCCTGTTCCCTGGTTGATAACCCTTGACGTGTTTTATACTTTTATTTAGCCCGTGGATTTCCCGAATCCCACTACTGTGGACCCTCGTCGAAAGGCGAATCTTTATGAGAACCTTCAAGGTGGCGGTTTCCACAACTGTCCTGGTGTCAATTTTGCACAGCAGGTTGGCAATGTTACGTTTCATTTCACCTGGTTCTCGCGCTGAAAACCATCTCTACTAGACTATCCCTGAAATTCTTAGGGTTGTGTTTAGCTTGAAGAATGTTCGCCGTGCACCTGGTGCTGCTGGACGCATGGCACAGTTCATGCTGCCCCAGTTTGGCACCGACAATAAGGTGTACCTGTCTGATACTGGCAATATCTCAGTCTGGCCTGGCTCTTTGACCATCGTGGTATGCAATTCGGTGTTAGTTTGGCCTACGTGGAAGGTTGCTCATGTTTTTATTTCTGCAGTACGACGAGTGAACACCTGGTCAAGCGCTGCGGCTGACGGACTTCGTTTAAGTACTCGTCTCGTTCGCGGTTTATGCTCCGTCATGCTCGGATTCTTCTCCCGTCATCCCGTCATTATATACATACTGCCATCGATCTGTTTGTTTGACTCATGCTTTTGTCTTTGAACGTTGCTGTGACACGATGAACCGACAATATGAATCCGATTAGGGCAAAGCGAAGACTATTTATAAGTGAGAGGTACTTAGTTTGACCAACGTGTACATTTTATCGCCGTCACGTACCCGACCCCCTTCGTCTCGAGCCATGAGGACTGTTTCTCATCTATGTTAACTCTGGTTAGAAGTGTTCCTGCTTTATAGCGGGATGAGATCCTGCCGTATGTGGACGAGTATGTCGAGGCCGCCGTAAAACGTGGTGCCAGTCATTCTTGAGCCGGGGTTGCCATCGAGTATGCAGTTACTAACGTGCAAGCAATACTAGTACGGTACACTTTGGTAGTCATGTCTTTCAGTCTTGACTGCTCTACTGTATGTTGTAATTGTCCTTGATTATGTCGTTCACGACTGTCGGCGTCGCGGCGACCTTGCGACGATGGTCAGTCAGTTGTTATTCCATTAAGTCGCAGCCCGGCGGAAAATGAGTGGATAACTTCCCATAACCCTAAATTAGAACCAATTGAATTGTTCCCGCAAGCTGCAGATGGTTAGTATTGGCTCATCACGCATAAGGTTGTGACTTTACTCCTGTCTTGTGGTGAATCTATGTGTTTGTTTGACGGATCCGACTTGCGGCATGGGAGGAGTAGTGGCAAGGTTCATCCAGCCATTTGGTAAGTACTGCTGTCTCTCTCACTGAAAACAACCCAGATATCAAACTACACCATTGAATTCTTGCGATCTGTCGATGAAGGTTATGATGAATGGCTGAAAACATATAGAGTCTGACATGTCAAGTATCCCCTACATGGTAGACTTCACTGAGATAATCCATAATTCGATGCTCAACCTCGAGTAAAGGAAACACATGGGAGAAGAAAAAGTCTGAACCGTGTGCTTCTCTTAGTGGCGCGTGACTGAGTCTTGGAGCTCTATGCATACATCCTCGACGGGGAAAGCAGGCAAAGTTGACATGATGCCATTGTGTGAGTTTCCGGTAGAGCCGAAATCTATTTCCGTACTGGTCAGCACATTGGATGGGGCTGAAGGGTGGATGAGTTCCTTGAGTACGTTCAGCTGTAAGTGAGACCCCTAAAATGCATGTGAAAGTCAGTTAAAGTATGAAATCGGAGAAATCTCACGCATACTGCGAAAGAAAACACGACGATTGCCCAGCTATGAATTGTAAACATCTGCTCTGTCAAGCTCATGAGACGTCACTTACGCAAAGCAAATTCCAGAAATTATGCTTTGATTGAGTCGAAAGAGCAAGATATTCATCAAAGTGAAAGCTAACAAATAGACGGTGCATTAGGAGACAATTGCGTATCTGAGTCATGGTGAAATGGACTCACAGAAAATTAAAGCATAGGCCCACATACCGTCTCGAATCAGGACATGTAGTATGGATCGAGTGCCCAAGCGTCGATCAACGCTGGTGTAGAAACGGTAGCAGGTTAAAACGAATAAGATCGTTTGCATTCCCATCGATGCCAACCTAACCATGGATGAGTACTACGGAAACAGAAGAGACGGACGGAGGTTGCTTACCAGCTTCCAGCATAGACGGCCGGTGTCTTCAAGATAAGACACTCGGATGCAACAACCATCTTCGGTATTGCAAGGACTGCACAAATGATCATAGATGACGTTTCAATCGCAAAAGCGATCAAAAGTGTAACAAGCAGGGCCCTGTTACGAGCAAATAGAACGTATACTTCCAGACACATGAATGCACTGTGAACGTCTCCGTAACAGATGGGATCTACTTACTTCGCAGTATGAGTATTGCGTCGACCAACAAAACTACAGATAGCAGGGTATAGCCTTGCACCACGAGCCAGCCTATACACTGTCTGGGTGTGAAACGTTCTGCAACGCTTACCCCGGCGTTCAGGACCATCGTCGAACTAAATCGAAGTAGCACCCCAATTCAGTGTACTGTGGATGAAAAAGTGTATAACTAAATGCGACCAACCCTATGCCAAAAATTGGGAAATGTCGGACATAAAGGTATGACCATTTGACCCAAGTGTTCCGTGCCCTTTTAGAGTTGAACAAACAGTAAGTATCGTGCAGTACAGTGGACGTACCGCCAGATATAATGAATCTTTAAATCATGACAGAAAACACATAAGCAAGGACAGAAACGTAAGGCATACGATAACCAAAGTTACTTCGTCCGACAAGTTGATCAGCATATCCCAAAATAAAAATGTCAATGCCGCAACTGCCATCGTGCTCAATGTCTTCTCGAGTGTGGTTATCCGAGAGAGTAACTCACCGACAGTTCTACTGAGCACCCATTCGGCAGATTCTCGCATATCTGCGTAATGAATATGAACGTCGACAACGTGGGTAGAGAGGAAGTTGAAGGTCGCCTGTATATACAGTAGTATCCGTGTGAAAGGCAGAAGATAGGCAGTGGGCGGTCCGGGAGACATAGATGCTAATTGGTTCCAGCTGCGAAGAACCTTCATAAAGGTCAAATTACAGCTCCCTCCCAGACTGCCTAATTGGCAATGGACCCATCATGTTTCACAACACTCACTCTCGTCAAGATCATTGCCCCCGCCCAGCGTGAATTTAGATATGTATCGAATTGACCGGAGTCAAGTCACAATCAGGGCCTGCTGTAAGATTGAGTTCTGCAGGACAGTTATGAATCAAAGAAGAACATACAGTTCCTGCCACGATGACGTTGGAAACCAATGAAGGAATGTAACTTGACCCACTTTAACGGGTCTTCCGTGTCCTTGTACCAGAGATTCATCCCCGTCTCTTTCCCATAGTATTTCAATGGACAGGCAACCTCAGAAACAGTGAGATACCGTTCAGTCGTCAGAATCTGAGTTTAATATCAATCAGTACCTCCACACGATCTCATCATGAAGAAGCTCACATACATGTGAAAAAGCCTTCAACACTCCCCGTCCGGAGGCAAGGTGTATCATCCGCTAGTATTCGTCAAGAAAGACCGTGACCCCATCAGCATGTCCTTCAAACACAAGGTTAATTCTGTCAGGTGGCAGCAATTAGGTTAGAGCATGTCAACGTTACATGACTTCGACATACCGGTTCAACATGATCTATCTGTTCCATAGAACGAGCATGCATTTGCCCTCACCATTGACATCTTCCAGCTCATAAAACTCTTCCTCTATCGACTGGCATCCGTGAGGATACTTCGTAGCATTTCAGAGGGAGCGTGTGTAGCCTGAGACCACCCGATCGACACGAATACGACGCTTCCCCTCTTGCTCAACCGCATACAGGTAAGGGGATTCGACGGAGACGGTGTGGTGGATATCTCTCAGGAAATGTTCATCTGTACGACGGCAGCCAGCAACGGTGCTAAACTTGTGCTTGATTTCAAAGCAGTTGCTGATTCTTCCCGGATGCCGCTGTCGTGCGACATTGAGCAACATTAGAGATAGCGGGCTGTCCGCTGACTCAATGGACAAGAACCCCAGAAGGCTTCTCTCGGTGGCAAATTCAAGACTGTCGACATATCAAATCAACAATGTTGGAAGAATTGACGTTCTGTGTTGAAGACATACCTCTCCGGCGGCGAGTCGGCTTCCTCCGACTCGTCAACGCCCTCTTCGAATTCTATCTCTGGTTCAGCAACGGAGGGCGGAGTATTGAGGACTATTCGCCACGCCTCGGCCAGACTAGGACTGGTCACTGTCAGCTGCGCAACAATAGTTCAGAAATGTCAATCGGGTGCACCTGATTCTCACTTGAGTTTGTCCAATCGACATCTACATCAACATGATCGTGGTCAAGGTGGAACTTTAATACTTTCGCATCTTGGGAATTCTCCGTGCATGTCGCACAACGGGCACAGCCATGTTAGCATAGGTACTCGTTCGCCTTTCCTAGTAAACTGAAGAACTTCTCCGATAGCCCCTGCTCCTTTGGTCTCTTAAGGCTAGCCGAACATGTTCAAAAGCCTTCAGTAGATGTGACATGTGAGTCGGAGTGTGATGTTTCAGGTCGTCATTGAATGCGCATATTCACTTTACTGCAAGTACTGTATCTACAAACTGGATGACGAGATTACGTTGAAGCACAGACGAGATGAAGACTTTCATTCAGTTGCTGTCATGCTGCTTCGGGTACCGTTTCTAGAAAGAAATGCACCATTCAGTCTATTCCATTAATTCGGGATACTGAAAAATGAGGAACCTTCATTGTTAAATGTTCTGAGAATCTTGCACAAATGTTGATGGACCTTCATCCGCATTGATAGATCCCCACTGCATTCTAGCATTTCAGGAAATACTATACGTTGGGGTGTCCCTGCAAAGGCATATGCATAGGGTTGTGAGGTATCGGGTGCGAAAAGGCCGGGTATTTCGATTTTCTTCGATCCTGGTGAGGGGAAAAAGAGCCAATAACTCGTCACGCACCGATCTAACATCGACATGCCCAAAATTATGCACACAATATCGTCGCACGAGAGACGATTCGGGGTGGGCGGTAAGATCTAACGGAAACCCCGTCTATTTTCAAGTATGAAGCTGACTGTTGCAGATTACTTTGAGTCTTTGAACCGGTGCCTTGGAGTCAGGAAAAGTTGACATGATCTAATCTAACTGCGGTCATCTGGCAGAGATAAAATTGTATTTGAAGAATACACGGATAGAGTCACGAACCTAGATGATTGCTGGCGGATGATACACCTCACCGCTGGGCCGGGAGCATTCAAAGGGGGCATTTTTACTCGTGAGTGGCTTCTTCATGGCGTGATTGTATACATTGACAGATGTTACGCTCAGCACCGGTCTACGGAAGTAATACGAGGAAAAGACGGTGATGAGTCTCTGGTATAAGAATACGGAAGACCCCTCAGAGTGAATCAGATTGCATCAAGTCTCCAACGTCATCTTGGTGGGAATCGTATGATCTTTTTTTGCTTGTATCTATTGGATCTAACTCAGTCAAACAGCATGATATCCCACGTCGTAACAGAGCCCAGGTGAAGAACCTGATTCATGTCAAGCAGAAGTCTTACCAATGACAGGAAATACGGTGAAGCATCATGCAACCCATTGCCAGTTGGACAGTTTGGCAGGGTCCCTTGACTTGACATTTGTTAAGGTTCTTCGCAACTGAACGCAATAAGTATCCATGCTTTTCGGACTGCCCACTGTCCATCCTCTGTCACTCACACGGATACCATATATCAGCATCCTTCGACTTCGCCACCATTCACGCCGTTCATGTTCATATTGACTCGGATATGCAAGAATCTGCCGCAATAGCGATCAGCAAGTCTAATAGTGAGTCACTCGACATGGTTTGTGGACATCTACAAGGCATCGAGCACGACGGCAGTTGCGGCTTTAGCATTCTTGTTCTGGGACATGCTGATCAACTTGTCGGATGAGGTAGGTTCACTTATCGTATGCCTCGTACTTCCGTCTTTTCTTATGCACTGTCTTTCATGATTCAAAGATTGAGTATATGTGGAGGTGTGTCTAATACACTGCATGATAGTTGATGTTTGTTCAACTTTAAAGAAAGAGCACGGAATACTTGGGTCAAATGGGCATACCTTTATATTCGGCATTTTCCAATCTTTGGCATAGCGTTGGTCGCTTTCGGTTATACACTGTTGCATCGCTAATCCGCTGAATTGGGACGCTACTTTGGTTTAGTTCGATGGTGATACTGAACACCGGCGTAGGCATTGCAGGACGTTTCACACCCAGACAGTGTATAGGCTGGCTCGTGGTGCAAGGCTGTATCTTGTTATCTGTGGTTTTGTTGGTCGACGCAATACTCATACTGCGAAGTAAGTATATTTCAATTCATATGGAATTTGTCAACAGTGCACTCATATGTCCCGAAGTATACGTTCTATTTGCTCGTAACAGGGCCCTGCTTGTTACGCTTGTGATCGCTTTTGTGATTGAAGCGTCATCTACAATCATTTGTTCAGCCCTCGCTGTGCCAAGAATGACCCTTGGATCCAAGTGTCTCATTTTGAAGGCACCAAGAGTCTATACCGGAAATTGGCAAGCTATTTAGATCCATTTCTTATGTATTCGTGTATTCAATCGCAAACAGGTTGGCATCGATGGGAATGCAAACGATCCTGTTCATTTTAACCTGCTACCGCTTCTACACCAGCGTCGATCGACGCTTGGGCACTCGATCCATACTCCATATTCTGATTCGAGATGGCATCTGGGCTTACGCTTTCATATTTGGTGAGTAGATGTTACTATGATCAGTAGTTCTCTCTCAATGGTGTGTCTATATGTCAGTGGCTGCTTTGACGAATGTGCTGCTCCTTCGGCTCCAACAGAGCGTCATTTCTGGAATTTGCTTTCCGTAAGTGACATCTCCTGGTCCCGATAGGGCATATGTTCACAATTTATAGCTGGGCAATTGTCGCGTTTTCTTTCGCAGTATGTGTGAGATCTCTTTCATTTCAAGCTTTTGCTGATTTTAACATGCATTTTAGGGGTCACATCTGCAGCTCAACGTAGTCAAGGAACTCGTCCATCCTTCAATCCCGTCCAATATACTGACCAGTACGGAAATGGAGTTAGGAACTATCGGGAACGCCAATGCCCCCTTGTGAGCCTTGGCAGGATTCGCTCTTGAAGAAATATTGTAGCCGTAAAGTTTCGAGAACGTGGGCAAATAACAAAGGAACATGGCCCATCCTTTTTTTCTTTCCTGTTGCTTGCCGTTTTCGCTCATGATTTTTGACTGAAGATTGGACACTGAATCCTTGACGTTAGCTCACTGAAATATACAAAGATGCCAACAAACCGATCTCTCTAACGTTTTCAATGATTTGCCACAGCCGCTGCCTTCGACTGGACTCCACTCCCAACGATAGCATTTTCTGAAAGCACTGCTACACGGAGCATCATAACATATCGATGCATGTCACAGTTCTCTACAACTCATGCACCGTCAGTTCTCAACTCAAAAAAACGAAATTCGCTTTGGGAAGCTCAAAGCTGCGCATCCATGATTCACAGGGACGATTACTAGGCTGAGAGCCGCAGCAACCGGTGTTCTAAACCTTCCCGCTTCTTCACCCCATGTTAAACCACTCCTAACACTTCCCAAGCATTCAGGACCCCATCGTCGCAACTAAATCTAATTGAATTGACCGATTGTCCCACAAGAACCATCCCGACGGACGACTTCATAAATCGCTAGTCTTAGACTCTGAAGCTACTGTGGGATATTTCTCGATATCTCTTGGCACTTGTGAGTGGATTCTTTGCTTCTTTTTCTCCATGAAGTGGTGAAGATGCATATTGACTCTCATCGTTTGGTTCGTGATTCACACGAGCATGGAGGACTTCTTCATCCAAGTGGCTGCTTGATCTGCGACGTCTCGGGCTCTCGTGACTCCAACTTCGAAGACCATGCGAATATTATCTACCTTCGGCCGAAACATTCGCGATCTCTGCTTGCCAGTCTGCCATATTGTCGCTCTAAACCACCTGTAAGACACCATCTTAAACTCGCGTTCTGCCTAAACTACCGAATGCACCGCACAGGAATCCTCCAACTGACTGGTTCCGAGTCTGCACTTTCTCCATCCGAACAACCCCTCGCCCTCGAACGCAATACAATTCAACTGACAGATTCGCCGGACCCTTGATCAAGAAGCGTCTTTTGCATAAGTCTTATTATCCCCGTTGACGTTCCTCCTGTGCCTTTGCGACTTGGATTTGCTCGTTAAGGATACGCAAAAGCGTGGAAAATTTGAACCTCACGGACTGCGCGATGAGCAGCGACGCGTTGGCGGCTCTCATCCGTTCATTCCGGCGACTCATTAAAGTTGAAATTCGTAATGTAACTGTCAATATTCTAGACGATCTGGATGCCATTCCCATTCGCAGAGTAGACAGTGCTGAAACTCCTGCAGAGGCACATACCAGCAACACAAGGTCATCCATCTCAGCTGAACCACCCGTATTTTTTCCTCTCACATCCTGAACCACTACTGCAGGTACTTTGTATAGAGCAAGACGATGATTCCTTCGATTTCGACACCCTGAAGAATTGGCTTTTACCAGGACACGTTGCATCTTCGTTGAAGGCGTTATTCTTTGGCAGAAGCTTGAAAGCAACCCCCTTCACTAGGTTCATCTCCGACTTAGGCTCTTGTCCGTCATTGGAATATATTGAATGCAATGTATATGAGATTGGTACGCGGCAAATGGTTTCGTTCTACTGATGTTCTAACATCTTCGCATGTATAGATAAATTCTCCGGACTTGACCTATCCAAGCTCTCAAACCTCAGAACACTATGTTTTGCTCTAGGGTACTTTCTTGAAAATGAGGTCATCGACATTTGCCGCATTCTTTCCCGACTCCATGGCTCGCGTCTGAAAGAGGTTATCTGTATCTTGAATTGGAGGGATTAGATGAACTTCATAGCGCCGTGGTGGCACCATTGGACAATCTCCTGTCGAGCGAGACATTTCAGGGGCTGGAGTCCCTGGAATTGGTGCACCGCTGTTATCATCAGCCTCAGATACTTCGGAAGACTGGCTTGGAGGTCCTCCCCCGACTTTCAGAACGTGGGACCCTGAAATTTCGCTATAACGAGGTACCACAATGCTGCGTAGACGTAACGTCGTTACTGATGCTCGTTTCATTGTCACTCCAGTTTCCTATGCGAGATTTCTCAGGTCGAGCTGGGAGTTAGTACAATCGGCCACATGCCTATGTTGTCGGAGGGGGGGCATATCGTGAAGGGCCTGTAACTCGCGTAGTCTGGCGGAGTCGAAGAACAGACTGATACAGAATGTAGGCATAGATAGACAGATTAGGTATAAAAGATCATATACGAAATAAAGTACGAAAGCTTTACAATATAGATGTATTCCTTTGAAGGAGGTGGAGAGAGGACGCCGGAAGAAAGATGCCAAAAACTGGTCTCTTCATTGATACTACGGGGCTTGTGAGGGCAGTTCTGTCTCTGGAGCCGATTTTCAAATGTTGCGTTTGAGACTGCTAGCACCAGGCTCGAATTTATAGCTTGTCTGCCACAGCTTTTTCAGATTCGCAAAGGGCAGCCCGAGGGGCAGCTCTGAAGATGATTTAACTTGTTGTTCGAGTTGAGCAGCTTGGGACGACTCCGGCGTTGGACTTTCCTGTCTATTCGAAGATACCGGCTCAGTTTCGGCTGAGCAACTTTGCGGCACATCATCATCAATTACCGAGATTTCGGACGGACCAGCAGCCTGAGCAAGAACGGATTCGGTATCAGGAGTAGACTCTTGCATTCGCAGAATCAGTTCAATAGCACGAGGATTCGGAGGTACACCTAAAGCCTCAACAGCAGCAGATGGACGGAGGAACGTATGGCCTGATCGCGTTGCAGCAGGAGATTGTTGATTTCGTGCACGAGCAGGAGTGCCTCGGGGTCGTTGAGACTTGCGTGGTCCATTTGCCTCAGACTTGGCCTGTCTTCTCCCAGGATGTATCGCCCGAGCTTCATCCCAGTTCAGTGTTCCTCCATGGTGCTCGGTGCTTTCCTCCATAACCCATGGGTCCACTGAATCTTGGTGACTGGGACGGTATCCGTGGGCTTCCCTTCTGTGACGTGTAATACACGCAGGATCTCCCGAACGCCATACGCATCTTTTCAGCTCTCCCGAGCCAGACTTACTCGGAATCAGATGAGGGCAAATCTTGTCTTTGACACCCGTACTGTAATGCAAGCCATTGATGAGCAACAGACAGGGGTACTCTTTCACAGAGCCACTCACTGAATCTTTGCGTGCGTCTGAAGGTTGCTTCGCTGGATGAACCACTTATCGCAGCCCGGAGACGTGCATATATGAAGCCTGCAATGGTGTAAGTATTAGCAGCGAATCGAGATGATGATATAAGGTACGTGCGGATCATATTCAGCTGGACGCCTTCCTTCGAAATGGGTTTCAACGTGCGTCTTCAGGGATTTGCCGGGAAAGTATCGACCACAAAATGGACAGTTATTTCTACGAGCTCGAGGCTTAGAACGCTGATGATACAGATGGGAGGTTTTCAGATATCGCAACGATATTCGGGACAAATGTACTTACTTCTGTGCGATGAGCCGGCATTGATAGAGCTGACGTCGAGTGGTGATTTAGGTTGCGGATAGAAGACAGTCCACACGCACTACTATTTATGTCTTTCGAAGGATAAAGGAATGTCCAACTTACCTCGACACTCAAAGACTCCGCTTCAGATGTTGTAGCAGGTCAAAGGAAACACGAGGCGGTGATCACGTCGAAGGTCAGTAGAGGTCGGCTATGGCTCTCGAGTCTCAGTTAAGGTACGCGATCGATTGAACGTTACCTCCCTTAATCGGTATATGGATGATCCAGACCCAGACCATCGGGCTCTGCAGAAAGTCAGGACGACAAAAGAGATAATCATACGCCTCGATCTCGTCGTCCGACGGCCTATAGGTTATTTTGTGCATCCCTAGGCGGTGCTCGGGCGACGAAGCCGCGGCGCGGATATAGAGTTTATACAATCACCTGGCTAGGAGAATGTTGAAAATGCAGATGGCCACATGCCAGTGGTAGATGACAGGAGAGTTACATACCACCATGCATTTCTCGGTAGGTCGTTCCAAGAAGGTTAAGAGGAAGAGACTGGTAGAAGACTAACTGTTTCACCGTAGCGAGGTCGCCGACGGTTATGTTGTCTGTGGTTGAAACCGACCATTGGACATGGAGTATTTATGGTGCATATTAGCACGCTGTTGTTGATACGAAGCAATGGTACTTGCATCCTTAGCGGCCTACTGGTAGGCATATCCGAGTCGTACTATTCTTGCACCTAGTACTAGTCTGGTAACGCATCCGGAAGAAAGGCAAAAACCTAGATGAATGGACATTAGAACGCGCAATAAGGTTATAAAATATGTAGTACAAATGTGTGCCTACAACCAATTTGAAGATCTGCTTTCTGGTTAGCGTAAGAGCAAGAGGTGACGAAACCTGCCTAACCTGCTTGTCTGGTTGAGCGTCTAACACTTCCAACTCTCATGCAGGTGACTCTCAGGCTGATTCGGAGTTTTCCTCAGTCATTGAAGCTCATAATTTTTATAATGCTTCAATGGGCAAGACCGTCACGGTGCGAGGTTGAATACTGCATCTTCATTCTGATCTTAAATCCTGCAATTGTCCGTTTTCCGACAATCCATGCTTCAGAGTTGTCTCTCTGGAATTCGTTCGCCGCCTGTCCATCGCTCCTTGACCACGATCTGACCCTTTTCGAGAGCATGCCATCCCTTCTACTCGACTGGGCGTGATCAAAGAAGTGACAGCCTAGCCATGATACGAGTCTCATGCCCGTCTGCTTTATATGGCTGGCTAGGGTTTAGCGAGCTGTGCTTGGACGGGGATAGATGAGTATACCCTTCCTCTACATTGAGTCTCTGGCTAATATCGTTGCTTCTGTGCTCTTCAAGTCACACTGTATATATACTCATCTCTCACATGAGGCTTTTTATTTTCTCTTAATGCGCACTTATACTGGCCTCCCATCTATTGCTGCTGTCCCGCTAGGTTTCGTATCAACACATCCACAAGTTCAGCAACATTGTCTACTTGTGCATGGCCCGAGATTCTTCCTAGTCGCACATCTTACATCTGTGTTTCTTAGCTGGGTAACTGTTATCTTCTCAGCGGTAGGCGTACCCATACTCCAAACAGATAGAATGTGATTCTTCGCCAGGTTTCTCATCTGCAGCTGAACCTTCATCGCAGGGCTGCACCAGGTCCTTTTGATCTCCCTGCCATTCCTACTATGTCAATCATTAACTTTGCCTGACAGAGTACTTCGGCCCAATCAACGTAATTCTTATCATCCACTTCACTGTCCCTAAATGATCATACTACACTAGGTACTTCCTGAGTCTGACGACGAAGGCCAAGCTCTCCGCGCCCGAGGCTAGGTGAAAACCCTTCAAACGCCTCCTGGGCAAAACGATCACTGTTCGCGTCTAGCTCAGAATGCACTGCCTTTCTCGCATTGATCTTGCTAACGACGTGGAACGCATCTTCATCTTCGGTGCCGACCATTCGCTCGATATCTTCAGGAAGGAGAACCGGTGCCTCCATATTTGTGAGGTCTGGATCGAGGCGCTGAGCCACTTCCGCGTGCATTGTTGGCGATGTCGGGGCAAAGACGGCAGAGGAGAGCAACATGGCCTTTTGAATGGCGATCTCGGTCACTTTCTCTAGGCCCACATCCGCATCACCACGCAACACTACCTCGCAGTCAGTGTAGTACAACTAGAAGGACGTGGAGTGTTGACATACTAGGTCGAAGCCACTGGAAGGCACGATGAAAGCCTTCTTCATCGATCATTTCCAACGCAGGAGCCTCCTGTGCTCTAATTCGCCCATATACGCCAAGTACAATAATCAAAAATCTGGAAACGAAGGGCATCAGTCATGAACATGACGACGATTGCAGATCTTACCTAGTGTAAGCGGTTCCAAATTTGAGATTGTGAAATGAGACCGCCTCTTCCTCTGTGCAGTGCTGATGAATGGAAGCTGCGATCGAACAGGCTGCAGACAGACCACTTGTGAAAGCAAGATGGACACCAGACGAGAAGAAGGGGTCAATGAATGCTGGAAAGGCGTAGTTTCATCCAGCGGCGCTCCAGAGGCAGCATCAATAAAACTCACCTCCAGCGTCGCCAACCAGACGATAGCCTGAGCCCGCATATTGGTGAGCTGAGTAGCTATAGTCACCCGCTGCCTTGATAGATGAGACGAGCTCCGCCTTTTCCAGAAGCTTCTGCAGACCAGGCGCAAGCTGCATTTGGTCGAGGTAGTGATCAACGAGCGTTACAGAACCCGTCCGCTCACGCATTGCACTCTTCTTGGCGATGCTGGATGTCTCGCTCATGACGAAACCCACGGAGACGGTCCCGTCATGAAGAGGGATATGCCATACCCAGCCTGATTCGTCTATAGCAGTCAAATAGTAAGTACCAAGAATAAGGACGCAAGAAGCAGATTATTTGAGGACAAACCTGTCAAAGCTTCAAACCAGGGAGCGTCCTCGTGTGGAGTGCCCGCTGCATATGAAGCCCCACCCTTCCAATAGCCCCAACAGGCGACGTTCTTTAGATTCAAATTGAAGATACGGTTCCGGAGATACTGCGTCGACATAACGCCCGCGCGTCCTGAAGCATCAACTAGCCATTCGAACTTCGTACTGCCCTCCGCACCATCTTTGATCTTCCATTGTGCTGATGTAGGCCTCTCAGGGTTACTGGGGTCGTCGAACTGTAGGGAGTTAACCTTCGTGTTCTCAAAGACATGTACCCCACAGGCAGCAGCGTGTCTTAAAAGGGCGTCATCAAATTCGGAGCGAACCTTTCATTTACTCTATATCAGTGCGTGGCCTTTTGAGACATTAGAAGACCACATACGACGTTCCAGGTCACGTTTGCAGGGTTTGATGGCGTAAAATCCGTGTCTGTTCTGACTATCAGGTATGTCGACTATGCGTTCGGAACAATCTTACATGATTCACGCTTGTACTGGTTTAGTTTAACGGCGGCGCCAGGCTACCGTAGCTCCGATCAGCAGATGTCTTCGATCCGGAGGTTACGGACCACCCACCTTGATTTTGAACCCCTTCGCCTTGATCACTTCTTGTGCGTCAATGAACGAAAGATATCGGGGGATAGACTGTAGAAGACTTTCTCCGATATGATAGCTATGCCGCAGCGTCACTTCAGAGCGATATGAACGGTTATGGATCATAGGACTAACCGCGGAAACTGGTCGCGCTCGAGCAGGGTCACGTCGAATCCCTCTTTCAAAATGACGTTGTCAGCTGGTCAGAATACACCAAGGACCGACTGAATCACCTCTGGCCAGCAGTGTGGCTGCGTAGGATCCTGATGGACCTCCTCCGATGACGAGTATACGGGTTTGCGAAGGCTACATATGGGCAAGTAACCTCAACGAATGGTCATTGAGCCTCACAGTGGAAGAACCCACCGGCAGTTCGGGATTCGTTTGAAGGTTATCGTGAGGCTCAACAACAGGGGAAGACATAGTGGCAGGAAAAGATTTAATAGTACAAGTTCGACCCGGAAGTTGAAGACATAGCTTCGCTCATCCAGGTTATATACTGCAGCGAAGATTAAGTTCCATGAGCGTCGAGCAATCCCGGGCAGTACACATCCTGAAGGAACATCAACTGAGTATTGATATGGACAGTTCGAGGCCGTGAGTCGAACTCGTCGGGAACAACCTTCTGATGACCGGTCAGGACTGTGGAATCTTTCGACCCATGCGGGAACGAGATTGTGTTTAGCGGGCCCCGCACTGGTAGTGTTCCATAAGTTAGCAGAACATACCTATCAACGTTCTAATTCAAGTACTAGACAAGATAGATACGGCGACGAATTTGGTAAAGACCTTTTATTTATCACTATTTAGGCTTAATCAACGTTTATGGAACATCTACAATGGACGGAACTCCACTTCAACTGGAAGAGTCTTCCCATTGTTCCTCAGATAGCGGCTCTGGAGTGATCTGTGGTGTAGTATCATTTTTAATGATTGACGTGGAGTCACTGGAGTTAGGCCCGGTGTCTTTTTTTCAATACGTCTTCCCAATCTTCTAGTTCCTGTAGACACTTCTGTTCTGACACTCGCGCTGAGCTAAACAGCCAATGCATGATGATCACCACGATGGACAGCTTATAGCTGTCCATTGGCGTTCTCAGGTCACTGGGCATTCTTGTTAGGTCTCACATGGCGGCGCCTTTGTGAGAGAAAATGATCGTACTTGAGTCCTCATCGCTGTTCGCGCCCTGTCTAAACTCTTCTGTCCAGAGAATTCGGAGACAACAGAGCCGACCATAGGCTATGATAGAATACACCCAAGACAATGAATCAATCCTCGTGGTCTTGTGAATTCAAGATAAGGTCCTTCAAGTCGGCCAAGACCTTACCAACTTCACTGTTGTCCATCAGTTAGGCACTGGCTGATGGGCGCGCCGCTTCCCTCGGCGGTTTAGATGTGGACAATACGAGTAGGTCAATTGCGAAATCATCTGACCTGACTGAAGTCTATCATGACATCAAAAACATCAGTAGATCCGGCAGGCCTAACACTTCTCTCACAATCAGACATGGTTAGTAATAAATAATGTATAAGGAACTACGAGTACAAGCTCATCGTTGGCAATGTCCGCGTACAACAATAAGTAGGAGCCAAGTCCGCAGTGAAGCCACTCAAAGCGCACATGATCAATCACAAATGCTGTAGATGGTTCGAGTCAACGTTAAGGCACTCCTCCAAGACGAATGCTGAGCCGAACCTTGTTCACGCCCGTTTACTTGTCCGATGTATTCACACTGTTATTATCAAAACTCACGACGGTGGTTCCCATGCTAAGACCTCCACCGGGTAGAGCTGTTAGCTCATGCTTCTTGGATTGGCCATCGTCGCCTATCCACATAGTGCTGTCATTGCCTTCTTCGATATGGCGGATGTGCTCCACATGGACATCTACATAGGTGTCTGGCGTCACGGTGGAGAGGGCGAAGGACTTTGACGGTATCTTCTCCTTGCGACCAAAGCCGTGATGAAGTGGCCGCGTATTCTCATGAGCAGCTTCGTCCGACGCGCCAGATGATCCCGGAGAGGAGAGCCTCCACGCAAAAGCTATGACAACTGATAGGTTGGCGACTAAGAGACTGACACCATCCTGGAAAAGTTCAGAGAGACATCAGATGTAAGTCATGATCCGCGCTGAACAAGAAATAGACCTACGTGAATCGTCGCTGCAAATTCTTCCGTGATTCCACCAATACGTAGAAGGGCATAGATGTAGTACAAGCTAACGGCGGTTGCAGCGACTGTGGACGCGAATACGGATACGAGCCGAATTTTGGTGCTTTTTGGCAAGCGTGTCCGCCATATAAGTTTTATGGGTGCGAAAATGAGGATCGCATCGCTCACGACGACGGCTGCGGATAGTCATTCAGCTTACCATGGCGATGTATTTTTTGGGTTACTCACTAATCACTTGCGCTATCGCGACGTCCTCTCCGAGTTCGCACTGAGGGATTGGCTGATCCTTCCAGCTTGTGTTGCCAGGACTTTCACAGACCCAAAAGACTTGAGCGAACAATACAATCCAAGAGATTAAGAAGGCTCCTGATGCCACTATAAGGCCGCGGCGCATCCGTTCAAAGGAGATACGGATGACAGTGTAAAGAATGGAAAGACGGGAGGTCCTGCAATAACGACAAGTCAGAAAATGTGTACAAGGGAACGGACGTTGGATCTATGCACCAGCTAACGGCGTAGTAGAACTGAATACACCTAAGACGTAGAAAACACATCAGCAACCTACTAGCTCTCATTAGAAGTAAACATACATATAGTACACAGCAATCTTAGAACCTCTTGAGTACTTAGCTACACGGATGCCGGATCAACGACGTTCTCTCCTTGAAAGCAAACTTGACTTACTTGGATCGTCTGTGTGAAGAAAATTCACGACGATCAAGACGATGATCGACAAGGCCGAAAGCAATACCCAGAAGTCGTCCCACCATAGTTTGCTTCGTGTCTTACGCAAATAAAGGCGGAACGCAGTGACCAATAGGGCAACACCGCAGAGAACGCTGTTCAGGACTGAACACTGGTTAGGTCTACGTATCAGCCTGCAAAGCGAGCATACATACTACGAAGTTCTTTGACTGTAGGCGGCATGCCGATAGGGGGGCTCACTGTGGTACAGCAGACGACCAGTAGTAAGTTTTATAATCCAGATTCAAAAGTCAAAGGGCGCTGCTAGAAACGCCAGGATGGAATCGATCAAGAAGTCGAAGCACGAAAGCGCCAGAAATAGCCAAGGGGTATCAAGTGACCAGCAGTAATCAATCAATGCTGGTTGTAAGAGGGATCTGCGATTGAAGTTTTCATTTGGGAAGCATCCGGGGGGAAACATGCGCTACAGCCTGAGAAAGGGACATCATATGTCAGAACTGGGGACTGAATAGGTCATCGTTGGACACGAACAACCGGCGGCTCTAAATCAGAGAATGGCACCTGTATCAGCAAGTTTCGAAGAGCTATGTATCGGTGGGAGCATCAGTACCACTGTGACAACGGCAGATGGACAGGACAAGCGTTACGGCATTCTGGCCAGCATGACTTGTGGCATCATGCGGCCCACCTACTCAGCACTGGAAGAGACCTTGATATATACATGATCCAAGTGATTCCACCGAAGTTCGGAGGAAACATGGACGAACTTTGAACATTCGACCGACGATATGACCAGTCAATCCGACGCGACGATTCGAAGGTGGATGTGTGAACGTTACCCTTTTTGGCATCGGGACGATAATTTCAAGGTTCCAACTCAGCTTTGGTGGCGGAGTTAGAGTAAAGATACACATTTCAAATCATACCAGCATGTACAGTATACTCACATTCGCTATTGTGTTCTAGCTATATATGTCACTGAAATGGAAAACCAATACATCTAACGTTCAATTTTATGTTCACGAACTTGGCCTTCATCATAAATCTCCAATCCCGTTTCTTAATGCAGACCTCTATGGGAACCCATCAAGAAAGCTTGATCTTCTTGGGTCATCGCATCAGGTTCCATTCTGCGGCATTGAAGGTTCATTCTTATCTCATGCAGACAGGCTGGGACAGAAGAATTCTGGCGGGAGGTCATCTCCCGCACGTTTCCTCACTAGGCCCGACGCAGATCTAGCGGTATCTTCGTTCTGGGACCTATCTGCCAAAGGAACTCTGCGAATGTAGTAGAGGACCTAGTCCTGCCGACTTCACTGCATGCATCCCTCATCACGGCGATATTCAGCGTCTGGTTGCCCAAATGGGCTACTGGCATCACGACCCCGTTGTTGCTGAAAACAGAAGGCACTAACAAAATCAAGGGCCTTGTCACGATGATTGTCACGGTACGTGCATATCCTTAATACACGAATACACAGCGTCCCCTGAAGGCATATCAATCATGTCCAGCACTGTCGAAAGCTCCACTCCTAGCAAAGTTGACGTCCTCGTTATTGGCGCAGGGCCGGCAGGTCTAACATGCGCTCTCGGGCTTGCGAAAGCCGGAGTGAACGTCAGGATCGTCGACCACAGGTCAGGCTTCTATATCTCCCATTAATTCATGCTGATCTATATGTCTGCTATAGCCCAACGAAGGTACAATCTGGTCATGCAGATGGCGTCATGCCTCGGACGATTGAAGTCCTGCAGGTTGGAACTTACACGTCAGCACTAACGACTACGACTTATTAATGACCTGCGCAGAGCCATGGTCTGGCCGATGCTCTTCTCAAAGATGCCAACCAGGTCTACACGATTGTATGACCCCGCCTCAAATCATCTTGATATCTTTCTAACCATGAATCTCAGTCGAACTACAACTATGAAGCTGATGTAGGCATCAAGGTAACATTGGGCAAAGCTGCATACTCACTTCAAAACTAATTAGCAAACACACAGTGTGCTGGACGCGTTACCATGATCAATGAGCCCACGGCTCGTTATCCATTTGCAGTATGGCATTCCTTGTCAATCAGAGTACTAATCTGACAAACCCTTGTGCAGGCTACGCAAAATCAGGGTGTCATGGAGGGTATTCTAGGCGATGCCTTGCTCAAGGAAGGAGCAGTTATCGAGCGTCCAGTCCGCCCTACTGCTATTGACCTCTCTACAGATGAGAACGAGCTGAAAGACCCAGACGCATATCCGATCAAGGTCTCCATGTTCCCGTAGTATCCCAAGCTACATTGCTAACGCCATCTCTACAGGTTCGTGTCAAAAAGCTGAATGAGGAAGAAGCTGCAGAGGAGCTGGTTCACGCAAAATATGTCGTCGGCGCAGATGGCAAGTCAAGCCATACTTTGTCTTCGATTTGAAGCACTGATCGGTCTGAACAGGAGCTCATTCTTGGGTCCGTAGGGCGTTGAATGTTCCCATGGAAGGCGAACAAACCGGTTAGTCCTCCATTTTTCTGATTCAATCCGTCGTCAATGCTTATCGACCATTCTCTACTCTTCCTAGCTCATGTCTGGGCTGCCATCGATTTTACACCCACTCCGGACTCTAACTTTCCCGATTGGCGCAACATCGCTACAGTCAATGCTAAAGACGTAGGGATTATGCTTATCCCTCGAGAGGGAGGCAAGATCAGACTATACGTTGAGTTGGGGTCGGAGGACGGTCTTGTCAATGCCGAATCTGGTCGGCTAGACTCGGCACAGTTCAGCCCAGATCGATTGCTTGAGGTTTGCATTTCCTTTCTGATCGTGCTAAGAATGGAAAATTGACTGGCCAGACAGATCGCGAAGAAAGCTTTCGCCCCTTTCGTTTTGAAGACGACACCAGAGAACGTAGAATGGTGGACTGTCTACGTTAGTGAGTCTATAGAATTCCCAAGGAAGAATCTACGCCTTATTGACAATGTCTTTCCTCGTTGTAGTTGGGCAACGTGTAGCATCCACCTTTTCGGTCAAAGATAGAGTCTTCATCGCTGGTGACGCTTGTCATACGCACTCGCCCAAAGGAGGTGAATTCTATGGGGCGAGTAAGTTCACGAACACGGCGCTGATGAGGAGTGAAATACAGGTCAAGGCATGAATGTTAGCATCAATGATGCTCACAACCTTGGTTCGTGATGTCTTCTGTCTTCTAATGTGGCTGCGTCGGCTCATACGTTGACCAGCTTGGAAACTAGCCTATACCATTCGAGGATGGGCGGGTACTTCCCTCCTTGACACGGTATGGCATTCACCTCTCGTAATCGTTCTCTGATTCACCTGTAACTATTCTTACTTCAGTACGAATTCGAGAGGCGAAGCTTTGCCCTAGAGCTAATCGCATTCGACAAGTGGTTTGCAGAAGGATTCTCGGCCAAAGCTAGAGCGAAACTCATCGCGGAGGGAAACAACGTAGACCTGCCTGGACCATTAGAGTGAGTAATTTAAAGTTCCCCTTGTTGTCTTGAGGATTATTCTTATCATATACTCTTAGGGCATTCCGAGCCTTCAGTAGCGTAACGACGGGGATCAGAATTCGCTATGCGCCTTCCATCATTACTGCGACAGCACCCGACAAGACCGACGAAAATGGCCCATACACACTCACAGTTGGAAAACGACTCCCACCTCAAGTTGTACTGCGCGTCGCCGATCGCAGGCCGGTAAACGTGCAAGATTTGTGCCTGTCGAATGGGCGCTTCAAGCTCTTTGTTTTCACTGGAGATGTGCTCTCCGCCGATGATATACAAAGCCTCAACAAGCTCACCACCGACCTTGACGCGCTTTTGAGTGAGCTTCCCAAGGGTCTTCTGGAAGTGTTCTCTATCATCAAAGCGAAGGATGATGCAATCACTTACATGGACGTGCCCCAAACCTTACGGCCACACTGGACGAGGTACGTATTTCTACTTGTTCGGTCTCTCATTCTGTATTCATGATCCCGTTTGCGATAGCATTCACTTCGATGGGCATGCTTCAGGTCCGGTGTATGATGCGTACGGGATTAACAGGGAGGGTGCTCTTGTGGTATTTCGTCCAGATGGGTATGTGGGAACGATCACACCCCTCGGCGAAGTAGAACTCGTTCGTCAGTATTTCAGGCAATTTTTGAAATAGGTAGCAGAAAGGGGATGCATTATTCTTAAATCCTGATGTATATGTATCTTGGCTTAACTTTACTCCAATACCGCCGCTTTCTATGATCCGCCTGTCGCATGCTCAAGCAAGAACTTTTCTATTGTCAAGGGAATAAAAATACATGTTACCAGGATGGCAATTCCACAACCACCGCCGCGTCCAATAGTAACCTACGCGAATTTGCATTCGATCGCCGACACCATACCCCGGAACGAATGAACTTCGACCACTTTCAAACCCGCACTGTTCACGATTTCTGTCCATTCCCGCTGTGTAAAACAACAATCCGTCAGAAATGCTTACGACACAACTGGAAAGCCCTTCCTCACCAGGGATCGCTCGCGCGCGTTGAAAAGGCCCATCATGTGTGTACCAAGCCCGAGGGACGTCTTGGCCGAGGCACCAAAATTGGTGGGGATATATGGGGGAGGTGTAATCGCGCGGTATGTGTCTGACCCGATGAGGTCATCGAGTGTTACAATCTCCCCTTGAGTAGGTGTAGCATTAGAGAGCGAGTTAGGCTGCGAGACAACTTCGATGATGATGAAGGTAGACTATGCAATCATCAACATCAGTATGTATAATCAAGTTGGAAGTCGAGAGCAACGTACCGAATGTGTGGCCACCTCTGTGATGTTCTTAAGCATTTTGATCTAGTAAGACCTACGATTCAACACTGGTCATTCTTATTCGACCCACAGTAGGACATACACAATTTTCATTTGTCCAGTTATGCCTTTCAAGACATCAGGACAATACTCAAGACAAGATAACAGACGAACTTACAAGACGTGGCGAAGCAAGTAGACAAAACCTTCTCCATGACGTGGCTGAATCGCGAAAAGATCAACGACTTCTGCCGTGATGCGTCCTTCTTGGGATGCAATCGGTGCCCGGTTCGCAATGTTTGGTTGAGCTTTAGTTATGACTTCGTCGAGGTCCTGAACGATGAATTGGCTCTGAGGTAAGCTGCATGAAACATGAGTAATTAGAAATGCAACAAAGAAAAAGTAAAGGGATAAACATTTCAGACAAGGCAATGGACAAGTTGCCTAAACCCCCGCCGCAATCAATGAAGGTTTGAGAGTCAAACTTCTTCCATGGGAAGTCGTACAGCATCGGAGCATGGTAAGCATCGCCCATAGCCTGTTAAAAAGATTCGTCAAACTTGCATCACTACGGATTGTCATCATACATACACACCTGAATGGCCTTCGCCCACGGTCCCAGCTTCTCAGGATGTTGCTTCATCCAGGCGAACGTGGTCAATGAGGTGTTGTGAGCCAATTGAAAGGCGCATTGGTCAGGTCGTTGGGAGTGTTTCCACTCCGGGTGCGTTATCTGAGCCAGCAAAGATTGTGCAACAGGCGGCATCGTAGAGAAACTTCATCCAAAGAGTTAGAGGGACGTAACTCCACCGTGAGCAGACGGGTGTCTCACTATATCCAGTCACGCCCCCCATGACCTTCTGAAAGCTCTAATGCAGCCCGCGTGAGCTTAAACGTACCCTCTTTCGTTTCTTGAAGCCATCCCTGAGATGCCAGATACCGTAGGACAACCGTAAGCTTAGCAGGATCCAGATCAAGAGTCTTCTGCAGATCATGCACGTCCAGACCGTCATTGATGACTGATGAGTCGGCCAGTTGGTCGATGACGCCAGTCTTAAGCAGAATATCGAGACAAGCCGTGTCATAAACAGCGCAAGATTGTTGGACAACCTTTTCAAAGGGATACTGGATGATGTTCTTAATCTCACCCTTGTCAAAGTAGGGCGTATTAGTGCTACAAACGACAAGTTTCACGAGTGATAATTCACCAGTGCCGCTGAGGTTGACAGCAATGCGGATCAGATGGGTAACATGATGCGGGGAACGGGCCGGCGGCTACGCACCTATTGCGAGCCTTCGAGCTTCATACAGCCTTGGAGAACACACAAAACCCGGCTCATCCATTGAATGGCGATGAGGGTTGGTACTGGAAAGTTCGGGGAGAGATAAACGTTTCATCTCATCTCGAAGAGCATCCAGAGCTGCATTGAGACTAGCTTGAAGCGACTCGATCTGCGATATTGAACTCATTGCTTAAGCAGCAAAAGGGCAGGGGTTAGAAGACCACAGAATGGGTTACAGTGCGTGTTATGTGACGGAGAATGGATGAACGATGAAGTCCTACAGGAAAGAATAAAAATCGCGATATGCTTCGGGGAGGACAGCTCGTAGACGCGACCATACACGATCCAGAATTAGCACGGTCCCGAGCTCCTGTCAGAAGATGGAAAACGTGGAATGGAATACCAAATCAAAATGATGCTGAGAAGTAGGTGCCACAGTCAGATGAGGTAGTACTGTACCAAGTCTTCTCCATCTTCGTCAAACAATACACTAGCAATGGGCTGGCGTGAATGCCTCCCTAAGATCGGTACTATTACCTTTGCTGCGATCCGTATGATGCCTTTGTGACTTTGGGCGTTGGATGGGTCCTCCATCTGATACCACGGGAGTATCAGCATCACGAAGCCCTTGGGAGTGATGTTACCAGTTCACATGTCATACAGTTCTCCATATAGCCGAGCACTGTTCCCAACCCCTTCATTGGTTGAGACAGAAGTCAGCATGGTTTGATTCAACCTGTCCACAAAAATCACTGTGCCTAGTATTCCAGCAGAGCACTGAATGTCTGATTGCGCCGGCGGGAGGTTTCACTAGAACAAATTGCCAGCATGTGAGAGATTATAAGAACGCTGTAGAGTTTTATTGGGGAAATCAGACTGGACACATTCTACTTCCTTCGGTGGTGGAAGACAAAGATTTGTGGTCTCCTTGAGGTACTTACACAGAGGCACCGATCGTGTTAACTTACAGTAATGGCTCTCGCCAGATTATTTGCCACTATTTGTTCCTTGATAAGATAACGACCTGACCCCTTCTCGACTCAGTTTACACTAAGTTTCATACCTTAGAATTCGGACAATAGTGATTTATACCTTCAATGCTCATATTTTGAATGCCACAGACATCATTGACTTCCAAGACAAGGGCGGAACGAGACCTCAGGTGAATTCGAGCTCCACCCAAGTCGTTTTGCCCTGACATGACGGTCTTCTGGCGTGCAGGACACTGCAGGTGAGTCGCCGGAGCATTATCACTTCAAGTAAACGCTCCGTATATTAGTCTCCTCCCTCACACGCTGAAGGCAACTCACATGTAACGCTTGGGTCAGGAGATCCCTACGTGCGAGTCATGTTGTGCTACCCGCTAAACTAGACATACGCGTTGATGTTCTCGAATCGCTTCCGATAACCTGCAGATCATTTCCAGGGTAATCAAGACGACGCTGTGTATGGGCGGCATTCACAACGACCTGCCGCGCAAGCTATTTTGAAGACGTTTCCGATCATGTGTCCGGACGGCAAGACCACTGTGGCGTCTTCCAGTGCATTCATGTCTCCGTAACCTTAGTGTTATCCGCTCGGGATGACATTGTGGGCTACGAACAAACTCCACTCAGACGCCGTCATAACCTTAAGGTTTGCATTCTATAGCAGCTCACTCTATTTGGACTTGAAGGGAGGTGGGATCTCAGTTGCAAGGCACACTGTCCTCAATTGAGAGAATCTTCCCTTTCGTTCATGATCATTATGAATAGACCACTACTATCCACTTACTTCTGTTGTTCTCAGAGATAGAAGTCAGCTAGTAGTGGTGATGGCTCCCACCATTAAGATTCTTCTCGGGAGTGATCGTGTCAGCAGTGACTGATTCTGGTGCTTGCTTCGTCATTAGCGCACCTACATCTACCTGCTGACTTTTTCCTAGGCGGCCTTGAGCGGGAGCCCTGGGTCGCAGCAAACGCCAACCTTGCGAAGATCTACGACCCCTTGACAGATGTGGCTAGCGCCACAAAGGCATGGCAGTGTCAGCAAGAAACATCGATCCAATCATTTGGTAACTGCTGTCGCTGAGGAGGCTAAGCTGAGAGGGTGTATATAATCCACTCAGTGCACATGATTCGGGGATGCTACGGCTTAACTCTGTTGCATTACCAAGTCCACAATGATTATCGAAGCCAATGCTCATCTTATCGGCTTGTACATACTCCTGCCGATGTACGGTACGTAGACGAGAGCGTTCTCTGAAAGGAAATAGGCTAATTTCGATTCGCTTCTAGGGCTCTACATCGCAACTCTTGTAGAATGTATAGGCGTGCTTCGTCGGAGATACAATGAAGGAATTCGTTCGATGTGGCTCCCGGTAGCAACGCTCCTGATATTCATTATTACAAACTTGGTGAATCAAGACATCGCAGGTGATGAGTCACCAAGCTTACTGTTTCGTTTTTGTTTCGTCTTCTAGGATGTCTTTTTTGCAACAGTTCGCTCTTATGATGCTTTCTCTATCAAGAGAGATTCGGACCAAACAGCGGAAGAGTTCTACGCCGTCATAGCTTCGCCCACATCAGTGACGAAAAACGTCTGCTTCGTTATGCAAACTCTTGTTGCCGATGCTATCATGGTAAAATCATTACGAGACCTCGATGCACATACCATTGACTATACCGCCAGATATACCGGACAGCCCTGGTATGGAACTATGACTGGCGAGTTCTGGCCGTTCCCATCGCACTTCTATGTGCCGATTTCGGTAACCTTTATCTCATCTTCACCCTCCCTCATCCAAATTCTGACATACGTTGTCATGCTATTCGGGTCCCACAGCTACTGGTGTATTCGGTATGAACACGCTTGCTCACTCCGGGTTCACTACAACCTCCGCCGCTGCCCTTGTCACTCTGCGCATCAAATATTTCTTCGTAGTGACCCTGGTCCTCAACATTCTATGTGCTCGTGAGTTCTTCACCCATTATCGAGCTATATTCTGTGTATAGATAATGCTCATGAACACCACAGTTTTGATCGCCTGGAAGGTATGGCTGATTCAGACATCCCTCGCGGGTGCACGTATATTCGGAAGTAGGCGATTATGGCGAATGGTTGAAATCATCATAGAATCTGGCACGTTGAACCTGTCAAGAATCAGCGATCTTTTGTACTGACACTGCCCCACAGCCGCGATATACTGTGCTTGTCTAGTCGCGCTAATCATTCTGGCTTCTACGAACTCAGGGGCGTACTTTATCGCCCTCGATCCTGTGCGTACTTCGTTGAAAGTCTCCGATCCTCGAACGGGACGCTGACCAAATCTTTCTTGCTCTGTTCTTGCTCAGACGCCCTCGATCATGGCAGTCGTCTTCACATTTGTCATTATCCGCGCCTCCAAGACTCAGACATCTCCGAGCATGGCCTCGACCACGGCAAGGACAACAACTGGCAGTTTGAATTTCTTGCGCACCTTTGGAGGCACGCCAAGGTCTCAGGAGCATGTAGGCGTCGAAGTACACCTTGAAGAGGTCATCTACAAACATGACGCAGATGAAAGTAGAGGTGAAATTAATTCCTCCGGTACTGTCTTTTCTTCGATAAAGCCAGGCGATGCTGAGCCTTGAAGGCCTCTTGGTATAGGTACTATTATGTGTATTTATGTGTACAATGTAGCCATCTGTATCAAGCTTACCACGTCTTACCGTAAAATTCAAACTTCCCTTGGAGCAAACAGCATACCTTAGCTCGTCAAATAAGTGTATATTCATCCTTCTAATGATACAGGTACGTATAAATATTAATCATAGGAGCGTCGAATGTCAACACAGCAACCGAACGCAAAAATTAATACGATAATGGTGCTACCTAGAATTTCTCGAAAGTTTAGTTTAAGACGATACTAAGGGTAGCATGACATTTAGATTCGACCAGGATCAGGATCAGACAATCTGAGAAGCTTTACGATGTGCGACAATCTGTCTCGACAATACGAAGACGATCAACCCGGCCACGACGGTCACCTAACGCCAAAGGTTCAGTACTACCTACTTGGATTTGGACGAGAATAAGGACGTACACCACTGAATATGATCGTCTTGGACCAGACGAGGTTACTACCCAAGAGCGCTCCGATGATGGGTGTTCCTGTGAGCAGGCCTAGCGCCGCGAGGGCGAATGAAAGACCCATGCGAAGGCTACCAGTGAGATGATGAACGACCTAAGTTTCAAATCGGTTGTGGCGTCAAAGAAGGTTTTTACGCACCCCGCTTCGCCAGGTGTTCGAGCGAATGAAGCCATTGCTGCAGCAAGGAGCGAGAAGTCTGTAATGAGAAGTGTAAGATGTCATAGTGAGAATAACAAAGCCACGACGATGAAGGAATTGAGGAAAGCATGAAGACGTACATGCACCAGAGAATAAACCGGCTAGAATGGCGAACACTACGATGCCGCCGACACTACTGATTCCGAAGAGTGCGAAAATGACAACGGCCATTGCAGCAGTGCTGAATATGAGAAAGTTGAACGTGCCGAGGCGGTGTGCAAGTATGCCTGGAAGTACTCGTCCGGGGATCGAACCTGCATTCAACATTGCAATCTATCACAATAGGCAGGGTCGGTTTAGGATGGGATTGAACACATCCAAGGTAGGTACGGCTCACGGTATAGAATGCGACATTGCTATCGACACCGTGTGTTATAGCGAACAACTGCGTGTAGAAGTCTGTGATACTACTCTTAGTACTGCAAGGCAGAACGCGGAAAAGAGATGTTTGCACACACAGGGATAGAATATGCCTAACATGCCACAGAAGGCGCTGTTGCAACATCGGTAAGTTTGGACTTTGTCCGAAGAGGATAAGACGTTACCCGAAGATCGTCAACATATATGGTACATCCGTGATCACAGCCTTGAGATCCGCAAGATGAGCTTCACTGCGAACTAACATTTCGGCTCGAGGCGACATAAGGATGTTCACGAGCGCCAGCAGTCCCAGCACTACAAACGCAGTGGCGCGCACGCTCCAACCAAAGCTCGTGCCCTCGGATAGTAGTTGGTTGAGCATTATGGGAAAGACGATACCGCCGAGGGATGAGCCGGTGAAGACTATTCCAATGGCCATGGCACGTCGCGCACGCCAATGATGCGATTGGATAGCTACGCATGGTATGTAGATAAGTCCACCACCTAAACCCATGCCAACACCTTGAGCAAGGAAAAGCTGGTAATAGACTGATGTGTCCGCAATTGAGAGCATGAATAATCTGATAATGTTCGTTAGTTGGATAATAATAATTGACGATTGACACCAAGGACGTTGCAACGCTTCTGTAAGAAACACTGTAGAAAGAGATAACGTTTCCGAAATGTTTCTCATAAACATTTGGGAAATATTGCCTATGTGGGAGATAGGAATTATTGCACCTTATCAACAAGCGTGTTTCTCATGTGTTCCCTCGAGAAACGTTACATGGCCCTCCACCATGCGAGACGTCATCGAGCCCAATATTGAATGAAAACGCACGAAAAGACATATAGCACAGAACCAGCGAATATTGTGTGACGGAAGTATCCATGATCAAGAAGTTTTCCAGAGATGAGACCCAGAGAGGTGAGGAGAAAGACCTGTGTCGAGCCGATCCAGCTAATGGCAGAGGCAGAGGCGGTATCAGAGCGGGTGTAAAAATCCTGGTACACGCCAAAGGCGTTCGTGTACCCAAAAGTTGCAAATAATGCACACCAACTGCAAGCGCAGAAGCAATTCGCGGATGATCAGAGGTGTTGAGACTCGCGGGTCAATGGAACGTACCCTCCGATGAGGTTGCACCACGCCTTCGCGCCTGAATCAAAGGTGAGAGCGGCCGGTTGAACAGTTACAGAACGATCTTCGCCTCGCTGTCCTAGCTCGACCTCGAGAGTCTGAGTTGAGACATTGGGCAATTTCTCGGTCTCTGTCATCGTGAAGGATGCTCTTCAGCCTAGTAGTTGTCGAGGACCCACGGGTGGGGCGGCAGAAGGCAGGCTGTACATACGGCGTGCGTGTGATGACAGTGATGCATTTTTCGAAGCTCGCGGAACCTGATCCAGGAAGATGGCAGTTGGCACGAGCAAAAGAGGTATCCTCGGAGGAGTAAGTATACTTAGAACAGAGCGTCTGAATCTGCGTTCGGTTATTGTTGGATCGCCGACCTTGTCCAATAGTTGCTTGAGTTTCTCATTACTTATGGCGGAATGTGGCACGCATGGGACAGCAGAGGCTCGTGCCAGTGCTGCTGTCACTTCGAGATAAGTATTGTCACTTGACCATGCCTGGGCAGGAACGCATAAAAGCTGTTTGAGTCATTAACGAGCATAATTAGAGTAACAGTTGTACTTTTGTGTAAGTCAACCTACTCCAGCTCACAACTGATAGATGATGCATGCTCTAGACCTTCCTAAAGTATAGTATGCATACTCACGATGCTGAAAAGTCGACCAATTGTAGGGCGTATGCCCGAAAATCAGTAAGATTGGACGAAGGCGCTGGGAGTCCTGTCCAACATTCTCCCCGATTGCTCCGGAACCTTATTTTCTAACGCTCGGACATAGTGGGCTTAGACGTCTGCAAGCACCTTTCTATGTTCATATTATCTCGCGGTCGAGATAGGCAAGCATTCTCGTCGTCGCAAAGCATACGTGGTCGCGTGGCTGGGTTATGCTTGTGGAATTGTTCATTGTGGTGCTTCGAGTGAAGAGAATGTTGGCTCCAGGGTCGCTATCCCAACATGGGTGGCCGCCGCCCATACGTTTAGGAACCTTCGCAATTGTTTAGCAACGCGTAGGTATGTACTCTCACTGTAGTCTATTGAAGCACATCATCTTGTGAGGCAGGACCCCGCGTGGGGAGGGTTGGCGTCGAGCCGGCCACCGGATGAAAGCACAACTTGACAGACAGATTTTACAGATTCTGATGCTTTTATCGTGGATTCTTCATGCCATACCGGCGTCAGGTTAGCCGTCTTTGCAATTGCAGATACCAATGGGGAACAGAACGAAAGTTCATCAGGGAAGCTGTATAGTCGGGGAGTACTTGTACAAGGTTCGTGTGTATAGTTCAGGCGGTCGTGAGTATGGGAATTGATATGTTTCTTGCTCTGCGGAAATGCACGCAGAACCGAGTAACATGCACTCTCAGCTTTCGAGAAGGCCTCGAAACCCGAAATATGAGCACTTTCCCGGATTTAGACCGCTTTAGCAGGCATTGAACCTCCCTGTATGACCATGTCGGAGCATATTCAAAGGTGCATCTTGCCCAGGTATGAGTCGTAAGGAACCTTCGGCGCCCTTATTGAGTTATTCTTTCACGTCTGCTCTTTCCGTAATCTGTCCCAGAGGTTAATATCACTTCAAAGCCCCGTCATACTGTAGCCAGTTCCTTTCGAACATAGTTGATGGTGGGACGTGCATCGAGCCATCACCGCCAACATCGGGTCTCTATCAGTTCCCACAGCCCGGTGTCGGCATCAACTCAACCTCTATTCTGGTACTTCGATTCTCTTCTGTGGACTGCGGGCTCATATAGTTCTCGCTTTCACAAAAATGCAAACCATTACCCCGATTTACCTCCAGTCAGTTCTCTAGACTGCCACGCCTGTTCTAAAACATGACTCAAGCCTTCGTTCATATCCCAATGGGTACTCCCCTACCGCAACTACCTCATGCCATTTCCGTCTCTATACCCACATGGAAAGAGACATGGGATTATAAGCGTGATGAGTGTAATCCAAAGATGCTCGATCGCTTCGAGACCGGCTACCCACGTTACTTCATACACAGGAGCATCGAGAAGGTATGGTCTACCTTGCGCCCTCAATCATGCTAATACTCACTCTTTTCTATAGCTTGCCCGCATCTGCGAGGCTCAATTTGGGTCTCCTTCCGAGACATCGCTGCTCATAGCCTCTCGTCGAGCTGCAGAAGCTTGTCGCGATTTCCTCACAGTGCGCAAGGTCTCCTCCCGCGTCATCAGCCTGCGCGTCCAGGATGCACATTTTACAGCCCTGTTCTTCAACCCCGAGTCGTATGACACCGCCCGACTGTTTTGGGAATTGACTGGCCTTGGTGTATCCAGTCGTTGCGCTGACCAGTGTCTCGAATCCATCGCCAAGGATCCTGCTTCTCTGCAAGTGTACACTGATTCTACGACGAATGGTCACACAGGCATGGCGAAGGAAGGAGAACAAGCCAAAGCTGCTGTTCGTCACCGTATTTCTGGCTTGCTATCACAGTCATCAACTACCACTGTAGCGGATACTGATGTGTTTCTGTATCCCACGGGCATGTCTGCTGTCTGGTTTTCCCATCAACTCTGCCTGGGAGCTCTAGGCGAACGTCCGTCAGTCTGCTTCGGGTACGATGTTTGGTTAGTTTCCTTCGCACGTAGGGACTGATATCCCCGATAGGTTTCCCTACACTGACACTTTGAAGATACTACACAACTGGTGCTCGGACGACCTTGCATTCTATCCTGATGGCTCGGAGGCATCGATAGACCGTCTCGAAGAACTTTTGGCTGCTAGGCACGCAGAAAATCCATCAATACCGCCCATTCTGGCGCTCTTCACGGAATTGCCCTCCAACCCTCTTCTTCGTTCAGTCAATTTGCCTCGTCTACGCAAACTAGCAAACCAATATGACTTTGTGATCGTTGTCGACGAGACAGTCGGTAACTTTGCGAATGTGGATATCCTACCTTACACAGATATTATCGCGTCGAGCCTGAGCAAGACGTTCAGCGGCGCTGGAAATGTCATGGGTGGCAGGTCAGTCTATTTTCTCTCGTTCATGTCAATATTTTGTCGCTCAATCTGGTACGTACCCATAGTCTTGTACTGAATCCTGCCGGAAAACACTATACTCGCCTCTCCGAACATATTCGCGAGACGTACGAAGATCTCTGGTTCTCGGCCGATGCGATTGTTATGGAGCAGAACTCCAGAGACTTCGCTGAACGCATGCGCGCCGTTAGTGACAACGCTGCCGCCGTGGCACATCTCCTGCGCGACGCCCATCCTATCATCACCGAGGTGTTCTACCCCGAATGGCAGACAACAGAGTTGTACAACGCATGTAGGAGGCCCGGTGCTGGGTATGGTGGGCTTTTCTCGTTGCACTTTGTGTCGCCTGCATGTGCTCGGGCGTTCTACGACACACTGCCGTGTGCTAAAGGGCCGAGTTTTGGGACAAACTTCACGCTCGCGTGCTTCTATACGGTCTTGGCGCATTATTATGAACTGGAGTGGGCGGAGGGGCTTGGTGTGGGCGCGGATTTAGTGAGGATAAGTATCGGGTTGGAGGACAGGGAAGAGATGTTGGGGGCGTTCAAAAGCGCACTGGAGGCGGCTAGGAAAGCTTATGAGGCTTGAGTACTTTCTGGAACAACTGTTTCAATTTCGCCTTTTCCTTCGAGATATGTGCAAGCCGTCAGTTCCTTTCGGTTACTTTCGTGTAAGTTACAGGGATCGCATTTTTTTGTTAATCGCAATGAAAGGAATACCTCTGTGTCCACTCCCTTCCAATGTGCTGGCTAATCCTTCATGTCATTCTGCTGTGAAATCTACTCGCTGGCGTTTCCATGCAGACCACTTCGATGGTTGACTTTCCCTACTAGAATTTCACTTCAAGCTCCTTCTGCTGGAAGTAAAGGTCACCTGTAGAACTATTCTAAAATAATTTTACATGTGAAATGATCATCGTAATATGGCGATCAGTCTCATCTTAGTCTCCTCAACAGGCCACAGGGAAGGAAGATGCAAGGAAGAGTCAAGGAGTCGTTCCTACTATTCATTAGAGAGCCTTACTAATGAAGGTAAACATTTTGTTTACCATGTTTATTGATTACGTAATAATTACTATACGAGTAAATAGAAAGTTAGAATTGGGGACTTCACCGCCGCAGCCTGTTCCTCACGTCTTTCACCTCCACTCATACCTCAATGTTGCACTGCGATGAACTCTTTCAAACGCAGTGCTCCAGAGTTTACAGATACGCGACCCAGCAAGCGGCAGGCCACATCTTCACCGGAAGAGGGTGAACTCGATGATACTACGCCTCCTCCTGCCCCGAGGTCACCAACGCCGGTTAAATCATCGGCCAAACCTGGAGCAAAGGTTCCTTTTCCTTTCAAAAAGAAAGGGAACGTCCAAGAAGCTCCACAGGAGCCTTCCGCATCAAGGGTGAATGCCCCTCCCGGAGTATATGTACGGTCTGCGGAGGACGAACGTAGGTTTAGGGAGGAGCAAGATTGGAGAACCTCACAGTCACGTCCTTCCCGGCATGATTCTCAGCATCCAAGTGATGCTTGGAGTCGTCATGATAGTTGGAGGCCACGCGGAGACCGATATTATCAAGATTCATTGAACGACCAAGACCGACGTTATCCACCTCGAACTGAGCAAGACAGGTGGGATTCACGGGATTCACCTCGGTATTCATACAACAAGAGATATGCTTCTCGCTCTCCCTCATCACCTCGTTCACGTTCACCTGCTTCGCCTGCCAGTTCCAGCAAGGAGAAACACCGATTACCGCCACCACGTTCCCCCATATCTGACAGTTATTCTAAAGATTATTACGACGACCGTGAAGATGGCCGCAAGCGTAGTCGGGACGGCAAAAGACGTTCGCGACCATCATGGGAAGCCGACACCTACCTCGGTGGCGACCGTTACGCTGCAGCAGATACCTACATTGCAAGGGACACATATGTGGCTGCAGATTCATATGTACCGAGTGATGACTACAGTAGAGATCGTTGGAGTCGGGAACGCGAGCGTGAGCGAAGGTATGATGAAGACGATGACCGAGGATACCGGCGGTCTGTAGATCGCGACGCGTACCAACCCATTTCTCCACGACATGCACGATCGCCACAACGCCCACTCTCACCGCAATCTATCGGTTCACTTCCGAAGGCGAAGAGATCTACTGGCCCACGTACGCCTCCTTTACCACCGCAGCCAGATGCGCCTCCACCCCCTACGCCACCTGGTGGTGACGTTAGGAGCATTCTTCCTGATAGACACCAAGCTGTGCGCATACCATTGCCGAAGAAACCACCTACACCAGTGCACTTTTCACCTCCTAATCGCCCCCTTCCTGGAGAAGAGAGACCGTCTGCCCCGAAACCGAAACCTGAGCCTCACCGAACCAAAGAGTCTCTTCACACAAGGGTTCTTGTGCAACGGCCGCGGCGAAAGCCGGTACAAAGAACTCGGGAAGAGGAGCAAAAATTGTACGGACGTATCTTCGAAGGTTGCGGTTGTCAGGAGGACTATGATGTGATCACCAAGTTGGGCGAGGGAACATTCGGGTATGTGTTGCCTCCACTAACGGCCCAAGTCTCCTTACTAACAAGACTTTCAGAGAGGTGCACAAGGCAATACACGTCAAGAAGCATCATGCCGTCGCCCTCAAACGTATTCTCATGCACAACGAGAAGGAGGGCATGCCTGTGACCGCTCTGCGTGAGATCAAGATTCTCAAGGCCCTTCACCACCCTTGTATAGTCGACATCTTGGATATGTTTGTTGTTCGAAGTGAGTTCTCCTTTAGACTTTCATTGAATTTGATGACTGAGCCATGTTTTAGGTAAGGGGAAGGAGTCACCATTGTCTGTTTACATGGTGTTTCCCTATATGGACCATGACCTCGCTGGTTTGCTTGAGAACGAGCGCGTCAAGCTCTCTCCAAGTCAGATCAAGTTATACATGAAGCAACTATTAGAGGGTACCGAATACATGCATAGAGTATGTGTTAAACCTCTTCTTTCATCTTCGTGATCTTACTCCCATCCCCGCTAGAACCATATTCTACATCGTGACATGAAAGCAGCCAACTTGCTCATCTCAAATACTGGTTCTTTGAAGATTGCCGATTTCGGTCTCGCACGAGCCTTCGACCCCAACATCATAAAAGGCGGAGTTGGGCGTGACGGTAAAGAACGCAAGTACACTAATTGTGTCGTTACACGTTGGTATCGTCCTCCCGAGCTTCTTTTGGGTGCACGACAGTACGGTGGTGAAGTGGACATGTGGGGAATAGGGTACGTGTATAACACAATGGCCACGTCTTTCGTCGGTCACCGGATGTATTGATATCTGTATAGGTGTGTCTTTGGGGAGATGTTCTGGCGGCGACCGATTCTGCCTGGCACGTCAGATCTTGATCAACTTGACAAGATCTGGCAGCTTTGCGGTACCCCAACTGAATATACATGGCCAGGTTATGAGGCTCTTCCGGGTTGCGAAGGCGTCAAGAGGTTCAATATGTACCCTCGCAGGCTCAAGCAAACCTACGAAACGTTGGTATACTGCGCTGTTTTTGCTCACGCTTTGCTTACCAACTTTAACCCCCTCAGAATTGGTTCAGAGACCTGTGACCTGTTAGACAAGCTCTTGACATGCAATCCTCGGGAACGCTTGACGGCATCCCAGGCATTGGATCACGATTACTTCTGGACGGACCCATTACCTGCCGATCCTAAAATGTGGGCCTCGTTTCTTTTATTCGTTGACTTTTGTGACACGACAGTTGCTCATAACTCTCTTTCATGGCATCTTATCTTTTCTGGCGACTTCTCTGTTCGACTGTACGTACTCTCTTTGACCTTGATTCTCGCTCTCGCTCTCTAGGCTACCGACGTATGAAGCCTCTCATGAGTTCGACAAGCGTGGTCGTCGCAACCAGCCTGCTGGACCTCCTGTACCCCCTGCTCATGTGGATAGCGCTCCACGATTTCTCCCTGTACCCACTCAACCTCCGACCTTACATTACGGAAGACCACCTCCACCTCGCGAAGCATTCCGCTCTGGTCCCCCGCCAAGCTCTTTCTCTAGTTCTTTTCCACCTCGTCCACCATTTGTTCATAGTCATGGACATGGACATGGTCTTCCTCCGCCACCCTCCATACCTCAACATTTGCCTCCTCTGGTTTTGAGACCTGGTCAACCTCCACCTATGATCTGGTCACAGCCACCTTCCATGGGAATGGATCGACCATTACATCTTCCCCCTCGCCCCCAGCCCATAGCACCCACGACCAATGGCCGAGGTGCCCATTATCGGGACCGTACTGAGAGTCGTGACAGGGGTAGTGGCGGACTGAATTACGGGTAGAATGAATCTGTAGGTTATTCATATTGGTTACATTACGCTTGGTTGCCACAGTACTACTACCCGTACCCTGTAGCTAGCTGGATAATATGCCACGGTGTTTCTCGAGACTAACTCAGTTTTGGGCCAACTCAACTTTAATCCTCCGGCCGGGCGCTTTACCACGATTTCTGAATTCGATCGCGATCGAGGAGACCGTGTTTCGTATATCCCCCCAATTCAGACATTCATCGACAATTGAGCTGGAGACGAACTGTTGATAAGTGGCTACGTTTTCCAGGATTTTCCCTCCACATGGATCCGCTGTGTCATATCTATGCTTACGTCCGCGCTGCTTTCAATAATTTTTCCTAGTCATGTTCCTTCCGTGTTTGTTCTGGACGAGTCGATAAAAGCATTGATGACACCATAGGAGGGCCCGAGGCGGCGCACACCGAAGTATTCAAATGATATCAGTGAAACGGTTGAAACCTTCGTTGCATCTTCCCCTCTCAAGTTGAGCTAGAGAAGGTCTACTCCTCGTACAACCAGTGTCCATGAACCAAAAGCTCAAAAATGGCTTGATCATAACGACGATTTGTTGTGTCATTGCACTCAGTGTACGTCTCGAAATTTGAATTTGAACGGACACTAAGCCTCACAGACAACTCTATAGATTTTCCTTACCGGTGCTACTGCTGTTGCCATTACTAGTATTGGACGAGATTTGAAGTTTAAGCAGTCTGATCTTCAATGGCCAATTAACGTCTATTCGTGAGTTTATCCTCACAGGTGTGTCAAACCATGGGTTGACAGGGGTTTCACAGTCTTTCGTATGGTTGTCTGCTCTTGCTGTGTGGAAGGCTGGCAGACATCATCGGTAACAAGAAAATGTTCCTTATGGGCTCAGCTTGGTTCAGTCTTTGGTTAGGATCTTTTGTACTCGACCTAATCTTGCGCATCTAATCGTCTCGCTTCAGGAGTGTTGCTGCCGCCGTCGCCCCGAACTCATGGACATTCATTCTCTTCCTAGGGTTGCTTGGTATTGGTCCAGGTTTGTGCAAAGAATGCGCCGACATTCGTTATGCTTGCTGACTTCCTTCTTCATAGCTGCTAGTACCCCAGCCAGTACGCTCAATCCCCTTTTTTGATTTTAATCATACCCACATATCCCAAAATTGCTTTCTGAAGGTATCAGCATCATCTCCTCTTACTTCCCGCCCGGAAAGACAAGGAACCAAGCATTTGCCATTCTAGGAGCCGGACAGCCCATTGGCTTCATCGTTGGCATGATTCTAGGTGGTCTTCTGTCTCAATCTGGAGCATCTTGGCGTGCCATTTTTGCCTTACAGGCAGGGTTGGGATGCTTGTTGTGCGTCGTTGGTTGGATCGTTCTTCCTACAGGTGACATTTCGAGGCGTTACGATAAAGGTCTTGACATCGTCGGCGCAGTTCTAAGTACTGCTGGGTTGGCTTTGCTTGTGTATGACCTTGGGTGAGTAGATAATGACGTTCTACGTCGGCGGAAATACTAACTATTACTCCAGGGAGTCGACAAGTGCACCAAAGGGCTGGGCCACCCCATTCATACCTTCCCTTCTCAGCGTATCGGTCGTCATAATCGTGCTCTTTGTCCTATGGGAGTTGTGGCGTGAGGCGAAGGGCCAATCCGTACTCCTTCCGATGAGTATGTGGATCCAGCCTGGTACAAAGATGGGTCCTGTTGTGCTACTCGTCATCTTCGGTTGGTGGGGTTTCAATACTATGGCGTACTACGCGCCGTTGTATTATCAGCAGGTCCAGTTATTGAGTCCTCTTCAGACTTCCGTTCGACTTGTTCCGCTTGGCGTTGTTGTAAGTGGCCACCGTCTGTCTGCCTCATCAATAATGGACAAATTTGGTGATGTCGGATATGCGCAGGGACTGATTACGAACTTGCTTACGGGCTATTTGGTTGCTGTGGTCCCTGCACAGGCATTGATCATCATCGGTTTCATGTCAGCTATCGTGAGTTCAACTCCCTGATTTTATAGCGTAATGCACTCTGGACAATCCGCCTCTATAGGCTTCCTCTATTATTTTCTCGCTGATCAATGTGCACGCGAGCTACTGGGCAATGGCATTCATAGTCATGTGCACGCTGCCCATTATGGACATAGCCTACACTATCGGAAATATGCAAGTATGTTTCGCATTCGATGGTAACTCACAAGCCGTGGCCGGTAGTATCTTCAGTATCGCAACTAGGGTAAGTTCTATGCTGTATCAAAATATTAGTTGTCATTAACAGGCCGTTTCACAGCTCGGAACTTCGATTGGTCTCGCCGTGACTTCAAGCATCGCATCTTCTGTCTCGGAGAAGTTCAATCGTGTTCATCCTGATCTGGTAGCCACCGACCCCGACGTCCTCATGGCCGGTTACCGAGCTGCAGGCTGGACTTGTTGCGGTGCTCTCGTGCTGAGCCTCATCATCGCTATCTTCGGTATGAGGGGTATCGGTCTCGTGGGTCAACGAAGATGCGTTGAAAAGCCTGACAGAGACATCGAGTTGTCTCCTCAACTACCTGAGCATAATCATGTGAGGGTGCCCGATATTGGCCCCGTCAGTGAATCTACTATTACTCAAGAAAGGAGAAGCCAAAGTTCCAGTCATACTCGTGTCGATCGCCAGATCAGCGTCGTGGATAGGCATGAGTCCACGTTGTCGGAAAAGAAGATGGCGGTAGAGATGTCTGTATAGAATGTTAAACCATCAAAGACTCATGGAACGGCGTTTCATCGAGTAGTATACAAAGCAAGTTTTGGACATCATTAGACTTCCTCCCCTTGAGAAGTCGAAAACAACAATGATATGGGTGCTTCAGACGCCGCCGCTTGGCCATCAACGCGAACATCATATGTGCGGAATCCTCATGTCTTTCACTGACGCATAGGATGCCATGTCGGACATGAACTCGAGGCAGAAAAGTTCGGAAATATCATACGGGCAATGCAAAGGAGCGTCGTACTGTACAGATTTCTGAGGAAAAACGGGGTATCAGAGAAGTGAAAGACAGAGTCTACGGAGTCAAATTGCATCGGAACCTGGGTGGAAGCAAATATCCTATGACACCACTAGAAGAGTTGCTGAATATCCCGTTAATATTCGACAGGTATTCTTCTGTACAAAACCTCTTCACGCTTGATGTACTCCACTACGAGACGGCATATCCTCCTGTCTTGGGCGTCATAGATGACTTCAGTGTAAGCGAGAGGACTGTAGACAGCATGGAGCTCGGGAACCGTAATAAGTGCCCTACCTGGCAGCGGCGCCAGCCTCCAGGGTAAGCGGTTTACACCATAAGGGTTCAATCGGATCGGGTTGTTGTGCATGGGTCCGGCAGGTCCAGGGATACCGGGTCCACCCATTGGCATCGCTGCAGGTAGTACTCCATCTCCATCAGCACCAATACCGTGTCCTGGAACATCCAAATCCTCCGGTTCAGCCTTAATATCCTCAGGTTGGAGATGGGGGTTAGCGCCATCGCCATCGTCACGGCGGTCACCTCCCGCTGGGTCTTGCACCCGCTTAATATTTCCACCTGAGAGCACAACGCTCTCAAGGTCCTGAGAGAGGTCATCAACGTAAGGATCGATAGAGTCCCGACACTTCTTGTTCCAACCATGAATTTTGCTCCTGTGTGTGCCGAAGAGATGGGAATAACAACTGGTGTAGGTGCAGCGCACTCTACTTCCTGGCCGCGAATCAGTTAAGTGCGGACACACGAGGTCATTAAATCCAATGCTATTCAGAGCCACATGAGCATTAAAGATATCGCATATCTGTGAGGACAAAGTACTCACTGTGATTTGACGTGTTCGTAGAGCCAATGTTGACGCTGATAAGCGCGGTCGCACCCCATCCATGGGCAAGCAGTGCTGGAAATTATATTAAGGGCAAGGCAATGAATAGTACACACAGACTCACTCATCCCTCCCGTCCGTAACGTGCGTCCGGATGTGTGCTAGCCAATCTTCAAACCTTGCAACCTGTACATGACATGTAGGATCAGGGCACCGTATTGGAGAGTGGCTACCATCGGGATACTGCAAGCAATGCCAAATGATAAGTAGTTGGCATTACGACTTCGCATTCATGGATAGATTGCTTACCATCTGTACGTATTCAGACATCGTTGGTGGTGAGCTTGAGTAAAGAACACTGGGGCTGAAAAGCACAGGCAGAAATAGCGTGTGGGTTTGTCTGGTGAAGCTTTGTACGAGGTATTTATGCATCTGGAGTGTGGTCAAAGCATTGGCACCATTGACAAGACGGATAAAATTGATGCCAATGCAAGGTCATATACAGTGATACCTGCAATGATTCATGACAAGGTTGTCATGTGTGAGCACTTGGCCTTCGCGGCCGAAGCCAAAGCAAGGTCAAAGCCTAGGAGATTTCGAGTCATTTCTCATCAATTCAATATCAACGTCACCCAAGCTTGGACCAGTGTACCCAATTGTATTGTTTAGCTACGGCGCGACACGGGGTACATGTAGGAGGGACGAAGAAGCTCGAAGCATTGAAATACCTTTTCCTCAGGCGAGGGTTCACCGTATGAGGCGCACTGTGAGGACGTCAGCGTCAGCCCTTGAACCATAGTGACCGCTGTAGGTTCGCAAATTGCTTTCTTTTTTGTTGCCATCCCAGCATGATGACTGGAGAACGTGAGATCTTTGAACACGGGGCGATTTGGGAAAAAGTGTGGTTGAAGAATTTAAATAGAGCAAGTGATCAAGAGCAAGCAAGAGAACAAGCACGTCCAGGTACCTGAGATTTTAGATTAGATGGTGACAGTCTAAGCTGGACCGAGATTAGCAACTTCACACACCATTCTCGTCCGACGCAAAACCATGGTACTAGACGACTAACGAGGCTCATATTCAACCTGGGACCTAATACACACCAAACAACGTATTCGACCCAGCAAAAATATAGTCCGATGTAGTTGGGACAAAAGACGGTAAATTCCGGGAATGCGGCACGGGTTTTAGAGAACAAGAACAAGGCGAAAGAGATGAGACAATTCAGTCCTCATTCATCTCACCACGCGTCGAGTTCTACAATATTTCTAAGGATTCACCCATAGACTATGTCGAGTCCGAGCTCTTCCACTAATCCTGAATCAAACGCGTAAGCCATGTATGAAATAGGTATCGAAGTGTGGCTCACTGAATTGAGAATAGCTCATCAAGTGTCGTGGGTCCCCGAAGGCGGCCTGCAGAAGATTCCATCGACAAGGAGAAACCAACCAAACGTCCTCATTTGACCAATACAGACTCCTCAGCCAACGTTAAACCTGATGGACGTCCAGATGGAAACTCGTGCGTGATATACTCGGAATGCGACGTGAACGCGGTCTATAAGACTAATGAATTACTCCAGATCGCTCTCCTCCGAGATAGTGAAGCCTCTCAAGCGACCTGCCGACGATTCTCAGCCCGAGCAAGCGTAGGTTGTCATTAAGTTTCCAAACGTCCTATTTGTTTCTGAAGACTTTTCAATTCAATCGCTCGAATAATCAGGAACCCCGGAGTCAACAGTAGTAGAGCAATTAAAAGGATTCGCCTTGAAGGCGAAGTTGATCCGGCAGTGGAACAGCAGAAACACTCGTACGTTGACATACATGGTACCCAAGTGATGCAGTTCGGTGACCAGACGCCACAGAGGTAGTACAAGTAGCGTCACTGCTCGTCGAAAACGTCCCCTAGCTGAGGATGGGTGTGATAAGCTATCGTAACTATGTTTCACTTCCGATAGAGTCGAGATGTAGGGATGACTGTCATTTCTAGGCCTGACCCAGGCGATAACCGTCCCCCGGCCAAGCGTGTTCGCGTGAAAGGAGTAAATCAATCGAATAAAACGAAGAAACAATGTGGTGAGTATTCTGTATCTCGGTTGTTTCCAGATGCAAACAACTCTACGTCCTATAGATGATGCCCTGTTACTGCCAATCGAGTTACACCACGAAATCCTGGAATGGCTATGGGTTGAGGGCAGCTTTGAAGATAATAGATATTATCTCGTGAAGACACTCCGTGCGTGTGCACGGACTTGTTCACGATGGCGTTCTGCTGCGCGGCCACACATCTTTCGTTTCCTCAAAATCAAAAGTCCGAGTCGCTTCAACGACCTCGTAGCTCTCATTGAGGTAGATCCTCAGGTTGCAGGATGGATACAAAAGGTCGGTCTGGACGGTATATCAATTCCGTATCGAGATGATGTGCTGCGACCGCGCCTTGGAAGCGTTGACGAAGACAGGGACCGCTGGATGTACGGGTTCCCATCGAGTCTCGGGGTCCCACTACCAAGTCTCAAATGCCTTGAGCTCACCGGTTTTGCGCATCTGAGCAAGAAGCGCGAAGATCAAGAAGCGTTCGCTGGTTGGATCAGACAATTGGCAGAATTGCGCTCGGTGGTGGAACTGAATATGGTTCGCTGCGAGATGAGCTCGAATAGCCTGACTGCCATGGTTCGCGCATTTCCCAAGTTGGTTAGGGTTGGCTTTGCCTCAGTCGACTTCACCGCGCCGAATATCGTATCGCTTCGGGACGAGACACCCAGTCCTAAGCCTGCAAGCAAACAAGAAAGTAGCGAGGCAGCAAACTCTGAAGTCGCTTGTGTCGATAAAGTGTCTGTCCCACCGATGCCTGATGATACGAAAGGGATACCGCCCTCTTCTCACGACGTTCCAACGCTGTCGGTAGAGTACCCGCTGTTTCATCCTCCACCCGTACTACAATCATTCATGATCAACAATATGTCCACCGACTTCCTTGAGTTTGACTTCCTTCTCGTTCGCGACTGGCTCAGACCCGAAATCCTAAATAGAAGCCTCAAGTCATTGGATATCGATAGCTTTGTTGATGGTCCGACTTTAGCCAAATTCATCGCTTCCCTTGGTATGTCTCCGGCATTGGAGTGTCTTATTTTTTATGTCGGCAACGGCCGTCAGGGTCGTGAGTTCGTTCAAAATGCTTTATTTTATCTGGACTTACTGGGAATATCTAGTTATCGACTCCGCGGTGAATATCCACAATTTATCCAATCTCACCTCCATCCGCTTCGTAACTCATGAAGTATCTGAACGCGAAGATGTCGAGGCAATCCATTACATTCTTTCTCAGCTCAACGCCCCCCGCCTACAATCCATCTCTATTTCCATTCCATACCCTGATGGGTTCGAGATGTTCGAGGGGACCGACGAGTACTTAGCCAAGGAGTTTGGTGGCATAAAGGAGCTTTGCGTTGAGACCTTCACTGATACTCCAGCAAAAACGCAGAAGGCTCGGGAGGGAATAACAGCTATGTTTCCGTTGCTGGCTGAACGAGGCATTCTACGAGTCGAGAATTGGGGTTTACCCTATCTTTGTTAAGCCGTCCCCTGCAAACAATTCACTGATGTATGCGGTGATATCCTGTATTAGCCATACATTTAACCGTTTCTGTCGTGCTGGGAACGTCCATTCTGAGGGATTGCATACAATCGTTGATCCAACTCTTGCGCAGTCGGAGACCATTTACAAATCTTAGCAAGAGCCCTCGATGAAGCTCTGAGGGAGTCAGTCAAGGCCTTTTCGTGTTTCACTGGTGATCGGACTGTCTGATTTCAGGCTGGAGCCGTCTTGGGTTATTCATGATGTAGAGTATCTTATGCTTATAGAACCAACGAAAGAACATCCTCGTTTGTCTTCTTCCCTTTGAGTGTTCAAGGTATCCGGGTCGCCTTCATTCGTAGGTTCCTATGTTTGAGGTTGCCATTGACAATTCGTGTGTTTCCTGCTCATATCGAAATGTTCCACGTACCGAGATTGCAGCCGAAAAGTAACCTCAGCTTCCGAATCGAATAAACACTTAATCAGGACTGCACAGGAGTGAGACCGAATGGAAAGAACTGCTCAAAAATATGCCAAATGTGGACGGTGCTGACTGCCCTCGTTTGATCGTTTCCTCCATGCAAGCACGTTTGGCAGGTCTATGATCACCACAGTGAGTGTCGGTGCTACTACAGATAGTATTTGGCATCGTCAGTTGTGAACACATATTTGAAAGATATACAATGATGCACGGGGACTCGTCACCTTCGACACATGCAGGCGGTCTCGATGTTAGCGTCATGCGATCATTTCTACAAAGGAAGATGAGCATTTTCCATTCAAAGAAGGTATATCACTGCGTACTACGAGGAACGATCCGATGAAGTGCTAGAAGTGTAGCTAGCTCTATTACCTGGTTGCAAATCAGTTGAATGCGAATACGTTTCATCCTTAAGCCTAAAGCTATTCAGTACCATAGGAACATTAAAAATATTACATGTCTATGCGAATCAAGTGCTCACTGTGATTCGAAGTGTCCGTTGAGAGAAGGTTCGCTTTTGTAAGTGCGTTTGCACACCATCCACGGACAAGCAGTGCTGAAAGTTACATCAGAAGCAGGGCAACGGATTCTATGCACAGACTCACTCATCCCTCATGTCCATGACGTTCTTCCGAACGTACGCTGGCAAATCTTGAGATCTTGCCACTTGTGTACGACATGCAGGATTAGGCCAACGTATTGGAGAGTGGCTATCATGGTGTCAAACGATAAGTAGTCTGGATTGCTTACCACTTGTACGTAATCGGACATCGTGGACAACGAGCTTGAGTTGGCAATACTAAGGCTGAAGAATACAGGTGAAGGTTAGTGCGTCGATTATGGTAGTGAAGATTTATACAGGTCGTTTAAGCATTTCGAGCGAGGTCAAAGGTTTCGAGCCATTGGCAAGGCGAATAAAATAAAAGTCAATACAAGACCATTGACAATGATAACTGCAATGATTTCTCACAAGATTGCCATGCGTGAGTACTTGGCCTTCGCGGCCGAAGTCAGAGCAAGACCGAAGCCTGGGGATTTCGAGCCACTTCTCACGTTACCAAAGTTTGAACCGGCGTGCCCAATTAATTTACATGGCCGCAATACGATATGGGTGACTTATGAGAGACTCGTGAGAGAGCATTTGAGGCCTCGAAGTTCACGACGCCCCGAGAGTTCACGAGGAAGGCACTGTGACGCTTCAACACTTTGACCATGATGACAGCTGGTTCATGAATTGGTTTTGTTCGTTATTCGGATATGATCACTGCAAAAAATTGAGACCTTTGAGGGTGTGGGAGATAGAAAACGTGTGGCTGAGGAATTAGAGCAAGTATGGAGCAAGCAACAGACCGCTCAGGCAATAGAATATTTGTCCAAGTGAGATTAGATTAGATGTACCGTTGGACCACTTGGACCGAGATTGGCAAACTTCGAGTTCGACTCCCTGGCTGGGCAGCGTACGATACTCATTCGACAAAAAATCCCTGGTAGACTAGTATAATACGGCTCGTTCGTGACCGGCTCCGACCCGAAATCCTCGCTGGAAGCCTCAAGTCATTGGATATCAATGACTTTTTTGATAGTCCGGCTTTAGCCAACTTTATCGCTTCCCTCGGTATAAATCATTAGAAACTCGCGGAATGATGTTTCGTCGAGCAGTGTACCAAGCAAGTTTTGGATGTCATTGAGATCCTGCCTTCCTTCCTTGAAAGAGTCAAAAACAAGAATGATATGGATCCTTTGGACGCCGCCACCGGACAGGAAAAAGTTTCCTTCTGCCGTCAAGGGGAATATCACATGTGCGGAATCCTGATGTCTTCCCCTGACGTGTAGGATGGTATATCAGACATGAACTCGAAACAGAACTCTTCCAAGATCGTTAAATTCTTGCTTGATGATAGGGAGTTACAGACACGAGAGATATCAAGATAACCATACTTCTAAGTGTTCGGAGATATCATACGGACAATGCAAAGGAGCGTCGTATTATACAGATTTCTGAGGAGAGGGGGGTATCAGAGAAGTGAAGAGAGAATAGGCAGTCAAAATCCATCGGAACCTAGGTGGAAGTAAACTTCCTATAACCCCACTAGAAGACTTGCTGAACATTCTGTTAGAATATTACAGGAGCAATTTCGTACACAACCTCTCGATGCTCGATGTTGCGAACTATGCGACGGTACATTCCGAAGTCTTGCGCGATAAATTCAAGTTGCCAGAAAACGCGAGGAGTGTAGGTAATAATGCTTCTGCGGCGAACCCTATAAATTTGACCTCGCTGCGGAAGATATGGAATCCAGGGGTTAGCGTTTTCATCGGGAAGGTTCTGGCCGAACATGTTGTGCATGGGTCCAGCAGGTCCAGGGATACCGGGTCCATTCATCGGCATAGCTGCAACTGGTGCTCCATCTCCCTCAACACCAATACCGGGTTCTGGAACATCCAGGTCCTCCGGTTCAGCCTTAATATCCTCAGGTTGGAAATGGGGGTTACCGCCATCGCCATCGTAACGGCGGTCACCTCCCGCTGGGTTTCGCGCCCGCTCAATATTTCCACCTGAGAGCACAACATTCTCAAGGTCCTGAGAGAGGTCATCAACGTAAGGGTCGACGGAAGTTCGGAAGTCCTTGTCGTAACCATGAACAGTGCTCCTGTGTATGCCGAGAGAATGGGAATAACAAGTGCTGTAGGTGCAGCGCACTCTATTTTCTGGCCGCGAATCAGTCAAATGCAGACATATGCGATCATTAAATCCAATGCTATTCAGCGCCACATGAGCATTGAAAATATCACATAGCAGTCAGGATAAAGTGCTCACTGTGATTTGACGTGTTCGTAGAGTTTATGTCGACGCTGATATATGCGGTCGCATCCCATCCACGGGCAAGCGGTGCTGAAAGTTACATTAAGAGCAAGGCAATGAATAGGACACATAGACTCACCTATCCCTCCCATCCATGACGTGCGTCCGAACGTGCGCTAGCCAATCCTCAAATCTTGCAACTTGTGTATCACATGCCAGATCAGGGCACCGTATTAAAGAATGGTTACCATCGGGATGCTGTGAGCAATGTCAAGCGATAAGTATTCGGCATTCTGACTTCGTGTTCATGTATAAATTGCTTACCATTCGGACGTATTCGGACATCGTAGACGGCGAGCTTGAGTAAACAACACTGAAGCTGAAGAGCACAGGTGGAGATGGCGTGTTGGTTATTTTGGTGAAGATGTACACAAGCTATTTATGCACTTTGAGTGAGGTCAATGCATTGGAGCCACTGACAAGGCAAGTAAAAGCAATGTCAATGGAAGGTCATAGACAATGATACCTATAGTAGTTCATCACATGGTTGCTATGTGTGAATACTTGGCTTCGCGGCCGAAGACCAAAGCAAGGTCAACGCAGGTCAAAGCCTAGGAAATTCAAGCCACTTCTCATCAATGCGATATCAATGTCACGAAAGCTTGGACTTGCAGACACCAGCATGCCGAATTACATCACGCAGCCATGATAAATAACGGGTGACTTACTTACGAGAGAACCGAAACTTGAAGCCTTGAAGTTCGCAACACCCTTGAGCACTTTCCTCCCCAGAGTTCACCTTAGGAGCACTGTGGGGAACTTAGCGTTCGGACGATGATGACCGCGAATCCATGAAATATTGGTTTCTTCGTTAGTCAGGTATGATCACTGGAAATGAGCCTGCGGGCCATTAGAAAGCAGGTGCCGTTCAAGAACTATACAGTAAGTGCAGTCACAGAGCAAGCACCCGGTTTGAAGCAAAGAATGCACGTGTGAGAATCTGAGATTAGATTAATTAGATGCACTGTTGCACCGAGATTTAGCTCTAAGCTTCTTGGCTTGGCGTACCATTCTCGCTCATCGCCAAAACTGTCGTAGACAAGTACTTACAGTAAGTATATTCAATTTAGAACCTACTAGCTACATATCAACAGACGCCTTTGATCCAACAACATGCAGTTTGATGTAGTCGGTAAATTCCGGGGATGCGGCATGGACTGTAGAGAACAAGGAGACAAGGCGAATGTTACGATCACTTTCATTTCGGATCTACGAACACACCTTTCCCTCTCGTTATTCATTTGTAACCACTTATTAAAACCTGCCCAAACACATTCATTGATCCATGCTCGAACCTGACCGATACCATAAGTATATACGAACACATTGTTACCACATGTATCTAGATAATAGTAGTATATATACACCAGACGAACTTCGGATTAACTCCAAGTTTCGAATGGTTTTACCTGCTCATTTCTAAATTGATTTGAGTCCTATCATAATTCGAAACTTGCCCCTTCGCATTCTCTCGACAGGCATTGCCTCGTCCTCCACCCACACTTCACCTCTCTCAAAGTCCGTTGTACTCGACGGCAACCACCTCATTCCTCACCCAACTCTGCTTTACTCTTACTCGCTCAAGACCTCATTCGGAGGGATCCGAATTCCACACTCCTAGTTACTTTTCTATCACACTCCACTCCTCCACCTGGGTAATCACGTGACTACAACTGTAGATTGCGACCCTTGTATTCCCTTAATATATAAATCATTACTCTCACCTGGTAGTCCGCTCTTGAAGCAACCAGGAAGTAGGCGGTGCTGCAACCTTCTTGACAGAGGGGCCGTTGAAAAAATCCTACCAGAATTTACCCTGCTCAGACCTAAACGACTGAGTGTACGGCAGGAGGTTTCGAACCTCGCTGGTATTCCTTGATTCTCTCGCACGTCGAAAGACAACTACCGCGGAGATCAACTTCTCTTTTTGCGCCTTCAAAGGCCAAACCATTTTACGTAGTTACTATATCTACCTACCTCGTGTGTCCGGATCGGCTATTGGCCGGAACACTTTGAAGGAGTACCTTTACCTCGGATCTATACTCGTCTAAGTACCAGAACAGGGTCGTGCGCCCGGTACAAGACACTATTGTTCACATATCACGTCTTCATTCATATTCCCTGATTCTGTACCTATCTACCAATTCTACGCACGCCGATCTCCACCTCCGTTCGTATCATCACCACACTCATCACTCACATATTTCACACCACCATCACCGATATCACCAATGGGTTCTACACAAGCCGACACTGGTGATCTTGAACAAAACCCAAACCCACCCCGACAACCACCACCAGTACCGCCACAGCCAAACACAAAAGCATCTGGAGCGAAACCTTCAGACTTTGATGGAAGTAAAGACAAATTCCTTGCTTTCAAAAGGCAATTGATACTATGGTACCGTACACCCAAGAACATTGGTCTCACCGATGAGCAAAAGGTCGACATGACTCTTTCATACATGAAGGGTCCACAGGTTGACGATTGGGTCAACAATTATTTCGACAATAATTTTGATATCGATGCAAACAGCTGGAGAATTAATTTTCGTCAGCTAATACTCGACCTACACGAAACATTCCTCGATGCAAATCGAGTCGAACAAGCAGTTATCCAAATGGATAATTTGACCCAAGGCAATGGAACAGCATAGGAATATTTCCAGAAGTTGGAAATGTACATCACGCAGGCAGGCAGACAAAAGGACGATAAACACACTATCGACCTCATCAGACTCAACTGCAATGAATCCATTGTAGACAGAGTCCTCGACAAAGACACACGACCAACCGACTATGCAGCATGGAAGCAAGCCATCATTGACATTGATTCCTCGCGAAGGCAGCGGGAAGAAGAGAAGCGTCTGAAGAAGATCGGATATCGTCCATTCCGATCGAACCAGAACTATGGGCAGAAATACCCTAGTTATCAGCAGCAGACCCAAGGATCGGGTCAAACTCAGAATCAGAGTCCGAAGAAGGACTACGGAGAAAAGAAAGATGGAACTGGGACAACATTCACAGGGCGTGGACAGCCCATGGACTTGGACAGAAATTGCCTTAAGTGTAAGGCTAAGCAATCAGAGAAGGGCACTTGCGGAAGTGCATGGCACGTCCCCAATCGATCGGGACCTTCCACGAACACTCAACGTGTTCGAAAGAATGAAACCAAGACAGAGTCCAAGATCAAGGAGATCTCCGACTCAGACAATGATGACGATGACAAGATGATCGCCATGGTTCGGCGATGGATGGAGAAGAACCCGGAGAAGGCGAAGAAGCTGAATTTTGGCTCGGGCAAGGCTTAAACGCACAAAGTAACTTGCCGGATAAGAACAATGACTCGGATAAACCCCTGGAGGGTTCTATGAAAACATCTTCGATACATGCCTATAGTACATCGATCGGACAGTCCCCTTTTGTAAATATTTCATCCAACGCAGAGGCGTCTTCTACCAAGAAGCGCGGCAGGGCGGAACCTGTGCTTGATTCCTCTAAACAAAATACAAAAAAATTTGAAAATAAACCGAGTGCGTCGGATAAAAGCATCACAGACATTGGACCATCACTACTCCGAGTTGTCAAAGGACTTGGAAGAGGGAAACAAATGGACCTACCGGTCACTGTGATCATCCCGGAAACAGAAAGAATCCATGATACAGTAGCATTAGTCGACACCGGTAGTACCGGATCATGCATAAATTATAATTTCGTCAAAAGACACGGAATTGAAACCTCTAAATTTGATCAACCGATCCAAGTCTATAACACCGATAACAGCGAGAATTCTCAGGGACCGATCACAGAATATGTCCGACTCACACTTCGAATCGGTGATCACCAAGAGAAGATCATGCTTCTAGTTACCGATCTGGGGAAGTCAGACATATTCCTCGGATATGAATGGATCGAATACCATAATCCATCAATAGACTTCAAATTGCAACTTGTTGACTTTAACCGATGCCCACACACGTGCATCACTATAAGACAACAAGAGATCGAAGAAGGAGATACCGTATATTTACTCAATACCAATGCTTGGTATAAAGAAAGAGGAGAATATATTCAGCGAATGCGCGTAACAGCCATGGACATAGCAATTGAACAAAGTAAACAAAAAAAGAAAAAGACCTTCGAAGAAATGGTTCCCAAACAGTATCGTGAATTCACAGATGTATTCACTGAGGATACTTTCGACGTCCTTCCAGAAAGGAAACCATGGGACCATGCAATAGAACTGTTACCAGATTCATCACCGTATGCAGGCAAGGTGTATTCCATGACTGTTGAAGAACAAAAAATCCTAGACGGTTTTCTTGAAGAAAACCTAAAGACGGGAAGAATCCGACCATCAAAGTCTCCCTGGGGAGCACCTTTCTTCTTTGTCAAAAAGAAAGATGGCAAATTGCGACCGGTACAGGATTACCGAAAACTCAACGATATGACCAAAAAAAATAAATATCCATTACCATTGATCTCAGAGCTTATTGATAAGCTCAAAGGTGCTAAATATTTCACGAAACTGGATATTCGCTGGGGATACAATAATATTCGCATGAAAGAAGGAGATGAAGAGAAAGCTGCATTCATCACAAATAGAGGATTATATGAACCAACCGTCATGTTCTTCGGATTGACAAATAGTCCTGCTACGTTCCAGATGATGATGAATGACATTTTCCGTAATCTCATTCTCAAAGGAAAAGTAATCATATATCTTGACGATATACTCATATTTTCCGAATCCCTGGAGGAACATCGCCGTATTGTGAAAGAAGTCCTTAAAATATTACGAGAAAATAAGTTAACCTGCAAACCAGAAAAATGCGAGTTTGAAACTCAAGAAACAGAATATCTCGGACATATTATTTCGCAAGGAACTGTAAAGATGGATCCTGCCAAAGTCGATGGAGTTACGCAATGGCCAGTACCAAAAGCCAAAAAGGAATTACAGTCATTCCTTGGATTTGCCAATTTCTATCGACGATTCATCAAAGACTTTTCCAAAATCGCCACTCCCTTGAATAAATTAACCGGACAAGTAGAATGGACCTGGGGTCCAGAACAGCAAGAAGCTTTTGAACTTCTAAAGAAAACCATTACCACGGCACCAGTATTAGGTATTCCGAACAATGAAGATCAGTTCAAAGTTGAATGCGATGCATCCAAATACGCTATTGGAGCAGAACTTGCACAGAAGCAAGATGGACATTGGCGAACCATTGCCTTTCTATCAAAAAGCCTTTCACCGGCTGAAAGAAACTATGAGATCTACGATCGAGAGATGCTAGCCATCATGATCTCATTAGAAGAATGGCGTCATTTCCTGATGGGAGCTGCCCAGAAATTCGAAATTCATTCCGATCACAAGAACCTTGGTTATTTCAAAAAACCTCAGAAGTTGAATCATCGCCAAGCGCGATGGATCCAAGAATTACAACAATATGATTTCAATTTGACTCACAAACCCGGAAACACAATGACGAAGGGAGACCCTTTATCGCGACAGACTCATCATGATATTGGAGATAGTCATAATGAAAACATTACATTGTTAAGACCAGAATGGTTCCGAGCCAATGAAATCCTCGGATCATCAGCTTTACGGGAGAAAATCATAAAAAACACTGATAAATATGAAAACAATGTACGATTAAAACTATTGACAAAAGATGCTGACTTCAATGAGACCGAGGACGGTCTTATCTGGAGAAGGGGGAAGATTGTTATCCCTTTTGACAAGGAACTCAGAGGAGAAATTATTCATTCGCATCATGACTCGATTAGTGCCGGTCATCCTGGACAAGCAAAAACACAAGAACTAATCTATCGATCGTACTGGTGGCCTTCAATCAAAAAAGACGTAAAAACATATGTAAAAGGCTGCGAGACTTGTCAAAAAACTAAGATTAACCATCAACCGAAGAATGCTCCATTGCACCCAAATGCAATTCCGGAACATAACTGGGAATATCAATCTGTAGACATGATTACACATTTACCAGAATCGCAAGGGCATGATGCGATCATAGTAGTTGTGGACATGAAATCAAAAGACTACATTGAAATACCAACTACGGAGCAATTGACATCAGAAGGATGGGCTAATCTCTATATCAAAAATGTATATCCGTTGCACGGATTATCAAAAAAGATGACATCAGACTGTGGACCACAATTTATATCCAGCTTCATAAAAGACTTATATAAAAAACTAGGAATTCAGGGAAATCCTAGTACGGCATATCATCCGCAGACAGATGGACAAACTGAACGAATCAATCAGGAAATTGAAAACTATTTACGAATATTCATCAATCACCGACAAACCGACTGGCCAGAATGGTTGCCACTGGCAACATTTGCATATCGAAATAGAGTCCACTCTGCGACTGGATTTTCACCATTCTACATGAATCACGGACGAGAAGCCTACACTGGTGTAGAAACCAAAAAGGAAATTCGTAATGAAACTGCAGAGCAGTTTGTAGCATGAATGAAGAAAATCCAAGAAGAAGCATCAGCATCGTTAACGTTAGCACAAGATGTTATGAAAAGACAATACGATAAACATAAAGGCGAAGCCATAAATTATAAAGATGGAGATTTAGTGTGGCTTGAAGCTACACATATACGAACGGACAGGTCAAATCGAAAATTGGATGATAAAAGATACGGACCATTTCCGATCATTAAGAAAATTGGAGCTAGTGCATACAAGCTCAAACTACCAAAATCATGGAAAGGCGTACATCCCGTATTCAATGAAACATTATTATTGCCATATCATGCACCGGAATTCCCAAATCAGAAAATACACAAAAACATTCCAATAATTATCGATATCTTAGAAGACAAAGCTGAATCCGTATTAGACTCCAAGATGGCACGTGGAGGCCTTCAATATCTAATCAAGTGGGCTGGAAAACCACGTTCTGAAAACACATGGGAACCTCGTTATAAAATTATTAAAAATATAGACAAAAAGATTATCGACAAATTCCATAAAGATCATCCCGATGCGCCGAAAGCACCCACAAGAATATTGCTAAAAGCACAAATTATGGAACAGTCATTTCCTAGAGAAGCGACACAAGAAGAATGGGATTATTGGGATCAGAAAGTACAGCGATGGGCAGAACGTCGTAAAAAAGAAAAAGCAATGATATCTGTAGACCCAGATTCAATTAAATTATTCGAAAATCGAAGAAAAGCACAAATCATATCTAATCAGCACTACCCGAATGCCGGCGAGTTATGGATCATCAATGAGCAGACGCTCAAACTGACACACGTGGCAATCACATCCGTGCCTACGAAAGTCAAACTCGAATGGCAATACCCCATTCTTTCCTTCTATCAACTCGTCGAACCAACATCAATCCCAAGTATGGATTCCTCTATCTTAGAACACTCATTCACTCAACCAATGAAAGCCCTTTGGTAGAAATGGACAAAGACGGAATCATCATCCTTAGCGTCTTTGGCGGCATAATCCTATGCACTGTTGGAGTAATACTCTGGGTTGTATGGTATAGAGAACGGGAGAGAGAAAATTCGGAAGAATGGATCATCATGGTATGATTGAACAATTCCACATCCATCATAAATTAATCGTGAGGACACGATTCTAGAGGAGGGGGTAATGTTACGATCACTTTCATTTCGGATCTACGAACACACCTTTCCCTCTCGTTATTCATTTGTAACCACTTATTAAAACCTGCCCAAACACATTCATTGATCCATGCTCGAACCTGACCGATACCATAAGTATATACGAACACATTGTTACCACATGTATCTAGATAATAGTAGTATATATACACCAGACGAACTTCGGATTAACTCCAAGTTTCGAATGGTTTTACCTGCTCATTTCTAAATTGATTTGAGTCCTATCAGCGAAGAGGTGAGACAACTCAGTCCTGGTCATTCATCTTACTACGCATCGAGCTCAACGACATTTCTCTAGATTTACCCATAAGCTATGTCGAGTCCGAGCTCTTCCACCAATCCCGAATCGCATGCGTGAGCCGTCTATGAAATAAGTTTATCGAAGTACGATTCACTGAATTGAGAATACCTCACCAAGTGTCGTGGGTACCCGAAAACGTCCTGCAGAAGATACCGGCATCGACAAAGAGGAAGCAAATAAACGTCCTCGTTTGACCGATACAAACTCTTCGCATGATATTAAGCCTGAAGGGCACCCGGGTGAAAGCTCGTATGTGATATACTTGGGATATGACATGGATATCTGCGAGACTAACGAATTGTTCCAGTTCTCCCCCGCCCGAGACCCTGAACCCTCTTAAGCGAGCTGCCGATGATGCTGAGCCTGAGTTTCCGTATGTTGTCATTGAGTCTTTGAATCTGTCCCTTGAAGTCTTATCAAGTCGATCGCCCGAATCATCAGGAATTCCAGAGACAGTGATAAAAGAGCAGTTAAAAAGATTCGTCTCGCAGGCGAAGCCACTCCTGTAGTGGAGCACCCGACAACCTCGTACGTTGACATACAATGTCCTCACATGATATAGTCCAGTGACCTAAAGCCACAGAGGCGGCACAAGTAACACCATCGAGACTCATCACAAACGGCCGTTATGTGATAACTTGTCGTAATTATATTTCATTATTGTCATTGGATTTGCGAAGTGGAGATGACCGTCAGTTGCAGGCCTCAAGTAGGTGATGGCCATCCACCTGTTAAGCGCATTCGCTTGAAAGGAGTAAACCGATCGAAGAAACCAAAGAAACAATGTGGTGAGTACTCTGTGTATCAGTTGTTCACAGAGGCAAATGATTCTAGGTCCTATAGACGACGCCCTGTTGTTGCCAATCGAGTTACACCACGAAATCCTGGAATGGCTATGGGTTGATGGCAGCTTCGAAAACAGAAGGTACTATCTTGTGAGGACGTTGCGCGCATGTGCGCGAACTTGTTCGCGATGGCGTTCTGCTGCACGGCCACACATCTTTCGTTTCCTCAAGATCAAAAGTCCGAGTCGCCTCAATGACCTCATAGCTCTCATTCAACTAGATCCTCAGGTTGCAGGATGGATACAAAAGGTCCGTTTAGACGGTGTATCAATTCCGTACCGGGATGATGTGCTGCGACCACGCCTTGGAAACGTTGACGAAGACAGGGACCGCTGGATGTACGGGTTCCCATCGAGTCTCGGGGTCTCACTACCAAGTCTCAAATGCCTCGAGTTCACCGGTTTTGCTCATCTAAGCAAGAAGCGTGAGGATCAACAAGCATTCGCTGGTTGGATCAGACAATTGGTAGAATTGCGCTCGGTGGTGGAACTGAATATGGTTCGCTGCGAGATGAGCTCGAATAGCCTGACTGCCATGGTTCGCGCATTTCCCAAGTTGGTTAGGGTTGGCTTTGCCTCAGTCGACTTCACCGCGCCGAATATCGTATCGCTTCGGGACGAGACACCCAGTCTTAAGCCTGCAAGCAAACAAGAAAGTAGCGAGGCAGCAAACTCTGAAGCCGCCTGTGTCGATAAAGTGTCCGTCCCACCGACGCCTGATGATGCGAAAGGGACACCACCCTCTTCTCATGACGATCCAACACCGTCGGTGGAATACCCGCTGTTTCATCCTCCACCCCTACTGCAATCGTTCATGATCAACAACATATCCACCGACTTACTTGAGTTTGACTTTCTTCTCGTTCGCGACTGGCTCCGACCCGAAATCCTCACTAGAAGCCTCAAGTCATTGGATATCGATAGCTTTGTTGATGCTCCGACTTTGGCCAAATTTATCGCTTCCCTTGGTATGTCTCCGGCATTGGAGTGTCTTATTTTTTATGTCGGTGAAGGCCGTCAGAGTCGTGAGTTGCTTGAATATGCTTTATTTTATCTGGACTTACTGGGGATATCTAGTTATCGACTCCGCGGTGAATATCCACAATTTATCCAATCTCACCTCCATCCGCTTCGTAACTCATGAAGTATCTGAACGCGAAGATGTCGAGGCAATTTATTACATTCTTTCTCAGCTCAATGCTCCCCGCCTACAGACAATCTCTATTTCCATTCCATACCCTTACGGGTTCGAGATGTTCGAGGGAACCGACGGGTACTTGGCCAAGGCGTTTGGCAGTATCAAGGATCTTTGCATTGAGACTTTCGCTGATACTCCCGGCAAAATGAAGAAGGCTCGGGAGGAAATAACGGCTATGTTTCCGTTGCTGGCTGATCGAGGCATTCTACGAGTCGAGAATTGGGGTTTACCCTATCTTTGTTAAGCCGTCCAGTCAAGACCCCTGCAAACAATTCACTGGTGTATATGGCGATATCCTGGATTAGCCATACGATTAGCCATTTCTGTCGTGCTGGGAACGTCCATTCTGAGGGATTGCATACAATCGTTGATCCAACTCTTGCGCAGTCGGAGACCATTTACAAATCTTAGCAAGAGCCCTCGATGAAGCTCTGAGGGAGTCGGTCAAGGCTTTTTCGTGTTTCACTGGCGATGGGACAATGTACAGGACTGTCTGGTTTCAGGCTGGGGCCATTCTGGGTTATTCATGATGTAGAGTAATTTATGCTTATAGAAACAAGGAAAGAACATCCTCGTTTGTCTTGTTCCCTTTGTGTGTTCAAGATATCCGAGTCGCCTTCGTTCGTAGGTTCCGCAAGACCAAAGCCTGGGGAATTCGAGTCACTTCTCATGTTACCAAAGTTTAAACCGGCGTGCCGAATTCAATTACATGGCCGCAAAACGATACGGGTGACTTATGACAGACTCACGAGAGAGCAGTTTGAAGCCTCGAAGTTCACGACGCCCCGAGAGTTCACGAGGAAGGCACTGTGATGCTTCAACACTTTGACCATGACGACAGCTGGTTCGTGAATTGGTTTTGTTCGTTATTCGGATATGATCACTGCAAAAAAAAATTGAGACCTTTGAGGGTGCGGGAGATAGAAAAGGTGCGGCTGAGGAATTAGAGCAAACATGGAGCAAGCAACAGACCACCCAGCCTCGACGTAGAATATTTGTCACAAATTGTTGCTTGATAGATATCGAGATAGCCATACTTCTAATATGGTATGGACAATGTAAAGGAGCGCCATACTGTACAGATTTCTGAGAAGAAACGGGGTATCAGAGAAATGAAAAAAGAGAGACTAGGCAGTCAAAGTCCATCGGAACCTAGGTGGAAGCAAATATCCTATGACGCCGCTAGAAGACTTGCTGAACATTCTGTTAGAATACTACAGGAGCAATTTCGTACACAACCTCTCGATGCTCGATGTTGCGAACTATGCGACGGTACATTCCGAAGTCTTGCGCGATAAATTCAAGTTGCCAGAAAACACGAGGAGTGTAGGTAATAATGCTTCTGCGGCGAACCCTATAAATTTGACCTCGCTGCGGAGGATATGGCATCCAGGGGTTAGCGTTTTCATCGGGAAGGTTCTGGCCGAACATGTTGTGCATGGGTCCAGCAGGTCCAGGGATACCGGGTCCATTCATCGGCATAGCTGCAACTGGTGCTCCATCTCCCTCAACACCAATACCGGGTTCTGGAACATCCAGGTCCTCCGGTTCAGCCTTAATATCCTCAGGTCTATGGTCACCGTGGCCACCTCGCTCCCGGTCTTGAGCCCACTCAAGATTGCCACCTGAGAGCACAGCGCTCGCAAGACTCTGAGAGAAGTCATCAACGTAAGGATCGACGGAGAACCCGGAGGCCTTGTCGTAACCATGATCCGTGCGCCTGTGTTTTCCAAGGATACGGGAATAACAATCGTTGTAGGTGCAGCGCACTCTATTTCCCGGCCGCGAATCAATTAAATGCGGACAGATGCAATCGTTAAACCCGATGCTATTAAGTCCCACATGAGCATTACAAATATCACATCTGTCAGAATACAATGCTCACTGCGATTTGACGTGTTCGTAGAGCCCATGTTGACGTTGATAAGTGCGGTCGCACCCCATCCACGGGCAAGCAGCGCTGGAAATTATATTAAGGGCAAGGCAATGAATAGTACACACTCCAATGCATTGACCTCACTCAAAATGCATAAATAGCTTGTACAAATCTTGACCAAAATAATCAACACGCCAGCTCCACCTGTGCTCTTCAGCCTCAGTTTCACTCGATCAACCTCGCCGTCCACAATGTCCGAATACGTACGAATGGTAAGCAACCTATTCATGAATATGAAGTCAGAATACCAAATACTTATCGCTGACATTGTTCACAGTATCCGGATGGTACCCATTCTTTAATACGGTGCCCTGATCCTACATGTCATGTACAGGTTGCAAGGTTTGAAGATTGGCTAGCACACATCCGGACGCACGTTACGGACGGGAGGGATGAGTGAGTCTGCCTTTGATAAGGCGAATAAAACCGATGCCAATGCAAGGCCACAGATTATGATACCCGCCGAAGTTCATCACAAGGTTGCCATATGTGAATACTTGGCTTCGCGGCCGAAGCCAAAGCGAGGTCAAAGCAGGTCAAAGCCTAGGAGATTTGAGTCACTTCTCATCAATTCAATATCGATATCACGAAAGCTTAGACCAGCGTAACCAGTTACGTTGCATGGCCGCAGTACGGCGCGGGTGACCTATGAGAGAGCGAAGCCTTGAAGTTCGTAACACCCTTTCCTCCCAAGAGTTCACCATAAAAAGGCTTTGAGGACGTTAGAGTCTGGACGATGATGACCGCTAGTCCGTGAATTGGTTTCTTTGTTATTCAGGTATAATCACAGGAAATGAGAGTGCGGGCCATTAGAAAACAGGTGCCGTTGAAAGATTACATTACAACCTGTATGTAGAGCAAGGATTGAAGGAAGGTTGAAGCAAAGAAGCAAAGAATGTAGAGGAGAGAATCCGAGATTAGATTAGATGCACTGTTGGACCGACCACTATTGGCTCAGCGTACCATTCTCGTTCGACAGAAAACCTGTGGTAGACAGCTAAGTGGAATCAATCTTGGACCTATAGCCACTACGTACTAGGAAACGTCCTCGATTCAACAGAAATGCAGTTTGATGTAGTCGGTAAATTCCGGGATGTGGCACGGACTGTAGAGAACAAGGAAACAAGGCGAAAGAGGTGAGACAATCCAATCCTCATTCATTTCACTACGCATCGAGCTCAACGACATTTCTCTAGATTTAACCATAAGCTATGTCGAGTCCGAGCTCTTCCACCAATCCCGAATCGCATGCGTGAGCCGTCTATGAAATAGGTTTATCGAAGTATGATCCACTGAATTGAGAATAGCTCACCAAGTGCCCTGGGTACCCGAAAGCATCCGGCAGAAGATTCCGTCGACAAAGAGGAACCAGCTAAACGTCCTCGTTTGACAAACTCTTCGCATGATGTCAAGCCTGAAGGGCACCCGGGTGAAAGCTCGTATGTGATACACTTCGGATATGACATGAATGTTTGCGAGACTAATAAATTTGTTTCAGTTCGCGCTCGCCCGAGACCTTAAACCCTCTCAAGCGACCTGCCAATGACGCTGAGCCTGAGCCTCCGTATGTTGTCATTGAGTCTTTGAATCTGTCCCTTGAAGACTTATCAAGTCAATCGCCCGAATCATCAGGCACTCCGGAGATAGCGATAATAGAGCAATTAAAAAGATTCGTCTTGAAAGCCAATCCAAGCCGGCAGTGGAGCAGCAGAAACCCTCGTACGTTGACATCTACATTATGTTCAAGTGATGTAGTCCAATGATCGAGCGCCGCAGAGGTGGTTCAAGTAATGCCGAAGAGGCTCGTCACAAGCGGCCACTAGCTGACGAGGCATTGTAACTATATTTCATTGTCAACGTGGGATTGAGAAGTAGAGATGACCGTCGTTTGCAGGCCTGACCTAGACGATGGACCTCCACCTGTCAAGCGCATTCGCGTGAAAGGTGCAAACCGATCGAGGAAACCGCAGAAACAACATGGTGAGTATTTCGTATTGGTTGTTCACAGAGGCAAATGATTGTATGTACTATAGATGACGCCCTCTTGCTTCCGGTAGAGCTACACCACGAAATCCTGGAGTGGCTATGGGTCGATGGCAGCTTTCTAGATAGGTACTATCTCGTGAAGACGCTGCGTGCATGTGCGCGAACGTGTCTGCGATGGCGTTCTGCTGCACGGCCACACATCTTTCGTTTCCTCAAGATCAAAAGTCCGAGTCGCCTCAATGACCTCACAGCTCTCATTCAAGTGGATCCTCAGGTTGCAGGCTGGATACAAAAAGTCCGTCTAGATGGCGTATCAATTTCGTACCGGGACGAGCTGCGAAAACGCCTTGGGAGTGTTGACGAAGACAAGGACTGCTGGATATACGGGTTCCCATCAGAGATCGGAGTCCCACTACCAAGTCTCAAATGCCTTGAGCTCACCGGTTTTGCTCATCTGAGCAAGAAGCGCGAAGATCAAGAAGCATTCGCTAGCTGGATTCGAGGATTGGCAGAATTACGCTCGGTGGTGGAACTGAATATGGTTCGCTGCGAAATGAGTTCGAATGGTCTGACTGCTATAGTTCGTGCATTTCCAAAGCTGGTTGAGGTCGGCTTCGCCTCAGTCGACTTCACCGCGCCGAATATCGCATCGCTCCGGGATGACTCATCCCTTCCTAATCCCTCGAGCAAGCAAGAGCGTCCCATCAAGACCGACGTACCCGATTCCGAAGCCATTTTCGTCGATAAATTATCTATCCCGCCGACGCTTGATGATGCGAAAGGTACTCCCGCATCTTCTCACGACGATCCACCGCTGCCGGTACATTACCCACTGTTTCATCCCCCACCCCTGCTGCAATCGTTCACGATCAACAATGTGTTTACTGACTTACTTCAGTTCGACTTTCATCTCGTTCGCGACTGGCTGCGACCCGAGATCCTCGCTAGAAGCCTCAAGTCATTGGATATCGAAAGCTTTGTTGATGGTCCGACTTTAGCCAACTTTATTGCCTCTCTCGGGATGTCTCCAGCGTTGGAGTGCCTTCATTTGTATGTGGGCGACGGCCATCAGGGTGGTAAGTTCTTTCAAAATGCTTTATTTTGTTTGAGCTCATCAGAGATATCTAGTTATTGACTCCATGGTGGATATCCATAATCTAACCAATCTAACCTCCATCCGCCTCGTAACTCATGAAGTTTGTGACCGTGCTGACATCGAAGCGGCGCATTACTTTCTTTCTCAGCTCAACGCTCCCCGCCTACAAGCAATCTCTATTTCCATTCCATACCCTCATGGGTTCCAGATGTTCGAGGGAACCGACGAGTACTTGGCCAAGGAGTTTGGTGGCATCAAGGAACTTCGTGTTGAGTATTCCGCTGATAATCCAGGCAAAACGAAGAAGGATTGGGAGGAAATAACAGCTATGTTTCCGCTGATGGCCGAACGAGGCATTCTACGAGTCGACCATTGGGATTTACCCTATCTTTTTTAGACGGTCGAATCACCACGACTTCCATAAACAATTCATTGATACGGAAATATCCTGGATTAGCCATACAGTTACCCCTTTCTGTCGTGCTGGGAACGTCCATTGTGAGGGATTGCATACAATGATTAATCCAACTCTTGCGTGGTTGGAGACCATTTACGAATCTTAGCAGGGGCCCTCGACGAAGCTCTGAGGTATTTGTGACGTGACAACGCACAGGACTGTCTGATTTCAGGATATCCGACTCCTCTTCAGACCGAATTGAAGGAAATACTTGAAGTGGATTTCATACACGAGTATGAAAAGGACATCATTTGCGTCGTGATGACAGTTGGTTCGCGGATTGGTTATTATTTTTATTTTTTGTCTATTTGGCTATGATTGTAAATAAATAAAAATTGAGACCATGCGTGGCTGCTGAGAAAAGGTTAGTCTCCTGAACAGACCTCAAGGAAGGAAGATAGTCATTCCTAAGAAAAGGTAGAATAGGAGCGAGCAGGAAGAGAGCGCCCAATTAACGCAGAATGTCCAAGTTAGATTAGATTAGATGCACCGTTGGACTGAGATTGGAAGCTTCAAGTTCAGCTCTTGGCTCAGCGTACGACACTCGTTACACAAAAACCCTGGTAGATAAGTATAACGGGGCTCAATCTGGAATTTACTACGCCGTACCAAGCAACGTATCCGATCCGATTGACATGCAATGTGATGTAGCCAGGGCCAAAGACGGTAAATTCCGGGGATGACTAGTGCACTAGAGAACAAGACAAGGCGAAGGTTAGACAATTTACTTTTCATTCACCGTGTCAAGCTCTTCTATATCTTTAAGGACTTACCCATAAACTCATATTAAATCTATGCCGAGTCTCAGCTCTTCCGTCAATCCTGAATCAAATGCGTAGGTTATCTATGAAATAGTTTCATCGAAGTATAATCCACCGAATTGAGAACATTTAATCAAGTATCATAGGTCCTCAAAAACGTCCTGCAGAAGATCCCGTTGAAGAGGAGGAACCAAGTAAATATCCTCGTTTGGCCGACGCAGACTTCTCAGATGATGCTAAACCTGATGGACGTTCGGATGGCAGCTCGTATGTGATATATTGCGGATACGACATGAATGTCTGTAAGACTGATGAGTTACTCTAGATCAATCTCTCTCAGGACACTGAACCCTCTCAAACGACCTGCCGACGATTCCGAGCATGGGCCCCCGTATGTTGTCATTAAGTTTCCGAATATATTCTTTGAATACTTACTAATCCAGTCGCCTAAATTATCAGGACCTCCAGAGGTACTGATAGCTGGAAAATAAAAAGACCTCGTCTTGAAAGCGAAGCCGATTCAGCAGTGGAGCAGCAGAAACCCTCGTACGTTGACATACTGTACATTATGCTCAAGTGATGTCATCCAATGACCGAAAGCCACAGATGCCGTTCAAGTAGTGCCGAAGAGGCTCCTCGAAAACGGCAGTTAGTTAATGATTCGTCGTAATTATACTTTCTCTATCGCTATGGATTTGAAAAGTGGGGATAACCGTCATTTGCAGGCCTGACCCAGGTGACGGTCACCAACCTGCCAAGCGCATTCGCTTGAGAGGTGCAAAACGATCGAAGAAACACAGGAAGCAACGTGGTGAGTGTTTTGTGCGTCAGTTGTTCACAGAACAAAGGATTCTACGATCTACAGATGACGCTCTGTTGTTGCCGGTGGAATTACACCACGAAATCCTGGAGTGGCTGTGGGAAGATGACAGCTTTGGAGACGATAGGTACTATCTCGTGAGGACTCTGCATGCATGTGCACAGACTTGTTCGCGATGGCGTTCTGCTGCTCGGCCGCTCATTTTTCGCTTCCTTATAATCAAACATCCGAATCGCCTCAATGACCTCGTAACTCTCATTCAAAAAGACCCGCAAATTGCAGGATGGATACAGAAAGTCCGTTTAGACGGGACATCTATCCCCAACGATGATCATGAGCGGACACGCATTGGAACTGTTGAAGAAGACCGGGACTGCTGGATATACGAGTTCCTGGCAAAGATCGGCGTCCCACTACCAAGTCTCGCACGTCTTGAGCTCACTGGTTTCGCCCATCTGAGTAAAAAGCGCGAAGATCAGGAAGCTTTCGCTCACTGGATCCGAGAATTGGTGGAATTACGCTCAGTTGCGGAACTGAATATGCTTCGTTGTGAGATGAGCTCGAATAGCCTGGCTGCCATAGTTCGTGCATTTCCAAAGCTGGTCAGGATTGGCTTCGCTTCAGTTGACTTCAGTGCACCGAATTTCACGACACTTCGGGACGAGTCGTCGTCGCATATACCCTCGAACGAGAGAGAGGCCTCTGGTAATATCGACACACTGGACTCCTCCGGATCCCCCGCTATCAACAATGCATCCGTCCTGCCAACGTTTGATGATGGGGTGAGTACTCCACCATCCTCCCACGACGATCGAACAGTGCCGGTGCAATATCCTCTGTTCCATACCCCACCCTTACTCTCATCGTTCGCAGTCAACAATGGGAATCCATTGGTGTACTATGCTGACTTTGACTTTCTTCTTCTTCACGAGTGGCTTCGTCCCGAAATCCTCAGCAAAAGCCTCAAAACATTGGATATCAGAAGTGACGTCAACAGCCCAAGTTTGGCCAATTTTATCGCTACCCTCGGCACGTCTCCCGCTTTGGAGTGTATGACTTTGTTTGTTGGCAACGGCCTGCAATATTGTAAGTTATTTGTGGATGCTTCATTTTGACTGAGCTAACCGGACATATCTAGTCATTGACTCCACAGTGGACGTTCGTAGTCTATCCAATCTCATCTCCATCCGCCTGGAAGTCGACATAGACGTCGCGCGTGAACACATTGAAGCAATGCACTACGTTCTTTCGCAGCTCAACGCTCCTCGCTTACAAGTCATTACTCTTTCCATTCCTTATGTTGATGGATTCGAGGTTCTCGAGGGGACCGACGAGTATTTGGCCAAGGGGTTTGACAGTATAAAGGAACTTTGCGTTGAGACTTTCACTGGCACCCCAGGTGAACAGCAGAAGGCCCGGAAGGAGATAATAGCTATGTTTCCGCTGATGGCTGAACGAGGCATTCTACGAGTCGAGAATTGGGGTTTACCCTATCTTTTTTAAGCAGTCAAATTCATCACGACTTTCGCAAATAATTCACTGATATGGCGATATCGTCAATTAGTTGTTCATTCCGAGGGACTGCATGCAGGGAATACAACGATTGATCCAGCTCTATCGCGTTTGCGGACCGTTTGGAGGCCTTAACAGGAGCCTCAATGAAGCTCTGAGGGAACTGATCTGACAGCAACTCACTAGTGCCTTGTCAACCTCATACAGATGTGTAGGCCTACGGGGAGCCTTACCTTTTCCCCGATTGGTGAGCCAAGTATTACTACCAGAAGGCCCGGGCGCCGAAACGGGGTGAGGTGCTTTGAGGAAATACAAGTCCTCCGCGCGCTGCCATGAATAATTTGCGCCTTCCCTAGGTCTAGTAAGCCTGACTATACACTCAACCATGGCTATTCATGCACACAATTTGCGCGACTAACCCGGGCACCACAGATATGTGAGTGTCGCTCAGATTGGAGGATGTTGATTTCTGTATTTAAATTCATGGGCGGCTGACGCGGAACACCGACAGGCAATAAATTACGACCCAATCCCCTCCCTAGTTCTTTGCTTCGAACATCAAACAAACACATCGAGCGAAGTATTGTCATATGTATTCTCTCCGTTTCGACGGAGTGGCTCAAAGTCTTCAGCAGCCCGGCTTCAATATGTCAATCTGCCTTGCCCCAATGTGCTTTGTCCCTAATCTGCTTTGTCCCCAGTATGGGCGGTCTTGAAATGTTGTACTAATCTTGGCGTTGTCAATATAGACACCTGTGACGGCAACCTTGGCTTTTGCGCAATACGGGATCACACCAAGGTCAATGATAGTCTGCGGGAGAACAATGGTGGTGTTTCTTGCGCGTGAACCCATTGACGCATGCAACGTTCATTCAAATGCTTTGACCCGTTTCGTTTATTCTTTTGATTTATGGTCGCCGTGCCATGGCCTTCTCCAAATACATAATTAGCGGCCGAACCATCGACCCAACCTTACACTCCGTCTCTTCAGGTCCACAACAACCAGTGGCAGTTACTCCCGACTCAATCATAGGTCATGCCCAGCAGCATACCACCAGTAGGTCTATTCTTTTCTCTTCACTCATTCCGGCGCAAATTAATCTGCTCCCCCACCCCCTTTAGAGTTCTGCCAGTGGGGTAGAATGCCCCGGGAAGAAATGTCCTGAATGTCAGAAGCGCTTCGAGGATCTTTTCTCACATTTGCGAAAGGAGCACAAGGGAGGCTCAGAGGAACACAGCAAGAAACAAGAGTATGTGCAAAGCTCAATTCTTGCTTTTACTAGTCTTTACTTATTCTTGACTGACTGTCCCAGGGCTCTTGCTTGCCCCTGGCCGAACTGTGATATATCCAAAGGGTCGAGGATTCCTTTGGAGGATCATTTCGCGTCACAGTAGGTTATTTTATATAGTGTGATACGAGTGCTGAGACGTTATGATATAGCACGAACAGCAGGAAACAAAGCTGTCCTCACGTGCTCACGCGTGGCAGGGGAAAGAAAGCCTTGTGCCGTTTCTACACTGGCAAATCCAACGGCTTGATGCACCATCGAAAGATTAAACATGGATTTGCAGGTACGAAGGGCTCAGTGGATCCTTGGGTCACTGACCGGGAGGAGGCTTCGAAGGATCTCCAATCGGCGGAATTATTTGGCGGCAACCTCAAGAGAAAAGATACTAAGCATTCCGCAACCGCATGGAGGAACAAACTAACAAGCCCCACTAGAGGGATACCTGGTCCCTCCCGTTTCCAGGAGCACTCAAAATCTGAGGAGGATGAACAACCAGCCAAAGTCGAAGAGGTTTTAGACGCGATATACAAAATGAACAATGGTCCTCTGCTCACCATGAAGGCCGAGCCAGAGGATGAAGACATACGACTGAACACTGAGCTTCACAAGAAGCCCCCCGTATAGTGTTGGCTGTGATCGCTCCTTGGACAGAAGTTATCTCTTGTCTTCGACCTCGCGTCTCATCTTGAACCCAGAGTCCTTCAACGTCTATGTACCATCATTCTTCCGCCCTTCCTAATCCTTCACTCATTATGATTACCTGCTCACCGCCGCTGTTATCTATACGGCATGCGCCGATTATGCTAGACTGTTATGTATGTACCGAGACCGCAGTCTAAAGAAACCTGAATGAAAACGAAGAATGGCCATATAGATCTTAGTAAAGTCGAAAATGACTTGAATCTCGGAATCGATTGGAGACTTAACACGGACTGCTTAGCAGTCAACTCAAATGGAAAAAACCTTCTCAAAAGTATGTCCAATATGGATACAACGTCTCGCAGTCCTCAACACACAAGATCCCCCTCTTCGCCATCAGCGGAAACATCGCTTGGGCTGCAGCCTCCATTTCATCCTGTGTCCCATAGAGTCGCAGATCATCCATGAATTCGATGGAGAATTTGTTAAGATCCTTGAACTTGTCGCTAGCAAGATACTCATCGAGCACTTTCGGATTTCCTACGGGATCTTGCGTCGGCACAGTGATAGTCAGGGTTTTAAGGTGAGGCGAGTCAAGGAAGGTAAGGAATTGGCGAACGATGTCGGATTGGTCATGGTCGAGAAGGGGAGTCCGTAATTGCAGGGTCTTGAGGTTTCGTAGGTTAGAGACTTGCTTTCCAACTTCAATGGCTGCCATGGAGAGGTGAGTATATGAAGTGCAGTCTCGTCATACAGAAAGCTCACTGGATTCAAGGTCATCGACGATATATATCTTCAGGTACTCCAATGCAGGCGCGGGACCAAGATCAGCGAGAAACTCGCTCAGAGAGATCTGCTCATACTCATTACCGAGATGCAAGGACTTGAGGCTTCGAGATAGCACCTTTGGCTCCAGCATGTTGCGTAAGGTTCCAAACTCGAAATACGGATACAATGTTTCATCATTACCCATGGCAAAGAACTGCAGTGCTGGCGAGGGGTTAATCAAAGGAATCTGTACTGGTGCCTCGGGATCATCGTGAGAGGTGTGGCTACTAACCACCGACGAGTTCGGTACAGATTCAACAGGAGCGAGTGCAGACTTCGTTTCAGGAGGACGCGCGGGTTCTGGTGTCACAGAGGACTCAATAAGTGCAGCGGGAGATGCATGGTCCTCGCCAGACGATTCGTCACAGAGACACGTTATGTTTGGCGCAGTAAAATCGGATTCACAAAAGAAAACCGTGGAGAGCCTTGGAAGAGCACGAACCACAGCAGCCATGGCATTCGAGCTCATCTGGCAACGGAACAAGTGTAGATGTTGGACTGACTGTAGTTCTGATAGATGGGGGATCCAGCGAGCAAAGGCTTCTTGGTCTTCGCGGCGTGGACTGAGATGCGCGAAATGCATGAGCTCAACAATTTTGATGTTCAGTGGAGTGACATCAAACACGGAGGGAAATTGGTATATCCAGCAATCCTGATCCTTCTCGACTCCCTTCAATCGTTCTGGAAAGTCTTCATCCTTTAATGAACCGCCATTAATGCATACTTTGTGCATCCATGAGGCGATATTAGAATCCCCGCGGACCAGCTTCGCGAGCTTATGGAGACTCTTTTCATTCTCGATGGAAATGGAACGAAAGATATGTGGTCGAGCGGCAGCATACCATCTCGAGCAAGTTCTGGCACAGGCCCAAAGGGTGTCAGAGTAAAGGCACTTGATGTTAGGACGCTCCCATAATTGCTCGAGGATGAGATCAAGCAATTCGATCGGCAACAGCAAGACTCTAGCTAAGCATCCAAGTGACCTATTTTAGCCAAGTTCTGAAGCACAGATGCGAAAGCCCCTGACCGTTGCATTCCTCTGGATTATCCAAAGATGCAGTCTCTCCGAGACGAGTACGCTTGGCAGGTCTGGCATCATCAGCACCAAGGCTTCTACGAATGGTAATCAGCTTGAAAACATGGCAAGACGGATATCTCACACGCACGACGACTCTCCATCGACAGCCGCAGCGTGTTTGGATTCTTGCGTAATGCCATCGGGTTTATGTCTACGAAAGAGTGTCAATAGGTCCCCCCCAGTGTAAATACAAAGCAGCGCACGAGGAATCGGCATCTAGTTTCAATTCTTCAAGAGGTCGCTTCCTTGAAGGGGGCCTAATCTGCATCGTAAGCGCTGCATCATCACGTTCACATCTCAAACTACCGTCGACGTACGAAGATTCTTTTTGAACGTATTCCGAATTATGGGAGCACTCACGCTTCTCCGTATGGATTCGTTTAGCAGTCTTAGGATCTTGAACGTGGCTAAAAATTAAGCGTTTAATGAGCTTGATGATCTCCAAAATCAAGAGCAGGTCATACAACGAATGGCCCGACCCGCCGGGGGGTATAGATGCAGCCCTGAGAGAACTGGTCAAGTCAATGTCATGTACAATAGCGTTACAGGAACATACAACGTCGTATCCAATTTCTCGCCGGTGCCATCCAAAGCAGCCATGGTGCTGGTCATGGTGTTGAGGGCAATTTCTTTTACGGCGGGGCGTATCAGAGAGTTGATTCCAAGGAACTCTACTATTGTCCTTCAAGAGATGGCGCCACAACTTCAAGGTATTCTTGTTCGCCCGCGTACGTCCTTAGGGTGTTCTCGGCTTGGATTTGGCTAACATGGTTGTGGGTCTGTGGGTCAAAAAAATGTTTTAGCATCATTTCGGCATTTGAACAAAGGATTCAAGCACAAGTTCTGAGACAGTATGCCAATACTACTGTACTAACGTCTCGACTATCTAATCTAATCGGCATTGAGTTAACATTTAATAGACGCTCTCTTGAGTTCGGCCATCTCAGTAAAGATTGGAACTTCCAAGGACTAAACTCAAGGTTCTATCCTCTAACGCCGTTAGATATTAACGGTATTTATGTTCTATCGAGACTCAAGAATACAAAGGGTGATTTGATCGAAGACGGCTAGTATCGAAAGTCAGCCAAAAGTTTGGCCGTCCGCTGGCCGCCTAAGGGGTCGGTTTTTCCGGTTAGCCAAACTACTCATCGGACGAGGTAGGGTGGATATGCAAGGTGCGTCGAGTGGAGAATGCTTCAGTGTCGACTCGGAGTAATGACTATATGCCATAGTGGGCCTTGCATCTTCCTTCACGCTGTAAGCTTTGCAGAATCCGTGTGCAGGGCATTTTCTTGTGATCGAATTTGGAATGTTTCTATGGTCAATGCGAGGACGACCTTGTACTGTTGTTGATCAGCTCATATTGCGCTGATGCTGTCGGTGACAGTAGGGCATAATAACAGCGTGGTCTGCTGCTTTCTGATGTGCCCTTCTACTGAAATGAATTGTTATGTGAGAACTTTGTTCAACCGCTTTGACCTCTGCTCACTCGCTTTGACCTCTGTGTCATTGTCTTCAGATGATATAAATTGGAGACTGAAATATCTACTGAGAATTGTATCTCGACTCCTCATTTTCTCAAACCTATCGTGAGCACCTACTTACCAACAGCGTCCTCATCGATGTCTACCAATACACCGACGGTATGTGTCTTACTCAGATAATGCGATCCATGTTTATGTATCTGTCGCCTGTAGAGCTACAGAAGTTCAGAGACTTCTAATCCTGAGTGTCCTGTTTGTCAGGAGCACTTCGGGGATCTTCACGAGCATCTCTGGCAGGAACACAAGGAAGGCACAGGCACCATCAAGAAGGGACGAAAGTATGTATGAGACACTGTTTCTGTCTCATTGGTTTGTTTCATTGATGAGATGCCATAGGGCTCGCACTTGCCCATGGCCAGGATGCGATCTCATAATGACGTTGTCCTCTTCTTTGAAGGATCATTTTGCGCGACAGTGAGTATGTCTCCCACTGTTTTGTACAAGCACTGACATGTTGCCATTTAGCACGGGGATCAAAGTCCACTACTGCCCTCATGTGGTCACATCACCTAGCACGAAAGAGCAAGCATTGTGCGCTCGCCGCGCAGGCAAACCTTCCAAAATCGAGCGCCATAGAAAAAAGGATCATGGATTTAATCTTGCGCGAATGGATTCAGTAGACCCATGGGTCACTGATCGCGTGAAAGCTAAGACTGAGGGTCTCGCATCTGTCGAATTATTGGGCGGCAACATCTCGAAGAAGGATGTAAATCGTTCGGCAACCGCACGGAGGAGCAAACCGGTACGCCCAGCTGTACGGATACCTGGCCCCTCTCGTTTCCAGGTCAAGTCTGAGGAGGACGAAAAGCCACCCAATATCTCGGACGTTTTGGCTGCGATATACAAAATGAACAATGGTCCTCTACTAACCATGAAGTCCGAGCCGGAGGACGAAGATATATGGCTGAACACTGAGCTTCATAAGAAGCCCGCCGAATAGTGTTGGCTGTAGTCACCCTTTGGACAGACGTTATTCCTTGTCTTCGACCTCGCGTCGCATCTTGAACCTAGAGGCCTTCAACATCTATGTATCATCATTCTTCCGCCCTTCCTGATTCCTCACTCAATATGATTGCCTGCTCATTGCCGCTGTTATCTATACGGCATGTGCCCATTATGCTTGACTATGATTATGTATATTTATATGTTGAAAGTAACTCGCTGGATCTCCCGGCCATATACAATATTCCGCTGTTTCAGAAACATGGTTACGTATGTACCAAGATCGCAGTCTGAAGAGGACAGAACCAACCTGAACAAAGACCGAGGATGCTCATATAGATTTTAGGAACAGTTGAAAATGACTTGAATTTCGGACTCTATTGGAGACTGAATAAGGGACCGCTTAGCAGTCAAGTCGAATGGAAAAAACTTCTCAAAAGTATGCCCAGTATGGATACAACATCTCGCAATCTTCGACACACAAGATTCCTCTCTTCGCCATCAGGGGAAACATCGCTTGGGCCGCCACCTCCATATCTTCCATCGTCCCATAGAGTCGTAGATCGTCCATGAAATCGATAGAGAATTTGTCAAGATCCTTGAACTTATCACTGGCAAGATACTCATCGAGCACCTTTGGATCTCCTATAGGATCTTGTGTCGGCACGATGATAGTCAGGGTTTGTAAGCGAGGCGAGTCGAGGAAGGTGAGGAATTGACGAACGATGTCGGATTGGTCATGATCGAGAAGGGGAGTCCACAATCGCAGGGTCTTGAGGTTTCGTAGGCTAGAGACTTGCTTTCCAACTTCAATAGCTGGCGCCGGAAGATGAGCATGCGAAACGCAGTATTATTATACAGAAAGCTTACTGGATTCAAGGTCATCGACGATACATATTTTCAAATACTCCAATGCAGGTGAAAGGCCAAGGCTCGCGAGAAACTCACTTAAAGATTTATCGTCATACTCATTACCGAGATGCAATGATATGAGGCTTTGAGATAGCACCTTCGGGTCTAGCATGTCGCATAGAGTCTCAAACTCGAAATGTGGATATGACGTTTCGTCATTGCCCATGGCAAAGAACTGCAGTGCTGGTGAGGGGTAGATCAAAGGGTAATGCACGGGTACCTCGGGATCGTCGCGAGAAGAATGGCTGGTCTCCGCCGGCGAGTTTGATGTGCCTTCGCTAGAAGATTTGTCGCAAAGACATGTTGTGTTGGGCGCAGTAAAGTCGGATTCACAAAAGAGAACCGTCGCGAGCCTTGGAAGAGCACGGACCATGGCAGTCATGGCGTTCGAGCTCATCTGGCAACGGAACATGTATAGGTGTTCGACCGATTGTAGCTGTGCTAGATGGGGAATCCAATGAGAGAAAGCTTCTTGGTCTTCGCGGAGCGGACTGAGATGTGTGAAATGCATGAGCTCCAGAATTTTGACGTTCGGTGGAGTGACACCCAACACGGAGGGAAATTGGTAAATCCAACGATCCCGATCCTGCTCGACTTCTCTCAATCGCTTTGGGAAGTATTCTTCCTTCAAAGAATCTCCGCTAATGCATACCTTGTGCATCCATGTGGCGATGCGAGGGTCGGCGCGCACTAGTTCACCAAGCCTATGGAGATTTCGTTCGTTCTCTATCAAGATAGAACGAAAGATGTGTGGTCGAGCGGCAGCACGCCATCTCGAACAGACCTTGGCACAAGCGAATAGAGCGTCATGGTGATGACATTCAATATATGGGTCGTCCCACAGCTGCTCGAGGATGAGGTCATGCAGCTCGACCGGCAACAGAAGAGCCTTAACTAGAAGTAATGGGGTAGAATGTCAGCAAAAGCCACACAGCATGATCGCAGAAGGTGCTGACAGCTGCCCTTCGAGTTATCTGCAGATATCGTCTCTACATGACGTGCACGTTTATGTTCGCCGGCACTAGTGATTCTACGGGCGAAGTTCAGTTTCTCGATTTACGTACACGGGTCAAAGTTGACATTCAATACGTACAAGGATTTATCATTTTGGCTACGACACTGCTCTAATTCTGGCGTATTATCATCATTTCTATGAAAATGCTTCAATGCGGATATTTGGTGATAGTTCGTAAGAACATACAAGGAGCCAGTGTCTAGCTCAAATTCAGCCAGAGGTCGCTTTGGTCTTGGAGTTCGGACTACTGAAAGGGACCTAAGGTAGTCATCAGCGCTGTAGCATAATATTTCGTATCTAATAAGGCCATAGACATACGATAGTTCCGAGGAAACATGCTGGGAACTCCCTGGGAATTCATCATTCTCCGTTCGGATCAGTTTCGACGGTCTTTCGGTATTTTCAGCAGTTCTAATCAATTAGCTGTGCGAATGAGTATCATGAACGCGAAGAGCATATTGGAGCCATACGGCGATTTGTCTGATTCCAGAGTATCTGCAGATTGTTTAGAAGCTCTAGTCGGGGCCTTTGAAATTGTTCTAAAGGGATTGGCCAAGGGGCTGCCGTGCAACAAGCAATATAAGAGTGTTGTAGTGACATACGTGATTGTGTTCAGTTCCTGGTTCGTGCCGTTCGAGGCAGTCATGGCGTAAAGAGAGTTTGTCCTTCGGTGTGTCCTTTGAGAAAGGTGTACTGAAAAGCTGTGCGATGGAGTTTCGTAATTACTCTCGAACATCCCCTTGTTCGACTTGTTCTTTTTGAACCCAGCGAACATCAGAAGCTTGGCTTGCGTAGGGTGCCCATTCTCGTCAGTATAGTTCGGGGCTGGCAAAGCTCTGGCTCCATAGACGTAGATATTTGACCATTCAGACGCGAAGTACGACTCTTAGATATGTGAATAAAGATTCCAATGTGCAACAGTGACATATCAGCTATTTCGCAATCCGCACGAGTTGAACGTCGGTAGCTGCATAGATAGGCGGGGAAGCATTCAGAGTATCTTGCAGACACAAATGGGCCACTATCGAGAGATACGGCGTCCTCATACATTGGGAAAGGTTGCACGAGGTCATGACGCAGCAACGGAATGTGCTGTCTACTAGACAGTCTAGGCCCAATGGAATTAGAATGAATGAATCTATTCAGTGGTGGGACATACAAGATCGTATAGCTGTTTTGAAACTCGTCTCATTGGAGCCACGAGGGAAGTGTTGTTTATGGTGATGGACGTGGATAATCCTCAAGGGAATCCTTGACGTTATTGTCTCTGGGATGAATGCACTTCATTCCAGCTTTGCCGGATAAATGTTATGAGAAAGGCATGATCAGAAACAGACCTAGGTCAAGGGCGTATAAAGTTAAGTATACTGTATCTTTCGTTATTGTGCGCCCGTCGACGCCAGAGCCTAGAGGGCGCATCAAGGCGGGGTGGCTGAAGATCATCGGAGTCTGTCGGAGTTCTAACCTTGAATGTGCAACTGGCTGCCATATCGGCTTCGCCCGAAGACATAGCACGACTCACCGTCAAGCCTCAAAAATCAAGTCAAGTTCGTCGCTAACGCTCGCAAAATGGTCAACATCCCCAAGTATGTATTGTTATATAAATGACCGTCTCACTAGGTGCTGAACGAATGCCATTTTGTTAGGACTCGACGGACCTGTGAGTGACACTTTGGTGGGGATAGAGAAACTGGAGTATTGAGCTCGAATCTTTGCTATTAGACTGCAAGGGCAAGCAGTGCAGAAAGCACACGTACGTGTATTTGGCTAAGGGGAATCTGTGCTCGATTACTTATCGTTTTGACCCGGATTTAGCCCCCACAAAGTGACGCAGTACAAGAAGGGCAAGGACTCATTGGCGGCCCAGGGAAAGCGTCGTTACGACCGTAAGCAGTCCGGTTATGGTGGTCAGACCAAGCCCGTCTTCCACAAGAAGGTGCGTCGTAATCAATTTGAACTTGTCCCAATACTGAAAGAATATGTTCTGGATGTTTAGGCAAAGACGACCAAGAAGGTCGTGCTCCGATTGGAGTGCACTGTGTGCAAATACAAGATGCAACTTTCATTGAAGCGATGCAAGCAGTATGTGTCTTCCCTGTCTCTCATCGTGATCGGACGCTCATTGTTCTCTATAGCTTCGAGCTTGGTGGTGAGAAGAAGACGAAGGGTGCTGCCCTCACTTTCGTATGTTGCTTCCGCTTTTCGAATGTCACATTGGTACTGAACTTTTGCTCTTCTAGTGATCGTCTCGCTACTTGTTCCTTCGCTATCTCACGTTCTACCATGTCTTCCGTACCTCTTCGCATTCGCTATGTAATATGCAATAAGTTCCGGGCATGTGCATTTACACGAAAACCAGATACTATGCTTGCTTGTGCTTTCGATGAGGTTTTCCGACTGCATTTTCACGTGTACAACAGGATGGCGCGGCAATAATCAATGAGGTTGGATATGCTTGTAAGAGTATATAGGTATTAGGTATAACATATGCGAAATGCGATACTATGGCACTATGCTGAACAACAACGATGGGAAACATGCTAGAGGTCTCAACAATAAGACATGGGGATCGTGAAAGAGCAGTACAAGAAAAGAATGAGTGCGATACTAGAATTACAACATAAATGAAATATGTCGATCGAGATCACTGCTGGATGGAAGCAGGCAGGCGACGCATCAAATATCCAGGATCGACCTGGTCTCTGACACTGTCCGCCCATTTCGACAAGGCGTTCATAGTCATCATGACGTGCTCAATCTTCTGCACAAGGGTGTCTCTCAGAGTCTTCGTGTCCGACTGCAAGAGTTGTTCGATCGAATTCCGCGCGTCGGAAATGAGCGGTTTGAGGCTATCATGGACGAACTCGAGTATGAGGGGCTTGACACTCTCTGCAAGTTCCCGAGTAGAGGTGACTGCAGGTTGTTGTACGACGGGTTGCTTGGCAAGAGCTTGAACGGCCGCTGTTATAGCGTCTGTTTCTTTCCTCATCTTATCAAGTTCCTGTACCTGGCGTCGCTCCATCTGGAAACAACAACAATGAGTATAGAATCGCCAGCTGACGGAAGGAGAGTACATACATCATCTATCACCTTCCTCAATCGATCGTTTTCAACCAGGAGAGCATAATTCTCCCTACGCAACCCCTCGTTCTCGTCAGAAAGCCCATTGACCTGCTTTATAACATCAGCAACCTCGCCCGCCAACTCTCCAACCTCGTCTCCCGTTTTGCTCAATTCTGACTGCACGGATTCAAGCTTCGCAGAATTGTCTTGTGAAAGCGCGGCGACTTTGGCACTCTGCTCTTGCCGCTTTTCCTTTTCCGTTTGCACAACAAGCTCAAGCTCGTTAAACCTGTTCTCCAACTCCGCTCGAATCTCATCAGATATCTCTTCCTGACGCTGACTCAAACTGCTGTAAACCTCTTTCAAGCCATCCTCGATCTCCATAAGATGATCGTGAATCTTGGCGACTGCAGGTGGGACTTCCACTTCCTCCTGGGCGTTATCTGAAGGTTCAGGCACCGACATGCCAGCGTCCTCGGTTTGCGCAGTAGTCCCAGCGGCTAGAGTAGTAACTATATGTCCAGGAGCAGGAGGAATGGAAGTGCCCTTCTTGGCGCCAACGACCTGCAAGAGTTCATGCAACTCCTTGACAGAGTCCATCACCTGTGCAATGGCCGTCTTGACTTCTGCAATCGCCTCCGATGCCTGATTGTCCGTCTTCATGGGAGACCCAGCCCGGGAGCGAGGTTCCAACGCGAGTAACCTCCAAGCCTCAGACTCGTTGAGTTGTTCGATGGCAGAATCGTACTGTTGCGCCAGACCAATCCGTCTGAAGTTCATGCTGATAACTTCAGCTTTGAATCTACCTTTGTCGGTAATAGAGTCAATGGCACTGAGGGAATCGGATATACGAGTTTGGATTGCTCGATCATGGTCCAATTGCGACAAGCTCTGGTGGGTCGTTAACACACCAGAAAGAAGCCTATAAAACGCTATGAGACGAGACGAAACAAGCACACATAACGTGTGCGGCGTACCTAACACGTTCCTCCCATAACTTCTTTCCCTCGCTTGATTCCGGTGGTGCGCCTTCAGGATGCATTGACGACGCACGAGAGGGAGTAGGTGACGACATCTGCATAGAGGACGAGGGTTCCTGTGCGATAGTGGGTGGGACGGGTTCAATCGGGGTTGGTGGAATTGGAGGCGGTGTGTATTCGGGAGGTGCAGCTACTACAGGTGCTGGAATGGCAGACATGACACTATTCTGCCTGAGAGTGGCCAAAATGGATTCGATATCTTGAATAACTGGTGTCGGAGGAACAGGAGCCGTCTCGGGAGGCGCTGTGTTGCTAGAAGGTTGTGGCGTTTCTGATATAACGAGGCCTGGGGGAGTGATGGATTCAGAAGGCGGAGGCTGTAAGGGTGTTGAGGCACTCTGAGGCAAGTCCTGTGACGGTGCGGCAGGAACAGGAGGGGCTGGCACGGATATAGACGTCGATTGGGTTTCGCTCGAAGGGTCGAAGGGAGTGTTGCCAGTCAAGGCAACAGCGGAAGAAGGGGGAGAGGTCGCAGCAGTTGTACTGGACGCTGCGTCGATGGCGATATCTGGCTTCGAGAAGCCAGGACGGGTTCGTGGATCTGTCGTTTTGGCAGTTTGTTCATTTTCACGTAAACGCCTAGGTGCGGTGGGCGGCACGAGGCTTGAGCGTGTGCTTCTTGTATCCGTGGGTGTTTCCCTATTGATGAAAGACGCTGGAGGACGAGGAGGGCCGTAAGTACGCTCAGGAGTTCGCGTAGCACGACGAGAAGATGATCGAGAGGAACGGATAGATGCAGATGATTTAGAACGACCGCGATTATCGTCAGAAGGTGCGATTCGAGAAGAATAACGGGAACTGTCATCAGGCAGTGGCCGTTTGAGCCGCCAACCATTATCTCGTGGTACGGGAGATCTTGAACGACGACTAGAGTATCGTGCATTGCGGTTTCGATTGTAACTTGGACTTGGGCTACGGCTTCGACCCTTCCTGCGAAATTCACCACCCGACAGTCTCCGATTCTCCTCTGGTGTTAGAAGCCACCAGGGAGTGGGTCTACTGCTTTTTGGAGCATTTGCCCATGCCTTCTGCCAAGGATGGATGAATTTACAAAATTCACGATCGCATCCATTCACTCCGTCGAGACGTTTGTATCCATTCCCGTCATTATCATACCACTATATGATGTTAACAAAGCAAGGACAAAGAGCGACGACCTATACGTACGAAGCACCGGGAATCAAACATGTTCAGTCAGATTTCCCGCAATCAAGGATCCCAAACGCTGCCAAGTTCCCCTTTCAACACCAGTACAAAGTATGTTCAGAGTTAAGTGTAAGTCCTCGGATTTCAGTGTCAGTGTTTCCCTTGTCATGGTAATGGAATAAGCGATCACAAAAGTAATGTCACTTTATGCAGAACTCACCAGAGAAGTAAGATATCAATGAACTGAAACCTGTGGACTTTGAAGACGAAGAGGGCTGACCGTATAAAGAGGACTGCTTGAACAAAGAGAATTAAAGAGCGCTAAATCCAAATCGGGTATTCCTGCATCCGAATCCGAGCATGCTTCATGGTTTCAAAGCGACATCCGCATATTATGAAAAGTGGTTCGTGAGCTGTAAGAGTTGTGGCAAAGTGACGACAACGTAGTGCTTGTGTGCTATTAGCGTGCTTGGAAGACTTAGTAGCACTCAGCTTTTAGAGTTCGGAATTTGAAATAGACTTAAAAGGTATGTTTTAAGCGCCTAATTACGCGAAAACTCGCAAGCTGAAGACGTTCTGACTTCACTCCCGCACATCTTGTGCAACACGTCTTTTTCTCTTATTTTCTCTCTGTATCTACTACCACTCTATTATATTTTGTGCTGGACGTCGTACTCACATTCTCTACCCATACCCTTCTTCGGATCAATATCCACTAGTGCGACGCCATTGGCAGCCACCCTTGAACTGAAAACCACTAGTGTTCCTTGGGCCACCATTACAACTAATCCCTGTACAAGTCCTGTGGGATAGTGTTTTTTAAACCAATTGGTTCAACGTCTGACGAAATCGGCCGATACATCTGGTATATAACCAGTAAATCGAGTCATATTACGCGAGGAAGTATTTAGTTCGGAGACGTACGGTCAGTGTACAATTCGGGACCTCTCGTTCGCTGGCAACCCACCACTAACGCTTCGTTACATATATACCCTCAGTGTTCACATACACCCTCACATACACAACATGGAAGACCTGTCGCCGCCATCTTCACCTTCACCTTTGACTTCAGATTCCTCCCGGTCATCTTCCATCTCCTCCCCTCGCACTCCTCCAAATTTGCATCAAAACAGCATTGATCCTGACGCTCAATGGATAGTACAGAAGTTTGGTGGGACAAGTGTGGGCAAGTTTGCTGTAAAGATTGCTGAAGAGATTGTCTCGTTCGTACCATCCGTCTTATTAATGACTTCACATTGTGTTAACAGTCATTATATGGATTATCAGGGAGTATCTCGATCAACATAAAGTTGCCATCGTATGCTCTGCTCGTTCAGGATCCACAAAAGCTTTAGGCACGACCAACCTTCTTCTCAAAGCGGCTTCCGAAGCGTTGCAACCAGTCCGAAACACAAGCGCAGCCAATACCCCAGGGAACGTCACACCGAATGGACTTTTCTCCCCATTATCTCCCAATGGCAGCCCGCGTCCAAGAAGCAAGTCGAACTCAAGATCTGATTCGGTATTCGGCACATTCTCGATGACTTCGACAAAAGACGGGGAGCCTTCTTTCAATAGAACTGTTGATATGATTCGGTTGGAACATTTGAATGCAGCACGTTCTAGTGTTCGCGACCCATCACTGCTGAAGGAGTTGGAAGCTGAGCTTGAGAGAGACTGTGACGGCCTGAGATCGTTCTTGTTCGCGGCACAGGTGAGTGTGAGCACCTAGAGGGTTGACCGAGATACTGATAAATATGAAAGGTTATAGACGAAATCTCACCACGTTCAAAAGACAGTATCATCGGATTCGGTGAACGTATGTCATGTAAAATAATGGCGACCATTCTGCGAGATAGAGTTCGTTTTCCCGCCGATGTTTACTTGCCGTGGTACTAATTTTTTCTGTGCATAGGGTGTAGACGCAGAGTTTGTGTCGCTAGAAAACATCGTTCCTATTCCAGAGGACGGCGACCTGACATTCGAAGGCGATACCCTCGGTCAAGAGTTCTACGACAAAGTTGCCCATGTAGTCGGCGAACGCATAAAACAGTGCGGCCCTCGAGTTCCCGTTGTCACAGGTTTCTTCGGCCCCATACCTGGTTCACTGTTACGCCAAGTTGGCCGAGGCTATACCGACCTACTATCTGCACTTCTCGCAGTCGGCCTCACTGCGTCAGAATTGCAGATCTGGAAAGAGGTCGATGGTATATTCACGGCTGACCCGAGGAAGGTCCCGACCGCCAGGCTTATTCCTATCATCAGTCCCGAGGAAGCTGCCGAGTTGACGTACTATGGGAGTGAAGTCGTCCATCCATTCACCATGGAGCAGGTTAGCAGTTTTGTATTATTTCATCTTGTCCACAGAGCGCTGATATGTTTTTCTTTCTTTAGGTCATCCGAAGAAGGATCCCGATCCGCATCAAGAATGTCGAGAATCCCAAGGGGGGCGGCACCGTCATCCACCCTGACGAAGACATCAACGCCGCCGCAGGGACAATGACACCATCAGACTCATCCGAAGGAACAGACGTTACACAGCAACTATCCTTCAAGCCTCTTTCAGTACTCACCGGAGGTCCTCTGTCAGACTATTCCTCGTTGCAGGATCGACATAAAGTCCCGACAGCTGTCACGATCAAGGAACATATCGTAGTACTGAACGTGAATAGCAACAGGAAGAGTGTATCACATGGCTTCCTGGCAGGGATCTTTGGTGTACTGGACCGCTTTGGTGTTGTCGTGGATTTGATTAGTACCAGTGAGGTCCATGTCAGTATGGCGATCGAGGACCACATGCAGAAGAAGATGCTCGAAAAAGTCGTGCGAGAGCTGCGCAAGAGCGGGTCGGTGAGTACATTGTCCTTTCGAGCATACAAAAGAAAGAGACATGATATTAAACGACTTTGCTTTAGGTTTCCGTACATCATGACATGGCTATTCTCTCCCTCGTCGGCAAGCAAATGCGTCATCTGGTCGGAATCGCCGGTCGTATGTTCACTACCCTGGGTCAGGGCAATGTCAACATCGAGATGATCAGTCAAGGCGCCAATGAGATCAATATCTCTTGTGTTATAGATGGGCGAGACGCGATAAAGGCACTGAACCTGATCCATCAAAGTTGTTTGCAGATTCGACCGGAAGGGGCACTGGGTAGAGGTGAGTGGCACTCTTGATCTTCATATATTGTGTACCTGGTTCTGACGCGAGTTTGGGGCAGTTGGTCCTTGGCTTTTCTAAAACATCGTAGACCCCATGTACGTTAGACAATGTACTTGTGATAGTAGAAACTGTAGAGTATGCACCACTTTAGCCTGTAAATTCGGCAACTAAACCGATCGTAAGCAAACACTCGATCAAGCCTAGTGGTTAATGTAACGCCGAAGCCCGACTTTCTCGGAGTCGGGTTCGGACAATCGCACTCGACCGAGAGCGATATTTGCTGTGCGTGACATCGATGGAGGTTCACACTGTTCGCAGGCCAACGAAGGAAGCTTGATGTCTATGTATTGCATTCCGGGATATTGTACCAGCGGGAGTGGTAAGTGATCGTATGTATCGCCCATAGGAACATTACTTACATCCGCCGGTTTTCTAGAGCATTAACTGGCCTGTAGGTGACTACAAGCGCTTTGGTCTTCATCCGGTGAAGATTGCACTGATCCAGACGATGTTGCGCTCATCCTAAGATTGTCATCAGCAATTCCCGTCATTATACGTATACGCAGAAGGATACAATCAAAGGGCAGTATTTCGGATGGTCAGAGTACCGATTACCCACTAGCGAATCAATGGTGGAGGCTAGGTAGTCTTATGATGATAGAAGGCAACATTGATGCACGAGACTCCTTTTTCAGGGTTTGTACGGGTGAACATTCTGATTGGGAATGGCAGGGCAGCCAGGGTGTGCGCTCCGAGCTCGGTACGGATGAGAGCAAGGCCGATTCCGATGGAGCACCAGCTCATTGGTCGGTGCTAAATCGTCGCCATACTTATCGTACCTCGAATTCCTTGGCCAATAAACATCGGGCAAGCCTTGAACGTCATTGCCCCGAACTCAAAAGTCAACACACATCGGAATTGGTCGGGGCCATCCGAACTGCCTTACTCGTTCTTGTAGGCACGCGCAGCAAGATTAGACCAACCAGTGGATGCCACGAAGCCGCTGTGGAGCCCTTCAGAAGGTCAAGAATGATGATCAAACTGAGCCCCAATGGAAGAAAAGGCAAAGGGAAAAGAAAAATGCATTATCGTCCGAGTCATGTAAGGTGAGAATTCAAACCCTTGATCAACATGATTGCGTTTGTAGAGGCTTGCAATGTACTTGGCCTTTCCCGCTGCGCGCCGAAAATAGCGTATCTGGAGTGATTGACTATTTGCTGAAAAGAACGTCAGTCTGCTTTGAATATAGTTCCTGGCTTCCACGGACCTGAGTAACGCTGTACCAAATTAAGTCATCTGGGTCAATTTGTCGCCTCGCAAAGTAGCGTCCGCAGTGGGCCCGACAGAGAGGAAAGCGTCATAGCTACAGTTACCACCAGCTTACGAATAAGGACTGATGGTCGGAGGGAGTTGCACAAGGTGCGTCGAATAAAAGCAGGGCGTGGTCGCAGGCTCTGTCACCGGTGTCTTCGGTGTGAACGCAAAGATCAAAGCAACGAACAGGGAGATAACAGTAACATCCCTCCGCCCAGGAATAGGAAAACAGACAGCAGAGATAGTAGCGGGCGTTGCTTCCTGGCGTTTCCCTAGTTGACGTTGCAACGAGGAGGTCGGCAGGCGAATTTCCCTAGATTGGCCAAATGTGCCTGAGAGGTGCTTCGGGCGGCTTCGAGGCAAACCTTGGTGAAAGCACGAGTTCGGAGATCAGGCACCTAGTACTGAAAGAATGCGGTTCCGTTCTCAGGGACGAGAGCCAATTCCGGAGACGGACGTTTGAGGCAAAGATGGTCCATTCTTTCAGATTCTCTCCCAGAATACCTCCGAGGAGTTGGCCGTCATATGCAAGGGGCCCGGCCGACAGTCTATTGGGTCTGTAGGTGGATCAGGACATCAACCAAGGAGCTGTGCTTCAGCAGGGCCTGCAGGGTTCCTGATCTAACGATGGCAAGTGTGTAGCAGTGCCCTGGATGAAATCGAGAACTGCAAATGTTGTTGGGGGTATGCAAACGCACATCCGGTTACCTTTGCGGGGAGGAACGTGGTGGTCATTGGGAAAGCATGCAGACAGCATTTCTGTGAGCAGGCAGGGGTGTCAGTTGGGGATCACGCGTTGTGGTATTGGAGGAAGATGAGAGGGAAATCTGAGATTGTTATGCAGAGCGCGTGTACGCTGTGATTAGCCGGGGGTATGAAAGGAGGATACTGATATTTCGGAGGGACCCCTCCGTTTCGCTCTCCGCGTCCTCGCATGCCCTATCAATCCAACGTTTGACTGTTAGCCCTGCTTTCAATCTTCCCTCGTGTCTTCACTGTTCGGCTCCTCCTACACTCTCTGCTCATCACTCTACACGACGAAGACGTCTCAAACAACCCCGAGCAGCACTAAGTCATGCCGGCTCGAGAAGCACCGGTGCCGGTGATAGGCCAATTCAGCAGTGATCCTCTTGACGCCTTACTACGACCACCCATTGACGAGACCGACGAAGAAAAGGCATACAGATTAGCTCAGGAGAGCGAGGCAAAACGTATCAGCCAGGCCATAGACGACGGCATAAGGCAAGAGAGGCTGCAGCGGAAGAAGGCGAAGGTGGTCAGGCTATTGCTGCTCGGTCAGAGTGAATCAGGTATATGTGTTTGAAGCTCGTGTCATCGCAGAATCTCTGACATGAACAACTCAATTTTAGGCAAATCTACAACATTGAGACGTACGTTGACATAACCCTGTGCAGAGTCGCGTATAACATTATATTGTTTGCAGAGTTCCAACGAATATACACCCCATCTGCATTCCGGGAAGAACGAATTTTATGGCGATCGGTCATCCAACTCAATCTCGTCCGTTCAATACGCATCATCCTAGATGCTATTCAGGATGTCAGGCGGCACGAGTTACAACCTACATCCGATGACGAGTACGATGATGATTATCCGGACCAAAGGGTATGTCTACCTCCACACCTAGAAGCCCTCTGCATGCAACTTCTACCGCTGCGACACGTCGAATCACTCCTGATAGCAAAACTCGTACCTCCGAACGAAGATGAGGCGACACATTTGGGCCTTCACCATGACGGTTCGCATTCACATCGACAGCACGAAATATTTGTGAGACCGGGAATGTCTTGGAAGGGGACCATGCGGCGGTATGGCCGGCCGAATAGCATAGGAACGGTGGGGCAGGAGACTCAAGATGAGAGCCAGGCAGTTATTCATGAATGCGCGATGGAGATGATGGCGTTATGGGAAGATCGAACAGTGAAAGAGATCTTGAAGAAGCGGAAAATACGGCTTGAAGAGTCGCCAGGATTGTGAGTAAATATTCTACTGCTTATTGGCCTTTATCTTACGTTCTGCAGCTATCTAAATGACCTAGAGCGCATCACGTCACCACATTACTTGCCCTCAGAGGGTAGGTTTGACAGTCTTCTCATCCATTGGTGCTTGGAGTGACCGCCCTGCAGATGATGTCCTAAAAGCACGGTTGAAGACAGTTGGTGTATCAGAATACAGGTTTCAAATGGAATCCGGAACCGAGTCAGGCACTGAATGGCGCATCATCGACGTTGGTGGTTCTCGGTCTCAGGTTCGTCTTCACCTTCTCCCGTTTCGTAATTCCGCTTCTTCTCTTGATTACCGTGGCCGGTCATTGTGTTTATCACCACCGGTCCCAATTTCGTCCTGCTCCGTCGTTGTTTTGCTTCTCTGGTTCCTTGATGCTGACGCCGTTTGCTTCATTTTTCTAGCGTCGTGAGTAGTCCTGCACAGTTCAGTCGATGTGTGCGTCTGACCTGACATTTAAAGAGACGTGGATACCATTCTTTGACGATGGTAGGTGTATAAAACGTCTTTCAATATCATCAGTAACTAATGTTTTCCTTTCCAGTGGATGGTGAGCTAGTGCATATCTTTCATTGGTTACCATTCTAATCAGAGGCAGTAGCAATCATCTTCCTCGCGCCTATATCAGGGTTTGACCAAACACTAGTGGAAGATCGCAGTGTGAACCGGCTGGTATTTGACTTCCCTTAACGCTTCTTCCTATCTCCGACTCACTAGGTCTACAGGAGGACTCTGTACTACTATGGAAAGCGATTTGCTCCAACAAACTGCTAGCAAAAGTCGACCTTGTGCTCTTTCTAAACAAGTGCGACATCCTGGCTTCGAAATTGAAGTCAGGTATCCGGTTGGCGAAGTACGTGCGTAGCTTCGGTGAACGGCCTAACGATGCGGAAACGGCGGAGAAGTGTAAGTTTCGAGTGAAAGTATTTTTATTGGCTACTGAACCGACAACATGGTGGGTTTGCAGACTTCAGGAGTAAATTCAATGCCATCCATCGGGAACATTCACCGATTCCCCGCAAGTTCTACGGGTTCTGCACTTCCGTAACAGTGAGCATATTAGGTCATCTTCTTGCATGTTGTTTGTATCGAAAACTTTGATCAGGACACGACCACGACGATGGGCATCCTTGCCAGCGGTCAGTAGTTCCAGCGCCTCGATATTCTTCGTACTCAGACCTTCTTACAGTGCGCGACATGGTCGTACGAGAACATCTACGAGCCTCTCGACTGCTATAACGTATCTCCACCCTCCCGGCCCCTCGACGTCTCAACACGCTTATCTCGAAGTCCATGCATGCTCCTCATCTTGTCTTCTGTATCATCATCTACAATCACCCTCCGCATCTACTGGACACTCCACATATACACACACTCTCTCTCTGTCGTATTTATATCCTCGTCGCTGCGATAACCTCTTCAAGCTGCACATCTTATCCCACCCCTGTGACCTTTCCCTCTAATACGACGCCTCTCTTATGACATTCTATGAATCTGATTTTAACACCCTTGTTTTGATATCTTTGGTATATACGAGCTTGCATTTCTTAACTCTTCTTGGCTTTTACGCGTTGTAGTTTGATCTCATCTTCCTATTCCTGAGTTTTTTTTTTCGTTCTGCGTAGCGGTGATTGCTGACGACGGTTCATTTGTACTAACTTCTACCCTTTTTGTACTTGATGCTTTTCTCTGTACTCTACAGATTCCTCTTTAACTTTCATACCTCTGGATTGCAATGAGATTTTATGGCTGACTGACAGCTTACCAGAACGGAACAGAACATACGTGAACTCTGAAGATCGTATCCAAAATGTATTCTACGTGTCTAGTCGGAAAAATGAGGTGGAGACATTCTTGAATACAAAGTTAGCGTGAAGGAGAAATCGTGCCCTGCATGGCAGACGTAGGCATAGCTAACCGCCTTGTTGCCACAAATTTCAATAAGGATACTGAAACCTGATCCAGCATGTCACTTATGTAATAGCACGTTATTGAATTCAGAGAGGACTGGTTTTGGAGTAGAAAACGGACCAGAGGACACTAGAAGATTCAGTGCTGATATTCGAGAACAGTGAAAGTGCGAACTTTGATCAAGAAGCCTGGGGGAAGCAGTCCTGAAGCTCGCACCCACAGGTGAGTGATTTCCTCGAGCGCGGGTGGGAGACATTGGGGGAAATTCAATGATAGGCTGTTTCCTCTGAATAAGATAGACTGTCAAGAGATCTACAAGTCTCGTATATCCTCGTGGGAGTGTAGAACGTCAACCAATATACATTTCAGCTCAAAGCCGAGTATCAGAGCGGTGACCCCAAGCGAGCGAGCGGTGAACGTTTGAACTGCAAAGAATTGGCATGAGGGTCGATGATAGAAATATAATTGGCATATAGGGGGATACTGAGCCTACGCTAGTATCAGGTCAGCGACTTTGCACAGCCAGTATGGTTGGCTGTCGATGGATATCGATCGTATCCTACCCGTAAGGGTGGCAGAAACACCAAGCGTAAGTATCAATGACTCGAAGGGGAACGCCGTTACTTTTCTAACAGCCGGAGAGGCGTCACATTAGGGATGTGAGAGAGAAAAAGCTTGTGAACTGCAAAGACATCCATGATCCACCTCAGTGAACGAGGGTTGGAAATTGTGATTCCATGCATATGGTCATAGAACGAGTTTGAAAGACCTGGAATACCTCGAGGATTGATATCGTGAGTCCGCTGCAGTCTGCATTTGACACCATATAATGGTTCGGTTGTTGCTTCAAATCACAATGATACAGTGGTTGAAACTTAGGATGTAGTAATCCTAATATGCTTCCAACTCCGTGGAAACTCGCCTATTAAAAAATCATCAGTAAATACAAAGTCAAAGGTAGATGCATTCGCATGCTCACCGTTCCTTTACACGAGCAAGTCACTTGGTTTAGAGCCAGGATAGAAGACTGATAGAAGGCAGCTTGAAGCTAACGTTTATGACGTGTCTGGGGTCCCGAGGAGTTCAGTAGAAACTGGAACTCCAATATCCTCACGGGGTCCCCACGTCTAGATCACAATCCACAACCGCGGTCACTGCGCTCATCGTCGAGCATGGCGGATGCTGCTTTCAAGGACGTTCCAGAGATCTTTGAGGTCGGTACATGCACCCACACAACATACAACGAGCTGACGGCTATCTGCTTCAGGTGGAGCTTGGCGAATCATTAACTGCGCGGACCGAATGTCTATGTGCGTATGCGTGTTCGAGCAACACATGGTTCTCGGCTATTGACATTTGCTTCTTGCGTACCATTTAGCAACGTTTCGTGAACTGGGACCTCCGGATTTGGTTCATGTTGTAAAGAGTACGGGACGCAGTGGTCAACGCGACGTCAGTAACGCCGAGTTCTCATTGCCACCTTGGCGACGCGACTGATGTTCTGCTCGTTCTCTTCATTTTAGATTGGATCCTATCACTATGTTTCTGGAGTAGATGCATCTTCGTCTGCCTCACTAGCCGCTTATATCAACTCCTTGACCTATGCCCTTGAAGACGATTCGGGATGGTTTAGTAAAGGCACAGGATGGAAAGTGCGAAATGGATGTTATTGGTGAGCCTATTCTGGCGTATTCAGCAATGGCACATCGTCTAATGCTTGCGTCCCATCTTCATAGCTGTTTCAACGCGTTCTCGAGAGTAGACGTTCGTGTTGACGTCAAGATTCCGGGAGGCGTGAACGCATATGTGATCGACTTACGTGGCGAACGGTACGTCTATGTCAACACCTTAACAACGAGACAGTCGTATTCATCTGTTCCCTTAACACCTTAAGACATGAAGCATCTCCCGAAATATGGTTAGAGACTTATCTCTCCGCCCTCCTTCGCGCCATTCTCTATTCCGACGACCCAAATTACTGGCTAGATGCATACCGCAAGCTCGATCCTATCACTGCACCCGAAGGCGAACTTCGTTTCCTCAAAGCGGCCGAAGCACTATTCATGAAAGGCTGGCAAGTGGGCTCGGATCCGGAGATACAGGTCGCCACAGTGGTCTCTAACCATTTGACGAATGCGATCATGAAGTATTTTGGGGATAGTGGCCGGTACCAGCATGCTGCGAACTTGTTCGAGAAATTGGTCGGAAGGGAACCGGAGGTCTCATCGTTGTTGGCAAAGTCATACATTGGAATGAGTGCGTATATTCCTATGCTCTTGATTTGCACGCCGCTTGACTTGTCTTACAGATGAGGAAGTCAAGGCTGTCCAAATCATGGCCGCAGCGATGAAACAGACACCACAATCCTATACACTCCTCCATGTTCAATGCGATTTTTTACGGTCGAAGGGTAACTTCGAATGGGCACTGAAGCTGGCGAGACAGGCGGTCAATTGTGCGCCAAGCGAGTTCGTGACATGGGAGAAATTGACAGACATTTATATCGACCTTGGGGAGTACGAATCAGTACGTTCATCTGCATTTCTTATATTCTCTTTTTTTGATGGCGGCTTTAGGCACTTCTCACACTCAACTCATGTCCCATGTTCACCTACAACGGACGAGATGCACATAGAAACCTTCCCGCGTCACGTATTCACCTGCCACCGAAGGGTCCTATAGTGGACATCCTGCCGGAACGAACAAAAACGGAAGAAGACGAAGTGAGTATTTCTTATCTCTGCAGATTGTCACGGCCTTATTTAAATCGCCCCTAGGCCGATCCTGCTCTTGTTCGTCTCCCTGCACCGGGGCTTCGCGGCACATGGGCAAGAGCATACGCTCTACTCACACGTCTAGTCTCGAAAATTGGTTGGGACGAATTGCTCAAGACGAGGAGTGCCGTCTTTGTCATGGAGGAAGAATATCGCATGCAGAAGCAGCATAGTGACATCCGCGTCGCCAGCCCTTCTTCGCCAAATGGCACTACTAGTGAGACTGTCATCCATGAAGATGGGTCTGTTTCCAAGAGTGCGTCGAAAGGCGACACTTTGGGCGAGAGTTCGACGCTTGCGGACGATAATGCTTCGACTAGAGGTGTGCGGTCTACTACACCTGCACATTCGAATAGAAACTCCGAAGTTGAGGTTGACAATTCTACGAATGGTCTTCCGACGATCAGGATATCGACGGAGAGTAATCGTGAACGGGCTGTCAAGTCACAGGTGGAAGATGACGAAAAGGCAGAAGTCAATGGGAAGTTGGAGGAGCCTGCCGGAGCGGCAGCTATAGATGGGTTGGAGAAGCCAGTTCAGGCAGGCGTTCAGGATGCCGAGACATCGCAGAGCTCGCAAGAGGCTTTCTCGTTTAGCAATAAGCGACTCTGTGAGAGGTGGCTGGACAACTTGTTTATGGTGCTTTACGAGGTGAATGATCTTTCGATCTCGTTCGTAGCTTTGAGTTTTGAGTTTCGACACTGATATTGGGTTGTATCCTTAGGACCTGCGTGTGTGGACTATCTTCCGCGCCGAGGTGGCTCATTTCAAAACACAACATGTCGCTTATCGCAAAACGGGCATGGAATGGGAGATCCTTGGAGACCTCGGCATACGTCTTCAACATAAAGAGGAAGCCAAAGAAGCTTATCAGCGATGCCTGGATTCGAATCGGTATTCACTGAAGCCTTGGATGAAGCTGTTGGATGTGTACGCCGAGGAGGGTGATATCCAGCGTACCCTTCAGGTAGCCATTCGCGTTGCTGCATATTCGTTTAGCGAATACGCCGAACAGGCTGTACGTTTCTTCACTTGTTCTGACGGCCTTTGTTCCGTACTGATCTACGTTGACGCTAGTACCCATCACAAATCGCCCGATGCTTCTTCAAGCTCGGTCAGATACATGGACACCAGAAGATTTCGTATACCCTGCTGAGTATGGGCCTGCCGGAACCTGTAGCAAAGATCATGGAAAATTACTTGATGTATGGTCGTGTGTTCAAGGTGGAAGGGTGGGATTTCTGAGTACGCATGATGGATGTGTGGACTCTGTGCTTGTTGTTGTCGAGTTCGTCTGTCGATGTTGAGAGTATACTTAGTGTACATGGCCCCTTTTCGTCTACTGCCTTGTTTTCCTTTCCGTCTTGTCTCTGTTGGTTCGTCCTATATATTATTGTGTTCTCCAGGCTGCCATACAACCACGACAATGCGTGTAGCGTGAATATCCAAGTGGGTGAACTTGGTTACTTGATTAGGAGCGCGCACCGACCACAGACACCGGACCGCCGAATTTAGCGACGGAAGACCGGGATAGGCCAAATGGGACGTCACTGACTCTTGGACGCACTTTCTGAACTACAACCACCATGTCCACTTCCCCGCCACAACGCAGGATGTCCTCAAACAGCTCTAGCAGCAAAGAATCCCTCATCAACGCCTACGAGGCCGAAGAAGAAAGGATAATCAATGTCCTCTCTCGCAAACTCGAGAAGGTCCGTCAGATGTGGCCATTCTTCCCTTTCACGGAACTCACGTTTGTTGGTGTAGCTGAGAGAGGAGAAAATTGACCTCGAGAATGCTTTGGAGGCAGAGTCTGAGGCCACTGTCAATAGGCTATCAAGAGAAATATCCGCTCTACGACTTGCTCAGCAGCAGCATGCTCAGTCAGCTGCGAGTCCGACTCAGGTGAATGGCAGTGGCTCGGTCTCTCCTGTCGATGTCAGGGGACCGTTATTTAATCCTGAACCTACACCGGAGATGATGCTGGAAGCTATGCGAAGAGAGAACGAGCAGCTGAGGACACGACTTGTTGAGACTGAACGAGATTATATTCGGATAACACGGTTGAATGAGATTTACCGTGAGGAGTTGATTGAAGATCGGCGAAGGGTGAGTCAGAGTCACCAACCTTTCTGAGACGTTCCTTTATGATTGACACGCGTGTTCTTGATTGCAGCTTGGTCTCCCGGTGGATAACCTAATAGGACTTCCCTCACCCTCCGATGCATATTCACAGCCTATACACCTCCAAGCACAGTCCAACGTTTCCTCAATATCCACATCTCCACGCTTTCCCCTTTCTCAATCGCCCACCACACACGCGGCATCAGCTCGTGTCCCAATCCCCCGTCCACCTTCACAAATTCGTCGACCAGTGGCGCCACCAAGTCCGTCAACCACACCTCCCTCATCTTCCTCCGCCTCCCTCTCATCCGCGATCTTCTCACCACCTGGGAACACAACAAGTATCGGAACGACCATCACTACCCCAGGAAGTGGTCCTGCACTCGCGTTCCCCAACGGCGGTCATCCTCATGAACTTACCTATCCCTCCGTCCCACCACCCTCACTCTCATCATCATTCGGAGATCCGCTACTCGCAATGGAAGATGAACGCGAACGCACATTACCTGCACCTGTACCCATTCCCCGTCCTATACCTCGCCGCGATCGAGACCTGTCCTTGTCCGTTTCTCCCATTGACTCATTCTCAGCACGCAGCGGTCTCCCCAGTTCTCCCCTAAGTCCTCGTCGATCATTCACAAGAAATCGAAGAGGGAGTTTCGAACGTGCTGTTGGTGCTGCTGCTGCGACGACGAATGGCCGGACGGGTGGGGGATGGGTGGATGGGTTCGAGCCTTATAATGTTGGAAGGGCGAGTCGGAGTGGGAGTAGGAGTCGGGTGGGGAGTCTTGATCGGGGGGTGAGGGTTGCGGAGACTGGACAGTTGGTTCCGAGGCATCGACATGAGGGTGGGCAGGGTGCGACGTGTGAGCTGGTTTTAGCTGGGGCTGAGATCTCTGCATCTCCTCCTCCGACGTCTTCTCCAAATGGGTCTGGACCGTCGACTGCTGATACTCTTCAGGAACCAACTACTACTTGACGACCGTCATTTCACTCTGAGTTTGTTTTTTTTGGTCGATGGGCTTTTTCGTTATTTCGTATCCCAACAAAACTGTTGGTGTATGTAATTTTTATGTCCTTTTGCTGTTTGGAGGAAGTTGAAAGTTGACGTGCTGGGGTATGTAAGATAACTACAGTAGGTATTCTACTTAACAGTCATGGACTTATTATCATTGCAGGATCTAATGGGTAGTAGCTAAACTTCATAATCCTCCTCCCCCCTTTTCGCCTAGCCTAAGCCTGCCTGTCTGCCTACCTATCAAAATATTGCAATATATTGATCATCCGTACGAGGTTCTTCTCTCCAACCAAGTTCTAGGTGTGTCAAGATCTAGTGGGCTGGTGCTTTTGAGTCGGCCGATACATCCTGTTGCAACTTGCAACGTGCGTTGTTTTCTTGACATTTGACCCGGCGTACGGTACGTTCGCGCGTTCGCGTTTACGAGTGGAACACTAGAATGATGATGACACACATGGCTATATGACATCTAGGCTGATTCTGGAACTAGATTTGAGCTAGATTCACGTTATAGGTGCTGATTCAAGATTGTCGTTGTGGCGAGATGTTCCAATTGTCTATCCATGCAAATCCCCCGGGATGACGTCGTGCGCGTGAGGACTAGACTCAGACTGCTGTACACTGTGACTGTATGCGCTACATTGGCTTCCAGGTAGGGCAAATATTCTTTTTCTATCCGTTCCATGCGTTTATAAGCTTCAAGCTTCACTTGAGAGAGAATCAACGAGACTAGCGCGAGTGGTTCACGAGGATACGATTGTATTCAATTAGTACGTGACGCCTCGCAAGACGAGAGACCAAACCTTCGCACTCCAACCGGTTGGTGGGAGAATGAAAGTGTGAATGGGAATTATGGGGATGTATATCCAGGATGGTGTAAGGTAAGGTAGGTGGAATGCTATAAGCTCTAGAGAGAACGATGCATGCGACTATGGTATCCATGGAGAGCATACCTAAAGGCAAGACTGCATGGTGACAGGAACATAAGTTGAGCGTGTATGTGAGCGGTGAGTGGATAAGAATAAGTTAATGCGAGAGGACAGTGTACAGATGATGCGGAAGAAAGAAAATATGAGAGGAACAAGCGATGACTACGATCAAAACACAACAGAATCGACGACAACAACAATACGTGCACTCCTCCAGCCTCCCAATGATGAGATACCGAAATAACCATGACCCGGGTCTTTTGACTACTCCCCCTCAGTGCCTATGACGCCTAAATGACATCTTGGACACAGATAGGCCCAAGTACCGACAGCCCACACTGCACCAGCACTTGCACATGCACAACAGAACAGCATATCAATGTATCCGCGCCATAGGAGAGGTCCGAACCGCCGACGCCTGAGACCTGCGGTACGCATGACCCATTCTCGTCGGTATCGACGGAGCAGTCAAAGCGGCTGACAATCTCTGCATGCGGGACATGACGTCTCTCGAAAGGGAAACAGTCTCTCCCTCCTCTTCATACAAAGTACATCGCTCGTCGAGGAGTTCGAGCACTTGGATGTCTGTGGGGTGGACGGTGGTGCTGTATGAGTAGCGGAAGATGGTGATGAATTCGTGCCGGAAGACGCGGACGTCTGAGAACATGAGAGAAGACGATGGTTGGGATACTATAAAGTAAAAGCATTCGAGAAACGGTAAGTTGTCGGTGAATTAAAGGGAAGTAGTTATTGAGGCGTACATTGGACCAAACAGACGTCTCCTTTAATCTGCGCGAACGCAAAGTACGGTTGAGGCGATGTAGGAGTAGATTGTGCGGACATGGCGTATGAAGAAGGTGCATATGCTAGAGTTGCCATTGCACTCGATGGAAGAAGTCCGTTATATATGTGCGGGACAGCAAGGAAGGAGACAAAGGTTAACGTCAAAGGGTCGTAATGATCCGCGCTCGGAAGACGTCTGTGTAGAACCAAAGTGGATACCCGAAGTGCGGTTGAAGGCAGGCGGGAGTACGAGGGCGGGAGGGAGCAGAGTGAGATGCACTTAGAGGGGGCAGCTGGTAGGTCAGGGAGGTGGAGGGCTAGAGTGGTGGAGAGTACTTATAGTGTCGGGAAGAGGTGCTCCTAAGAGCCATGTAAGGGAATCCCATGGGATGGGCCATGCTCTGCCCACGAGGGTCATCCCAAACGCTTCCCGAATCCCAGCTAGCTCCTTCTGCAGCCGTGGCCTTGACCCGTTTGTCAGCTGCGAAATAAATAAAAACGTCGTTTAGCGGCTGCGAAGGAAGCTTCGAACTTCCAAGCGACTTTCCCGGGCTAGAATCTCAGGCTGCCATCACTGTTGCGGTCAGACGGTGTAGAACCCTCTAGACGCCCACTTCTCTCTGCCTGTGCGCGTCTGCTGAGTTTCATCCTTGTTCGCATCTCCATTGAAACCCTTCCGGACTGGTTTCGGTGACTAAACCCGACTCAGTTGAAACCCCAACGTGCGTTGCAGACAGAGAGACCCGAGGGGAAAACAATCACCTCACACACGACCACACCCTCGTCAGCCGGCCTTATCCGTTGCCCTCACAGCATACCTCATACCTCTAGTTATGAAGTTGCTCTTAGCGTTCAAACGTCAACTTGTTCCGGACGATATGACCAAAAGGAACAGGCACAAGATAGAGACGTATTAGCCTCCCTACTAACTTAGTATCCTGCTCGAATCGAGGACGAGACCAGTCTACAGAACGACCTGTGGCGTAACACTCTCCGAGTAGAAGACATTGCCAATATGCGCTTGGCCTCCATAATGATCCTCGAGCAATAATCTTGTGTTCCGAGATCCTGCACTTAGCATCATCGACATCGACAGTCGAGGTAACCATTTGCTGCTAAGCTCGTTATGGATGTCGATCGTACGTGATCGGGCGGGGGAGGAACGTGTTTTCAGTGGACGGCGCAGCTCGTGTGCGATTGATCATGACATGCACGAAGGGGTCCGTGTTCAAGCCGTTCGAGGCCATTGTTTTCGACGTCATTTTTGGTGAGATCGTGCATGTGGGGTCTTGGAATTTCAAACGTTCGAGGATTCGAGGGGTAAAGCGGTACCGGTACTCGAGGAGGTACTGCGCGTGGCACTTGCAGTGTTATACAACGTACAGTAGTAGATCGGTCCCTGTCACTGGCATTCGATCCTTAGAACCCTAGGATCTCTGCAAGGAGACGTGGAGATACTTGATCTACAATACCGTGCCTTTGCGAGTACAGCCTTGAAAGCCAACAACACCCTGGATTTGATTTACAAACATATCGTGTCAAAGAAAACAGAGCACTCGGATATGCATTCAAATACAGTTGACTTTGGCTTGTCGTTCGACATTGACTGCGGCGTGGCTGCGGACTTTCTCCGGCTGTTTCCTATTCTCTCCACGCCCTAAAGTGATCCCGAGAATCCAAGAATACCCAGGCTGAGAACGTGAACGTCCATTGAAACCCTGAGGCCTGAGGCCCTAGAGCCGCTTCGGAAGAGCGTTCAAACCTCTGCTTGGTCGTCTCAGATCGAACGGAGAAGCCGTGACGGAACTGGCGGGCGCCAGTTCCAAGGACTACATTGGCAAGCCGCGAGATAGCTTAATTACATGAGGAAAAGTATGGTAGACGTGAAGAAGTAAATAAGATAGGTATATGAGAAGAAGTATGGTAAGTGTAGAGAAGTAAGTAGAGTAGTTAAATATAAGGGAGAGGTGGGAGGGTAGTCGAAAAACGCTGCGCGAGTATGATAGATCTTCGATAATAATACTCCTGGAGTCGAAAGAGGAAGCATTAGTATCGTCGACGATAACTAATGCATGGAGATGTGATGCACGTACCTGGAGTCGGGACAGGGAGCGTTGCCTGTCGACAGCGCCGACACCAGGTATAAGTAGACAAGCTCGAGCTTGTGTGACGACAGTGGGGAGCTCCAACAGAGGGGAGCTCCGGCCGTTGACAACTGAGTGGCTACGGTGACATCCTCCTAAAGGGCCTCTGCTAGGGCATCGCTAGCACCCAATAGGAGACGTAGTCAGTTGTGAACGAAAAGCGGAGAGGCATGGGTTCGATACCCACGCAGGTAAAACTTATTGCTGAGCCTGTGCAGAGGCTTCCGAAATCGCTCCCTACCCTCGGAATCCGCGATTACTCCAAGGTTGCATTCAAAGCGTGCAGGGTCATTGCTGTCAATTATTGATCCATGAATCACCGGACCCAATCGAAGCTCAACGAAGTTCACATCGCGATATCGTGTGCCCTGATCAAGTTGACAAGAAGTCATCAAGAACTATCGATGTATCAGCAACAAGGGGATGATACAGCATGATACCTAAGCTTTTGAATTGAATTGGAACTTGCCACGATGATGGATGATCATTCTCACCAAACCTCCGCGGGAGTGCCAGTTCTATAGAGTAGGTTTCGAAGTTCGCATACTTAGTAGGTAGATACGGGTCGGATAGAAGAGACCGAATGGTCGGTAAGTAAGGTTCAGGTGTTAGTGTGATTCGTTATACATAATACAGAGACCGGGGGTATCGAGTGTATGACTCGACTGAAGCCAGGTTGCCCGATTCCCCATTGCGTATTTACTATCTGGAAGATACCATTCGGGAGCGTTATTTCTAGACGTTCAAAGGTCCAAAGGTCCAGAATGGACAATGCGCTCGCGAAACCAGTTGACCTCTCACTTTAAGCCAAACGGACCGAAAGCGAGTCTCTAGCCTAAGCCCAGAAGATCCAGAAGACGTTAGAAAATAGACTTAATGGAGTACAACATCGAGCTGGGCTGACCAATAGTCAGATGGCGATTTGTACGCAAGACATCAATCATACAGTCAGGGTACTTACCGTACATAGGAAAAGTAAGAATAGACAAACGCTGCGGCGTATTTTCCGATCCCGAGGGCACAGGAGGAAGTGGACGGGAATAATAAGACTTATGCAAGAGGCGCTTCTTTGACAATGATCGAGGGTCAAGGGTCCGGCGAATCTGTCAGTTGGACTTTTGTTTTGGGAGCGTCCGAGGGTGAGGGGTTGTTCGGATGGAAAGGGCGGGACCAGTCAGCTGGAGGTTCTTGTGTGGTACAAGTGGTGTACAGTGATAATCTGGTGAGTAGAGATCGCGATTTTTCGGCCGAAGAGAAGTGATATGTTCGCATGATCTTCAAAGTTGGAGTCACGAGAGCCCGAGACGTCGCAGGCCAGGTAGCCACTTGGACGAAGAAGTCCTCCATGGTCGTGTGAATGACGAACCAAACGATGAGATCTATGAGAGTCGATTTGCTTCCCCACTGTTTCATGTAGGAAACTAAGCAAAGAACCCAGTCACGAGTGCCAAGCAATATCCCACAGTAGCTTGAGAGTCTGAGACTCACGACTCCTAAAGTCGTCGGTCGGTGGGGTTCTTGTGGGACAATCGGTCAACTCAATCAGAGTTGGCTGCGACGAGAGGCTCTGATTGCTTGGGAAGTGTCAGTTAATCATTTAAGGTGGGGTGGGGAAGGGGAGAAGGTTTAGACTACCGGTTGCTGCGGCTCTCAGCCTAGTAATCGTTCCTGTGAATCATTATGGATGCGCAGCTTCGAAGTCCAGTTAAAGGAAGCGCTGTGGCGAATCGTTGAAAACATCGGAGAGACTGATTTGTTGGATTTTTTGTATCATATTTCGTTGAACTAACATCAAGGATTCAGTGTCCAATCCTCAGTAAAAATCACGAGCGAGAATGACAAGCAACAGGAAAAGAAGACAAGCAACAGAAAGAGAAGACAAACAACAGAAAAAGAAGACAAGCATGGGCCATGTGTCTTTGTTATTTGCCCACGCCCGACTTTCGAAACTTTAGGATTACAGTATTTCTTCAAGAGCGAATCCTGCCAAGGCTCACAAGGAGGCATTGGCGTTCCCAATAGTTCTAAACTCCATTTCGGTAATGGTCAGCATGTTGGACGGGGTTGAAGGATGGACGGGTTCCTTGACTACGTTCAGCCGCAAATGTGACCCCTAATATGCATGTCAAAGTCAGCAAAAGCTCGAAATGGAAGAGATCTCACACATACTGCAAAAGAAAATGCGACAATTGCCCAGCTATAAACTGTGAACATATGCCCTGTCGGGACCAGGAGACGTCACTTACACAAAACAAATTCCAGAAATGATACTTTGTTGGAGCCGAAGGAGCAGCACGTTTGTCAAGGCAACAACTGACATATAGACACACCATTGAGAAAGAACTACTGATCATAGTGACATGTACTCACCAAAAATGAAAGCGAAAGCCCAGATGCCATCTCGAATCAGAATACGTAGTATGGATCGAGTGCCCAAGCGTCGATCGACGCTGGTGTAGAAGCGGTAGCAGGTTAAAATGAACAGGATCGTTTGCATTCCCATCGAGGCCAACCTGTCTACGAGTGAATACACGAATACATAAGAAATGGATCTAAATAGCTTGCCAATTTCCAGTATAGACTATTGGTGCCTTCAAGATGAGACACTCGGATCCAACAGTCATTCTTGGCACAGCGAGGACTGAACAAATGATTGTAGATGACGTCTCAATCGCAAAAGCGATCACAAGTGTAACAAGCAGGGCCCTGTTACGAGCAAATAGAACGTATACTTCCGGACATGTGAGTGCACTGTTGACAAATTCCATATGAATCGAAATGTACTTACTTCGCAGTATGAGTATTGCGTCGACCAACAAAACCACAGATAACAAGGTACAGCCTTGCACCACGAGCCAGCCTGTACACTGTCTGGGTGTGAAACGTTCTGCAACGCTTACGCCGGTGTTCAGTACCATTATCGAACTAAACCGAAGTAGCGTCCCAATTCAGTGGATTGGCGATGCAACAGTGTATAACCGAAAGCGACCAACGCTATGCCAAGGATGGGAAAATGTCGAACATAAAGGTACGCCCATTTGACCCAAGTGTTCCGTGCCCTTTCTTTAAAGTTGAACAAACATCAACTGTCATGTAGTATATTAGACACACCTCCAAATATACTCAATCTTTGAATCATGAAAGACGGCGCATAAGAAAAGACGGAAGTACGAGGCATACGATAAGTGAACCTACCTCATCCGACAAGTTGATCAGCATGTCCCAGAACAAGAACGCCAAAGCCGCAACTGCCGTCGTGCCCGATGTCTTGTAGATGTCCACAAACCATGTCGAGTGACTCACCATTAGATCTGCTGATCGCCATTGCGGCAGATTCTTGCATATCCGCGCCAAATCAATATGAATATGAACGGTGTGAATGGTGGCGAAGTCGAAGGATGCTGATATATGGTACCCGTGTGAGTGACAGAGGATGGACAGTGGGCAGTCCGAAAAGCATGGATACTTATTGCGTTCAGTTGCGAAGAACCTTAACAAATGTCAAGTCAAGGGCCCCTGCCACACTGTCCGACCGGCAATGGGTTACATGACGCTTCACCGTATTTCCTGTCATTGTGAAGACTCCTGCCTAACGTGAATCAGATTCTTCACCAGGGCTCTGTTACGACGTGGGATATCATGCTGTTTGACTGAGTTAGATCCGACAGGTATAAGTAAAGGAGAGCGTACAATTCCCACCAAGATGATGTCGGAGACTTGACGCAATCTGATTCACTCAGAAGAGTCTTCCGTATCTTTACACCGGAGACTGGTTCCCGTCTTTTCCCCATATTAAAATAGACGGGTGCTGAGTTCAACGTCTGTCAATGTATACAATGATGCGATGAAGTCCACTCACGAGTGAAAATGCCCTCCATGCTCCCCATCCAGCGGTAAGGTGTATACGCATCTAGGGATTCCGTGACTGACCCTACCTGGGCATTCTTCAAATACAATTTTCATGGCAAACATGAGCATGTCTGCCTTCTAGGAAGGGTCCGTGCGGACAGGACGACATTTTGGCACGATGTCAATGTTTCTGTCCGGAGACAGATTTAAACTGTGCAGGGTGAGCTGACCAATCAGTGTCCGGAAACGTAAGCATCCATCAAAAGTCTGTCCTGGGACAGACATGGTGCCAAAATGTTCGTCCGAGTCGCTCTACATCGCACCTGTACCAACCACAGAAAGTTTCTTGCATCCCATGTTCATCTCTGCCAGATGACCGCAATTAGATTAGAACATGTCGACTTTCTATGACTTCGAGATACCGGTTCAATGTACTGTATGGATACGTTACTCTCAAGCGGCAACTTCAGGGAAAAGTAAACCTTCGTGAGCCAGGAATCTACGAAATTTTCCTCCGAATGTCTGTGATTCACGGTGAAGTTGGGTCCCATGATTCCTTGAACAAGGTAAACAAGGGCGTTGTCTCGTTGATTTCATAATAATAATATAGTTACTTCGCGACCAACTCGTTCGTACATGTCTCTCCAAAGAACACCCCTCAGACGACATCATGGATCCTTCAAGCAGCAGAAACCAAAAAAACAGACGTGCTCCCGTATGTACTCATTGTATGGTCAATTCAAAACTCAGAAATGCTGAAATATCCGAAATACTGAAAGAAGCTCCTTGAAGCGGGTCCGTACGGAGAAGGACGAGTGTCTAAGAGGTTCTCAGCATGACCGACGAGACGCCTCGTATGTCTTTTTGTTAATTGCAAGTTGCGGTACTACGGTATTCAAGATGCGTCTCAGACTCCCTTCAGTCGCCACACACCGACCTCTCAAGAGATGTTGAGATGAGAATGGACAAAATTCTGACTCCACGTTTGTTGCTAAGTACTTTCCCCAAGGGTATATGCTCGCCTGCCTTTATAGAAATGCACACTTGACGCTAGAATCGAATCGGTCTGCTTCCGTTGAAGATCAACCCTCGTACGTGGTCAGATCTCTTTGGTTGCATTCGCAGATATAGAAGCTGAACGTTGTCCATAGAAGTGCCGACTTTGAATGTCATGATCGTAAACCGGTCAAGCGTCCTCACGCCGATGAAGGCGCCTCCTCAGACAACTCAGACGACGATAGTCAGTTCCTTTCCCGTTTATGAGCCATGATATTGACTGACGTTCCCGTTGCACAGTTGTAACGAAGACTCTACTGTTGCCAATGGAGCTGCATGATCTCATTCTCGAGCAACTTGGCAGCCTGAAAATATCGAGCGTAACCACTATGACACTCTGTGGGCTTGTGCCCATACCTGCTCGAGATGACGTCGTGCGGCCTGACCTCATATTTTTTGCTATGTTTTGATACAGAGCGAGGAAAGTCTCCGCAGACTCGCTGAGCTTGTCCGTGTCGATCCAAACATCGCCAATTGGATACACAAAGTACGCATAGATGTGTATCCTCAGCCTCCGGATGATGCAGATTTGTCAGATTTGTCAGATGAGGAGGATATGGAAGACTACGAAGGTCGTTGGATATATCAATTTCCCTCCGTCCTCGGTGTCACCCCACCTAATGTCAGAATCCTGGACTCTTTCAATTTGCGCCTATCTATAATATCGTTCGCGAGGACCTCGAAGATTTCGCCCGCTGAATTCCTCACTTGGCAGAACTAAAATCGGTCGAGCATCTAAACCTGTGGCGTTGTCAAATGAGCACAAATACTATGACTGCTGTGGTCCGTGCTCTTCCGAGCCTGACAAAGGTTCTCTTCGTCGAATGCGACTTCTACTCACCGGAAAGAGCACTACTATGTGATCTGTCCTCAGAGTGTCCATCTCCTGCCCCACTTGCTCGCTCGGCTTTGGCACTGGAAGCGGCACCTACTTCAGAAATCGTGATAACGTCTCATCCTGGCGAAGCGTCACCGACGTCACATGCGGCTACCAATCGTTCTTCTCGTGACGACCATGATGCACCAGTGTTCTACCCCTTGATTCATCCCCCGCCAACGCTGCAATCGTTTGTCGTAGGCAAGGGTGAATCATACCTCCGATTCATCGACTTTACAATATTTCGCGGCTGGCTCGATCCTGACGTGTTACCCTCAAGCCTCAGGTCAACGCTTGTCGGTAGTGACGTCGATCATGAATTGCTATGCAGGTTTATTGCCGGCCTTGGCCCATCGTTTGTATTGGAGTATTTGAAGATATCTCTTGGGAATAATCTTGAAGAAGGTGAGGCTTCCTAAAGGTACATTGGGTGTTTATACTCAGTTCTCTCTTCTAGTTGTCCGGATCGGAAAGGACATCTCTAATCTACGTAACCTCAAGACTCTGCGAATATCCGTCCCACAGCTTGATCATGATCAATGCGACATCGTTCAACGGTTTCTCACCTTTCTTGATGCGTCCGGTCTACAAAGCATGACGGTTATCCTGACGGAACAGGAACCTGTCAAAGATACAAGAATGATAGACGAATATCTCGCTGGCGACAAGTTTAAGGATCTTCATGAGTTCCGCATCGAGACCGTCGAAAATACGACATATAACTCATGGAAGCTCGTAGAAGATGCGGTGCAGGCACTGTTTTTCCGTTGATGGCCAAGAAACCAGTCTTCCGCCTCGATTCGTTCAAATTAATGTATCCACGTAGGGCGTATTCCTGAGTTTCTCTCATTTCGGCACCTCTGAGTCTCGACCCATCGGTTGTTGATGATACATAAATACATCCAATATTCCAGTGTATAATACACAGTACAAGTAGGGTATATACTAATCACGATGCGGAATCCATTCTCGCTAGCTGTTCTACTAAGTCGTCCATTACAGAGGTTGAATGATTATGACCTTGCGCACTCGGTGCATTGCCGCTATTCGAAATTTCTGTGCCTGAACCTGGACGCAAGTCTACCGAAAACCTTTTCGTTGGGACAAGTGGGGCACCCTGTGGCTCGAAACCTGGTGCAATACGTCGCAAAGCCTCGCGCTTCCGTCGTTCTTTCTCTTCTTCACGAGCCTTCAGATATGCCTCCCTGCGTGCTGCGTGTGCAGCAAGAGTTGTTCGTCTCGAAGATTCTAATGTTAGGATATGGGGTTCCAGCGTGAAGGGATAGACGAACTAGTCAAAAACATAAGCAGCAAGGCAAAGCGGCAAAATGGTAACATGACATACATATGCTGTCACTGAATCGGGGAGTGGATGAATATCGGGTGGGAGCTCGACCTGGTACCATATAAACATGAGATCGCGCCTTCTCGCCTAGTCCTGTAGTGCGAATTTCAGGCTTACAGGTGGAGGTACCCTTATGCTAGGCGACTTGATGAGTGGTGCTCGTGCAGCGGCAGCATACTGTAATTGTCCTATTGAATATATATGATTCAGATACAACCCTTCCTCCACTACCACCCACAGTTCCTACCTTGATTTGACATGAGTATGTATTATGAGGGTGTAATGAACGTAAGTAGGTAACCTATAGTAGTAACCACTGACAAGTCAGTGACCATGTTCAGTAGTAATGAATTGCGACCCCGGTCACCGCTGTGATGCAATTAATGAGACAAGAAACCATTTACACAGTATTTCAAGAAACGTGCAAGATCATTTGCTTTATACCTTAACCTCTTCATCTCTGTTCCAGTACTGAAGAGTTTATCACTACTACAGAGTGCCAATATAGGGCGTTCTCGATCAACCCCTCCTGAAATACTAGTATTGTGTGGACCGGCAGTCTTGGGACGAGCAAGTTAGACCGGTCATCTCATTAATTTCTTGCTTTCTTCTACATTGCCTACGATGGCGAAGGGGAAGTCTTCTGCGACGTCTGCAACTCGCAAGAAACACGCTCGAAAGGCCGTATCTGGAGCACCGGAGGAGGTTGTTTTTCCAAAGGAAAAGAAACCCAAAAGCAAGGAGAAAGGTTCAAAGAAGAATAAAGAGCCACGGAAGAAGGTATACATTCCACCAGTGAAGCCCGCTCCCGTACAACCCGATCCATTGGATATCCTTGGAATCGCGCAGAGAATACCTCCGGAGTTACTGGTGGTACTCAGGAGGTTAGCCAAGAAAGACTCGATCACTAAGCGGAGGGCTCTGGAAGAGTTACAGGCTAATTGGCTTGAGAAAGCAAGAACGGATAATGTTGTCGTTCAAGCTCTTGTCGAAGTTCTGCCCGTGTGGGTACGTCCGGGGAGTTTCATTATCTGCTCTGCGCTCACTGGTTTTCATTCTAGTTTCACCATGTCCCCTCCTTATTCTTACACCCATCAAGACGTATCCGTCTCTTAGCAGTGGGTTTACATGCTTCGTTACTCAGCTGTCCCAGTCCTATACCCGATCAGCTCCTTTTCTTCCTTCAAGAGGTCGCCGATGCTGACCAGGCTGAATATATTCTTGGGTCATGGCGTATGGCAGCTCACGATGTCGATCGTCAAGTCTCCGCTTACGCTCGTCAATCATGGGACAGGTTTCTGTCGGTTTCTCTTGCGCCGTCAGTCAGTCCCAAGCCTGCTGATGAAGCATACATCGAGTCAGCGAAGCAGTTGAAGCTTCTGCTCGACGCTGCCTCATTCGCTCGTATTGTTGGGTTCATTCAGCGTGTTCTACTCGATCCCGGTGGTGTCTATCTTTATGTCAATCCTCCTCAGCCCGCTCCTCAGCTGCCGACTGTCCAGCGTGGTAAAGGCGGGAAGTCTGCTCAACCTGTGCGGAAAGATGCTGAACCCGTTTCTCGCGCGAAACCTGATGAAGAGGAAGAAAAGGTAGATGATCGCAATGCAAGATTAAGAATCGGTGCCTTTGGCGCAGCCGAGTGGATTCTGAGTGCGTCAGCCAGGACAGATCCATCTTATAAACATATTTATGGATTATATTCTCTTGCAGCAACATACTCGCAGTCACTCCGTGACGAGAAGGAAATATCCAAGTTCCTGTCGTTGTTTGACAATGCAGCTTTGTGGACGTCTTTATACTATGGCGAAATGGCGCCATTTGTACCAGAGATAGTTGCATTTGGGTGGAACCAACCGGGGGTACGCAGATCTGCGTGGTCCTTCCTGCAGACTCTTCTTCGTACCTTCAAAAGTAAGTTCGAGAGAAAGACTGGTATCCACAATTCTCATCATGCAATGCATCGCTAGGTCATTTGGAACCACTTCTGCCAGCCATCAGCACAGCGGTCTTGCGATCCGCTTGGGTTGAACCCGACGTTTCAACACGGAATGCTATGTGGGCTCCTCTGCTGACGTTTTTGAAAGGTACATCATTTGCGGGTTTCTGACTACATGTGTCCAACTGACAGCCACGACGCAGAACACCCGAATGCTTGGGACCTTGAACTCTCTTCCAATAGCGAAGGAGACGAAGATGAAGAGAACGAAGACAGCGAGGGGGAAAATGACACTCCGAAACCTCAAGCCACAACCTCTACATCTCCAGTCTCGCATGCGTTCCAGGAGTTCCTGGGGTTCCTTGAACTTGGATGCTCCGGATCACCGTTGCAAGGATATCCAGCTATCATCATCATCCTATCCACAATATCACCCGCTGTATGTATCTTACCATCGGTATTAATTGAGACCTATACAAACGTGACATTCGTAGATTTTTGCCACGGTCCAAGAACCCCTTCAAACCTTATTCATATCCTTTTGGGCTGCAGTAGACGGCCGCGCGCTAAGTGGACTGGATCGTGTTGCTGCATCCTCTGCGTTCCTGTCTTCTCTGCTCGAAAGCGCAGTTTTTATGGTGAGACGATTAGGAAACGGACAATTTGCTCAGGTCCTCGCGCACGACGACCCAAAGATTGCTGCAAGGGTGCTGGTTGAGGAGCAGATAAGCCGAGTGTGGGAGGAAGTGTCATCTGGACGACTGAAAGTGCAAGACGAGACTGCCTCGAGGACGTTGGCGAAGACGTTGCTCTCACTGAAGCAAGTTGATGATTGTATGTCGCTCAGTGTCCATCATAATTATAAGAAAGCAGGATTGATCATTCTAATCCAAAATCAGACTATTTTGCCGCTGCTTGGGACAAGCTCGCTGCCCTCATCAGGGCCGAACTTAAGACGCCGGGTCCGTCCATACCGTCCCTTGTCCCCAGTAGTCTCAAGATATTCCGGGAGGAGCTCAAGGCTGGCCCCAATGTCAATGGGTTGATCAACGAAATCGTACATTCGGCAATATCACAACTAGAGCAAGTATTAGAGCAAGACAGCAAAACGCCTGCACAACCGGAACGTTTAACATCTCTGATCGCTATCCTCGATACCTTTGGCGAGGAGTTATTCCAGGATAGCGAGCTTGCTAAGGTACGTGTAACACCGGGTATATCGGTATACAAAACATCTAAGAACATGATATTCGTAGGCTGTAGACGAGGCCATCCTTCAGCACATTTCACTCATCCTATCGCTCTCTCTACCTCTCATTCTCGTCTATCTTTCCAACCGCAAAGACGAGGCTCTCATGCAGAACGTTTGGCATACTGCTCTTCAAGCCATCGCTGAATCCGATTCACTTGTCAATTCACTCTCACCTCTGCTGGATGCAGCGGAGAAGAATGCGCTACCTGCATCCCTCAAACCATCGGGCGACGAGTTAGATGGTGCCGTTGGTCAACTGGTCGCACGTTGCCTAACGAACGACAGTCAGACGCCAGCAACAGAGCTGTCAGTTCTCAAACGCTTACTCATACATCCTGGTAGGTTACTTTCATTTCCGTTGGTCACTGAATATAGTTAATTATGTATGTCAGGGCACTTTATATCGAAGAAATGTTACGACGGTCTCATCTCGAGTCTCGGTGAAACGTTTTCTGCTCACTCGCAGAATGCACTTCACGATGAGGGTATTCCGTTGTCTACATTCTCAACACCGCTCAAACTACTTCAAACTGTTTCGAGTACTGAGCTCTCGATGTCCCTGTTACCTGATATTTTCTTATTCGCTTTCGTTGTTCCCGAGTTTCGCGAGATTGATCCATCACAAGAACCGACTGCGGAAGAGTTGTGGTCGTCCTGGAACTCACAGGCGAGTGAAGACAACAAACACGATGTCAGAGCGATTGTGAAGCAACACCTCCGTGACCTGTTGTTGGATTGCACTGCGCTAGCAACGTAGGTGTCGCTGTATCCTCATTGGGTTCATGCTAACAGAGAATTTCATAGGCCCCTGCACCTGTTACATGTCCTTTCGTCACGCAGGGACGAGCTGAACGTAGGCGATTTCGAGGAAATCTTTCCCAGCAAGAAAGAACTCGATGCCATGCTCGATATTCTCCCACCGAATCCTGTGGATGTTTCTTTGGCTGTGATTGACCCTCTAGTACCAACTGCGATTGAGGACGACAATGACAATGAAGTCAGCGAGGCCGTCGTCGACCGGTCAGGATACTCCTCTTACGCAAGAGTAGTCACTGCACTGCTTCACTACTTCTCCGACGAGAGACAATTGGCCAAGGAGAATGTTTGGGCACTCAGACATTTCCTAGCGTTTGCTCAGTATGCAGATGAGAAGCTACAGTTTCCTGAGGCGGAAAGCTCTCTCTTCGGCAGGGCTGTTTCCCCCACCGCGTTACAAGATTTGACAGCTAAAGTCGACCAAATTACTGCCTATGTATTGTCGTCTGTTCCGGATGAAAGCTGGTTCTCCCCAATAATATCGTCTCTTCTCAATGGCCAACCGCCTTCCAGCGGAATAGGGCGACTACTGTACGACCTTGTGTATGACTCGGCGGGTCGTGACACAGTTCGAGAATCCCGTGTGCTGCATTCCGTCTTACAACACATTCTGACAAGTGCGACCAAAGCCGAAGCTGACCAGATGATCATGCTTGCAAGAAAGATCGAGAACAAAGGTTAGATATTTGTATGCTTTGGTGTCTGTTGCCTCACTAACGCATGTCTTGAAGCTCCTCACGCAGCGCTGGCCATCATCCTATCGATCACGCAATCTGCGCTTGAGCCTCCACGGTTAGATAGATACAGAAACGAGCTTGCTGCAGGCCTTCTCGGAATACCTGCTTCAAAGGCTAACGTCGAAGGTCTTTGGTCTCTACGCCGATTATTTGCTACAGCGCCAGATCCCGAGTCCGACATCGTGTTCCTGTCAACTCCTAGGGCCGTAAACCTGATGAGGGCCTGCCAACAATGGATCACATCTGATGAAGACATAGCTGAAGCGGTAGAGAGTGAAATGACTCTCATCTTCATACACCTTGCACCGATCTTGCAAAACATACCGGGTTCTCACTGGGACTTTATCTTTGATGTTTTAGAGAACAATCTAGAGGTGAGTACTTGATTTCATGTACAATTGTGATTTCGCTCACCTCGCGGTGTAGAATTGCTCCTTTGATGATTCAAGTACTTTGGCGACCTTGTCACGAAGCCTTCGGTTGCTCCTTACAATCCAAGATTTGGCATCAACTAATAAATCACTACGTACATTATGGCAAGGGAGACAGAATACTATTCTGACATTGGTTCGAGACCTGGTCGCAACCAAGCCTGGTCTGTTGTATTCACCCCGCTTGTATGCTATTTTTATTCTGACTGTCTGACAGGGACAACCACCTCTTCGGGCCCACTCTCTGTATGCCGCGAATTGGCTTTGACTATTGTGCAGAATCTCCCGTCGGCGTTGATTGACCAGGATACATTGCCGAAGGTGCGGTCACATTTCTTTTCTACCACACGAGCAGAGATTGACTGAGAAATGGATCAGATGTGCCATCTTGTGACTGACTCTTCCGTGAATGTTCAGATAATGGCCTACCACATGCTTCGTGAAGCTGCTACTAAGCGAACGGAATATGTCGTAGTAGAGGCAGCTGTGGATACTGAAATCGAGTTCAAAGCTGAGTTGCCGCTGGAGTTGATTGATTTGCTACAGCGCAGTCTCGTCCAAGAAGAGGAATCACAAGATCACCATAACATTATGGCAAGCCTGTTATCGTGGATGCTGACTTTTGACCTCTTCGATAATGCGGTAAGTCGCGTTGTAAATCCAAGTTATCTCAAATCTGAGACGCATACCATTAGTCGTTGAAAGTGAAGTCTGGATATATCGACCATCTTCGTCAGCTGGATCTTATCTCTGGACATTTCTTACCCGAAGTCTTCAGTATACTTGGACTATATGAAGGCGCGGCGAAGGCATTCAAACTGGACATATGGGCTGTCGATGAGTTCTATCTGGACTGTAAGTCATAGCACACGCGCTTTAGTTCACTGACTTGAGCTGACCGCCATCAAGTGTACAGCTCGCAGTCGGCGACTAGCCTATCGCTACTCGCAGCGCATCTCTACTATCGTGCGCTCAAAGTAGTACCCTCACTTTTCCGAAGCTGGCTCCTTGACTGCCGCGATCGTCAATTATCAGCTGCCGTTACGACCTATACCTCGACATACTTCTCACCAGCCCTGATTCGCGCCGAGTTGGTTCACGTCAAGGACACATCTGCTGCGGCTGATTTGACAGATGAAAATCTCACTGTAAAAGTTGCCAGTGCGGTGAACGAGGTTACAGCGTCATATGCAGTCGATGAATATCAGTTGGAACTCAAGCTCAAACTTCCTGTGGATTGGCCACTGCATAATATCGAAGTCAAAGACACGGCTCGCGTAGGCGTTACCGAAGATCGATGGCGAGCATGGATTCTTGGTGTACAGCAGATTCTTTCTTTCCGGGTACGTCCCTTGTGTAGACGAAGAAAAAAGAAAAAAAAAACTTATCTTGACCGTTACACAGAGCGGGAGTATCATTGACGGCATCAGCTTCTTCAAGAAGAATGTTACTTCTCACTTCGAGGGCCAATCAGAATGTGCAATTTGCTACTCGTAAGTACTGGTGCTGGATTTCTTGTTCAAGTTGTCTCACTCATTGGCGTACAGTGTTATCAGCGCTATGGACGGCAGTCTCCCTAAGAAGCCTTGCAAGACATGCAAAAATCGGTTCCATGCTGGGTGCCTATACAAGGTAAGATGTCTTAAAGATAGATCGCTGTCCCAGTACTCAACTTTTTCATATGCAGTGGTTCAGCTCAAGCCATTCGCCTACCTGTCCTCTATGCCGTTCAGAAATCATGTGAACTGTTCATCACCGGACTTGGCCTCCTGCATCGGTACATTACCATTCATGTTGTATAATATAGCAAGCTTCTCTAGACAGCGCATGTCGTGTATATTGATAGTATCAAGTTACGACTTCTGTCTTCTCCCCGTTAGCCTTCTCTACGTCCTCAATAGTGGCGATGGCTTTTCGTCGAAGAGATATGAGCTCTGCAGGTGCTTTGAATACTGTGGAGAGCTCGAATTTCTTGTCGCAGGCTGCGCGGAACTCTCCTACTCTTGCCGATCGGATCGACCTCAGGAAGGCGACAACGTCGAGAGCAGCCTGTTTCAAATGATGAGTGAATGGATTCCTGAACAAGGAATTAATTGGGTTGTACCTCAATATCTACTTGCACCTCAGGATTGAAAATATTGAAGATAGTATTGTCGATCTCCTCGGCAGGCGTGGCACCTAATAGATGCAAGACCTTTGCTGACGCGAGAATAGAACGAGCTGATGTCGAATGCTGCTGCAAATACTGCGAGTTGTAAGTTTCGAGGGACACCTCGGGAGAGAGTAGTTTGTCCAGTGCTTCTGCCAATACAGGTCCGATGGGTTCAGGTGGAGGTTGTGGTAGCGACAAAACTGTGGGGAAAATGAGTGAATAGAAGTTATACTAAGATACGGCAATACAAACCTATGTGTCGCAGGTGCACTAGTCGGACATGCAGCTCTGAGTTCTCAGGGTCTAACGAGTGAACACGGTTCAGAGCCCGGACTGCTTGCAGGAACTTTTCTGTTCAGATTGGACCCAAAAGTCAGCACGAAGTCTGAGATGGGAGTTTTCGTACTCACTCCGTCGTACAGCGACATCATAAATCGCTATCCAAGCCTCCACATCATCCAGCTCAAGAATCGCCAGCGGGCTGAGGAACTTCCACGCGCGGTCCAGTGGGTCAGTCGACTTCAATAGCTTGGAACCATCAGGATCATCATCTTTAGCTGGTCCGGGTTCCAAACCTTTGTCTTCAGTCGCGCTAGTTTGAGGATGGCCTGGAGCAAGGATAGGGTCAGCATCCGGGATGAAGGTATGGATGAAGGCGAGCTAACCTTTCTTTGCCTCCTCTTGCACCTTTTGAGCAGCTTTCTTCGCCTTTTTCTTCGCCTTCTTCTCAGCGTCAGTCAAGTTGTCTGAGCAATAAAATAGTTAAACAGAGGTCACGACAAGCAAATGAGAAATTAGAAGTACCAGCTGAAGACTTTGTAGCTATTGATGGATCATCGTGCAGCCTGACGTATATCTAGAGTGACACACATGTTGGTGAATTTATTGAGCCAGTGAAGGGAGTTTCTATATCTCGCACCTGCGAAGCTGCAATGGCAGACTGCACGTAAGCGACATGAGATCGCAATCTGTCAGCCCAAGGAATCATCCTATGGTTGAGATCAGCACTACAGCAACTCAGGAAACATAGGTCCGGCGTACTCCAGGTAAACATTGATGGTGAACCTGCGTAGGGAATATCCGTGGAAGTCGTATTGGTCATCCTCAACTTCGTTGAAAACCTAAAAATAAAGGTTAATAACACCGAATCAAGTACGATGGCATGCTAATAACCTTTTGAACACTGTGGTATCTCTTCAGAGCCATACCCAAGTTCCCATTCCGATGATGACATGAAGCATCTTCAGTGAGGAACAGTAGGGATTGCATATCTTCAAGGTCCGCCCCAGGACTAGACGCATCTTTCTAGGCACGTTCCGCAAAGATAATTGTCTCGTAATTAGCCCAGAATCGCAGATAAAGAAGCTCATAAAGGGAACATACTTTAGTGAAAAGCCCGAGCACTTCCTGAGCTTCCTCCTCCATACCCGCTCGTAGCCTGTATTTCCCAACTTTCGTATTCAAGAATCGATCTTGCAAATCTAAGAGCCTAGCTTCGTCCATGCATCGTGCAGCACCAAAAGGATCTCCAAGCCTCTTAAGCACTCGTGCTCTGAACATGAATAATTCAGGCAAAGTTGGAGTGTGCTTGAGTGCTGTCTCAAGCAGTGCCAATGAATTGATATGTTGGCCAATGAATGAATAATGCTGAGCGAGGAAGTAGAGAGTCCAGAGGTACGTCGTTGGAGGTTCGGATTCGGATGATGGAGAGGGAGGGGACGGGGAGGACAGCCTTTCGCGATGAGATTCGACAATGCCCTGGATTGATTCCTGCTTGGAGGGTTCTTTGTAGAGCGCTTTGATATCAGTGAAGAGGGACGGAATACCCTTCTCAAGTGCGGAAATGAGATACGCTTCTGCGAGTTGCTTGAACTCGTCCCCTGATGCCTGTGAATAATAGCCATGTATTTAAATGATAAGGCAACTTACCTGTCGCAACACCAAGCGCCAGTCGGCGAGGTGCAGCGGCTCGTGGAAGCTGTGTTGAGAACTCGCGAAGGATTTGCAGCGCTTTGTCACGAGTCTCTTCAGTCACCTGAACTGTGCGGAGGTTTGAACCACTGAGTTGACAAGATATTCTTGGAAGAAACTTACAAAGATCCAATCCCTGGTTTGAGAAATAGCCCTTGAAATAATCGTAGTTGTCCGGGTTCTGCTGGATGAGGGCTTGCCATGTGTGCTCAGCATCCTCGACATTCTTCATCTTCGACAATATTCGAGCTGGATGAATTGTTAGCGTCACTGTGTCGCTCTGGACGGGGGGTTCTACCTCTGTATTCCATTATAGCAGTGCGGTCTATGATAGCTCTAGATTTCGCGTTCACATCCAGTAGGTTGAGTGCTTCGGCGAGCTCTCCGAGCTCTTCCAGGACCCGGACATGGTACAAAAGAACCTCGGAGTGTTCTACGTCGTAATCTGGAACGTTCTGTATATGCATGGGGCAATGTCCTAATTTGTCTTGCAAACAACACATACCTTCAGGGTTCGTTCATAGTGCTCTACGACTTTCTTAGTCTCTGTTAGGTTACCGTTTAGATGATATGCAACCGCGAGTCCGATCCAATTTTGCCGAAGGTTAGGTCTAAGACGCAACAGGGTATGTCGAGTCTCTACAAGACCGTCAAAGTGGCGAAGTTGAGTTTGAAGATGAGCAGCGTCCCGTAGAATATTCAAATTTTCCTATTAGAAGATGACTATGTGTTGGCAAGGGTACGATCATCATTTGTGTGCGCATACCTTGTCGAATCGCAAGGCCTGAGTATACGACTTGAGAGCTTCCTCATAGTTCTTTTCGCCCTTCTGTATCAGACCGAAGACGTGCCAGCAGATATGGGAAGTCAGGTCCAGACGAACGCCTTTCTTTACGAGTTCAAGGCCTTCTTCTCGGCGACCCATGTGGGTCAAAATCAGACCCTTCATACAAAGAGTCTCTGACACATAATCACTAAGGATATTGACAACATTTGAAGAACGTCAGCTACCTCCATGTTCAGGATACTTCTTGAGGATCAAGTCCGCTGTTTTGAGACCTTTCTTGAGTTGCTTCGACTCGTATAAGTTGAGAACCTCTTTGAAAAGCGAAGACTCTTTGGGGGGCAGAGCCCTTTTTGCAGGAATGCCTGATGGAGGCATGTTAAAAGCACCGTTCCTCGGGAAGAAAGAGACTGTCAGCGAGGTATACAAGTCAAATGTAACGCCCGCCCCCACAAATGAGTGTCGTCACGTGCGTGACATGTCGCGTGACATACGTGACCTAATCACGTGGTCGTGATTGGCCTTGCGCGCGAAACGCGCACACTTCTTCAGATCCACATTCTCCCTCCTACCTCTTGGTCTCCTCCTCTTATACAGCCCAAATGAACCGAAACTTCTGACGTTTATTAGCCTTTACCTCATAACTATTGACAAACAATTCACTATGGTGGCCCAGACCAGGACCGGTGGGCAGGCATCGCCCAAGAAACTCCAATTCCGGGAGAAGCTTGTCGGAAAGGGACTGTCTACAGATGCTCTTCAAAAGAAACTAAAAGCTCTTCACAAAGAGCTCTCTGAGATGGACCAGGAACACGTCGATACCAAGTCCCTCTCATCGGTACGCAAGGAACTCATCAACAACTCAATCCTACACCATAAAGATCGCGGCGTGAAAGCTTATGCTGCATGTTGTCTTGCCGACCTCCTCAGACTCTATGCACCAGATGCACCATATACCCAACCAGAGTTGCGCGATATTTTCGAATTCTTCTTCAGGCAGCTCTCGACTGGCCTCAAAGGATCTGACTCACCGTACTACAACGAATACTTTCACCTCCTAGAGTCTCTGTCCACCGTAAAGAGCGTCGTCCTTGTTTGCGACCTGCCCTCTGCAGACACACTCATGCCTGAGATCTTTCGGAACATCTTTGGTATCGTGCGACATGATCTGGCAAGAAAGATCGAGATCTTCATGGCGGACATCCTTATTGCTCTGATCGACGAAAGCCAGAGCCTGCCTGATGATGTGCTAAGCTGTCTCATGTCTCAGTTTATGGAGAAGAATGCTGTACGTCTCTTGTTTGTTATATTGTCTATTAATACTCTCTGGAAATTCTGAACACAATGCTCTAGGGTATGGATCAGCCAGCATATAGACTCGCTGTTAGTGTCTGTCGGGAAACAACAGACAAACTTCAACGGCATGTCTGCCAATACTTCACGGACCTTATCGTGTCACACTCCGAAAACGAAGACTACGAGCAAATTGAGAAGGCACACGAACTCATAAAACAGCTCAATCGCTCAGTTCCTGCCTTACTGCATAATGTTGTCCCGCAATTGGAAGAGGAGCTCCGTGTGGAGGATACGCAGTTGCGCATTATGGCCACCCAAGTACTCGGTGAGATGTTCTCAGACAAGGGTGGTGCAGATTTTGTGAAAAAGTATCCTACAACGTGGAATTTCTGGCTACATCGGAAGAACGACAAAGCTTCTCTGGTCAGATTGGCATTCGTTGAGGCTGTCAAGGGAGTTCTAATCAATTTGCCTGACATGCGCGAGCCAATAGAAGGTACTTTATGAATTTATTCAGTCAATATTATGGACTAACGTCATTCATGACAGATGCACTAGGCGCAAAGCTGCTAGACCCCGACGAGAAGGTCAGAGCAGCTGTCTGCAAGCTCTACTCCCAGTTGGACTATGAAACGGCGTTACATCACGTCTCTGCCGAACAGCTCAAAGCCGTTGCAGGTCGTGGACTTGACAAGAAGGTATTTAGGTCCTCCCAATAGCTCGGGACATGAAATCCTAATGCAAATCCAGCGTTCGGTCCAGGTCGAAGCCATGGCAGCTGTCGGCCGCTTATATAGCATTGCATATCCTGAGATGTAAGTTATTGAATCTGTTCTGCCTATCTAATGTCAATAATCTTGTCTCTAGTGAGAATAACGACCCAGCTGCAATCCAACACTTCGCATGGATACCTCAGGCAGTCCTACATAACGCCATGGCAACACCGGAAGTCAAGTTCGTACTTCCATCTCGACTGTCAATGCATACAACTGACATGAACTAGAGCTATTGCAGAACAAGTCTTGGATGAGTATATTCTGCCCCTCCCACAACTGGCTTCGGCGGATGAAGTGGCGTGGACGGACAAGCTCTTGTTCATCATGAAGTTCCTTGATGAGAACGCGATCAACATTTTGCTAGCTCTATCTGGTATAAAGACATCGTAAGTTTGCGTTGACCCAGGGTCTGGACGGTATTGACTCTCAGTTGAAGCCGACCAACGCCCTACGAACGATTCCTCCAATGCTGCATAGAGAACAATGTAAGCGCATGGCAGACACATCTTTGATTTGAAGCTGACGCAAGGTCAGGGTGGCGTCATTGACGAAAATGAAGAGACGATTACCGCAAATCTCAATGCGAGTATCAAGAAGCTTGCAGGTTACCTCGTTTCACTTACCAAATTCGCCACCTGCTGATGTTGTCATCGTACAGCAACCTTCCCAGATGCTCACAAAGCATCGGACGACTTCCAGACGTTTGCCAAAGCCAATGAGAACCGTCTTTATAAGCTGCTTAAGATCTGCATGGATCCACAGACGGAGCTCAAGACGCTGATCAAGTCTTTCGTATGTCCTTTGATTCCGCTAAATGCTTGTATGACGGCTTCCTCACGAAGCGCGTGATATGCAGCTCAAGTCAATCTGCATCCGCTAACATGTTTCCCGTTTCTCCCTCTCTTTGCTAGAATGAATTCCTCCGCCGGGTCGAGCAATCCCATTCCAGCATTCTCTCTACCATGACTCTCTTCCTCCGCCGTTCTTCTCTGCGAATCGTAAACACCTCTTCAATACCCACCCTAATCAAACGTGTACACAAAGGTTCAGATGGAAACGGGGCTGCACATTCACAGCATTCTCATGTAGCCCATAACGCACAAACCTGGTTGACATTCATTTCGAAGCATTACCCCGCATTGTACAAGTTGCATATCGGGGAGTTATCGAAGGGGATTTCGGATGAGAAGAATGCAAGACTGGTGGAGGTCTGCTTGCAAGCGATGGCTGCTGTTTCGGCATGGGATGAGAAACTCGCGCCTGCTGATAAGTAAATATCTTTCGTTCCATGGCTGTCGAAGTCGAGCTGATGTTTCTATTCCAACTGACAGGAAAACCACGGAACGGTTGATGCGTTTCGTCATGGGTTCAAACCACCGGCATGCCAAGTTCTCTGCGCGGCTTCTGGCTTTGTCCAAGAACCATGAAGAGGTGTGTGCGGAGGTTGTCGAGGTAAGGACAAAAGGATGCTTCTGAGATGGTAGTCTAATTCACATCCGTCTTTCAGTCTATCGCAGAATCCTTGCCTGAGGCGGATGCAGACCAGCGTGTCGCGCATATTGCCGTGTTATCGCAGTTGGCGTTAAGAGCACCCGACGCGTTCGAGCTGCAAAGCGATGTGATTACAGCATTCCTGCTAAAGAAAGTCTTGATGGCGGGTAACGCTGCAGACCCAGTAGGTTTTCAAAACTTCTTCATCGTATATCTTGCTTGACCAAATGTTTAGAACGCGATGGATACTGATGAAGAATGGCTTGAAGATGCGGACCTAACACCCGAGCTAAGAGCAAAGATATTCGCTCTGAAGACATGTCGGAACAGATGTCTCGCACACGCCAGCGATGAAAATGCGCTGGATATCGCCAAACCGGTTCTCAAGATGTTCACCACGTTGATTCAGAACTCGGGTTCATTCACAGAGACTGCTCAAGATGAGTGCGTGCATTACTTTCTGGTGTTCTTGTGCCTTTGACTTCTTATGCTCTTCTCATGTGCAGTCCGAAGATCAAGAGTCGTTTACGACTACAGGCAGCTGTATCTCTACTACACCTTGCATGCGTACATTCGTTTGCCCAGGCAATCAGTTCACACTTCCTGCAATTGGCCATCATACTCCAAGATCCCTGCTATCAAATACGCATGGCATTCTTAGTCAAGCTCATTGCGCTTTTGTCTGCTCAGAAGCTCCCTCACAGTTATACTGTGATTCCCTTCCTGTCCGTCCATGATCCAGAGGCAGACGTAAAGACGAAGGTACGTGTATCAATTTGTCCAAGATTGCGTTGAGCGTTTCTTAATAAAGACATCATAGGCAAAGGCTTTCATTTCGTTCGCTGTCCGCTCAATGCCCAAACGTACGCTGAGATTCAACCATGAATCTGATTATCTCTCCTAAACTGACATAATCATAGCTCTCCGACTTGCTGCGTTCGAAATGAACTTTGTCCGCATCCTCCATCTCTTAGCCCATCACCCTGATTTTGCGGTGACATCAGACAGCCTACCTGATATTGCCAAGTAAGCCCCTCAGCCCTTTGCATTTCACAATGGCTTACCCATACACCGTATCAGGTATATCGAGTTCTTCCTGGAACTTGTTGCGTCAGCCGACAACGTTTCACTCTTGTTCCATCTCGCGGTGAAGCTGAAGACGGTCAGGGATTCTGAGTCTCATGCTTACAGTGAAGTGAGCCTACCCATTTCTGAGCGTTGCTTTGCGATGGTCTAACCTTGACTCTAGAATCTCTACGCAGCAAGCGAACTAGCTCAGCACCTAATACGAGCACGAGCCAAGCAGCACAACTGGACAGTTGAAAGCTTCCCTGGCAAGGTGAAACTGCCAGGTGATATCTTGCGGCCACTTCCAAACGCAGAAGCAGCTAAGGAGGTACGTATAAAACGAGACATGCGCGTAGACATAGGCTCATTTTCGACACGTTACAGATTGTCAAGACTGTCTACCTACCTGAAGAGACGCTATCGTGGCTGGCGGAGAAAGCGAAACCTCCAAAACACGATGCGAAAGATAAAACTAAAGTTCCGGCCAAACGGAAGGCTGCTTCGAAAACGAACGGTAATGCAAAGTGAGTACATTGATTGGAATGCCGAAATGAGTTTCATATTAATATGCTCCTCGTAGACGGCCGCGGACAAAGGGCAAGAAGCGCAAAACTGAGGAGTCCTCGGACGAAGAGTCCTTACCTTCAGATTCTGAGGAGGATGAAGCTGAAAGTGACGCCGGCCGTTCGTCCGTGCATGAACCGCCAAAGTCTTCAGATGATGAAGGTGAACCAGAGGAGGCGGAACCAACAGAAGAACGATTGGGACGCGGTGCACGAACGCGAGCGAAGGTTAGACGTTTATTCTCGTCAGGGCGAACTTGTTATCTGACCCGCCGAATGGCCCTTAGGCTCGTATCAAGCAGCAAGCGAAACGAAGTTCCAAAAGTAAAACTAAAGCACCTGCTTCTGAAGATTGAGCCTCTTCCTTTCTCTTCCTTTCCATCATTCTTTTCTCGGAGTGCTCTTGCTGCATTTGATTGATCTCTTATGCTATCGTTGCTATTTCTTTGCATTCTGCTCACATTTCCGGGCCATCGACTTGTGTATCTTTCTACATCATTTTACATGTGTGCTTGTAGCTATGATGATTTTGACTGGTGTTCTTTTTTTTTGGGGGGGGGATATATCATGTATGTCCCAATGATGTGCTAAGGGTCCGTCCTGGGCGCATGTTCCTGTCACAACTATTCTACCAGCTTCACTACAGGTGTAACTGGCATACGGGATCACCAATGCGCTTTTGTGTTGTTCCGAGCATCGCTGCTGGAGGACCGCGCCACGAATGCAGTTCTTCTCTCTATTAGGGTTTACAATCCGGAGATGCTGGATTGGGCTGTTGTTTTAGTCAAGACAACGGTACTCGTGTCGAAGGGCCTCTGATAAATACTCTTATAAATGTAGCGATGTGCCATAAGTTGAACAACCTTTCTCAAGATAAGTCCTCGACTGAAAAAGCTTAGACTGTATTTCGACAACGGTTGTGTAATATCACATCGTAGCTAGTACAGCATGTATCCAGATACATTTGTTTCTTTAATCCAGGCTAGCACCAGCGGCTTCGAGAACAAGTTGTAGCCCTACTCTTCGTCCGATAGTGTTCGGCGATCACGATCGATCCCGGACCGGTTGAAGTACATTCACCACCATCTCATTCAACTTTCGACTCGGAGCTAGTGAGTGCCAACATTGTTTCTGTTGCGGTCCATGTTCAAGGAATAACGCGATGAATGCAGAGAGAATTTACATAGGTTATCCGAGGAGGCGCTTTATTTTGTACCTACCACGTGGATGCTAGGGACAAGATGTTGAACAAGGAACATTGGCGACGATGCCTATGGTGAGACACGATCGGGACGCCCTAAATATGGGGAGCCCTCTATTCTGCGTCCCCTCTGTTCCAAAAACCATCTCAACTGCACTTTACGCCATCCCCCGTTGAACAGAGGCAAGATGCCACCACTGAGGCGATCGTACGTTGTGGCCGATGAAGAGGTTGATTTTCCGAACTGATAAATCCTTTAGGAGGCGTCTAGCTTTGAGGGCCGAAGCATTAATGTGAGTCCAAATTGAGTTTCTCTGAGTACAAGTGTGTCGGGATAATGATTCATTCTGCAGAGGTCGGTAGCTCAAACTTAGACTTATGTTGGATGTCGGTCTGAAATCGACTGCAATCGTTTGTAGTCAAACCACTCAATTTTCCCTCGGAGTTGCAAGACATGATCCTTGACCAACTTTCAGATGCTGTATCTCTGCGTTCCTGCGCTCGCATCAACAAACACTGGTCCACCGCCGCTCGACCTCACATCTTTCGCGTCATCAGGCTGGATAGCTGGAGCAGGCTCGCTGAGCTCACCGAGATCGTTATGTCCGATAGGATCATCGCGAATTACATACGCGAAGTTCGCCTCCGTGGGTCAATTGAGGTCGAGGCTGATGCACGCAAGAAGCAGGACGATGATTGGTGGATATACCAATTCCCATACATGCTTGGTGGCCACCTCAAGTGTCTCAAGACCATAGAGCTCTCCCATTTTTATCGCTCTACCAATATCTATGACGAGGAGAGGCGGACGGAAGAACAGGAAAAATTTGCAACTTGGGTTTACTCGTTAAGGACGCTCAAGAGGGTGGAAAACCTGAGTATGAAGAAATGTATGATGAGCAGTAATGCGTTGACGGCTTTTATGCGTTCATTCCAACGACTCATTAGAATTGAACTCTGCGACGTCTTTGTCGATAATTCCGGCGATCCGGATGCCATTTCGATCCCCAGAGTGGACGGTACTGAAGCTCGAGAGGCATATGTCGAGGATGCAGGATTGTCCGGCTCTGCTGAACCAACTGTACTATTCCCTCTCTCATATCCTGAACCACGACTGCGCGGGCTTGATGTAGACCAAGACGATGCTTCAACATTCGCACCCTTCAATTTCGACTACCAGAGTGGATGGCTCCTTCCACGACATATTGTCTCTTCTTTGAAAGCCCTAGTCTTTGGCGGGAAGATCGAAGTAGTTCCGTTTACTAGGTTTATTTCCGATTTATGTCCGTGTCCGTCGGTGGAATACGTTGGATGTAGCATATATGAGCTTGGTACGTTGAATACGAATTCGCTCGATGCATGCTCTGACATGTCTACGCGTCTAGATTTCTTATCCGGAATTGACCTATCTGGATTTCCGAATCTCAACAGGCTATGGTTCAACCTAGGATTCTTTAAAAACACAACTGTTGCCATTTGTTCCATCCTTTCTCGACTCCGTGGTTCGCATCTGAAAGACATTATCTGCGTTGTTGAGCTGGAGGAGCTGGATGACCTTGCTAGCAATGTGGTTACACCACTGGACAGCCTTCTTTGCAGCGACGAATTCAAGGAATTAGAATCCATGGAAGTGGTACATCTCTGCTATCATGCACCTCGAAAAGTCCGGCAGGCAGGCTTGAAGGCCTTTCCGGGACTCTCCAAACGCGGGGTCCTAAAATTCCGTCATCATCCAGTACCGTAGCGCTGTGAGTCTGGCACCATGATTAAGACTTATGTATAAAATCGCTTTCTGATTCGGAATACTCTCAGTTTAGGTGCTCAAGTACGGGGACGACGAGTATGGCTTCACATAGGCCCATCTAACCTACCAGACTATCAGCCGAATACTCACGCAGGATATGGTAGGGTCAGATGAAAGTAGACATGCACTGTCAGCATACATAGAATTTACATTCCATTAACAGCATATTCATTTATCCTAGGGGATACCATACACACTCCTGTCCGAACTGAAAAATACATGAAACATGTCTGATAATGAGGCAACAATGAACAATGGGAAGAGGGCGATCCAGAACAGAAACACAAAGGAGTTTCCTCGTTGACAGGAGCGACTTGTGTATGAACGTACTTCCCTGCTCTGGAATCGATTCCCAAATGCCAAGTCACACCGTTGTCACCCGAAGCTTAACGTTATTACCTCGGGGTCGTCCCTCGGGTACTGTCATGATAGTCTTGGACGTCGGAAGATCATCCGCGGCTGAGGGTGGTTCGACAACAGCTTGTTGTTGGGGTTCAGCTACTTGAGACGGCTCCGGCGTTGGACTCTTCTCTCTAGGCGACGATCCCACCTGTACTTCAGCAGAATGATTTCTCGGGACATCAACATCAATGAGCGAACTTCCGGATGGACCAGCAGCTTGAGCAAGAACGGATTCGCTGTCAGCCGAAGCAGATCTTTCCATTTTTAGAATCAGTGCTATAGCACCAGGGTTCGGAGGGATACCTGAAGCCTCAAGAGCGGCAGATGGATGGAGGAAAGTAGGACGTGATCGTGTCGCGGCGGGAGACTGTCGATTTCGTGCACGAGCAGGAGTGCCTCCAGTCTGCTGAGACTTGCGTGATTCCTTCACCCCAGCCTTAGCCCGAATTCTCCGGGGATGTATCGCCAGAGCCTCATCCCAGTCCAGTGTTCCTCCATGACGCTCGGTGCTTTCCTCCATAACCCATGGGTCCACTGAATTCTTGTGACTGGGACGATAGCCGTGGACTTCCCTTCTATGACGTGTGAGACACCCAGGATCTCCCGAACTCCATAGGCATTTTTTCAGCTCTTCCGAGCCAGACTTGCTCGGAATCAGATGAGGGCAAATCTTATCCCTGACACCCGTACTGTAATGCAAGTCATTGATGAGCCACAGACAGGAGTACTCTTTCGCAGAGCCACTCACTGAATCTTTGCGTGCGTCTGAAGGTTGCTTCGCTGGATGAACCACTTATCGCAGCCCGGAGACGTGCATATGTGAAGTCTGCAATAGTGTAAGTATTGACGGAATATCAATACGATGAGAAAAGATACATACGGATCATCTTCAGTTGGACGCCTTCCTTGCAAATGGGTTTCTTCAACGTGTGTCTTGAGCGATTCGCCAGGAAAGTATTGTTTACAAAATGGACAGTTATTTCTACCACGAGCTCGAGGCTTAGAATACTGGTGACGTGGAGGTGAGTTCTCAGATATGATAACGATATTCAAGATAAATGCACTCACTTCTGTGCGATGAACAGGCATCGAAAGAGCTGACCTCGAGTGGCGATAATTGACTTTGGTTGTTTGGGTACGGGTTGAAGAGGGTCCACACGCACCACTATTTATGTCTCTCGAAGGACAAAGACATGGCCAACTTATCTTGGTGGTCAAAGGCTCCGCTTGAGATGTTGTCGCAGGTCAAAGAAAACATGAGGCAGGGTCAAAGGCCAATGAAGGTCAATGCATCAGCTACTGCCATATGGCCCATTCTCAGTAAAGGTACGCCATCAATACTATATGCCTTAATCGGAACTATGAATGAAACCAGACTGCAGACGTCGCGGTTGACACTAGTACTGTACAGAAGGCCAGGAGAAGGTTGAAGGCCCCTGGTACAAGAGAAGAGAGCTGTATGCGGCCACATCAAAGTAACTTGATACTACCGACCTTGAAGCTTGAAGCTTTGAAGGCCCATATGATGTGCGATCACGATCTCTCCCGACTCGGTTGAGATCTTCAAGCCCCAGTCATACTTGGGTAACTGGTGGCCCCTACTAAACAGTGTTCTTGTTGCGGTCCAGGTTGAAACGTTGACGTTGAAGAAATAACACTACGAATGCTCACAAGAATCTACACGGCTTATGCTCGGAGGAAACGCTCCATTCTGCACCACGTGAGTACAAGATGTTGAACAAGGAAGGTTAGTGAGATGACCGGGACGCCCCGAGTGTGGTGAGCCGCGTTTCTGAAAACCCTATATATCAGCTGCACTTTACGCCATACCCGTTGAACAGACGCAAGATGCCCCCAAGACGATTGTACGTTGTGGCGAATGAAGCGGATGATTTTCTGAACTGATGAATCGTTTAGGAGGCGTCTAGCTGCCAAAGCATCAATGTGAGTGAAATCTTTCTCGAAGTACAATCATATCAGACTAACCATTTCTTTTGCAGAAGTCTGTATCTCTGACCTCAAACCGTGGCTCAGATTACTTTGAAGTCTGCCGCAATTATTTGTATCCAAACCACTCGATCTCCCTGACTCTGAAAATGTGCGCAATGAGCAGCAATGCCGCATTGACGCCCTTCATCCGTTCATTCCAACGACTCATCAGAATTGAACTCTGTGACCATCGTTGTAGATAATTCCGGTGATCCAGATGCCATTCGGATTCCTAGATTTCACAGTGTTGAAGAGCCACATGCGGGGAATGCAGGTCGTCCAGCTCAGCCGAACCAACTGTACTGTTCCCCCTCTCATATTCCGAACCACAACTGTGAGCGGTTAATGTGGACCAAGACGAGAATTCAATATTCGACCTATTCAATTCCGACCCTCTGAAGGGCTGGCTTCTACCACGACACATCGCGTCCTCCTTGAAGGTATTGGTATTTGGGGGGAAGATCCAAGTCGTTTCATTCACCAGGTTCATTTCCAACTTTTGTCCTTGTCCTGGTGTGTTCAATACGGTTTCGCGCCATGCATGTTCTAACATATTTTTTACGCTTTTAGATGATTTCTTAGAGCTTGATGTGTCTGGGTTCCCGAACCTCAACAGACTTCATTACGACTTGGGATATCTTGAAGACAATGTCAATGCCTTTTGCCGTGTTCTGTCTCAAAACGACACTTCTCGTCTGAAACATATTGTATGTATCATTAGGCTGGAGGAGCTGGGCGATCTTAGCGACAATGCGGTCGCACCGTTAGACAATCTTCTTTGCAGCGACAAATTCCGGGAATTAGAATGTTTGGAAGTGACCTATAGGCGTTATCAGCTACCTCGAAAGTCCAGCAAGCAGGCTTCAAGGCCTTTCCGGGAATTTTCAAACGCGGGATACTGAACCTTCATTATCGTGCAGTAGCGCAGTGCCAGGTAAGTCTTGCATCATTATTAAAGCTTGTTTCCAGGAAATTTCACTTTCTAATTCCGAATGCCCTCAAGTTAGGTGCTCAAATATACAAATAATAAGTCTGTCTCGAAAGTGATATGCATTCTCGGGCGAATACACGCATTGATTTTGCCTTTCAAGATATGGTACCACATAAACCATAGGCATAGATAGGTAAGCAGGAAATTTAGCATCAATCCTGATGTGCACGGCTACACGCGTGCCCTAGAGTCTGTCGCTTGGTTGCTTTATCCACACTAGATGGTCGTGCACCGGAACGTTCAATCAGCAAAACAAAGTCGGTCGAGTGTTACAGAGGATGGCGACCTAGTGCAAAATATATCTTTCGCTCGCCGGTAGTGCATCACCGGGCATTCATGCCCGGATCACTTTCAATCATTCCGTTGGTTCATGAACCTATGTCGGAAAATCAGCTTTCACGGATGGTGATGGGACAATGCCAACTGTGAACCTCACTGGAATCACCGACTCCGGCGGAGGTGGAGATGTCGAATGGAGAGCCATTTTGTATCGTGTCATTAGTATGGTACATAGTCCGACAAACATACACTTGAAGAGTGACGGTATGTCCATAATCATGTATGCTTGAAAAGTGACCAACATTTTATATAGCGGTTGGTCGGGACTCAGAGATGGGCATCTGACCAAGACAAGAGCCTCCTCCAATTATGCAATTATGCGATTGGGGTCTGGTGAGCAACCGCATCAACCGCAATACAACCTCGACGGTGAGTGACGTCCATCAGTCGCGCTTTGTTCGTTCTTAGTCTCAGAATGGGTACGTTAGTTTTCATATGCTGCCTGGTATGAATACTACTCTTCAGTCCACCGAACCCCCAGACCAATCCGGCGGTCCCGATCTCCCTCCAATCCTAGCGTTGAACGTAGCTGAGGTGTCAGATAAAGACACCACGTTCTTGCTTCAGAGTACCGACGATCCCAATCACATGCCGCCGACTCAGGGCCAATATCACCAGAGAAAAATTGCAACATCTGGGCAGGCCCTTGGATGGTTCTAATGAAGTGTGATCTTGTAATGTTGCACTGCTCCCAAGGCAATGTCGGACGCCCGAAAGCGACCATAAATGCCCGACAAAGTGCTCCCGTTTGACTTACTACCACACTTGTTTTCCTTCACCAATCCACCTTCCTGTATCATTGTCGAAATGTTCTCTTCCAAGATCTCCCTCGTTCACAACATGCTGCTTGTCGTAGCATCGCTTGCTGCTTTCGGTTTGGCGCAAGCCTCCGGTACTGGGGAAGGTCTGTCTAGCCGTCATTTACTTCCACGGTCTGGAATTCGTTAATAACATGTGTTTAGCTACGGTCTTCGAACCCGAACTCGGTGTATGTGGACACATCAACAATGCACAAGACTTTGTTGTTAGAGTCTCGGCGGATGTGTTCGATACATTCCCGTAAGTGACATCTTACTTTCGTCGCTGTTCTCGTACCTTACTAGGATTATGCCATCAGAGGTGCCACTGCCAACCCAAAGGACAACCCTATCTGCAACAAGCAACTAGACGCGACCTGTAAGCTTTCTAATAGTCTCTTGGAATCGGATATGTCTCATTCGTCTGTGTCTCAGCCGAGGGAAAATCGGTTACGGTTACTATTACTGACCGATGCGAGGGATGTCCGCCGACAGGTATTGACCTTTCCCCGGTGGCCTTCAACGAGCTCTCCGAGCCATCCGTTGGGAAACTGTCCGGTGTCGCGTGGACTATCTTTTGAGGGAAGGGGGATATCTGGAGGTAGAAGCCTTGGACTCTGGAGAAATTCGAAAACTTCAGTAATGGATCGGTCAAGGTGAAGCACTGGTTTAAATCCGTGCATCGTGCGTAGTCGAATCTCTTACTCCACTTTCTAGTTTACAACGAAATTTATGTTGTTATGGGAGTGCGGTCATTTACGGAACTTACACGAGTAACAGGAATGAAAGATGGTAATTATGCGTACTTCAGGTGTATATGTAGTCTGAATCGCGAAGTACAACATCCACTCACTCACTTTCAATGATCAGATAAGGCTTCTTCCTCACTCTCCTCGTCGAAGCCTCAGGCGAATCACGTTGCTATCCTAGTCCTCTTGGTCCGATGTAAATGCATAAATGTCAGAATGCTTAGGTTTCAACGCTATCTCCTCTAATGCATGTATGTGTTCATGTCGTGCACTCACAGCTGAAATACTATGCACAATACAACTGACAGATAACGGACGGGCGAATTCCTACCTTCGTCTCACGTCTCCTACGGGACTCTTTTAGCCAATGATAGTCCCTCAGAGAGGACCGCTCCCCGGAATAGTCCACTCGGCTGGAAAGAATAGGGCCTCAACAGAAAGCTGTTGTCACCATAACGGCAATATGCTAACTCTCCGAAAACATTTGACGGAATCTTCGATAGTCAAAGATGGCGAATTTGCTCATGTAACGCCGCACCGTACACTGATGAAAGTACAAATAGCCGGTGGTTTGGGCGTCCAGTCGCCGTCGATTTACATGCGTCGGGAATCAGGTTCGCCTTCATACCCTTCAACATCAGCTAAATAAAAAGAATCCAAAACATATCGGAAACTGTATAGCTTTGCAAGACGGTGCTGTGAGCAACGAAGCTCCATCGGGAGAAATGTGCTAGTATTATAAAGGTACATATTGGACGTTATGAGTTTTTTGTTCGCTGATAAGGTCTTACCTGAATGTTGCAAGGCCTGGGTCATCAATATCTAGCTATAACAGTTGATCATAATTTTCCCGATGTCAGGCCACCTTCGAAATAAATTCTAATTCAACCCCGCACTTTCGATAGTTGCCAAGTATGTGGACACTCAACATCACATCACAGCCACATTCAAAATGATAGGCACCTCCTCAGAAATTACACTCGGGTCGGTAAGGGTCAGTACCGTCGGATTTATCTCGCTAATGAAGAGCCCAGAGGTGGAAGAGGGCGGCATGCCTGACCAGCACTGCGTTCCTACCCCGGCATAGGTTCGCTAGCTCTCAGCATTACCGTTGCATTAGCCGATCCTGAGCCTGATTTTTTCGCAGGGGCCTATCGTTCTGAATGTGGCTGCAATACACGTATATTCTCAGTGGAAAGCGCTACACTCCATCCGCTCCCACATACTAATTGTACAGATAATAACGGGGTCATTCAAAGATAAAACTGGCATAGAAATTCCGAAACCTTGACGATGAGTATGGCGAAGGCTAGCAACTAGAGACTATGTGTCACGAATAATGGGTGAATATGTAGATGTTTCTCAGCTATTGAAACTCACGGCATGATGTGCCAGCTCACAGCAAGAACACGTTCTCCGTTACCGGAGTCGGCATACATGGTGTACAAGACCTGCGCAGGGAGCCCGAGGGTAAGAAGACAACAGTAAAAAGCAAGCACATGATGGAATACTGACCGCTCCATCATTTGGATCGTGTCCGTTACATTTGGTGATCATGAAGGGCTTGTTGCGAAGCGCCTCCGACATTGTGTCTCGCAGATACTCATGGCCCTTGGCAGTGAGCTTGACAAGAGTCCCGTCCTGTGGAGAATATTTGATGATGTCAAACGGCAATGAAAGAAGAGACTCACTCGGAGGATGGTCGGTACAGTCATACTGTAGCTAGGTAACAATTGTACAAAGTCGATAGCTTGTTGGTTCTTTGGCTGGAGGAAAACGAGTTGGGTCCTTCGTTATCGAAATCTTTGGTAGCTTTTATACGCCACAAGACAACTTCATGATGTGTAAACTAGACAAAACATATGGACAGGTAGGGAGATATGACTTCGTCGGTCGTCGCATTTGGGGCAGTCAATAACGAGAATCAGATTTCTCTCAGTTGCCAGCATAGTCCATCAAAGTAGTCGCCCACCCTAGGAGAGCTATGCAGATAATCACCTCGTTGCTGAGAAAACCATTCAATAAAAGGAAGAAATACTTGACTCGAATTGTTGTCAATGGAGCACCTGTTGATATCAAGGGACTACGGGCGTTCAGTTCCCTAATCGGTGAAAGGCGATCGACAAACAACACACCCACATGATCTTGGGACAATACCAGACGCCAACTGAACCCTGAAGGCGATGGCTATCGCATACCGGATCCAATAACGTATCGTTCCCGATCGTCTGCAAGAGACTAGAACACTTTGTTACGTCGCTCAGGCATAGCTAAGGCCTACTGAAGCCTCAACAATCAGAAGATGCAAATACAACACAACATAAGAAAGGGAAAGATTCATCTGTCCGTACCTTCAAAAAGCCATACAAAACATCAGTGGCGTAAAAGTCGTGCTACCTGCAGGGAAAACATCAGACTTGATTTGTGATCTATGCATCATACGCGCACTGGAGAACAATACCGCAGAAATTGCGAGGCTGTACAGGGGTAACATTCCTGAGTACATCAACGAAAGTTTAGATTCTGAAGAAGAGCATAAAAACTATTACATGCACGATGCTGTGACCATTGTTGGAGAGAAGAAACTTACATGTGAAGGGAAACTCAGCAGAGTCATACTGGCCGAAACCAGGCAGTACAGACGGCAAGCTGTTACGTGTCTTTATCAGATTAGAGGACATTGTCTAGACGTGCCTCGTGCATGTTACTTTCAAACAACTCGCGGATATTATTGGAATAAGGGGATGGGGACAGCGGCCTTTAGAACGGGCAACGTTTTGAAGGGCTGTACCTTCTTGCTGGGATTTGAGAATGTGCCAATCCGCGCTACTGGGTAAAGTTCCGGATGTTGATGTAGTGCTGTCTGCCATTTGAACTGTACAAAGGTAACTTGAACGGAGAGTGGAGATATGAAGTGCAAGGAAAAAAGCAACGACTTAGGGCGCGACACCAGATATATCACGATGCCGGCAGGGCACGTCATAGACATAGTTGAAGGTCATGGTAATTATAAGAGACCCAAATGTCACATATCTGAGAAGAAAAAGGTGTCAAACAGCAAATGACAGTAAAGAAGGGTATTATGCCTACTGTCGGTAGCTTCGATCGGATGACATGGGCCTGAATCAAGACTTGTAGCGTTGCGAACGTTCTCACTTGAAGAGTACAGGAAGACGAGAAGTTTGGACTTGTTAGCAAGTTTGACAGAGTGGAGCGCCGAGAATTGATGCGCCGATTACTGTGATCACCTCGGGTCAGTATTGTTCCGCCCGGGGAAAGGTCATTTCATCGGTGAAATCCAGCCAGCAGCTCCTCTGGAGCCATTAGATGCAGTAAATAATATCAGTTAGAAAAGGTCTACTACCTTTACATTCTCTTGAACAGCGTTGGAAAAGTACCCTTACGCTATTGTTGACTACAAGTAACAAGTAGCTCCGACGCTGCTGTGCCTGAGAATGTCGTGGAACTTCCGTGGGAATGTAGAACATACTTTCGCAATCACTCACTCCCAGGTCAAAAACAAGGGGAATACTAAGGACTACTACTTAACAAGGCTTCCATACAGTGAAGTTTCATTCGATTTCCTACTCATCAGTCCTTCAAGGATGGCTACCACGGATGCAGCCTCAATTCCGCCTTCTTTCAAAGAGCTTGGGGTTATTGACCCACTGCTTCAAGCATTGGAACAGATGAGCTACAAAGTGCCTACACCAATACAGGTCGAGACTTTGCCTCCTGCTTTCGAAGGAAGAGACATAATCGGAGTTGCTGCCACCGGTTCTGGTAAGACCGCAGCCTTTGCAATACCAATCTTGCAGAAGCTGTGGGATACGCCCCAAGGTCTATTTGCCTGTGTACTTGCTCCAACTCGTGAACTTGCCTATCAGATCTCTCAACAGTTTGAGGCCCTCGGTTCTACCATTGGTGTAAGATGTGCAGTGGTCGTCGGAGGTCTCGATATGCAATCACAGATGGTCGCTCTCGCGAAGAAACCACACATCGTGATAGCCACACCTGGACGTCTGCAGGATATTTTAGAGAATATGAAGGGGTTTAGTCTTCGTAATATCAAGTTCTTGGTGAGGTTGTCTTTGCTTATCAATCAGTGCGTAGGTATTGAAAGATGCTTTCAGGTGCTCGACGAAGCGGACAGGCTGCTGGATCTGGACTTTGGACCCGTCATTGACAAGCTTCTGAAAATCCTTCCGACGTCACGGACAACGTACTTATTCTCCGCGACCATGACGACGAAGGTTGCAAAGCTACAACGAGCAAGTTTATCGAATCCTGTCCGTTTGCAGGTTTCTGAAAAGTACGTGAATATTTGGAGGGCTGATTCCTGTCCCTGACGATATCATATTAGACACCAGACTGTCTCTACATTGTTACAATACTACGTTTTAGTACCGCTTCCTCAGAAGGACGTATATTTGGTTCATCTCGTGAACTCGCTCGCACACAGTAGCATTATCATTTTCACTCGTACTGTTCATGATTGTCAACGGTAAGCACATCTTCGTGTCCACTTCTTTCGCCTTCTGTTGACGCTCGACAAGACTATCCATAATTCTACGTACACTAGGCTTCTCCGCCATTCCCCTCCACGGTCAACTCAGCCAGAGCCAACGTTTAGGCTCACTCTCCAAATTCAAAAGCGGTGACCGCAAAATTCTCGTCGCCACCGACGTCGCGAGTCGGTATGTAGAAACAGAACACTTTTCTGATAGTCCATATCTAAGCTGATCATGACTGGGTTTCAGTGGACTTGATCTACCTTCAGTCGACATCGTAATAAACTACGACGTGCCTTCCAACTCTAAAGACTACATCCATCGCGTTGGGCGTACAGCTCGTGCCGGAAGGTCTGGAAAGTCTATAACGATGGTCACTCAGTATGACGCTCTTGAATTCAAGGGCATCGAACGTGTTATTGATATCAGGATGGAGGCATGGCCTACTAATAAGGAGGAGATTGAGTTGTTATATGAGAGGGTGTACGAGGCTGGTCGACAGGCTACGACGGAACTAAAAGAGCAAGCTCCGACTCGATTTAAGAGGAAGAGGAAGAACGAAGGTAGCACCCGAGATGATAGGGATCGAGATGATGATGTTGTAGAGGCAGGTATGCCTACGAGGAGTAGGAAGAAGTCACGAAGGTAGTTGGTAATGTCATACACTCTTCGCTGTGTCAGACGTGACTACTCCTTTGGCAGTCGTGGACAGAGAGATTCTGCGCTTTTAATTAAAGACCAAATCGTGGCTTCGAGTAGCTGGTTCAGGCGGACTTGAAGAATAAAGCTTAAAGGTGATACTGAGAGCTGCTGCCTCATGCTACCATTATATCCAAGAAGTTTTTCTTTCTTTTTAGAATCCATGCTTTTTATCTACTGATCCAAGAGGTCAACTGTCTAGCAACCACTCTCAATACGTGTGGTAGTAAAGCAGACATCGGACGATATTATAACGCCCTTGGAAGTGGTATTGATGTTATTCATTTGTAAACTATTGACTTGCTTTCGCATCCTATGTAAGACATCCTGATCTAACAGCAAACAAGCATAGCAGATGTCCGTCTAAAATGTTGCATAAATAGCGAGAGTGACGGCTAGACCAGCTCAGTCATCATGAGGTGACAGCAAAAGCAGGTGTAGTATGTATTGAATTGGAATTCCAATACCTATCAATTGAAAGCAAGTATGAAAGAGCAATCAAGCCGAAGCACTGAAAAATCATAGCATGAAAAACCCTATTGAGGCGTAATCACGTCAGTCGACGCCGACTGAGTTGGAGCACCTGGTCTCAACAACCCTCGTCCCACTCTCGCCTTATCATCACCAACATCCATCTCCACCAGCTTAGGCGTACCAGGAGCAGGGGTGAGTGGTCGAGAAGGAACAGGAGTGTTTAATTGTGAACGATTATGTGCCAAATGAGCGCGGACGAGGTGACCTGCCGCGAGAGCACTGATGAGTGAAAGCTCGCCAGCCATGACGGCGGATGCGATGATGCGAGCGAGTTGTTGAGCGTTTTGGCCGGGGTTAGTGGGGTGTGCGCCCTTGACACCGAGCATTTCAAGGATGGCTTGTTGAGGTGCGAGGACGGTGCCACCGCCAACAGTGCCGACTTCGATACAGGGCATGGATACAGTCATGAGAAGGTCTTCACCGTTGTTAGTTCTATGAGAAGGAGGATGTTTCATTAGTTTTCTGCCTGTGATAGATAAGCGTGAAAGCTTAAACTCACGGTTCCATGAGAGTAATACAGTTTGAGCTTTCAACATTCTGAGCGGGGTCCTGCCCAGTAGCCAAAAAGATGGCAGTAAGGATGTTAGCCGCATGGGCGTTGAAGCCACCAACGGACCCAGCCATCGCACTTCCCACCAAATTCTTCTTCGTGTTCAAGTTGCACAACGCGTCCACGGTAGTCTTCAACACCGACTTCACGACCTTGCCAGGAACGACAGCCTCAGCAACAATGCTCTTTCCACGACCTTCGATCCAGTTGATCGCAGCAGGCTTCTTGTCCGTGCAGTAATTACCAGAGAGCGCGAGGACGACAGATCCGGGGAACTCCTTGCCCAAGACCTCCAATGCCTTTTCAGTGGCCTTGGAGATCATGTTCATACCCATAGCATCTCCCGTCCTAGTAGCGAACCTCACGAACAGAGTCCTACCAGCCATAGCGCACTTGATATTCTGCAACTTTGCAAACCTCGAAGTGCTCTCAAACGCCTCTTTGACAATAGCGTAACCCTCGGTACTCTCCAGCCAGTGCTTCGCAGCACCAGCTTGTTGAATGTTTGGAAAGTCGATTGCAGGTCCACGCGTCATACCATCGTAGGTTAGGACGGTGTTGACGCCTCCACCAGCGTTGAGCGCTTTGCAACCACGAGAAGTTGACGCGACGAGGGTGCCTTCGGCAGTAGCCATTGGGATGTGATAGGCCTCGCCATCAATCTTAAGGGGTCCAGCGATACCGAGCGGGAGAGGCATGTATCCAATGACGTTCTCGCAACACGCGCCCATGACTCGGGAATAATCATAACCATGCATTGGAACGTCAGAGTATTCGAGAGTCTTTGTCTTGGTAGCGCGAGCTAGACGAAAATTCGGGTGAACAATCTGTATCGACAAAGTAGCGTAGTAGCCAAAGAGAGATCACTCACAAATCAACTTGCGACGGATGGCAACAGCCCTCTCCAAATCATCCAACATCTTCTCAAGCGCATATGCGGCGATCTTGCCATTCTGAGCCAACAACACAACTTCCTCATCATTAAGCATCGCCAACGACGCCGAAACAGGTCTCGGACCATTCTCGAAGATATCGATGCACTCTTCGAGAGAGCGAACCTCACCAGTGAATGCAGTCTCCTTGGGTGTGAAAGATCCAGAAGGTGTATATGACGAGGAAGGTGTGAAAGACGGCGTAGCCAGAGGCTGGACATTGGCAAGCTTCTGGTCCACAGTGGCAAGATCAAGAGGAAGCGGTCTGAGATCGTGCTTAGCAGCAGCAACAGGAGCCGGCACAACAGCAGAGGCGGCAACGACTGGCTCAATGACTGGTGCGGGGATAGCCTCGACAACGGGTGGTGCAACAGCCTCGATGACGACACTAGTCTTCTTCGCTGGCTTCTTCTCCTCTACGACCTCAACGTGTTCACCAGCGTCGACTTCCTTCGATCCACCAGAGAACCTGACACCCTTGTTCCCGCCCTTGACACCAGCACTGACAAAAGCGGCAATGCCCAGTCCGCTTCCTGCTGCGATACCCTTAAGGAGGTATCCGTTGAGAGCGACACTGACGAGCAAGAGGCAGACGATCCATTTTGAGATGACGGGATCGCCGACGAAGGAAGTCCATGAGGTCATCAAACTCTCGAACGAGGGTGACGACTGAACGGAGGTATGCTCGTAGGAAGCAGAGTTGGTGAAAAGCGACGTAAACAAGGAGGAGGAACTTGAGGGTGACGTGATGGCTGGGAGGGCGCGAACGTGGATTGGAGCAGCGACGCGAACGAGGACATCGCTATCAATGAAATCATTAGGTTTGTACTCTGCTGCAGCGAGTGTGTCCAATACGGAGGCCACGGCAGGCGACGCCAAATCGACTCTCGGTACTGGTACAACGGCGGCATTCGCGTTGGGAGCAGTAAGAGACGAAGATGAAGGTGAATGCTTGCTGTGACGTGCAATTGCCGTGGCGGGGGTGAGCGTGGTGGAGAAGTTAAGAATATGCAATGTAAGGAAAGATGCGAGCTAAACAAAACGTCAATCAGCCAAAGAAAGGATGAACTCCCCATTTCAGTACTCACGACGAGCAATTTGAGCCTAGCCATAGGATTCTCCTCCAAATCCTGCTTGCGCCTACTAAGCGCATCCCTTTTGCTCCTAGGCTGCTGCTCGTTGTTCAACAGCGACGAGCCCTTCACGCCCAAAAGCGCATCTGATACCTTCTCACTCATACTCTTCTCCTTCTTCGCTTCCTCCGGTTTAGGCGTCTGTGTCCTACTCAAAGCGGGCTTCAGTCTTGGGGTCGCAGCGCCGCTAGCGGTAGCGATACTCTGTTCCTTCTTCATAGCACGGAGCATCTTGATTCTCCGAACTTCGACCATGACCGTAAGGACGGCGGTGTAGAAACTGCCAAGCATGACACAATCGAGGGCCATAGCCAGTGAAGCGAGGGCGCAGAACTCCTTCAGACCACCCACGTGGCTATACGCACCGACAAGCAATACGGCGATCTCGAGAGCGTAGTCACGAACAATAGAGTTACCAGCACGGTCAAGCGCTTCAAGCACGACTTCACCGGCAGGCTTCATGGCGAGCTGCTGAGGTTGACCAGAAGGAGAACCTGACGAAGTAGGGGAGGCTGGTGGTAGAGGAGTGAGGATGTGTTCGTGCTTCATGACCTCCCGGGCGAGACGAAGAGGCTTCTCGAAGCCGACTGTGCAGACAAGGAAAGGAAGAGCTTCGCTGAGGCAGACTGGATCAAGAGGGATATCGAGGAAACGGCAAAGGGGAAGCGTGAAGAGGAATGCGAAGCATGACGAGAGGAAGATACCGGTTGACAGCCAGAAGTTGGAACCGAGGGCACGGGACGAAAAGAACAAACGGAGGAAAGTAGAGTGCATGAGCACGTAACCGATGAGAACAAGCAGGATGTCCAAGGAATCCGCTTTCTGCAGATATATTCAGTATTTAATTTACTCCTGACAGTTCTATGTAGAACTGACCTTGGTAAGTTCCCAGAAACGAAGAACGAGTGCGCGAAGGGCGTAAGCAACCCATTTGCTACTCCTCATCTCTCCAATGCTCTGCTCGCGTTTGACGCTCTGGATCTGGAATCGCAGACCGTCGACCTCAAATTTGGGAGTACGCTTGAGGGCCGACATCCAGTCATCACGGAAGCCTGGGGCGAAGGAAAGCGTGAGGGCACGGCAGTCGATATGAGTGAAACAATCGGTAGTGTTAGCTGGGGAGTGGCAGATCTCGCCATATGTCTTGCCGGAGAGGGATATGATCTCGTCGATCAGTTGAGTGGTGATCGATGACAATGAAGTCGAGTTGAGGGAAAGCGAAGGGTTCGCCTAAGGAGTATCATGTCAGTGATCAAAGCAATACGATTATCGCGAGATCCATCGTCGTGCAATGTAATCATGGGTCACAACCTCGACCACACCAAGGGGTACAACCGCAGATACATCCCCGCAAGCCTTCAAATAAAGCTTCGATTACGTGGATTCACGCAACACCAAGCACCATGAAGGTCAGGAAGAACCCGCGCAGCGCGTTCACACTGCTTTGAGGCATGATGCCCAGTGGCGGTTAATTGACTTGCTAGAATTCTCGGCAATTAAGGTAGTCCAGTTGGGCAAAGTATTCATATCGGATTTTGGATCGACAAATGCCGTGTCCAGGTGACTCTTAGCAGAAGTAAAGTCGACCTGATCCACCGGCGAAAGCCAGTGATCCAAACTCCGATTGACTTTGCTGAAGTCACACAGAAGCGAGGCAGAACGCTCAAGTAACCGCTCCGATGAGTTCGAATATGACCATGACACCACGATGCACGGTCCAAAACCGAACGGGAAGTTTGGACTGACCTTGCGAGTCTTATCATCCAACGAGAACACAATCTGTTGCAACTCGACTACGCGATCACCCTGACCCTTCACCCACTCGCGTTCGCTAATTCCACTCCATTCGCCCTTCGATAGTCTTGCGTGTGCGGGAAGAAGCGTGGACGGGAACGTAGGAGCGAAGAACGAGGAATGCTTGATGCCACTAAGGATGTGGAAGTAGGCAAGGGTCACGAGAACGAAAGTGAAGACGATAGTTTCAATGGGAGAGAATACGGAATGGTAGGCCAGCGGTCTTAGGAGAGCACGCATGGCGGGCGACGGGTAACTCTAAGGAATTAGCGGAGGCCTTGGGTATGCTATATAAACAAGAAAAGCACGGAAGCAGGGAGGTTAGTCGCTGCGGGGAAGCGTGATGAAGGGAGGAATACGTGCGGGGTGTTGAGACCCTTGGAACAGCCGTCCGGGAATAAAGGTATATGTACTATTGACCACGCACAAATAGAGTTAGAAAGACAAGGACCGGCAGAGGAATGGTGGAAACACGAAAAGGAGAATCGCAAAGTCGAACGACTTTCATTACCCCGGCTATGTAATTGGGCGTCTCTTTTCCCCGTCGCACTGATCACCGGCACCGCTTGCTCTTCCGTATCTTGCGTCGTTACTGCTCCTTCTTCCACAATCTTCTGCTGGTCTTGAAGTGTAGCCCTCGGAAAGCGACATAGACGAGACTGCCTGAGTTGAAAATAGACGGCTCTCAATTGTCTTCCATGAGATTCAGATATTTCCGTATCAGGAGCGCCTCTATTGTCCCCAGACAACCAATTGGAATTTGGCGGTGTTCTTCATTCTCCGCTTTGCAATCCTTAAAGACCTGATACAGATCCAGGACCATTTCTCCTGCCATCCAACAAAGGATTTGACTGCTGCATTCCTGTCTGTGGCTTGATAAGTCGCCTATTGCTCATCTCATACCGGAGGCTTGGTCTGAATCGAAACGCCATCATCACAGCAGATAGCGGCATCTGCATCAAGTCTGAACTGGTTGCAATGTTCATTCCGACGCTAAGGACAGCAACAAGCACTAGCCACTAAGAGGCACTAGCCAATACCAATCATCATTTTCTAGTAACTTACTCTAGTAATCGTCACAATCGATATCACAGCCAGTCAGCGACCTTGACCTATACGCTCTCGTCAGCTGCTCCTCATCCACGTTCTTCGGACGAACCTAGGTGTCTATCTGCTCATTAATATCTACTTCATCCAGGGGTCCTTATCCACAAAACCGAATCATCGTATGATTCTGCATAATGAAGTACTCCTTGGCGTCTTCAGCTTTGCACACCATCTGTCAAACCCTCGGTGAGGCCTATGATGCACTTTCTCTCGTGCGAACTAGCCTGATATCTTGACCAATCAGCATGTGCCGTCATATCCAAGGTCTGGACTCCGCTATATAGAAAGGTTACGGACCGCGTGCGGTTTCTTCAAATCCCTCCGATCGTCTGCAAGAGATTTATAGTACATGAGCACTGACTCGAGGCACGTTATCATCAATGGCTATCTCTTCATACCACTCGCAATCGCCTTGATGTCAAACCCATTAGTACGTTCTGATTCCTTCTGACCAGAATTGATATGCTCTTAATTATCTTCTGCCTCTTTCACATAAGACTGACTGAAGACAATGCTTGTTATTCTGGCTTGCAAGGTTTCACTGTTTCTTTCGGCGAGCATTGGCTATTTCGGCTGCGTAATACTCGCTTTTAATTAAGTATACTCCTGGACACAATATTAGCAGGTCTTCACAAGTCTTCCACGAGGCTTGCACGCCCCCATAGGAGGCACCAAGGAGGCACTACCACGAGTACCACAATGCTGCTCGATAGGCGGTCCAAGTTCTCGTTCCTCTTCCTTCATTCCATATCGCCCATGAGGACCCGCAGACATACCTTCTGTTCCCTAGCCTCATAGTGGAAATTCTCCGAATGCGCAAGAGCATAACCTTTCGACGTCTGTAATAAACGGCTTAGTAGTACAGCTGGCTAGGATGAACTCGGAATCACAATGATATTCTGTACCGAGCTTGTACTGCGTACTATACACTGGTACTGAAATATTGGACGTACAGTATCTATGTATTATCAACAACCGATGGGCCAAGAACAGAGCGGAAGGGGAGAGAAACTCAGTAACACCCCGGATATGGATACATGTATTTGAACCACTCGACGTGGAAGACTGGTTTCTTGGACATTAACGGGAACATCGCCTGCGCCACATCTTCCATGACCTTCACTGAGTTCCATAAGTTCGCCTCCAAAAACTCGAGTCGGAACTCATGAAAATCCTTAAACTTGTCACCAGCGAGGTATTCGTCTATCACTATTGTATCTTCAACGGGTTCCTGTTCTACCATGATGATTGTCAGGCTTCGTACGCTGGGTGCATCTAGAGAAACGAGAAACTGGTGAAGGGTCTCAGGTTGGTCACGTTCAAGGTACAGAGTGGCTATTCGCAGGGTCTTGAGGTTGGGTAAATTAGAGACTTGCTTTGCGATTGGGACAACTAGCAGGTATAAATAAGTAAATATACCTGCTGGATACTGTACATTCTTCGGTGGGGTTGGAGGGCTGGTGGACTCACCAAATTCAGGATCAATCAATAGGGAAATTTTCAAATACTCCAATGCAAGCGATGGACCAAGGCTAGCAATAGACTTGCGTAGCGATTCAGTATCGACATCGCTACCAACATGCAAGGACCTGAGGCTTGAGGATAATACGCCAGAATCGAGCCAGTCGCGAAACATCTCAAAGTCGATTACGTCGAAGTCTGTCTCATCGTTGCCTATGACCAGCGATTGCAATGTTGGTGGGGGGTGAAGCAGAGGATAGACCACCGGCGCATCATGATCGTCGAAAGAAGAACGATTGGTAGAAGAGCTTATTGCGATTTTTTCTGGGGCAGGCGCCGCTTCCAGTGCTAAAGCCGACCGAGCAGGTGTGGAAGGAGACTGACGATCCGAACCGCTCGACCAATCACAAAGTAGTGCCTTTTCCGGTGCGTGGAAGTCGCATTCGACGAAGAAAGCCCTTGTCAGGCTCGGAAGAGCACGGACCATAGCGGTCATGGCGTTTGCGCTCATCTGGCATTCCCATAGGTTCAAATGCTCGACCGACTTTAGCTGTGCCAAGTGAGGAATCCAGCAGGCGAAAGCTTCGAGGTCCTCGCGAAGATCATAGATAGGTTTGAAATGGAAGAGCTCCAGAATCCTGATATTCGGTGCAGTGACACCGAGAATGGTGGGAAATTGATATACCCAACGATCTTCGTAGCCTTTGGGATCCTCCTGATCCTCTTGATCTGACAAATCTGACAGATCTCCATAGTCAGGACGCTCAGGATACACATCTATGCGTACTTTGCGTATCCAGTTGGCGATGTTTGGCTCGGCACGGACAAGCTCAGCGAACCTGCAGAGACTTTCCTCGCTCCGTATCAAAATATAGCGGAAAATATGAGGTCTGGCCGCACTACGCCATCTCGTGCAGGTGCGAGCAAATGCACTCAATGTGAAATGGGAGGCACACTCGATATTTTCAGGCTCCCAAAGTTGCTCGAGAATGAGATCAAGCAGCTCCATCGGCAACAGTAGAACCTTATTCACAGCTGTTCAACAAGAACTTCAGTAAATATCATGGATTATAAACAGGAAAGGAGCGAACTATCGCCGTCTTCTGAGTTGTCTGGGGAGGCGCTCTCGTCGACGCGAGGACGTTTAGCGGGTTTGCGATCATCACATTTAGAGTGGGTACTCCTACGGGTAGCATTCAGCTTCCCATCTGAGAACGCAGGCAAAGTGATCCGACGACGTACGGGGACTGATCATCGACAGAAGCCAGTTGTTTCAATTCTAACGTCACGTGTTCGTTTCTATGAAGATAAATGATGAGTATATTTCTTGGGGAAAGTACTTAACAACCGACGAAGAATCAATGTTCGGCTCAGTCTCATCTCGAGGTCTCTTGAGAGGTGGGTACATTGTGACTGAAGGAGGTCTGAGATGTCACACGGTCAATACTGCAGTACCTTTCTGAAAGAAAAGTGACGTACAATGCTTCTTTGTGGTCGTCATGCTGGGAAATGTCTAAGTACTCATCCTTTTCCGTGCGGATTCGCTTTGAAGGTCTTTTCTCAGTATCTCCAGCAGGCCTACATTAAATTCAATGAATATTATGAATGCAACGAACAAGATAAGGTCGTACAAGATAAGTTCCGATTCCAGAGCATCGGCAGATCGTTTGGTACCCCCAGCAGGCGACTTCGATATAGCACTTTAAGGTGGTCAACGCGCTGTCACTGTGTATGATGATGCCACGGCGACATACAGGACTCCGACTGATTTCTGGTTCGTACCATTCAAGATGTTCATGGTGTAGAAGAACGCGTAAGTATGAGAGAGCTCGTTGCAAAACAAACTTATTATTCTTCTGGAGCCTGAGACAACGCCAAGTGATGTCGCTGTTCTTGTATTCTAACTTCTGAGTCTCGGTCACAGTGTGTTCCAACTTCCCACGTTGAAGTAATTTCCTTTTACGATTTTCCCTTTACGATTTTCGGGTTCCTGGCGTGCAGTGGACAAAGGCCAACCGACCACCTTGCAATGTTGAATAAATGGCTGTTCGCAGCTGTCAAGATTTATACACGGTTATCTTCATACTTGTAACTAGCAACGCCCGTGCTCACGGTAGGTGCACAGTGATTTCTACATTAAATTCGTGACGTTGCGTCGAACACAATGAGGCAGTAGTACGATCTGTCTCTAATTACTAGTTTTTGGTGTGAAAGATGCACAGATCAAAAGACTTCCTATCATTGGCCTTCGCTCAAACAGGGAAGAACCCAATGCAGACGCCGTCGGAACGACGTCTTGAATTCACTCCTTCACCTTCTATGGACCACCTGTTCGCATTTATTGTCATGGTTTTTTTCCGTTGTGGCTTTCTTGTATTCATTTATCTATTCATCGAGATCGGCTATATCATAATTTAAACCTGCTTGATATTGGTGGATGGCTGCCGTAAGGTCATTTGATTGAGTGGTCTAAAGTTACAGTACGCACGTTAAACGTGGACGGAAAGACTCGCAGAAGTTGGTTGGTTAATAGTCATCTGCAGCATTGATGGACGGCTTAACACCAAAAAGCCCTTCAAAAATCCGGATACGTTGGTTTGTACACCTCGATACGTAGAAAATCTGCTTTGGCCATGGCACGTAAACCGTATTTTAGAAATCGGCGTCCCAATCTTTACTTTGCCTTCGCGATTGCTTCTTGACTAGCCCTTGTAAATCCAGCAGAAAAATAAGAATCCACGAAATCCTTGATGTACGACACCTTGTACCGCCCATCTTCCCGTTTGATAACATGGAAGACCCAGATGTACTCATTCGCATAATCGTAGTTGAGTACGGTCTTTCCATCCCCTTTCGCCTGACAGAAATAAGCCGAATCAGAAATATCAAAAAGGGGAGAGATAGAAGGTAAGCAGCTCTCACATGAATGACCACTTTTCCATCCCCCTCAATGATCTCAAGGATCTTCGCCTGGCATGGTATTAAACTGAGTCACTTTTCTAGTATCGCTTGAAGAACCATCCATTGACTTACCGTGTACTCAATAAACAGACTCATGATCTTCTTGTAATAAGCTCCTTTCCAACGAAGTCAGGAAATCCTAAATTCGCCGGATGTACGCTCTGAACAAAATCATCCGTTATTGTGTCGGCGACAGCGTCCCAATCTTGGTTTGCCATGCCCTCCACCCATTTAAGCGTAACTTGTAATTGGGAAGACGGATTTTCAGGAATTGCGTCAGATTTTACATAGACCATGGTAGATTTTTAGGTGGAGGAGGCGACTGTAGCCCGGAACTGTTGAGTCAAGGCTCGTTTCGGAACTGATTATCCTCACCTGGGTTAAGCCGACTCTGTCCTGTAAAGTTGCGTGATTAATGCACCAACACACCTCCTTATATTTATACTTCTTGTTCGGGCGAGTCCGGTCGTCGATAAAGGGCTTCTCAACACTTTCTACACATGTGCCCAAGTCGCAACTGCCGACGTTGCCTTCTGAACCGCACTCATACAATCAACCCCCCTTTCCTGGGATGAAGGTCACTAACGGCGATGTCAGAAGGCAGTTCACGTGATGCATGTGGCAAATATCCCGTGAACACGAACCTGTATGCAAGCCTGCAAGCCTGAGACCGCAATGATTACTGTGACGCTAGCACAATATTACTTACTATCATCCCGGTATATCTTACGTTGTTCATTATAATCAAAGAGGTGTTTTGTCACACAGAAGGCTTGCGCTCTGTCATCTTGTTTGAAGCATCTGTAAGCTTCGTACTCGTCCAAATCCCGTGGTTTTCTATCCCTTGCCAGGCCCCGAGTCGGCAACAATGGTCGATCTGAATGCCGAAAGGCGCTAGTGACCTTACATTGCGAACCTGCTAACTTAGTCTGCGCTAAGCCCCGAAACAGCACAAGCCGGGGCCAAAACAAAGAAGGAAGTCGACGCCGCCTTCGTGGAGCTTAAGGTGAGGGCGATCATGAAGTTTAGGTTCAAGGAGGTCGAGGAGAAGCCAGCATGGATGACATTAACAGGATGTCATGGCTGTTGACGAATGGTCTTTTGGCCGCGGTCATTCAGCTGAGCAGCCAGTCCCTTAGCGCTGCTAAAGCGGATGAAGATGACCTACGCCGGACACGAAATATCTATTTCTCTGTCATTCTCTGGTCGACATTTGGGCAGGCCATCGTCCGTTTCTTCGGAGTAAGTCATATAATCGATAACAAGGATGTTTCTTCTCACCTTGCATTCATTAGGCCTTGGTCTGCTTATGCAAGCACTACTTCGTTCGTGGATGAAGCTTTGAAGGGGCACTTTGAGATCCCAACCAGTCACAACGGCGACAGCAAGCAAGTCCGTCGAAAGGTGGATGAGTATGAGAATACATGGAAGCGATCCCCAAATTCACGCCATAAATGAAGGATACAACGCGAACAGGTGAACACTGAGAAACGGTAAGGCATAATCAGCCGGCAAGAGCCTCAGCTCTGGAAAGATTCATGATGCCTCTGCCAAAACCGGCGGCCACAGCTGTAAAGCCGCCTTCTTTCACTTCCGACAAGAAGACATCATGTTGGTCAGCAAGTCTCTCATTATTTCTGCGGATTTCCCGAACGATTCCATGGGAGCGAGCGCAATTAGGGCACTCAGTATCGTGATCACCGAGACACCTGAAACATCACTGTAAGCCGAATATAAAATTTAGTGGTGGTTGCGCGACCCACCGTTGGTGATAACTGTGGTTGCACATGAAATGTACACTGGGCAAATCAAGCTGACCTTTACACGCTGAACATTGGGTGACGTGGAACACCCTGGGATGATCTGGGTCTGACAGCTCTTCCACTTGCTTGAGTTTCGTTTGGGATTCAGTTCGATATGACTCGGTGAGTGCCTTGTCCTAGACAAAAAGAGGTATAAACGGGTCAAGCCCAATCTTCGAACGCTATCAGCACTGACCGTCTCGATCTCATCCTTAGCCTCTCTAATACGAGAAACAAGCCATTGTTTCACCAATCCAACACTCGCGACACCATTTCTGCTGAGAACCTGAACTACGTTCAACGGAGGCATGATGTTCTCGGCGTCTATGTGTTCCAACATCTTCGTGACGTCAGCCGTATGTCTAGACAGTAGGTCCGGCGATGAAGTAAGGAACCGCAAGACTAAGGGGTACAAGTGTGGGTGATCGGGGCCATAGTGATCGAGACAGCGTATGACTTCGCTTGAAGCATCAGTTGAATCACTACCACCCTCTGCATACTTATCCATCCAGAACCGAACGACGTCTTCATACATGCCCAGTTTTTCCCACAGGAGCACAAGACCGGGTGTGAAGTTCTGTGTGGAACACAGAATGAGAGCGTGCGTTGGGTCGCAGGGTATATGCTCGCTCTTGAGCAGCTGCAGAGCTTTGTCGATGAAGGCTTCCTTCTCCGAGGAATCTAACGAGGAGGAGGAAGAAAGATACAGTTCTAGCAGAGTATTCCACACAGCAATCTGATCGGCTTTCTCAGCCTGAGCATCCACGAACGGGTCAGATTCAACAACGACAGGCACACCCGTCTCGTCCAGTCGCTGACCCCACCTTTTCAGCGCAACGCTTTCCAAGAACTGCATGAATTTCTCTTTGTGATCAATGAAGTGAGGGAAGTATATTCTTGGCGAAGGTCGCTTGACAGTCGTGATTCGTGCATGAGGGGGTGGTTGACCGTGTGTCGGGGTCGCGGGGGGAGGCGTTGCTGTCCGTGATTCATGCGACGAATCATGTTGAGATGCTCGGTCAGCTACGGGAGGCGCAGGTCCAGGGGCAACAGCAGGTGGAGCACCACGGTCTCTGCTAAGAGCCAGATATGAGAGGTAGGAAGGTCCTCCTGTGCTAGGTTGTCGGCTCGGCGGTGAACGCTCGTCTGTCTCAATGGTTAGTGGCGTGAGGCTAGTGCATACGTCGATCAGAAGCTGCGTAGTCTCTTCTGGTAGGCTTGCCAACATCGCACGTCCATATCGAGCTAAATTACTTTCAGTCTATAATATGATTAGCACGAACTGAGATGGGAGGTTACTAGATATCACGCTTACAGCTTCTGTACCCATGCGTCGGAGATATAACAACGCATCCTTATAGTTTCCAGCATCTTCAATCTGGATTTGAAGATAGTCCTCGTGACGCTCGTACTTCTTGGCCAGATACGACGCATGTTCGAAGTATCCTGCCTGTCTACAAACCCGGATCGCAGTATCCAGATCGAAGGGCAACTCGTCACTGCCGCCATCAGCTGATGACCGTTTCGACTCAGTCTTGATGAAGCTATCTAGTCTAGCAACATCCTTCAGCTTGGTGTAAGTATTCAGTAGAAGCGTGGTATGATCAGAATTGGCAAGACCAAGCGCGTGTAATTCTTGCAGGTAGGTTGCTAAGTTGTGAATCCTTTGAGCATCGAGAAGCTGAAATTAATGATGGTAAGAGTCTGCCCTGCATAATCACCTTGCTCGCTTACCTTTCGAATGACGTAGCTAGGTTGAACATGACCGATGGTCTTGACATATTGCTGAGTGGCGCCATCGTAGTCGGCTTTGTTGTATAGATGATCGCCGTATTGGCGATGTATATCGGCAACACTCGATGAATCCAGACCTTGCGTCTTCGCTAGATTCAGGGCTAGCAGGAACTGTGACTTCGCATACAGCATGCTGAGTTTCGTCGATGTTGGCTTCTCTTCTAGACAAGTGAGCTTCGGGAACATGTCAGTTCTGCTGATCGTGTTTTCACTGGTACGCTTCCTACCTTTCCAACATTGCTCAACAGATAGACCTCATCAGACGCTAAAAAGATCTCCCTTACGCCATCCGTGAAGGTACTTGAGAAGGCGACGAACTTGTTCTCCAGGTCAAGGACCGTCACTTTGGTGATCTCAGCATTCGCATCTGTACTCCTCGTGACGAAGTTACGGACAGTAGCAGAGGCTGCAGAGGCAGATGGAGAGAACGGCGGCGAAACCATGACTAGGTAATTCCTATGTGTATGAACGGAGAGTTTCTGGCCTAGAAATGGATGAGGGGATGATTATTAGTCCACTTGATCAGATGGACTAGATCGTACCTTCATAAGCGTAACTGGCTCCACGGCTTTCAACACCGCACACGTAAACCGCTTCATCTCGTGCGACAAGCATGTTCTTCGCGTGCCAGTCCATAGTCGCACATCCAAGCGCACACCCGACTTCGTCCACCAGAGTAGGCGTTCCGCCACTACCGCGACCGGATACTTGATAACAGAGAACGCGGTTCGTGGTCACAATGAAAAGATAGATATTTGAATTCTCCTCATCAGGTTCTCTGAAGCCTAGCCCTGTGATCGGTTCTGACGGTGATTCATGGATAACGCGGGGCTTTGGAAGCGTGGTCAGATTGCTAGTTCCGGAGAATATGGATTGATCGAGATGACGGTAGAGTATTACTGTTCCATCCCCTAGACCGATTGCAAGGTAGGATAGGGTACTTGACAATGCAAGCGTCGTTACCTAAGGAATTGTTGCATATATTTTTCATGAGAGAAATGATGTGGACATACTGGATGAGGTCGATTGCCAACCTGAACCTTGGTCGATCGGAGGAGCAGGGGTCCTCCCGTCTTCTTATCAGAAATGTTCAAGTCCCACACCTTGAGTAACGGTTGCCTGACCAAATCTTCCTCCTATTTGACGATGATCAGAGACACCCGGTGAAAAGGATAGAAAAGATGACGTGCCCCCAAGGTAACAAGAATGCCCTTCCTCTCAGCCATATGCGTCACTCGCCCCGACGTATGCGCAACCCAGCTCTTGGATACTTCGAAATCTCTGTTGAGCACATACAGACTTCCATGTATGTCAGCCACAGCCGTCCCAGAGGACGTTGGTGTTATGCAAGAGAATTCTGGCGTTTTCTACTCGGGAAATGCGTGAGTTAAACGCCCTCATCCGTATAACTAGCAACTCACCTTGAATATCTCAGGGTCACTTCCCAGGTCATGAACATCTTTCACCGGCACCACGTCAAAGAATGTAAATTGCCGCCACTAACATTGTCATCTTAAAAATTGTGAACGTCATGTTCATTACAGAGCACGTACTTACAGCGGATGGAGCTGACTGTGTGTCTCGTGAAGCCATGGTTATTCAAAGAGGTGTAAGGGTAGTAAGGCTCAGTATCGAGGTGTTGGTGTGGAAGACAACTTTAAAGCAGCAAAATAAGGAGCATTGGAAGCCAGAATAGCAAAAAGCCCAGTGAAGGTGGTGGATGCGTGTAGCAAGTCTACCAGGACACGCTCAGAACCGAAGTCATTAAGGGAAATATCCATTTCCGGAAGGGTCTACCTAAATATGGTAATGACTTCTAGTTCGGAAGAGATTCACGAATTTCAGGTAAGAACTCCAGCATACGTACATATGACATGGTGAGAAATGTCCTGCACGTTCATCGATGCCAAGATTTCATACATATACCACGACAGCACTGTCAAATACCCCTTTAGATATAGTCGCTGTTTCCAAAACAGAGTTGTATTCAAACTCTTCCTAGCGTGTATAACCTCCCAGAAATTCTTGTGCACACTTCACCGCAGGCGTGAGTTGCTGAATTCATTAATCTGCTGAATATCAGAATATACATGTTGCGTAAATGATGGTTCATCCCTTCTGTTGTATTCCACCACATTCAGTCCATACTCGGATCTATTTGAGGAACTACAAGAATGGATCACTCCTCCAAGCTCGACGTCGCTTTGATTAGCTGGGGACGAAAAGAGTCTCTCAATTTTGTCCAGCGCCATCCGACGCCAAAACGACGGAAAACGCATTCGTCTTCAGCGCGGAAGGGAACAATTCTTGCCATGTTACCACACTAATCTCGTAATACGGCGAGGGCGGCTGTATATCATGTATCTCAGCTTCAACTTGAAGCCGAGGATGTTTTAGGATGAGACTGCATAAGGCCTTGTCAAGACCTACAGTATCGGAGGGGTGCATTTCCGAGACCGGCTCGATAAACCGCATACGCAGAAAGCATAACTTGGGAGAGTCCATTGTCGATATGAGACGTTGGTGCCATCCAGTTGTGTGAGCTAAGATCAAACCGATACTCAAGGACCGCAGGTTCGCGTTATGCTCCAAAGTCATGTCTGTAAAATAATCTTTTTCAGCACTCCGCATATGCTGCAGACTGAGGAAGGTGATCGCACCCATTTCCATACCCGAAGTCGGCCAATATCGGTCGCCATAAAGATGTAATTTAAGATCTTCGATGCTTGAACCACAATGCTTGAGAACGTCATTGAGAGTCAATAGGATTTCTAGACTTTCATGAACACTACTGGAGATCTCAAGCCGTCGCAGGTTGTGTGGGGTCGCCGTGGAATCTACTAGCCATCGGAGGAGCGGGATCATCACCTTAGGTCCTGTGATCTCAAAGATGCCGAGAGCAATGCGAAGGGCGTGCAGGCCTATTTGATGCGAGCATCTGACAATCGCTTCGTTTCGACCAGTTTCATGCGTATGGTGTTCTGCATCACCTTCGACAGTAATTAATGACAGGCTTGAGATGTTGGGCAAGCTCGAGAGCATTTGAATGTAATGCTTTAGAGTGGAACGCTCGCCAACAGAACAGGTCAGCTCCCGGACGCTTTTAAACTGTGCGAGACTTCGAAAGAAGCTCGGGTGAACGCAGCTCATGTCAAGTTCGCCAAGTGACAAGCTACGGAAGTTCGCGTCAAGCGATCCAACGAGTAAGAGGGCGGAACTGATTATGCCAGGTTTCTTTGGCCCCTCTCCCTTGAATGCAAGAGATTCTATCAACGCGCCATTACGTCGGCCGGCGCGAAGACAGTGTACAAAACGGGTCACGCATGCAGCATCGTCATCCATACTGCCTCCCAGTACGATATCATGGTATAGATAATATCGACTTCTGGGCAACCAAGACCGACATGTGAGGCAACATGCTGCGAGCCATGCACGCTGCGATCTTTGTATCAGGTTGTATCCTGGATAATCAAAATCAAGCAGACACACTCTGCGCTCCTCAACGACTCCATCGTTGTGAATATGAAAAATCACCATCTCCCAAATCTCGGTGGGCAGATCTGTCATGTTGAAGACAGAAGAAGCGTCGTGGTAGGGAGTCGTCTACTATAGTTCAAGCACAAGATCAAGAATGATTTGGAGTCATAAGGCCGCCCACCTAAAACGAGAAAGGAGCTCGATGACACTAACTGCGTTATAAACGGAACTCAGAGAGGAGGGTCATATAGAAAATAACAGAATATAAATGAAATCAGAGTGCCAGAATCACGGTGGAAGAGGGTAAAAGCAGGATCTAGTAGGATCACGGTGATGGAGAACTTCAAGCCTCCAGAAGCCTCGATCGTCAAATATGGATTGAGCGTCTATAGCTGCTTCATGGCTTTCTCTTCCTTTGCAATTTCTAACTCATGAGCGGTCGCATTTGAATTTGAGAAGTTACTGATTATCCTTCCGCAGTGCGACGGTGACTGGCACGTTTGCCAACTATTGACAACTTGACGCCATTGGCAGACGTCCACCAAAAATAGAAGACAGGACAACATGGCGGTATCCGGGTCGTAAGTACTATTTATATTCAGCATGAACTTACTCGCAAAAGGTATTGTTCCTATGCAAAAGAATCACGATCCGTGTGTGAAAGCTTTGCACTTAATAGCATGCAGCATGTCGTAACGTGAATTGGCCAACCACAGAGTATCCATGCGCGTCGCTGTCTTGATGACATCGGTCATTCTGTCTGTACTAAAGGTCTGCCACCAGCTCTTTGAAGCTTCAATGGGAACCACTCTATCGTGGCTAACATAGGTACGGGAGTCTTCTGCTTGTCTCAGGGGTCTCAATACATCGTGTCTCAGCGAAGATCTTTCAAAGTCTCCATTCTGACATCTGTGTGAAGTTGCTCGGCGTTGAGAGTCTAGGATCCTGCTGATTCCAATGTGAATGGTTTTATGAAACGTCACAGGCCTGGGATTCACTCAAAATCTCGGCATTCCAGCACTATGGCTACCATGGTATGTCTTGTCATAGAATGACGGAGACAAATCGTATGGTCGAGGATGGACGGTGATGTATCAATTTCCAAATTAGCTATTCTTAACAAAGCTCCATCTGTCAATCTATCCAATGTGTACACTCTTCTTCTACGGGAGACCTGTGCGAAAGATGGACCAGCGGCGAGATTGACTACAAAGATGTCCAACCACCAGAAAGATCTCCCCAGAGTCGGTCTGGCTACCTACCCGACGCATTGCTCAAAATCCTCTTGGCATATTATGTTCTCGTGGAACGAGGACCGACAAGCCAATGAAAAGGGTGAGTGCCGCCTCCTGTTCTGGGACATGGCAATAACGACCGCATGTTGGATGTGATGACCAGCAATCGTCATCAAAGTCTTGCATTTCACAGCCGGTCTGTATTTGTACGTTCTTGATATGCATTCTGCAGGTGATTCCTAGCTGCTTAGAGTATGGTGTGTATAGCTGGGAATTCCTCACAACACTGGACTTCGAGTGGAGCTTCATATCGAGAAGGCGCGCGTTCAAATGGCCAATGGTGCATTAGCTCTTCAGCCATCCTGGCCCTAAACTTTAAGGCTTATATCGGGGTTCCATAGCTCTTTTACTTCTTGAATCGCTACTGCTATCTCGCTGCAATCACCTGCCTGTATGTGTTCGCTTTCACAACTTCATGTCTGCCGTGACTAACCCCCCCGTGATTAGTTTATACACTGAGGACGCTCCTCTGACGACGTAGGCACTGTAAAATTTTACCCCACGGATCCGGATCCTTACAATTCTACGGTTTTTTAGAAGGATCAATTGTGGTGCATTGTACAACTTCATCCAGGTGAATATTTGTCCGTCCGCCTGGCAATGTTTCTAAGGGCTTACTTTGATTACCTAAAAGATCGCCGGCAACATGGCCGTTGGCTTTGCAAGTCTTAATCTGGCCATACGCACGTAGGTAGGGGGTGTTGATACAATGACATGATCGTTGACATGAGGTAGAATCGCCATCTGGTCTGGCAACAAATATGTCATCACGGCCCTGACAATCATGATGCTCGGACAGTGGGCTCTCATATTCCAAGGTACCATCTTCGGCTCCCCATTCGCCCGTTAACCAGAGAACCTTCCCGTTATTATTTTCTTAGGCGGCTCTCTGCAGCACGACTGGGTATACGGTCTAGGCTGCGCCGATCTTCAGACAAACAACAAAGTACTCGCAGCTACGTACAGTCTATCCACATTCCTCGATACAGTCGTGCTAGTTCTTTCAGCGTGGAAATTAAGGATACTCGCCAAGGCAGTACAAAGCTCTAAGCTCGTGACTATGCTCTTCAGAGACGGGTTGATTTATTTCATCGTCGCGTGAGTGTGACGCAGTTTTCCCCCTTTATGCTTTGTTGTTGGGTGTACTTGCACTTACCGAACGGGTGAAGGCTTCTCGGCAATATTGTTGTTGTCATTTTCGAAGTCCTCAATATCGATCCAATCTTCGACGTCATATTCAATATCCCATCTGTTGCGGTTATCACGGTGAGTGCATCAATAAATCCTCGTTGTTTTCTTGTGAGCATTGACTATTGGCATCTAGATCGCTGCTACTCGAGCCGTCCGAAATCTCCAGGAGCAGCTCAGCACATCGCCGGAGACTATGTACGCTGTTGCATCTCTCAGTTCAATTAGTTACTAACGCACGCCGTTTTAGAATTCCAAGTGCTGCGTTCACGACTCGATTTCCCTCCATAGAATCCCCCATGAGCGTTCACACCTATCAATCCGTGTACCGAAGTCGTCAATATACTGTGGACATGGAATCCTTGGTCATTCCGGATCCTAATAGGGATAAAGCAAGTACCTATGGCGAGGACGGGTCGCAGGTTTGTGCTTAAAAGAACTCTGTATCCCACTTTCTTAAGATCCTGATTATTGAACGCAGATGAGGAAAGCGCAGTTGACTCCCTTGTTGTATTGAACTTGACAATTTGGAAAACGTCTCCAATTAGACTTTTAGCCTCTTGCTACCGTAATGTGTTCCACTCTTTTTTCGTGCTCTTGCTATGTGCTGGACACTTTTGGATCCGTCGAGACTCGCCTGTCCCTACTTGTAGACATTGCATGTAAAGATACGTCGCTAAATCAAAGCGTAATAATTCCTTCATTTTTTGGACATCTAAGAACACTGTCAACAACGAGTGATACAAGTACAGAAGAATTCAATAACAGAGGCTCATAACGTAAAGTCTACTACAAGTCAATCAAAAGATGAGACAAGGTTAAATAACAAACAACCAGAACGCAGAATATCATGCGCAGTACATACGATGTATATAAGCCTAGATGACATAACGGCATCATTGGGTAAAAGACACTAGGTCAATCCCAACAACGTAAAGCAGAGCTAGCAACGTCCAGGTCATTGATATCGACCGTTGCGCCGGCCAGCACGTTCGAGCTCAACCAGCATATCAACCACACGATCTCTCGCGTCCTCCAAAGATGCACCAAGCTTCTCATCCAGTCGTCCAAAACTATCATCAAAAGCAGGATTACCCAACGCCGTTCTCAAAGCGACGTGAAGCAAGATATTCTTGCGAGAAGGCGAAGGGGGTGGAGAGAGGATGACCGAGACTGAGGGAGCGCAGTTGGGGAACGATGACGGGAAGATACGCCTGTAGATCAGAGTAGCGCTCAAAAGTGAACGAATCTCGGCTTCGTCAGTGCTTGCGAGGTCATGTTCGTCCTCACAGTCCTCCTCGTCGTCCAATGAATCGCCAGAAGAGGGTTCGCGGGACGGAGGGAAGACGTCTTCCTGAGAACAGAACCCAGTATCCCAGATTCTCTCAAGAAGAAGAGCCAGCTCAGCTGTACGTCCGCCAATAGACTTTCCAGCTTCGATGGTCTCCTTCCTCTCCTTCTCATCCTTGTACTCTTTCTCAGAGTCATAGATCACATCCCTTGGGCCTTGTGGAACAACAGTCCTAACGAACATCAAAGCAGCGTGTTTCCGAAGACGTGCCCTCAAGAGGATAGCAGCCAAAACACCAAGTGGAGTCCGCTTTTCGCAGGCGGCGCAACGGCCTTTACGTTCAGTGATGTGCCATTGACGCCATCTCTCCAACCACTCAGCGGCTTCGTCAACGTCCATGTTGGAGAGGACAATGTTCTCATAGGGTCGGACAACGCGTTGACGAGCTTGTTCCCAGAGTGCGGCGGCTTTGGAACGCGAGACGGGTCGGATGATGAGCGCCAAGGTCGTAAGGTCGGTGGTAGAAGCTGAGTATGTCGAAATGTGACAAGACATACACCAGTAAGTCTGCAAACGAGTAGTGCGAGGCATACCGCCTGCGAGAAAGCGAGCTAATTTCAGATGCTGCATCCAACGATATTGAGAACGCGAAACCTACCATCGAAAGCGACAAGCTCTCCGAGCCTTACCCAAGCCCTCTGTTCCAATTGGTTCAACTCGATCCCGCGATCATGCTTAACAGCTTTGATCATACCCTGCATCAACCCAACCACCCCTGTCGAAACACCCAAACAGCTCCGCAACTGTACAGCCTCGTCAGATGTGCCACGGCGGGAAGCAGCCAATGCCTCCATGAGCTTACTGCGCTCCGGGATATCGGCGGTGGACTTTGTCAGAGGGTTGACAAGAGAGTCAGTAGTATCGGGAGTCTGAGCAGGAATAGAATTGGGGGCATCGGAAGTAGCGTGACTGTGAGTATAGGGTTGGGAGAAATATGAGGAGAGACGTGACAGCATTGACCATATCCGACGTTGTCTAAGAGCACCTGAAAGCCACGGGATGACGACGTAGAACAGGACCATGGTCGAAACCAACAAATGGAACGCTTGAATGAGTTCGTGCATACCGTAACCGTAGAACGTGTACGACGGCGATGGAGGTATGACTGGAACAGCATATGGTCCAATTGGGCTATCTGACAACACGACACCATGGTGAGAATGATGAGCGTGCGCAGTTGGTCGGGTGTACGAAGACGTCAGAGGGGAGTTGAATATAGAGAAGAACGCAAAGACTGCAAGCAAGTACTGCTGGGTCGGCTGTTCAGGAACAACAGACTGAACAGGTTGCTGCTGTTGCTGCTGCTGCTGGAACGACATATCCTGTTGTATGGCCATAGACATCGGCATGGGTTGGATAGGTTGCTCCCCGGTCGGGTAAGCAACTGGCATAATGGGTGGCGGGACAGCAGCCGCAGCAGGAGCAACTGGCAATGGATTCTTCCGTGGACGACCTCTCTTCCTCTTCTCCGGTACCGCTCCTGGAACAGTAGACACAGGCGCAGGAGGTGGCTTCGGAGGTCTTTCCTTCTTAACGGCTGCTGCTTTGGAGACTTTAGCTTTCTTACGAGAGCGACCTTCGTCGTCCTCGCCATCGCTATCTTCACCATCACCATCCTCATCGTCGCTACCGGCTTGAAGGAGTTCGTCTTCGATCTCGTCCTTCTCTTCACCGCCAAACCTGTCACGCCATTCGCGTTCCCATTCTTTTAGAAGAGCCGGACCACCGACAAGTCCAGAGACCAGAGATTTGAGACCGTCCTGTTCACGCTTAAGACGAGTCTCGCGTTTCTTGAGCACTCTTTTCAATATGTCAACAATCATATCTTCTCAGACATGATATGGTAGACATACCGAATGTATTCAGTTGCCTTTCCGAGAACGTTCGCCTTGCTCATCTTCCGTGCGACCTTAACTCCGTCAACGATCCCTCTATCATCCACGATGTCTCCGAAGACATTTGGAGCACCATTCTTGACCTCAAGAACACGCAATGCGGGAACGGCCTGTTTCAGACCTGTGATACGCGCGTTCAGATTCGTTCGGTAACGGCGCTCAATCGTCGTGTGGCTTGTCTTCGGTCGTCCCGTCGCTGAAGTCGGAGGAGGTGACGCCGAGACGGATGAAGGAGGCTCTGGCGAGCTAGCAGGTGGCGGAGTGGACTGTTCCCCATACGCTTCCCTTGATGGTGAAGGCACCGATGAAAGTGATTCTGACGAGGGAGAGGGCTTGACCGTCACACGCTTTTGCACAGGTGGAGGACTAGGACGGTGCAACCGAGGAATCGGAAGTTTCGTCTGTCCACCAGCGGCTGCCAACTGTTGTACCTGCGCACTGACGGGCACAGCAAGTGTTACACCTGCAATCTGTCGCACGCGATGTGCAAGCTCTGACGCCGGGTCGGACTCGCTATGACCACTATCGCTGCTAGCTGAACTAGCTACTGCAGATTGATTGGACATGACCGGGGAGAGGGAGGCGCCGGACGAAGACGAGGAAGAAGTGACACTGAGGCGTCTTCCGTTTGTCGTACCATTCCAAGTGTTAGCACCGGACTCGAAGGGAAACATAGAGGCAGAAATGAAGTCGCTCGTAAAGTCGTTGGAGCTCAGGCGATAGACATCGTTCGTGTTCTGAGGTGCGAACATCGACGGATTGAAGTGCAGAGCACTGGGGTCGACTGCCATATTCGAATTGAAGTCTAAGTCCATGGGCAAGGAGAAGTCGAACTCTGAGCCGAAGTCTGCTTGTTTCTCATTGCCAGTTCCCCAGTGTGACATTTGGGTCCAGTCTGGAGAGGTCGCAGTTGCTGAAGAATCTATATGTTCAGCATTGGAGATGGTCTGAAGCAATATATCCAGTGGGTCAGTGTGTCCGTCACCAAATTGCATGCCGTCAAGCGAGAGTTCTGATTTGAGCTTTTCGTCAAAGTTCACGGGCGGCGAGCTCATTGACGAGCAGCCCGACGACGAAGCTGGGGGAGAGTTCATGGCCGTCGAGACGAGGAGGAAAGCTGCGTCCAGGCTGGGCTCGGTTCCACTTTTCATAAACTCGAATCGCACCACTTCTCCCGTGGGAAACTCAATAATTGATCTCGGCTTCCCGCGCCAGACGCCCGCTGCGTACTGCCCTTGTCAAGCGCCCGTTCATCGGCTGCTGAGCCTGAGCTTGATGTTGTTCGTCCATTCTTCCCAAAGATGTCTCCGGATAGACTCCGTGTCGTGAAATATGTAGAGAATTCTGCATTTCCCGGAGAATGATAATCCTTTGCATGCCGATAGGTCATCGAAATTGAAGGGTCGCTGTCAAAGCCTACGTTACAGCACGAGAAGCATCGAGTCAACCGCTAGAGGGTTATTCTGGCTCGCAGTTGACTGCTGTTTTGTGAATTCGTAATAGGTAATGTATGATATGATCAAAAAGTGAGTTGTCTACCCACCTTATTCGTTCCCGAGGTTTTACTGCGGAGACGTGGAATGACTTCACGTTGCCAATGTCGCAATAGGTTGCTTCCTATCAGAGTCGCTTTAACAAACATGTCAATTCTACATGTTCGCGGCTATAAAATACGTTCAGGTCGCCTCGCTCTGGTGAAGTCCTCGCTGTAGCAATATGGTAAGTTTGTATGCCTGTGTAAACGATTAGACGCATGATAACAAACCAAGGCTCTGGTCCGCGAAATTGGTGCGCATTCAGGTTCTGTACGGCACGATGTAGCAATCAAGGTCTCGAATTTCGCGCAGTCGCTCTAAACTGTGGATTCTCTTCTCAACTTGCGGGACTGCCCCCAGTGAGATGTCAGCTGCTCATCCCATACACTTAATAATAATCCTCCATATTTGAAATGCTGAGCTTGCAAGAAATAGGAGTGGATTTTCTTCGGTTTCCTTCATTTTCCTTCATGCTACGAGATGACTCGGACCTGATAATTGTACTCAGCATAATAGGAGAATGGTAATGCTACGGCACAGTCAGATCGATCGAAGTGTGCAACACACAAACAGGATAGCACTGCTGCCGCTCCAGTCATGGTTAATGGCGGATCTATCAAAAGCATAATGGCAGAAAAATGTTCCGATTATGAGCATAAAATGGAGGTCGGTAAGAAAGAAAAGATGCAAGCGCTGTCTGCCTCCTGTCGAAAGTGTTTGGCTTTGTTTACCAAGAGCCTCGTTCCTGAAACTGTGGTGTCAAAAGCAAACGCAGCGGAAATTCCAAAGTACTGAAGGCTACAGGTATATATCCTCGAACAGCGCATCCTTGCTACGGCCTAGTATCTTATTTCTGCAGTGGATCCTCCTGTAAGTACCCTCGCACGCGCGAGGAGTGGAGAGCGTGCGATCGACGCCTCTGTCGTGACAGTTGAAGCCCAGTTATTACACTTCTCCAGATTCCAGCAAAGACGTGAGTTCATAATCACATATGTACCTCTTTTGACCTTCAACTATTTATAAGTGAAGTTCCATCATATTCCGGAGGAAGAGGCTATTGAAGTCGGATTTCGCAGCCTCCAAACGGCGGCGAATTTCGCCTTGCTACAAGAGTGCACCTCATCTGTGAAGGGCGGAGTCCGATGCACTGCATCTGTCATGCCAGACGATGATAACACAAACTCGTTTGGGATGAATTTGCCTATATCTTCCCGGGTTATTTTAATGACCATGATATATGGGTCTGCCGGGTTCGTCAACAAAACACAACTCCATGCCCTCCTGCACTGCAGAACCACATTCTTCAGAGCAAGGTTGCCAACTTGCGCTTCTTATACACCATACATTTTCATGTTCCCCTATGAACATGGTTCTGCTCTTCATTCTCCCGACAATCCAACCGGGATAGCCTATCTTTTAATGGACATGCTCTCGGGCCATCTTCTCAGATGGTGCAACACGGATGCGGCGTAGATATGTCCTTGAATGCTGGACTAATGTCTCCATTGACCTACAGCAACATTATTTTCAACGGTGTTGGCACTCGCTAATGATTGGACGATCAGCTCCGAACTGCCACCGCATACACGTTCTGTCCAGAATCATACATTAAAGTTGTGATACAATGATATAATGATTTCATCCATGATATGAAGGCCTTAGCTTTGAATGTAGGCTGAATATCTCCATTGAAGTTAAAGAACAGGAGGCTGACCGACAAGAATGAGGATAATCAGTTTAAGTATCAACAAGCCAAAAGCTAAAATGAGTATGTAAATTTTATCTCAGCCCTATCCCAAACTCTATATGTATCTTTGAACTATACAGAAGTTACTAACTAGCATTCAAAACAGTCACTGATAGAGGGAGCAAGAGTGGTGCAACACTAAAGGATGAAGGATTAAACGACAACCCCATTGTTCATACATGTTCTCAGCAAGCCCTTCCAGTCTCTTGATGGTACCAACACATCCTTCGTAAAACCAGCACCAGCAATCGTGGCCGCACCGGTGTTCACACGGAGCATAGTGAACATAACTCCAATCGTCCCATCCCCGGAGCCCATCAAGGCACCCTCTGCTTGATGCATTTGAATGCGCATTTCATTTCGTTGAGCCGATTCCATATCCTCGAATGCAACAACACGTGCATCTACCATGCGAAATGCGATTGCAGGTTGGTTCGAATGAGGTCGGCGTTCGAGGTCGATGATAAGGATGTACCGCTGAGAGCGAGTAGGGTCATTGTAGAGGTCGAGAGCTTGAACTGTGCATTCGAAGATCATAGGGCGATGTTTGCCCTTGAATTTCCTGAGTAGCACAATTTCATCCATTTCCTCTGTGGTCGCCTCTGCATCCCTTTGTTGTATCTGCTTGCACATGCTTTTGTGAGAGGGCCATGCTTTCTTTTGGCATTCCCTGCTCTACGATACAGAGGGACATATTAAGCACATCAGTTCAAAAACAGCTTGCAGAAGGGTAGATACTTACGCAGTATACATCGACCTTACACCCAGAGCAGCACTGCAAAGGTCCATCCAAGTCTGCTCGAGGTTTCCTACAATACTGGCATTCAACCATTCGCTTGTGTGTCGACATCCCACCCGCATTCCTGTCTCGAAGCTTCGCGCCCGAGCCACTGGTTTTCCCACTCTTCATCATGTGCAAATGGGTGTTAACGTTAAGGACTGAGAGAAACCAGTGGACGATAGGTCGCCAAGGGTCAAGGGCTTAGGATGACCAAAATGCGGTCTCTGCCAATCTCACGACGCAACGTGGAATGCAACACGAGGCTGAAATGAGAGAAAGGAAATTTAGTAAGCTTGGACGGCGCTCTCGTATTGTGATCATAAGGCAATCCGCAGGTCAAAAGAAGACACGAATTGACGCGAGAGGCGGCTACATCCATAGTCAATCCATAGTACACAGGCATTTGCGCACCACAAAGGTCGAGTGCAATAGGTATTGGTGCAATGTCACGAAAGGAATTCAGGTAGGTTTCTTAGTAGATGCCGATACTTTTGATCACCTTGACCAACATTTCTGCATCCCAGGTTCGCGATCGGTCGTCAGGGTGCCCATTGTCATGAACAACACAAACAGCGCACCAATCATGCCGTGACCAGAACAGAAACTCTGGTGGTGAGCGAACTGTAGCCATTCTAACGGGCATCTGCGGCGGTTGGATAGAACACCGTCTCGTCTAGGAGTGGGACGTCAGCAAAGGAACGCTATGCGCATGATGATGTAACTCTTCGCATCCTGGATTAGAAGAGAGGTTCAAGAATATTGAATATTGAGGGGTTGCACGTTGGCCTCCGCGATGGTAAGTTTCTTTTTGAATATTGAACAACAAACCGGTCCGGCTCACAGAGTTGCCATATTCAGATCGCTATCGATCGTGTTGATCATCTTTACAGTAATTCCGTTGTTCTCAGTGCCTGTGGCAGCGTCCAACGTCGTTCAGCCTCAGAGCCTTGACACTGTGCCAAAAAAATTGACTCTTGCCTTGGCAGACCTGGGTTCTTTTTCGGCACAGTAGCTGGGCTATGTATTTTCTTGATCAAAACGGATTTGAAACTTTGAAGACCATCATCAAATGGAATCGCCATACTCACTACTAGCTCCGGTGTGAATTGTTGCACATCATCGGCCGCTTCTGGGACCAGATTGCGCGATATCCTTGGGTGAATATACCTTTCGGGCAAGTACCTTTTGCTAGATTTTCAATAATCCAATTTACAACGACCACCACGTAAGAGGAGTAGCAAGGGTCGATCCATCTTTGCTTGGCCCGACTGGTTGGAGGCTTTACAATCCACACAAGGCTCTGTGCTCAGGGTACGGGAACTAGCTCGTGGGAGCAAAAATACTGATGAAGGTTCTTGGCGGTGACTCTTGGGACAATGTTGCGATCCTCATCTGAGCGATACCGGTATCCAGACTTCACTATTTCCATCAGACGTATCGTAACCAAGGCAAAGAGCCTGGTCCTGATTATAGCGCTTCAGGCGGTCCAACAGAACCACACAATTGTATATCAACTATCTACCATTAGCGCTGAGGCGTAAACCAGCAGTCGATTCTTTCTCGATCCTCCTCCATCTACGAATCCCTACCAAACCTTGTTCAGATGTATTCATGCAGCGTCCCCGACTGCAATCAACCCAGAGTGCGACGTGCCTCATGTGTCATTTGCAATCGACGTCTCTGCCTAGAACACCTCAAACCGGAGTTCCACACATGTCCAAACTTCGAGATCGAGGTGAGCTTGCCCTCACACTAAATTGTACGACCTTGTACTCATGAAGGACTTTGATATGCAGGACCAGGCAGATGCTTATTTTGAAGCTTCTGACAAGGCCAAAGCTGCGGAATTCGATCAGCTTCGGTCTTTGTTGAACTTCGACGCACTCCGACAGCGCGCGAGTTCCCTCAAGGGGGGAATTGCGTGCTCCATCCCTTTTGAGACTGATGAGGACCCAGCTCACGATATGGTTGGCGGAATGAATTATCATTTCCCCATTCATTTCACGGATGGCGAAACTTGGCTTTGCCGCGTTCGTCGACAGAACGTCACATCGCCTCCTACGGATCTGCAGAACGCCATCATCGAGAGCGAGGTTGCCACCATGCGCTTCTTGTCTGGTATACATGTGCCTGTCCCTCGTGTCCACGATTACGCTCTCCACACTCCCAGTAATTCTGTCGGAATGGCTTACGTCCTAATGGATATGGTTGAGGGCCATGCGCTCGACTGGGACAGTCTTGACGATGCTGCCAAGAAGCATGTCCTTGAACAGCTCGCTGATGTCTTCATCAAACTGTCCCAACATCCCTTCTCTGCCATCGGTTGTTTGTACCCCTCTGAAAGCGACTCAGCCACTATTGGCCCCATCACTGCTGATGACCTTGCGGACGGTGGTGAAGATGGTTCACTTTCAGTTCTTGGTCCTTTCAGTAGCTCCCAGTCATACCTGCACGCGACAATTGAGCGTAACCTTGGTTTTATCCGTGCTGGAAAGGCTTATGCGAACGCTCGTATTGATGCCTACCTCGTTCATCTGTATCTTCTCGATTCTCTTCCTGTTCTATCCAAGGGATCCAGCGATTCTGAGAAATTCTTTCTCAAACACATGGATGATAAGGGCGATCACATCCTCGTCGATGACAAGTTCAATATCGTCGGAATAATCGACTGGGAATGGGCACAATCCCTGCCGAAATCTGACGCATTTGCCTCGCCGCTCTTCTTGCTTGATGTCGCCCGCTATTACGAAGGCTATAATGAACTGAGTACAGACGAGACATTCTTTGCAACTGTCTTGGAGGCGAAGGGCCATAAAGAATTAGCAGAGCTTGCCAGGCTTGGTCGGGTTCAACATCGTATTTCTCATTGTGTGGGCGGGGACGTCGAGAATTCTGATGACTTCCCGATGCTTTTCGCTGGACTCCAGAAACTTCTTCTTGGAAATGACGATCCCGAGGTCGATTGGCACTCCTGGAGGACGAGTGCGCTGAAGAGGTATCGGTCAGACGTGGGATTGCAAGCATTGTTATCGGCGGAGAACCCGGTTTGATCTTGAAGGACCCATGATAATATGCCTGATATGCCGTTCTCCATGAAGAGCTTTGGATCCGGACATATGGCTGTACTTTCTCCGGACTCCCTAACGATCCCCGAAAATCATCAAATTTACTAGGAATTATCAGATTTTTTACTTGAAACTACTTGAAACTACTTCGAACTATAGAGATTACTTCTGAATCCCTCGATGTAGGTATCTACTGTAGTACGTATGAAAAATAGGTGGTCAAAGGTCAGGGGCAATTACGATTTAAATCCGAAGTACAACGCGCTAGAACACAAACAAGGTGGACGTATTACATCTAAGAAAGTTGAAGACGGAAACACAAACAGAATGTCACATACGATAACCACAACGTTGGCAAGACCTCCCGCAGGTCGACAACCATATTGAAACAAGGTCATAATAGACGGGCTTCAGTAAGGAGCCGCTGCAACCCAATATCATCTTTATACTTTATTAAAGCAAGTCCCTTCCATGTTTCCCATTCAACCGGAGTGTTATTTGCTCCAAAAAGAGACGTCTGAAGGCTCACGAAAGAGTCTGGGAGGTTCTCGGCAGTCTTGTTCTCGAAAATGCTGCGCCAAATGCGATGTTGCAGGCGACCATTGCGGACAAGCATCGCAAGCTCCTCCTTCCCTTTACCATCAAGTATATCCGCGAAAAGAATTTCATCATCACTAAGTTCCACGTCCGCATCACCAAAATATTTGTCGACTCCGGCAATGAACGACGGGGCTGCAAAGGCTTCAGCTTTCGGAACGGTCTGCGCCCATTCCCAGTCCACCACCCCAACAATGTTGTTGCCCTCATCCACAAGGATATGGTCACCTTTATCGTCCATGTGCTTCAGAAAGAAGCCGCCATCGGTATTCGTCGCCTTCACGATATCTGGAATGCATTCGTAAAGATACTTGTGCAGTAGATAGTTATCAACTCGATTCTTCACATAGCCCTTTCCAGAGTGGATGTACTCGAGGGTGCGCTCGAGGACAGCACGGAGGTATGTCTCGTGAGTATCATATGGACCAAGCAGAGAGACAGCACCATCTGGATGCAGATCCGCAAGGAAGCTCGTGTATGCGGTAAACGGACCGACGTCGTAAAACTCATCATCTCGTGATTGAAGACCACCTATGGCATTAAAGGAATGGCCGGATAGCTTGATGAAGATGTCGGCGTACTGCTCGAGGATGTACTTCTTGTCACCTTCATCAATGTAAGTCCAATTAAGAGGCTCGCCATTGACCTCGTCCATCAGGATATAGGCAGTGCCTACAGGGTTGTCGGAAGTATGGAGTCCAAAATCATGGACTCGAGGTACTGGGACGCCGACGCTGTGCAAGAAACGCATCGTTGCAACCTCGCTCTGGATGACCACGTCCTCGATGGCTGCAGGTGGCGTGTTTATATTTACCCTGCGAATGCGACAGATCCACGTATCCCCGTCGTCAAATTTGAGGGGGAAGTGGTAATTCATGCCACCCATCATGATGTAGCATGTATCTTCATCATATACCAGAGGCGGGGTTTCGCACCTGACGCCACCCTTTAGAGAAGACGCACGAGCGCACAGTGCATCCAAGTCCAATGAAGCAATAAGCTTGTTGATTTCTACAACCCGCGCATCAACCCAGGCGTCGTGGTATGCATCTTGTTCACTCTATACGAGAAATATCTATTAGGCCACTACCGTAGCGAACATCCTGCAGAATATAGCATACCTCGATAGAGCGATCCGGGCAAGGATGATACTCCTTCCCGAGATGTTCCACGCAGAAGCGTCGCTCACATAAGAGACAAGAGGCACCGTATAGGTTGGGACGGCGGCAAGAGGGTACAGAGCAAGTGTACATGACAGTACGAACAAACTCGGAGCTCCAGAAGAAGCGCTTTTCGCATCATTCTAATCGGAGTCTTTCCCATCAAGGTCCATGATTCCGATTCAACTCCGAATACAATTCGTGTTGTACGCTCGAGCTTTGAGAAGCCGCTAGTTGTGCCGCCTAGCAGCAATCTCTACCTGTAAGATGAGCGACATGCGTCCGGGTTTCACGGCAACATACAGTCAACTCCAAAAACGCAACCTGCCATGCTGATAAACACGTCCCGTCTCTGGTCGTGTAACCCGACCATTCTGCTCTTGTCAGTTTTAGATGGGTCTATAGAGTCAAAGTTTTGCCAAAGCTCCAGTCCAACGGCTGGAATCGAGTCTGAGCTTGACCTTGCTCGCCGATCCTTCGCAGGGGCATCTTCGAGAATGAGAACACGTTTGGCAAAGTTTGCTGTCCGGCGCATATGACTAGATTCTTTGTACGTCAGAAATATTTGATCTAGACCATGTTTTTTAACCCCAGGTTTAGAAGCGCAGGTCAAGTTCTCTCTCCCATCGACGGTAGCGAAGAAACGAACGTAGGTCCAGGGCCGTTCTCTAGATGTAGGCACGTCGAGTTTAGTGTGCTGCCATGTAAAAGATATTCTAATTGGTAGGATGCAACGTTTGCGCTATATCAAGGGAGTCATACCCTCGAGGATAATATGGCACGCCATGAGTGTCATCTTTACAGACAACGGGTAAACATCGTAGAAGCCGGGTTGTGTGTTCTTGTTTATCAAGAGCTTCGTTCCTGATCGATGATCGTCATGCCAACTCACTTGATTCCAACAGTGAATTATGGCGTATTTTATGAAGAGATATGACAAGACCGCATCAGTTCGATTACTGACTGGTAGCTCTGGTAGCTACGCGCCTTTTACTTTGCAGCAAAATGCAGGTCGTATGGGAACACTTTAAACACTTAAAAGCTTCTTGCCAGAACAATGGCCACACACATCCAGTCTCTGCAAAACCACTTCCTTCCGGGTTTCACTCTAGATTGTCTGACTTCGCATGAAGCCGCACATAGTATTGCGACGACTTTGGCCACAGCACCAGTATTACCCTAACCATTCCGTTTCCTGCCTGAATCATGCTCCGATGGCGTGGCTAACACAATTTTCAAGTTCGAGCGACCCCACGGATAAATTCAACCTTGAACCGTGGAACCAGGTGTCGGAGTTGAGCTTCGATATTTTCCACTTGCATAGCAAACTGACGGAGCGAATGAATATAAAATGTATCACAAATGTAACCTTCTATACAGGACAAATAGACCCGAAAGGCGTAACAGACATGTTGCTCAGTGTTGACGACATCATAGAGAGGCGTGGATGGCGTAGGATATCCGATGACTATGCTACTATACCCTCGTTCAGGGCCTTCAACAACTCTGATTTCCAAGGGGTACCAGGGCCTCCCCACTGAGCGATGAAGTCCGTCGTGAAACCCAAAGGTCGGATGACGCCCACATGGAGTTCCGGAGCAGAAAGAATGACGAGAAGGGATCCTATACTGTCCGTGCGGATTTCAAGTTCTTTGTTGGACCTCTGAGCGAATAGCAAGTCATCCTTTCTGGGGAGATTTTCGATGGCGAAAACCTCCGCAGCAACGGCATAGAGGGCTTTCTCAGGCCTGGCCCGTTCAGCGCGTTTCTTAACCTTCACAACGAGAGCATAGTCGTTGCAGCGACGCCAATCTTCAGAAAGACTCAGAGCCGATACGGCACTTTTCAACAAGGTGTAGGAGTGTTTGGCCGAGAACGCGGTGAGAAGCTCTTTATCTTCTTTTTCACAACTTGCCTGGGAGGACCTCTGGTTGAAACGACACTTTTCCTTGTGCGAAGGCCAATCTTGCTTCTGGCAGTCCTTGCTCTGATGAATGATTCAGCACCAGCGAAATTAGAGTAGAGAGCGTAGGATAGTGACTTACGCAATACAGAGTGACGTCGCAACCTTTGCAACGAAAGAGGGTGACGCCACGCCCTCCAACCTTGAAACAGAATTGACAACAGAAAGCAAGCGACTTGCTGCATTCCCCCTTGGGGTCGGACTCAGGATGTCTCTTTCGAAGCCCAGACGTAGGTGGAGTGCCGTCCATACCCAGGGTGTGGATGCACTTCTGACAGTTACAGAATGAATGGTCGTTGAAGTCCATGATGAACGGGGATTGATGTGATGATTCCCCTTGAAAATTGTGCTCTTATATGGGTCCTTCGTGAGCCACATTGAGACGGCCAAAGAATCCACATAAGGGCACGTCAAAGAAACACGCTGAGGACGCGTGGAGAACGAATGGCGATGCAAGATGCCAATGGACCCAGTGGCCGGTGCCTGACGGGACCGTTGAGGTGAGTGATACGTAAGGAACACAATAGGTTTCTGCAACGACGTATGGCCTGAAAGTAACAGATGAATATTAGCTGACGATGTCTTACTTAACTCGCCAACATTGCTTTGGCTTCCCAATGCAAGCAGTGCAAGTGCCGGACATCATGTTATCTGCCACTAGAACCACACATAACATACCAAACATCTCGAATGTACTGACCGAGCCTAGAGTGCGATTCTTCTCAGTGTGTGGGCTTGAACCTGTCGAACGGCACAGCCAGCTACGCCGATGGTGTACAATGTAGCCTTGCCATGAAGAACAAATATGATTAAAAGTCGCCCTCACCTGGATATAGGAGACATGAGAACTAGCTTCAGCCATCATGGGTCGGTGCGTACTTACTGTATAAAGGCAAGAAGCAGTTGTAGCGGCACCGCCTTGCCTCAGGTACTAGGTCTTGAGTTCACTAGTTAACGTGTATCGGTCTCGAGTACATGGCCTACTCGTCGCCCGATCAAAGAAAAGAAAAAAAGAAATCTTGGAAAGGAGATTCAGGGCACCTGATGCGCTGTCGTGACAGTAAACCACATGAGAAACAATGTGCAGATCTGAGAACAAGACAGATCAAAGAAGCGACTAGGTCGATGGTATACAAGAACATGCGTACTGCATGAGGGACACTTGAGCACAGTAGACATGATAGGAAAAAAAAATGAGAATGAAACGAGTAGCTCAGTCCGCTCAGATGACGACGCCCTCGTTCATCTTGATCAGCATCTCTTCCTTCCAGTTTCCAGGGGGAGCCAAAGCGTCCCTTGAGAAGCCGACAGACGCCACATTGGTCGCCATGGTGTCCACTACCATGAGCATCACAAAGAGCGCACCAATCATGCCATGGCCAGAACGAACGTTCTGGTTGTGAGCAAACTGGAGCTGTTGTTGCATTTCCTCCCTTTTCTCCTGCGGGAAGAAATCGAAAGAGACAACATCTGCACCAGTTGCATAGAATGCCGTCTCCGTTCGTTTAGACTCAGGACGTGAGCGAAGGAAGACCATGAGGATGTAGTTCTTTGCGCGGCTCGGATCGGAATAGAGATCGAGGGAACGCACACCGGCCTCAGCGATAGTAGGGCGGTGTTTGCTCGTAAAGGCTCGGAGAAGTTGTAAAGACTGCAAGTTCATCTCAGGCATTTCCTGAGTTCGTTGATTGAGGCGACATTTTGTTTTATGAGAAGGCCATGCCTTCTTTTGACACTCTTTGCTCTGCATTCGGCTTTGAGTTAGTGACGTTAGTGGCACGATGGAGAATAATAACTCACGCAATAAAGATCAACTTTGCATCCAGTGCAACGAAAGGGTGTGACACCAGGAGCTTTCGACCTCCAACATTGTTGACATTGAGTCAATTCTTTTCGACCTCTTTCACGAGGATCAGATGCAGGATGACGGTGGCGGCTACCTGAGGCAGCAGGTATGCCGCCTAATCCTAGCTCCTCTGCGCAGCAGGGACATCCAGGGGTGAAGAGCGAGGGCTGGGTATTCATATTGTTTCCAAGATCTTAGATTTCGTAGTTAGAGTGGCAGAAGACAAGAGGGTTGCAATGAAACCTCAGAATGAGACCTTGAGGTTCTGACTTCGGCTATCACCGTGGTCGAGAAAATGGCAAGAGTCGTAGTTGACGTTGGGTGGCCAAGTGAGAGATGCCAGTCCAATACAACAAGAATGATATTTATATGCACGACCGTGGCGCATATGGAAAATGACTTAGCCAAATGTCCCGGTCGGTTGCCATTCGAAACCAAACTAGACCGACTCAAACAATAGACTCAGATCAAAGACTCAAAGAAAGTATAGGTCAAACAATCACGACCCCATGCAGTCTCTTCCATGCCACCACAATTTGACGTCGTGTCAACCAGTCCTTAGTTCGCACGAGCACGAAATGAGCCCAGCCTGTAATCAAATTTCTGTTCATCTCGATATATCCCGTCAAGGGTCCGGGTGTCGGGAGTTGTTACCTAGTACCCAAATTCCCCAGTCCAAGGTTCCGCAGTACCCAAGGACACCCAGAAACACTGAAAATGAACATCGGGGCGCAGGAGGGTAAATTTATGGCGCTTCCCTGCCATCGCTGTATTCTTCATAATCCGAACTCGACTATAATGGCCGGGTTCGAACGAAGGTCGAGATGCTAGTCATACCTGTACTTAGGAGGGAGGACAAAAAAAACTCGATAAGAGATAACGAAACAATCACACACGAACTTACCTTAGCATGCTTCACAACTTACGGAATGCTTTTAGAGAATTCAGCTGAACTGTGGATTACGATGCCGACATGCTATCAATACAATAAATGAGGGGCTAATTGCTACAGCGAAACATAAAGATCATTAAACTCTACGAACTCCCCTGCGACCATCGGCAACAACGCCTGAGGTGGGCAAAGGAACCTCTCGACGCTCTCGACGCCAATAGGCCGGGTGAACCACCCTCTGGTACCCTCCTGGTTTTGTAGCTGGCGTAGCGCTCACACTCGCAGAGACCGAGCCAGGAGTGGCAGTGGCAGAAGACTCGCTTTCAACTGAGGTCACAATGGAGTAACCCTCCGCTTGGATGCTCAAGACTAGACTCAAGACGTCTGACTCGTTAAGAGTACGCGTTTCCGGAGGAAGTGTCAGGGTTGGGGCAGGTGTGGATGTTGGTCCTACAGTAACGGTGACAGTGACAACTGCGATGCCGTCTTCAGAAGCGGAAGAGGTCGCGGATGTTACGTTAGTCGCTACGGAAGAAGCTTGTGGGCTATTCGCGATAGAGGTAGTGGGAAACGCGATAGTGCCGTTCTTACTGGAAGCAACTTCGCCTTGTGCTCCAGCTGCATTAATGAGAGATAACGCATTGGCTTCACTTGTACAGACGAGTTGCTGGAAAGCACGATGATAATGAATTAGAAGAATAGAAGAGAGCAAGACATGACATACTGTTCCATTGGACGTGACGGAGGGGACTGCGAAGCATTTCCGTGAATCGGTGCATGGCTGGAGCTTCCATGAGCCGAACTGGCATAGTGCGAAACTGCCATTGATGCAGGCCATCTGTCCAGCTACACACAGAAGTTCAGTCGATGAAAAGACTGTTCATGAGAGGACAACTTACTATTGCAAGCATTGGTGGCACGAAGTTGTTGGAATTCAGCGTTTAGCGTCTGAGCATCCTGGCCATTCCGGATGAGAGTGGCAGAGTCTAAAGCGGGAGCCGCGAGAGTTAATGAAAGGAAGGAAAGAGCGAGAGAAAGTGTGTAGATCGTAAGTTGCATCATGATCAGGTCTAATGAGAAGTGGAGCACCGGGCTCAAGAGAAGTCAAACTTTGAAGGAAAGTCGTAAACGGCACAAGTACTGTAGGGTGAACTGGCCGAGATTTATAGCTCCATTCCAGGTACAATGTGTAGCCAAAGAAACCAAACAATGCATTTGTTCCTATTGTTCTGAGCCGCTCAAACACAGAGATGTCAAATCTTGAATTGTTTTCAGCTCGACGATGAGAGAGAATACAGCCTGGCCTAAGATATTTGCAACATTGAAGGACGGTGCCGGGTCAAAGACCCAAACGCAAACTTCAAACAAGAGGGTAGAACGGAGACTGGAAGCAGAAACAATTTAGTGGAAGGAGCGCAAAACGCTTATTGCCGAGAGGACCACGTGCGCATTCCAAATTAGGACGGTCTACCAAACGATGAGAACTGGTCAGTTCCAACTTCAAGACCGTCGCCGGGCCCGACTTCGTCAACTTCAAGACCACCCGACTTACTTTCACCATGGTGAGCATCGTTTCGACCCTTAGGAGCCGTTATGACTGTCCAAACCATACAAACTACGCCAAAATCCGCTCGAATGGGATGGATTGCTCGTTTCGCCTTTGGATGACATGCGCTTGGCGAGGACTCTGTCGCTGAAACTGGCTTCATCTCTAGACTAAGAAGAGAAGAAATAATGGACGCAACAAGAAGGGCCGCGGCCACGTCAGCTTCGTGCGCTGCTCCAACTGCTCTCGCTGTGTCGCCAAGGACAAGGCGATCAAGCGGTTCACCGTGAGGAACATGGTTGAGAGTGCTGCTGTTCGGGATATCAGCGAGGCTTCTGTCTACCCTGGTGCGTCTCGTGCACTTCACAATCTGGTGACCCGAGGATTCTGATTTTCGACTTGCTTGCAGAGTATGTCATCCCCAAGCTTTACATCAAAATTGCATACTGTGTATCATGCGCTATCCACTCGCACGGTACGTATTACCTCTCCAGTCGTGCATCTTAGCAGGTGCTTAATGTCTCGACTTTGTAGTCGTTCGTGTCCGCTCGCGAGAGGGTCGTCGCAACCGTGCACCCCCTCCCCGTGTCCGATGGAAGGATGGCAAGAAGGTCAACCCGGCTGTTGCTGCTGCCGAGGAGGCCAAGGCTGCAGCGAAGGCATCATAGGTCCATGTCGAAATGTACCATGTTTCCCGCTTTGTATCATTTTTCTTGACCGCATATTCATCGACTTTCCTGCGCCTTATATTTTTCATTCCACTATACTGCACTCGTGAGATTTGAAAGAACGATTCACATCAGCTGATCGAAGAATTGTTGTCGTTTGCTTCCCTCCCTTTGAAGCTGACATTGTTCATGTTTTGATACTTTGCTGTGTGGGGTTATGGGGTAGTCATTTCCGTTACATTGAGAACCCAAGTCTTGAGCAAAGCCGCATTGACACCACCCGAAAGTTGGAACTTGCATCAAATGGGCTGTGAGCGAACCCTAACCTGAACATCCACCGCGCGTACGATGGCGACCGAAGAAACGCAGCTGGACAAGGTCAAAGATGGTCTAGAGGGGACCAAAACAACATGGAAGGCTTGTCAAACAATCATCGGGTCCGTGCGTGTCAGATAATTCCAGGCGATAATCCTGTGCGGCCTCATCTAAGCTGGCATAAGCCAAAGCGGACTTTGAAGCAGCTCGCAGGAGCCTGCCCAACGTTTATATAACAACTCCCTATCAACCAACCACACTTCCCTTTCTCCCCTCAACTACTCTGAAACCTCTCTTGAGACTCCTTTATATCCTCTAAGATGTCTGACGACGAAGGTGGTGGCAGGAAAGGCGGTTATCGTCTCGACTACGCTCTCAACAACCGCACTGGTTGTAAAGGTGCGTCCGAGTACAACTTTTACCCCCTCTTCCCTGAGGTGCTAACGACCGCGTTTTTTCGCGTCTCTGTTGGTCTTATAGGTCCCAAGCCATGCCACGGTATATTTGTCTTGCGCTGCGTCGTTGGAGTGCCCTCACATCGTCTTACAGGTACTAAACTCCTCAAGGGCGAGTTCCGCCTCGGAACTCTCGTCGACTTCAGGGGTAACACGTCGTGGTAAGTGGTCCCTTAACAACCCCTCACATGCTTCCTGTTGTGCACGGAATCTCTATTTGAACCTGGCATATGATCCTCTACGCGCTTATGTTGGGGTGTCGCGTCTCCTATGCGTCACAATGTTGCCACTGTCAACTATGCCCGTACATCTGCCCACGGTCTCGTTTCCCGAGGGGGAAGAGCGTTGTAATATTCCCGCCGGCCACTTGAGACAGGCGTGAGACTTGACACTTGGAGGATGTGCAGGCACACTTGCTGCCTTGAACCGCCGATTCACTCGCATAATGCTGACTTGCCTGTCTTCTAAGGGCCTACCGTCACTGGGGCTGCGTGACCAAGAAAGTCCTCAGCAACATGAAGGAAGTCTTCGAAGACCCCGCCGACCTTGACGGCTTCGACGACCTTAAGGAGGAAGACCAAGAACGCGTCCGTGCTGCCTGGGAAGCAGGTCACGTCGCTGACGAAGACATTCCTGATACTGCTCGTAAACCCGAAGGCGAGGAAGGCGAGGAGGAGGAAGAGGAAGAAGAGGAGGGCGGCAAGAAGAAAAAGAAGGCCGCCAAACCTGCCGCCAAGCCCGCCGACGAGAAGGGCGTGTTCAAGGTGGAGTATGCGTCTAGTGGAAGGTCGAAATGCAAAGGTGAGATGCGGCGTGACTTTATCAGTTAATTCGCATGCTAACGGTCGGGTTCGTCAGTATGCAAGGACATGATTGGGAAGAACTTCTTCAGGCTCGGCGACGAGGTTGACTTCCGCGGTCGCAAGTCTCTGTATGCCCTTCTTTCAACCTCTTCCCCTTTCATCACTTACTTAGACTTTGTTCTAATAGAGCATGGCAGCACTGGGGGTGCACCCCATCTGAGCTAATCTCCAAACTCAAGCGATCATATGATGAACCCAGCAACATCGAGGGTTTCGAGGATATAAAGGATGCTGAGAAGGACAAAATTCGTGCTGCGTGGGAGGCAGGTGAAATCCCCGAGGCAGACAAAGGTGTGGGCGAGCCTGTCGAGACCGAAAAGAAGAAGGCTGCTCCACGCAAAAAGAAGGCCGCAGCGGAAGAGGAGGAGGAAAGGCCTAAGAAGAGGGCTAGGAAAGCTAAGGTTTGTTCGTTCTTCCTCGTTACTGTAGTTGATGCTGACGCTGACTATTGTCATTATAGAAGGAAGAGTATGAGGAAGAAGAGGAAGTGGAAGAGGAAGTGGAGGAAAAACCCAAGAAGAAACGCGCTCCCGCTAAGAAGGCCGCAGAGAAAGAAAAGGCACCAGCCAAGAAGCGTGCCGCCAAGAAGAAGGCTGAGTCGGAGGAGGAGTCTGGCGAAGACTTTGGTGAAGCTATCGCGAATGTGAGCAATGGCGAAGAGGACGAGCTCTCGGAGGAAGAGGAGGAGGTCGCGCCGAAGAAGCGCAAGGTATGAGAGTTGTTCTGTCTTTGGCTATACCCTCCTCTGATTCTGAGTTTTCAAAGCGTGCTCCTGCATCGAATGCTAAGGCCTCATCCTCGAAAGCTGCTGCGAAGCCGGCGTCGAAGAGGTCGGCAAAGCCTCCATCTTCCCGAGGCAAAAAGCAAGTCCAAGCATCTGAAGAGGATGAGGACTAGTCCCCATCTAGTGCAATCAATTGCTTCGCTCAAGATTGACCTTCTGCCATTGTGTCTTTGCTCGGTTGTCTTCGTTGTTGTCATTTCCAGTGTTTATGGTCTCTGTCAGTACGTTCTCTATCGATTGTCATCTTCAGTGTAATATACGTGCGAAAGTATCTTAATCGTTATATCCTTTGTTGTTGCGGAATATGTTAAACGTCAAGTATGGATTCCCTGCCTCCGGTCGACAAGATCTGGAAAGGTGCGCCCGAGAGCTTCTTCGGTTCAATCACATATTCCCTAGGTTCATCGCTACGAACGACGGACGGCCGGTCGATACGAAGTGTTATCCGCTCCGAGAGCATATACGCCGGATGTTGCCCGCCCTGCAGCGGTATCGTGGTCATATCCGACGGTGAGTGACCAGCCTCGGTCAACATTGAAATGGAATGACAACATCTTTGCTCGGTCCTCTTCCACATTCCGGCTCGTACCTCGGAAGAGCCTTGCGTACCGAGCGCGAGCCGTTCGTCTCGTCCATCCGCCATGATGCAATGTAGTTTCTCAACAGATATAAGAGAGAAGGAATTCCCGCTCTCTGTAGTCCGCATAACTCATTCTCGCATCACACGCTCGAGAACAACAATACCTGAATCGCTTCTATATCATCTTCGACAGCTATATTGCTACAATCATGGCGGACGTCTTATACTCTGATCTTTCCTACTGCTCTGCCTGTGATCGCTACTTCCCTGGCGACGAAGCGCGTGCTGAGCATGTGCAAATGTCTACCAAGCATCCGAAGTGCGACCGCTGTGAGCGACGCTTCGCCAACATGAATTCATTACGAAACGTGAGTATGAATGAAACAAACCTATCCATTCTTGCTGACCTGCTTTGTGTTCTATAGCATTGGGTGTATTCGCCCAGACATCACTATTGTGTAGTCTGCGAGAAAGACTTTTCCTCCTCTGGCGGACTGCGAGTGGTAAGTCCTTTGCTCGCATCTTTGGAGTACGTCTCTCATTTAATTTCATTCTTTTCAGCACATGGAGATGGCGGCTGTTCATCGTGACGACAGCGACGACGAGGACGAGGAAGATGATGATATTGATGATACCTTCGACGGATGGGAAGATGAGGTTGCCAGGAATATGTATCCTGACGGTGAAGAGGATGACGAGCCTGCGAGCGATGATGAGGATTACTCCGCTGAAGATGAATACTGGGATGAGGATGATGAGACGGAGTTTGAGGAGGATCGGGATGCATATTATGGCTTTGCCTCTGTCAGTGCAGTCGGTGGGGAACTTCTCCCAGCTGTCGCGGCGGCTTCCGCTCCGACAGCTGGAGAGTCTTCCACCCAAGAAGAGCCGCAAGCTTCATTTTCTACTAAAGACTCGGGTCAAATCAAGCCTGTTGTTGCTGATGCGCGTGCATACGGATGTCCCCTTTGCCTCGAGGCACCACAGGACTGTAGTGCGACCCACTGTGGTCATATCTTCTGCACACCGTAAGTATTCGTTCGTTCGACGTGAAGACACCAAACTCATAATGGCTTTTCATTCCAGATGCATTGACACTGCACTTGAAAGTAGGAAAATGTGTCCTGTTTGTCGGAAGTTCGCTTGTCACAGACAGTTGCGAAAAGTCTTCCTTCCTGTCGTCTCTGTTTGAATTCGATTGTCATCGTTAGATAATGTGTGCTGGTCACGGACTATGACTATGGACATTTAACCCCATCTCGTTCATAAGTACTTTGTCAATACATATGTGCTTCTTTACATGAATTTCTCGATATACAAAAACATTCTATCAATCTGTACGTCATCTAGAAACTCAGACTTATGTTGAACGTAAACACCTTCCATAAACGTCGTGCCCGGTCGATGCGGAGGATGATCGAGAGCTTGGATGCACGCCGCCGCGAGCTCAAAGCTTCTTTCCTCAGTTCTACTGTACTTGCAACCTTGCTGCTCGCCATTGTCGTCTCTCTCACGATACCGTTGTTACGTGTGACTTTCCCTATTACCTGAGTATTGACTAGGAACTATTCGACGCGTTACATTCTTCGACTGCCACCATGAGGTTTACTAAACCAGCTTGGGTTATGCACAAAGGTCCGTTACCGACGAGCTTTATTACAGAATGGCAACGTTTTGATTAGCATTTCTCTCGTGAAGATTCTTCTAGTCGCGACCAAACGAAACGACATTCCATGTTCTCATGTCACGTACATCCAGACGGCTCACGTATCGCAACCGGAGGTCTCGATGCCAAAGTTCGAATATGGAGCACAAAACCTATCTTGAATGCAAATTCAGAGGCTTCTGGTCGTCCCCCAAAGTCGTTATGTACGCTCACCATGCATACTGGTCCTGTACTTACTGTACGATGGGCACATTCTGGGAGGTGGCTTGCTAGTGGTAGTGATGACGAGATTGTTATGATTTGGGACCTTGACCCGTAAGTGAATACTTGTCAGATTCTTCTCATGTTTGGGGAATGTTGAGTTCCTGCAAGATCAGCTAAGGGAAAGGTTTGGGGCTCGGATGAGGTGAATGTCGAGGGATGGAAACCCCTGAAACGTCTTCCAGGACACGAAAGTGGTGAGCAGGACTCCCCTTTGATCGTTCGGTATCTTTCTTACTGTCCTGTCAGACGTTACCGATTTGGCTTGGGCTCCTGGCGACCGATACCTCGCATCTGTCGGCCTTGATTCCAAGGTTCTAATATGGTGTGGTTTTACGCTGGGTGAGTCGGTGATGTCGCTGTTGAGCGCAGTCCCGCCGCTGACGAAGTCCGTGTAGAGCGGCTGCGAAAGCTCGAGTTACATCAAGGCTTCGTGAAGGGTATTTGCTGGGATCCTGTGGGAGAATTCCTTGCTACTTCTTCGGATGATAGAACAGTGAAGGTGTGGAGGACGAAGGACTGGGAGCTCGAGGCGGAGATCAAGAAACCGTTCGAGGATTCTCCGGGCACGTTCTTTAGACGATTGAGGTATGGAAGGATAGTTACCTTTAACATTCTTGGGCTTATATTTCTTCAAAGCTGGTCACCAGATGGGGCGCATATAACTGCATCGAACGCCACAAATAGCGGCGGTTACGTCTTCATCGCTGCAGTAATCTCTAGAGGGAGCTGGACTTCGGACATCAGTCTAGTTGGCCATGAAAACACTGTCGAAGTTGCGGTATGTACTAGAATAAGTCATTTCGTTTTCAGATTCTCACTCTCGTTATAGGCCTATAACCCTCATATTTTCTTGCGAGATCCATCGCAACCGGTCATGGCATCCAATATATGTTCGGTAGTAGCGCTAGGTGCAGACGACCGATCTGTTTCCGTATGGCAAACTAAATCCGCAAGACCTCTTATTGTGGCAAAAGAGGTATTTGAGCGACAGATCATGGACCTTAGTTGGTAAGAATCAATACAACACTTATATGTAGTGTCTAATTCGTTCTTAGGTCAATGGATGGATTGAACCTCTATGCAGTCTCCTCTGATGGTACCATGGCAGCATTCAGCTTTGATCCAGACGAACTCGAGGGTCTCGCGCCGCTCTCAGTACAAGAGAAATATCTTACCAAATTCGGATTCACACCACCTCCCCTTCCCGAGGGTTTCTCTCACGTCTCACAACGTCTAGCTGACCAACGAATGACTCCACCACCTTCGCCAAAAAGAGCAGAACGAGCTATGTCGCAAGACACAGCACATTCAGCCTTCGACACTGGTGTCAACGGATTTGGTGGCGAACGCGTCAACACTTTGGTGGCCAAACGGAATACAAAGAAGAAACGAGTACAACCGACTTTCATGGGTTCTCTTGGCGCCCCAATCGTTCCGTCCGCAGCGAATCACGACTTGACTGCCGTTGTGTCCAGACCGCCACCCTCTGCGGGTACAGTCACGAATGGTCGATCGTTCCATGAAGTGACGGGTATCGCGTCGTCATCAAGGATCCAACAACAGGTCTCGACGTCTACTGTGCAGTCTCCCATCGCTGCTTCAAGTTCTTTCGCGGAGAGTCTGGACTTCTCTTTAGATCTGCAGTACCCTCCGGGTGATGAAGATATTGATATGAGCACCGACGTCCAGATCAGCTCGCTGGATACGAGCGGAAAAGCTGGTAAAGGAAAGCGCAAAGCTAACGTTGTGGACTTTCTTGAAGACCGCCCTATCAAGCCCCGCACTCTTGGTGGGGACCGTGTACGTGAAACTGTGGCTGTCAAGGAGATCTCTGGTGTGAGCGGGGCGAACGCTGCTGTGCTTGTGTCGCAAGCACTTGCCTCGGCTTCGTACGAATCATCGCTTGCAGGGCGACTGCCTATACCCTCGTTGCTCAACTATATCAAGGCGACTGTTGAGGGATCCGAAGATGTATTGGAAGGCCGAAATTACGAGGATGGTGGTAAGGCTCTCCTTCTGTCTCTGTGATTCATTTGCTCATTCAAGATTCTAGATAAACCGACCGAAGTTATCTACGTTAGTGGCAAACAGACACAATGGTTGGATTACCTTTCTTCGCCTGTCCTGGGTCTTACAGCAACGTCCACTTTTTGCGCTGTTGCAACTCAGGATGGTTCGTTAGGTGTCTACTCGCCAACGGGTAGGAAGTACGTATGACCATCGTATCTTCTTGGACGAAATTCTGATGTCGAACTCTATCCAGAATCATGCCAATCGTTAGTCTTGGCTCTCCATGTTCAGTGATAAGCAGCTCCAAGAATATGTTAATGGTCATTACTTGGTCAGGATCCGTACATGTATGGGACGTGAAGAAGCAACATGCACTGTTCCCTCCTACATCACTTTTCGCCGTCCTCGGCACCTCCCCCAACTGTACAGTCCTTTCCGCCTCCGTCCGACCAAATGGTGCACCCGTAATCCAGCTCTCCACCGGCGTAGCCTATACATACGACACCAGCCTGCTAGCTTGGAGCAAACTCAGCGACGGATGGTGGGCCGAAGGTTCAGATTCTTGGTCAGGCCGACAACGCGGTAACGCTCAAGTCGCCGCGCGGGGTCCCGTCAGTAGCGTAGAAAGCTCAATAGCTGAACGCATACCTCCCGTTGACGCTGTGAAAGAACGACCCAATTGGTGGGGTGATGCGCTTACGCTAGGGCATTTGGAGAGTAGGATGCACGCTGCGAAGGCTTTGGATAGTCCTCAGGAGTATAAGCAAGCTTTGGTATTGTATGCGAAGAAGATTGCAGATCAGGCGTATAGGGCGAAAGCGGAAGAGTTGATCAAAGAGCTCTTCGGGCCCGTGTATTGGTGCGTTTTTTCTCTGATGAGACTGTGCGGTGAATTCTGATGACATTGCCTTCAGGCGTCCTGGGCGAGAGGAAACGTGGTCTACCACTGTACTCGGCTTCTCCAAGCGAGACCTGTTGAAGGATGTTTTGGCGGTATTTGGTGAGTTATGATTGTGGTTCCACACATAATCTTTCTAATGTATCCTGCAGCACGAAGTAAGACCTTGCAGAAGTTGGCTGCTGATTGGCAAGATATGTTGAAGAAAGCTGCACACGAAAGCTAGGCGTTGACCGGGACTGGTCATCCTCTTTTTGTTGTGTCTTTGCTCTACGTGCGACTATACTTGCTTTCTTTCTTTCCTGTGTTCTCACATTTGCTATGGACCGTTTCGCAGCAGTGATGTTTGTATAGCTTACTACATTATACCAGTATAATCACTGTAACGACATCACGTTCTGGCAAAGCAGGAACGTATACCGAGTTTTCATGTCTGAGAGGTAGATTTCTTATTAGACTCCGCTTCCACTGTACGAAATCCAATATTTCCCTCGGTACAAATACGTTGAAAGTGTGCAGAGAATTGGCGCCTCGCGAGCATAGAGCGTTACAGCTGTGAGTAATAGCCAGCAGACCAGCGTGAGTGTCGTCGCTCCTCAAACTCATAGAGATAGAAGTAAAAATGTGAATTCGATTTTTTTCATCCATACCATCCCTGTTGAGTTTAGGAGACGACACGTAAGGGTGCTATTCCGAGGTTGATATTTTCAATTGTCCTTGAATTGCCAGCTCACTCCAGGCTTTCAAACTTACGAAGGTACATAGTTAAGCCTAATTTGAAAGAGATCACTGGTACAAAAATCAATAAATTCGCCTCTGTCAGCTCAAACCAGAAAAACTCACATAACGTCCGCCTAGCCTTTTATTATTATTGATACATCTAGACCCTCTGCACTTCGATCCTCCTGAAACATGCTAGCCATTTTTCACCTTGGTTCCTCTCGACCTTCTTCCCTTCCTCCGTACTGGTGTATACCGCATCAACAATCGGGCCCTTGCCTTCCGCACGGAGATCGACCTCGCTGACTGGCTCGAATAGTGGGAAAGCCTCTAGATGAGTCCTCATCCAATCATGTAGATCCCGAACGTCTGTTATTGTATAAACGATACCACCTGGCCGGAGAACATAGGCATATTCTGCGAGGAGCGTGGGTGAGATGATGCGAGCTTTGTGTTTTCTCGATTTGAAGTGAGGGTCGGGGAATAGGAAGAATAAGGCGGAGAGGGAGTGTTTCCTGAAGTAGTTCGGCGTGAATTTCATACTGTTCGCGCGAACAATGGAGATATTTTGATACGGTCCAGGAGTGGACGATTCCGGAGTTGTATTGAGGGCACGGAGTGCGACAATTCGGTCCTGGACGTATTGTGATACTTGAACTCGGATTTCCATGCCTAGGTCGTGTGAGACGAAGATATTCAGATAGTCATGGATTAAGATAGAGACACTAAGCTCACCAAGCATCAGAGTATCAGGGAAAAGAGGCGCAAGGGCTATTAACAAACCACCGAACCCACATCCAACGTCCGCGAATTCGGGAGTCTTGCCCGTACCAGCAAAGGCAGGATAATGTGAATCCCAGTCAACTTCATCTGGCGATGCAGGGTACGCCAATGCATGGTCAGAAAATGGATTCGCGTGTGCACGCTGTCTGTAATGTCTTTTCTACGAGCTTGAGCTTGAGATCAATATTCTCGATCATAGTAGGAAGACATACCTGGGGTAACACCGTCTGTCCTTGAGGCTCTCCTTCAGCTGCCTTCGCGGTATTGCGCTTGCGTTTTGGCATATTTAATATGTGAAAGACCAAGTAAAAAGGTTTGCTGATTTAGGTCTGTGCACTGGCTTCACTCGTGCAGGTCTAGAAGAAATTCAAGAGGTCGTCGGCAGGCTCCTAAACCAGCCTCTCGTATCTCGAGGGAGGGGTTTATTCATGACAGAGTTGTATGTTTTATAGTAGAAACAACGTTATGTAATCTTCTCCTTTTTTGTACCTTTAAACACCCATCTTGTTCCCCTCCTCTCGATAGAGAGGCTGGCATAAAGTTTTGACGCCCGTCGACGGCACCACGGCTTGCATCTGTTTAAGCTGTTCCTTCTAACAATGTTTTGTTTTTTTCGAGTTTCTGTATGCGACGCGTCCTATCACACAACGCGTCTCTGGCGCTAACACGTTACCCCTTCCAGCCGACATACTTACTGCGTGTAACGCACATATTTTCATCGTCTGCCTCCCCTTCAAGTCGTGTAAAGATGAATCCATGTATATAATAGTATGCTGTCGTTGTATTCAAATAGTATATTCATTTTCTCTTACTCCTGGATGCTTCTTACCTTGGAGCAACAATTGCACCTTCTGAATGTCCTAGGTGACTTCGGCTCATCATTGGCTGAGTTCTTCATTGTTGTTCTTCAGAATACTGCCTTCTCGCACCACACTGCAATACTACCTTTGGGAGATGACACGCCGGCTGTCCTGAATGCCCTTTTTACGTATGGAGCTTCCCACGCATTCGCCGTTTGCTGGGCGCATGAATACATCGAAAACCGATATGCAGAACAAATACTAAAACTCACAAGCAAGGAGGCCGGTTGGCATTTCGGAGCAAACCATGCGAGCATTGAGAAGCTGGAGGCGTTTGATCTAGCCGCTATGAGTCGCAAGATGCATCATCGTGCACCAGATGTCTGCCGTATGGTTGGCCGGCTTCTCTCCGCAGATTTGAAGGCTAATGAAGGTCGTGACGCGCGGAGGAGAGCAAGAGAAGTGAAAGCTAAAGAAAACAGAGAGCAGCGAGCAGCAAGAATGGACGTAGATGAGTCAGATGATAGTGATGATTCCGCTATGTACTGGGATGGTCTCGAAGACCTTGAGAATGTCACAAACGCACTGGCAGAAGATCGACATACCATCTTGCGGAAACGTGTGATCATGATCGTGAGTGCAAATGTGTGACATATGCAGCCCAGCGTATAGAAACTAACTTACTTTGATAGAGACAGGTGACTTGCCTCAGTCTCATGATGCAGAGCACCAATCAACACTGCAATGCATTGCAATCAATGGTCGGACTCTATCTGCATACCTGTCATGTACCCCAGGCATCGCTGGACCTGCTTGCACATATGGGATGTTCGATATCAACACTGTCAATCAACAATGCGATCACGAGCCTGTCAAATGAGTCCTCAGAAGTTATCAAGAGAATCGGAAGAATGCTTCTTGCAAGCTACATTTACGACAACCTTGATGCAGACCTCAAAATTTCAGTTCCTACTGTTGAGAAGCCACAAAATATGCTCATACACATCACCGCTGGTATGCTGGTTCCTCTCGAACATGGTGTGACCTTAGCAGACCTTGACTGCTCTGCTCAACTATGGAATAAATCAAGACTCAATTCAAACGCATTGCCAAGTGACGTACTGGCGGGAATAGACTTCTACAGGCTGACCACAATTCATGCTGAACATGAAGAACACGAGTTGGGTCTCCTACGCCATGAGTGATTCAGTGCATGGATGATCCTTCACACACTCGTCCACACGGTCCAGAGTTCTTTTGCAAATACAAAAAGATGCTGGGAAAACCGGAGGTTGTTGAACAAGTACCGGACAATGTGAAATCATGTCAGATTCCCATCAGGGCAATGGACATAAATCCATCCACAGTCAATGGGAATGCTGACGTGCTCACAGACCTGTTTCGACAGACAGGTGTTGGTGATCCTATGGAAGATGATCAGACTCACGTCAAGGATGTTGGAAACATGATCATTCTCGTACATGGTGATCTGGGTACTGGAGAGAGGATCGAGAGCTTACAGCAGTCGCGAGCTGCTGAAAAGACTCCATGGCGATGACTTCAGATGGTGATATTTGTTCTGGGCCTCTTTCACTTGAAGATGGCATGTGCCAATGCAATTTGGTGAATCTTCATCGAACCAAAGCAGAGCCACAGTGATCCAAATTCGCTCTGGCATCACATTGGTCAAATTTGTCCGAAGGAGACAGGGAGGTTTGCAGCAGGTCCAGGTTTCCGTCGCATGCATGAGGCCATCCAGCACATTGGTGTTGCCTCGCATCTGGACATCTGGCGTGTCAAAGCAAAGAAGCTTCCAGGAAGATACAAGAACTCACAGGAATTTGCAGATTCGAAGCCGAGCTGAAAATCACTTGAGAAACTTGCAAATGAACTTGCACTTGAACACATTGCTAACAATGCAAGCCTTGCGAAAGTATGACAATGACCGGTGGCAGAGCGGGATGTTGAATAAGAGAACCTATTGCTGTCAGCAGTATTTTCTGCTATATGAAGAGATCACTTATGCAATGAATGTTGGCAACATAGGACGTGTTGAAGACTGCTTCATGCCTTGGGTATTCATCTTCCGCTCTTGCAGAAAACATAAGTATGCAACACACATGATGAAGTACCTTCTATTGAAATACATGTTGCATGGGAGAAAAGCGAGTTGGTACATTTGACCTCGTAGAGCTCTGAGGCAAACGGATGAGGTACGTACAAGTATAACTAACTACTTATATCCTAGAAAATCTGCCAAGCATGTGGGACTCCATCCCACTCCTCTCATCCTTGCGCATAGTGATGCTCGCTGCTTCATCCATATTCCAACACCTTCATAATGTGCATTTTGTCTATCCAGAAGGCTTAAAGTAAGTCAAAATTTCACTACAAAAGTGCATTTTGAGCCTCACTGCACAACCAGACAAGCTATCTGAATGAACATACTATGCAATCCTTCAGGGCAACCAGGGCAGCTTCGCGCCAATGATTGGTGGCAGGAACACAACAACCTATTCACGAAGGTAAGTTCAGTCAAGTTAACCAGCACAAACCTAATATAGCCTTGGGTTCACAGGTCATGAATGGTGGCGACAGTTCAAACTATCAGAAGGAACATATTATCAAAGAATCATCATTAATACAAGTCTACAACAACATCCGAGAGCAGCTGCATGAAATGTTTCAACTCCTGCACAACAGTACCCATCACTTGTTGCCAGACATGGAACAGACATTCCGGGTGTTCACGCGATACCTGAAACAACACAAGGCATCTGAATACATTCATGGAAGATCTGCACACTATACTGTTCCCAACACTATGGCGCAAGGGATGCATGTCTTGATGACCTCTGATGCATTTGATTCAGTTGAAGTCGCTGTTGATTCTGTGAATATGGTTAATGAGGAACAAGAAGTCAAAGACACATCGGACCTAACAGTGGAATAACTCACACCATAATGTCACAATACAAAGCGAAGACCACTTGTCTGAGCATTATGGTGACTGTCGCCCATATTCGGGTGTAGCATGGAAGCACTTGCATGTGCGAGGTCACTTGATAGTGCAGAGTGTCAAAATTCAAGAGGGTGAAGGGACAGATTGACAGAGGTGGAATTGGAGGCAGAGGCAGAAGAAGTCATAGCGGAGGTAGAGGCAGAGGCGGTCATAGCGGAAGCTGCTTTTGCTAGCTTCGCTGGGCACCTTGCATTTGCACCTACAAAGTGACCTTCATGTTAGTGATGCTCGATAATGATATACAACAATCACTTACTATTGTGTCCTATTTGTCCACAGGCATGACATGTAATCACTTTTCACTTCTTTGGTGGTTGAGGAGGGACAGATGAACCACTCGATGGTAAGGGTGCCACAGCAGTGATCATCGGCATACCGGTAGTAGTAACAGTAGGTCCCTTGCCAGAAGGTGGAAGGAATTTTTGGACAACTTCGATTAACGAAGGTCCAAATGCCTGGATGAGATCTGCATGCCAGCTCGTCTCCCTCTTGATACTCTCAACAGTTGAGATCTTCCCGATATAAATGCAGTCAACAATTTGCTGAAGGATCTCATTGTTACATGAAGAGAATAGCGCCATACTGATGCAGAATGAAGTTGCCCAACTTTTGAAGTGCCACCTCCTCCTGCCAGTCTTCCAAGGCTTCCCTAAATTGAAAGTCCTCCTTCTCCATCTTGTATGCTGTGATGTGGGATTTCTGTGGCATGCAGGCTTTGTTAGCAGAGTCTGATGTTGTGAATAGAGTTGTAAAGGCATCTGGATGACAGAGATCACAGCAGAGGGTGGTTTCTTTAGGGGTGCAGCGTAGACAGCCTGTAGTAGAAGAGGATTCATCGCAGCATCGATGATCATCATTACCTGAATGTGCGTGAGAAATGAACATGAGGCTATCGCATGATTCCGAATGCCCTGAACTCACCGGTCTTATCATTCTTGAAGTATATCTCAATGACCTTCCTCCTGCACATTAACCCTGCTCTCATTCCTGCATTGATCAGGTCATCAATAGGGCTCCCGATGACAATACTGTGCTGGGCTTTCACATGCTGGACTGCATTGGATGGTCCATCCTCACTTTGCGCATAGTAGTTGATTCGACATTTCTCAATCTCGACCTGAGCTGCCTGTTCTTCATCAGTTTGCATCACATTCCTGCCTTCATTGTCTGCACCAGGTTCGGGTTTGGTGTTGGAGCCTGATGAATATGGATTTGGAATGGGGGTTGGAATGGGGGGTGCACTAGTTGAGAAGACTGAATGCTTCACAGCGGGGCCAATTTGCACTTGTGCTTTACATTTTGCTAAGGTATTCTTTCTCTTCTCTGCTTGTGCAGCTGCCCTCTTCCATTCTTCATCCAGGTACTTCTTCTCTACCAAGAAGATTGCTACCACTGTTGTGTTCGAACCTCGACTGGCACATCTGAAGCATTGCCAGAGACTGCATGGTGTGCATGTCGCCCTCCATTGTACAACTATAGCCATATCTGAGAGGTCAAGTCCCTAAGATAAACAAGGTAAGTATTTTTAGAGATAGTGATGGAGAATATAAATTACTTACCATGCCGAATGTGTCAGTGACACAAAGACCCCATGTTTCACCTGTTCGCAAGGCCTCAAATTCATCTTCTCGATAATATGAGGTCATCTGTGAGTGAAACCATTTCACTTTGTCTTGTAATTCCGCTGATAGCAGACTCTTTAGATACTTTGTTGCTTGCTCGCATTTCTTCGTGCTGTTGAAGAATACTAGAAACTTTGGCAGCGATGTGCCATTGGATTCAGCATCCTTCGGAATTAGAAATGCAAGGTCCTTGAAAGCATTGGCTGTGTACTTCAATGTGTGAATGACAAGATGGATGTTAGGTCGGTCATTTGACTGATGAATGATTTCAGTATCAGGTCGAAGCTGGAGGTGCTCCTTGACATTTCAAAGTATCGGGGGTGGAAGAGTTGCTGATGCAACATATATTGGTATTGTACCAGGAAGGAGATGTCAGAGGATACCTACCTCCTTATACTCTTCACGGAATGTAGCCCATTCAGTGATGCAGTGGCCTTCATCATAAATGAAGTATAGTAGTTGCTTCACAATATGTGATTTCTTCCAGAGCATGTTGAATTCGCCCTTCTTCTTCATCAACACTTCAGGGTTGATGACAACAACATTGTATTTGCCTTTCTCTATGTCCTAGTGTACCAGTAAACATGGGGCTGTTCCAATATATGACTCATGCTTACCTCAAATACACTCAGTTTTGAGCTCTTCGAGTCAACGGCTATTGCACTAATACCAGCAGCAATAAGGTCTTCTACATTCTTCTTTCTAAGAATGTTCAGGGGTGTGACTACCACAACCATGCTGTCTCTGCCCTCCTCAAGAACCATTAACAAAGCAATCCAGAAAGAAAGAGTTTTTCCTGAACCAGTCGCAGCTATTCCTACAACATCTTTTCTACGATGCAAAGCCATGGCAATTTTTATCTGGAACCAGCAAGCACGTTTATTGAATTTTCTCATGACAAGATCTTGAATATCCTTCACTGACCAGTCTCGAGCGGCTGGCATAGGATTCATCTTTACACGACTTGAAGGGGAGGCAGACGATGAAAATATGTGCGTTACACGCAGTAAGTATGTCGGCTGGAAGGGGTAACGTGTTAGCGCCAGAGACGCGTTGTGTGATAGGACGCGTCGCATACAGAAACTCGAAAAAAACAAAACATTGTTAGAAGGAACAGCTTAAACAGATGCAAGCCGTGGTGCCGTCGACGGGCATCAAAACTTTATGCCAGCCTCTCTATCGAGAGGAGGGGAACAAGATGGGTGTTTAAAGGTACAAAAAAGGAGAAGATTACATAACATTGTTTCTACTATAAAACATACAACTCTGTCGTGAATAAACCCCTCCCTCGAGATACGAGAGGCTGGTTTAGGAGCCTGGGTCGTCGGCACTTTCCGTGAGTTCGCTGGTAAATCTATGTTGTTAGGTATGCGCGTCTAGTTTCAGTACTTAGCTTTGGTTTCCTCGACTCTTGTAGGTCCGATTTTTCTATCTCATTTTCCACCTTGCGTAGACTCGTTACATGCTTATCAGGACCACATAATGGATGCACCTTGTCCTCCGGGCTGTCTTTGCCATGTGTTGGGTCAAGTACTGAGTGATGTATTGACACGCCCTGCACCGTGCACTCGCCGCCGGCACCCAGCGTCGGATCCTCGCGAAATTCAAAGAAAAGAGGCGATGCAGTGTCAGAATTGCTGGATATCTTATGCACACAATGTTAAGCTATTCCGATGTGGCGGATGCAACATCGAATATTATTGTGTAAGTTTAATTGCAAATGAAGCGTATCCTGCTGCACTAACGATCCCTCCGATGACAGAGTAAAGCATGTCAGAAACAAGCATGGCCATCTCATAAACAGAAATGCAAACTAAACCAGCGCGTCGACACATTTGGTGAAGAGAAGCAAAACTCATTATCCCTGCTCAGAGCCTTCACCAGTAAACACCGTCCAACTCTCACCTCACTTGCCGTCTGCGCGCTTGAACTGGAGAAAGACCCAAAACGGTCGATGGATTACATCGTCTCTATTCCTGTCCACACACGGAGAGGATCAAAGCGTCCTGAGACATCCTTCTTCGCGGTTGATGTCGAGCTGCAACCTATCGACGAGCTACCTCAAGAACAGGCCGAAGAAATGCACGAGCAGCTTCGGCTTGCACACGAACGGAGTGTTAAGGTGGGAATGATAGGTGTGCTGTTCGTGATGCTGAAGTGCATAGACACCGGCGTTGCAAATATCGTGCCCTCCGCATTCGCCGACGACTTAAGGCAAGTGAGTAGGCAGGACGATTGGAAGGAAGTGCATTTAAAGAGGTTGAACGAGGGTATTGTCCTTTGACTCCTTGTTAACAGTGAATCATCTTGTGCTTCGATGTCGGTTGCGTTCCTTCTGCTACAATGTACAGCCACTTGCACGACCAAGAACGAATGTCGACGTCCAGCGTTCAGGAACCAAGTACTTGATGAGCCGTAATGTATACGTCTTCATGCTCTATCGTTTTAGAACAACCTTTTGAAAAAAGTAAGTCCTGTATCCTCCCCGACAAACACTTCTGCTTATATGTGTTTACTCTAAGATGATTCAACTTGTGGCGGAGATCTTCGCACACCAGTCAATCTTCGATCCACTGCGCAATAGTTCGTGCAAACCCGGATTGTAGCTAAATGAAACGTTCCTTTTTCACGCATTATACGACGACATTGACGAAGAAATGCTAGTAGAGGCATGTGTAGGTTTTTGAAGGCTTTCGGAGGATATTAGGGTACGGCTGACCCGAATGCGTAGAAATAGGACACTTTGTAGAGGTAGTGTCATGGTCTACGTTTACGAGAATTCCTCGAGGCTGCTTAAGACTGACCTGATCTGCACAATTGATAATCCGAGAAATCCGCAGGACACTAATCGGAGAATACCACCTGCCGAGAAGACAGCAGGGCACCGCGATGGCCGGATAACCCTGCTTCGTGATATCAGCCGCTGCGCCTGTCTGGATAGTGCTCAGCGTGACGAAGAAATTCGGACGTCTTACTGGTAGAAACTACCGAGTCAGTCTTCGGGGACTTCTCAGGGATCAAACCTGCAACTCGAGTTGCATTCACTCGGAGCCGAGCTGGGTTTATGAACGTTGGTGGGAAAGACTCCGATTATAATGCTGCGAAAGGCGCTGAAACACGAGGTCGGTTCTTCGTGCCGTCATGTACACTTGCTCTGTATCCTCTTGTCGTCGTCCCAACCTACGTGGTGCCTCTTGTCTTCTATGTGAGCGACGTTTCTGCGTGGAACATCTTGGGAAGGAGTATCATCCTTGCCCGGATCGCTCTATCGAGGTATGCCATATCTTCTAGGATGTTTGTTTCTAAGGTACCTGTCTCATAGAGTTTCCTTGCATAGAGTGAACAACGTGCATACTACAACGGAAGGTATAACGCCCGAATTATAGAAATCAACAAGCTTATTGCTTCGTTGAACTTGGATGCCTTGTGCGCTCGTGCGTCTTCTCTCAAAGGTGGCGTCAGGTGCGAAATCCCGCCTCTGGTATATGATGAACATACAGGATACACGATGATGGGTGATCTGAATTACCACTTTCCCCTTATCTTTGATGACGGCGATACGTGGATCTGCCGCGTTCGCAGGGTGAATGTGAATACGCCACCCAAAGCTATTGAGAATGTTGTTGTTCAGAGCGAGGTTGCAACGTTACAGTTCTTGCATAGCATCGGTGTTCCAGTGCCTCAAGTCCATGACTTTGGGCTTCACACTCCCACCAATCCTCTAAGCACTGCTTATATCCTGATGGACCGCGTTGATGGCAAGCCTCTGCGTTGGTTTGAAGTGGATGAAGAAGACAAGAAGCATATCCTCGAACAATTCGCCGATATCTTCATCAAGCTATCTGATCATCCCTTCAATGCCATCGGCGGTCTTCAACAATCAGGTGATGCCGGAACTTACGCCGTCGGTCCATTCACCGCATACACCAGCTTCCTTGCAGATTTGCATCCACACGGTGCTATATCTTTGCTTGGCCCATACGATACTTACGAGATGTACCTCCGCGCAGTCCTCGAGCGCACCCTCGAGTATATTCACTCTGGAAAGGGGTATGTGGAGAATCGAGTTGATAACTATCTACTGCACAAGTACCTTTACGAGCGCATTCCGGATATCGTGAAGGCCACGAATACGGACGACGGCTTCTGCCTGAAACATTTGGACGACAAAGGCAATCATATCCTTGTAGACGAGAGGAACAATATTGTTGGGGTAATTGATTGGGAGTGGGCGCAGACCGTTCCGAAAGCTATAGCCTTCGCAGCACCGATCTTCATCGCCGGAACCCGTAAATATTTCCTTGATGAGGACATGGAGCTTAGTAGCGATGAAACTGCGCTCGCGGATATACTCGATGGTAAAGGGAAGGGAGAGCTTGCGATGTTGGTCCGGAATGGTCGCCTTCAACATCGCATTTGGCGCAGCATTTTTGAGAACAAGACTGCCGAGAACCTCCCAGTTGCTTTCACGAGCCTTCAGAAATCTCTCTTTGGAGTGGATAAGGCGGTGCTTGAATGGGCAGTGTGGAAGGAACCTGCATTAGCGAGGTACAAGGACGATGCTGGCTTGCAGAGACTCCTTAGCGAAGCTCATCCGTCGTGACCTTGTTTGGATGAAAGTGTTCAATTGGCACTGGCAAAAGTTAGTTCCGATTCCGATCTCACCCTGTTGCTAGATCATCTACTCGCTGCTATCAATTGACCTGGTTCAGTTTCAGGCAGCATATCTCAGTCTCTCGAAATTGTCGGCTCAAATTCAGTCTTCAGTCCAAAACTGAAACTGAATCCGAGGCAACTGGGTCATAGAAGTCACTGGATATGTTACCGGTCGCACGTCGTCACTGTGACTGCAGTATTTACTCGCGTTCGGCGCTCGCTATCTCACAGATGTGGAAGGTCCAAGTGTCACGCACTCTCACGAGCTGAATAAACTCAAGGAATGTACTGACCCCTATAGCGATACATTTTTCAGTCGTTGGGTTGGATCTGGGGTCTGACTCTTATCGTAGTCTGAACGTTACCGGCTCCACAATCAGGAACGAAGTGTTTGGTACACACGGCCACACAACATTGTGCCCACTGTCACTTCCTCGTCACTCGCCCAATCACTGCGCTCCTCAAGCCGTTGTATTCAAATATATAGCGAACTGTATAATCGTCAGCGACCTGTATGCTTTCGCATCTCTTATGGTCATCCCCGGGCTCATAAATGATTCAATTTATCTAGGTGTCGAATAAGGTGATAACTCGCACTTCTATGCTGCTGTCTTTCACCGTTAGCCATAAAGTCAAGTTATCTCGGCTGGTGGTACAGAGGAACCTGATTACTCAAGTGCTTGTGCAGCATCTCTTGCTGTGTATGATGTTCGCGACTCAAATGGTTTTCTAATGTTCGCTCCATGCTTTCTAATGTAATGGTCTATTTCCGTTCAGGAATGCAACATGGATGGTCGGATATCTCATCTGTGTCCCTACTGACCCATTGACTGACGTGCCGAACTATTCAACATTGCTGAACCCGTTCGGCCAGTTTTTTATAGTCTCTCTCTTTAGGGACAGCCATAAAGAACATTATACCTGGATTCAAAGGGTAGTATGCCACATCCATGACAATCATCTCAATGTCAAGGAACCTGGATGCAGCCACCAGTGACGTAGGGTGTCTCTGCTCAGCCTCAGTATATGATTAGGATGATGTTAGAGTCATCATCTGCAAGGAATTGCCCTTGACATCCATACGGTTTGGTCATGATGGATCCTCTGGGCTGGCCACATGCACGAATGGCTCAGAAAGACATCCAAGAGGTAACAGATTGTTGTAGTAGAAGCGCTGAGTGAGCAATTGCGCACTTAGTAAGAAACTGACTTGACGTAAGAAAATTGTAAGTAAAATTTTCGTTCTATATTTTAGTATATAAAGCTGCTATGTAGTACATGTACGCTATGTGTTTGCCCACCTAAACCACCACCATCTCAAATATTATTCCCTTTTTGGTGCTTACACTTCTGGGATCAAATGCAATCGAACTGGAATAATGACACAGATCAACCAGATATGCATCCGCACATGTGCGTATCTATAGGTCAGTCTTAAAGATACATTTATGCTATCGATGCAAAGGTTCATACTCTTAATGGTTTTTCAGAGAGAGAAGACTTGTGACTATCCTCATTAGCTTACCATGCTGCATCGAAAAACTTTTGGTTGGCTTATGATGTCCTCGGATATTGATTTTGTATAATAGAGACTGTAGGCTTCACTTAATGCATGAATTGCGAGTGGATCTAGCTAGAGTAACATTATCTCTGCTAAGCGGCTCGGTGTTGCTGATCAAAAGTCTGGAAGCCCAGTGTTATGGCCAGTGTCATATTGTCTAGGATGTGTTACAATGTTTATGGAATCTGTGCTCTGTTATGCCTTCTACCGCACATCTATGTAAGTCACAAAAAGATAAGCATCTGTAGTAGCAAACTGACCAACAAAAGATGCTTCACAGATCATGTGCTTCCAGTTCTAGACCCAATCAATCTGACCCTGATGAACCATCACTATCATCAAAACATTCACCATTGCCATGAGAATATTCATCTACACCAGTATCGTATGCTTGTGCTTCCTTCGAATAAGTGTGCCTGATGCCAATATGACACTGACAGCCATTCCAATGAATGCGTACATTGGCTGTATTCCGTATGCATAGGTAACGAGACCAGCAAAGAGAAGTGCTGGGCAGCATGAGGTATCATGAGGGTTAGGTCGTATCATTATGTGGAACACATCTCCTGTGAAAAGGAGGAAGGTTAAACCTTTGATGTGGTCTATGGCTGGTGCGGACAAAATGGCTGCCAACAACTGTAGTGAAGCAGTAATCCTCAACTATGACATGTTAAAATGTCACAGAAAAAAACCAAAGGTTAGATGTACCTGATGATATGCTTCTGACATAGTCTTGACTTGGATGGGTGAAATGGTATTCTATGAAGGCAGCAGGTAGAGGTTGAAAAGGTGACATAGGTCCAGTATATACCCCCTGATTATTTAGAAGAGAATTTTCTTTAGGCTGTAGTAGCATGTAGACCTACGGAGTGTTCAACTTACTATATACGCAGCACTTCAAAAACAAGAATCAACCATATGAATCATACCCAGAGGCCCTCTCACTTTACTAGACCATGGCATGTTGGATAAATGGATGCCTATAATGGCAGTCCCAAATATTGTCATGGCCTTCTGATCTTCAACAAAATCAGTCTGAATCAACCAAAAAGTCTATCTGTTACACCATCACAGACTTCTCCATGCATGTCTATATTCAGATACATATTAACATTGCATCTATCACCTTGAATGATAAACATTGACAATGCCGTAACTCTAAGCTGTGGACCACTATTGTGACTGGTAGAGCATTGCGCAGCACAGTACCTTAGAAAGGAAAGAGAATTCCAATAGAAGCTATCGAGCGGTGAGTGTGTTATGATACTCATTTAGAGAATATGCCGTGACGCTCTTGTGGTTCATCAGTGCCAGTCCTGGTGCTGCCATGAGTTCAGTATCAGAAAGATATAGCTTCACTGCCTCTATAATGTTCATAATTGTTGCACAGTCACTTGTTAATTAGTCATCATTGCTATTTAGACAGATATCAGCAGGTATTTGAGGATGTGCTGTGTGTAAATGTATTCACTTCTGCTTTTAACTGCAAGGTCATGATTGCACTGCCATTAGAGATAGACTGCACTGGACAACAATGCCCATACTCCATGGAACAGAGAACAGAGTTCAAGGGTAGAAGTCTAGAAGGAACATTATGATCATATTTGGGAACATGGATGAAGTAAGAGATGTACAATATGAGGATGAATGAGGGTGGTACTTAAAATGAGGCTGCTCCCAATTTTCTAAAGATCTGAATGTTGGAGTTTGGTGTACACACTGATATGAGGATTTTGAATGGTATATCAGGTTGTGCACTTTCAGAGGATAAAGAAAACTGAATTCATATAAAGTGTCATTCAGTTTATCTGGATGGCTAATGTTGCATTACATTTTGGAGGATAATCAAACTAAAATTTCATCGCACATCAATGCTGGGAAGAAATCTGGCCTTTGGATTTGAAATCAACTGTTCAACATAAGTTTTCACCGCTGAGAGACCTTTATGGGCCCAGACAATGCTATCAAAGTGTGAGCCCTGTAATCAATAATGTGGTCAATATCTGATCATCATTTAATGGAGTGATCTGCTTGGTGAATGTGTATTATGAATGTTTCAGTAACTAAAAATTAACTTCTGCACACACATTTTTCTATTGAACTTACTGCATATACAACTACGAATATGTGACATCTCGTTCATCACTATGTTTCTATTGTACATCAGCAGTGAAGATGCCATAGGTCTGGAAAGACTTGAAAACAGCAGAGAACAAGTGGTTGGGTGGGTATGATGATTTTGAAGAGCCATCTTGTTGATGCAATGGCAATGTTTGCACACAGATGGGCATGATACTATCAGAAGCCTATGAGGCATCTTATCTCCTAGCACAACCATCTGTGTTGATAGAATTTGCTGTACCATAGTGTCTGTTGATAAAGATTGTTGCAGGGGGCAATTCAGACTCGAAGTCAATAACTGGCCTTACCATATGAGGTAGTGCTGAAAAGCTGCCCAGTCGTGGAACCAATGAGCTGTGCCACTGCGACAGAGCCAACAGAAGCTGAACTCTCAACTAAAACTACTTTGAAGGTGCTTACTGCAGTCTTTAGGTTCAAGCTTCATGCTGTAGCATTAGACAATGAGGAACATGGCACTCATTGTGCCAGAGAAAGTGACAAGGTCCTGGCAAGGTTGATATCTGGCAGGGTAATTGTTGGTATATTCTTCCGATATTCAAGAAATCTAGGAAAGTTTCTGCTTCCTGTGACATATTGAAACAAGGCTTTAGCAGAAGTATGCTCAGTGCAGGCATGTCATCACCTCGTCCTCTGATAATGCCTTTCTCAGTATTGTTGCATCAACAGCACTAGTTTAGTTATGAAAGCAAGGAAGTTTTCACTCACATACAAAGAGCAATTTCAAGCCAGTTAGAGAACCTCAGCAAATATTCTTAAAGAAATCTGGGCCCCACTTAAGGCATTCATTGTCAAACACTCCTTTGTTTTATAGAAAAAAAGTGATCTCTGCTCTGGCCTCATTGAAGACTGTACATGTTGCAATGAAGACATTGTAATTGTGAAGGCAAAGAAGCACACCTCACGAGCTGGACCTGAGGAAGCATTCTACGCTATTGCATTGGAAGTCACCATTGATGACTTTTCAGCAGAACAGCATTTTTGATGTGCTCAGATTCTAACTAAGGAACAAAAATCTGCTTTTGGCTGCAAGGGACACCTTCTCATCATTCTTTCCTCCTCAAGGATGGATACAAGTATTATTTATTCCCTGAACTTTGAAGATGCCGATATTTCTAGATGACAGTGATCAGAAATTGAGGCTGTTGTTCAATCTGAACTTGAACCAGATTTTAATGTACTAGCTATGATGAATCTTGCACCACAGTAAATCTCTCCACAATATCTATTATTCTATGTTATTTGTATTTTTAATTCTATACATTAAAGATACATTCAGTCTATTTATGCATACCCTCTCTTAACTGATGTGCCAGTGGTGATACAAACTTTTCACCATCATGGATGACAGTTGGTCTGTATGGTCTAAGCATATGTTGCTGCCACAAGGCTAACTACAGCTATTTGGATGAATGGCCAATATTGAACTGATGTGAGGTGCCTGAATGATCATTGACCTGACCGATCTTCATTTTTGGCCCCATATTGATATTTGAATCTTATAGCCCTGGACCTGCTAATATGGCACAAATGGCATGGCCATCGAGCTACACTATAACTTCAATACTATTTACAATAGGACTTATCAGCACTCTTAATTTTATCATGCAATATAGCGGTATCTCCACTCCATCTACATCTTGGCCACAAGATCAAGTTCATGTACCTGACGGAAATTTTCACAAAGTGCTTGGGAGCAGTTGCACATTCTGTTCAAACTCCAAAGTCACCATTTTCTGTTGCAGCAGTTACCACATGACCTGATACTATATATGCGACCATTCCTTTGCTGTGTGTTTTTGCTTGGCAGCACTGATTTGTTCAATTTATTTGTTAGAGTGAAAAGTGTCAGAGGGATGATTGGCATATACAGACTCAAGGTGAATGCTGCTTTTACCAATTGTTGCCCTTGATTCCTCAGTTTACATTTCTTCATTCTGTTGAATGGATTGACATACTGTTTCAAGTTCACAGTGCTGAAGACAAGCTAAAACACTTGAACATCTCATTCTGTTATATTCAGAATATGAATTTCTTGCAGAACTTCTATTCATGATGCAGATATGTACATTATCATTTGGCAGCAGAAAAGCAATATAAAGACTTGATTTCAATTATTCAAGTTGAAGAAACTTCAAGAAACTTGATGTTAGAAAGTATATATATGCAACTATATCAGATTATTTTGCAATTATCCAAGATTTTATAGGACTTCTTCTAAACTGTATAGATATCACATCTCAAAGTTGCCAATTTGAATCAATTTGGACTTTGAGCCTTGGCATTTTAGACATCTTGGCCAGTCTTCAAAATAATTATATAATGGATTTTTTAAACTCTGGTTTTCAGGTTTGCAGTTATAAGTATTCAAAATTTATATAGTTAAATTTTTGTACTTCTTCAAGTTTGAGTGATTTTTTATTTCTCAAGTGAATCACATTATTCTTCACATTGTACTAAATTGCATTTCTTATGTAGATTCTTTTTCTTATTATTTTTCTTTAGTGTTTCAGCTTTTCTATGCAGTATATCTCTCAGATCTTCAATAATATTTCACTCTAAGGTAGACCACATTCAGACTCAATCAGGATTATATAACTTGTGACTATCTGTGACCCTGCTAAATGTCATCAGCAAGCAAGCATGATAGAGTGAGCAGCATGCAAAAGTCTGCAAGCCCTTCTTATTCTATCAGCCTCTGAACTCAAAATTAGCAACTGACAAGTCATGCAGAATATAAAGCTTAACAACTTCTTGGTTACTATTTTGTGAAAAATGGGAAAGGCCTTTTGAAGAACAGCTTGCAAGTCAAATGTCACACTTTCTTACATAATCCTGATCAATTCTGAGTGTGGTCTATCTTATACTATTTGCATTCTAGTCTAGTATTATTTATATAATGTTCTTTCAGATTATATAGTCTTTTGACTAATCAAAATGATAAATGCCAAAACTTTATTGCTAGAAACATCAGCTAAATGTAAAAAAAGATCTATTTAGAAATAGCAAGATTTGCCTTCTAAAAAGATTTTTATAAGATAGTGCAAGATTGCTATACTAAACACTTCAAATATGATTTCTCTTTTTTACTTCTACTACTTTGCTAAAAAGTAAGAGAAGAATATATAAATGACTTTTCTAAAAAACTTAATCTTTGAGCAAAATCTTAATATAAAGAATCTCATTGATTTTATTTTAAGCTAATAAAATAGAGTGTGAAAATGATTGATATTTATTGCAGTATACTTATTGCTCTCATTAAAAATTAGATTTTCCAGACTTTATATAAAATATTTTGGTATCTAAAAGTAACAAAACAATAGAGATTCTTAAAATATAGAGGTAAAACTCAGCTTAAACTTGACATAGGCTTGTACATATTTCAATTAAGCTCCAGTAATTAATTTATTCTTTTAAGTACAATATTTCCAGATAAAAAGATGAGAACTTAATAAATCTGCATATATACTTAGAGATAGGCTGATTTTTTGTCAAGCGCTGGGTGGCGGGTTTGTCTGTGAACATTCAAATTGCTTGCGACAAGTGCCAATGTTCAAATTCAATTTTGACTTATCCGAAGATGACCTGGAGGATCAGCCTCATATACCAGGAAGCTCCGATGCATCTTTGAGCCCAAACCACTCGAAGCGGTCAGACAATTCAAGTCGACTGAAATGCTTCGAAGAATTATCCTTGGACCATCTTGTAAGTCATCGCAGGCTGGTTGGATACGTCCGTACTCATATAGTAAAAAGTTGGAGACATTACCGTCAGATCTTTCTTACTCCCCGTTGTCCATTCCCTTATCGGATGGACGGCATGTCGCTGTAGCAAGGCGCGACCTGTTCGATGCCCGCTTTCAATTGATAGCCCAGGATGCATCGGAGAAAACGGATGCAGAAGGGAACGACATACCAGATGGTCTGAATTTTCTTGAGGCACCGTCTGATTTGGTTCCGGGGATCTATGAAGGTGGATTGAAGACTTGGGAATGCAGTCTCGATCTTGTCACCTGCTTGCATGATATCTTGCCAGAAGATACAGACCTCATAGGTCAACGGATACTCGAGGTAAATGCACAAGTTTTCGCTTACGTCTCGTTCATGCTAACTTGGAATTTGAAAATTAGCTCGGATGTGGTACTGCTGTCCCGTCAATGTATCTTCTGCAAAGGATATTCTCTTTGCCTCCACAGCCTTCGGAAAGGACGGCTATACACCTGCAAGATTATAATGATCTGGTATTCAAGTTGGTCACTCTTCCGAACCTCATATTAACGTGGTGTAAGTACAATCTGTATTAGATCATTCATTGTCGTTGACCGAATATTTTTGCAGATATGTCCCCAGCTTCAACCTCCTTCCAAGAATCATACATGCCGACAAAAAACGATGAATCTGATGAGGACCAACTCCCTCTTTCGGACCCTTCTCAACCGGGAGAACTCGAAGTCTCCAAAGAGTTCGTATCCGCCTTCCGAAAATCCCTCACGGACTATGGGATCGAGCTACGATTCTTTGCAGGCTCTTGGCAGACGTTTGACCTGAGCAAAACTGGGGGAAAGTATGACGTCGTATTAACATCCGAAACAATCTATCGCACGGATAGTTTGCCGTCGTTGATCGAGCTAATGCGAAATGCGTGCATTGGATTGCCCAGCTCTGACAAGGACGAGGACGAGTCGCTTGCCAGGTTGTCCGAGGCAAGGTTATCTATCTCGCCTTCTGGTGGACATACCTCCTATCTGTGCCTCGTGGCCGCAAAATTGGTGTACTTTGGCGTTGGGGGAGGCGTGACGGGGTTCATACGAGCAGTCGAGGGAGATGAAGTAAATAAGGGTTCAGTAGAAACCATTTGGGAACGGAAGGAAGGCGTGAAAAGATGTGTCATGAAAGTTTCATGGAATTAGCGTCCACAGTACGTAGTTTTACTATTGATACATGATCCGTTCTCAGTGAATTCATTGCTACAGATTGTAATTCGAATGCGAATACTCCTGAATGATGGCATCTGCGCCTCATATCAAGTGCTTCTTCAGCTCTTCTGTCTCATAGATCGGCAATCCACAGGTGAAGGTCTCGCAGATTCTAATATTAGGCTCTGAGTTCGCCAACGAGTCCTCCGTGATCAAGCCTTGCAATGTACCGTTCAACCTGGCCAGCTCTTGGGGAGGATGATCTGGGTCTAGGTGAATTAGAACGCGATTGGGAATGAATGGCTTTCGGATTGACTCGAAGAAGGCGACAGTTTTGACCGAAGATGGGGAACCAGTGACAATGAACTGACGAAATGTTAATGTTCTAGTTCGTACATGGAACAAGCTTAGGAGAAATCCACCTGTTTGTAACCCTTCTGCCACATCATTGCTGCACTGACCATCGTAGCAACTGCGAACGGCGCAGAATTCAAAAGCTGAGAGTTCGACTTGATGACGCTCCGAGCCTTCGTATGATAATCTTTGTATTTGTCTTCGGCGAAGTGTGACAGACGGTTGAGGTTGTAAAGCGAAATAGAGGCTGCACTTGGCTCAGCACCGTCCTAAACGGCAATCTGTGAGTACGGCATGCAGGTGCAAAAAGACTCCTTTTACCTGAGCTTCCTTCATTCGCACAATGATGTGTTCGTCAGGTGCGGAAACATAGTAGCCTCCGAGTTCGTTGTCGTAGAAAAGCTCATCCTGCTTTTCCTGCAATCGAATAGCCCACGATGCGTACTCTTCCTTGCCGCTCGCCTCGTAAAGGTCCAGTAAACCTGGCAGTATACAGTCCTAAAGTTAACGCAAGCTCCGCATCTGCACGTAATAAGCGTACCTTGAATAAGGAAAGCGTAATCATCTGCTTGACCTACAGGTCCAGGACCTTCACGGTAACTTCGACGAAGTTCGCCGCTAGCTTCATTATACAGCTCTTTTCGTATGAAGTCAGCAGCATCTTCGGCGAGCTTGAGAGGCGAAGTTGGAGGTTGATGAGATTCGGTCAGAGCTTCCGCTGCTTTGGAAAGTCCAGAGATCTATTTGGAATTACTTCAGCGTCGGATTCACAACATATTAAGAAATGTATACCATCAAGCCATTCCAACAAGTGAGAATCTTGTCATCCAGATGAGGCCTTGGCCTCTCGTTGTCTCGGTACTCCTTAAGCTTTGCATTCGAGAGCTCGAGGATTGCAGAGATATCTTCAATGCTACGATTGAATTGCTTCGCGGTTTCCTCAGTGGAATGAGCGATGTACAGAACATTCTGACAATGTGATGAATACCGAGCTTTATAATCGTTGACAAAAACACACCTTTCCTTCCAATTCGCCTTGGATATCATGTTTTGGATCACAATTCCCACCCCTTTTGATACCGAAAGCGAAATTGAAGATCTCAGCGTCTTCTCCAAGTAACTGATGCAGCTCATCATCAGTCCAAACGTAGAATGCACCTTCTTTCTTGACAGTGCTGTCCTTGCTAGGAAGTGAGTCGGCATCTTCTGCGCTGTAAAACGCGCCTTGGGGGCCTCGGAGATCACGGGATACGTAAGTGATGATGTCTGCAGCCATAGCCTGGAGTGTTCCCCGTTCTAAGGAGTTATCGGGAAGTAGTTGGGATATCTCGAGGGCGGACGAGAGTAATTGTGCTTGGTCGTACCTATGGAAGTTAGCCTCGAATGCTAAAACCAGCATCGGTAAACTTACAGCATCTTCTCGACTGAGATGTTGTATATTTAGCACCAATTAGAGCCACAATTGGGGGCCTTTCCACTCACAGTGAGGAACGTGCCAATGCTCATCGACCGAGTATCGAGCGAAACCTTGACCTATATGATCATGAATCCCACCCTTGAATATCTCCATGAGAGTCTTGACAGCCATGTCCCTCGCAGCGTTATCCACTGATGGATTCAGAGCAGCATAACGAGCGAGAAAATGTGTAGTCTGAGCAGGAGAAGGGAACTTGGGTGCGCCTTTGGAACCACCATGTTCAAGGTCAAAAGACCTGGCGAGACGATTGTAGACTGCTTCAGCGGCCTTGTTTATGGAGACTTCTGCTGTATCCGGAACAATCTGTGATAGAAGAACCTTGTAAGAAAAGATAACAGTAAAATATAGAATGGACGCACAGCTGAGACATCCTGTAGTTGCTCGGTAATCGATTTCCCACTTTGAACGACGCGTTCTTTGTCCGTTTCCCAACTGCAAAGATGTTAGAAGCTTAGAAGGCGTTATACAAGTTCAAGACAGACATTTGAGCCAGTTTCACGAGAATGTCTCTGAATCTACTTGGAGGAAAGTATGTCTATACTCAAAGCATCAATCGCGTTTCAACCGGACCATATACGCAATATACGTACACCTGCAAAGAATGGGTGAAGATCAGGAGTCAACCCTGAAAGGCGTTAGATTACGCCGAGAAATATGAGTATAGGAACTTACAGACAGACATCGGCCATCCCCCGCCGCCGGAGGATGCCTGTAGGAATGTCATGTATACCCTGTCTACGTCAGGTCGTTCCTCTCTGTCAACCTGGGGGAAAGCGTTGTCTCGGGTCCTGGAGGTGTGTAAATCGCACACCTCTACGTACCTTGACATTCACATAACTATCGTTCATGATCTTCGCTGTAACTTCGTCTTCAAAGCTTTCGTGGGCCAGGACATGACACCCTTTTAGCCAAATTTAAGTGGTCAATCCACGTATATTCGGAGGTTTATTATACGTACAATGACATGCGGAATAGCCTACCTATGTCACGGAAGGCTAAGCACTTGTGGAAGAACATGGAAGCTCTCACCAACGACTCACAGATAGGAAAATAGGTTTGTCCTCTCGTTTGGCTTTCTCAAATGCCTCCGGGCCCCATTCGTACCAGTCAACCTATAGCAAACATGTAGACGAGTAGCATGTGTTACTCCGTCAGCACTAACCGGATTTTCGGCATGTTGCAGCAAATATGGGCTCTTTGCTTGGGCAAGACGATTCAACGGTCTCTTCGACGCGTTTTGAGCCATCGTGCGTATGAATACGCACGCACTTCTTAGGGGTGCTTTGCGTTGTGTTTGGAACGACTGTGTTACAATTGCCCTTGACGAAAGTGGTTTTCCCTGTTTCGCTACACGAGTGACGGTTCGGAGAAGAAACATAACATTGCGACAGTATCGAGTTTTTTTGCACCTTTTATATATCGCAAATATTCAAGTTATAGGGAGAAACGTATCAGCTGTGAGATAATGGCTGCTATTTGGGGTATGACATCATCTAGTCCTAACCCTGATTTAGGCTTACACGTTCACCACAGACGTTACTTGTCTTTCGACAACTTACACTATCCTTTCGCGTCCTTTGTATACTTGATTATTTCTCAGTTCTTAACGACTATGTCGTTCATGGATGAGATACGCAAGATTCCTCCTGTAACTAGGACCCTATGTGGTTCATTACTTGTGGTGTCATTACCCGTCATGTTGCATATTGTTTCTCCTTACAAGATCATCTTTGTAAAGGAACTTGTGACGAAGAAGTTTGAGGTGAGTTGTAGACCTTAGGAATGCACCTCCTGACTCGTTATGCTCGGCCACACGAATCTGAACTGAAATCAATTTGCGCTTAGATATGGCGGGTCTTCACCAGCTTCTTCTTGGGAGGTGCGTTACACAGGATTCAGTGTGTATGCAATGTCAACTTATCAACATATTCCTTAGGCTCGGGCATTAACTTTATTTTTGACCTCATCATGCTCTAGTATGTCATCGCCTACTTCCGATGACTTTCGGTGTGCTGACGTTCTGCGTACACCAGCCGCAATTCCGATCAACTAGAGTCAAATAACTATGTGGCCCGATCGGCTGACTATGCCTGGCAACTCCTCATTGCAGGAGCCGCGATATTAGTGGGTTCCCCGAACTCCGAACGTCGGCTTTTATTGAATAGACTTTACAGGCCATGAACATTCCATTACAATCATTCGTCCACACACGACCGCTACTCATAGCGCTCACCTATGTCTCTTCCCGCCTGGCTCCCCCAGGCACACAAACGTCAATATTTGGGCTCATCTCCATGCCTCTGATCTACTTCCCGTATGCTCTTATTGCCCTCGACCTCATTATGGGAGGCCCGCAGGCTGCTGCATCTAGTGTCACAGGTGCTGTCGTTGGACACCTATGGTGGTGGGGTGTATGGGAAACGCGCGCCCTGGAAAGAGCTGGACGGGCTCCAGTATGGTTGCGCAGCTTTGTTGGCAATTCTGACGGACCAAGGCCGGGCAGTACAGGGGGTAGTGGCTCAGGCGTCCATGTTATTCCGCCGCGAAGAGTAAGAGAAGAAGCCGCCGCTACGACTGGTGGGTATAGATGGGGTTCAGGACAAAGATTAGGTGATTCATGACTTTGAGTAATATTTCTCCATTCCCGGATTTGGCTCTTTGGAATTGAGTTTCTGGCGGGTGCTTTGTATTATACGGCATATTTGTGGCTACCATCATCATTGGGATTGACTTGCGTTTTAGGAAGGGTTACCGCCTACCTGGTGCGCCATGGCAGTGATCCTGACTCTCGTTGCATGCATCCACCTTAGAGGGCTATCACTGTAATGCACTGAGGTTCACCAAGCCCACTCGGCGTTGAGACACGAAAGCCAATCTCGACGGTGAAACCGCACTTCTCACCGACATAACACGGTCCCTAGGTCTTAGAATTCGTACCGCGGCGATAATATACAGGTGATATTGCCGAGACGACACTGCTATGAATACAAATGTTGTATCTCTTTGCACACTTCAATTCGTTTGGGTATGACAAGTGTACCATCAAACAGGCTTCAAGCGCCACGCAGGTGGTACAGCTTCGTAAGCTGCCACTTTGAGAACAACCTAAGAAGCGATTCTCAGCAATCAGATGAAGCAATAGCGAACACGCCAAACCCACCTCTTCAGGTGAAACTCCTTTTGTTTTCGCGACAGCCATAACCAGGTCTTTCGTGGCTGCAAGTCGCAAGCTAACGATGACAATGTCAGTAACTGTTCGAAGTATTCAAATCAAGCTAAAGGAGTACACTGACGTGATCTTTCCATCAGGTTGCTTGTTAATAGACCAGCTAGACGTCAAAGACATATTGGCCGGGGAATGTGTGCCCATGAGAGCCTGTCCAGCGATAGGAGGCCACCTTGCGGCAAGCAGTGAACCAGTCTCAGCATGCCTGATCTGATACAGGCTCGTTCCGGTCACCCGAGCTATAATCCACTTCATGTGCACGAGGTTCAGTATGAGCCGGACAAGCTGTGAATGACAAGAAACTTACCTCTTGTTGATGCTGACCTATAGGTAATGCTAGGACAGGAGTACCATCCGTTGCACTGTTGTCCTTAAGACCAATCACGCTGGTTGGCTTCGAATCATCGTTTTCAATCAAGAAACGTCCGGAAAGAGAAGAGGAGTCGAGACCGGAGAAGGTGACGAAAGAAGGGAACTCGAAAGCAACCCAGACATCGTAAGATTGTTTTCCGCTGGAACTCTTGTCACCGGCAAGCCAAGCTACAAGAAGAATGAGTATGAAAACGATGTGAGACCGAACGGCTTACCGTGCCATGAATAGTCGACCGTATCGTTCGTACGCAAGAGAGGGAAACCATCAAGGCCGGTGCGCCAAAGAGGGCCATGTTCATGCAGGTCGGGTACGACAACGAGACCAGTTTGATCCAAGTTCGGCTCATCGGGATTAAACCTGTCATCATCAACCAGAGCCCAACGCATGCCGCCTCCGCCGGTTCCATTCACAATACAGGCATGAATCTCGCAGAAGGACTTCTCGACATGGTTGTGGAACCCAGCGGAGACACCGACTCCTGCAGTCCAGAGTTGAATGTGTGCGATGATATCGTCGGAGTCGTCGGCAAAGCGAACGTGGAAACCGACGAGATTGTAGAACTCGAGACCCTGTATGACTTTATCAGAACGGAAACAAGGTGAACAGCGATGGATGGTCTTACCTTGAACCGACCGTTTGCCCACGGAGTATCTTCGACTTTGATCCAAGGGAATGTCATGGCACGAACATCATCAGGATAAGGGACGGGAATGATGTTATGGGCCACAACTTGCTTCATATCACTATACGGAGGTTGACCAGAAGTAGTCGACTTCTTGAATAACACAAAGACAGCGCCTTCTTCGTGGCTCTTTACGTGCTCCGCATGAACAGACATCTCCACCCTCGAAAAGGGTTTGGTTGCCAACACACGTTCTTCGTTGTGACCAGTCTTGGTGTCTTTCCAAGAGATGATTCCGAACATAACTTTTACAGCAGAGTCCACCGGTACCTTGAACTCTGTGTTCGGAGGAAGGACTACCAAGGTAAGTCGTCGAGCAGCCACGTCGAGGAATTCCAACTCGGAAGTGAACTTGGTTGTGGCAGGTCGAGGTACGCGGAAGCAGACCTCGTTGTTTAACTTCTCTGCGGTGATACCGGTAGAGAGATACCCATTGATGGAGGGGTGAGGAGATTCGAAATACCCAGGGACAGAGTATGAAATCGTCGAGAAATCCTAATTCAAGGCAGTGAGCGCTGCGTAAAGCAAGGGACACTATGGGTGACCTACGAGTCGGCCGTTCGACAGAAGATCTGCGATGGCGATCCTACCGGCAGAGTCGTTGCTCAGCTTCGTCTTGGAAAACTTGCCCTTCTCGAGGTCGACGGCTGCATGTATGCTCATCAATGGATACGTAGCGTCCGACGCTGGATATTTACTTACGCTTATAGCACCAAACGCCCGTCTTATCAAACGAGGGAGGGGCCGACCCCATCATGGCAACAAGTAGTTCATCAACACCGTCACCGTCAACGTCGGCGCATACGACTTCGTGAATGCTTCCAGTAAATTTGTCGTTCAAAGGTCCAAAGTCCTCCAGAACGTGACGTGTCCATTCGATGCCGACGATCCCTTTAGAAGCATTGCAAGATTTGGTATACACGGAGACAGTATTGCCATGGAATCCCTGAAGAGAGGTGGCATGAGCAACTTGTGTGATAAAGATGAAGATAGCATTCATACCTCACAAGACCCAATGTACCCAGCGTAGTCATCATCAACGCGAGCGACCGCTACTGACCCCGAGCCCCAATACGGAGAGTTAGGAATCGCGTCTTGAGGCAAGCCTTTTCCGACATTGAAAGTCTTCCATGCACCTTTCTCGTACCAAAGGAAGTTGACACCATCTCGACCGGCGAACATGAGGCGATCAAGTCCGCCTTGAGGGTCAGGAACAACTATAATCTCATGAACAAGGTGCAGTTTCGTGATGACCACCGACGGCCAATTATCCTGAGTGCTCTTCGGATCGTCAGGAGCAGTAAAGATGATGATGGGAGCAGGAGTGGTGAGGTCAGAAGACTTCACTACGATTGGCGCAGCGCAGATCTGGACGCGGTCTGTACGAGTGAAGTGACCCGCCTTCAGACGATGCATACCAGGGCTCGCACCGATGGTACGACGAGTCCAGTTCTCAGCATTGGTATCGCCTGTATCTTCGAGCCAACTGACACGCCCCCCATCAGGCCATATGTCGTCCATGGAAGGACCATACTTGTCGGAGATAATTACTGGCGGGAGGTTAGTACACATTAGAAGAACTAAGGGAGTGGGACCAACCGTCGTTGTAGCCGTTCCCAGAGATATCAGCGTAGGTCATGGAGACCGGAAACTCGAGCGCAGCGAGTTGACGACGATCCCAGTTAGACGTCCTAGACGACATAACACAATGTTAGTTGTTTCAAAGAAAACTATTAACGGCTGCTCTTACTTATTCTTGGGATTGAAAGGGTTGATGAACATCTCCACCTTGCTCGTCGTGTTCTCGAAACCAAGGCCATACCCGATCAGATTCTGGCCAGTCTTATCTCCAGCATGGTAAGGGAAGGCCTCAATCCAATATCCGTCACTTCGACCGCCTTCGACTTGATCCCTCGTGAAGGACGGCATAGAGGCAGGAGAGGATGCGGTATGGGCATGACAGCCTAGCGAGGTAGCGAGAAACGCCATATTGGTTGTGAGGTGTGTTCAGTTCAGATTGTTGCATGAGTGAAATGACTCTGCGCTCTTTATACCGCCTGTCATAAATTCATTACGCCATAATATTTGAGAAGTCGGATTATTGAAAGCACCGCGAAACGACCTTCTTGATCTCAGACTACCGGAATGCAGTGGCGCGCAGGCGTTACAACCATGGTTCGGCAAAATGCATTGATGAATGCCCACGATGGAAACATCGTAGTGTCTAAAGTCACTCATGTAAGGCAACTTCAGTGCTTCGGAGGAGCTTGAGGTCCTCACTTTCAATTGTCTGGTGCTTAAATTCCCTATTTGAATTGATGACATCTACGCCGCGCCTGAGTAAGTCTCGCTGTAGATCTGAGTCGGTGAGCTGACATTTTTACGCAATCCATGAAGACATCCACGTCAGTGTGGGGTCCCGTGCCCTTGGCTTCGTCGGTTTGTCAACGCGCATAACATCCATACGGAGATCACGACAGTTCTGAACGTCCGACTTTGACGGCCAAGAGAAAACATGTGACCAGAAATGGGTCAAGCAAAGTCATACGAAGACGTATCTATTAAAGACTCACCACCTTCGAAGGATCTTGGAGTAAAATCAGCACAACATCCCCGCAGCTTGTCAAATGTGAAATAGGAGTGAAGAGCGCCACGCGCTTGAGTTACAGAAGAACCCTGAATGATGGAAGTTAGTCGGGAGTTCCATGCAAACGTCCAGATGATCTTTCACGGAAATTCTAGGTGGAGAAGACTGTAATGCGCCGCTTAGATGTAAGCCCGGATGATCAGCAATTCTTTGCGAACGGGTAGCGAAGTACCTAGACGGGAAAGAACAAAAACATCAGAAGGCCTGGACTATAGTATAGCGCTACGTTCAAGTTGGCTAGACTGTAGAATTCTGGAAAGGATCCTCCTCTCATGCGACCACCATGAAATAAGTAGTTGAAAATTAAGTACTGTACTGTACCTCGCTCGGATTAGCCAAAGTCAATTCTTTTCTGTGCGGACTGGTGACGGGGGGGCTTGAAGTTTGATCGGAAGAACAGGTAGAAAACGGGTCGCCATCACTTGTCACTGAAAGCCTTTCGGACAAGCTTATAAGTACCATGTCCAGGAGCTCTGATCATCAACGACCATGTAGGAGGGGTTTGAAAAATGACTATTCCAGATCTTTGCACCCATTTTATTGAAACTGTGTCCAGATCTAAGTTCAAACCCGCAGAATGTACCTTCGAGTAGTACTTGAGGTGAAAATCGAGTCAGCATTGGTTCTTGAGATAGTTTGAGGAATCGGATGTGGTCGGAGGGTAAACTTAGGCTAGGCGCTGAAAGAAACTGTGAACGTTTGAACGTTTCGCAAAGTTCGCACATGCGATCCTGCCGTGTGCTTGGCGTCCAAATATTTGTTCAATGTTCGCAGAATCTGTGTAAATTCGCGACTGCAATGTTTCATCGTACCTCTGGTGTTGTTGCAGTACGAATCAACGAATTATCCAACACGTTGCTTTGGCTTCCTCGAGGCCCGATCGAAATGCTCATATCTTTGATACATAAGCTCCCAAACGTTATCCGCTATCTCTTCCCGACGTCTCAGGCCATTGGTAGCTCGTGTTAACCCTTGTATACGATCCGGACAATAGTACTTCAGTCTCAGTAACGGTGAGTAATTCTTGGCATTGATTACTAGTTGAATTGTAATTTACTAAGCGACACGCCGCAGGCAAGTTAGAAAGCCAGATCTTCAACGCGGTATCTGGATTCGTTGGGTCACTAGAATATAGGCACAGCCGCACAGCGCACACAGGTGTGCCTTTGATCGCGCAATGACAAAGCTACATACCACTGACTTTATCGTAGAATAGGCAGTTTTGATCTCCTTCGATCAGGTCATATGTTCCAAGCATGACTTCCGTTGATCTCACGCAATACAGCTATGGCGTATCCTATAATCCATCAGACACCACCACTACAGCACCTCGTAATGCCAAATCATTAATCCAAACTCTGCAGCAAAGCAGCTCCGTGGCGTACATCCGTCTCCAATGGGTTGACCTCATTAACAACATCCGATTCAGGGTAATATCTAAGAAATACTTTATCAAACTTCTGGAGAGCTCTCGCCCAGGTGTTGGTCTTACGAAGGCTTCTCTGGGACTAGTTTTTCTTGCAACTGCTCCCGGATTTGGTTCTTCTGGAGAGTATCTCTATGTGCCCGACATTTCGAGTTACCGGATTTGCCCTTACGCCCCTGGTCACGCCAGTATCATGGGTTTCTTCCAAGAGAAGATGCCGTTGCCGAATGGGAGTTTGAGTGTTCCGCTCTGCCCTCGTACCTTGCTTCAAAGAATCGTGAAGTACGTTAGCCTTTCACTGCAACCCGTATCGCCACGAATACAGAGGCGCTAAATCCTTAATCTCAGTGACGCCAAAACTAAGTCCAAAATCTCCTTCCTAGTTGGCGTCGAATCGGAATTCATTTTGCTGAGGGAAACGTCTCCCAAGGTGGTAGCTGTCAACCATGGAGATTGGTCTGTATCATCAAAGCTGCCATCTGGTGCTGTTGAGTCTGTTGTTCTGCAAGAAATTGCCGAAACCCTCCAGGAGGCCGGTATCGAACTTCAGATGTATCATGCTGAAGCCGCTCCCGGACAAGTGAGTTGCTTTCGAGATTAGCAGAATATATTCTAAGATCATTCACTTTGGATAGTATGAAGTAATTACTGGACCGCTATCGCCTGTAGAGGCAGCGGATGCTCTCATATTCACCCGCGAGACCATCTATAATGTCGCCAGCAAGCATAAACTACGGGCGACTTTTGCTCCGAGGTTGCATAGCGACAGCTGTATGTGCTTTTCACATTCGCATAGTTTTTTGCCTGATAGTCATTCTCTTCAGGCGGCAGTGCCGCCCATACTCATATCTCCGTTCACTCCGATAGAGCTATCGCAACACGAGCTGAAGATGCTGACCTCGCACCAAGCTTGAATGCTCCCGAACGATCCTTCTTGCAGGGTGTGCTCTCTCATCTTCCCGCCATCTGCGCACTCACACTTCCAACGACCTTCTCCTATGCTCGAGTTCTCGATGGTATCTGGTCCGGCGGCACATATGTCTGCTGGGGAACGGACAACCGTGAGACTCCAGTCCGCCTATGTGGATCTTCTTCCATCAAGTCCACCAATCGCCCGCATTTTGAAATCAAGTCAGTGGATGGTACTTCAAGCCCGTACCTTGCGTTTGCTGCATTGCTTGGTGCAGGTGCTTGGGGCGTGAAGACAGGCCAGAAGCTCACATCGGGTGATGTGTGTGAAACGTCTGTCGCTCTTATGACTTCCGAGGAACGGGTGAAGGTTGGATTGGAGGATACTGCAAGGTTGCCCCCAACGATTGCGGACGCACGAGCGAACTTGAAAGGTGACAATGTTATGAGAGATATTCTTGGTGACACATTCGTGGATGCGTATGCTAATGTGAATGAAGTGGGTGACATTCTTCTTTGCATCTTCGACGGCTAGCATCTAATACGATTTTCGCCTATCTAGACATTGGAAAAGATGTTTGTGGGAGAGGACGAAGACGCAACTGTTACCAAACTTGTCAACTTCTACTGATCTTTGAGCGCTTTACGGTGTTCTTGATGTGTATCGTCTTTTTAGACGTACAAGTTACTTTATATTTTGGGAGATAGCGCACGCTCATGAAGGTGCTAAGCACTCGCATGGAGGTCTACCTTAAGCAAGAAGGTCTTGGTTATAGCCAAATTGGAAAGAATGCTATGGATAACCCCAAGTTCATCAGTGCGTCCATCAATGCAATTGAATCCCGATTGGACAAGGGTGTTGTTTCTTCTCTCCTACCTCATATGTCGGCAATGAATACTCTAAGAAATGAATTTATCCCTCTTGGCTTTTCTCAAGCTAGTGGGATGTATCTGTTTGAAAAATTCCGCTCCAGGAACGGGTTTAGGACACATACAATCATTGCAACGTTGTCACGAGACTATCAATGCAGACACGTATGGAAACACAGTATTGTACAGACAGAGAAAGATAACACCTAGTATTGTACACGGCTGTCGACTGGCTTGATCACAGAAAACACCGACTCAACCTGAACGCCACGCATCCTGGACCACACTACTTGTACTGCTTGATCTCGTTGATGATGTGCTCTGAAGCCCGAATTGCGTAGCAAATAGACGTAAGCGTAGGGTTGGCACCGAAGCCCGTCGGGATGACGCCGTTTCCTGCCGGAAACCCATCAGTACATGCTACACCTACGAAGACGCTTTAACATGATCCTACCTCCCACGTAGAGATTCCTGAAGTCATAGACCTTGCTGTATGTATCTGCGACGTGAGTTTTCTTGTCCAGTCTGGGATGATACGAGTATGAGAGAGACGACAAAATATGATCTGTAGTCATACATACCCCGCACGAACTGTTCCAGCAAGATGAAGCGCTAATCCCGGAGTCATGAACTGCGGCTCAGAGCCGGGCAAATATCCACCGAGCTTCAAAGCGATGCTGCACATACTAAAGAAGTGCGTATATAAGAAAATGGGTACGTAAAAGAGTAAATTCAACAGGACTCACTCATCCATCATACGACGAGAACGAGCACTATCGTCCTCACTCATCTGGAACTCGAAAGTCGGCTGAGGCATGCCGTAGGCATCGTCGTAGTACTGCTGGAAACGAAGCTGGTTGGTCTCACGAGGCTCGACATAGCCGAAGAAACGGAAGTCGACGATTAAACGCGTATCGATGGTCTCGGCAACCGCACCGTAAGAGAAGGCATCACGATGAATCTGAAGGTAATTAGAGGAAATACGTGAAAATACATATCATGAATTAGAACTGTCGTACCTGAGTGTGCCAGGGGTGCTCCTTAGTGAAGGGCGTTGTGACCTGAGGTTCGGGATCGCTAGATGGAACACTACTTGTAACGATGCACCTAGAGGAGCGGGATCAAAGACTCACCGGAATGGAATGTGGATTGGGTCCCGAGGGTTGCGCCTTCGGTGTTCATCCACTTTGGCCATCCACCAGGGAAGATTGAACGGGTTGTTGTCCACAGAGTTGATCAACTTCGCATCCAGCACAATCTGGCAGAATGTCATACTGGTGAAATAGTCATGTCAGAAGTACTACAACGCAGCTCCACATCACTAAACGTACGGTTGCTCTGTGATGTATTTGCCCTACATGGACGCATGTGAGTAGGTCATGATTATATGATGTCGAAAGACGTACAAGGTTAGGGATGAGAGGAGTATCAATCTTCTTGTTATCATCCTCCGGAGTGTTGGGAGGAGGTGTCACTTTCTTCTTCTGAGAATTGGCCAGGATCTAATCACTGTCATTGAGTATCTGCTGACAACGATACAGAGTTGGGCATACCTGAGCCGTGGCCACCGAACCTGCAGCGATAATGTAGACCTTAGCACGAACAACAAAACTCGATTCTCCACCCTGGAAGCTGTTTACGTGAGTATGAGGCAACAAGTTCGTTAATTCGGCTCCTTCGATGGTGTGTTCGCCTTGACCTGGTGCAGACTCCTTGATAATGACCCTCGAGCAACGGTGGTTGGTCAACAAGATGAAGTTGTGGCGTTTCTTGGGATCCGTGAAGAGTTCCTCCAGGATACGATCAGTGGCATGCCATTCGACGTATTCGGGATCAGAAAGGCGGTGGCAGGCGAGTGGAAGCGGCTTGAACTTCCTGACTGAGGGATTGAACTTGTTCTGCAGCGTCCTGAGAACCAGGTTGTGCCTGATGGACTCGTCAAATTCTTTCTCAGATGTCCCGATCAATTGTTCGGCCTCAGCATAGAGCTTCTTCCAGAGCTCATCATTGGTTGCGGTGTTGTTGTCCAATTTAGGCCGTTCGATGTCGGGGTTGAATCGAGGAGTGGCACAGGTCCAGTGAGTGGTCATTCCTCCAACACCGCGAGTGACAGCTTCCGCACCGAGGTTATTGAACGGATTCTGGGAAGGGTTCTTCCCTAGAGAAATGAACGGTCGCTCCTTCCTGTATATCTATCAGCGAATGAAAACACAATCGGACAAGACAGAGACTAACGAGTTTTGGAAACTAGCCGGATCGAGAGTCGGGACGGCATTGTTCGAAGTTGGGATTGATACGGTGCTAAGAGCACCCTACAGATAATAATAAGCAATAGAAATATACATTCGGCCAACTGACGAAGTCACCTTGATGACACTACGATGTGATGAACATCAGTACAGGTCGTCAGAGCACACGATGTAAACTGACTTTACGAAACGATCGATATCCTTTTGGTATTCGATCTCGTTCTTCTTATGGTAACCTGGAACTTTGACGAAGCCGGGTTCGAAGTTGGCGGAGAACGTCTCATCGTGACCAGAGTGCGCCGTAGCGCCCTTCTCTTTCTTGGACGTAAAAGAATCGCTGGATTATCGTCATGTCGTCAAATAGATGTATAATGTCGAGCAAAGAATACTAACGCGGCACCAATTTCGGTCATGAGAACACGGAGGCCAGCGTCGACGCACTTCTTCGCGAATGTTGCGCCAATAGGACCTTGTTCAGAAGATTAGTGACAGGTAAACCACAGACAGGCATTCCAGTACCGCTGCCCGCAATGAAGACCTACGGCCATTGAAAGGGTTGGTCAGAGCCTAGTCGAAAGCACATCAGAAAGGTGAAACTGACATCAATGTCTTTGTAGGTGGACGTCATTGTGTAGGATGATTTGACAGAAGTGGATTCAGTAGAAAAGACGAGGACAAGCACACAGACCTTGCTTCAGTCTCCAACATTTTATACTCAATTCGACGCTCGAAAAGGACCCTAGTTTTGTGCCGACGCAAAGCGGAAGGCATATACTGTGGCGTTTCACTTCATTCGAAATATTCAATTGCAATGACCAACCTTGACAGGATTCCATTTGACATGGAATTACTTTCTTCGATGTTAGGATCCACTTCGTCAACAATGGATGACGCTCGGCTGGAGTCACCGGAGCATGTACCGACAGTTGAGCGCCATGAGCTATCACATTGTGTTATGGAGGGCCTTCTGAAGCGTACATACCGCCGACGCCTGAGCCTGCATATGATCTTCTGCAGAACGGTGTTATAGAGTACCGACGGAGCTTCGATTTGGCACCGACAACGCCCGATCTACATCCTGGTCCGAAAGTTCCAGCTATTAAAGCGCTGTACACACACCTGTTCAAGTGAGAGTTGAGAATTCGACGCTTTCCCAGGAAATGGAATCGACACTCTTGGATGAATGCGGTTAGTATATGTGCTGCTTCGTTATTGAGCCAGGAATATCTGACAAGCATATCGCCGACCAACGCTCATATCCGAACATTCGTTGGAGAAGTACTATGAGGTAAAGTTAGATCTGACGTTCGTTCCCGGCCCTAATATGTGCAATGGAGAACAGATTGAAGTCCTCATGGGGACCTCATGATACACCTTAGGGTGCAATAAGCCGAATAAGCTACCGTAGTCAAACGTGACTAGTCGGTAGTGATTCTTCGATGCGCCGATATTAGCGGCGGAGACGGTGGTGATGATGAAGGAGGTGAAGCCTGACCTTCACACATTACTTCTATAATGGCTGCCATGATGTTCAATGCATAGAATGAATCTGGAACACACACTGTAGCTTGATCGGCCATGTCAACTCCTCTTGGCACTGACTCAGGGTCTCTTGAACAATGATGAATGCGTATACAATGAGTACGTACACAGCGCCATAAGCAAAGATTTCTCGTAAGGGCCTAAACTGCCCGGTCAACGGAGTTCCAGCACTGTGGGACAGTCTGACTACATTGCACGGCCGACGCCGCTAGCAGCTGACTCTAGAAGTCATGAAGCAACGAGGGTCAACCCGTCGTCGCGGAGGATCATCTAAACCAAATGGCAAAGGAGTAGCCAGAAGGAGAACTTTGTCTATGGCAAGCCAGGCCGCACGTTTGACAGACAGAACTTACTCGGTCATTGACAGATCGACAACCCCAAATTCACATTGAATTTTGGATGAACTTTATCAACGGCGAAGGGTTACCGACATGGGTGTTCAAAGGGGTCAACAGCATGCCCTACTCTTAAATCAAAGCAAGAATAGCATCGTACGGAATTTCACCAGCAACGCAGGGGAAAAGGAGAAATCTAATTGCCGGCTTGATGGCAAAGCATACTGTAAGTCGACATGGTCAGATCTACAATATACGGATCGACAGACTGACCCGCGTTTCCTGTAAGGTAAGTAACGTCCTTCCAAGTCTCAAAGCTTCGCTGGTGGAGCAGTAAACCATAGTTCCGGGGGTGAAGCTAGAACCACATTCACACCTGGATTTGGCTAGTATGTAGTGAACTGCATGCACTACTTGAAGCTGAAGAGGAAGAGTAAAGCCTCAGTAAGTACAGTACGTTGGACTACAAGCACTGGCTGTGGAATAATCAATGCAGTCTAAGCGGAGCCTGTAAGGAGGACTGTAACATTCGATCCCAGAGCCCCGCTCTTGCTAGAAATTAAGACTCAGATTATCGCATTGAAATATTCTAATTTCTCGCCGAGCCTCCTCCAATCATTAACTTCTCTTTCTCCCCACACTGAAGTTTATGAATTTCTGTAGACCACCGAGAACGTGGGCCGAATAAATCTTCTGAAGATGACCAACACCTGAGGGGAGTTGTTCGCTGGCTACTTAAATGGAGGATCCATCTCGTGGTTTACCTTCGGTCTATTGCGGCTCCCCATCCAACATGTTTTTTCCTTTCTTTATCTATCGAATACGCTTGACGATTGGCTGGACTGATTTGCCTGTGAAGCAACGAGTGTTACATCGTGAGTACAGGACACCTTTGGGGCATTCGCTGCATCGACTGCTTATAGGTTGCATCGTGTTTTGCCTTTAAGCGTTCAACGTTCAATATTCAAACCTCAAGGAAATGTACGAAGGATCTAGGACCAATGCCACGCAACGTCCTATGTACATTTTCTTGAAACGATGTCATAAGTCTGCCAAGCGCTCATGATGTCATCTTGCGTGAACTGCTAGCAGGTACGTATCTGCGGCAGTATGATTACCTTTTGCCATAGGTCTTTGCTTTTCTTTGTACTCAGGGTCGGCCTAGTGTTATTACCGCCAGCGTTGAACCTGTGCCTTGATTGCCTTATGGCTTATCACAGGAGAGCCTCACAAAGATAATGCGGGGGACGCAATCAGGCCTCATGACCATTAGAGTATCGATACCCCTTCGTTGCGGCTTGCGAGTTAAGTATAGGGTTCAACTCCCACGCATATCTCGTTATCGCAAGTTGTCCCCATTGAAGTCTTTCGTCTCCGAAGGAGTGCCGCACAGCTTCAGTAGGTTATGCGGCCGTAGCTGGATAGGACAGATACACTTTGGATTCAACATCACCCCTTTGCTCTTGACTTCTTGCACCCACATTATTCTTCAGGTTCTAGGCGATACAGTTATCACTTAGCTCATCAAAGACGCTTGCGTCGCTAACATGAATGCAGATTCCGATGTTGCTGTTCTTGCCGGTTTGGGATACAAACAGGAGCTGAAACGAGCTTTCAAACCATATGAGGTCTTCGGGATCGGGTTCAGTGTCATTGGGCTTATTCCATCAATGGCGTATGTGTGCTTCCAATTCTTGTGACTGGAAATGAAGCATCAGCATCATCTAGATCTGTTCTGGTCTTTGCATTGCCAAACGGCGGTCCTGTGGCTCTAGTCTGGGGAGTAAGTAACTTCCTTGTCTCGTTCAACCGTTTTCGAATAAGCCTCAACAATTGACATTCTGCTACAGTGGGGCGTCTGTTCTGTCTTCTTGGTTGTCATCGCATTGGCATTGGCCGAATTGAGTTCTGCTGCTCCGACTTCCGGAGGTCTCTACTACTGGAGTCACATGTATGCCTCCCCAAGGTGGAAGAATCTTATGTCCTGGGTCTGTGGATGTAAGTTCTCAGCTATAGCAATAGGCGCGACTTCTAATCGCCTTTGAGATCATTAGATTCGAATACCATAGGCAACATTGCAGGTGTTGCGTCTGTTGATTGGGGATGTGCTGTACAACTCATGGCGGCCGTAAGTATTGGTTCAGATATGACTTTCACTCCAAGTACGGGCCAAACATAGTAAGTTCCTCCTTACGCCCTCTCGTATTAGTTTGAACTTATATTTCTACTGTGATCTTGCAGCGGCGTATTTGTGGCCCTGGTACTTTGCCATGTATGCATCGCATCTTTAGCAACCAGAGTGATCGCGAGGCTTCAAGGAATATACATTGGACTCAACATTGTGTCAGTCTCTCGCAGAAGGAAATCTTTCCACGCGTTACTCACATGTTCTTCAGACTATGCCTTGTCATAGTCATAGCTGTCCCCGCAGCTACCCCAACTGCATTTCGCAACACAGCCGCACACGCTTTTGGTAGTTTCCAAAATCGTGTGTAGCGACAACCAGTTATTGTATTTTAAATATCCATCGATTATCTCTTAGTTTATGGCTGGCCGAACGGCTTTGCCTTTATTCTGAGCTTCCTGGCTCCACTATGGACAATTGGTGTGCAAGGTTTCACTCAGCATGGCCCTCAATCTGAACTTCTGTAAACAGCTGGCTTCGACTCGCCTCTTCACATTAGTGAGGAGGCTTCCAACGCATCCACAGCAGTATGTGACATGTTTCTCAGTTGGGTTATAATAGATGCTTTCACTAGGTTCCGTGGGCTATCGTTAATGCTACGGGCCTGGCAGCAGTTTTTGGATTTGGTAAGTTGCATATCTATGGATCTGTTGTTGGACCTACTGCTGGTATCGACTGATTCTCTTCTTCAGCTGTTAATATCGCGCTTTCGTTCTGTATGGGTACTGATATCGAGAACATAATGGCGAACCCGATTGGTCAACCTATGGCCACGGTGAGTATTTGAAGTTTGAAACGTCTGTTCTTGTGACGCCATATATCCGTTAGATTATTTTAAACAGCCTCGGTAAGAAGGGGACGCTAGTGGTTTGGTCTCTCATAGTCTTTGTCCAGTACGTTTTCACAACTGGCAACATCTTTACAGCAGGACTGATATTTCCCCTTACATTTACTGTAGGTTTTTAATGGGTACGAGCTGTGTGCGTGTAGATGAAGAATCTTCATGCTGGGGAGTTAAGCTCATCCTCCAATACACAAACAGATGACAGCCTGTTCCCGTCAGGTCTTCGCATTCTCTCGCGATGGCGCCTTGCCCGGATCGTCATATCTCTATCGCATCAACAAACACACGGGAACCCCTGTGAACTGCGTCTGCTTCGCCGCTTGCCTCGCCTCGCTTCTGGGTCTGCTCGTTTTCGCCGGACCTATCGCTACATCGGCCCTCTTCAGTTTGGGCGTTACTGGGCAATATATTGCATACATCATCCCTATCTCAAGCAGATTCCTCGGCGGTGAGAAATGGACTCCTGGACCATTTAACCTGGGAGTCATGGTAAGTAGTTATCTTTTTGGGGAACCGTGAACCGACATCATGATACGAAATAGGGCCGTCCGATTGCATACGTTGCTGTGCTATGGATGGTATTCACGATTATCGTCTTGGCATTCCCGACTACGCCAAACCCTTCTACCGCAGACATGAACTACACAGTCGCGGTATTTGGTGGAATCATAATTCTCAGCGTGCTTTACTACTATCTTCCCGGATACGGGGGTCTCTACTGGTTCAGAGGACCTAGAGCAAACATCGATGCGTATCAACGTCGGAATAATAGCAACGGCAGAGTGTCGGTCGTCGAGATCTTCGAGAACGAGAAGGAAAAGCGCGCTCGGGAGGAAAACAACTAGATCACAGGTGGTGTTCACCGAAGGGGCCGACTTTTCAATTGCATCTTCCAAGACGCCCTTTGATTTCTGTCACAGGAATTTTTCTGCGTATAATTTGGTCTACAGTATAGATGCGGTATGCATTTCCTATCATTCTGCGTTTTCACAACTTTCTTTCACAGTAGTTTGCACTTGTATCGTACAGTTTGCGATATTTGATTTTACGGTGATGTCTTCGTACTTTCAATGGTTGGACACTGAGCACTCGTAACGGCGAGTCGGACATCATCACAGATCTCAGACATCCTGTGGTAGGTAAGCGAAGACATGGGTTACGCGAGTCGGTCTCCCTATTTCACCAGTGTTTTGCAAGCTCAAGCTTCCTTCCATAATGATGGCAGTAGACACCTTCATACGATGGTTTCCATCAAGTGTTGTGCCCTCAAGGATTGCTCTGATATGTCCATGGAACATTGGAGGACCGGGATCTTAACTCTTTCCGCATGTCATTGTGGTGTCTGGCAACCGCGTATGTCGTGCAGGCAAATTCGATCATTCCATAGGTGATACAGGGCGAAGAGTAACTGGCTTATTAGTCTCTCTTTGTCGCAATTTGCCTTAAATAAAGTGCAGTAGGAGAGACGTTGAATCATCCCCACCTCCTCGGAGGAAGTCTTGAAGTCTTTTTTTCGTTCAATCTCCTGATGTAAATAGGACGAACAGACTGCAAACATACTGCCATGTCTCTGGACCTCTCAACTTTCAACCAAGCACGATGGGAACGTTACTACCAATGGATGAGTCTTATTATTTCAAGGGTGTCTAAACTCTGACCATTCTGCTTCATTAGTCACAGCGACCGTATCTCCGGTTTATGAGTATGATATATATCCTCCGCGTCATGCTTGTGGTTCCTCCCAACCTTCGCGGTTTCAATTCTAATTCTAATCTCAGCGCTCCAATTCAGAAACGAAATCGAGCTCTTCTGGTAAGCAGTGGAATAATTTCTCTATACAGGCTGCGGCTTCTCACACTTCCATCAGTTCAAACAGAAGAGTTGGAACATTGGGAAGTGTGTCTTCCTGTGGGTGTATTGGGGATGTGTTTAATCACGTTCGGAATCAAACCTTTCTGATTGGTAGCACTGTGTAGTGTGAGTTAAGTTTCTTCGTCCTTTGTTTGAGCTCGAACTTATCCCGGCCTGTGACATTAGCGGAAATGCAATCGGTGAGATTGTGATTATTCTCATAAACTCAGGATATTCAACATCGCTCTTCAGTGTTCCTTCGAGGGGTTGTGTCCTACAATGTGCGTTGTTTTTACCTGTCACAGGTATCGTCACCCCAACTTAAACACTCGTAGTGGTGCGTGATTTTACCGCGCTCATTTCAACTCATTGACTGACATTCTTGTACATCTCTCGTCAACACTCACATGTACAGTATATTCTGAATATCCTCAATTTCCCCATCTAACGGAACCTTTTCATTGGACGTAGCTTGCAATTAGTTCCAAGAAATATAACTTACAGTAAATAATCCTCTAGACTGCGATGAGGAATGGTGTGTGGACAGAATAAAATTGACCGTCGACGACTCCTAACTTTCACCGCCGCCGATGAGGGTTCAATTTCGGTTGAACGCGGTTACCAACAGCACCAGCTGACTTGATACCCTTCGTACGAAATGGCATCCTTTCAACTTTCTTCTTCGTAGCTTGCGCACCAGAGTTTTGTTGCCGACGAGATTCGTTTGACTTTGAACGCGTCTCGTATCGATGACTGACTTCGCGCATGTCCACATCATCCTGTGCTGACTTCTTGAGTTTCGTCTTGGAACGCGTGAGATATCGAGGCTCAGCAGCTGCTGGGACCGGCGGCGCAGGTGGGGGTGGGGCTGGGGGTGGAACTCTACGAGGTCGTGGTCTAGATCGAGGTGGCGGTCGGTCACGCTCCTCCGTTCTAATTTTCTTCGAACTAGGAAAGCATGGTTCCCCTTCTCGAGCGTCATCGATCGTTCTCTTCGACGAGCTCCGAAAAACACCGATTGCATGTCGCGACGGTCCAGTTCTTGGATCAGGGACTTCGTGTGGATCTTGAACCTCACCTTCATCGATAGCAACATGAGTTCGGGAGAGAGGAGAGGGGGTAGTTCTGGCTAGTGGGGATGGCTTGAACCGAGCTTCGCCACTTGTATTTAGCGAATAAACATTCTTTGAAACAGGAACGTGGCCTTGGCGGAGAGGGGAAGGGGTAGTCTTGGCTGGTCCGCCTGTATGATTTCTGGGCGCTCTTGATTGGGTAGCCTTTTCAATGGCGTCCATCTGTTTCCTGGCATTCTCCCTGTCAAGTTCAGCCTTGGTTCTGCGGGGGAACATGTCTGGACGTGCATCCTTGTCAAGCCAACCATCAGAAGCCAGAGCAGTGTCGAAAAGGTTGAGAATGATATCAACATCGTCGATGGCGTTTTGAAGAGAGCTGAAGGCGACCTTATCTGCATGAGGGTTTATAATCATCCGGTTATACTCGTCGAAGATAGAGCCAAGTTTGTGGATGAGAGTGTCCAGGGGCTGGCACGTCCACTTGTAGGTGTGAAGCTGTACCGTAAGCATTGCGATTTTTCCTCCTCCACCAATCGCTTGAAGATCACCGTCGTCTTGCTCCACCGGGTTCATTTCATCAAAGAAGATGGGCCGGACTTTTGGCTGGTTGTGCTCAAAGTAATGCAATGCATGGTACAGGAGAACCCAAAAGCACGATTCAAGGTCATCATGTACCTCGTGCCGTTTGTAAGGGTCACTAAGTAAGCGGATGGAGATGAACTGCCACGTCCCCTATAGACTCGTTAAGTAGCGTATCTGGAACATTGAAGAGCAGTGACTTACAGTGCGATACGAATGTGAACCTCCAATAAGCAGCTTCATGGCGTGGTCCCAGTCGTTGAGAACACCTCGACCATCCTTATCGATCATAATGTTACCTGTACTTATATCACGATGAAATATCTTCCCTTTCTTGTATGAAACTTTGATAGCTGAAAGTGATTTTGGGAATCAGTAACATAAAATACTATGTGGTTGCCGCGCAAACGGACCTTCTGCTGCATCGCGGACACCCTGAACTGCTTCGTTCGAGGATACAGCTGATGATAATGGATACACGAGTTCTTGAATGACTCGATAATGAACAAGGGCATGCAGACGATCGCAGGGCTTGCGCCATTCAGGATGATCGTTACCGGAATCTTCTTGGCATCTCGTCTTCTGAATTTCACCTCCAACCTTCACGTCGCCTGCATGAATAACGTTGGGGAGGAAAGGAACCCCGCATTCCTTGAGATCTTCGTATATCTCAGCTTCACAGCGGATTCCGGGTTCTTCCTCGTCTTCCACACGCCATGAGTCCTTTAGAAAAACAAGCTTGCCCTCGGATATATCATATGCTGCATAGGCTCGAGTAGCACGACCACAAGGTGATTGGGCATCCCAAAATGGCTGGCGAATGATGAATTTTCGAGGAGTCTTCTCTCCAAAATCTACGGCGATTTTGTACGTAGGGTAAGTGGGATCGCGTTCAGGACGAAGGTAGCTGACGTCGCGAGGTTTAGAATCCCGGATGTATGCGTTCAAGGCCTTAGATAACATGGTGGACTCCCGAGCGGTGGCAAGAACGGCTGTGGTATCGAACCCGCGCTGCGCTGGAGTGAGATGACTGTATCGCCAGAAGAACTCGGCCAGGATCTCTGGGTTCTTGTGGAAGTTGATGAGTTCCGTCACCACGCATCCCGCACGGTCCCACCTAAAGAAGCGAACGTATGAACCACAAATGGAGAATGACAGTATGAAAGTGCGCTGCTGGCGAGACAACATGGTCGTCACATACGACAGCAATTGGCCACGGGTATCAGCGCTGTCGCCCTCATCCTTCTCCAAGGTGTTGAGGTCAGCTTTCCTGTAGAATGGATCCTTGGTGACCAAGTTCTTGATCTCAGAAAACGTATCTATGTTGCCAAAGTTATAGGCCAATTTGCCTTTCTCCACTAGTGCTATGTCGGGACGCAGCTTGCGGCCGTTCCCATCAACCATAGACGCGACGTTGACCAATTTGAAGCCCGGACAGACTTCGGAGTCATTCACGGCGGCACACTGGCGAACCAGGACAAGTGAGAGAAGTACCAAGACGCGTGTGGGAGCAGGACTTACAAGTGGACCATACATGGTACTTTCATGTTTAGGCTCACAGGGAACCTTGTCAACATTGAGAGTCGGTATCTTTTTCTGCAGCCACTTGTCAGCTTGAGGCGTCATGAAGGCGTCGAAGAAGCCGCCAGCCTCAGTGATAGGCATGCTACCGACAAAAATACCCTTTGCCTCCCACACCAATTTTTGACGATATCCTTTGTGGTCCGGTTTCTCCAGCGACAAGGGCAGAGAGTTGGCAGCAAGGGTTCTTACGCGCGGTGCCGGTTCGGTGAGGAAAGGTTGAGGGCAAAGGGACGAGTTACTGGGTCGCATGTTGAATGAAAGGAAAAGGTGGAGATATGGAGGAAACTTACCAATGGTGTCTGTGGCAGCAGACTTATATCGCACTCGGTGTAATGACCCTTAGCAACAGAAAATTGCTGGACAAAGGGAAATTGAGTGTGGTCAAAAACCACACTGCCCGATCAAGTCAAAGCGTATTCAGTGTGGATTCATCTGTTCCCGTACCTTGAAAGCTGGACAGTTTTGATAATTCGTCCTTGACTCAAATACGGGTTCGAGGAGCAACGCCTCGAGAGAAAGATATTTCTTAAAAAGAGAAACGAAATATCGTCAGTACGGGCACTTCGATGTAGACGAGACGGAGGACGGGGAGGAAACAGATGAACTTGGTAGTCTGAACAAAGAGAACATGTCTCACACTGGCGCGCGTGCCGTTAATTTCACAAACCGTTACACTTCGCCACTCGTCACAACCCGTGGCCCGTGACATTGGGAACTTGAGTTTGTTGCCCGTCGCGGAGGACTAAGTAGTAGCAAATACGACGTTAGCGTAGGCATTCAAAGACACATTCATAGCGCAGAAAAGCTCCCCTTTCGGCTAGTCCAGCTTCGGTATAAGTATTTCGTACTTGTGACGGAGTGACAGGTTGTCCGCACTGCGAGCGAGTGGCGAGCGGGCATAATATTGCTTGCTTGCACTTCGGACCACGGACCTGCCACATTTGCTTTGAGTGAACAATGAAGAGGCACGCATCAGCGGAATCAGATATTCGGTGACTTCGCAAATTGACCGTCCGAGGCCAAGTGCTCGGAATCCTCAACAAGTCCCGACTTTCAGTGGCCATCATGGACGTTACAAGGCGTGTGCCCGCGATTCCAGCTAGCTACTAAAACGGTTCTTGGTGGAGAATCGAACCCTACGTCCGAAAGTAATATGGACAGAACGGCCCTAGATAGGAGATTGTCATACTTTGCCAATAGCATGACATCAAGTTCACCTTGGGGATGGTTCCAGTAATCAAGGGGTAGTAATGATCGTACGCCCCCATTTGACCTGACAGCCTTCTCCAAGATTGATTCAACTTCATGAAGGCCCCAAGTAGACCAGAAGGTTACGACATGCCAGAGATGTTGCATCCAGTGATATGGACGAAAACCTCGTCTTTCTACAATTCAGATGAAGGAATCCGGATGCGGACCATAGGGCATGCTGACGGAAGTATTTTGGGTGCTCCCGCAGAAACGCCCTGAGCGCATTTGGGGTTCCAAGTCAACGATGTCATTTTAAGGAGAAGTAGGTACTGCTTCGTACCAACGGTGCATCCATACAGGCTTCCCAAAACAGAGGTTCTTGGGGACAACAGATTTCTGCTTGTCGAAGCATTGTATTTTGGATATGTAGCCGGGTACAGTGACCTTGAACCTACGAGTGGTCAACCCTAACGGAAGAGGGATTATAATGTATGCTTCAGCGCTCTCGGCGACTTGCTATGGAGTAGTCGAATGATAATTGACACAAACTTGTAAATCCCTGTTTCTACAAGCCCAATCATCTATGAGTGACTGCACGCTCTAAGGACCGTGAGGCAATGTATACAATGAATGCGACAGCAGACCCCGTGAGAATGCCGATGTCTCCCGCACCAGCATTGGCAATGGGACCAACGTACGCTGTTTGGGACATGCAAGGGACGATGATGCCAAACCCTGCGCAGAAGGCTAGAAGTGCAGCTAGACCAATGGGAAGTCTGCGTGGTTGATTCCAATCCGTGACATTATAACGACTAAAGTCGTTCTTGCGGAAGAGGAAGTGCTCAACGAGCACGATCACAGCGAAGACGGTGCTCCAATATCCGATGATGCCTGGATCACCCATAAAGAGGGTTAGAGGAATGTTACCACACTAGAGAACGACGTACTGATAACATTCACAAACGTGACGTAGAAGCGCTTCGCTCCAATGATCGCAACAGGAATAAGTCTGTAGAGAAAAAAGAATTGAATTGTTTAATCATTTCAGAGTCACGATTTCGCTATCCTTACATAGCTTCCGAGACACCCATGAAGACATAACGAGGCACCTTAGCGAACACAGAACCGATAGTCATGAAACTCATCCCAAATGAGTACATCGTAGGAGCGCCTGCCCAGTCTGCATCAGTATACGACATGCAGCATGATTCAAGAAATTCCCGTACATGCACTGGGAACCGACAGAGCAACCAATACAGTGAGGAACTTGCCAAATCCGCCCAAAGGCGCCAATACTGCATTCATAAGACCGCCGACATTATTGCCATTGTCAAAGCCGGCATTCCATGCAGGCACGTTGTTCGCTGAAGCCGCAAAAGCGGCACCCAAGGAATGTCCCGTAAACTAGCGAGATGTCAGATGTCAGAAAATGCGGAACGGAAGAAGAACCTACGCTAGCTATGAAGAAACCGAGATATGTGTATGTAAATATTCGCATTCTGCAGCCTGAATTCAGCACGGTTCTTGAGAGACTTCTGGTCAACTCACGTAGAAGCTTTCTCGCTGTGATATACCCCATAGTCAGGAGTCAACATACACCAGCTGATGACACTGGAAGCTGTTGTCGTTGCAAACGTGACAACCGTAGAAGCCGTCACTGGTATTGAGGCTGGTGCATTCGAGAGGTGCTTTCCTCCGATTCCGAGCATAATAATGAACGTAATGACGTTGGGTATCCAAGCCACACTTTCATACCTAGTCGTTGTCATTCTTTTGTTTAAGACATCAACGTGGGGTCAATAACGAAACGCTCACCAATGAATCACTTTGTACCCGCAAAATGTGACCTATTGAATACGTCTCAATCTACAGTGAGGCTTAATGCATTCCGGCAACTCACAGCGAGGGATAGCAAACCAATGATCACTATACCCAACGTATCATCTAGATGATCGGAGACACTCGCCAAAGTTTGACCTCCAACAATGCAGCCCAAAACAAGAAATCCTTGCATAGAGAAGACCGTAAGAGCGCTGGGTAGAATAGCACCGTAATAACTGATATGGATGCACCGTCCTAACCAAGTTCATCCCAGGAAAGAAGTAGCTTGGCTTACCCCCAGGAAAAACGCGCAGTTACCATTGACCTTGTGCCAAGTTTCGGACCGAAGACTGCGCTACACGGAGTAAATGAGATTATATGTCCATACTCCCTAGAGTGCACCTCGAGTTTACAAATATGCGGGCACAGTGCATGATCTGAAGAACCAGTCAGACAGGCCTTCCGCGTGTGATCAAGTTATGAGATGCACATGATGTCCACGATAAGCAGAATAACGAGGCATTGCGATACCCCTAGACCAAAAAAGCTGGGCCTGCAGCTCCAGTTCCAATGCTGAAATGAAGTTCATAGTCAGCGCGGTTTCGAGACCGAGGTGTATTATACTCACACTAGGACGTTCATGTTGGCAGAGAACCATACAAAGAACATTTGGAATAACTTCGTACTGGTTCGATCTTCCGGAGGTATAGGGTCGACTCTACATAAATCCGTTCTTGTCAGCGAACAATTATAAGAAAAGAGAGATCTTACCCATTGGTTTCAACACCCCATTTTGTAAGGAAGAACGTTACGCTGTCTAACCATGAGTGCAAACGTGATCTGCTGGTACCGATGCCCGATGTAGATTGTTCCTGTGAAGGCCTTTCCGAACTGGCTCGTTCTAGGGATACTTTCTCATCCCTGTGTGAAGCCATCTTGTTGAAGGCCAAGTATCTGTGGTTATCTGTGGACGTCGTGGCTTGCTTCTTGGAGGCCTGGGGACTACTCATCCTTTTTACCACTGAGTGGAGTGCTGTCAACGCTTTCTGATGGATGCCCATCTGCATCAACCTTCGATTCAGATTTAGAAAGCCACTATGTTTGAGCAAGGTATACGTTGAACGAGGGTATCGGGAAAGAAGAGTCCTAGCATTGGGTAGAAATGGATTGTCCTTTCATATCATCTTGAAGTTCAGCTTGAGTTTTTGCTCGGTAACGCTCTGCCAACTGACCAATGTTTTGATACTCATTTTCAATGTATTGAGTCCACATCAAAACGTACCCGAACGAACTGTCCTTGGTCCCAATGCATCTCCACCTTATCAAGGTCACATTCCGGCATCAACCACTTTAGGAACATGAAGAATAGACAATCGACAAGGAGGATGATCGCATAAATCGGTCCCACAAAGCGCCCGATATCCAATGTACTGTGACCCAGAAAATCAGCACAGTATTCAGCATAGCTGGGGCCCGATTGATGACACAAACCGATACATCCTGGTCCAGAAGTCATAAGGCTCGGTTTCGAAGACAGCTTCGTACACACGTTCAGTTCTTTCGGCGACTGAGGCCCAGTCATAGAACCCTTTGATGAATTCATGTGCTCGGTGTGGGTCATGTTTTCCTTGAGACACAATTGCTATCGCTTCGGACATCGCGCGAATAACATCTGAGGGTGGCAAATTAGTTTGAAGAAACTAATGGAACAACTGAAAATGAGTTCACCGTCCTCATCTGGGTTGGCAAAAGAAATCATATCCTCTGGCAAGATTTCCGGCACGCCTCCAACACGAGTGGAGACTACATACAGACCAGCGCAGGCAGCTTCCACAATCGCGATACCAAATGCCTCTGTGAGCGAAGTGTTCAGAAAGATCGACCCTTGCACCAAAACCTATACAGACACATTAGATACATCTTGATAACGTGCCTAAGTAGGTGACTCACGTCGCGGACGTTGCTATGAGGTACACTGCCAAGTAACTCTATACGATCCTGCAGCTGATTCTTCTCCCGCATTTGTAGCAAGTCGATCAGCTTCGGCCCATCGCCACCTGTGTCAGGACTCAGCAAAGTGAACAACGTCAAGTTAACAAAGTACCTCACCGACTAGGAACCGCACATTCGGAAAGAGTTTACAAATACGCGGGGCAGTCGCAACTAGAAGATCTATACCCTTCCGATATGCCAATCGTGAAAGCACTACAATAGTCACTACCCAATTCGTTCGTGTTACTCCATGAATATAGTGAAATAAAGGAGAATAATCGTACCGACGTCGGTTGGTGCCAGCATAGGTGCAGGTTTGAATTGCTCAGCGACTAAAGCGTTGGGAATGACGTAGACCGACTGAGGCGGTATACGTGCCCGAAGCACAGTATTCTCTCGTCTAGTACCAAGATCATGTTTTTGGCATTTCGATGAGACTGAAACGGCGACCTACCCAGTATTCGAGACGCATATAACGGCATCAACGTTGCGCAGTGCACCTTCCAGTAGCTTATTTGTGAGGATACTCGCAGCATCATCGAAACCAAAGAGACTGTGATCTGTAAAAACAGTCCGTACACCCATCAGGTGAGCATGAAGGATACCTTCATGTGCCAGGGACGACAAGCCAGCATGACCGTGAATGAGCTTTACACCCTCACGCAATACGATCGTGCGCAAATACGGCAAAAAGGTGAAGAAATTTGGGAGAGTAGCAGAGGATGCTATGGTCGGGAAAGGTATGTAGTAAACCTTGAGGGAGGGCATTAACCAGCGAACACCAACACGATCTGGCGGGTGTGCATGTGTGATCGCAATAACCTACGAGAGTGTGCACCTATTTAGACATGCAAAGCTTGTGGTGAATTGATTGTCTCTTACTCGGTGTCCCCGTTGAATGAGATTGGCTCCAAGCATGTAGATATGACTCTCAACGCCACCGACGTTCGGGTGGAAGAAGTCTGACACTAATCTGCAAAGAACTGAGTGCTTTGCATATACAGATCCATGGCTACGTACGCAATGGTGGTCGGAAGCATAGCTGCTTCTTCAGTGACGCTTATAACATCAGATGTGGTAGTGTATTTTCACTCTCAGTGTCCTGCCATAATTTTCGCGCTATGATTGGTGTATAAGTGGATTGCGAAACGTAGGTGGAAGAGCCTGAGCAGGGAGAACGCGAGTGAGAACAACCGAGGTTTCGCATTCCACCTGTAGGGTCGTGGGACTTTACCACCATATACAGAAAACTTGAAGTCTGCCCGAGATTCATACCGGATTCTTACAGTAGTTCGTTTGAACTTCATTCTTCCACCTCAACCGCGTAAGTAGGCTGGTCAATTTGGCGAATGTTTGCTGATGAAGAACATGAATATCTCTAGACAATGCTCTCCGTTGTTCGGCAAGCCTGGAAAGGGGGCCCACGGTTCGCAATCCGCTCGGTCTCAACAGCCAGTCGAAATGGCGCGGCGTTGGTCGACGACGCAATTGCCACCATGAACTCAGTATTCGACGATAAAAAGCCTACAGTGAACTCAGAAACTCTTGCGTCCTTGGACATTCCAACTCTTCCACCTCAACCATCAGCAGAAACTCATTTCTCTGACCTCCCTCCGGCTGAGGATCCTCTATTGCTGTATCTCACGAACCGCATAATGCGTCATGGAGAGAAACAAAAGGCACAGCGCAGAGTATCCAGGATTATGCTCCATCTCCATGCCTTCACTCGCTCTCCGCCATTGCCCCTTCTACGCCGTGCCATCGAAATCGCTGCGCCTGCTGTCCGAAACATATCCTCAAGAAATGGCTCGAAGGTTGTGATCAAGCCAGTTGCTCTTCAGGAGAAGCGGAGGATCATGTATGCTGTAAAGTGGATACTGGAAGCCAGCAAACATCAACGAGGGCAGACAATAGAGGAAAAGGTTGCTCGAGAGCTCATAGCTTGCCTCAACGGCGACGGAGGTGCGTTGAAAAAGAAGGAGGAGGTGCACAAGACGGCAGTGCAGAACAGGTACGTGTTTGTCTTTTCTTTTTTTGTTGTGAATCTCACCACGCCATGTCCGCAGAGGTGCTGCCCGTGCATGATTTATGTTTCTATTCGCCTTATAATACCAGTCCTGAGGCACATCCTCATCTTTCATCAGGCTTTTAAGGTTCGGCAGCGCTTTACAGAAGCATTACACTCGAGGTACGTGCATACTGAGGTTACGACAGCAAATCAACGACGGATACAGCAGAGCAACATCCAAGACAAGGACAAGAAAACAAATCACTCAAAATCAGCGACCCCACACTCATTTCACTCACTCCATTTCGCGCCACGGTCTATCCTCATTCGCATCGACATCGTCATCGTCAAGTTGTGGAATGACGTCGCCTAACGTCAAAGCAGTCATACGCCTCGTGAATTGGTTCATGTCGTCCATGACAACCTCCACGACTTCCTGGTCATAGCCCCCATTTTCACGGATGGCAGCTCTGGTATCCCATGTTGGTGCATCTCCGATCCAGGCTCGGTTATTGTAGACATGGTTCAGGAACTTCCTCCAAAGGGGATCAAGGGAGATGACTGTTGGGTCCCCGACAACGATCAGGAGAGCTTGAGCTCGAGTGACAGCAACTTAGGAAAATGATGTCAGAAAAATACAGCATTCCTCTTGGGAGTAGGGTACGTACCATTGAACCTGCGAGGACTGGCGACGAACCCAAGGGTATGCCTGAGGTCATATTCGATGTACTCTTTGCTGCTCCGCACGGTCGAGATGATAATCACACGACGTTCCTGGGTTACCGGACTTCTTAGGCTTTGGGGTATCGGAGAATGTTACGGTAGCTCACCTGTCCTTGGAACTCTTCGACGCTCCCCACTTTGATTCCCTCGTAATCGGTAAGTGCCCTTCGAATACGACCACATTGGGCCTGGTAAGGAGCAATGATCCCAATCTCATCGTTCGCTTGTGTCACCCACGCTGTTAGTTTCGCAAACAAAAGATGAGCAGCAAGGACTCACTAATGCGGAAGCGCCTATCCTCACGCAAGTACTGAACATACTTCTTCACCTGCGTAACCTCGGAGATATTGAAGAAAGACGGTGAAGACGCCTCTCGTTGATCTTCGCCCGAAACAGCATGGAAGATGATTGGGAATCGTTTGTTCGGCAGGTGAGACCACCCCACGTATGACTGTGTCACTCGAGTATCTCCACAAGCTTTCAGTTCACCCCTGTAGAAGTGGTCGTTGGGGAATTTGAGGATCTCAGCATGGGAGCGGAAGTTCTGCACGAGCTTTACGACACTACGAACAATGTCAGAATAGACATATATGCTTTGGAATTTGCTTTACTTACGTCTTACCTCGCCAACTTCTCTCATTGTAGACGTGAGTCTTCATCAGCCTCTCCAGGTAGCTTAGCTCAAAATCAAGCTCCCTCGCGACTGGGGAGCGGATGATAGGACCCAGTTGCTTAGGATCTCCTGATAAAACAACATTTGTGTTGTTATCCGACAGCAACTTGATAGAAGCCATAGACTCAGTCTCAGTAGCTTGTCCCGCCTCGTCAATGAAGACGTGCGAGAAGTGACCTCGGGGTAATCCAACGCCATGCAAAGCAGGCGCAGAGACGCAAGTAGTGACAATGACTTTGAATCGACGCAAGACAGCCATAGGAGGGACGGAGAACAAGTCATGGCCTTCTTCCGAAATGGTTGTATGAGTGAACGGGAGGAGCTCAGATGGCACCTGGTTCTTGTTTCGCGAAGGCGCATACAGCCTGAATAGGCTTGGACCCAGCATCTTCAGACGAGAGGCGATCAGGTCTGCGGCACTGTTGCTTGGGGCGCAAGCGATGATGCGAGCCGCGGGCTTTGTCCGAACGAGTTGACGGATGGTCTCCACCATGGTGACTGTCTTTCCCGTTCCAGGACTGTGAAATAACTCTGAGCTAAGGTAAGGAGATATCTACAGTATGTTCAAGCTACTTACGGTCCAAATATAACAAATGGCGCGTGTCCAGGAGGTAACTGGATGATGGAGGCCACGGCTTGCAATTGCTCAGCGTTTCCAGCAATAAGCTTATTATAAATCCAATCACGAAGTTCTTCAGTGACAGCAGGTATATTTTTCACTGGAACATTCCGAGTTCCTGGGAAGAGTAGGCGACTTGGGGAAAATGCACTTGATAAAGCCTCGTGCTGTCTGCGTAGAGGCAGACGATTCAACTTGAACCGAATGTTGTAACGTGCGGCACTGGTATGGCCAGGGAAGGACTCGTGGAATCGAAGGCCGACTGCGAGTAGTCGAACGAAATGAACATGACCTTCGAACCATTTTCCCTTCTCCCAGCCATGCCGCTTCACGAGAATACGGTCACCTTAAACAAGACGTTAAGAGTCCGTATTCTTTACAGATGTGGATGGTAGCCTATGCAGAGACTCACCAATGATGACGCTGGGTCTGTTCTCCGCCAGACCTGGAACTTCCAGACTACAACGGACATATGAGAGACAGCATTACTCAAACGGGTGAGACTGACTGGTAGTATTGTCCGTGTTTGATTAGTTGAGCATCTGCTATGTCATACGACTCAAGATCATGCCTAAATTGTTATGAGTCGATTGCCCCACGAATGAGGGTTCTCATGTGTAACTCACTGCATACGGAACTCCTCCGTCCATAACAAAACCTGGTAATGCCTGGCGTAAGTGCTGGGATTCAAATGTAATGGAAGCACTGTCGACTTCAGGGTCCCAGCAACTTCCGGTACGGGTTCACCACCAACTAGGATGTTGGAAAGGTTCTTAGGGATGTCCGCCCAAGGAAGTTTTGTGACCCATTTCATAGCCCTTGTAGCAGCTGGAGGAGGCCCTGCGATGATGGAAGTTTCGGGATCGCGCGTCGTCCTCTTTCGCGGTTGGTATGGTGCTCGTGGCTTGAACTGTTCATGATCTTCTTTGCTACCCACTATGGCTTGCAAAGCCCTGACAATCACGAAGCGCTTCTTGAGACTGAGATCCTCAAATACGATCTCAAGGCGATCTTCATAACGACCGAGGTTGGATTGCCTGAACTCAATGTTGATATGATAGTCACGGTTGAAGGGTACGGATGCTTGGTCACATGAAGCAGTAAAGCTATCCAGTGCTTCGATCAGTCCCCAATGTGCATGGCATGAGTGAACGAACGTACAAGGATCGACCATTCGTGAGCTGGGAACCCAGCCGAAACTCAACTACCTCCACCCTAGCAGTCGGAATGGTATTCACAACAGTGAGGATCGTTTGCATGCCATTCACCGCATGAACTAGCTCAATTACTCCAAAATCGACCCCATCCTCGTCAGAGACAGTTATTCCGTGTTTGTCACGCTCAGCCTCCTCGAAGGCAGCCCGGAAAGCGATGAACTGCTTCATCTTGCGATGTGACGCACCGCCAACATGAGCACCCCATGAATTGAGGGAGATAATCCTATCGCACACAGTGCAAAGCTTTTCATTGGCCTTGAGTACAGCTTCTTCAGGTTCCACTGCAGACGATACGCCACGTCGGATAGCTTCCCCGACATGTCGCTGCCCATAGATATGGTCGTCCCATTGGTATTCCGGCACATTCCTCTTGCAAAGGGAACAATGGAAGATGCGTCGCCCAGAGCTTGTCCTCGAACGATGTTTCTTTCCGCGTATATGTGCATCATACGTCTTGCCGGTTGTGCAGACGACACCGCAAGGGACACATATTTTCACGTCGTGACGATACGTGCACCCTTGCTGGTGACATATGCCTGTCGCTTTCAATTTCGGACAAACCACAAGAGGCATCCTAAAGCCACGGAGACTGTAGGTGAAGAGAACAAGGAAAGAAAAAAATTCCACCAGTTGTACTCCTGCATACTTATAAGCGCGTCAACCCAACAGTTGGGGTCACCCCATTTCCTCCATACATGAGGCGGGAATCGGACGATCCATGGTAGCCAAGCAGGCAGCATGATTGGAAACTCCTTGACAGCCTCCCCGTGCACGGAGACAAGGTTTCTAAAAGGAAGCCTGCGCAGTAACGGATGCTAGTACAGACCAGCCATACCTATCTTGTATCAACATCGCAGATGGAACAGTTGCATTGTGTTGAAACGTGTCACCAGGTGAGGGGACTAAAAGGGGGAGGCTCAAGTATGGTCAGCTTAGTTGATGGTCTGAAGCATGGTACTTTGACGCCTGAGAATCGTGCTGCCTGCGCCGCTGATCAGAACAGAACTGTCATGTTGTCAAAATTGAGGAATGTTCAGTCCAATACAAACGTCCAAAGAAAACAATGCGGAAAATACGAATGCGTAAGATACAGAAGAGCAGTAACTCATAAGAACAGTCTGTTAACGGACGTGTTTCCTTCCTGGTTCTTCTTCAAGACCTACATAGAACACGCATTCGTTTAGTTTTCCCATAGAACAACGACTGATAGCACGAACCTTCGCCACCGCAAACTCAAAGTCCTCCTGTGTAACATGCTGCCTGCGTTCACGGAGCGCGTACATACCTGGACAAAGCCCGCATGAGTAAGGAATATGTAACGTATATTAACGGCACGTACCGGCTTCAGTGCAGATACCACGAACTTCAGCTCCAGAACATTGGCCCATTTTCTCAGCGAGCGAGCGAAGATTAATACCACGTTGCAAGGACATCTGTGAACGTTGACCAAATCTCAGATGAGTAATTGCCGAGGAGATTCTTAGAATAAACGTGCTTACCTTGCGTGAGTGGATACGAAGAATAGCAACACGAGCTTCAGGGCCTGGAGGAGGGAACTCGATCTTACGATCGATACGACCTGGTCGGAGGAGGGCCGAGTCGAGGATATCTGTGGATAGGAAAGATAAGCGCAAATAGTCACAGAACACACATATGTACACATACCTATTCGGTTCGTGGCCATGATAACCTTGATATTCTTCGTAGGCTCAAAACCGTCAAGCTGATTCAGGAGCTCCAACATCGTCCGCTGCACCTCGGAATCGCCACCTCCTGTTCCACTCTCTCCTCGTGAACTGCCTATCGAATCAATCTCGTCCATGAAAATGATACTTGGTGCATGTTCTCTCGCCATAACGAACAACTCTCGGACCATCCGGCTACCTTCTCCAATGTACTTCTGAACGAGCTCAGAACCGGAAACCCTGATAAACTTGCAGTCCGTATGATGTGCAACAGCTCGTGCAAGTAGAGTTTTACCAGTACCAGGAGGGCCGTATAACAGGACACCCTTTGGTTGTGCAATGCCTAGTGATTCAAAGAGTTCCGGGTGCTTGACAGGCAATTCGATGACCTCCTTGATCTCCTTGATCTGCTTGTCGAGACCTCCAACCATTTCGTACGTGCTATCTGGCACCTTCTCAACCATCATGAGTGAGACAAGAGGGTCCACCTTGTTAGGAAGAATCTTGTGGATTGTGTACGAATCCGAACGAAGTGCGACACGGAGTGAAGGTGTCAGTTTGTTGACGTCGATATCTGAGTCAAAGTCGACAACTAATTTACATTAAGGTTAGCTTTCAGTCACGAAGAAAAAGGCACAGTATTACGCACTGTATTTCCCCTCCGGCTGAACCTTGACAAGAACCTTGTTCTTGCCCATGGGTTTCACCACTTCACCGACATAACTACCAGGTTCATGCAATAGCTGCAACTCCTCCCGAAGTAATCGTACTAAACATTACATTAATAAGCAAAGAAAGGATATCAGAGAAAGACTGTTACACACCTCTCGCATTCAGTGCATTTCGCTGAGCCTCCAAACGACGTAAGTTCTGGGTCTTCTGGTTGATCTCTATTTCCGCCGCTTCAATCTTGGCTTGGTAGTAAGCCTTCAAGCCTACTGAGGGTGTCGGTGCTGGTGATACGGCGACTGGCATAGCGATGAGGTGGTGGTAAAAAGGTAAGAATGAAGTTACAAACACAATCTTGGCTGAACGCGTATTACGCCTCTGTCACGCCTGTCACATGTGACAAGTGACGCCTTGAATTTCTTTGAGTTCGTCGAATTTAAGATTACGATTGCGATTCGAGTGGTAATCAGTTCTTGTCTCACAGGACCATTTAAAAGACACTTCTATGTGTACTTGGCTTCTGATCCTTTTTGCAACACGTTCTGTTCAGGTCCTCAGTCGGTTCGAGTCGAGTTGACCGAAACTGGTCGAGTGAACGACAAATAAGGCAAAGGCCTCGAGCCTGCCACGCGCCATTCGTTTTATGCTGGTGGTCTATGAAATCATGAAAGCTGGACTATGGACGCTTAAAAGCTACATATTCTGTTGCGGCACATTTTACAACAGCAAAGCATAAAGTATCCTCTTAATTCGACTGACATCTGAAAGTTGCCCTTGCCTGGATTTTGTCCGGCACAGGAAGTTCATCTCCGTAACTTACAAAGCACCCAACTCAGTCACAGGGTCGTTCGAAGCTTCAAGCACGGGAATAAGGCGGGAGATGGCCGTAGTTACTAGTAGCAAGCAAAAGGTCACCTATCTGGGATATTTGCTTTGCAGGTCTTACACATAGTACATGAATATTCGAGTTACAAAAGGTGCCAGCTGAGCTATTCAACCTTCAACCTTAGCCGATAGTAGCAGAGCATAGCTTGCAAAATCATCCAGGGCATTTTCAGCGTCCAGAACCATGGAATTCATGCTTTAGGCTTTCCAGGAGCATACGGTCCCTGATTCTGCCCAACGGAACAGAAAATCATGTAATCCCACCTATCTTCTGCGGACCGAGATACGGCCTGGCGAGAATCCAGTATCAGCGCAGCACAGTATACACTTCGTATCTCCCATGAAAACTCGACCTTTTGAGGACGATTGACGTGCGACATGACTCTTATCTGATATAATGACATCAGAGGAGACGACTGCAGACGCACGGTCAATTCAACGAAAACTCGCAGCTGACTGATGTGACTTGCCTGCTCAGTCAGATAATGCCTCGCGTTAATTAATCAACTGAAAGCCAGGCCAACCTCGAGCCGGTATATGGAATGTCAGCAGGTCAAGCTGGGGACGTGGAGAAAGGTCTTCGCATTAACGCCAAGGGGACGGGATGTTTGGCCCTGAAACTGAATCGATTTTGTACGTAAATCTGTTGGATCGCGGCAGAAGATCGAATAAAGCTCATCGGCCGCAAACACAAATGCATTGAAGAATCGCTCCAGTGTACCGCGGCTTCGGTATTTGACCTGTCAGTATGAGCGTCCGAACCAAACAGCTCGATATAAGTTCCGAGAGCTGAAAATATCGCGCACTCCAGCCGCCGATACCACCGCGGAAGGGCTTAGTGTCTAGAAGACATAACATCTCCGAAGACGTCCAACGCATTGCGTGTGAAATAGGGTGCATATTTGCGAGATTTTATGAAAGGGACCGACCTCTGGAACATGTCAGAAAATTAGGGACTTAGCTGCAGCCAACACAATGTTCAAGATGTGACCAATCAACGATAAGACAACCATAGGTTCCGAAATACGCATAGTCTTCAAACATATGTTATCAACATGGAAACCATCGGCACAATGATCCAGACCGACGGTTGATCTTCACACCCCCGTTACCTCCTGCATCTGATGGTGAGCGTCGATCATATCCGGTGGTGGTCCTGTGACACTCACATGCCATACTTCTTTTTAAGTTCTTTCCAAGCCGGCGCAGCGGTAGGAAACTGCCTAACGAGCTCGCTCATATCTTGTTCGGGTATGCGGTTGATATCAACGCGATCCCAGTAACGAGACAGGGCGTAGACGGCGTCCTCAGCGTCCCTGTCCAATCTTCTCCTAACAGCTACCTTGTCAGGCTCAAAGGGAAGTGGCAAACCAACAAACGCTCACAGGGACCAGGCTTTTAACTTCGCCCTGATAAACTCCGATATTGTCAAAAAAGGAACGCCAGATATCGTCATGGTCGTGTTGCCGTCCAGGCGTCGGGGACCCTCTTCGCCCGCTGGCAAGATTTCAATCTGAGTCAGAACAGTGTCATTCAAACCACGCTAGTGAAGTCAGATGAGCGCCTACCTCGATGGGAGGGATGAATCGATGATAAGTTACGTGGAGTCTAAAAAGTTATCAGCAACGAAAACTACTACAAATCATAGCTAGCGAGAACCGGTTACTCCATGGGGATGGCGTAGCAGTAAAATCTTCGTTGTCCACGCATGCCTGCCTTACTCTTCGAAAAGGGTGTGCATTACCCCCTTCGACGATACAATATATTTCCTGTGCAAGCAGTCAATTGTTGCAGGTCAATTGTAAGGGAGAAAGACTCACATCGCAATGTGTCGCGCTAGACAAGACCGCATTCAGCACGGTTCCGTGGAATGCGTGAGGCACTCCTGCAGAACGCAACTGCCCAGAGAGGGCTGAAGCAGCCTCGATAAGGCGGCGAGTTTCGTGCATAGTATTCGAAGTGTAATCAAGCACGAAACATGTTGTGCACGTAGCCCGGTCAAGAGGAGGTAGAGGTTAGTATTCGAGAAGTTAGGAAAGACTGGGGGTTGAGGAAGACATGGCTAAAGCCGGGGTAACAGCAGGCGTTTGATGCAATCTGACGATACGAAGCCGTGGTACAAGCAACTCGGTTAACATTCGCAATCGTATATTCCATCGGCGAGAAGTTCGCGAGGTGAGGGAGCCCGTGAATTGAACCGTGCGTGGCCGAGAGACCGGTACGTGGTCATAAGGGTTCATGAATGGTAAAGCTTAACGTTCACCATATACAGCTTTGGCTGAAAAAGCCTTAGGACGGACGTACGAAAGTTCCAGTAGGTATGTATAGTGTATTCCGTGGGAACGTCCACTCATATAGGCGTGTAGACTCGACGGAAGTGTGGCCGAGAGCAGGAGGGGGTGTGATCCGGGCACCAGGTCATCGGAACCTATCCTTCAAGAATCACTGATCTGCAATATATGGTGTAGAAAAAACAATCGCTAGAGAATGGATAGCATATAGGAACATTATTGCATGTTTCCAAAGGATCCTTGCGTAAATATGTATGATTAAAAGGGCAAGTTGTTCGAGTTCAAGTTGTTCAATCCTCGGCACGTTCCAACTTGGTTTCCAAATGAGGTCCACAATCTTATGTAAGCTGTGGGTCATGCGACGTTCTAGAGCGCTAAGCAAAGGGCAATTACTTTTGGGATTGTTGAAGCACTGAGCGTTCACCTCTACCACCATCTTCTGGTCTTTTGGGCGGTTTGTCTGTTGGGGCGGATGCATACAACGATCTGGAGGCCGTTTAATAGCCATGTAACTGGTTTCTCCAGATCTTGGGAGAACTTCTTCCGCGCTTCGTCTTGTAGCCGACTCCAGAGACTCCCTGATTCACGACGCACATGCGTACGCGGTTCACGGCAGACACGCCAGTTTTCTAATGCTGCTTCAAGATTAAACGCTGGGAAATTACTCGACACTTCATCCTTTAGGTTCTACCGTAAACCACTGCATTATGGTGGTCACAGACCAATGGCATGGATTCCCAAGTTGAAGCCTCGATCAAATGACCAGTTTGACGGGCCCTCGGACGGCCTGGAAGAGGTTACAAAAGTCGCCATACTGGAAAAGGCGATGAAAGGACGCCAGCCGACAGATCTGATGCTACGTTGTATGTAAACTTGTCAAGTGGTTGCAATACCGGCACAAAGTCAATGCTGACTGGTAACAATCATTTAGGTACTATACTGGACGCGGAAGGCACGCGACTAGATTGCCCAGATTAATTCATGTGTTCTTACCGTGACGTTCTGCTTTTAGGCAACGTCAAAACAATCTCCGGACAGTTCAAGAAATCAGACCTTTGCTCTGAGCATCGATTAAACGTAAGGTGACCCCAAGTTGACTACACGAATTCATTCTAATTACACGCAATACAGCCTCGTGATCTAAGAAAAATAGATTCGAGGGTACCAAACCTTGTGCCCACGATCTTGGTGCGAAAAGAAGCCATACTAGTACGCGTTCATGCCATTCATTCTCAAGTTATTTTATTTACATGTCCTGTCACGTACCAGGTGAACGTTCTTCACATACGTGCGCTCGTGAAAGCGGACGCAGTAATCTTGTTTGATACATATGGATCAGCCGACTCCAGACTGCATTCTGTCTTCTTATACCACCTTGAGGTGCGCACGTTCGCTAGCTTTGTTTAGTCGCTCGACTTACAATGATTTCCTCTACAGCACAACCTAAAGGCAGGAGGTACAGGCCCGCCGTACGAGTTTCGGTGAGTTTTGTTCGATCGCTTTTGTGACCTCCTCGTGGTTAGTTTTCTCAGGATGTTTAGTCGTTACTTCACATTAGCGCATTGGAGTCCATTCTTTTGTCCGTTCTAAGTGCGCTGGAAGCCGAGATGGTTTTCATACGTAACATCGTCGGCGGTCTTCTCGCGGAGCTTGAGGACGATATCGATCATGACCGTTTCAAGCGATTACTACATTACTCCAGACGGCTAGCAAGCTTTCAAAATAGGGCCAAGCTGGTCAGTATCATTCATAGTATGGTGTCCTCCGGATGGAGCTGACATGGTGTGCTGCGCTAGGTTCAAGAGGCTTTAGAAGAAGTGCTAGAGCAAGGCAGGTACCCAAAGAGCGCTTCATAAGGGCGATGCGAACTGATATGGTACCTCAGATGATGACTTATCAAATATGTATCTTACTGACAAGAAAACTGGCAATCGTCGTGCCACTGATGACCATGACGAATTGGAAGTCTTACTGGAATCTTTTGCCAAGCAGGTGGAAGAAATTGTAAACGAGGCGGAGAATATGCAGGTGCGCCCCTCGTGAAACTGCTATGAACATCCTCACCTACTGATCACATGCGCAGAGCAATGTACAATCCACACAAGAAATCGTAGAACTTATTCTAGATTCTAATCGTAATGAATTACTTGCCTTGGACCTCAAGGTAAGAGATAGATATTGTGTATGGAGGAAACATCATCTACCCTGTTGTTTCTAAGGTTTCTATACTGACCATGGGTCTTGGTATCGGAACCCTCACGGCTGGGCTCTTCGGTATGAACGTACGTATCATCTCCAGACCTCCCTTCAGCCCCGATTACTGACGTTATCTCTCACTTACAGCTCAAGAACCACATCGAAGGCAATGAGTATGGCTTCCTCGCCATGACCCTCTTGTCACTCGTTGCCACCGGCTTCATCTCCTGGTCAGGCCTTCGCCGGTAAGTAGCGCCATTCACAACTGACTCTCGCCCCAGGCTGCTCATCTGTACCCTTTCAGGTTAGCCAAGATTAGGAAGGTGGGGCTTTCTGGCAACGGCAGGAAGGCGAAGAAGGGCTGGTTACCTCTACCGCTTCGACGGCGCGGTTCCGATTCACTCTGATTTTCGACATCTTCTCAGTCCTCCACTCACCCCTCAGCGTCAGACAAACCTCACGTTCACCACCGCTTCCACTATATCGTCGCTTGCCTTAATCCATACCAGTCGGATCTACAGCATCTAATTTATTTATGTCTTGCACGTTGTGCCTTAGGTTCCGCACGCATATCTCAAGAAACGGTCAGATGTGCAGCATGATGCAATATTGAAAGAAGAGGCGACATCACCCTGATAATAGACTATCAGTTCCTACATCGGTTCCTTTGTAGGGATTACGAAGATCGGATCCGCAAGCTCGAAAAAGGATCCAGGACTGCTAGGTACGGAGTGCACAGTTAGCACATGCTTTGGTTTTATCCACTTAGACACAATACCATTTCGCGCAGTACATACTGGGCGATATAGGCACCATTCACTACGGAAATGTACTTCCGCTTGATACAATTGAACCAAGTACACGTCCAAACGCCCTTTTGTGGGAACGAGGTGGTTTCGTCAGCCGCTGGTGTCCACGCGATGTGCTGGCGGGGATTGGTGTAAGATTGGTGGAATCCAACGGTTCCGCCCCGCCCCTCCCCCCCTTCTGGATATCGGTGTATCGTCCACCCGGTCACCACTCAGATAGATACAAGATTCGAAAGTGGAAGTATATTGTTCGAGATTAAGCAACATTCCGTTCAAGACCTGCTACACCAACAGTACAGTACATATTTGCAATACAAAAGAAATCAACAATCCAAGGCAAGAGAACAACCAAGAGCAGAGAGATACGTGAGAGTGATACCTAAAACCACCTGTCATGCAGGTAGGTGAGGAGTCCGAGGGTCAAGGGCAGTAGATCATAGCAAAAGAACGTCAGATGAAACGCGCGTGACAAAGGGCATAAACAAGAAAGCGATGAGATGACGAGATGTGGGGATGGAGCGGGGACGGAGGTGATGAAGGATGAGAAGCGAACTTGTCACTACGGAGCACGTTTCGATCATCAGGGGTAAGGGCCAAGGATAAACGGGGGCGATGAAATATACGAAGCAAGAGCCACAGGCGTAGATAGTAGCAATCTATTAATGGCTTCGATTAGCTCATCGACCATCGTACCGCAGGCGAAGCTGAACGACCACTTACAAAAAGGAACGCATCGGACGAAACTCTACAGTAACAGAGCGTTTCCCGACCTAATCCCGGGCAGGAGGTGGCATGTCCGGGATCAAATAGTGAAGTGGTTGACCACTGCCAAAGCTCGACTTATGGTTCAAGTTCGGCAAACCCAGGCCAGCAGCAACCAAGTCCTCCCTCGACACTGCGCCCGAGCGCAAACCCAAGGCGGGGCTAGAACCGCTTGCCATGGCCCTCGAATCTCCGTACGGTACGTGCGACGAAGCGACGGAGTCCTGACGACTCACAATGCCGTGTGAGGTCATTGAATCCTCGCGACTGATCGTGCCGCTGGCAGGCGAAATAGGCGTATCTACTTCGAAGGAATCGTAGGTAGGTACTGGTTTGCGAGTTGCGCGACGGGTGTTGCCGGAGAATGACCTGTTCATGGGAATTGTCTCTGCGGAAGGGCTGGTGGGTGAGGATACAGGTACCTCCCCAGTGATTGACAACACATGGCCGTCCAGAGATGGCCTACGAGCATAGTTACTGCTCACGCTCGCCTGACGCTCCATCCCACTGGAATCTAATTTTGCGAGGGCCATCGCACGGTTTTGACTAGTCGACTTGGCTCTGGAACGGTTTGACGGAGTAGATGTGAGAGGACTCGGAGGGACGCTAGATGTAGAAAATCGACGAACGTCGAGCGGTGAGACTGTTTCTATGTACTCTACTGATCTACCTTTGGAGGCGATCGATTTCTCCTCAGCCAGTGTCGTTAAGTCTTCCTCTGAGCCGATGGGGCCATGTCTACTACCCACACTGAAGCCGCCGACAGACTCGACAGTCTCATGTTTCCTGTGGGTCTTCAGATCTCCCGTCGTAGTGGGCAGAGTACTACCAAGATTGGAGTCTCGAGAAGACAACCCGTTCCATTTACCAAGCCCACCACGACTAGACGACGATCCACCACCGGCGCGCTTGAAACGCCTCGAGGATCGGAGGAAGAGACATAGGCCAATCAGTGCTGCGACAAGGACAACACCGCCTATGACACCTCCGGCGATTGCCCCTGCAACATGACTTGATGCAGATGAGGATGTAGCCCCAACTGGAACGAAGGTCTCTGCTGGAGCAGAAGATATCGGTGTGGTGACAGGGGAAGATGATGGGGGTGAGACGCCCAAACAGGAGAGATCGGTGCCATTTGACACGGTGAACTCGGAGGATCTTGCTGGTACTAGCAACTCGCTTGCTATGGCCCTTACCACGTATTGACCTGCGGGAACATTTACTGGGGACCAGGTGTATGAGGATAAGATCCCGGGATCTGCAAAGGTGCCCAACGTGAGATAAATAGGGACATAGTCTGAGCTTGTCTGTCGGCGATCGACTGCCAACGTCGTTGGCAGGTTGACTAAATGGTTGGTCACAATCAACGAGAGATTGTGAAGGCCGCCAGTCGTGTCCCATCCAATGACTGCAGACGAGCAAGCCGTCATGTCATCTATGACCTTGAATGCGAGGAATGGCATCCTAGAAGGGGATCCTGTGCTCGTAGGATTAATGGAGAGCTGGGATCCTGGCAAGGTTGGTGTTGGATTCGTATCTGGAGTAGAGAGCACACTCCCAGGGATAAAGGGGGGACTAAACCCTGCCATGGCTATGAAGAAGCAGAGCAGTGATCAAGAGATGGAACCTGAGGTAATACTAATATGGAGAAACGGGCTTCAACTTACCGTAAAAGCCAACGACGAGTGCACGAATACGGGATTGTGCCTCTTACACCTGCAGTGCTTACCCTCCAGCAGTCACCTCTGCTTGTCGTTGTGAAGGACAAAAGCAAGAGATGAGACGTCCAGCGTTTTCCCTTGGAACCTCTAGGGCCCTGATGACCCTGCCGGAAAGATCCCGACCGGCAAATCATTCGTTTCAGATCGAAAAAAGAGACTGTCAAAGGACTTCAATATGGTTCAAGCCGGGATCGAACCGGCGGCCGCCTGTGCTCAACATGTAAGACAGGAGTGATAACCACTACACCATTGAACCATACTATGATTAAAAGCAAAATTCACAACTGATTTTGTTAAACGGATACTTATTAATCAATAGCAAAGAACGACATTCTTCATGATCAAGTGTTTAGATAGATATTTTCTCCAGAGAAGCGTGGGTACGTACACGTTAAAGTAGAAGTACTTCGATCATGATGCACGCTCTGAAACCTGGAAGTATCTGGAAGGCACATCTACTTGAAGGTCATGGATTTATCAGAGCACAATTCCTTCGATGAACGTTGATAAATACTTGTATGTTGACTATGACCTGCATATGACCATGATAACCACGAGTGAGGCGTATTAGAGAAATTCAGATGATAATATGCCTAGTTAGATCGTATGCGGTACTATAAAATGGATCACTGCAGTACTTACACCGTTCACTTGCTGGGCAAAGTTCTAGAATGTGGTCTCTGTTTGTACGTACTTTCTGCGAGTGTGACGAAACAATGTGAGTAAGATGGTGGTTGTAGTCGGAATGGTGGAGAACCACAGCATATGCCATAATGTGTAGGCTCGGAGAACGCCGGTATTGTCTAGAAAGGGAGCCTTCAACTAAGTCGGTACAACACTTCTGTATATCCATTACCCCCATCTACACACAAATGACTCTAATAAGTGTCTCCGTTGACACATTTATATACACTTCCGTTGCAGTAGCGACACCTCTCGTATACTTCCTACGTCGCCAGTCATCGAATCCTGACGCGCCACTCCGACAAACACTGAATGTCCTGGTCCTCTTACACACGCTATACGTTCTCTATGTCCTGACAGTACTATGGCCTCCAAATCTATTCCAGAGGCTGAACATACCCTTGACAATGCCTTCGGATAGCATTCGTTACCTCATTCTCCAAAAAGCCGGGCTGGAGCAAGACGCGACTTTACCCAAAGCCCTAGAATCGCTGTTAACGCGATTATCCTCATTTGATATGCGCACGCTCTACGTCAGGTCTCATTATACACCCTTCATTTCTCTGTGAAGTTACTAACATAACGTGTTCCAATAGATTTGGCCAGACAGTGTTACAGGACTGTGAACACTGCACGACCTTCGACGAGTACTCACTATATGCCTTGCCATGGCCACTTCTCGAATATATCCGTGAAGCTGCTGTAATTGGCCTTCTGACAATTCAAGGTAGCGGCCGGGAACGCTGGAGGACATACGGTGTAGCTGCAGTTGTAATTGCGGCGATATTAGAAGGTTACTGGGTGGCCTCCGCCACTATTCAAGTTCCCAGGAATGGACTAGGCGTGTACATGGTGCGTCTTCCAATATTTATTTCATCCCTTTTACTCCGTGATTTACCAATGTCGTAGCTGCATGATAATCTTTGGCTCCTCCGACAATTGCTATTCCTTGTGCTGCCAATTGTTATCCATCTTCTACCAGCATCTCCACCTGAGAGCGATCCCGTGAACACACTGCACACTACCAGGAATACCCTGGAGCTTACACTGACGCGCCTTACGTCTTTGAGGTACTTACGGGGTGCGGTCATGAGGGACCCCACTCTGAGGGCTTCCGCGACAAAGTGGTGGAGTGGCCAGAAAGTTGCAGGTGTTTGGATACGGGAGGATGACGCTGTTCAGAAGACGGCGCAGAAGCTTGGCTATGGCTTTGTTGGCAGTGACGAGGAAGCCAAGTTGAGAACGAGTGCTCGGGCGACCACGGGAGCCATTGCGTCAGGTCTAGGGATCAGTTATAGACGAACCTAGAGATAATGTCCTCATATATACATACTGTAGACCATGTATCATAGACTCATAGTGTAACTTTTATTCCTTCGTTTTACATGTTGTGATAATGTACATGATTACTTGAGGATGCAATGGAAACGATTCTGGCGAGTTTATCCGAAAAGCAGCAGCACGGCATGATTGCACAAGCAAAGATAAAGTCCGGTGTCGTGAAGTCATACAAAACAGTCGCTCAAGACGATATTATGGTGTCTCTACTCCATCGACAACAGACTCTAATGGGTATGGTCCCTCCTCTTTCAACTCTTCCTCTAAAGCCTTCCGTCCCTCTTCGGTAAGAGTAGGAATACCAGAATCAAGGTCAGGCTCGAAATACTTCGGAACAAACCTGCGAGATAGTCCGTATCAGAAAACATCCGCAGAAAAGCACCCATAAATACTTACATCTGGCCTTTACGTTTCCGCTCAGCAGCATCGTCTCTCTGCTTCTGCTCGATCGCCAGCTTATGCTTAGTAGCATCCGAATACTCCTTCGCCATTAACTTATTGGTCACATTCTCCCACAACTTCCTGCTCTCATCGGGTAACTGCTTCTCTAACGCCCTCACTGCCTTGGGTATCACATGTAATGTCGAAATGTCCAGCAACGTCGCGTACGACGAATCAGGATCGATGGCCCTCTTCCATCGAATGAGATGTTTCCATGAGCCGTCGAAGACAGCTACGATGCGTGAGCGAGGTACGTGCTTGACTTTCGTCCATTCTTCGTGTTCGCGAGAACCGGGGGTATAAGTGTGTATGACGCCTTCGCAGAGGAAATGAGCCCTCCCAAGCCAAGACTCCTCCTTGTATTCTATGATTGCGCGGTAGTAAGGCCCGCCTTCGGGTCCACCGGTGCAAGTAACGATCGTCGATTCCGAAACGGTAACATAGAAGCTACCTCTCAGGATACCATTGACAGATGCAATGGGATGTGTGATTTGGTACGTTTCGCCTGCACCGTACCCGCCCTTGATACGCACGAACGCACCCTTGTTGAAGTTTCCAGGCGTCACGCGAATAGTCGTACCAGAGACCTTAGCAGATATCTGGTCGATGCCTGACAACTCGAGTTGTCGGCTGGGGCAGTAGGCCGTGAATGCCGAGACGGGCGGGTGATGAGATACCTGTTCCGTCAAGTAGGCAATTCGAACGCGGGGACGATCTGCTAATGCGGGAATTTCCTCTCCTTCTATTAGGTCACCCGACTTGGAAGCGTTGATGTTGCCAAGGCTGAGGTTGGACATCTGGGCATCTAATTCGGCCTCGAACAAATCCGGAGAAGTGGCTGGGGTGCTGCGGCCAGGTGTGGCGGGAGTGGAGTAACCCTTAGAGAGCAAGCTGAGACCACTGACGGTACTAATGCCACTCCTACCGCTCCTCATACTGGCGGTCTCCGAGATGGCCTTCCGGGGTGACAGTGCTGATAGTGCGGAATAGCTGGACCGAGCAGCGGCCTCGGAAAGGTACAAATGTTGAATGGGAGGTTGCGTAGGGTCAGAAGGATAGCTAACGGGAAGCACATCCCAGTGTGACCGGAAATGTTCACCCAAGACAGAGTTGTACGGCTTGCATACCTTTCCCCGCTGGTTGAAGCATACGCGTAAGAAAGCAAAGACATGTAAAGCATTGGCCGGACTTACAATGAACTTCAAATCCTTAGAGAATGTGAAACGGAGAACAGCAAGCATTCGTTCAAACGGGTCATCAGAATCATTAATACTGGAAAATATAGCGCATCGTCGGTGCTCTAGGGAGACAGTGGGCAGCCAACAGACACTCACGCAGCGAACAAATCCGGTCTATCCAAGTAATGCCAGTACTCCAGGTTCGGGATGGGTTCCAAGAGTGATGCAGGGAGGGAGAGTCGCCTACGAGTTTCGACGTTCGGAGTCAGGTACTTTCGCATACGTACTAGAGGACATACATGGATGCGATGTCCTTTACTCCGAGACATTTCTTGACCAGCTGTACGATCATCTTGAGCTTGCCCTCCCCGGTGTCACCAGCATCTGGCACAGAGACGGCCTGTCCAGCGGGTTCATCGTCAACGTCCAGCGGGGTCCGAACCGGTGTAACATCGTCATTTGCCATGGTGGTTTAAGAAATAAAGATGGAACAGGATTAAGAGGAATACAAAGGAAAGGAAGATGAACGTGAAGAGCTGGTACTAAGTTACACACTTACAGTACGCAGTCGCCTTGGCGCACGTTTAACAATGTTCCATCCTCTATAATCGGTAACTGCTCTTGGCAACCATATTTAGCCGCATAATTAAATTCACCCAAAAAGCTGGTTCAGTCCGGGTTCGAACCGGAGACCTCTCGTGCACAGCATGGTTCACTGCACCAAATGCATGTGAGACGAACGTGATAACCGACTACACCACTGAACCTTTTAAGAGCGTTTTTAATATTATAATACTAAGTGAGCTCAGACTCAACTGCCCCTCGTGCTCCATTAATTTGAAGTTGCGTGACTTGCGTCTACCCCTCACTCTTGCTCGTTAACGAGTCTTTTAGTATTACAATCCTTTTCAGTAGCTATGCTACGTTATACAAGAGAAGTTATGAACAGTCATCAGAATATTTACTTAACATCCATTGGTACTTTCTAGGAATGCCAATACGTCGGTGTCCCTGCGCTGTCCCATAGCAGCGGTTTGATATCAACGATGTCTTCTCACCATCGTCAAGTATGGCTATTGGGACCGCATGATCATCAACAAACTTAGAATCCGCCAGCCCTTACTCCTCTGATAACGATTTGTATTGCAGATCATCCTTGCTCACTCCCAGGGCTACCCACGTTGCGTCGCCCTCCATCTGACCGGTCTTTGTCCTAGAACAGGAATGCCCGCCCCTTGACTTCGCTACCATCTACATTATTCCTACGTTCTTCCAGAATTCTTACCTCCCGAACAAACCCCTTGATTCAGAAATAGATCTTCATGATGCGCACATAAATATACTCACTTATGCTCGGGTTGAGGTCAACACCTACGCAACTCCGTGTGCTATGGCTTTCTTCAAATGCGCTGCAGCGCTGGTACTCTCCGTGCTTTGCTTTTCACCGGCAACTAACGCTGCTCCTGGCGCAGGTAAAGCTGATCCGTGTGCTAAATTTGCTGGTCAGCAGTTTGTAGTTCCTGCGGATGCTCTAGCCTGTTTAAAGTCATTCCCATTCAACGAGACTTTGCGTCAGAATGTCCTCACCAACATCGCTCGGGTCTTTGATTTCTTTACTTTCGAAGAATTCTATTTGAATTCCCCTCCGCCTTTTCAAGAATCGACTACGAACATACGAGCAGATATCGCACGTATCAATCGTACAAAGTTCGCGGTACGTCACCAGGTTACATTTGAACGAAAAATGTATGCCTGATTGCGTTATTTCTAGACGGACTATAACTTCAACAGAGCAGTTTACGACTTCACCACTCAGCTCAATGATGGGCATACCAGTCCGCTTTCCTTATTGTTTGTGGTCACTTACTGTGCTGACTTAAATACCATCCAGGATGGTTTCCCGATTGCTATACGTCGTTCCAGAACCTTTTGCCAGCTCCGATTGTCACTCTCGAAGAGAATGGCGTGCAAGGCGTATTTGTCGCACCTGACTCAGTTGAATTCATCAGTCTCGTAGGCGCGGACTACCTCGCACACTTCGAACAGATCGGGTTTAACTGGCAACGTCTCGCCGGTGCCAAAGTTCTCGAGATTGAGGGACAAGATCCTTTTGCTTACGCAGACCACATTGCCAGCACTGAGTCTGGGAACTACTTGGACCACGGTGTTCGGGTGAACAGTGTCTTCAGCAGTTACCGGATTTCTGGCTCAGACTTCTCTCAACGATTTGGCGACATCGCTGGCCCCGCGTTTCCTGACAGAAACACTCTGACTCTCAAACTCCTTCCAGTCAACTCGACTACAGCTGAGACTGTCAAAGTTCCCTACCTTGCCAATTATATTGGAGCCCCATTCACCAATCAAGCATCCTTGTACGTAGCTTTGACTCCTTCTCAACTCAAGATGTTGCTTATCTTTCCGGCGTTGCAGTTGGGCGGTGAACTGTGCAGCAAATGACGAAACAAACGGTGTGGACCTGCGACCACCAAGGAGTGCTGCTAGGGTCAAAACACCGAAACGTGCACGCGCTGTCATCATAGATAAGACTCCTGCGAATGGCGTCGGTCTGCCCGACCCGTTCATTCCCCGAGTACCACCTGTGAACGGCAGCACGGGTGTAATCAAGTCATTCATCCTCCCCGATAACCAGACAGGCGTGGTATGCTTATTTTTATTCCATGTGGGACTATCCATGATGTGTGTGAATAGATGTTCGTCGGGTCGTTTGAAGGCGACTTTAATCAATTCCAGACAGATACTCTGGCCGCCGTGCAGCAATTTCAGGCATCTGGAGTGACACGCCTACTAATTGATCTGACAAACAATGGAGGTGCGCAGATTGAATATCTACATAAGCTTTCCTTCGACTGCAAAGTATCTCATCAGGTGGTTTCGTCTGTTTGGGTCAATTTCTCCACCAGTTCCTTGTTGGTTCTCAAATTGGCTATCCGTATGTTGCGTGACCTTGCTGTCAGTTGACGAAATTAACGATTCAAATGCAGTGGGTTCGTCTCCACGTCTCGCGCCAACCCTCTGGCTCAAAGGATCGTGAAAGCGGACATTGCGCAGGGCAACAATGATTTCATTACGTTCTACAGTCCAGACAATTGTGAGCCATCATGTTGGCATCATTTACCGACGTTCACGTTCATTACGCCGCCTACAGGGGCATTCCTCAATGACACGGAAATGCCACTCACATTTGATTACAATGACCCGAGCCTTCCTTTCAAGATCAATGGTGTAAACGACCCAACTTCACAACGATTCCATGTGGGTTGGGTTCGCAACTTGCAAACGAATTTACTCGAACTGAAGTTTCGGTGCAGGATGTATGCACGCCATTCGCTGTGCCAATCCCAGAGACGCCGCCATTCGACTTGAAGTGCGTCATGTGTTTCATCCTCGGGCGTCCTCTATAAATTCTCATCTTTTCTCTTAGGAACGTGGCAATAGTCAACAACGGCAACTGTGCTTCAACGTGTTCGATGTTCAGTACACTCATGTTCGAGCGTCATCAAACGAAGATTGCCGTTTTCGGTGGTAACCCGGGTGAGCAAATAGAATATAAAGGTGAGCTCATCATGCGACCTTCAAGCTAGTAATAAAGTCTTGATGATACCTTTTTTCAGGTATGGCTGGTAACCAGGTATTGGAATGGTCCGACCTGGACACCGAGATCAAGACCGCTGGCGTGAAGGATGTAAGTATCTGCTCAAACAATATCATGCCGTTACAATAACCGAATGCTCGCTAGGATCCCTTGGCTCCGCCTGACCTGTAAGTGCCTACTTGACTGTCTGTCTGAATTTAAGGTGGGTGTGCTGAGATATGTATTCCAGTCTCGTTTCCGGTAACATGAGGTGCGTTCTCATTCGTTCACTGTATATCGGTTCTGACCCCAATTGGTATCAGGCACAACTGGAGAACCGGTGTGTATTGAACAGAATCAGTCACACACGGAAATAGCTCACGGCATGCGGTACTATAGCCTGGAGTTTCCTCGACGAAAACGTTCCGATCGGTAGGTTATCTTTCATTTTGTCAGGAACCTCATGATACACAACTGATCAACGTTTCGCCTTGACAGCATACAAGTCAGAGTTGCCGCAATGTGAGCAAACGGCTTCTGCGATTCTTTATTATTCTTATCTCACTGCGATGGAATTCCTTCTTCGCTTTCTTTAGTCCGCTTTGCTTATACGAAGGACACGTATAATGATCCTCAGAATCTGTGGGAGTTCGCGTGAGTAACAACAATGTGGTTCACTTGCCACGTCTACTGCATATTGATGAATGTACAGGGCGAGCAAGTTGTTCTAAGTCAGATTCCGCCGGTCTGGCGTAACTGCGCGCAGTCCTATCCCAACTCCTGCATGTAATCAGAATGAGCCAATAGAAAGATACACAAGGAGTAGTCCAAATTGCGAGTGCTCTTGAATCTATTACTACTAAGCTGTATGCTACGACACATGCTGCTCGAAAGCTCAGCTTTTTACGCTAAATAAGAGCTACATACGCCCTCACCGGGGCGCAATAACATTGAAACCACTGAGCTCCCAAGGGTATGTTATATCTGTCCATGTACAGAAAGGAGAAGACAAAAAAAAATGGAACAAGCAATAATAATACTGTCACCTATAACTTTCAGTGTGGAGACCGTCGTGCTTCGCCCTGCGATGCACGCGGAGAATGACTCGAACTTCTTGAACCATCTCGATGTCTCCTCAAATCGGAACGCAAGTGAGTCCGTTCGTCAACTTCCTCATCGAAATCATCTGCCTCTTCGACTTCGGGTAATCTCTCCAAGCCTACAGTGTCGGCGGCGCCTAGCTCGTCTTCTTCAAATGCATTGAATAGCGTTTGTGACCGTCGTTCCGACGGTCTACGTGTATGGCCAGGGCCTCCACCGATAGTTGTTCCTCCAGCACCACCCCATCCATCAATGGACATTCGACCCGAGATGCTCAGCCGCGGGTTCATAAGTCCCCCTTCTAGTGCTGAGTGACCGTTTGCATGTACGGCAGTTTTCTTCCTAGAAAGTTCGAGTAAGTGCACTCCAAGGAATGTGACGATGAAGCCAGCAAGTAGGGATATTGAGTTGGCGGGATTGTCGGTATTGAATCCTTGGAATAGGATGACCGACGCGATGATAGTCGCTGTCGAGAAACCAACGTAGTACATTGGGTTGACACTATCAAACCTTGGTGAGAATTGGGAACTTCGTGAGACCATATAAACGTACACATTCGTCGAGAAGGTATCTAATGCTTTGTTGAAGTAGTTCATTTGGACGAGAATGCACACAGTTACGACGATCGCAAACACGTATGTGCTCGGATGTGTGAACTGATTGTTTCCAGCCAATGTTAGTTTGACGGCAACTCCAAAACCCTTGACGGCCATAACTGATACTGATCCGACGACCGAGCAAATGGAAATGTAGACAACAGCGTTCGTGCGACCATACCGCGGCGCGACCGCGTAGATCATCACCAAACTGAACACTAGCACAGTAAAGCAGTAGAGCAGGAATCCTACAGAGACATGGTTAACGGAGTTGAATATGACAACTATCACCGGATCCTCACCTGGTTGCACTGCATAGTGTAGAATTTCGTCGACAGTTTGAATATTTTTATCTTCAGGCGCGTGCAAGACGATGATCAGAGAGCCTAGTAGACATAGTGTGCATCCTACCCGACCCAGATGGCCTAACTCTTCGTTCAACAGAAAGGATGCCAAGACAGCGCTACAATGTTCTGTGGGATGAGCACAGAAGAATGTGGCAAAAATCATTCCGAGCACGCACCCAATAATGACACTGAGTGCGCCCAACGGAGTGACCAAAATTGGAGGGGCAAATGTGTATGCAGCAAAGTTGGCGACTGTACTTCATTAACGTCAAGTTTGTGTGATGTACAAAAGTCGCACCTTCTCCTAGAATTACTGTCAAGTTCATGGCCTCAATTTACAGAGCAAATATAATGCAGGATATGACTCACATGTGGATATCCCTGCCCACCATATTGGATTTTTGAGGTAGGAATAGCTATCCGAGGCTGATGCATACGCCGACTGCTCCCCCGCTTCATTAAGGCCCTAAGTACACGCGAAAAGGTATTGAATCGATTGGTAAGAACTGCGCGCATACTTACTTACCTTCTTTGTGAGAATAAAACTAGTGCCTATTGCTACGGAGCTGGAGACTGCCAGCGCAAGACCAATATATTTGTCCTCGACCATGGCGTGACCGTCGAGGATATTTGGTTGACCGCAAGAAGTTCCACCAGAATAACAGATTTAGGAAGGGGTATAAGGAGAGTCTGAGTTTGTCGTAAGTCGTGGAGAGTTAATACTGAAACCGGAGGGTAGGAATGGTACGGTCAGTGCAAGAGATCAGCGAGGCTTCCGACCTGGCCAAGCACTGTGTTTGCGAGCGTCTGAAAACAATGCAAACCATAATATTGGGTTAGCATCTGTTTCATCTGTTCCCGCAAATATAGCACTCGCTCTCTTTCTTTACGACCTGGCGAATGCTTGTGGACCTTGGAGACATGTCGAAGACGCTCTGCGTATTTTCATACATATATTAAGGAACAGAGCATGATGATTTATTTGTTGGCGTAACTCTAGGTGCTCGGGGTCTTGTCAATATGTCCTCCGGTCCGCTACTCGCACGCTTGGATGTTCAGCGGATTGTTTGCCTGAATGCTGCCAGCCTTCGCAGGGCTCGCAAGGTTGACGACCTCCTACCGTGTTCGCATATATCCCATCAAAGCAGTAACGAGTTTTCGTAGGCTTGCAAGTATGGGAGCATTAGCGACTCAAACAGTGGATACCACTAAACGTCTGGAGGCCCTCCGGTCGTTAATGTCCAGTTCTGAACATAACGTCACTGCCATGGTAATTCCGAGTGAAGATCAGCGTAAGTTCTTATCACATCGTTATGTTCCTCAATGCTATCTCAATGCTGAAATCTTTGTTCTCCATAGATATGAGCGAATACATTGCAGCTTGCGACGAGAGGCGAGCGTATATCTCGGGCTTCAACGGCTCGGCAGGTATGCAAATCGCGCATGGTTCATTTGCAGGTGGTATAAGTATGAATGTCGACAGGAACCGTCATCGTTACTTTGAAGGATGCCTTTCTCTTCACGGATGGGCGCTATTTCCTTCAAGCTGAGAAGCAGCTCGATAGGTATCTGACTTCATGCAAGGACTACGGACATTTGATCATTGATGTTTACAGCAACTGGACCTTGATGAAGTCTGGTCTACCAGGTAGCTTGCTACTTATCTGGATGACATTTCAGATCTGATGGCCTTCATTAGACGTTCCAACTTGGCAAGAATTTCTATCGAAGGTATTTCATCGTCCTTCTATTCAGGGGTACTGCTACCGTACTAACATATATCGCAGAACCTCGAAAAGCACAGCAGGATCGGTATCGATCCTACTCTTATTACTGCTGGTTAGCTTTTTTCCTAACTGCACACCTAATTTGATCTGAATGGCGCCAAAGCGGACGCTGAGTCGCTGGAAACCTCGTTGAAGGCCAAGGAATCTCATCTAGTCTCTCTCACCGACAACTTGGTTGATTTCATATGGGAAGATCGACCTCCGCGTCCTGCAAATAAGGTTTTCCCATTGGATGTCAAGTATTCAGGTTGGTATCCAATTTTGTTACAACCCTCCATATGAATTCTAAACGAAACGTCCTAAGGAGAATCTCATCAAGACAAGCTCAAGCGCCTACGAGAAGAACTCAACAAGAAGCCTTACAAGGCGATGGTCGTGAATATGCTTGACGAAGTTGCTTGGTTGTTCAATCTTCGCGGGTCCGACATCGACTTCAACCCGGTTTTCTTTGCATATGCTGTAGTGACCCACGACAATTCACTGCTATTTGTCAATACCTCCCAAGTTGACGACGTAGTTCGTACTCACCTCGGTGATCCAGTCCAGATCAAGCCGTATGACGAATTCTTCCCTTACCTTCGAGGCTTGGGCGGAGAGGTAGACTTGAGCGACGAACTGGCAAGTACATGTAGGCTTATTTTTTTCCTGTGCGCTTACCGCCATTCAATATAGCAAGTGCTCGTGGGCGATAAATGCAACCTCGCCATAGTTGAAGCAATTGGACGTGTACGTTCTTTTCCTGCGTAATTGCGCAACGTCTACATAAAACCGAGCTTCAAGTTTACTGACAGTAGATATGCCCTCATGTCATAAAGGAAAGAATCACGATCTTGCGGTCACCAATCGCCGATTTCAAGGCCATCAAGAATGAAACTGAAATTGAAGGTTGATACAACCACTAAATTGCGTTCCATGGACTTTCGCCTGATTTACCTGCAATTCTAGGCTTCAGGCAATGTCATATTCGAGATGGCGCTGCATTGACGAGGTATTTCGCGTGGTTGGAAGAACAGCTTAACAGTGGCACACAATTGAACGAGAGCCAAGCTGCTGACAAGCTTGAAGAGTTTCGTTCGTAAGTGGCGCGATCCACTGGACCGTTGTATACGGTTGCATTAAATTTCCCACAATAGCGAACTCGACCTCTTCCGCGGCTTATCCTTCACAACCATCTCATCTACAGGACCCAATGGCGGTAAGCCATGACCTTGAATTTGAGTCGATTTTTGGCGCTGAATTATTCCTCAGCTGTTATTCATTATTCCCCGGATCCAGCGGATTGCTCCATCATTCAGAAGGAACAGGTAAGAATATCAACCTCTCCTAGTTTCAATTATTAACATTGACTGCACTTGCTCAAGATATATCTATGTGACTCTGGCGGTACGTATGCATGCAGCCTATCACGAAAGGTACTGACGGACGCTTCCTATTTAGCTCAGTTTTTGGATGGGTAGGATAATCATTTTCAAGATGAAGTCTGTTGACGTCCGCTGAATTGATCGCTTTTACAGAACGACAGATGTTACCAGGACATGGGTATGTTTTTCATCAAAACATGCCATATTGAATGTTGAACCAAACCTCACTTTTCAGCACTTCGGCAACCCAACTGATGAAGAGAAGCGTGCATTCACTCGTGTTCTGCAAGGCCACATCGCGATCGATACAGCAATATTCCCCAATGGCACAACTGGCTACATTATGTGCGTTCTTTAATTGCGTATTTGCAGCGCGTATTCTAAAATGCAGTTAGTGATTCGTGGGCGCGCCGGCCTCTATGGGAGGATGGACTAGGTACGACCCTGTTCCTGTTGCCAATGCTATCGACTGACTGTCTCCCCATTTTCTGAAGATTATCGGTATGCTTCATTGTCATTATTGGGGTGTGGTTCTGATCCCCCTCTGATAGACACGGCACAGGTCACGGCGTTGGCCACTTCCTTAATGTTCACGAAGGTACGTGTAGTGATGACGCTCGAACTATGGCATTGACACTGAACGACGTATGGTATTAGGTCCCCAGGGCATTGGCGTGCGGATTGGTAAGTTTCGAGCACTTCGTCTGATGTAACAGGTCTCATACCGTCGTGCAGCCTACAACAGCACTGCACTTAAGTCAGGAATGACTGTTTCCAACGGTACGTTGTCGTGATTCTTTTCAAAGTCACTTCTAATGCTGTCGTAGAACCTGGATACTACGCTGATGGTCGATTCGGCATCCGTATCGAAAATATTGTTATCGTTCGGGACGCACAAACTCCTAACAACTTCGGTAACAAGGGATACCTGAAGTTTGAGCATGTTACGCTGGTAAGCCCAGTCCGTTATTCATTTTAATGATTGTCGCTTATCGTTCAATGAACCCTGATACAGAGTCCTATCCACAAGAAGCTAATCGATGCGTCACTGTTGACTGCCGCCGAGAGATCATGGTTGGATGCTTATCATGCTGAAGTTCTGGACAAGGTTTCGCCGTTGTTGAAGAATGACACTAGGGCATTGGCATGGTTGGAACGAGAATGTTCTCCGTTGTAGTAATTCAGACGACAGGGTGAGGAATACGAAGAAGATTAAATATGTACGTTGTATGCACGTATACCGTTGTACCTCACGGCGTCAATTGGATACCCTTGTAGCCTACTTCTTTTCTCGGAGTTGGACATGTGTCGTGCATCGAGACCTCACCATGATCAACCGTGGTGACCGATGAAGATCCAATAATTCGTTATTCCTCGTCTCTATCGTGATTCGTTTCTATCGTGACAAGCGTTTCTAGCCCCACTTCAAGTTGACGTCAAGGGCTGACCGGCCATCGCCTGCGTGAACATCTGCAAAGCAGCCTGACCCCTGCTGAGCTTTCCATAGGTGTATGCAGGAACTTCATGACCACTGTAACGAATTGTGAGGCGTTAATCATGAAGATACAAATCAACGAAGACTGCTCACGCTCCGAAGAAACGGACGTAAGAGAATGTTCCGGCATTCTTGACTAGGCCCGTCACTCGACCAGCTACAGTCCAGTTGCTGAAGGATTGCTGATGGTAGAGCGTTGTGAATTGAGTCTGAAGATTGTCAACCATTGCCTCGACGCCGTTGAAGTTCAAAATGTAATCCTGTCAAGCGATAATCAGCATTATATACGCATCCACTGACATGTGTAAAAACACTTACCGCATCACCGTCGTATACAACCGTACGAACACCAGCATTTATAACAGTCTCCAACAGTGGCCTCGAGTTGGTCATCCAATCGCCAGTCCTCGCAAAGTTGTTGTAAACCTGGCTGCTGGACTCTTGCCAGTTAACTTCAGCGCCGATCTGTGCTTTGAGACTAGCATTACCCAAGTACGTCGAGAAACTTGGTGGGTATGGGTCCGGGTCTTGAGCCAACACATAGTAAACATCATAGTTTCCTGCAAGAGGTGAAAGAATGTTGTTGTTGCAGAACGATTGGGCTCCAGAACAGCTGGAAGTGCTGCCCGTGGTATAGCAGGATTGGATTTGGTCGCGGCAGCCGCCAGCGCGGAAGAAGGAGTCGTTGGCACGGCTCAGAGTAGACGAAGAGACGAGAGGGTGGTACCTTTCTATAACGTCAGTAGGCTCTTGGAGGACGTTATAGCGTGTGAGCATACGGGTTGTTAGCCGCGTAGGTCAAATAGCCGGGGTACTGAGAAAGGGGATCCTAGTGGTCGCAGCCTTAGTACGGCATAGACAAGACGTAGACGAAGTCTTCTTACTGTGAGGCCATCGCCAACACCGAGTACTTTCAAGTTGATTGGGATACCAGAGATAGTACCATTAGCAATGGCGGCATTCTGTTGCAAGAAGTAACTGACAAGGCATCGTATGAGTCTGGAGCACATGTATAAGTATCAAGAATCTTACGCAGCGAATGTGGGTCCATAGTGACCACCGTAGGATTCTGTCCAAACAGCAAATTCGTTCTCCTGGAACTTGCTGAATCGAGAGTCCGCGAAGAAGATTTGGAGGAACTACGGAAATCACACGTCAAACAATGGCATAAAACGTCAGAAGCTAGATCATCAATGTATTACATACCTTCCAGGTATCGGAAGCTGCCTGCTGCGACGTTCCAACACTCGTTGTACCATGGGAAAAGCCAACCCCCACAGGTTGGTCGATAAACAACCTCCCGACAAATTAGTTTGACGGGTGTCAGAGAGATATCAGAAGTAATCTTACATGTTGGCAGCTTCGTTCCAAGCATTAGGATTCAAGCTCACTGTAGTGGTGTCATTGTTGATACGACATGGTCCAAGTTCTTGGAAAAGACCAATCATGCTGGAGCTTCCCGGCTACCAAGCAAGTCAGTGAGGTTCAAACAACCTCTGCATGTGAACAACTTACACCTCCGTTCAACCAGATGGCGAGGGGTGCAGTATCAGAGTTATTGCGTGCAGCAAAGAACCAGAACCTTGTCGTCACGAGATGGAGAGCGTAAACACCCTAGTGAACGCTGGCTGCCATCAGAATAAAACATACCAGATACTCTCATTTGACGAGAGATCTCCGTAGCCGGAAGCTTGGTATATACCGGGAGTTGTCTCACAAACACCACTGTTTTCGGTAACCCTAAGCTTTCCAGGAGTCGTAGCAGCAGGTATAGCTGTTGCCTCTTCATGAAGGGTCTCCGTGATGTTTTGTGGAACACCACCAATTATGCCGTCAACCACGGGAACCTGGCCAGCCAAAACTGGCAGAGCTGGCAAAGCTGCGAGCAACACTGTCAATGGCGTAGAGATATGCATCTCGAACAAAACCTGACAAGAGGTCTGGAGGGATGTCCCTCCTCCTCATGCGAGGCCATTTATATATGACAATCGTCAGCAAATCACTTGCACATGCATGACGGTCCGCCAGGCTGCGGGAGATACGTCGTACATGCTGTCCCGATATCGCATTGAGTGGACTTTTGAGCCGATATTCGGGTCAAGTTGTGAAGGTGAAGGTCCCCAAGGGGATGAGAGACAAACGGAGTTGAGATATTAGACTCCCGCGCAGAGACCGCAACATGTCGGAATTGACAGCGGACACAGACCACTTCAGGTGACAAGGCTGCTAATCGTTGCCGTATGGTTCTCTGCTTCTATCTCTTATACAGTCGTATGCTCGCAAACTTTGACATTCATTCACCACCTCCTTAACCATGCGGAACTGGAATAGATTGGAATATTGCGGAGAATTGAAGATTGTCAAGATTGTCCGTCTTGTTCTGTTCCGGCTGACGAACCCAGGCCTCGGATTTGCAAGTGAAACGTGAAGCTGAAGCTGCCTCATGTTCAGCAATCCATAACGTTGCATTTCCTTCAACGTGTTACATGTTATATTTTTTGACGTTCTCAAAGGTAAAATGCGCTATAATCTGCCTATATGACGGTTAGTGCGCCATATTTATTTATCCGATCACTTCTTTTGCTTACTTATTGACCTTTTGCGATGCATGGGAAGCTGTTTGTCTCTGACTTCGAAGTAAATAGACGTGACCGAGAGTCCATATTCCAAGTAACCGTTTTAGAAATTGACACTATCTCAACAGGATATATCTCGACTCACTACCATCGTAGCATTGACCATCATTGCTGGAACTTGCTGTGATGTCCTTGTACTCAAACGCCCGGATTTGAACATTGTTCGTCATTGCCCTGGGTGAGATCATCACGTTTGTAGGCCGCGCTCTTAATTCGGTTTCACCTGCCATGCCTCGTACTCTCTACAATCTCAGTCGGTCAGTCCTTGTAGTTGTATTCTATCAGTCTTCGCCGAAGAAATACTTACATCTCTGAGCGTCAAGTCCTTGTATTATTTCCCAACTGACTTGTGCAGGGAGATGTACTGGCAAGTCCTTCTCAAGCTGACCAGCTTCCGTCCCTCGCAAGTGATATCTGTTTCTAACGTTGGGTTTCATACATTGGCACAATCAGCCAGCTGTGTTGACTATGCCAGTGAGTAACGTCAGCCGAAAGCTCTCGTGTCCCAAATAAGATAACTGCCTGATCTTAATTAGGATCCTCAGCGGCATACAAAAGGTGCCGTGACATACAGTGGGATCCACGTTACTGCTTGGCACCTTTCTTCTCCTGATTTTCTAGGTACACATGGATCCGCATTTCGTCCACCGTCAGTGATCTATCCTGCTCAAGGTGAGGGTAAAATGCGGGTTGAAAATTTATAACATGAGCATGGGAGCTAGTGGAAGGCTGAGACCCATGTCACCGAAGAGTTGCCCGAGGACATGGATTAGTAGATCGTAGGTTCTGTCTTCAATCCGTACCGTTCCTGAACATCGCAAAAGTATAAGAATCAGCCCATAATCTGTTCTAGTGGTCAACAAGATGTTGATCGAGACCTTCCCCTGGGTTTTCGCTATCTGCTTTGCGATCCAATGGTTCGCAATCCCTACAAGCGCTACGTGCGGCAATGGCGCTTCGATGCTTCAATGCTGCCGAAAGGTTGCGCCTGCAACGGACCTCGTTGTCTCTCTGACCCTGATGCAAGCGGGAATACACCCATCGAGTCCAACTGAGATTTTCGGGCTGGCGTGTACGGGAGTTGACGCTAAGACTAGTGCTTGGTACGTTGCTGTCATCTATGATAGTTCGTCACTATACTGACTCGGCAGTATGGCTGTAAAGCCTCCCTGACGAAACAGGCTTTATCAGTACTCTTGTCGCCTGTAATGACCTCAACTCGTTTGGTGAGTCTCTTGGCGCTGCATATTCGTCAGTGAAATGATGTGGATTATCATCCTTTTATGATTGCCTAGGTACGATTGGTATCGACTGTGGGCCTGTGCTTAGTATTGGCTCTTAGTCCGAACAGTGTCACGGTAGCAAGGCACCTGCTATCGAGATGCAATAGCCTTTTGTACTTACTCCCAACGAATATCTCCGGTATGAACGTGAACAGTCGACGGTCTTGAATGTCACAACTTTGGATCATCGGTTCGCCGAGTTTCGGAAGGTACTGTTACAGATATTGATACAGCTTGAATTCATGATAGCGCTATATAAAACGTCTGGTTTATGCATCCAACTTGAAGTCTCCATCATCAACTTTGACGTCTTTGATGTCGTCATGAGATCCTATGTCCATCTCCGCAGCCTTGAGTTCCTCGACCGGAATAGCACGCTTGGAACCCAAGAATAAACGACCACCTGGTGCATCCTGCAACGAACGGACCACAACGTCCCGCTCGAAGAGATATTTGATATCTTCGAGGGCATGCCCCCTTGTCTCAGGAAGAAAAAGGTACACCCAAGCAGACATGAGGATACAGCCGCAACCGTACAAGAGGAAGGTACCGTAGGTGATCCTCTCAAGCATGATAGGCGTCAGTTTGGAAACGGTGAAGGTGAAGAGCCAGCTGACGGCAATAGCAACGGCGTACGCTGCGTTGCGGACATGGTTAGGAGCGACTTCCGCCGCAACGACCCATGGTAAGGGTTCCCAACCGAGGCAGAAGAAAATGGCATATAGGTATACGGCGGCAATGGAGACGTAGGAAGCGGGAACGACTGTGGGTTGGGGGTGGATAGCAGAGAATGCTCCGATCCAGAGCATCATGGCCGCCTGCCCAAGGCCACCAATAATGAGACATTTCTTACGTCCGAGAGCTTCGACAGCAAAAGCTAGGGCGAGAGCGACTGAGACGGTCTTGACGACACCGTAGACACCCGTGGCCAATAGGCCGGATGTAGTACCAGAGACGCCTAAGCTGGCGAATATGGTGGGTGAGAAGTAGTTGATCCCATTAGTGCCAGTAGCTTGCTGCCAGAACATGATGAACGAGGGGATAAAGCATCGAAGAGCGGTCGTACGTGATTCCCGCATCATGGTAAGTTGCTTCAAGAGCGGCACCTTCTCTTTGCCCTCGAAATCAGCCTTGATCTCCTCTAATGTGATGCGGACATTCTTGTCATCGGGAGATCGCCCGGAAGCAAACGCGAGTGAACGTGTGGCGCGTTCATACTTTCCGATTTCGACGAGGTATCGAGGAGACTCGGGTAGAGAGATCATAAATACCATGAAGAAGACACCAGGGACCATCTGAATGATGAAGGGAAGGCGCCATTGCATATTCCCATGAGGAAGGTTCTTTTCCGCGGAGTAGTTGACCCAAACTTAAGACATTATTAGTCGTTATTCAAAAGACGTGCAAAGAGAATGGTACTCACAGCTCAACATAATGCCAATGTTGTTAGCAAGCTGGACAGTTCCAGTGCAACGACCTCGAATTTCGCCAGGTACACATTCCGCCACGTAAGACGGCACAAGAGCGGAGACCATACCCACGCCGACACCACCAAGCCAGCGACTGAAGTACAGCAGGCGCAAGGCAACTGTAGCGCTTGTCCCGATACCAACAACAGATTGTATCAAACTACCGATCAGGTAGACGACACCTGAAGACAACAAGGTAGGTTTACGACCAAACCTGCCCGATAGATAACCCGTGAACAGTGCTCCGAAACTTTACAGAGTGGCTTGAGTGATTGAACTCTTCTCGAAATGTGTGTGATACATACAAACAACCGCCTTGAAGGACAGCAACGATGTTGCCGTTGAGATTTGCCTGTTCAGAGGCAGTCATTTTGTCTATACCGAAATATGATTTAAAGGAGGGCATGGTGAGTATTCCGCCAATGAGACCGACGTCCCAACCATAGAAAACGGAGCCTGTAGCAGCAGAAGCGGCAAGGCCATAGGCATGACGGTAGCGGACAGCGTCGGCGAAATAGCCCTTGACACCCATGACAAACAGGTCGATGGGAAGCTGGAGAACAGACAACTCCTCAGGTCGCCCTTCGTACGTCCGCTGAATGGATGTACTTAGCCCACCAGGACCGAGCATCCGGTGTGCAGGGTCGCAAAGTTATATTTACACGCATGGAGCCCCACCAGTCCAATAGAGGTGCAGGCGTTGAAATTCCTAGTTCATGCTCATTCAGCCCAGAGGCACTCAAGCAATTGCCTCTTTTGAAGGGGCGGAAAGTGATACGCACTTCAGACGACACAGTGTGAATGCTTTCCCAGCAGTCCCCCTCGTACACAAAGTTACAATCGTATCAAACTAGGATCGCACTCACGAGTTGGATACAATGCTCACTGCCTTTGTGGATGGACTCGGAAAGGTCCAGGGAAAAGGTATCGAGGATGAGGGTCATGATGCACCGACGTGTCGTTTGAGGCAAGGGAGAACAAAACTGGATGATGGATGACTTATTGAAACATTCCATCCAAAAACGCAGAACTTCATGATAATTTCGAGAATTTTAGAACACAGGCCAGGGAGGAACGTCGAATCGAAGTCCGAGCAATCCTCGTCAACCATAAAGGAAATGGAGCGAATGAGCGCGTATGAATGACTTTTGTTTTTGGTGGGCAATGCAATGTTGTCATCTAAAAGCATCCTCGGGAGGCTCGAGTCCAGGATGAATGTATCCAGTGAGCAGGAGGCAACATGAAGCTGTTGGCTAGCAGTCAATGCCGCGATGGGGTTGAATCCGCTCTACTAGAAAGTGAAACACTTCTGGTGCCTTTTAATGAGTTTCGTCACCACACATCCAGAGCGGTCCCACCTGAAGAAGGGGATAGATGAATCAGAGATGGAGAGTGAGAATTCGATGCCGGAGTGATAAGAGAATGATAACATACAACAACAGTTGGCCACCCATATCATTGACGCCGCCAATATGGTCATTCTTCGCAACACTGTTCTGCACTAGCGTTGTATCAGGACGGAGCCTGCAGTGGTCCTTGTCGCTGGAGAAACCGGAGTTCAAGGGATATCGTCAAAAACTGGTGTAGGAGGCAAAGGGCATTTTTGTCGGTAACATGCCTATCACTAAGGCTAATGGCTTCTTCGACGCCTACATGACGCCTAAAGATGACAAGTGGCTGCGGAAAAAGATACCGACTCTCAACGTTGACAAGGTTCCCTGTGAGCCTAAACATGAAAGTACTATGTATGGTTCACTTGTGAGTCCTGCTCCCACACGCGTCTTGGTATTTCTCTGACCTGTCCTGATTCGCCAGTGTGCTGCCGTGAATGACTCCGAAGTCTGTCCGGGCTTCAAATTGGTGAACGTCGCGTCTATGGTTGATGGGAACGGCCGCAAGCTGCGTCCCGACATAGCACTAGCGGAAAAAGGCAAACTGGCCTTTCACTTTGGCAACATAGACACGTTTTCTGAGCTCAAGAACGTACCCTCCAAGGATCCGTTCTACAGGAAAGCTGACCTCAACACCTTGGAGAAAGATGATAGCGACAGCGCTGATACCCGTGGCCAACTGCTGTCGTATGTGACGACCATGTTGTCTCGCCAGCAGCGCACTTTCATACTGTCATTCTCCATCTGTGGTTCATACGTTCGCTTCTTTAGGTGGGACCGTGCGGGATGCGTGGTGACGGAACTCATCAACTTCCACAAGAACCCAGAGATTCTGGCCGAGTTCTTCTGGCGATACAGTCATCTCACTCCAGCGCAGCGCGGATTTGATACTACAGCCGTTCTTGCCACCGCTCGGGAGTCCACCATGTTATCTAAGAGCTTGAACGCGTTCATCCGGGATTCTAAACCTCGCGACGTCAGCTATCTTCGTCCTGAACGCGATCCTACTTACCCTACGTACAAAATCGCCGTAGATTTTGGAGAGAAGACTCCTCGAAAATTCGTCATTCGCCAGCCGTTTTGGGATTCCGAGTCGCCTTGTGGTCGTGCTACTCGAGCCTATGCAGCGTATGATATCTCTGGGGACAGGCTTGTCTTTTTGAAAGACTCCTGGCGCGTTGAAGACGAGGAAGATCCTGGAATCTGCAGTGAAGCTGAGATATACGAAGAGCTCAACAAATGCGACATTCCTTTCCTCCCCCACGTTATCCATGCGGGCGATGTGAAGGTCGGAGGTGAAATTCAGAAGACGAGATGTCAAGAAGATTCCGGGAATAATCATCCTGAATGGCGCAAACCCTGTGATCGTCTTCATGCACTTGTTCACTATCGAGTGATTGAACAACTCCTCTATCCGATGTCGTCAGCTGTATCCTCGAAGGAAACAGTTCAGGGTGTCCGCGATGCAGCAGAAGGTCTGTTTGCGCGGCAACCATATAGTATTTTACGTTACTGATTGTCACTATCTTTTTCAGCTGTCAAAGTTGCGTACAAGAAAGGGAAGATTCTCCATCGTGACATAAGTCTAGGTAACGTTATGATTGATAAGGATGGTCGAGGTGTCCTCAACGACTGGGACCATGCCATGAAACTCCTTATTGGAGATTCACATTCGTATCGCACTGTAAGTCACTGCTCTTCAATGTTCCAGATATGCTGCTTAACGAGTCTATAGGGAACGTGGCAATTCATGTCCATCCGCCTGCTTAGCGACCCTTACAAACTGCACGAAGTACATGATGACCTTGAATCGTGCTTTTGGGTTCTCCTGTACAATGCATTGCATTACTTCGAGCACAATCAACCGAAAGTCCGGCCAATCTTCTTTGATGAAATGAACCCAGTGGAGCAAGACGACGGCGATGTCCAAGCGATTGGTGGTAAAGGCAAAATCGCAATGCTCAGCATGGAGCTTGCCACCTACAAGTGGACATGCAAGCCGTTGGATATTCTCATTCACAAACTTGGCTCCGTTTTCGAAATTTACAACAAAATGGCTAAAAACCCCTATGCAGATAAGGACGCCTTGAGTTCTCTTCACCAAGACATTGACAACGTTGATATCGTTCTCAATCTTTTCGACGCTGCTCTGGCTTCTGACGGCTGGCTTGACAAGGATGCACGTCCAGACATATTCCCCCGCAAAACCAAGGCTGAACGTGACAGGGAGAATGCCAGGAAACAGATGGATGCCATTGAAAAGGCTACCCAATCGAGAGATCGCCCCAGAAATTATGCACGCGCACCAGCCAGAACTATCCCTTCCTGTCTTCGCCAAGGCCGCATTCCTATCGACGAGGGTGAGGCTCAAGATCCACACGAAGTCCCTCAACCAAAAGCTGGACCGTCCCGACTTGCGGAGGACGTCTTTCGGAGCTCGTCGAAGAGAACGATTGATGACACTCCAGATGGAGAGCCATTCTTTCGTAGTTCGAAGAAACTTAGAACGGAGGCGTGTGACCGACCGCCTCCACCTCGACCTAGACCACGACCTCGTAGAGCTCCACTCCCACTCCCACTCCCACCTGCGCCGCCAGTCCCAGCAGTTGCTGAGCCTCGACATCTCACGCGTTCCAAGACGAAGCTCAAGAAGTCAACTCAGGATGATGTGGACATGCGCGAAGTCAGTCATCGATACGAGACGCGTTCAAAGTCAAACGAATCTCGTCGGCAACAAAACTCTGGTGCGCAAGCTACGAGGAAGAAGGTTGAAAGGGCACCAGTTCGTACGAAGGGTATCAAGTCAACTGGTGCTGCTGGTAACCGCGTTCAACCAAAATCGAACCCTCGTCGGCGGCGGTGAAAGTTAGGTCTCGTCGACGGTCAATTTTATTCTGTCCACACACCATTCTTCATCACAGTCTAGAGGATTATTTACTGTATATTTCTTGGAACCGATTGCAAGCTACATCCAATGAAGGAGTTCCGTTAGATGGGGGGGATTGAGGGTATTCAGTTGATAAATATACTGTACATGTGAGTGTTAGCGAGAGATGTACAAGAATGTCAGTCAATGAGTTGAAATGAGCGCGAAACCATCGTATGAAGGTGTCTACTGCCATCATTACGGAAGGAAGCTTGAGCCTGCAAAACGCTGGTGAAATAAGGAGACCGACTGGCGTAACCCATGTCTTCGCTTACCTACCACAGGATGTCTGAGATCTGTTATGATCTCCGACTCGCCGTTACGAGTGCTCAGTGTCCAACCATTAAAAGTACGAAGGCATCACCGTAAAATCAAATATCGCAAACTGTACGATACAAGCGCAAACTACTGTGAAAGAAAGTCGTGAAAACGCAGAATGATAGGAAATGCATACCGCATCTACACTGTAGACGAAATCTTACGCAGAAAACTTCTTGTGACAGAAATCAAAGGGCGTCTTGGAAGATGCAATCGAAAAGTCGGCCCCTTCGGTGAACACCAACTAGTTGTTTTCCTCCCGAACGCGCTTTTCCTTCTCGTTCTCGAAGATCTCGACGACGGACACTCTACCGTTGTTATTATTCCGATGTTGATACGCATCGATGTTTGCTCTGGGTCCTCTGAACCAGTAGAGACCCCGTATCTGGGAAGATAGTAGTAAAGCACGCTGAGAATTATGATTCCACCAAATACCGCGACTGTGTAGTTCATGTCTGCGGCAGAAGGGTTTGGTGTGGTCGGGAATGCCAAGACGATAATCGTGACTACCATCCGTACGAGAAGGTCGTTGGAAGGATGAGTGCGCAGATGGCAAGATGAGACAGGACACCCTGCAAGAAGGATCGCTCGAGAGCATTCAAGCTTTGTGCGAGCTTAGCATCCTCAGCTCGTATGGCGATAGGTTTATCCGAGTGAACAGAGATATGATTGTGGGCAGCACTTCCACCTGGAGAGAATGACTATCAGGCAAATAAGTCTATGTGAACGAGGAGAGCACTTACAGCTGTCGCTATGCAACCTCGGAGCGAAAATTGTCCGCAGCTTATGCTTGCTGGCGACATTATAGATGGTCTCGCGGGTGAAGATGAGAGCGTCCGCTGCCTCAACAGGCGATAGTGGTCCAGTAATTAATTCATACTATTCAAAAAGGATGAACTTAGGACTTATTCTGCTATTATCGAAAAGCAACTTACCTGTCCGGAGGCAGCTTCAGCGTGATACATCTGAAGCTCGATACCGGCCTCCTGGAGGGTTTCGGCGATCTCTTGCAGGACAACAGACTCAACAGCACCAGATGGTAGCTTCGATGATGCCGACCAATCTCCACGGTTGACAGCTACCACTTTCGGCGACGTTTCCTTCAAGAGAATGAATTCTGATTCAACGCCCACCAGGAAGGAGATTCCAGACTTCGCTTTAGCATCACTGAGAATAAGGATTTAGCACCTCAGTATTAGTGGTACGAATTGCAATGAAAGGATGAACGTACTTCACGGTTTTCTGAAGCAAGGTACGAGGACAGAGGGGAACACTCAAACTTCCATTCAGCAACAACATCTTCTCTTGGAAGAAACCCATGATACTGGCGTGGCCAGGCGCGCAAGGGCAAATCTGGTAACTCGAAATGTCGGGCACATAGAGATACTCTCTAGAAGAACCAAATTCGGGAGCAGTTGCAAGAAACACTAGTCCCAGAGATGCGTTCGTAAGACCAACACCTGAGCGAGAACTCTCCAGAAGTTTGATAAAGTACTTCTTAGATATGACCCTGAATCGGATGTTGTTAATGAGGTCAACCCATTGGAGACGGATATATGCCACAGAGCTGCTTTGCTGCAGAGTTTGGATTGATGATTTGGCATTACGAGGTGCTGTAGTGGTGGTGCTTGATGGATTATAGGATACGCCATAGCTGTATTGCGTGAGATCAACGGAAGTCATGCTTGGAACGTATGACCTGATCGAAGGAGATCACAACTGCCTATTCTACGATAAAGTCAGTGGTATGTAGCCTTGTCAGTACGCGATCAAAGGTACACCCGTGTGCGCTGTACGGCTGTGCCTATGTTCTAGTGACCCAACGAGTCCAGATGCCGTGTTGAAGATCTGGGTTTCTAACTTGCCTGCGGCGTGTCGCTTAGTAGATTACAATTCAAGTAGTAATCAATGCCAAGGATCACTCACCGTTACTGAAACTGAAGTACTTACTGTTGTCCAGGTCAGCACGAGTTACCAATGGCTCAAGACGTCGGGAGGAGATAGCGGATAACTTTTCCTTGGGAGCTTATGTATCAAAGATATGACCATTTCGATCGGGCCTCGAGGAAGCCAAAGTGTTAGGTAAATCGTTGATTCGTGCTGCAATAACACCAGAGGTACGATGAAACATTGCAGTCGCGAGCTATACAGAGGATCTAGTAGTAGACGAAATACACAGATTCCCGAACAGTGAACAACTATTTGGACGTCAAGCACATGGCAGGATTTTGTGAAAGTTTCGAAAAAGTCTCTTTGATAAAGCGCCGAGCCTGGTCAGGTCTCTCTCTGTATCACATCCGAATCTTAGTAGTTATTCCTCACACTATCTGGAGGACCAATGCTGACTCGATCTTCATCTCAAGTAAAACTCAATGGTATATCTTTTGGATCTGAATTTGGGTCTGAATGATATAGATCCATAAAAATGAATTGAAAAACCCGGAATGGTCAAATTTCCCCCCTGCTACAGCCTCGTTGACGATCAGAGCGCCTGGACACATAGCTAGTACTGTACTTATAAGGTTGTCCGAGAGGTTTCCAATGATAAGCGATGGCGACCCGTTTTCTACCTGTTCTTCCGATCAAGCTTCAAGCCCCCCGTCACTAGTCCGCACAGAAAAGAATTGACTTTGGCTAATCCGAGCGAGGTACAGTACAGTACTTACTTTTCAACTATTTCATGGTGGTCGCATGAGAGTAGGATCCTTTCCAGAATTCTACAGTCTAGCCAACTTGAACATAGCGCTATACCATAGTTCAGGCTTTCTGATGTTCTTGTTCTTTCCCATCTAGGTACTTCGCTACCCGTTCGCACACAATCGCTGATCATCCGGGCTTACATCTTAGCGGCGCATTACAGTCTTCTCCACCTAGAATTTCCGTGAAAGATCATCTGGACGTTTGTATGGAACTCCCGATTAACTCCCATCATTCAGGGTTCTTCTGTAACTCAAGTTCGTGGCCCTCTTCACTCCCATTTCACATTTGACAAGCTGCGGGGATGTTGTGCTGATTCTACTCTAAAGTCCTTCGAAGGTGGTGAGCCTTTGATAGATAAGTCTACTTATGACTTTGCTTGACCTATCTCTCGTCACATGTGTTCTCTTCGCCGCCAAAGTTGGACTTTCAGAATCGTCATGATCTCCGTATGGATGTTATGCGCATCGGCAAACCGACGAAGTCGAGGGCACGGGACCCTACACTGACATGCATGTCTTCATGGATTGCTTAAGTATGTTGGTCCACGGAGTCAGATCTACAGCGAGACTTACTCAGGCACGGCGTAGATGTCATCAATGCAAATGGGGAATTTAGGCACCAGATAATTGAAGGCGAGTCAAGCTCCTCCGAAGCACTGAAGTTGCCTTACATGAGTGAGCTTAGACACTAATTAAGGTACTGTATTTCCATCGTGGACATTCTTTAATGCATTCCGCCGAGTCGCGGTTGTGATGCCTACTGACCACTGCATTCCGGTAATCCAAGTCCAAAAAGGTCGTTTCGCGGTGCTTTCAATAATCCGACTTCTCAACTATTATGGCATAATGAATTTATGACAGACGATATAAAGAGCGCAAAGTCATTTCACTCATGCAACAATCTGAACTGAACACACCTCACAACCAATATGGCGTTTCTTGCTACCTCACTAGGCTGTCATGCCCATACCGCATCCTCTCCTGCCTCTATGCCGTCCTTCATGAAAGATGAAGTCGAAGGGGGCCGATCTGACGGATATTGGATTGAGGCCTTCCCTTACCATGCTGGAGACAAGACTGGCCAGAATCTCATCGGGTATGGCCTTGGCTTCGAGAACACGACGAGCAAGGTCGAGATGTTCATTAACCCTTTCAATCCCAAGAATAAGTAAGGGCAGCCGTTAATAGTTTTCTTTGAAACTACTAACATTGTGTTATGTCGTCTAGGACGTCTAATTGGGATCGTCGTCAACTCGCTGCGCTCGAGTTTCCGGTCTCCATGACGTACGCTGATATCTCTGGGAACGGCTACAACGACGGTTGGTCACACTCCCTTCGTTATTCTAATGTGTGCTAACCTCCCGCCAGTAATTATCTCCGATAGATATGGTCCTTCCATGGACGACATATGGCACGATGGCGGCCGTGTCAGTTGGCTCGAAAATACAGGCGATACCAATGCTGAGAACTGGACTCGTCGTACCATGGGTGCGAGCCCTGGTATGCATCGTCTGAAGGCAGGTCACTTCACTCGCACAGACCGCGTCCAGATCTGCGCTGCGCCAATCGTAGTGAAGTCTTCTGACCTCACCACTCCTGCTCCCATCATCATCTTTACTGCTCCTGATGATCCGAAGAGCACTCACGCTAATTGGTCGCCGGTGTTCATCACAGAACTGCACCTTGTTCATGAGATTATAGTTGTTCCTGACCCTCAGGGCGGACTTGATCGTCTGATGTTCGCTGGTCGAGATGGTGTCAACTTCCTCTGGTACGAGGAACTTGCATGGAAGACTCTCAATGTCGGAAAAGGTTTGCCCCAAGACGCGATTCCTAACTCTCCGTATTGGGGCTCGGGATCGGTAGCGGTCGCTCGCGTCGACGATGACTACGCTGGGTACATTGGGTCCTGTGAGGTATGAATGCTATCTTCATATTTATCATCCACGTTACTCATGCTACATCTCTTCAGGGATTTCATGGCAATACTGTTTCCGTGTATACCAAATCTTGCAATGCTTCTAAGGGGATCGTCGGCATCGAATGGACACGTCACGTTCTGGAGGACTTTGGACCTTTGAACGACAAATTTACTGGAAGCATTCACGAAGTCGTATGCGCCGACGTTGACGGTGACGGTGTTGATGAACTACTCGTTGCCATGATGGGGTCGGCCCCTCCCTCGTTTGATAAGACGGGCGTTTGGTGCTATAAGCGTAAGTGAATTTCCAGAGTCTGACAACACGTATCAATTGACGAGCATCAATGCAGCCACTGACCTCGAGAAGGGCAAGTTTTCCAAGATGAAGTTGAGCAACGACTCTGCCGGTAGGATCGCCATCGCAGATCTTTTGTCGAACGGCCGACTCGTAGGTTACCCCAGCGTCCTTTGCTTTACGCGGCACTAACTGCCTTGAGTTAGGATTTTTCGACGATTTCGTACTCTGTCCCTGGGTATTTCGAATCCCCTCACCCCTCCATCAATGGGTATCTCTCTACTGGTATCACCGCAGAGAAGTTAAACAACGAGGTCTGCTTCCGAGTACCTCGACCCGCCACAACCAAGTTCACTTCCGAGTTGGAATTCCTCGACGTGGCTGCTCGACGACTTACCTTGGTAGTCCTTCCTCCGAACACAGAGTTCAAGGTACCAGCGGACTCTGCTGTCAAAGTCATGTTTGGCATTATCTCTTGGAAGGACGCCAAAACCGGTCATAATGAAGAACGTGTGTTGGCAACCAAACCGTTTTCGAGGGTAGAGATGTCTGTTCATGCAGAGGGCGTGAAGAGCCACGAGGAAGGCGCGGTCTTTGTGTTATTCAAGAAGTCGACTACTTCAGGTCAACCTCCGTATAGCGATATGAAGCAAGTTGCGGCCCATAACATCATTCCCGTTCCATATCCTGATGATGTTCGTGCCATGACATTCCCTTGGGTCAAAGTCGAAGATACTCCGTGGGCAAACGGTCGATTCAAGGTAAGACCATCCGTCGCTGTTCACCTTGTTTCCGTTCTGATAAAGTCATACAGGGTCTCGAATTCTACACTCTCGCCGGTTTCCACGTTCGCTTCGCCGACGACTCTGATGATATCATCGCACACATTCAACTCTGGACTGCAGGCGTCGGTGTCTCTGCTGGGTTCCACAACCATGTCGAGAAGTCCTTCTGCGAGATTCATGCCTGTATTGTAAATGGAACCGGCGGAGGCGGGATGCGTTGGGCCCTGGTTGATGATGACAAGTTCAACCCCGATAAGCCGAACTTGGATCAAACTGGTCTCGCTGTCGTACCCGACCTGTATGAACATAGTCCTCTTTGGCGTACCGGCCTCGATGGCTTCCCTCTCTTGCGTACGAACGATACGATTGACTATCCATGGCACGGTGAGCAGTTTGGTCCATAGTCCCACTTTGTTTTCACATTCATTTTTCTCGTAGCTTGGCTTGCCGGTAGCGGCAAGCAATCTTATGACGTCTGGGTCGTCTTTGAGTTGCCTCCTTTCGTTGCCTTTTCCAGTGTCGACTCCTCTTCTTTTTCAGGACGTTTCTTGATTGAAAATGATGATTCGAAGCCAACCAGCGTGATTGGTCTTAAAGACAACAGTGCAACAGATGGTACTCCTGTCCTAGCGTTCCCTGCAGATCACTATCAACAAGAGGTAAGTTCCTCTCCATTCGTCACTCGACCAGCTCATACTGAACCTCGCCCACATGAAGTGGATTATAGCTCGGGTGACCGGGACGAGCCTGTATCAGATCAGGCATGCTGAGACTGGTTCACTGCTTGCTGCAAGGTGGCCTCCTATCGCTGGACAGGTTCTCATGGGCACACATTCCCCGGCCAATATGTCTTTGACATCTAGCTGGTCTATTAACAAGCAATCTGATGGAAAGATCATGTCAGTACTCCTTGGGCTTGATTTGAACACTTCGAACAGTCACTGATTTTGCCCTCATTAGCTTGCGACTTGCAGCCACGAAAGACTTGGTGATGGCTATCGAGAAAACAAAAGATGTTGCTTCTGAAAGGGTGGGTTTGGTGTATTCGCTATTGCTTTGTCTGTTGCTGAGAATATGCTTCTCAGGTTGTTCTCAAAGTGGCGGCTTACGAAGCTGTACCACCTGCGTGGCGCTTGAAGCCTGTTTGATGGTACACTTGTCATACCCAAACGGATTGAAGTGTGCAAAGGAATACAATATTTGTATTCATAGCAGTGTCGTCTCGGTATCACCTGTATATTATCGCCGCAATACGAATTCTAAGACCTAGGGACCGTGGTATGTCAGTGGGGAGTATGAGGCTGTCGGTGCGATCTCATCGTCGAGATTAGGCTTCTATGATCGCCTAGGTACGATTGGTAACGACTGTGGGCCTGTGCTTAGTATTGGCTCTTAGTCCGAACAGTGTCACGGTAGCAAGGCACCTACCATCGAAATGCAATAGCCTTTTGTACTGAGTATGAATCCCTTCGGTATGGGCGTGGACAGTCGACGGTTTCAAATGAGTCAGGACTTTGGATCATCAGTTGGTCGGATCTCGGAAGGTACTGCTACAGATACAGATACAAAATGAACTCACGATAGCGCTACAGTACAGAAAACGTCTGGTCTATGCATCCAGCTTGAAGCCTCCGTCATCAACTTTGACGTCTTTGATGTCGTCATGAGATCCTATGTCCATCTCCGCAGCCTTGAGTTCCTCGACCGGAATAGCACGCTTGCCACCCAAGAATAAACGACCACCCGGTGCATCCTGCAACGAACGGACCACAACGTCGCGCTCGAAGAGATACTTGATATCTTCGAGGGCATACCCCCTTGTTTCAGGAAGAAAAAGGTACACCCAAGCAGACATAAGGATACAGTCGCAACCGAATACGAGGAAGGTACCGTAGGTGATTCTCTCGAGCATGATAGGCGTTAGTTTGGAAACGGTGAAGGTGAAGAGCCAGCTGACGGCAATAGCAACGGCGTACGCTGCGTTACGGACATGGTTAGGAGCGACTTCCGCAGCGACGACCCATGGCAAGGGTTCCCAACCGAGGGAGAAGAAGATGGCATACAGGTATACGGCGGCAATGGAGACGTAGGAAGCGGGAACGACTGTGCGTTGGGGGTGGATAGCAGAGAACCCGCCAATCCAGAACATCATGGTCGCCTGGCCAAGGCCACCAATAATGAGACACTTCTTACGTCCGAGACTTTCGACAGCAAAAGCCAGGGCGAGAGCGACTGAGATGGTCTTGACGACACCATAGACGCCTGTGGCCAGCAAGCCGGATGTGGTACCCGACACGCCTAAGCTGGCGAATATGGTGGGCGAGAAGTAGTTGATCCCATTAGTGCCAGTAGCTTGGTGCCAGAACATGATGAACGAGGGGATGAAGCATCGGAGAGCGGTCGTACGTGATTCCCGCATCATGGCAAGCTGCTTCAAGAGCGGCGTCTTTTCCTTGCCCTCGAAATCAGCCTTGATCTCCTCTATCGTGATGCGGACATTCTCGTCATCGGGAGATCGCCCGGAAGCAAATGCGAGTGAACGTGCAGCGCGTTCGTATTTTCCGTTTTCAACGAGGTATCGAGGAGACTCGGGTAGAGAGCTCATAAACACCACGAAGAAGATACCAGGGACCATCTGAATGATGAAGGGAAGGCGCCATTGCATATTCCCATGAGGAAGGTTCTTTTCCGCGGAGTAGTTGACCCAAACTTAAGACATTATTAGTCGTTATTCAAAAGACGTGCAAAGAGAATGGTACTCACAGCTCAACATAATGCCAATGTTGTTAGCAAGCTGGACAGTTCCAGTGCAACGACCTCGAATTTCGCCAGGTACACATTCCGCCACGTAAGACGGCACAAGAGCAGAGACCATACCCACGCCGACACCACCAAGCCAGCGACTGAGGTACAACAGGCGCAAGGCAACTGTAGCGCTTGTCCCGAGACCAACAACAGATTGGATCAAACTACCGATGAGGTAGACGACACCTGAAGACAACAAGGTAGGTTTACGACCAAACCTGCCCGATAGATAACCTGTGAACAGTGCTCCGAAACTTTACAGAGTGGCTTGAGTGATTGAACTCTTCTCGAAATGTGTGTGATACATACAAACAACCGCCTTGAAGGACAGCAACGATGTTGCCGTTGAGATTTGCCTGTTCAGAGGCAGTCATTTTGTCTATACCGAAATATGATTTAAAGGAGGGCATGGTGAGTATTCCGCCAATGAGACCGACGTCCCAACCATAGAAAACGGAGCCTGTAGCAGCAGAAGCGGCAAGGCCATAGGCATGACGGTAGCGGACAGCGTCGGCGAAATAGCCCTTGACACCCATGACAAAGAGGTCAATGGGAAGCTGGAGAACAGACAACTCCTCAGGTCGCCCTTCGTACGTCCGCTGAATGGATGTACTTAGCCCACCAGGACCGAGCATCCGGTGTGCAGGGTCGCAAAGTTATATTTACACGCATGGAGCCCCACCAGTCCAATAGAGGTGCAGGCGTTGAAATTCCTAGTTCATGCTCATTCAGCCCAGAGGCACTCAAGCAATTGCCTCTTTTGAAGGGGCGGAAAGTGATACGCACTTCAGACGACACAGTGTGAATGCTTTCCCAGCAGTCCCCCTCGTACACAAAGTTACAATCGTATCAAACTAGGATCGCACTCACGAGTTGGATACAATGCTCACTGCCTTTGTGGATGGACTCGGAAAGGTCCAGGGAAAAGGTATCGAGGATGAGGGTCATGATGCACCGACGTGTCGTTTAAGGCAAGGGAGAACAAAACTGGATGATGGATGACTTATTGAAACATTCCATCCAAAAACGCAGAACTTCATGATAATTTCGAGAATTTTAGAACACAGGCGAGGGAGGAACGTCGAATCGAAGTCCGAACAATCCTCGTCAACCATAAAGGAAATGGAGCGAATGAGCGCGAATGAATGACTTTTGTTTTTGGTGGGCAATGCAATGTTGTCATCTAAAAGCATCCTCGGGAGCCTCGAGTCCAGGATGAATGTATCCAGTGAGCAGGAGGCAACATGAAGCTGTTGGCTAGCAGTCAATGCCGCGATGGGGTTGAATCCGCTCTGCTAGAAAGTGAAACACTTCTGGTGCCTTTTAATGAGTTTCGTCACCACACATCCAGAGCGGTCCCAGCTGAAGAAGGGGATAGATGAATCAGAGATGGAGAGTGCACGTGAGAATTCGATGCCGGAGTGATAAGAGAATGATAACATACAACAACAGTTGGCCACCCATATCACTGACGCCGCCAATATGGTCATTCTTCGCAACACTGTTCTGCACCAGCGTTGTATCAGGACGGAGCCTGCAGTGGTCCTTGTCGCTGGAGAAACCGGAGTCCAAGGGATATCGTCAAAAATTGGTGTGGGAGGCAAAGGGCATTTTTGTCGGTAACATGCCTATCACTAAGGCCAATGGCTTCTTCGACGCCTACATGACGCCTAAAGATGACAAGTGGCTGCGGAAAAAAATACCGACTCTCAACATTGACAAGGTTCCCTGTGAGCCTAAACATGAAAGTACCATGTATGGTCCACTTGTAAGTCCTGCTCCCACACGCGTCTTGGTACTTCTCTCACTTGTCCTGGTTCGCCAGTGTGCCGCCGTGAATGACTCCGAAGTCTGTCCGGGCTTCAAATTGGTCAACGTCGCGTCTATGGTTGATGGGAACGGCCGCAAGCTGCGTCCCGACATAGCACTAGCGGAGAAAGGCAAACTGGCCTTTCACTTTGGCAACATAGATACGTTTTCTGAGCTCAAGAACGTACCCTCCAAGGATCCGTTCTACAGGAAAGCTGACCTCAACACCTTGGAGAAGGACGATGGCGACAGCGCTGATACCCGTGGTCAGCTGCTATCGTATGTGACGACCATGTTGTCTCGCCAGCAACGCACTTTTATACTGTCATTCTCCATTTGTGGTTCATACGTTCGCTTCTTTAGATGGGACCGTGCTGGATGTGTAGTGACGGAACTCATCAACTTCCACAAGGACACAGAGATCCTGGCCGAATTCTTCTGGCGATACAGTCATCTCACTCCAGCGCAGCGCGGATTCGATACTACAGCCGTTCTTGCCACCGCTCGGGAGTCCACCATGTTGTCCAAGAGCTTGAACGCGTTCATCCGGGATTCTAAACCTCGCGACGTCAGTTACCTTCGTCCTGAACGCGACCCCACTTACCCTATGTACAAAATTGCCGTAGATTTTGGAGAGAAGACTCCTCGAAAATTCATCATTCGCCAGCCGTTTTGGGATTCCGAGTCGCCTTGTGGTCGTGCTACTCGAGCCTATGCAGCGTATGATATCTCTGGGGACAGGCTTGTCTTTTTGAAAGACTCCTGGCGCGTCGAAGACGAGGAAGATCCTGGAATCTGCAGTGAAGCTGAGATATACGAAGAGCTCAACAAATGCGAGGTTCCTTTCCTCCCCCACGTTATCCACGCAGGCGACGTGAAGATCGGAGGTGAAATTCAGAAGACGAGATGTCAAGAAGACTCCGGGAATAATCACCCTGAATGGCGCAAGCCCTGTGATCGTCTTCATGCACTTGTTCACTATCGAGTGATTGAACAACTCCTGTATCCGATGTCGTCAGCTGTATCCTCGAAGGAAACAGTTCAGGGTGTCCGCGATGCAGCAGAAGGTCCGTTTGCGCGGCAACCATATAGTATTTTACGTTACTGATTGTCACTCTCTTTTTCAGCTATCAAAGTTGCATACAAGAAAGGGAAGATTCTCCATCGTGACATAAGTCTAGGTAACGTTATGATTGATAAGGATGGTCGAGGTGTCCTCAACGACTGGGACCACGCCATGAAACTCCTTATTGGAGATTCACATTCGTATCGCACTGTAAGTCACTGCTCTTTAATGTTCCAAATATGCTACTTAATGAGTCTATAGGGGACATGGCAATTCATCTCCATCCGCTTACTTAGTGACCCTTACAAACTGCACGAAGTGCATGATGACCTTGAACCATGCTTTTGGGTTCTCCTGTACCATGCATTGCATTACTTCGAGCACAATCAACCGAAAGTCCGGCCAATCTTCTTTGATGAAATGAACCCGGTGGAGCAAGACGACGGCGATGTCCAAGCGATTGGTGGTAAAGGCAAAATCGCAATGCTCAGCATGGAGCTTGCCACCTACAAGTGGACATGCAAGCCGTTGGATATTCTCATTCACAAACTTGGCTCCGTTTTCGAAATTTACAACAAAATGGCTAAAAACCCCTATGCAGATAAGGACGCCTTGAGTTCTCTTCACCAAGACATTGACAACGTTGATATCGTTCTCAATCTTTTCGACGCTGCTCTGGCTTCTGACGGCTGGCTTGACAAGGATGCACGTCCAGACATATTCCCCCGCAAAACCAAGGCTGAACGTGACAGGGAGAATGCCAGGAAACAGATGGATGCCATTGAAAAGGCTACCCAATCGAGAGATCGCCCCAGAAATTATGCACGCGCACCAGCCAGAACTATCCCTTCCTGTCTTCGCCAAGGCCGCATTCCTATCGACGAGGGTGAGGCTCAAGATCCACACAAAGTCCCTCAACCAAGAGCTGGACCGTCCCGACTTGCGGAGGATGTCTTTTGGAGTTCGTCGAAGAGAACGATTGATGACACTCCAGATAGAGAGCCATTCTTTCGTAGTTCGAAGAAACTTAGAACGGAGGCGCATGACCGACCGCCTCCACCTCGACCTAGACCACGACCTCGTAGAGCTCCACTCCCACTCCCACTCCCACTCCCACCTGCGCCGCCAGTCCCAGCAGCTGCTGAGCCTCGATATCTCACCCGTTCCAAGACGAAGCTCAAGAAGTCAACTCAGGATGATATGGACATGCGCGAAGTCAGTCATCGATACGAGACGCGTTCAAAGTCAAACGAATCTCGTCGGCAACAAAACTCTGGTACGCAAGCTACGAGGAAGACAGTTGAAAGGGCACCAGTTCGTACAAAGGGTATCAAGTCAACTGGTGCTGTTGGTAACCGCGTTCAACCAAAATCGAACCCTCATCGGCGACGGTGAAAGTTAAGAGTCGTCGACGGTCAATTTTATTCTGTCCACACACCATTCTTCATCACATTCTAGAGAATCATTTACTGTATATTTCTTGGAACTAATAGCAAGCTACATCCAATGAAGGAGTTCCGTTAGATGGGGGAATTGAGGGTATTCAGTTGATGAATATACTGTACATGTGAGTGTTGGCGAGAGATGTACAAGAATGTCAGTCAATGAGTTGAAATGAGCGCGAAACTATCGTATGAAGGTGTCCACTGCCATCATTACGGAAGGAAGCTTGCCGGTGAGCTTGCAAAACGCTGGTGAAATAAGGAGACCGACTCGCGTAACCCATGTCTTCGCTTACCTACCACAGGATGTCTGAGATCTGTGATGATGTCCGACTCGCCGTTACGAGTGCTCAGTGTCCAACCATTAAAAGTACGAAGACATCACCGTAAAATCAAATATCGCAAACTGTACGATACAAGCGCAAACTACTGTGAAAGAAAGTCGTGAAAACGCAGAATGATAGGAAATACATACCGCATCTACACTGTAGACGGAATTTTACGCAGAAAAATTCTTGTGACAGAAATCAAAGGGCGTCTCGAAAGATGCAATTGAAAAGTCGGCCCCTGCGGTGAACACCATCTTCTGTGATCTAGTTGTTTCCCTCCCGAACGCGCTTTTCCTTCTCGTTCTCGAAGATCTCGACGACGGACACTCTACCGTTGTTATTATTCCGATGTTGATACGCATCGATGTTTGCTCTGGGTCCTCTGAACCAGTAGAGACCCCCGTATCCGGGAAGATAGTAGTAAAGCACGCTGAGAATTATGATTCCACCAAATACCGCGACTGTGTAGTTCATGTCTGCGGCAGAAGGGTTTGGTATGGTCGGGAATGTCAAGACGATAATCGTGAATACCATTCATAGCACGGCAACGTATGCAATCGGACGGCCCTATTTCGTATGATGATGTCGCTTCACGATTCCCCCAAAAGATAACTACTTACCATGACTCCCAGGTTAAACAGTCCGGGAGTCCATTTCTCACCGCCAAGGAATCTGCTTGAGATAGGGATGATGTATGCAATATATTGCCCAGTAACACTCAAGCTGAAGAGGGCCGACGTAGCGATAGATCCGGCGAAAACGAGCAGACCCAGAAGCGAGGCGAGGCAAGCGGCGAAGCAGACGCAGTTCACAGGGGTTCCCGTATGCTTGTTGATGCGATAGAGATATGACGATCCGGGCAAGGCGCCATCGCGAGAGAATGCGAAGACCTGACGAGAACAGGCTGTCATCTGTATGTGTATCATAGGATAAGCTGAACTCGTCAGCGTAAAGATTATTCACCTACACGCACACAACTTGTACCCATTAAAAACCCACAACAAATGTAAGAGGGAAAGGTCAGTCCTGCTGTAAAGATGTTGCCAACTGTGAAAACGTACCGGACAAAGACTATGAGAGACCAAACTACTAGCGTCCCCTTCTTACCGAGGCTGTTTAAAATAATCTAACGGATATATGGCGTCACAAGAACAGACGTTTCAAACTTCAAATACTCACCGTGGTCATAGGTTGACCAATCGGGTTCGCCATTATGTTCTCGATATCAGTACCCATGCAGAACGAAAGCGCGATATTAACAGCTGAAGAAGAGAATCAGTCGATACCAGCAGTAGGTTCAACACCAGATCCATGGACATGCAACTTACCAAATCCAAAAACTGCTGCCAGGCCCGTAGCATTAACGATGGCCCACGGAACCTAGTGAAAGCATCTATTATAATCCAACTGAGAAACATGTCACATACTGCTGTGGATGCGTTGGAAGCCTCTTCACTAATGTGAAGAGGCGAGTCGAAGCCAGCTGTTTACAGAAGTTCAGATTGAGGGCCATGCTGGGTGAAACTTTAGTGGTCCAGTAATTACTTCATACTATTCAAAAAATATGAACTTAGGACGTATTCTGCTATTATCGAAAAGCAGCTTACCTGTCCGGGCGCAGCTTCAGCGTGATACGTCTGAAGCTCGATACCGGCCTCCTGGAAGGTTTCGGCGATCTCTTGCAGGACAACAGACTCAACAGCACCAGATGGTAGCTTCGATGATACAGACCGATCTCCGTGGTTGACAGCTACCACTTTCGGCGACGTTTCCTTCAAGAGAATGAATTCTGATTCAACGCCATCAGGAAGGAGGTTCCAGACTTCGCTTTAGCATCACTGAGAATAAGGATTTAGCACCTCAATATTAGTGGTACGAATTGCAATGAAAGGATGAACGTACTTCACGATTCTCTGAAGGTACGAGGACAGAGCGGAACACTCAAACTTCCATTCGGCAACGGCATCTTCTCTCGGAAGAAACCCATGATACTGGAGTGGCCAAGGGCGCAAGGGCAAATCCGGTAACTCGAAATGTCGGGCACATAGAGATACTCTCCAGAAGAACCAAATCCGGGAGCAGTTGCAAGAAACACTAGTCCCAGAGATGCCTTCATAAGACCAACACCTGAGCGAGAGCTCTCCAGAAGTTTGATAAAGCACTTCTTAGATATGACCCTGAATCGGATGTTGGTAATGAGATCAACCCATTGGAGACGGATATATGCCACAGAGCTGCTTTGCTGCAGAGTTTGGATCAGTGATTTGGCATTACGAGGTGCTGTAGTGGTGGTGCTTGATGGATTATAGGATACGCCATAGCTGTATTGCGTGAGATCAACGGAAGTCATGCTTGGAACGTATGACCTGATCGAAGGAGATCAAAACTGCCTATTCTACGATAAAGTCAGTGGTATGTAGCCTTGTCATTGCGCGATCAAAGGCACACCTGTGTGCGCTGTGCGGCTGTGCCTATGTTCTAGTGACCCAACGAATCCAGATGCCGCGTTGAAGATCTGGCTTTCTAACTTGCCTGCGGCGTGTCGCTTAGTAAATTACAATTCAACTAGTAATCAATGCCAAGAATTCAAGGGGTGACGCCGATTTGGATCTTTGACCTTGCAGATGCTACGCGAGAACGTCAGCCGTGACACGGCCGAGATTGGCATCAAGATGTCTCATCGTCGTTTGAAAAAATGTGTTTACAGCCACATTCAGAACGATAGGCCCCAGCAAAAAAATCAGGCTCAGGATCGGCTAACGCAACGGTGATGATGAGGGCTAGCGAACCTATGCCGGGGGAGGAATGCAGTGCTGGTCAGTCATGCCGCCCTCTTCCGCCTCTGGGCTCTTCATTAGCGAGACAACACCGACGGTACCGACCCTTACCGACCCGAATGTAATTTCTGAGGAGGGGCCTATCATTTTGAATGTGGCTGTAATTGTATATTATTCAAAAAGTACTTGTGTACACAGCAGCCAGGCTGCCAGACTGATGTATTCAAGTTGTTGACATGTCCTGGTGAACATTACATTGATCTCTAGATATACTACCAGATGAAGTTAGTTATATACTCATGGCACAAGCTCGAGGGACGTAAGAATAGTGCAGAGAATGTAAGTCATAGTGCATTGAAGGCCTATCCAATAAGCTTAAGTACTTGAAAATAAACTGCAGATGAACTAGTAAGGGATTGGAGAAGAGGTCTGCAAGGCAAAGAGAGCGGAGGCACGAGAGGCCAGAATTATTCGCGTGGATGATTCTCAGCACACCACATTCAGCTACAAGTTTGAGGGAAAGTCGGCCAGACCAATCATCCTGGAGTGCAAAACCAAGCCAGACGAAGAGAGAATGTAGGAAGTTGCGACCACTCAGTGTATGCAGAGAGATATTTGTTGACTGTAGACTGAGTGCGCATTCTCACATCGCTGCGTAAATATTTCACTGAAAGTCGAGGGCCGCGTTCAAAGTGCCAAGACGGAGAAAAAATATCTGCGACGATCGCATGGATCCTGCTGATAAAACTGAGATATTGCAAAGTAGTGCAGCAACACTGCTGCAAGGTTAGATGTCGATTAGACCGTAGCTCATGGAGGTGGACTCGCAGGTTTTGAATATGCAGCACGCGAAACATGAAGATACGATCGGACGCGACGCATTTGGGACTTGTCAAATTACATAATATGCCGCCAGCTCTTTCGTCGTCTTTTCACGCAAGACTCATTTCTCAACACCTACGGACAAAACAGATATCAATCCAAATGTTTTTAAGGCTTCTGAGTCCGAATATGAGCTCGGAAATACGACACAATGCAGAGGGAAAGAGTACCTGCTGTCCCCAGCGCTTTCTGAGCACAGCTATTGATAGCCTTTATGACCTGCCTCAAGCGAGCAAGGTCAAAGATCCAAATCGGCGTCACCCCTTGCAAGAATTACTCACCGTTACTGAAACTGAAGTACTGTTGTTCGGATCCTATACAAGGGTTAACGCGAGTTACCAATGGCCTAAGACGTCGGGAAGAGATAGCGGATAACGTTTGGGAGCTTATGTATCAAAGATATGACCATTTCGATCGGGCCTGGAGGAAGCCAAAGCAACGTGTTGGATAATTCGTTGATTCGTACTGCAACAACACCAGAGGTACGATGAAACATTGCAGTCACGAATTTACGGAGGATTTAGTACTGTAGTAGACGAAATACAGACATTCTGCGAACATTGAACAAATATTTGGACGCCAAGCACATGGCGGGATTGCATGTGCGAACTTTGCGAAACGTGCACAGTTTCTTTCATAAAGCGCCGAGCCTACTACTCTCTGACCACATCCAAATAATCTTAGCAGTTATTCCTCACACTATCTCAAGAACCAATGCTGACTCGATTGTCATCTCAAGTGCTATTCAAAGGTACATACTGTGGGTTTGAACTTGGATCTGGACACAGTTTCAATAAAATGGGTGCAAAGATCTGGAATAGTCGTTTTTTAAACCCCTCCTACATCGTCGTTGATGATCAGAGCTCCTGGACATGGTACTTATAAGCTTGTCCGAAAGGCTTTCGGTGACAAGTGATGGCGACCCGTTTTCTACCTGTTCTTCCGATCAAGCTTCAACCCCCCCGTCACCAGTCCGCACAGAAAATAATTGACTTTGGGTAATCCGAGCGAGGTACAGTAGAGTACTTACTTTTCAACTATTTCATGGTGGTCGCATGAGAGTAGGATCCTTTCCAGAATTCTACAGTCTAGCCAACTTGAGCATAGCACTATACTACAGTTCAGGCCTTCTGATGTTTTTGTTCTTTCCCATCTAGGTACTTCGCTACCCGTTCGCACACAATCGCTGATCATCCGGGCTTACATCTTAGCGGCGCATTACAGTCCCCTCCACCTAGAATTTCCGTGAAAGATCATCTGGACGTTTGCATGGAACTTCCGACTAACGCCCATCATTCAGGTTTCTTCTGTAACTCAAGCGCGTGGCGCTGTTCACTCCTATTTCACATTTGACAAGCTGCGGGGATGTTGTGCTAATTTTACTGCAAAGTCCTTCGAAGGTGGTGAGCCTTTGATAGATACGTCTACTTATGACTTTGCTTGACCTATCTCTCGTCACAGGTGTTCTCTTCGCCGCCAAAGTTGGACTTTCAGAATCGTCATGATCTCCGTATGGATGTTATGCGCATCGGCAAACCGACCAAGTCGAGGGCACGGGACCCTACACTGACATGCATGTCTTCATGAATTGCGCAAGTATGTCAGTCCACGGAGTCACATCTACAGCGAGACTTACTTAGGCGCGGCGTAGATGTCATCAATTCAAATAGGGAATTTAAGCACCAGATAATTGAAGGCGAGTCAAGCTCCTCCGAAGCACTGAAGTTGCCTTACATGAGTGAGCTTAGACACTAATTAAGGTACTGTATTTCCATCGTGGACATTCTTTAATGCATTCCGCCGAGTCGCGGTTGTGATGCCTATTCACCACTGCATTCCGGTAACCCAAGTCCAAAAAGGTCGTTTCGCGGTGCTTTCAATAATCCGACTTCTCAACTATTATGGCATAATGAATTTATGACAGACGGTATAAAGAGCGCAAAGTCATGTCACTCATGCAACAATCTGAACTGAACACACCTCACAACCAATATGGCGTTTCTTGCTACCTCACTAGGCTGTCATGCCCATACCTCCTCCTCTCCTGCCTCTATGCCGTCCTTCATGAAAGATGAAGTCGAAGGGGGCCGATCTGACGGATATTGGATTGAGGCCTTCCCTTACCATGCTGGAGACAAGACTGGCCAAAATCTCATCGGGTATGGCCTTGGCTTCGAGAACACGACGAGCAAGGTGAGATGTTCATTAACCCTTTCAATCCCAAGAATAAGTAAGGGCAGCCGTTAATAGTTTTCTTTGAAACTACTAACATTGTGTTATGTCGTCTAGGACGTCTAATTGGGATCGTCGTCAACTCGCTGCGCTCGAGTTTCCGGTCTCCATGACGTACGCTGATATCTCTGGGAACGGCTACAACGACGGTTGGTCACACTCCCTTCGTTATTCTAATGTGTGCTAACCTCCCGCCAGTAATTATCTCCGATAGATATGGTCCTTCCATGGACGACATATGGCACGATGGCGGCCGTGTCAGTTGGCTCGAAAATACAGGCGATACCAATGCTGAGAACTGGACTCGTCGTACCATGGGTGCGAGCCCTGGTATGCATCGTCTGAAGGCAGGTCACTTCACTCGCACAGACCGCGTCCAGATCTGCGCTGCTCCAATCGTAGTGAAGTCTTCTGACCTCACCACTCCTGCTCCCATCATCATCTTTACTGCTCCTGATGATCCGAAGAGCACTCACGCTAATTGGTCGCCGGTGTTCATCACAGAACTGCACCTTGTTCATGAGATTATAGTTGTTCCTGACCCTCAGGGCGGACTTGATCGTCTGATGTTCGCTGGTCGAGATGGTGTCAACTTCCTCTGGTACGAGGAACTTGCATGGAAGACTCTCAATGTCGGAAAAGGTTTGCCGCAAGACGCGATTCCTAACTCTCCGTATTGGGGCTCGGGATCGGTAGCGGTCGCTCGCGTCGACGATGACTACGCTGGGTACATTGGGTCCTGTGAGGTATGAATGCTATCTTCATCTTTATCATCCACGTTACTCATGCTACATCTCTTCAGGGATTTCATGGCAATACTGTTTCCGTGTATACCAAATCTTGCAATGCTTCTAAAGGGATCGTCGGCATCGGATGGACACGTCACGTTCTGGAGGACTTTGGACCTTTGAACGACAAATTTACTGGAAGCATTCACGAAGTCGTATGCGCCGACGTTGACGGTGACGGTGTTGATGAACTACTCGTTGCCATGATGGGGTCGGCCCCTCCCTCGTTTGATAAGACGGGCGTTTGGTGCTATAAGCGTAAGTGAATCTTTAGAGTCTGACAACACGTATCAATTGACGAGCATCAATGCAGCCACCGACCTCGAGAAGGGCAAGTTTTCCAAGACGAAGTTGAGCAACGACTCTGCGGGTAGGATCGCCATCGCAGATCTTTTGTCGAACGGCCGACTCGTAGGTTACCCCAGCGTCCTTTGCTTTACGCGGCACTAACTGCCTTGACTTAGGATTTCTCGACGATTTCGTACTCTGTCCCTGGGTATTTCGAATCTCCTCACCCCTCCATCAATGGGTATCTCTCTACTGGTATCACCGCAGAGAAGTTAAACAACGAGGTCTGCTTCCGAGTACCTCGACCCACCACAACCAAGTTCACTTCCGAGTTGGAATTCCTCGACGTGGCTGCTCGACGACTTACCTTGGTAGTCCTTCCTCCGAACACAGAGTTCAAGGTACCAGCGGACTCTGCTGTCAAAGTCATGTTTGGCATTATCTCTTGGAAGGACGCCAAAACCGGTCATAATGAAGAACGTATGTTGGCAACCAAACCGTTTTCGAGGGTAGAGATGTCTGTTCATGCAGAGTGCGTGAAGAGCCACGAGGAAGGCGCTGTCTTTGTGTTATTCAAGAAGTCGACTTCTTCTGGTCAACCTCCGTATAGTGATATGAAGCAAGTTGTGGCCCATAACATCATTCCCGTTCCATATCCTGATGATGTTCGTGCCATGACATTCCCTTGGGTCAAAGTCGAAGATACTCCGTGGGCAAACGGTCGATTCAAGGTAGGACCATCCATCGCTGTTCACCTTGTTTCCGTTCTGATAAAGTTATACAGGGTCTCGAATTCTACACTCTCGCCGGTTTCCACGTTCGCTTCGCCGACGACTCTGATGATATTATCGCACACATTCAACTCTGGACTGCAGGCGTTGGTGTCTCTGCTGGGTTCCACAACCACGTCGAGAAATCCTTCTGTGAGATTCATGCCTGTATTGTAAATGGGACCGGCGGAGGCGGGATGCGTTGGGCCCTGGTTGATGATGACAAGTTCAACCCCGATACGCCGAACTTGGATCAAACTGGTCTCGCTGTCGTACCCGACCTGCATGAACATAGTCCTCTTTGGCGTACCGGCCTCGATGGCTTCCCTCTCTTGCGTACGAACGATACGATTGACTATCCATGGCACGGTGAGCAGTTCGGTCCATAGTCCCACTTTGTTTTCACATTCATTTTTCTCGTAGCTTGGCTTGCCGGTGACAAGAGTCCTAGCGGCAAGCAATCTTATGACGTCTGGGTCGTCTTTGAGTTGCCTCCTTTCGTTGCCTTTTCCAGTGTCGACTCCTCTTCTTTTTCCGGACGTTTCTTGATTGAAAATGATGATTCGAAGCCAACCAGCGTGATTGGTCTTAAAGACAACAGTGCAACAGATGGTACTCCTGTCCTAGCGTTCCCTGCAGATCACTATCAACAAGAGGTAAGTTCCTCTCCATTCGTCACCCGACCAGCTCATACTGAACCTCGCCCACATGAAGTGGATTATAGCTCGGGTGACCGGGACGAGCCTGTATCAGATCAGGCATGCTGAGACTGGTTCACTGCTTGCTGCAAGGTGGCCTCCTATCGCTGGACAGGCTCTCATGGGCACACATTCCCCGGCCAATATGTTTTTGACGTCTAGCTGGTCTATAAACAAGCAAGCTGATGGAAAGATCATGTCAGTACTCCTTGGGCTTGATTTGAATACTTCGAATAGTCACTGATTTTGTCATCATTAGCTTGCGACTTGCAGCCACGAAAGACTTGGTGATGGCTATCGAGAAAACAAAAGATGTTGCTCCTGAAAGGGTGGGTTTGGTGTATTCGCTATTGCTTTGTCTGTTGCTGAGAACATGCTTCTCAGGTTGTTCTCAAAGTGGCGGCTTACGAAGCTGTACCACCTGCGTGGCGCTTGAAGCCTGTTTGATGGTACACTTGTCATACCCAAACGGATTGAAGTGTGCAAAGGAGTACAATATTTGTATTCATAGCAGTGTTGTCTCGGTATCACCTGTATATTATCGCCGCGATACGAATTCTAAGACCTAGGGACCGTGGTATGTCAGTAAGGAGTATGAGGTTGTCGGTGCGATCTCATCGTCGAGATTAAGCTTCTATGATCGCCTAGGTACGATTGGTATCGACTGTGGGCCTGTGCTTAGTATTGGCTCTTAGTCCGAACAGTGTCACGGTAGCAAGGCACCTACCACCGAAATGCAATAGCCTTTTGTACTGAGTATGAATCCCTTCGGTATGGGCGTGGACAGTCGACAGTTTCAAATGAGTCAGGACTTTGGATCATCAGTTGGCCGGATTTCGGAAGGTACTGCTATAGATACAGATACAAAATGAACTCACGATAGCGCTACAGTACAGAAAACGTCTGGTCTATGCATCCAGCTTGAAGCCTCCGTCATCAACTTTGACGTCTTTGATGTCGTCATGAGATCCTATGTCCATCTCCGCAGCCTTGAGTTCCTCGACCGGAATAGCACGCTTGCCACCCAAGAATAAACGACCACCCGGTGCATCCTGCAACGAACGGACCACAACGTCGCGCTCGAAGAGATACTTGATATCTTCGAGGGCATACCCCCTTGTTTCAGGAAGAAAAAGGTACACCCAAGCAGACATAAGGATACAGTCGCAACCGAATACGAGGAAGGTACCGTAGGTGATTCTCTCGAGCATGATAGGCGTTAGTTTGGAAACGGTGAAGGTGAAGAGCCAGCTGACGGCAATAGCAACGGCGTACGCTGCGTTACGGACATGGTTAGGAGCGACTTCCGCAGCGACGACCCATGGCAAGGGTTCCCAACCGAGGGAGAAGAAGATGGCATACAGGTATACGGCGGCAATGGAGACGTAGGAAGCGGGAACGACTGTGCGTTGGGGGTGGATAGCAGAGAACCCGCCAATCCAGAACATCATGGTCGCCTGGCCAAGGCCACCAATAATGAGACACTTCTTACGTCCGAGACTTTCGACAGCAAAAGCCAGGGCGAGAGCGACTGAGATGGTCTTGACGACACCATAGACGCCTGTGGCCAGCAAGCCGGATGTGGTACCCGACACGCCTAAGCTGGCGAATATGGTGGGCGAGAAGTAGTTGATCCCATTAGTGCCAGTAGCTTGGTGCCAGAACATGATGAACGAGGGGATGAAGCATCGGAGAGCGGTCGTACGTGATTCCCGCATCATGGCAAGCTGCTTCAAGAGCGGCGTCTTCTCCTTGCCCTCGAAATCAGCCTTGATCTCCTCTAACGTGGTGCGGACATTCTCGTCATCGGAAGATAGTCCAGATGCAGACGCGAGTGAACGTGCAGCGCGTTCATACTTTCCGATTTCGACGAGGTATCGAGGAGACTCGGGTAGAGAGATCATAAATACCATGAAGAAGACACCAGGGACCATCTGAATGATGAAGGGAAGGCGCCATTGCATATTCCCATGAGGAAGGTTCTTTTCCGCGGAGTAGTTGACCCAAACTGGAAAAGAGATTCAAATTAGTCCTTGCTGAAAAGACATGCGAAGAGAATGACACTCACAGCTCAACATAGTGCCAATGTTGTTAGCAAGCTGAGCCATTCCAGCGCAACGACCTCGAATCTCCCCAGGGACACACTCCGCCACGTAAGACGGCCCAAGAGCAGAGACCATACCCACGCCGACACCACCAAGCCAGCGACTGAAGTACAGCAGACGCAAGGCAACTGTAGCGCTTGTCCCGATACCAACGATGGATTGTATCAAGCTACCGATGAGATAGACGACACCTGAAGACAACAAGGTAGGTTTACGACCGAACCTGCCCGATAGATAACCTGTGAACAGTGCTCCGAAGCTTTACAGGGAGGCTTTAGTGATTTCAGTCTGCCTGAAGAGGGTGTGATACATACAAGCAACCGCCTTGAAGGACAGCAACGATGTTGCCGTTGAGATTTGCCTGTTCGGAGGCGGTCATTTTGTCTAGACCGAAATATGATTTGAAGGAGGACATGGCGAGTATTCCACCGATGAGACCGGTGTCCCAACCATAGAAAACGAAGCCTGTAGCAGCGGAAGCGGCAAGGCCATAGGCATGACGGTAGCGGACAGCGTCGGCGAAATAGCCCTTGACACCCATGACAAACAGGTCGATGGGAAGCTGGAGAACAGACAACTCCTCAGGTCGCCTTTCGTACGTCCACTGGATGGATGTACTTAGCCCACCAGGACCGAGCATCCGGTGTGCGAGGTAGCGAAGTTATATTTACACGCATGGAGCCCCACCAATCCAATAGAGGTGCAGGCGTTGAAATTCCTAGTTCATGCTCATTCAGCTCAGAGGCACCCAAGCAATTGCCTCTTTTGAAGGGGCGGAAAGTGATAGGCACTTCAGGCGATACAGTGTGAACCTTTCTCAGTAGTTCCCCTCGTATAAAAAGTTACAATCGTATCAAACTAGGATCGCACTCACGAGTTGGATACAATGCTCACTGCCTTTGTGGATGGACTCGGAAAGGTCCAGGGAAAAGGTATCGAGGATGAGGGTCGTGATGCACCGACGTGTCGTCTGAGGCAAGGGAGAACAAAACTGGATGATGGATGACTACTTATTGAAACATTCCATCTAAAAACGCAGAACATTATGATAATTTCAAGAATTTCAGAACACAGGCCAGGGAGGAACATCGGATCGAAATCCGAACAATCCTCGTCAACCATAAAGGAAATGGAGCGAACGAGCGCGAATGAATGACTTTTGTTTTTTGGTGGGCAATGCAATGTTGTCATCTAAAAGCATTCTCGAGAGGCTCGAGTCCAGAATGAATGTATCCAGTGAGCAGGAGGCAACATGAAGCTGTTGGCTAGCAGTCAATGTCGTGATGGGGTCGAATCTGCTCTGCTAGTGGGAAGTGAAACACTTCTGGCGCCTCATGGATATTAATGAGTTTCGTCACCACACATCCAGAGCGGTCCCAGCTGAAGAAGGGGGTAAATGAACCAGAGATGGAGAGTGAGAATTTGATGACGGTGTGATAAGAGGATGATAACGTACAACAAGAGTTGGCCACTCATATCACTGGTGCCGCCAATATGGTCATTCTTCGCAACATTGTTCTGCACCAGGGTTGTACCGAGACGGAGCCTGTAGTTGTTCTCCTCGGTCATAATGGCTACGTTACTCATCCTGAAGATTCTGAACTTGACTCCAATCTGTTCACAATATTAATCTGGAAAAGCAGTGACCTGATAAGAAACTGAAGCTCACGTTTGAAAGATGTGCAAGAAGAGTTGAAGATGGTGTTCACGACGAGTCTTGGAGGGAACTAGGTAAAAGGTCAACCGCTGGTGTCAGAGCATGGCACCAACAAAAGACCCCTTCATGTCGTGAGAGTTTCAGAAGATATCCTGACTGTGGGCTTAGAGGACAAAGAAGGCAAAAGATATTAAACAGAACAATGACTTGATTGCGGAGTAACAACGAACAAGACCGGGTCTCAGACCATGGGCTGTCACACTTCGCCACATGTCACGCTCCCGTGCTCTGTGACGACTCGTTCTGAAAGCGCAGACGAATTTTGCCGACCACAATCATCTGAGTCTCCGACGGTACGCAGACCAATGACGGGTCTATTAAGGGAGGGGGGACGACCCGTATAAAGCAATCGTCTCTTAAAGTTATAGTAGTTCCATCACTGCTGACTGCTCCGCTGTCTTCTCCCAGGTGCGATATGTTTCGATAGCTGATCTTAAACACTCACTGTACCTAACCTTGTGATCGTTGTAAATAGGAATCGCTTCTCGCCCTTCAGGATTTCATACAGGTGAGTCGAACCCATCGGATTTAGTTCATATCCCACTACGTTTTAACGTCAATTTTAGACGATTCGATGATGTAACGAGGCCACACTGCTGACATCGTCTATTTATAAGAACGTCGGCGATGTCTAGCCTTACCTCGACATCGTCAAAGTCAAGTATAACGGAAAACCAGAGGTTCACATCAAGTTCTTGACCTTAAGTCGCAAAGGTACGCAAAGTTCCTGCCAGTTTGTTGTTACATTCAGAGGACACCCGTCTTCTGTTTGGACTGATTAGCCAGGCTGGGCACTTCAGATATCACAAGGCACTTGCATGCTCGTTAGTAATGATTCTCCTCTCGAAGTTAGCTTCAATCTCTCTCTACCTTCCGGATACGCAAAACTGCAGATGATATGGCTGACTGAATGTTGACGTTACCTTGCTCTCGACCGAGTTTTCGCTATCTAGACTCACCACCGAGAGCCCCCGAGTCACTTGTTGGGATCACTCCTTCAGCTAGTTGAGCCAGTGACTCTATCATGAACACGCGATGCATGTCAGAAGAAAAAGGACAGGCTGTTCGCATATCGGTCCGTTTATCCTATCGCTTGTTATCCACCTGTTATCCACGCTCGCTGCCGTGAACATCTCGTGCAACGAGCCTGCTAAGGTTCCATTCATAACGCTCAATCAATTTGACTATTCCCACCTACCTCAGAAACTTCCAGATCGCTGATCTTCAGCAGGAATCGCCCTCCATTGTTGACTCATTTTGGAGTGATCATGCCTTGTGGCTGTCCTATCTGGAATTACATATATGACGCTTGTTCATCGACGGGGCTTGCATCTCCTTCCCCAGACCCGCCTGACTATCCTTGCAAGTATTGCCAACTCATGACGAGCCCTGTAAATCAACCTCAGCTAGCCGTCACCGATGCTCTGAAATATCTTGACGAGATCAAGGAGGTTTATAAGGACAATCCGAAGGTCTATAACGCCTTTCTAGACATCATGAGAGACTTTAAGAGTCAAAAGTGAGTTTTATCAAAGATCTTAGTCCGTACCGTAACTAAGGCATCAGCTAGAATGGATACTTCTGATGTTATAAAAGAAGTTCGCTCTCTCTTTCATGATCAACCTGGACTCCGAGCGGGACTCAATATTTTCTTGCCTCCTGGCTATAGCATTGAGTCCACCACACCGGGGTAGGTAATCTCTCGTGTAGTGTTGATATACGTAGATAATCATACCCGCGAATATTTGTGTACACAGGCATCAATCGAAACTCTGAGCCTCACCTTGAAGATGCGATATCTCTTTGCTGTACAATGTTATTGTGGAATTGTCATTGTCTCTCGCCCGTCGTTGTCCGACAGCTGGGAAATCTTTCATGTGAGCGAATTGGCGGGGCATACAAGTAAAAAGGTACAAGAGATGGACAACGCAGACTATATGACTATATCACATAGAATCGAGAACGATGATGCAGGGAGAGTTGCAATAAGCGAAGAAAGCTGCGCGCAACAGGAAGACAAACGTCGACATGGCAGAAAACGCTGGAGCGAAGTCGAACAGCAGCCAAGATAACACAGGGAGAAGCACATGAGATGAATTCCAAGATCGAGGGAGCTAATGTGCAGTTGACGAGGTCCTAACTTCATTCGGAGGAAGTACGTCAAGCGATGCCTCCGAACTTGGACTCATTGAACCGATGCTTGCTGATGAGTAGTCGCCAGAGGACTGAGCATCCTGAGCAGAGAAGTATGGAGAGATATCTAACCAAGTCAGTCCATCCGCTGAAATTGTACTGTCACCTAGGATTAAGGGCAATTCCAGCTCCGAGTTGGCATGGGGCGTAGTATACGGGAAACTTGGCATACTGAATCAGCACGTCAATTACAGATCAGTATGAATAAATATGGAAGATCATACTGGTCTTCGACGTAATGCCATTCAAGGTCCTCCTCCGTCAAGAACGATGCAGCACAGTTGTATTCAAGACAAGTATATAGGCATCTGTATGTCAATACAATCACAGGCCGCTTAAATTGATGCGAAAGCAAAACGAGGCGTACCCAATGCCATTCACCTCAACAAAATCAGAGGATAAACTTTCGGCAACTGTGTCTGAATCTGAACTATATTCAGACGCTATATCCGGTGATAGAAGAACGTCGAGGTCGTCTTCAATGGGGCTTGTCAGAGGACTGTCTGCGATTTCGGAATAGGCAAAGCACTCCATCTGGTCGGGTCCATTATCAGTAGAGGTGTCATCGTCATCTTCGAGGTCAAAGTCTGCCCAACGAGGCGAGTTCACTGGGGCGCTGATGTAGTCGAAGTAGATATGCTGTGAAGGCGTGAGCATGTTGATAAGGCAAAGAACGCCACACATACTCACGATTGAAGTGTTCATATTCGAAAGATGTTGGCGCTACCAATGAGAATGGTAAGAGAAGTGGCAGAATGGAGATGGCAATCTTGAAGGCCGGCCCAAATCAACGGTTTAAATAACATTCCATCGTGGCAATGCTAAATCAACCTGTGCCAGGCCAGTTCGTAAAGTCCTATTTCGTCTGACTTGCTGTCTTCAGTCATCTATTCAGATTGCTGTGCGAATGTGAGTATTAGTGCCGTTGACAATAGGCCACATCAGCCACGCGTCCAGCTGTTGCCATAACGCCTCGAAGTTGGCAACCAAACTTGCAGGTCGGATCCCCAGGCCTTGATGGTCGGATGGTGTAGAATAAAGTGCCACAAGGATCGAGAGATGATATCTTGCTTGGAGCATGACGCGATGACGAGATAGTGTTATGCGAGTCCAACCTATAGTTTAGGACACAACCGTAACCGGATGTGATGAACCTAGGCTCAGTTTCAGCCACTATAGAAACCAACCCGAAACGTCTTCAACTGTTTTCAAAGATACTTAACAGCCTGCACACCATGTGTCCCGAATGCAAGACTTCCGAATGGACATCCCAACGTGACAGAAGTAATTGTAACGCTAGAGTCATAAATACTGCGTTGACGTGAGGAAGATTACAGTGTGTTGCATAAAAAACCGGACTCGTCTCACGCGCAGGACGTGTTTGTCCCGCGCAAACAGAGCCTTATCAGGATAATTGACGATATTTGCTGTGACTGAACTGTCACCCGGGCCGCGCGTTTCAACTCAGCCTCGACACGAGGCTAGCTCACACCAATAACTTGAAGATTCCACTGGCCCCCAATATATATTGCATGAACGGCGAGTGATAGCTAGCTATGTAGATGTAGAATATGACAGAGGCACCATCAGTGGGGTATTGAGTAGCAGCATGGCGAAGCCACAATACTCTGAACATGAGACTTACCATATGCTGTCTCCTTCAAGTCTCAGGGCTGAGATTGGCAATACTGGGAGTTATGCAATAATGAATGTTCAAGGATATCATAGGCCGCCATGCTCCAAGCACAACCAACAAGGTCTACTAAGTATTTTGTTCACAGGCTTTCCTTCAAGGTGCCAGATAAAAATGCATTCATGAAGGTCATTTGACAGATGGGAGCCATTGTCCAGCATAGACAACCTTGAAGATTAAGCTGAAGATCTACACACTGTTATAGTGACTTCAAAGACTTCCAGGTTCTCAAAATCAACCCAAGCAGCAGGCTGTCACTCAGTCACAAGGCAGTTCATAGGATTCACTATATAAGGCTCTATTTGCGCGGGACAAACATGTCGTGCATGTGAGACAAGTCCGGTTTTTTATGCAACACACTGTAAGAATGACCAAAATTTTGCATTCCAATGCAACCTGTGGGGTCGTGGGACTTTACCACCATATACACAAAGGTCTGCCAGGCAGAGATATACTGAGGCACGAAGGTTTGCATCTCTTGTCTATGTACTCTGCCTTGGGGAGACTACTCAGATGATCAGTTCAATCATACAGTGTGTTGCATAAAAAACCGGACTTGTCTCACGTGCACGACATGTTTGTCCCGCGCAAATAGAGCCTTATATAGTGAATCCTATGAACCGCCTTGTGACTGAGTGACAGCCTGCTGCTTGGGTTGATTTTGAGAACCTGGAAGTCTTTGAAGTCACTATAACAGTGTGTAGATCTTCAGCTTAATCTTCAAGGTTGTCTATGCTGGACAATGGCTCCCATCTGTCAAATGACCTTCATGAATGCATTTTTATCTGGCACCTTGAAGGAAAGCCTGTGAACAAAATACTTAGTAGACCTTGTTGGTTGTGCTTGGAGCATGGCGGCCTATGATATCCTTGAACATTCATTATTGCATAACTCCCAGTATTGCCAATCTCAGCCCTGAGACTTGAAGGAGACAGCATATGGTAAGTCTCATGTTCAGAGTATTGTGGCTTCGCCATGCTGCTACTCAATACCCCACTGATGGTGCCTCTGTCATATTCTACATCTACATAGCTAGCTATCACTCGCCATTCATGCAATATATATTGGGGGCCAGTGGAATCTTCAAGTTATTGGTGTGAGCTAGCCTCGTGTCGAGGCTGAGTTGAAACGCGCGGCCCGGGTGACAGTTCAGTCACAGCAAATATCGTCAATTATCCTGATAAGGCTCTGTTTGCGCGGGACAAACACGTCCTGCGCGTGAGACGAGTCCGGTTTTTTATGCAACACGCTGTACTGCTCAGGCTCTTCACCTACGTTTCGCAATCCATTTATAGACCAATCATAGCGCGACAATTATGGCAGGACACTGAACGTGGAAATACGCTACCACATCTGATGTTGTAAGGATCATCCAAGAAGCAGCTATGCTTCCGACCACCATTGCGTACGTAGCCATGGATCTGTATATGCAAAGCACTCAGTTCTTTGCAGATTAGTGTCGGACTTCTTCCACCCGAACGTCGGTGGCGTTGAGAGTCATATCTACATGCTTGGAGCCAATCTCATTCAACGGGGACACCGAGTAAGAGACAATTCACTCACCACAAGTTTTGTATGTCTAAATAGACCCACACTCCTGTAGGTTATTGCGATCACACATGCACACCCGCCAGATCGTGTTGGCGTTCGCTGGTTAATGCCCTCCCTGAAGGTGTACTACATACCTTTCCCGACTATAGCATCGTCTGCTACTCTCCCAAATTTCTTCACCGTTTTGCCATATTTGCGCACGATCGTATTGCGTGAGGGTGTAAAGCTCATTCATGGCCATGCTGGCTTGTCGTCCCTGGCACATGAAGGTATCCTTCATGCTCACCTGATGGGTGTATGGACTGTTTTTACAGATCACAGTCTCTTTGGTTTCGATGATGCTGCGAGTATCCTCACAAATAAGCTACTGGAAGGTGCTCTGCGGAACGTCGATGCCGTTATATGCGTCTCAAATACTGGGTAAGTCTCAATCCCAGTCTCATTGGAATGCCAAAAACATGATCTTGGTACTAGACGAGAGAATACTGTGCTTCGGGCACGTATACCACCTCAGTCGGTCTATGTCATTCCCAACGCTCTAGTCGCTGAGCAATTCAAACCTGCACCAATACTAGCACCAACCGACGTCGGTACGATTGCTCTCCTTTATTTCATTATATTCATCGAGTGACACGAACGAATTGGGTAGTGACTATTGTAGTGCTTTCACGATTGGCGTATCGGAAGGGTATAGATCTTCTAGTTGCGACCGCCCCGCGTATTTGCAAGCTCTTTCCAAATGTGCGGTTCCTAGTCGGTGAGGTACTTTGTTATCTTGACGTTGTTGACTTTGCTGAGTCCTGACACAGGTGGCGATGGGCCGAAGCTGATCGACTTGCTACAAATGCGAGAGAAGAATCAGCTGCAGGATCGTATAGAGTTACTTGGCAGTGTACCTCATAGCAACGTCCGCGATGTGAGTCGTCTACTTAGCGCGTTATCAAGATGTATCTAATGCGTTTGTATAGGTTTTGGTGCAAGGGTCGATCTTTATGAACACTTCACTCACAGAGTCATTTGGTATCGCGATTGTGGAAGCTGCCTGCGCTGGTCTGTATGTAGTATCCACTCGTGTTGGAGGTGTGCCGGAAATTTTGCCAGAGGATATGATTTCTTTCGCCAACCCAGATGAGGACGGTAAACTCTTTTTCAGCTGTTCCATTACTCTCTTCAAACTAATTTTCCAACGTCAGACGTTATACGCGCGATGTCCGAAGCGATAGCAATTGTGTCTCAAGGAAAACATGACCCACACCGAGCACATGAATTCATCAAAGGATTCTACGACTGGGCCTCAGTCGCCGAAAGAACCGAACGCGTCTATGAAGCTGTTTTCCAAACCGAGCCTTATGACTTCTGGACCAGGATGTATCGGTCTGTGTCACCTATCGGGCTCCAGCTAGATTGAGTACTGTGCTGATGTTATTTCTGGAACACAGCACATTGGATCTTGGGCGCTTTGTGGGACCGATTTATGCGATCATCCTCCTTGTCGATTGTCTGTTCTTCATGTTCTTAGAGTGGTTGATGCCGGAATGTGACCTTGATAAGGTGGAGATGCATTGGGACCAAGAGCAGTTCGTTCGGGTACGTTTTCATGTGGACTCAATAGATTGAACCTGAGTATCGAAACATTGATCAGTTGGCAGAGCATTACTGAGCAAAAACTCAAGCTGAACAAATGCAACAGCGCGATGATATGAAAGGACAATACATTTCTGCCCAACCCTAGGACTCTCATGTCCCGATACCCTCTTTCAATGTATACCTTGCTCGAACATAGTAACTTTCTAAATCTGGATCGAATATTGATGCAGACGAGCATCCATCAGAACGCGTTGACGGCACTCTATTCACTGGTAAAAAGGACGAGAACTCCCAAATCTCCGAGAAGCAAGCCACGACGTTCTCGTGCACAGAACCCTGCTGGGCTTGGTAACCACCGCTACTTAGCCTTCAACGAGATGGCTTCACAAAGGGAAGAGAAAACAACTCTGGACCGAGCCAGTTCGGAACAGCTTTCACAGCAACAATCTACATCAGGCATCGGCACCAGCAGATCACGTGTGCATCCATGGTTAGACAGCGTAACGTTCTTCCTTACAAAATGGGGTGTTGAAACTAATGGGTAATATCTCTCTTTTCTTATAATGATTCGCTGACAAGAACGGATTTATGCAGAGTGGACCCTATACCTCCGGAAGATCGAACCGATACGAAGTTTTTCCAAATGTTCTTTGTATGGTTCTCTGCCAACATGAATGTACTAGCGTGAGTATAATGCACCCCAGTCTCGAGACCGTCCTGATGCAATATGAATTCCATTTTAGCCTCGGAACTGGGGCTGCAGGCCCAGCTTTCTTCGGTCTAGGGGTATCGCAATGCCTCGTCATTCTACTTATCGTGGACATCCTGTGCGTCTCATAACTTGATCACATGCGGAAGGCCTATCTGACTACTTCAGATCATGCACCGTGCCCGCATATTTGTAAGCTCGAGATGCACTCTATCTATGTAGTATGAAGATATAATCGTATCTACCTCATGTAGCGCTGTCTTCGGTCCGAAACTTGGCACAAGGTCAATGGTAACTGCGCGCTTTTCGTGGGGGTAAGCCAAGCTACTTCTTTCTTGAGATGAACTTATTAGAACCAGGAATCCGTATCAGTTATTATGGTGCTATTCTACCCAGCGCTCTTACGGTCTTCTCCATGCAAGGATTCCTCATTTTGAACTGTATTATTGGAGGTCAAACTTTGGCGAGTGTCTCCAATCATCTAGACGACACATTGGGTATAGTCATCATTGGTTTGATATCCCTTGCTGTGAGTTTCCGGAGTACTTTAAGCCGTACTGTAGATTGAGACGTATTCAATAGGTCACATTTTGTGGGTACAAAGTGATTCATTGGTGAGCATTTCGTTATTGATCCATGTTAATGTCTTAAACAAAAGATTGACAACGACTAGGTATGAAAGTGTGGCTTGGATACCCAACGTCATTACGTTCATTATTATGCTCGGAATCGGAGGAAAGCACCTCTCGAATGCACCAGCCTCAATACCAGTGACGGCTTCCACGGTCGTCACGTTTGCAACGACAACAGCTTCCAGTGTCATCAGTTGGTGTATGATGACTCCTGACTATGGGGTATATCACAGCGAGAAAGCTTCTACGTGAGTTGACCAGAAGTTTCTCAAGAACTCCCCTGAATTCAAGCTGCAGACTGCGAATATTTACGTACACATATCTCGGTTTCTTCATAGCTAGCGTAGGTCCTTCTTCCGTTCTGCATTTTTTTAAACATCTGACTTCTCGCTAGTTGACCGGACATTCCTTGGGTGCCGTCTTTGCGGCTTCGGCCACCAACATCCCTGCATGGAATGCCGGCTTTGACAACGGCAATAATGTCGGCGGTCTTATGAATGCAGTATTGGCGCCTTTAGGCGGATTTGGCAAGTTCCTCACTGTATTGGTTGCTCTGTCGGTTCCCAGTGCATGTACGGGAATTCCTTAAATCATGCTGCATGTCGTATACTGATACAAACTGGGCAGGCGCTCCTACGATGTACTCATTTGGGATGAGTTTCATGACTATCGGTTCTGTGTTCGCTAAGGTGCCTCGCTATGTCTTCATGGGTGTCTCGGAAGCTATGTAAGGATAGTGAAATCGTGACTTTGAAATGATCAAACAATTCAATTCTTCTTTCTCTACAGACTTATTCCTGTTGCGATCATTGGAGCGAAGCGCTTCTACGTCACGTTTGTGAATGTTATCAGTACGTCGTTCTCTAGTGTGGTAACATTCCTCTAACCCTCTTTATGGGTGATCCAGGCATCATCGGATATTGGAGCACTGTCTTCGCTGTGATCGTGCTCGTTGAGCACTTCCTCTTCCGCAAGAATGAGTTTAGTCGTTATAATGTCACGGATTGGAATCAACCACGCAGACTTCCCATTGGTCTAGCTGCACTTCTAGCTTTCTGCGCTGGGTTTGGTATCATCGTCCCTTGCATGTCCCAAACAGCGTACGTTGGCCCCATTGCCAATGCTGGGGCGGGAGACATCGGCATTTTCACGGGGTCTGCTGTCGCATTCATTGTATACATTGCCTTAAGATCTTTAGAGCGTGCAGTCACTCATAGATGAATGGGCTTCTATAAACTTTACATACGCAGGGAGTTGTAAGCCTGTGCTCATCTTCATTCGACCAGTTCAAAGCACCATGTTGATCAAGTCTGAAGCATACATTCCAATCAGTCTTCCCACAAGTGGGTGAATTTTGCTCCTCACAAGATAGAAATGATTTTGGCCAGGCTACATATTCAAAATGCAAGTTTTCTCCAGGCGGAAAAATGCCGTTCTCCAGCCCCTCTCTATGGGGCGATCTAAATCCTAACATATCCTCGTTAACTCCGCCTGTCCCTTTCCGCAGGATCGAGTACACTTTCAGTGACGCACTATCGGTACGAAACACTGCATACTTTTGCTTGAAATAGGTTCATTGACCAGGATCGTTAGCATATGTACTCGAGGCCTTTACGTAGAAATACCCGATTTCCAATCATTTCGTCAACGCGACTTGCTGTCATTTCGGCACAGGTATCAGTCTGGGAAGATAAATTCATGGTGAAATATGTTTTCTTTCGTCCACATTGCGTGATACAACATGGCTGACGACCAGATACCACGACGACCTTTGGTCTATTGGAGCTGCATGAAATCAGGTCAACCTTGGAGAGGGGCGCCTGGTCAAACGCGAAGATGTTGTGATTACCACGCCTCGATCATTGGATCCGTCCCCATGGGCTGCTTGGAAGCCACAGCCTGTCGTTCTACTCTGGTTTTCCACTGAAAGCCGAACGCACACAGAATATATATACTATGTGAGCATTCGTGAGGATCTACGCTGAATGGATGCAAGCTAATCGCCGACTATGTTCGTAATGACACGCTTTGTAAAGTCCGTGATGGCCTCTGAAGACGGATGGCTATTCGACTTCAGTACTAAAAAACGCTGTCCAGAAGCCTTTAGATTTTCTGCTATTTGGCCTGAAATTTACGAGGCCACCGGATATTCGGTTCCGCTGATACGTGCCTCGGAATTTCTATTGTTCGCACAAAGCGAATGTGGCGGCCCCGTGGTTCGGAGTGCAAGCAAGCAATTATGCCCGCTCGCCACTCGCTCGCTAGTGACATCCTGTTACTATTTCATGAAACATGGCGAAAGATGGACTAGCTGCAATGAGCGGTTTTCCGCGTTCCGATTATGCCTTTGAATGACTACGCTAACGTCGTATTTAGTTCTCGGCGACGGCAACTCAGGTTTTCAATGTCGCGGGCCACGGGGTGTGACGAGTGGCAGAGCGTGACGTTCTGTGTGGAAATTAACGGGGCGCGCGCCAGTCTGAGACTCTTTGTTCAGGCTACTAAGTTCATCTGTTTTCTCCCCGTGCTCTTTCTCGTCTACATTGAAGTGCTCCTACTGACGATATCTCGTTTCTTTTTGAGAAATCTCGTTCTCTAGAGGCACTGCTCGTACTTGAGTCAAGGACAGAACAGAATTCTTCAGGTTCAAGGTATGGGAACAGATGAATCCACACTGAACACGCTTTAACTTGATCGGGCAGTGTCGTCCTTGACCACACTCAGTTCCCCTTTGTCCGCCACTTCTCTGTTGCTAAGGCTGCTCCGCGATTTGGTATAAAGGCTGCCGTCAAAAACATTACAGTATGTCATTCGTCCCCTCCCCCATTCTTGATCATGTCAAACTTAACTCATCAACCTATGTCTATAGACCCCCCATCTCCAGTCGCGACTGATACCACACATCTCCCTGTTCCTAACTCCCCTCTACAGTGTCTTCTTCAAGGCTTTCTCCACTTTGCATATCTCATCCCGTACTTTCAAGAACTCCGCAAGTGGCTCGTACGAGACATGATGGGCTTTTTCATTGGTGCAGCGCCTTATTTCGACTTTCTCTCCTTGATGGAACCCTCGGATCCAACTTGGCGAGACAAGTCGATACCTGACCTTGACCTCTCTATGGTTCCCCTTGGGGGCGTTGAGAAGGAGATGTATCAGCCTTTCGTAAGTTGCATTTCATAAATTTCCCATGAACATACACTGACGGTCATGCCACAGTGTGACGCTGTGAATGACGCCGGTGTCTGTCCAGGGCTGCAGCTCGTCTGTCTTGCAGATACAAGGGACAAGGAAGGCTGCAAGCTGCGCCCCGACCTGGCGGTTGTCCCCAAAAATGCTGCCGATCTTGACGATTTTGGCCTGATGGAGCTCTTCGCCGAGTGCAAACGCCGCCGCGATGGCGACGCATTCCATGAATCTTACAACGACAAGGACATTGACCTAGATTCGGTGGAGAAAATCGAGGGCAAGAGCGCTGATTCTCGTGGACAACTGATCTCGTATGCCACTGCGACTATGTCTCGTCAACACAGGGTCTTCATGTTTTCTATCTCCATCTGCGGCGAGTTTGTTCGTTTCCTGCGTTGGGACCGTGCCGGGTGTATCGTCTCAGAACTCATCAACTATCTTGAAAACCCAGAGCTGGTAGCCGAATTCTTTTGGAGGTACAGCCACATGAATGCCGTGGAACGCGGATTCGATGTCACTGTCCAACGTGCTACCAAAAGGCAGGCCGACGTGCTAACGGAAGCGATGGATACTTTTATCGAGCAGTCTGCGCCTCGCAACATGGAATTTCTTCGTGGCAATATGGATCCAACTTATGCTACCTATAAAGTTTGCATAGATGACGAAAAGGGACGACATCGATATTTTATTATCCGGCAGCCATTCTGGGATGCGGACTCGGCTTGTGGACGTGCTACAAGGGCTTATGCTGCATACGACATGAAGCAGAAGAAGCTCGTTTTTTTGAAAGACTCATGGCGTACCGAAGACAAGGATATCATGTGCGAGGCTGATATATACGAGTACTTGCAGGAAAACAATGTTCCGTTCCTACTAGAAGTCATCCTCGCTGGCGATGTGATGGTTCACGGCCGTGCTCAGCGAACCTTTTCTGATCAATGGTCGAGACCTGATAGCTTCCCCGAATGGCGTTTACCTTGTGATCGACTACGGACACACACACATTGTCGAATTGTGCAAGAGCTTGCATACCCTGTCGCATCTGCCCAGTCTTCACGGGAAGCTGTTCAAGTTTTCCGCGATGTGATCGAATGTACGTTTATCTTCTTCCTTCCCTTTCGTTCATGTGACTCAATGTCCTTCAACAAATAGCGATACGGATTGCGTATCAGTCTGCAAAGATGCTGCATCGGGATATCAGTACGGGCAATGTCATGATTAATAAAAACGGCCGAGGGGTTCTCAATGACTGGGACCATGGTGTCAGACTGATTCTCAATCGTGTTCCTCATTCGTTTCGCACGGTATGTACTAATCCGTGTTGTCGGGCAATGAATGCTTATGCTCTTATAGGGAACTTGGCAATTCATATCTGTCGCTCTGCTTCAAGAACCGAGCAAGTCGCACGAGGTTCACGATGATCTTGAATCTTGTTTCTGGGTGCTCCTCTACATTTCTCTCCACTATTTCAAACATAATGGGCATCAAGTGGGCTTTAAGCTTGATTTCTTTAATGAAGTCGTAGAAGCTCAGATTGGCGATGATCAGTATCGCACGTTTGGCGGTAATCTGAAGGGCAGCCTTCTCACTCTTTCGCAACTCAAGAAAGTACGGTGGGAATGTCGTCCGCTGGATGAGCTCATCCACGTCCTGGCGAAGACATGGAAACCACTTTATGATGATGATGATGATGAACGAAGGAATCTTCTCCGTGGTAATCTTGACAATGTTACACCGCTCCTGGAGGCCTTTGATACTGCACTGGCATCTGAAGAATGGCCTGAAAAGGATGCTGTACCGAACCAATACCCTCGTAAACGGCAGCGGAGTATCGATCAGGCAATTGCAAGAGCTAAAACGGAACGTATAGCGACCGTCGTTCGCAATACTCAAGCCCTTGTAACTCGGACAGGCAGTCTGGCGTCGCGTGCGGTACCCGCTCAGCCTGCCTTTGCCGCTTCTGCTCTTCGTCCTTCAAGTGCCCTTCGCTCTGACATTCCCTCTGTGTCATCAAACAACTTACCACAATTCGCTCTTCCACAGGACCTGAGTATAGGTAGTAAGAAAAGAACTGTGGACCATGCTCATGCGGAGGAGCCTAATGTGTCGGCTAGCAGTTCGAAGCGAATGAAGACAGGGGACCCGCCATTATCGTTTGGTCAGCGCCCAGGGTACACACCTCCTGCTCTCGCGCGATCGCCCACTCTTCCCGCTAGATTGCCCCCTTCCGGACCATCCTCCCCTCCTGCTAGACCTCATCTACCCCCCGCTAAACCATCGCCCATTGATAGACTGCCTTCTCTGCCTACCGTTCGACATCGATACCTTACCCGCTCAAGAACAAAGCCTAATAAAGCTCCCCACGATGAGAACGGCCCGAAAGAGGCACTTCAGGAGGATGTTGAGATGAAACAGGTTGAACATCGGTACCCGACGCGTTCGAAATCAAACGAGAAACACCCTCGTCCGCAGCCTCCCCCGAAGCCATCGACGGCGAAGACTCAGAATGGCAAGAAAAACAACAAGCCAAGTGGTGGCAATGACCACAAAGGGACACCTCAGGAGGAGGGTGACACTAAACAGGTTGAGCATAGGTATCCAACGCGTTCAAAATCGAATGAGAAACATCCTCGCCCAGAGCGTCCCCAAAAACCATTGAATGCTCAGGCTCAGACTCAACAATCCGACAAGAGGCATAATAAGTCAACCACCAGCGATGGTCGACGGACTCAGGCCAGGTCAAAAGGTCGACGACAACGTCGGTGATCATTGTTCACAACATCTGTTTCTTCTCATTACAGTATATCTTCCTCGTGTAGCTGAATATTATTTGTCTAATGTAATACTTGTTCTAACGTTATTCACTTGTCTCATACCATGATGGCTTCTGAATCATCCCAATTGCTTCTATGAAAACCCATCGAAGATATATGGTAAGTATTATTGAGCTTGGTCTGAGAGTTGTCCCGCGAAGAGTTATTAAGAATAGTCATTTACAACGCTATCTGCCAATTACCTCCATCATACTCACATCTGCAGCTGGTCATGTGCTTTGCGCTTTCTCTCTGAATATTGCCTTGTTCCAGACCTCGCACGAAGACCTAGAAATATTGTTGCTCTGCAATTATTATCAGGTGGCATCTTAAAACGAGTGGCAAGAAATGTCGGTTTCTTTCATTGGTCCAACACCTTCCTGCGTTTTCCTCGACAATTTGTTGGAACCCGCAGACCCAGTGTCGAAGTTCAAATCAATCCCCACCACTGATTTTGCTGCGATTCTTTCTGGGAGAACTTCCGAGAAGGACTCAGATGTGTACCAACCCTTTGTAAGTCGATCACTGTTCCAAAATTAAGCATACGTTCATAGCCACGGTGTGTAGTGCGGCGCTGTCAATAATTCCGGTATCTGCCCAGGGTTCAAGATGATACTGGTGACAAACACGCACGACTCACGAGCTCAGCAGCGTCCCATACTCGTGCTAGTCAAAAGCGACGGAGACAATATCAACGATTTTAAAGTGATAGATCTCTTTGTTGATTGTAGCGTCGATGCCAATAGCAACGTGTTCCACTAGTCTCCCTAATGCAGAGTAGACAGAGACGCGAGCCTTCGTGCCTCAGAATATCTCTGTCTGACCGTCCGAGTTGCGGTCGATTCGACGGCCTAAAGAAGATAGGGTATATCCCTATCCTCCACTCGCAGAACGCCTCGTTCAGCCATCAATGGAAACATAGCCGTCACCTCCTCCCGCGCCTTCTTCTCCTCTTCTGGACCATCAGTGTAAGTCTCAACGCAAAGCTTCTTTATGCCACCAAACTCCTTGGCCAAGTACTCGTCCATCCCCTCCAGAACCTTGAAGGTACGAATAGCCGGGATGGAAATAGAGATCACTTGTAAACGGGGAGCATTGAGCTGAGAAAGAACGTATTGCATTGCATCGACTTCATCACGTTCAAGAGTTCGCTCAGTCACTAGGCGGATGGAGGTGAGATTGGTTAGATGATGAATATCCACCGTGGAGCGCATATCTGGATATTTCCGGTCAGTTTGGACAAAATGAAGTACCCCGAAATAACTTACAATATCGAAGGCCCCACCCGACCCACAGAGTCAGACACTCCAGTGCAGGAGACGTACCGAGGGAAGTGATGAATTTGGCTAGAGTCAGATCATCAACCCAGCTGCTCACATCCAATGACTTGAGGCTTTTGGTGAGCATTTCGGGACGGAACCAGTCGCGAAGGAGAAGAAAATCAAACTCGAAAAAGTCAGTGCACAAATTGTTGACTGTGAATGATTGCAGTGAGGGTGGTGGATGAAGCAGCGGGTATTGCACCGGCAGGGTTGGATGGTCGTGAGAAGACAGGGGAATACCTAATGCATCATGAGGCGTCGGTCGCACAGATGGTTCATTGACAGAAACAGTTTCTGAGTCAGGTATGTCGGTACCAGACCCCTCTCGCCGACTCGAGGGTTTTGGAGGGAGTGATTCCTCCCGAATTATTGTGGAATTTTGTGCACTGAAGTCGACGGAGGCGAATCCAACCCTGATCAGCAGTGGAAACGCACGAACTAGGGCTGTCAGGCTATTCGAGCTCATCTCACAACGAAGCATATTAAGCTCCACGACCGAGCGCAATTCCGCCAATTCTCTAATCCAATGAGCGAAAGCCTCCTGGTCCTCGCGTTTCTCGCTCAAATGCGCAAAACAAGTAAGCTCAAGACGTTTGAGACTTGGTAGTGGAACTCCAATCTTCAATGGGAACTCATATATCCAGCGGTCCTTGTCTTCTTCAACGGCTCCAAGGGGTCTCCGCCGATAATCATCATTGGGAATAGATGTTCCGTCTAATCGGACTTTCTGTATCCATCCCGCAATCTGTGGATCTCCTTGAATGAGGGCGACTCGGGCGTCTGATCATGACGAAACGAAAGATGAACGGACGTGCAGCAGAACGCCATCGCGAACAAGTCCGCGCACACGCACGTAGCGTCCCCACGAGTTCGCGTCTATCATCCTCAAAGCTGCCGTCCTCCCACATCAATTCGAGGATTTCGTGGTGTAGCTCTACTGGCAGCAACAGGGCGTCATCTACAGAACGTAGAATCATTTCCTCTGTTAACAACCAATACAAAATACTCACCACGTTGTTTTTGCGGTTTCCTCGATCGCTTTGCTCCTTTCACGCGAATGCGCTTGGCAGGTGGACGGCCATCACCTAGGTCGGGCCTGTACATGATAGGTCACCTCTACTACTCAAATCCATACAGACAATGAAATATAATCACGACGATTTATGAGCTAACGGCCGTTTGTGAAGAGTCTCAATGGAACTACTTGCATCACCTCTGCAGATTTCGGACTATATCACTTGAGTATCATGTAAATCGACATACGAGAGTTTCTGCTGCTCCACTGTTGGATTGGTTTCCACTTCAAGACGAATCTTTTCCATTGCTCTGTTATCGATATCCCCGGGGTTCCTGATAATTCGGGCGATAAGGCTTCAGAGATACATCCAAAGACTCAATGACAACATACGGAGGTTCGGTCTCAGCATCGTCGGCAGATCGCTTGAGAGGGTTCAATATCTGGGGGGTGAGCGATCTGGCGTAACTCATAAGTCTCGCAGATGTTCATGTCATATCCTAGATATATCACGTACAAGCTTCCACCCGCACGTCTTTCAGGTTTAACGTCATCTGAGAAGTCGGCGTCGGCTGAGCGGGGATGTTTAGACGGTTCCTCTTCGTCGGCGGGATCTTCTGCAGGATGCTTTCGGGGACCCACGGCCCTTGGTGAGCTATTCTCAATTCAGCGGACTATACTTCGAACAACCTAATTTCGTAGACAGCTCACGCGTTTGATTCAGGATTGGTGGAAGTCCTCGGACTTGACATAGTTTATAAACGAGCTTAATTTCTAGGAAAGTATCATAGAATTAAACACATAGTGAGATGAACGAGGAATGGATTGTCTCACCTGCTTCGCCTTGTCCTAGATCTCTTTGTTCTCTAGAGCCGTGCCGCATCCCCGGAAGTTACCGTCTCTTCCGACTACTTCACACTGCATTTCTGCTGCATCGAATGCATTTCTTGGTGCGTAGTAGCTTCCAGATTGAGCCCTGTTAGTTGTCTGCCATAGTTCTGCGTCGAACAAGAATGATCTGAGCCGCCACTGGCCGGCGCAGCCTAGAAGCGTTTGCCTTATCGGGTACTGGCGCTCTGGACCGGCCATAACGGTTCTCCGTTGACTTGTCCTACTCCTTAATGCTGAAAGTTGGCGTGTTCTCCAGCTCTTGCTCCAGCTCCTCCTCTCGCAGCATCTTATCAGATCGTCGGTTCTCCCTTAATATGAGGCTTCGACACGGTAGTACATGATCCTGCAGGCAATTACTAGATGCTGGTCGTTGAACTCTGGATCTGCTTCGATCCGGCATAGAGGTATGTGGCTATAATATAAAGGCAATTTCGGGGCTCTGTACCTACACTGCATTATCATGTTTACGAGAAGCTTACACTTCCTGCAACTTCATTCAGAAACCCTGTAGACGAAATCACTCGAGATCCTGGCGTGTCCCAGAGCTTTTGGCGTGAATTGGTATCCTTTGATGGTTTCGAAAGCCTGGAGATCGTGTCACTTCCACGATCGGGCTTTCATCGAAGGTTATCCGGATATACGTGCGTTTGTTAGCATACTCAGTGTACAACCGCCCCGAAGGGAATAAACGTTTTCCAGAATCTATCGTGACTTCTTTGGCGAATGTGATTCGGTATTGGTCTGCTAAAATGATCGGACTCTGTCCCACTGGACCTGTGCCTGACACATCAAGAAGGGTCGGTGGCGTTTTTGATTCCTGAAATGCATTGTAGGTCCATCTCCATTGTTCAGTGTGGCGTTCCCCATTTCTTTTGTTCCTCTAGAGCATAAATATCGCTGGGTCCTCACCAGTGTTCTCAACCTACCTAAATCCCTCCCCATACCCACATTTCCCAATACACTTCTATCGTTCCCTATGGCCTCCAAAGATACAGAGCAGACAGTGAGCTCTTCTAAGCAAGTCCATACTGGATACATCTAACAGTTCCACCCCTGTCTCTCAAGGCTTCCAATGCCGCGCAACAGACTGTTGGCAGTTTCACATGTGCAGTCTGCGGCTTCTGTGGCACTGGAAGTGAAGAAGATGAGAAGGAACACGAGGACACACACGGCGTGTCATACCCAAGACCAAGGCGGGTGACCAGCTTCGATAGTCAATCGTGCGTTTTGTTCTGTCCTTGCATCTTTTAGTCGCTGAAGTACCATTATTTAGGGGCACGTATTACTGCCACAACAACCGTTGTGGTCACCTATTCCTCTCCGCTGAGCGCCGCGCTGCTCATGAGCGGTCGGTGCAGTAAGTGGCCTGCAAATATAGTCGTATATCAACGCTGACAGAGTGTTGTAGCGCATAGACGCAGAACCGTGCCATAAAGCGCATATATGTCGTTCAAGATCACGTTGTACGAAACAGAAGTTTGCCGCCCCTTTATTTTGTTTCTTTTCTCCATTTTGTATACAGTATATCAGACCCAAGATCTTGTAACTAAGATGTTCATATTCATTCCAGTGTCACTAATATACTTGTGACACTGAATTTGCCTATGAATTGAAGCCCAGTTGACAGTAAGAAGCAAGACCTACACCATTGAAGGATGAGATACGAGTTAGAATCATTCGAGGGCGCTTTTTATGCTGTCCCAAGTATTCTTACGTCCGAAGTTGGGTCACCACAGTCGCCGTTCAGATCTCGGTTGTTGATCCCAGAATAGCCCATGCGGTTTTCTTGGACTACGAAGGAGAAAATGTTATCTCTTCGGACAAAATACGAATGCATGACTGCAAGCGCACGTTCCGTACTTACTGTATCCCTCCAGTGCGATGCTCAGCGCTTAGGCTGCTTTGGGATCTTGGTCGGTTGCCATACTCGGCTGCTTATGTTATGCACGCAGCTGGCGCGTCGATGTTCAGTAGCCACTTCTGAGCTTCTCTGTCAACTCCATCCACGAAGCTCAGAGCCCATTTTCCCATTCTCCAAATTCTCGGACACACAGTGCATCGCTATTGTTCTACTCAGCTGATTGTTCTACTCAGCTAAGCTTGGCTAATCAATGGACCACCGCAAGTTTGGCACGCCACTCTCTTTGTCCCATCCCTTTGCCCCGCTTGCGCAGCCACGCGGCAGCTCTGGAACGACAACCCTTGGCGAGATCTCCCATTGACTTCCCTAGCCGACGTTAGCATGGATACCAAACGATCAAAAGAATGCTTCGGAACCACTCAGAAAGGAAGCTGCATGGCGATGATTGTCCATGACCTCGATCATACTTTTTGTTAGTCGGGACACGCAAGATGATGCGACCTCATTTGAGATACGCCTACCCGGCGTACGTGCATGGTGTTCCTCGGTTTTGCTCGCGGATCCACGATTCACTCGACCCTCTTGAGCATACCTGACCGTCTTGCACTCGCTTCTTTCGGACTTGTCTTCACGTATTTCCATCATGAGCTGAGGGTTCTACTTGGGGATTGTCCATGGCGGCGAACTCGTCGAATGTTTGTCCACGTGTATTCCGGGTCCACCATTCGATGTGGTAGACACCGTCGCATCAAATTCAAACCCAGACTTTGGCCCTTTTGACGGCTTTGGCTTTGGCTTTGACTTTGACTTCACGTCTTTGGCATTGCGAAATGCACTTAAATAGAGCCCTTCAGGCTTCTTCGTCTCCAACATCACCACATCCGTTCAAACTATCCATCCGCCCCCTTCACAATACTCAATTCCGCACAACTTGTAATCATGTTTCCCGCACCACATAAAGTCAGTACTTGTTCCAGTACTTGTTCCAGAATGCTATTTCCCTTATATTCTGATGCATTCACCTTGTTTAGGAGTATGATAAATGCGCATATTGCACTATTTGCCAACGCGACGTAACAGCGGAGCTGGACACGCACACGGAACACTCCAAACACGTTATACTAATATCGGAAGACAAGTTAGTTTGAATTCCTGCATCTACGGCTCTCATTGCTCAAGGCTTTCTTCAGAAACTACCGTTGCAGGTTTTGTGGGAAGTATTTCCCAATCCGACATCAACGGGACGGCCATGAGGGCTGCCAGTAGGTGGCCAACTGATTGATTGTATGTCTACTCTAACCAGAAACATATGTTATAGCGGCCTCGGCGAAAAGATGTTGCCACAATATGCTTCATTCAATTGATAGTTGGGCGAGCCCAACCGACTTCATAACTATCGCTGGGATTGCTCGATGTCATTTCCTTCTAACTCGATTTAAACTATTGTAGCATGGTCTCTTCCAAGTCTTTATATATAATCCAATGATGTAGCATATGGTTCAGCGTACGTAGAATTTCAGTATTTCAAGTTCAAAGGTGGGATAAGTTACACAGTCATCTCTGTGTGGAGTAGTTAGTAGCACAAGTATGGCCACCGATATTCGTCAACTGCCAAGAGGCCTCGTTCCATCATGCGGGGGAACATCTCGAATATCTCCTTCCGAATCACCTCCTTGGATACTTGTTGGTCATCCTCCAAGAACTCCACACAGAACTCTTCAACCGTTTCAAACTTCTCACTGTTAAGGTACTCGTCTAGCAATTCGACCTCTTTGTAGTAAGAATCGAATTGAATGACGATGATCAACCGTTTTAGGCAACGCGATGGTAACGAAGAAAGGAGATAGTGAGTGGCATGGGTTTGGGCGATGTCAAGCATTCCACACCGTAAACGGAGAGTTTTGAGGTTGACCAGGTTTGACATGTCGACGCCATAACGCATGACTAATTCCAAGGGATGAGCGAACATAACAGAAAAGGCTCCGTGAGACTTACGAGAATCGGCGTTACAACTCACGTACATATTCACATTCCTCAATGACGGACAGGATCCCAGGCTTGTGAGGAAACGTGCAACAGACTTCATGTCAACGCCAGTGCCAATACTCAACGATATGAGGCTCCTTGATACAGCTTTAGGATCGAACCAGTACACGAAGTCGCCGAGATTGGATGGCTTATACATGGCATAGGCGTTGTCTATGTACAGCGACTGTAGCGGGGGACAAGGATTGAAAAGCTTGTATTTGACCAATGATTCCCTGCGGTCGAGGATGTCGATAACTGCAGGAAGTCCGAATCTGGAGGCAATGGTGCGGCAGACGAAGATGGGTCTGTTTGAAGTAGGTGTGGACACGTCCAGCAATGTCACTTCTTCGGGAGTAGTGAAGTCTACTTCACGGAGGCCAACGCTTTTCAACCGCGAGAATGCGCGAACAAGCGCTGTTAGGCAGTTTGGTCCCATTTCGCAATATTTCAGATTCAACACTTCAACCGACTGAAGCGTTGCTAACCCGCATACCCAACCCGCAAAAATTTGGCAATCGCCTTGCAGCGGACTAAGATGTGCGAAATTGAACAGCTCAAGAATCCTGATGCTGGGCAAAGAACTGCCGAATACAGAAGGAAATTGGTATATCCAACTATCCTGCGTTGCCAATTTCAGTGGAAAGTCTTGCCCGGAATCATTCGACGCAGGCAAACTTCCGTAGAGGCGAACCTTCCAAATGTATCCGGAAATGTCCTTCTCGCGACGAATGATGGAAACAAGCTTGTTAAGCTCCTCCTCGTTGCGCAAGACTATCGATCGGAAGATGTGACGGCGGGCTACAGCTCTCCACTCCCGGCAAGTCAACGCAAGGGCGCACACTGTCTTCCGACTTGTACAACAGATATTTTCCTGGTCCCAGTAGTTCTCAATGATAAGATGATAGATATCAGCGGGTAGTTCGATGCGGCGATCTGTGAGACGACGAAAACGATATGTTAACTCTACCTCCAATGTCGGTGATAATACTGGAGTTACTGACAGGAACTGGGCTGATCCACATGACGAAAGTCGGACTTGCGGGTGCGTTTGAGAGGCGGTAGAGTCTGAGGTTCGCAGGGATCACTTGATGGGCATAGTTAACAGCTGTAATAAGGAAACTGAACATGTCAGAGACAAAAGGAGAACATACGACAAATCATGCAATCGCTTTAGACCCCTCTCGAAAGTAAGCTTCACAGGGGCATAGCAGTGTTGACGGCTACCTGAGTGAATGTCACTAATACTGATCGGATGTAAGAGATCGCCAAAATGGTCGCGAATAGGAGGCAGTTGGATCAACATATTGTTCCGTCTCATCTCGTCACCTCGTCGGCGTACTCTGAGATGGGAGAGGAGAGAATCGTCAGTATCGATGTCTCATCATGATCCCCACCGTCTCTGGAGTGGCTGCATGCGTTGCGGAATTTACCGCACTTTCTACTCCGAACTCAACACGAGTCCTGGGAATCCTGCAGAATGCAGCCGGTATCGGTTTCAGGCATCCGTAGGATCAATACAAGTTATTGTTACTTACAGAAATGATCGATACCACTCACTCCAGAAACATACCGTTCTTGCCTCTGACCAATTGTCATACTCCTGGCTGTAATACTTATGCGGCGGGTTGAAGTCAGGTCCATCTTATCTTATCAATATCTTCGGAGAATCTAAGCTGACTCCTGAACACGGCGAACAGCTCTCGCCTGACGAAGGTTTGTCCAGGTGGAGAAACGAAAACTTGAGTAAGAATAAATATAAATACATTCAGATGTGCAAAGCAGCGGGATTACTCATACTCTATCACTTGTAGAATATCCCGTTCAACCATGATCGGAAATAGTTTCTCTACTCCCTTCCGTAGTTCCGCAAATGGTACTTGGTGATTCACGATTTCAACGCGAAATACCTTCAACTTCTCGAACTCTTTAGTTGCAAGGTAATCCCTAATCTTTCCGACGCTTCCGACGTCACCCTGGAAGTCACAGCGGAAGACGAGTTCTTGCAAGTGCTGTGCATTGAGCTGGGAGAGTTTACGATGAAGCGCATTGATTATATCGTCGTTAAGGCCGACGAAACGTAAGACCAGGGTCTTCAGCTTGGAGAGGTTGGATATGTCCAACGAATTTTTGATAACTGGATGAACAGATAAACTCTCAGCGCGCGAAATAACATTGAGAACAACTTACAAAATGGAGGCTCCTGCCCAATAAGTAACTCCAATCTTTCCAATGCAGGAGCATCACCAAGACCCGCTACGAAAGCAGCGGCTGAAAGAAACTCCACGCAGACACCGATGCACAACGACTTGAGAGTTCGAGACAGATCTGCAAGAAGGACGGAGCCAGAAGAGATCAGAAGTCGGAAGTCCAAGGCTTCGGGCCCGTCATTATTATCAAGGCGAAGGTGCTGCAGTTGGGCGGGCGGATGGATGGCGGTGTACACTGGCGCACTCGAAGCACTATGGTGCGCTGGTAACACTGAATATGCAGTGTCATATAACGGAAACCCAGTGTCACCGGCCAATCCGAAAAATGCTACGATGTCTTCTGTCACAGGGTGGTCGATGGTGACGGTGCCCAACAGAACAGATGGGATGGGTGGAACCACTATCTCTATTAGCTCCTCTCCAAGGAATGACATCGGATCCGCATAACCAAGTATTGTGGTATCCTGCGAGAAAAACATGGATCTTTGGCCTTGGGTAAGATCAATCAGGCGAGGGAAGGCACGAATGAGTGCCGACATGCTATCCTGCTCCATTGCACAATGGAACATGTTTAGCACTTCAATTGACTCCAAGCTGGCCAGTCGGTGAAGCCATTGTCCAAATGCGTGGCAGTCGTCGGGGCATGTAGAGAGATAGGCAAAATCGGAGAGCTCGAGAACCTTGATGTTCGGTAGGGCAATAGAGGGAAACTGGAAGATCCAGAGGTCTCGCCCCCTTTGTTGTTGCTTTACCTGTTCGAACGTGATTCCTGAATGGCGGTCGTCGAAATATGGCCAAGATCCAACGAGGCGTACTTTGCGAATCCATTCCCGCACCTTGGGATTGGCAGACATGATATCAGCGAGATCGTCGAGTCGAGCATGATCTTTCAGAGTTAAGGAACGGAAGATATGGGGACGAGCAGCTTGTCTCCATCGCGAGCATGTGAGAGCAGAGGCACACAATGCCCGAACGTCACGACAGTAAACTTTGGTATTGTCCCACAATTGCTCCAAGATGAGGGCATGGAGCTCAACCGGTAGCAAGAGTTCCTTGCCTGCAACCGAAAAGGATGAAACGTTAGTCTTAAAGCTAAACAGATGGTGAATGCGAGAATTGCTAACCAGCGTTACCGCCTATGTCGGCATTGCGATCGGGCTCGTCACCTTCCCGACCCCCGCTTCCTTTCGAATTTTCTACAGCAGTTTGCTTCTCCTTCTGCTTGCTCGTCTGCACACGAGCACGTTTGTTGGCTCTATGATTCTTGCTAACTTTAGATCTACGAACAAGCATCAGTTATAATGTATTCTGAACATATTCTACATATTCAAATCACAACTTACGAAGATCTCTTCGACCCGGCGGCATCCTTATCCTGATCCTTATCGAGAGCTCGCTTTCGACTCCTGAGAACACGATCACTACTGGAGAGATCAGTCAGTTCTTACAGCATTGGTATCCTGTGAAGAGATGAACGCACGACGAAGCTTGCTGACCACCTTGAGTGCAGCCTGTGTCTTTCAAACGGATTCGTTTGGCGTCTCTACGATTGTTACCATGTGCACTTCGAACGGTTCATTGAAAAATGAGTCGTCGAAGAGACATGAGAAGTCAAACTGGGTTATAACGTACTGAGGCTTAGCCGACTCAACCTCGGCTGCCGACCCTTTAATGGGTCGCAGAGGAGTACTCTTAGTGTCAGGCCTAATGCAGTGAGTCAATATACAGCCTCTGTGTGACGAATGAGGACGTGATGTACAGGTGTTGGTTATTCTGAACGTCAGCCGAAGCTTCGGAAAGTTCAACGGCATGGACTGCGTGATATCTGAGGTGACTTTTAGAAAATGCTACTGTATCATGCCGACCTGGGCTTACGAGGGTATATCACGGATAATGATGCCAGTGTCCTCTGGTCCAGGAGATTGAGGAGGTAAGTTGGACATTGGTGTGGGGGAGATCAACAAAAAATTGGCTGTCTACGCTCCTGAAATGAGTTTATAAGAGCAAGGCAGGGTAACCGTTGTTGATAATAAGATGTCCTTGTACAGTGGCGGGCTATTGTTTTTCGAGGCTGGTCCATGCGCTCCCGACGGGAGGTCATCAATCCTTTTCTGGCGATGTTTCGCTAAAAGCAAGAGGATGTGAATGGCATTATGTGAGCTCTAGCAGCATATTAGATATTATGGATCTTCGTTTAAGTATGGTCCATTACGAAGATTTCTATCGCAGAGGAACTTACGGAACTTCAGAGAGAAGGGGCGTGAGGTGCCCAACAGAGTGGTTTATAAGCGTCTCAGACTTGATTTGAATCGTTGTTTTGAAAATATACCCGCCTGAAAGCTGCGCACAGTCATTGTTGTCTCAAAAACTTTGTACTTATCGATATTGACACAAATGTCAGCGGTGAAAAGTCGAACGGACTTGGGGGTCTGCGATTCGGGAGCAAAATTGGGAGATCCGATCACTTCAGGCAATCTAATCTTATCTGGTATCCTGTTATGGCGCGCCATGCGCGGTAATATTTGGGTCCTTCATCGTGACAGCTCCTTCAAGCTTCAAGCAGCCTCATAAGAATTCGCCAAACGTCTCTCTGTTCTTCATTCTCTTGTTTTCTGGTACGGAATGTCTAACGAAGACGATGCTCTGCGAATCTCTCAGAACTTGAACGACAATGCTGTGACAGAGCAAGAGCTTCCCCCACTCGCAACGGATGACCCTCCTCCGCCTCCTGCAGATGTCAAAATGTCTGCAGATGAACCTCCTATGGAACATAGTCCATCTGGTCTAGATGGACCTCAGGACAGACAACTTAACGTTACCGACGCTCTGACTTACCTTGATTCTGTCAAGGTACAGTTTCAGGATCGGCCTGACGTATACAATCACTTCCTAGATATCATGAAGGACTTTAAGGGTCAAAAGTGAGTGCTCACTACTGCGCCTGCTAGTATCTTTCTCTAAATATGTCCAGGATCGACACGCCTGGTGTCATTGAGCGCGTGTCAAATCTGTTCCACGGCCACCCAAGGCTTATTCAAGGCTTCAACACGTTCCTACCTCCAGGCTATCGTATCGAGTGCACCAACGATGCGCTCAACCCCAACTTTATCACCGTCACTACTCCTTCCGGCACGACGACGCAAGCCACTGACGGCCGCTTCCATCTTGGCCATCTCGAGCCTGAACTAACCCACCAGCAGATACCCACGCCTGGTCCTATACAGCCGAGCGATGTTGAACTCGCTCCTGCCTTGTCTTACCTTCAATCTGTTAAAGCTTGTTTTGCAGATGATCCCGATAGATATCACAGGTTTCTGGCATTGTTGTCACCGGGCAGGTCTCCTGCGTATATCAGTGACGTGCGTCTTCGTTATTCTTTTAATATGGCAGTTGCTTATTTTCATACAGGAACAGACTGTGCATATTGTTGCAGAGATATTCAAAGACCATCCGGACCTTATGGAAGGCTTTTACCAATTCTTGCCAAACGAGCGGATACAACATCAGGCTGCGGCCAAGCTCGACGAGATTCTCAATAGAACAAAATCGGAGGGGAAAGTCTCTCGGAAGAAGGGTGAGAGTTCTACGGCAACGCCAACATCTGTACCGCAGAAGCGGAAACGCAAGGCTCCGGAGAAGGAGAAGGAGCCAGTGGCAAAGGCTGGACCGAGCAAGGTATGATATTCGCTGTTGAACAATCTACTTGTACTCACCGCTCCACAGCCTTTGAAACGTACGAAGCAGCAACACGGCGAAGCGCCTTCGCCTGCGTTGTCTCAAAGACACGCAGCCGTATCTCCACGTCGTTCACACGCCCACCAGGTGGTTCAACATCCAGCTCCCCCTCCCCCTCCAGCGTCTCCATATGACAGATACGATAGCCAGTTTTTTGATCGCGTGAAGAGGGCGTTAGATCATCGCGAAACATACAACGAGTTCTTGAAGGTCGTCAACCTATTCACTCAAGACATCATTGACACTGCGCAACTGGTACGAGAAAGCAGAAAGTTCCTTGGCGATGGGGAACTTCTGGCTCAGTTTAAGGATATCCTTGGGTTCGACGAACGGAGAGAGCGGTTTGCAGGTACGGAGGACGTCTGGACACGACCAATGGGCGTACTAGATAGGCCGAACCGACAACGCTTGTGCAATCAGGATGGGAGCTATCGCAAGCTTCCACCAAATGTAAGATACATTTCTGCTTCCGGTACATCGCACTGACGTTTCGACAGGAATCGTTGGTGCTGTGCTCTGGACGAGACGACATGTGCCGATCGGTACTCAACGATGAGTGGATATCACAGCCAAACTTCACGAGCGAAGACTCAGGATTCATTGCACACAAGAAGAACGTACACGAAGAGGCCCTGCATCGTAGCGAAGAGGAAAGGCACGAGTATGACTTCCACATTGAGGCTATCAGCAAGACGATCCTGCTGCTAGACCCGCTGAATACGAAGATCCTGCAACTGAGCCCTGAGGAACGCTTGAACTACAAGAAACCTCACCATCTCAGCAGCGCGAAGAGCATTCACCAACGGGTGATCAAGAAGGTTTACGGTCGTGAGGCTGGTATGGAGGTCTGGCAGGCTCTGCAGGACGTTCCTGTCACTGCTGTCCCGATCGTCCTCGCTCGTCTGAAGCAGAAGCTCGAAGAGTGGAAGCGAGCTCAACGGGAGTGGAACAAGGTCTGGCGGGAGGTCGACGCTCGGAATTACTACAAGTCTCTGGATCATCAAGGTATCACGTTCAAGGCGGCGGACAAGAAGGCAATCACAACCAAGGCGTTCATGAACCAGATCGAGACTGCAAGGGACGAGCAAATGGCGAAACGTGCCGCCCTTATCGACCCAATGTTCGCTCGCACACGACCACGACACCAACTCGAATACGTTATTGATGACATGCCGGTACTTCAGGATGCTCTCAAACTCACTTGTTCATTCTTGGACCGGACTCAAGGTCAGATTTCTCTCACCGACCGTCGGCGAATCGAGTCCTTCCTACGTTCGTTCGTTCCACTCTTCTTCATGATCGACCCTATTGCCTTCAATGCCAGTTTCGTCCCCAAGCATGAATCCATCGAAAGTGAAGCCAGTGAGGGCGACAGTGTAATGGATGATACGGAAGTTACTAGCAACTCCAGCGCGAGAGGCGGTCGTAGCAAGAAGGGTGGCATAGGATCTGCTGGTGACCTTCGGAAGAAGTTGCTGAAGAGCGAGCAAGCTAAGTCGAGCAGGAGGACTCGTGCTCAATCAGCGGCTTCGCCGGCCTCCTCTCGTCCACCATCACCTCCCACTGACTCTACGCACGCCGATCGAGAAGAACTCATTCCTCTTAATGGTGAAGCCAGATCGGGTCCGACTAGCCCTGTTGAACAGAGACCTACGCGGAAAGGAACGTTCTATACCAACACGCAGTTCTATGTGCTCTTGCGTCTCTTGGAGGTGAGTAGATTCGTGAAATCTCTCTTGGGATAGTCGGCTGATTCGAAACAGATTTTGTACAATCGTCTACATCTTTTCAAGAGCATTGCTACCCAATTAGCAAATGCTCCACCAGGGCCAAGTCCAGTTGCGGAGGGTGTCGGCCTGTTAATTGATCTCGCGAAGCTGAACGACAAGGCCAAGAGTGCTGCTCATTTCTATGATTTCTTTTTGGAGTCGTGCGAGAAGCTCTTCGATAATGAGATTGAGCAAGCTGTCTTTGAAGAACAGACGAGACACATGTTTGGTGTCAAGGTTCGTACACTGCCCTTGCTCTACAGAATCGGTTCTTACGGCTTTGCAGCATGGATACAAGGCCTTCACGATCGATAAGCTCATTGGAGCGTTGATCAAGCAAGTGCAGATGGTTCTGTCGGATGCTAGGAGCCAGGAGCTTTTCGATCTCCTCCGTCGGGAAAGGGACATTCCGGCGCTGACCTCCCAGGATCTCATCAACGCCCGAAAGAACACTGAAAAGGTACTCGGTCCTGACGAGAACTTGTTTAGGATTGACTGGGTGAGTTTGAGGAAAACTTGCGATGTTATGTGGGACATTACTTACTCGAGACGTCAGTTACCCGAGTTGAAGACCGTCACGATGCAACTCATCGGAAAAGACGACTCGAGTTTCGATGACTCGGAGGTCTTGACTGGTCGTTGGCAAGCCTACATTGATTCATATGTCTCGGTATGTGCCGTGGTTAATTATTTTTGGACACGCTGGCTGACGTTGTTTATAGCCTGAACCAACCGTTGGGGTACCTTCTTCCGCTGCGAGGCGGAAGCCATTCTTGCGCCGAACAGTAACTCCTACTCTAGATGGCGGTGAACCGATGGTGGTGGCCCATAGCGACTTGGCTCTGCGTGTTTGCGTGCGTACGTATAGGCTCTTCTACGTGTCCAACACAGAAGAGTTCTTGTTCCGCCTGTCGTCTCGAGAGGAGCGCCAACGTGCAAAGGATGCTCTTGAATCGCGAAATATACGACGACAGGCTTGGCTCGACAAACTGACTCCTCCACCTGAGACGAAAGAAGAGTCTGAGCCTTCAGCGGCGCTGGCAGAGAAGTCATAACAGGGTCTCTTAGAGTTTGACGTTATATTTCTAGCTGTGTTTTATTCGTCTTGTTCTACTGTGTAAGCTATTGTATCCCTTAATCCATCTGGTTTCTGCTTTCATCTCGAGCATCGCAAAACAGTGTTCGTGCAAGTTGGGAATCTGTTCAGAACGCGAACTTCACGCCCGGCTCGATAACGATAATCCCGTCTTTTCAGCCTGCTTTCTCAACGACATCCTGAAAGTCCTTCACACCTGACTCGAAGACATCGCAGTCATCCATACTATGGCATACCATGTTTGCGTCAATAAGGAGCTCGTCGATAGAAACTCCATCAAGTACTGGATTGGAATTACCCTATCTGGTTGAAAGGTGCAGAGCAACTTGATACCTTCAGACGCATCCATCGTCACCATGACGCGGATTACTGGGAGTGGTACCACCGAGATGAATCAGGGCAATGTGAACATGGGGATATCTCTCATGAATCTGCTGTGAATTAACGGTCACTTGCAGTCTTGCTTACTCAGGTTCAGAGGGAAAGAAGGGTAGAATCCGTGACGCATTGCCAGTGACCATTGGCCAAGATAACCGTAGCATGGCAAGCCGCTAGACCGACATGATCAAAACACTCAAATCAAAGCCTAGCGCGAGATAGAGTCGAAATCTTGTAGTCTTGTGACTACGACGTTCATATTTATTCCAATGTGAGTGACATTTGAACTTCCATCTCGCACAATGTGATCTTGAATGACATAGTATATGCACCGTATGACACTCTAAGAAGCGCTTCTACGTCTATAAGCTACAACTCGCTATCAGCATTGATATACGACTAACTTCGCAAGCCACTCACTGGTGCTGCTCATGGGCATCACGACTCGCAGCAGTGGAGAAGAGGCGATCACAGTAGCGGCTCATATATAGGCCCCTAAATAATGGTACTCAGACGACTGAAGGATATAGGAGCGACTAAAACGCACGATTCACTGTCGAAGCTGGACCTCCGGATAGGTCTTGGGTATGACACGCCGTGTGTATCCTTGTGTTCCTTCTCATCCTCTTCACTTCCAGTGCCACAAAAGCCGCAGACTGCACATGTAAAAGTGCCAGCAGTCTGCTGTGTGGTATTGGAAGCCTTGAGAGATGGTAAAACTGTTAGATATATCCAGTATGGACTTGCGAAAGAGAACTCACCGTCTGCTCTGTATCCTTGGCGGCCATAAGGAACGATAAGTGTGGACTTTGGAATGTGGCTATGGGGAGGGTTATACGTAGGCTGAGAATGTAGAAATGCTGGTAATGACCTGGCTATATTTATGCTCTAGAGGAACAAAAGGAATATTGAACACCACACTGAACAATGGAGATGGACCCACAATGCATTTCAAATATCAAAAACGCCACCAAAGCTCTTTGACGTGTCGGGCACAAGACCAGTAGACAACGGAGTCCAATCATCCCGGCAGGCAAGTACCGTATCACATTCGCCAAAGAAGTGGCAAGATATTCTGGAAGATGCTGTTTCCTTCGAAAATGATACGTCGAGTATGTGAAGAAGGCGAATATAGGGTCGGCTTCACTGACATCTCCCAGCCCAAACGTGAAAGCGGCATGACTTCTGACAGGCTGGTTGAAGGATGTCAATATACGCCAAAGGTTCTAGGACAGGCGACAGTCATGAGTGATTTCGTCTACAGGGGTCTCGGATTGAGGTTGCAGGAAATACTAGCTTTTCGTAGATCTTGCAAGACGATGTATGGGCAACAGTCCCTCTTGCCGAGCAGATTCAGAGACTTGTCTTGGAGCTCTGCAAGAACCAGCATCTAACCGCCTGCAGCATCATATACTACCCCGTCGAAGCCTCATACTAAGAAAGAAATGGGGATCTGATAAGGCACTGCCAGAGCTGGGAGAGCTACCGACTATTTGGTAATATTATGTGATTACGACAGAGGGGAACGTGGCCGTTTTAGTGGTACTAGCTACAACGTCCTAAGAGGTGCTACTGCGTCTATAAGCTATAGCAAGCTGTCGTGAGTGTTGCTACCTGACCGGACTCGCAAGCTACTCACTGGCGCTGCTCATGAACACCGCGGTTAGCGGCGGAGGAAAAGCAGCCTCCACATTTGCTCTTGGAGCAGTAGTACTTACTGATTAATGATAAAAATATGAACTACTGAGGATCACAAGGAGGGACCGGAAACTCACATCGAGCATTCGCAAAGGCCTTGGATATGAACCGTCTGGATTGACTTTGACAGGTTTCGGCACCGGGATTAAGCCATCCAAATGTTTCTTGACGTGCTCCTCCACTTCATCCCTGGTGTATGCGTTACAAAGTTGGCAGAGGATTGGGCGCCTCCTGTGTGTCTCCTGTGTAACATTGGAAGCCTGGATGGACAGCATAAATCATCAGACATTCAGACATATGTGGCCGTGGAGATGAGCTCACCGTCTGCTCTCTGTCTTCGGAGGCCATAGTTGACGAGAATAATAGGAGTGCACTTGGAAAGTTGTCAATAGAAATTAGGGCGATGAGGTTAAAGATGCTGGTGGTATTTATGCATTCTCAGACGAACAAAAGAACATTGTGAACGCCACATTGAACAAAGGGAGCGCGCCACAGTTCACATTGGACTCGTAATTTGTATTTCATTTCCCGAGAACGCCACCAAAGCTGGTTCGGCGTGTCAAAAATGCAGCGCCAAGGAGCCGAAGATCCAGTTTTGCAATCGTAGAGGGTAATTAGTTGTACATTTGAGCAGACGGGTGTTGGGTAACGTCGCCATTTGTAGAAAGGTCACAATTGGGGCCTGAACAATCGCAATCCTCGAATGCTATGCATTAAGGGGCCGCAACACACAGACAGTGGAGTAAACAGGCAGCCTTAGATGATACCGTCAAGCCCAAGGGTAATAGCTGTGGGACCCAGAAAGTCTCAGGACAATGCAAGCATAGAACGTAACAAGTGTACGGTACATATGGTACCAAAGACTGCTGGATTGGAGGAGTAGAGCAGACTAGCTCCCTATACATATCGCCAGAATCGATGCAGAGAATGCCAGGGTGGTCCTGTAGCCCGTGCACTAGCGTGAGAGACGGGTACTAGGAACTTTCCTCCGGTATCGCATATTTCGTGGCACACGGCATAGTATGCGCCCCGAGGCAGAAGTTAAACTTCCCGGACAATGAAAAACACGGCGGATATCTTATAGACTTGTACTCAGCGTGCGATTGACAACGGGCAACTTGGCTGAGCTCGTGTCTTCAGAACTATCATGGGGACCTCGTTAAGAAATCTGTACATCCATTGAGAAAGCTCAGGACACATGCGACGAAAGCTTAGGCAGTCAACAAGTTGCTTCGAGAAGTCGAGGCCTGAGAAGGATGTCGAAAAGCCAGCAGCCTATGAATACATACTATCATTTGACCCTGAGACTGGTGATGTATAGGACCTACATTTTTCTTCACAATGAGCATTTGGATGAAGTTTATCTGTTAATATAGCAAGCGAGGATGCATACGCTATGTTTTTCAGTGAAGTACTAACACTGGCAGAGCCAATGGCAAGAACGATGGAGAAGCGCCCACTAGTTGGAGGGGCGCTTATTATGCAGATAAGATAAGGATATCCCTCCACGAGGCCACCACCTAGTACTCAACTCGAAGAATCGTTGGTAAGTTCAGAACTCAATTAAGACCAGCACACGAAATTGAACCGTGAACCTTGCGAATAGGTAGATCGTCTGAAACTTGTTTATATGAGTATAAATTCGGCTTTGGAAAAGAACGTCAGATTCCGCGACGCATGGACCTGACACAAAGAACAATAACAAGGCCGGTGATGAGACATTACAGGACTACGCGATCCCTACCATCCATTCCCTCACTCTTTGAAGAAACGAGCGTACTTCTTTACTTCCATCAACCGTTACGACACTTCTACGCAATAATCGATTAAAGGGCAGCATGTCAGTCCGAAGATCGTACGTTGCTCCACTTAATCCAGCGCGATGTTTAGTAAATTGAACATTTGTATCAGTCCCCGTGTGGCTCTCCAACTGCAACTCAAACTCGCTGAAAAGAAAGCTCAAGAAAGCAAAGCTGCGTACGTTAAGACTATTCCCAGTAAAGGCTCATAATGACCGCTCTTGCAGAGCTCAAACCAGACCTATAAAACGCCCCCGTGTGCGTAAAGCAGGACATGCGAAAGGTCGTCAGCCTATTCTCCGTTAGTACTTGTAGTTGAATTCGTATAAGCCATGATTCTCACTGTTTTCGAACTTTTGCAGGTAAAGCTCGGAACTTTCCTCCGGATCTTCGTGACAGGATCCTTGAACAGCTATGGGACCCAATCAGTATGAAGTGTCGCGACTACGGTACCTTGCGCGCCTGCGCTCTGATAAACAAAGACTGGCTGGCCTCCGCTCGCTCTTATATTTTTCGATCAGTCAGCTTCAAGAGTTGGAGAAATCTCATGGATTTTACCAAACTTGTTGTATCGGATAGGACGATTACCAGCTACGTTCGCAAGGTATATCTCTACGGAACCTCCTCTCCCACAAATCCAGACGCAACAGACGCAGGCAACAAGCAAGAAGCCGATCGGTGGATCTATCAATTCCCATATCTGATTGGTGGAGGCCTAACCGGCCTCAAAGCCATAGAGCTTTGCTCTTTCACTCGTCGCACTGACGTCTACCCGGAATTCGATCAGATTGAAATGGAAAGGGACGAGAATGAGAACTTTGCTACTTGGGTCTTCTCGCTGAGGATGCTCAAAGGCGTTGAGGTTTTGACCCTTCGGAACTGCATGATCAGCAGCAACGCAATGACTGCCCTCGCTCGTGCTTTCCGACGACTTACTAGCATCGAGCTTCACCAGGTCGACCTGAATACTCAGGATGATCTGGATGCTGTTCCGATTCACGAAATAGAAGATCCTCAAATTGCAGTAGAGACTCCTGCCAGTAAAGCTGTCTCTTACGGCAACGCTGAGCCCCCAGTGCTTTTCACTCTCTGGTACTTGAGACCCCGTTTACAATCAATTTACATCAACAACAACGCCACCCATAGTTCATCGCTCAACATGAATACCTTGAGGGGCTGGCTTCGACCTCAAGATGTGACATCTACCTTGAAGTCTTTGGTCATCGGTGGTAAAGTCGAAATGGCGTCTCTTGCTACGTTCATGAGTGCATTGGGTACCTGTCGGACTTTGGAGTTCATAGGATATCATGTCGATCCTGGTGAGTCTCAGAACGTTTTACTTTACTGCAAGGAACACATATTTGACAGCCGGAATCCCAGAACATCATGTCGAACTGGACCTCTCAGTGTTTCCAAACCTCAGAACGATATCCTTTGCTCCAGGAAACTTTGAATCCGTAAGAGCTGGGGAAATACACCGTATCCTCTGTCGGTTTGAAGTTTCACCGCTGAAGACGATTCACTTTGTTGGCCTCCAGACTACGGATAACTTTCAGGCCGATGGTGCAAAACTGATTGACGGTCTACTTTCGGGAAAGGCCTTTGGGAAATTGGAAGTGGTGGAGATGGAGTGTTCTGCCCGCCGTTTGCCGCCGCTCGTTCGAAAGGCAAAAGTGAAGAGATTTCCCCGACTGTCAAAACGCGGTATATTACAAGTCCGGTGTAAAGCTGTGTAGATGGTGGGTGTCTCTGGTCCAACTTCGGTATTCTCTTTTCTCATCTATCGTTATGTTCCAGTGCATAGACTGCTCTTGCGCTGCGGGCACTATAAATAATAGATGCGGGCAATAAACGCTCGATGTGTGAAGTTAGTCTTTTGGAACCATGTTCTGCAGAATAGTGCCTTGTACTTGAGTCGATTTGTTTCGATATTCACTTCCCAGACTTCTCTTTCTCAGTTTGAATCCACAACGTTAATGTACATGTACATGTTGGGAATGTCTAGAGCCGGGATGCTTACTTGGGGCTCGACTTGACGCCTGTCGTGTCCTGCAACTACTTTTCATTGGTGAAGACTTGTCAGGTGTACGCGAGTGCAAACATGATGTTTGAATCAATTTAGAAGTTATACGTTACGAGATGAACCGCGTTCATATGTTTACGTCCATCCACCGTCTTCCAACGCTAGAGCACAATTCTAGACGAAGTAGACAATTCGATCTGACATTCTACGGGACGAAAATGAGATGGCAAAGTGAAATTTACATCATATTCGTGGGTGAAAATAGACACAATTCGGGCAAGAAATGTATGCATAATTTTGGGACATGGGACATAAGGGGAATCATGATACTCGACTGGGACGGAAGAAAAATGTTGACGTATTGTTGGCGTGGCAGAAATGCACCAGCTAGCGAAGATAGAACCCAGACGGAACTTTGTACATTCTGATATCACTGGAAAGTGTTGTGGTTGATCGCTCAAAACAGAGGAAGTGTGCGATGCGTGAATTCTTGTCACCCCACCATCTAGTATTTGAGCTGCCAGATCCATTCGTATTCGAGATACCAGACCCGTTCATACCCAACCCGTTTCAGATATTCTTCAGTGAGGGTGATCGGAAGTCTGGTAGTAAGAGCTCCAGGAGCAGGGCTCGCGATGTTCTGAACCAATGGGCCTGGTGTTTCATCATGCAAGTCACCTGCTTCCCGACGATGAGCAACATCTCTGATCCACCGATGAATGCTGCACGATTCGGGCTAAATAGGAACAGCAGAATCAGCACCGAAGTCCACAACAGTTCAACATAAAGCGCTGACCTCGGAACTCATGGCGGAGTTAGATGACTCGAGGGAATTGAGTTTATCAACTTTCATTTTGAGTACCGCTGTCCATGTAAGATCACCGCCTTTCAGTTCAGCGGCCTCGATGTTTCCAGTCAAGTCGTCCATCCAGGGGTCTACCGAGCGCGATGTGATCCTATTCCAGCCATGCATAGTCTCCCGGTGTTTACCCAATGAAGTTGAGTAGACAGTTTGGAACCCACAGAGAGACCTATTCCCCGGACGAGAATCAGTCAAATGCGGACAGACCTGGTCCTTCATGCCGATGCTGTTGAATGAAATAATGAGTATCAGGACAGCATAATTTGGGATACACGCACTGTGCTTTGAAGTGAAGCGTCAAACCAGATGATCGAGCTAAGGATGTGCCACAATCCGGGTAAGGACATTTGTGGGTCCTGAGCGTGTCGTGAGGGAAGGCCCAAAATCATTCAATGACCACAACACCCACCTATCGTGTTGGTTGGAGAATTGCGTCCCGCGATGCACCCAGAGATGCTCTAGTAGTGCTCTATGCGATGCATGTACATCGCACTCCGGGCACTTGAATTCCTATTCAGGGTGATTATCGTTGGGATACAGCAAGCAAAGAGTGGGGAGTGAAGATTAAGAATTCGTACCTCCTGCGCGTTTGCAGCCATGTAGATATCTAATTTTCACGAGATCGGGCTGGATGCTTAGGAGAAAGTTGTTGGGTTCCCGAGAATGAAAGTAGAAGCCATTTTATGCGATTCGAAAAAGGTCAAAGCACCAAATTCTGAGTCATTGACCCATTGACCCATTGACCCATTGATCTGTCTCATAAGGTTAGGAATCTGATGGACAGCAACCAAGCCACCCGCAGCATCCAGCTCGGCAGGTACCATGGTCAGAGACCACAGAATATGTGCTTTATTGTATTAACACAATGGGAGTCAAAGCCCAAGGGCATCGTTTATACTTCTCTTGTCAACGCCGCTTTAGCGTACTAATTTGGTTTGTTGCCATAGTTAGAGGTGCAGACTGCAGGGTACCGGTACAGAAGCAAAAGTGTTAACCTTGGGGGATACCTGTGAACGGTGAGCCGACGATTGATAGCGTTAAAGATAACCATGACAATTTCGACCTCCATCGGTGTAGCCTACACCGGCTGTATTGTATACAGCTGCCCAAATCTTCTCATCGAAATGGTCTCCTACTGGAGCCCAACTTTATGCATCAGTAACTGGCCCGTTTGATAGAGAGGAGAGTAGAGAGATGAATTCAGCGTTCGAGGAGTTGAAGATCACAGCGCTGTAGGTAAGATTAGGTTTAAGCATGTTTTGGCACGTCATCGGAAACTGCCAATGAATGAAATTTCAGAATCCTCCGAGCCATACCGTTTTTCTAGCTTCCCTTTCAGAAACATATACGAGTCGTATGCGTGCTACGATTGTTTGGCAGCCCCCATTTTTAGTGCTGGCACTGAAGACGGAAGGGCGACGGTAAAGCCCGTCGCGTGCATGTGATCGCCGGGGCAGAACAAGGATTCAGAATTGCGGTAAGACACACGTTAGACAATGAAACTTGCCTCCCTACCAATAGGTTCCCCCCGCTCTCCGACTCTGATACCAGTCAACGGTAGCCACTTCACCTGCTCCACATTTACTATCCACTCCAATACAAACCCAGATCTGCCAGTTATTGGAAAGGACGGTCAAAGCCCTTCTTAACACATTCACTGTCCACATTAGTTCGAGCATGACTGCGCCTTCCAAACGGCCTATCGACGATGTCGAGTCAGATGGTTCATAGTAAGTTCTATGCCAAGGTCTTCACCTGGCATTGACGCACTTTGAAACTCCAAGTGATAGACCCGCCAGGCGCGTTCGGTCTAAGCACGCAGATGACATATCGTTATCAAGTGTCCCGGATACGGTCTCGTATGTGAATTCACTGTTGTTTGCGAAGCTGAGTCTCTGATCGACCAGCCACTCCAGCGATCTCCCTGACGCCATAGTCAGGCGTCCAAAACGACCCTTAGATGACCTAGAATCAGACACATCTTTGTACGTTTTTGCTCAAGTGCATGTGAGAAAGATGATTTATTAAACACTAAATTAAATATCCTATACTTCATGCTAGACCTAAGAAGAAGGTTCGTCTAGGATCTTCAGATGGCTCCAGTAGTAAGCAACTGAGTAATAGGCAATCGTAAGCTCGCTGGTGTGATATGTTCCCGCACTATTGGCTGACATTTTATTCCAGAGACGATGCTTCCGCCATTGGATCCTTGGAACCGCTTGTTGAAGCTGATAAGCCCAGTGATTCCCCGTACGTTTGTCACACACTCCCTATATGATATTATACGCATTTGAGACGTGAAAATCTCACCATTCTTTATAGCGCTGATTTTTACGATTCTGGAAAACCTGCCAGTTGTCTTCAGTTAGAGAAGACGACATCCTCAGATCAATTGAAGATAAACACCCGTAAGTAGAAAACCCCTTTAGAGGTACTACTATTCATGTGACATCTTCAGGTAAAGCTTTGTTGCTGCCAATGGAGCTGCACGATATGATTCTGCAACACCTATGGGATTCAGATGTCAAGTGCGACTGGCATAGTACTCTGCGTGATTGTGCTCACACGTGTTCGAGATGGCGCGCTGCTGCGTTACCTCATGTGTTTCGTGTTGTCACATTAGGTGGTAGAATCAGCCTCGAAAGGCTTTCAGCGCTCATCCATGCCAATCCCGACATCGCAACATGGATACGCAGAATTCGCTTCTATGGGAGATCTCTACCGTACCAGGATGAGCCGCTGAAATGCCTCGTGAACGTCGTTGAAGACCGGGAACGTTGGATATACCAGTTCCCCTCAACGTTTGGAGTTCCTCTCCCAAACCTCAAAGTCTTTGAGCTCTTCGGGTTTGCTCGGCTCAGCCCGCGGCGTGAGTACCTAGAAGCTTTCGCGCGCTGGATTCCTCAGTTAGCGAAGTTGGAATCTGTCGAGGAATTCAATTTACTTCGCGGTCAAATGTGCTCCAACAGCATGACCGCCATCGTTCGTGCTTTTCCAAACCTGGTCAAAGTTGGCCTTGGTCTGGTCGATTTTACTTCCCCAAACTTCACGGTACTAAGGGATGAGTCAGTTGCAAATGGAGATGACGGCGAGCATTCATCACCCCCGGCTACTACTGGCTCCGTCAAAGCTGCTGAGCCTTCCGAACCGGTGCACGCAATTGCAGCGGAAGCTGGAGTGTTAGGTGCTCTACCCGACGATATAGAAGACCCACATTCTTCTCACGAAGATTCTAAGCAACCGGTGCAACTTCCTCTATTTCATCCGCCGCCCTTGCTGCAATCTTTCTCGATCGAGAACACAAAGACGGAATATCCACAGTTCGACCTCGCGCTTTTACACGATTGGCTTTGTCCCAAATCCCTCAATCGAAGCCTCAAGTCGTTGAAGATCAGTGTCAACATTGATGACCGGACTCTCGCCAAACTTATATCTCACCTTGGCGCTTCCCCTGCATTGGAATCTCTGAGTATATTTACAGGGGATGGCATCGATTATCGTAAGTCCTTCTGGCTTGTTTATATCGCTTCGCACAACTTAATCGTGAACTTCAGTCATCGAATGTCGACTGGACCTCTCTACGCTTTCCAATCTCACAGATATTCGCCTCCACACCAACGAGATATTGCTTCAGGATGATCAAGTCGAAGGGATGCGCTATGTTCTGTCGCAGCTCAATGCACGTCGCCTACGAAGACTTTCCATTGTCATTGGTTTCCCTGATGGTTTTTACAGCCTCGAGGGAACGGATGCTTACATCGCCGAGACCTTCGAGGATCTGGACCAGTTTATTGTCGAGGTTTATGAAGATGACTTTCGGGCATTAGAAAAAGTACGGAAAGAGGTGGAAGCGATGTTCCCCCTGATGATGAAACGAGGCATTCTGCGGGTCGATTCCTGGGATGTACCTTATCTCTATTAGGCCTTGTTCTTTCTGCGTACGTAGCCGTGTGGTGCACATTTCGCTGAGATCCAGTACTACTATACTTAATGCCTGTCGTCGCCTGCAACTACTTTTCATTGGTGAAGACCTGTCAAGTGTACACCAGTAAAGACGACGTTTGAATCAATTTAGAGGTCATACGTTGCCGGATGAACCGCGTTCATAGGTTTATGTACATGTTCATCCACCGTCTTTTAATGCTAGCGCACAAGTCTAGACGAAGTAGATAATCCGATCTGACACTCTTCAGGGCAAAAATGAGATGGCAAGGTGAAATTTACATCATATTCGTGGGCGAAAATAGACACAATTCGGGCAAGAAATGTATGCATAATCTTAGGACATAGGACATAAGGGGAATCGTGATACTCGACTGGGACGAAAGAAGAATGTTGACGTATTGATGGCCTGAAAGAGATGCACCAGCTAGCGAAGATAGAAACCAGACGGAACTTTGTATATTCTGATATCATTGGAAAGACTTGTGGTTGATCGCTCAAAACAGAGGAAGTATGCGATGCGTGAATTCCTGTCACTTCACCATCTCTTATTTGAGCTGCCAGATCCATCCATATTGGTAATACCAGACCCGTTCGTACCCAACCCGTCTCAGATATTCTTCGCTAAGAATGGTTGGAAGTGTGGTAGTAAGAGCTCTAGGAATAGGATTCTGAGCCAATGGACCTGCTGTTTCATCATGCAGATCGCCTGCTTCTCGATGATGAGCAACATCCTTGATCCACCGATGAATCCTACACGATTCACGCTAAAGAAGAGCCGCAAGATCAGCGCTGAAGGTCATAGTACTATACAACATGATGCACTGACCTCGGAACCGGTAGCAGAGCCAGTATCAGATTCATCATCGAGTACTTCTTCCCAAGTCACATCACCGCCTTTCAGCTCGGCGACCTCGATGTTTCCAGTCAAGTCGTCCATCCAGGGGTCTACCGAGCGCAATGTGATCTTATTCCAGCCATGTATAGTCTCCCGGTGTTTACCCAATGACCTTGAGTAGACAGTTTTGAACCCGCAGAGAGACCTATTCCCCGGACGAGAATCAGTCAAATGCGGACAGACCTGGTCCTTCATGCCGATGCTGTTGAATGAAATGATGAGTATCAGGACAGCACAAATTCGGACAAACGTACTGTGCTTTGAAGTGAAGCGTCAAACCAGATGATCGAGTTAAGGATGTGCCACAATCTGGATAAGGACATTTGTGGGTCCTGAGCGTGTCATGAGGGAAGGCCCAAAATCATTCAATGATCACACCACCCACCTATCATGTTGGTTTGAGAATTGCGTCCCGCGATGCACCCAGAGATGCTCTAGTAGTGCTTTATGCGATGTGCGTACATCGCACTCCGGGCACTTGAATTCCTATTCAGGGTGATTATCGTTGAGATACAGCAAGCAAAGAGTGGGGAGTGAAGATTGAGAATCCGTACCTCCTGCACGTTTGCAGCCATGTAGAGAGGTCAAGTTTTATGAAACCAGGGTGGGGGTTGAAAGGAAGTCTGTTGGGTCCCCAAGAATGAAAGTTGAGGCTATTTTATACAATTCGGAGAAGGTCAACGCATCTAATTCTGAATTATTGGCTCACTGACCCATTGACCTGTCTCATAAGGTTACGAAGAATTTGATGGAAAGCAACCAAGCCACCCGCAGCATCGAGCTCGGCGGGTACCACGGTCAAAGGTCATAGAGCATATGCTTATTGTACTGATACAATGGGGGTCAAAGCACAAGGACGTCGTTGGTACTTCTCTTGTCAACGCCACTTCAGCATCGTTGGAGACGCATTGACACTAAAGAGAAATCATCTACAGCTTACCAATACAGAAACAAGTGTGTGAACCTTGGGGGGTACCTGTGGGCGGTGAGCCGAACATGCATACCAAAGACACCTAGCACGAATTCAACCCTTATCATCGAGTGTAGCCTACACCGGCTGTATTATATACCGTTGTTCGTGCTTCGAAATGTTCCGTCACTGGAGCTCGATTTTATGTATCAGTAAGTCGTTCGTTTGATAGAGAGGCGAGTAGGATGAAGAGAAGAGTGAATTCAACGTTCAAGGTGTAGCAACAACTACGTTATCAACGGTAACTTAGTGGCAAGATGAAGAACACGGTGATGTAGATAAGATTAGATTTAAGCATGTTTCACGTTACTGGCGCCATGATCCATCGAAAACTTGAACTGCCACCGTGGAATGAGATGCTTCGAGTCATACCGTTCTTCTAACTTCCCTTTCACAAACATGTATTGGTCGTATGCGAGCTATGATTGTTTGGCCTGCCCCAGTTGTAATGTTGAAAACGGAAGGACAACAGTGGAGCCCGCGGTGTGCATGTGATCGCCAGGCAGAACAAGGATTCAGAATTGCAGTAAGACACAGATTAGACAATGAAACTTGCTTCCTTACCAATAGGTCCTCCCCGACTCTCCGACTCTGAGTACCAGTCAACTGTAACACACGACACCCATTCCATATTCAATCTCTTCTCTAATAGAAACCTAGATCTGATAGTTGGAGAGGACGGCCAAAGCTCTTCCTAACACATTGACCGTCCGCATTAGTTCTTGTTCTTTCTTCTAGGATGGTTGGGCCTTCCAAACGGCCTATCGACGATGTCGCGTCAGATGGTTCATCGTAAGTTGTATACTAAGGTCTCTACCTGGCAAACCACTTAACGCACTTTGAAACACCAAGTGGTAGACCTAGCAAGCGCATTCGATCTGAGCACGCAGATGATGTATCGTCATCAAGCGTCCCGCCTAGGATCTCGTATGTAACTTCACTGTTGTGTGCGAAGCTGGGTCTGTGATTGACTAACCGCTCCAGCGATATCTCTGCCGTTAGGCCTCCAAAACGACCTGTAGATGATTTAGAAGCAGACACATCTTTGTACGTGTTTCTCGAGTGCGTTTTATAAATACGGTCGATTGACCACTAAATTTTAACTCCTAATCTTGCTGTTAGACCTAACAAGAAGATTCGTCTAGCAACCTCAGTCGACTCCACTAGTAAACAACTGGGTAACAAGCAATCGTAAGCTCGCTGTTGTGATATGTTCCCGTTTTGTTAGCTCATGTATGATTCCAGAGACAATACTTCTGCCATTGGACACCTGGAACCGGAACCGCTTGTTGAAGGCGACAAGCCTAGTGATTCGCCGTACGTGGCTCACATACTCACTATATGACATGATACGCGTCTGAGACGTAAAATCACTTTACCATTGTTTATAGCGCTGGTTTTGGTGATTCTAGTGGAACTGCCAACCACGTTCAGTCAGGGGAAACTACTCCCTCAGATCAATTGAAGACAAACACACGTAAGTAGGAAACGCCTATGAATTACTATTGTTCACATAACAACATTCTCATCCTCAGATAAAGCTTTGCTGCTTCCAGTAGAGCTGCACGACATGATTCTGCAACACCTATGGGACTCAGATCTAACGTGCAATTGGCGTCGTACTCTGCGTAGTTGTGCCCATGCATGCTCGAGATGGCGCGCTGCTGCGCTACCCCATGTCTTTCGTGTTGTCGCCTGTGGCAGAACTCGCCTCAAAAGGCTTTCGGCGCTCATCCATGCCAATCCCGACATCGCAACATGGATACGCAGAATTCGCTTCTATGGGAGATCTCTACCGTACCAGGATGAGTGGCTGAAACTCCTTATGAACGTCGTTGAAGACCGGGAACGTTGGATATACCAGTTCCCCTCAACGTTTGGAGTTCCTCTGCCAAACCTCAGAGTCTTTGAGCTCTTCGGCTTCGCTCGGCTCAGTCCGCGGCATGAAGATCTAGAGGCTTTCGCGCGCTGGATTCCTCAGTTAGCGAAGCTGGAATCTGTCGAAGAATTCAATTTACTTCGCGGTCAAATGTGCTCCAACAGCATGACTGCCATCGTTCGTGCTTTCCCAAATCTGGTCAGAGTCGACCTTGGTCTGGTCGATTTCACTGCCCCAAACTTCGCGGTCCTAAGGAATGAGTCAGTTGCAAATGGAGATGACGGCGAGGATTCAACAACCCCATGCACTCTAGCTACCACAGACGCTGTCAAAGCTGTTGAGCCTTCCACACCGGTGCCCGCAGTTGCAGTGGAAGCTGGAGTGTTAGATGCTCTACCCGACAATACAGAAGACCCACATTCTTCTCACGAAGATTCTAAGCAACCGGTGCAGTTTCCCCTATTTCATCCGCCGCCCTTGCTGCAATCTTTCTCGATCGAGAACACAAGGACGGAATATCCACAGTTCGACCTCACGCTTTTACGCGATTGGCTTTGTCCCAAATCCCTCAATCGAAGCCTCAAGTCGTTGAAGATCAGTGTCAACATTGATGACCGGACTCTCGCCAAACTTATATCTGACCTTGGCGCTTCCCCTGCATTGGAATCTCTGAGTATATTTACAGGGGATGGCATCGATTATCGTAAGTCCGTCTGGCTTTTTGTATCGGTTCGAACAACTTAATCATGAACTTCAGTCATCGAATGTCGACTGGACCTCTCTACGCTTTCCAATCTCACAGATATTTGCCTCCACGCCCACGAGTTACTGCTTCAGGATGATCACGTCGAAGGGATGCGCTATGTTCTGTCGCAGCTCAATGCACGTCGCTTACGAAGACTTTCCATTGTCATTGGTTTCCCTGATGGCTTTGACAGCCTCGCGGGAACGGATGCTTACATTGCTGAGAGGTTTGAGGATCTGGACCAGTTTATTATCGAGGTTTATGAAGATGACTTTCGGGTATTAGAAAAAGTGCGGAAAGAGGTGGAGGAGATGTTCCCGCTGATGATGAAACGAGGCATTCTGCGGGTCGATTCTTGGGATGTACCTTATCTCTATTAGGCCTTGTTCTTTCTTCGTGCATACTGCAGCTGTTGTATGGTGCACATTTCGTTAAGGTCCAGTGCCACTATGAAAAGTCTGCGAAACTACCCATCTGCTCTCCCTGACCAATACCTCTGTACTTACCAGAAGTATATTGTCAGCTGTTCCCGAATGCCAAATTTATTCGGAGAACGGGTAAGCGATCAAGCGCAATAGGTTAATTTAGAACGGTGTTTCAGGGATGCTACATGAAAATTCAGGACTCCGACACATCCGTGAAATTGGATCCTACACTCAAAGAGACGGTCTTCTGTTTCGAGCAGTGGGAGTCCGGTTCTCGAAAGGGGGCGGTAGGGATGACGAGGTCGGGTCTTTGAGCACGAAGTAACGACCATATGACGCTGGATATCTCGAAGTGGATGAGCTAGCAGGCGACGATTGACCATCTAGTTGACTGCTGCTAGTGGATCCTGAATTTCGCGAGATATCGCTATCTTTATCTTTGAGGTCTTGCTGTGGAGAAGAGGAACCTCCTGCTACTGCACATGTCCCATGTGTTTCGACTTCGTAATAACAGTCTTCCTCCGATTCAGGAGAAAGGGAGCGTGAATGCGAACGCGAACGAGTTACCAGCGCCACTGCCGATCTTGTTTCAGTAGTCTCTTCGGTGGAATAGGATGCAACTGAGCATGCGTCATCCTCCACCTCCGTATCTTCATCCTCTGTTGGACTGGCGTCCGATTGTAGACCACCCACAATATCGGCATCTTCAAGAGAGAACGTATCGCCGAGGTCACGCAAGTTCTTGATCCATGGATCGGTAGCGGTGCGGGATTTGGGAACATAACCATGCCGACGCTTGCGATGACGAGTTAGCGACCCAGGATCGCCGAATTTGGAATCGCAGAGAACTAAGGATCGGCTAGACGACCGAGAAGAGATAAGATGTGGGCAACGCAAGTCCTTGGTACGGGTACTACGATGAACGATCAATGGTCGAACATAAATGAGAGAGGGCAGAAACGTACTGAGTTTTCTCATGCGTGGCGAGGTTCGAGCGTTGAAAGAACCATTTTTCACAATCGGGCCAGAATGAACACCTGTGAATTCTGGTAACATGTGTGAGTGTAGAAATTAGCGAGATGAAATAGTTGTCACGTACGTATCGTTGGAGCTCAGAGGTTTCCCTTTGTAGTGTGTATTGTAGATGTGGTCTTTGAACCCCACCGGTATGAAGATATCGCAGTCAGGACAAGTGCCGGACTCGTGCCTAGTCTTTGTACGACGGGTCGCCTGCAAAAAAGAGTCAGTAAGCAAGTGGTATGTATTCCAGCAAGACAGAGATGTGTGCACCTCATCTCGCCTAGTTTTTCTTCTAGGTATGGTGTCGGCCATCATGGTAACTACGAGACACGAAGTAGTCGCAGTAGTAGAAAGGAAGAAAGTGAGAGAGGGGGCTGTTAAATAGGACGGACGGCATGCTGTGAAGGGACGCCATAGTAGGAACAATGGTATCGTGCCATCGTGATCTGAGCCACCCGATATCGCTTGCTTGTCCATATCGTTATTAAGACAAAAATGGCAATGCCGCATCACCACACTACGAAGCATTCACGCCGAGTCTCTGACACAATGTACCCGACGTTAGTCGATATCGAACTGCCAAAAAGAGCTTAGAGAACCGATAGATTTTCGTTGATCTGGGTATCCTCGACACAGCATATCATTCTTGTTAACATGTATAGAGATCAAATACTGCAATTTAAATGCCCAGAAGTTCATCTTGAGAAAGGGTGGGTTTAAGAATTGGCGTACAACTCCGAGATACTAAGCAGACTTTTACTACTAGCTCCAGTCAAGAAGCAGCAACTTATCGGGATGCGGTTCTGCTGGCAGAATTGTATGACATAAGCACAGTGCTTCCTATATAAGGCAAAGGCTTCAGAGACAACCCTCCCTCTCACAAAATTTCAAAGCGTCAGTCGAAGCAAGTCAAAGCTAAATGTTCCAAGCCTTTCTTGAATGCGCTACATCCTCTTCCCTGCTACTGTGACTTTTGATGCTATTCCTCTACTGTGATGACGTATGTGAATGCCGTGCTTGAGATGCGTCCGCAATGGCGTCTTTTTTCAACCTCTTTTCGACTTGCATCACAGCGGCCCTATAAGAACTCGAAGTAAAGTACTGTCGCCTATCCTAATTTCTAATACTCTTTGTGAGTGCTGTAAAATTGCATCTAAATGTATCTGCTGATTCCCGGATTCCCTTGGCTTGGACGCTGATGCATATTTATTCTTTCTACCCGCCATTTTGAATGCTGGTCGTGAGTCTATAGCTAATAATACGATATCTCGCCTCTATGGCCATATAATCAACCATACTCTATTATTGCCTTCTCTTCTCTCAGTGGTGAGCCACGCCCTGTCATGTGGTCGTAACTGTGAGTCTGTCTCTGCCCTTGAATCCTCTCTTTTCGTTCATCGTCACCGAAGCATTGTATACCTTGCATATTACTCCAAGGCGATATTCAGGTGAAAAGAAGAAAAACAGTAACAAGCAAGCACTCACGGAGAATGTTTGCTCTAAACATCCCCCTCCCCCCCCCCCCCATTGAGCTGCGTCATCCTCCGAATTTTCCTCTACTCTTGCGTCCGTGAAACATCCGTCTGCAGTACGTGTAGATCTTACCACTTGTGCTTCTCGCACTGAAATCCTGACATTACCTCTTTACGTAGAACCAGAGATGCTCAACATGACCCAGCGTGCACGCCTTAATCCACAATTCAACATTGATGTCTTCCTCCAGGTGCGTATCGTGACCATCCAAGACACCGACCTCGATAAGATCCCGGATGCAGTGCTCCACAAATGAAGAGCTTCCACCCAACCTGACTTGAAAACACAATCATGCTCCACAAAGACGACGACCAGGTGATCGTCCTATGGTGACAATACCAGCTGCTATAAAGTGCACATCTTCGACAAATGCCTGGCCTGTCACCTTATCTCCCTGCTCTCATATAAGTCAATCGCTGCGCAAATTTACCTTCACCCTGTCTGTATGTCCTTTCATGAATCGTCCTCTGTGGGCTCTACCAATGCGTATCACCTTTGTTATCCGCGTCCAGAAATCTCGCCACAACGGTATCGCCACCAACGACTATGCATACTTCGTACTCCTTGCCTTCTTTCTTCTGGTCCCGAAATATCGTTGCGGTGTATTGGGCTCTTTGCTATCGACTCTTGCAAAGCTTTTCGGCAATAGCGGTCCGATGCGGTCGGTTCTTCAACTCTTGCGCCGCTTGTTGCGCCGACCATCAGACGAACTTGTTCTTCTGCTCTTTGACGTCTTTCTCAGAAGATCCGACATGTATACCCCACATTCCCCGCATTTCGTATCATCATTTGTACGTAACAGCCACCCTTCTCGAACTTGTAGCACATGCATGTGGCTACGTGCCCATTCGATGTCGTGGGCAGAGCATTGTGAACCTTGTCCCACTACAGAAAGGGTACAAAGGTGAGCATGCGTAAACTGTTTCTTCCTTCTATTCTGATGGCTATTACGCTCTTTGAAACGAAAATCATCTTACATATGGACTTTACTCGGCATCATAGTCAGACAGATAGCCCAATCTCAGTCTCAGTATCTTTAGCTCAGTTATCGGTAGCAATTATCTGAGGCGCGACGGGTCTGGGTTATCGTTCATCCTCCAAAACACTTTGCCCAAGGATCCGACTTTGGGCATCGTAGTCTTTATGTTGTTGTCATGGGTGAGTGATATCATAGCTGTCAAAAATAGGATGCTCAGCCGGCTAAGCAATGCTCTCCGTCACCATGAATGCACGTCAAGAAAAGTATAATGGACATTCTGGTTTCGTATATCTCCATTTTGTTACTTCAGTCGAGTCTTTTCCTCTTCATCTTTCAGCCTGTATCGATCCGATGGTGGTCTAGAACCAAATGACAATTTCTCCTTCGGTCTCAGGTACATTCAGTCTTCATAGATCGCTGCAGCTTGATTCTTGCAGAATCATGTTCATTGTTGATCTGATGCGCGCAGATCATGTCCTCGGTGCTACCCTGCGTTTCTTTGGCAATGGGAATACTACTGGTCCCGGAACCAAATCTAGCGAGGTTTCTCCAGGTACTTCATTCTCATTTTGTGGACCCCATATGCCCATTCTGATATTTCGGTCTTTCTTCAGCCCGTCATATTTGCTTTCTGGAGGATGAGAGCACACGACGGTGGAGACTTAGCTCGTTCATACATCAGATCAATGTGGGATGTTTTGGCGGCATTGCAAAAGCCTACTCAACGGCTCTTTATCGAAAACAATCTCTCAGAATCAGGAATAGGAATAGCGAACAAGGCTTGACTACCATTTGACAGGAATTGTCTCGTTGCTCAGACTCCTAGAAAAATCCTCCTTGACATGTCTATCAAAGGGCATCGTCTGTGCCGTCATCACCATCTTGCTTCAATACAGACGGAACTTCATGTGCTTGGCAACAGTGATGTCACTGTTTCCCTCTGCTGGATGTCGACCATACCACATCCTCGAATCAAACCCAAATGCGATTCTTCAGGCTAATCTCCAGGTTCCTGCTACAAATGTGGGACTCGTCTCGTGTTCGACACTATGCTCATTGGTTACCGAGCTCCGTGGTCACCAGTAATCTGTGTGACCCGAATCGGTTGCATGCTTCACGTTCGATCACCCCTCCTTCCCGCTCACGACCATACGACCCAGCTTCGCGCTCCGCCTTGACGCGTCTATAGTACTTCGAGTTCCAGCTTCTGAACTATCTAACTTTTGCCTAGTGTTTATGTCCTCTTCATCACCGCTCCACACACACCGACGATCCAAAAGTGTACGTTGGCTTCACACAGGCTATTCTCCGGATCCGTCGGTGCGTCGTGTGTTATTTCGGTATACTGGTCTTCCGGAACGGTACTTCTCATATGCTCAAAGGTGCTCTGTTATCGGTAGAAGGAGCCGGTGTAGCTCACATCCGCCTTTATACCATTCGCATTGCTCCTGACCTTTTTCTCCGACGAATTATTCCTATATAACACATACTCTCTGTCTCTGCCTCCAAGGTTAAACATGCGATGCTCGTGTAGTGCAAAGAATGACTTACAGCTTCCCGATTTAGGGCTGAACTTGTTCAGTTTCGGTTTGGCTCAACACATCAGGGTAGAACTATTGAGTATCTTGGGACGATGATCGTCTATTAGGAGATACGCTGTAAGAAACTCGGTGACAGTCGAATCTTCTCATTGTCAGCAGCCATCATTCTTCCCCACACATAGCCCAGAGCATCCATTCGGTCTGATTATCAAACGTCCACAAAGAGTGCAGGGTCTGACTTTAGAGTTGAATCAAAATCAGAGATGCAGATGCACGTCTGTGTTTCTCCTTCTGAATTGGGTTAGCCCGAACCCTGATGTTCAAACCCAATTCCATATGGTCCGGTGCGAACATAAGACAGCAAAGTCCATATGTTTTGCAAGGAACGATCTACGGTTAAAGCCGTATATCTCCTTATGCACTTCGGCCACAATGCCCAAAGTGACCATAATCAGCGATTGACAGACGAATCCAGGAAGATGGTAGCTTCGTTAACGGTGTCATCACCCTCGAGTTTAAAATTGGATAAGGTGAAGGCAGTGGCGCCGAGAGAGCACGAGGTTATCACTCTCAGGTTCGACATAACGTTCAGGACCCGAATCGGTTTCCACATGTCTCTTGAGGATGAAGAGCGCGGTTATCGGCACCGAAATTGCGAGGAGCCGCAGGGTCTGAATGTCAAAAAGCAGAGGAGAGTTTCGGTGTAGATTTATATTCGTCCTAGATTGTAAGGCCAGGAGTATAAATAACAGGGATAAGCCACAAAGATGTCCGGAAATATCTGCTCAATGTGAGAAAGACATGAAAGGGTAAAATCCAGAGCACGCGAACCAAGTCGGGACCCGAACCGAGTCAAGGTGCTGTCACAAGTTGTCCCCGAGGGCCGCGCCCTATATTCGACAATACAAAACAAGTACTCCGCTAAGCTGAGGACAGCTGAGGACGCTGATCTTCATGATCCGCACGAGCTGTCAAGCTCAATCAGAGGAGAATGATTCAATACATTTACTCACTAATGTTGTTGCAGACGTTCTGAATGGTCGGAGCCATGTCCACGAGGCGGCAAGACAAGGAAGTTGACATGCTAAAAGGAATGCGACCGAGATGTAAGCTACAGGTGAAGAGCGTTGACCTTCGCTGGTAGCGTTGGCCTTGGCTGGTAGCAGCCAAGGTCAACACGTCTTCACCCATCTCCAACATACCAATCGAAAACCAGGGTTATAAAGTGAAGTCAGTACAGGGATGGACTCACGGACTACGCACCGTATGACGTAGGGTTGGATGTAATGACCTGTGAACGAGCGATTATCGATGAAAACTAAGAATCATTCGTGCGAGTAGAACAACTCACTGATTCAAACACGCTGAAATCGCTCATTTTCCCCAGCACGCGTATGAGAAAAGAAAAATGCGGCAAGTCATTGATCAGACTCCAACTGAATGTGATCTGAATCAGCGACTCGATGGGGTCGATGGGGTCGAGTGATCATTTCATCCATTACTCTCTCAATTGATATCAATCGCATCAAAAACTCCGCTTCGAGGACTGAAAAGCATTGAATGGGGCTCACATTGACAACTCTATCTCACATGACAAGAAGCAAATGAAAGCCACGTTGAGTTCGCTGGCCTCGAGTTCGTCAAGATGGTCGTGACGCCGGCATGACATATCGACGAGCGCACCTGGTAGGGCATACTGGCACAGGAGGGAAGGGGAAGAGAGGCGACACTTACGGGGAACGAGATGATCCGATCCTGACTTCAGTATTGAAGAAGAAAGGAAACTGATGCAGGAAGCATTGAGGATTGATCCTGCGCTTGGGGAGTGCCTGTATTGCTCTGTATTGAGTAGGCTTCGCACCAACGATGAGCCCATGCGTGCAGGGCGCGGTTTGGCGCTCCACATTCAGCGTTCCGGCACGATGGCCGAACTTGTTTTGTGCGCACGAACATGAAGGGGGGAAGTCGAAGTCTCGAAGAGAGGATATACAGTTGCCGTTCGTTCTTCTCTCTATTGCATGTATGGTCTTGGCAAGATCCAACGGGGGTCAAACAGCGTGTACTGTAGTGACAAGACAGGAGGATTGAAGAAAGGGACTCGATGAGATAATAGAGCGAACATGCCGGGGAAGTATAGAGCTTTGTCAAGAGCCTGGCCTAGCGTTTGCCTAGACCGCCTAACGGATTTACTAGTGGAGCTGCGGAGAACATGCAAATGCGTTTAGCGCGTCAGACCCAAGAGACTTGGACGTTCAAGGTTCGGTGTTTAAGATGTTGAGGAACGAACCTTGAGTTCGCAGTTTGCAAGGCCGGTACTCGGGGACCCTGCAGAAAAAATGTATGACGCCGACCCCTGCTCGCATGCAAACTTGAGAATAAGACAGCGTCTCTGTCGGTGTGTAAACAATCCACCTCGAGGCTAATGTTTGATGTTTGGTCCTGAGTGTGACAAACGCCAGATCTAGTTGACAAGCAAACACCGCAGTACTTGAGGCGCGAGTAGAAGCATGCATAGACTCCTTACCTCGAGGAGAAGGGTAAAGGGTTGAGTGTTGGAGCTTCGAAGCGTTAATCCTTGGATTAAAAGCCCCGATGCAAGTAGGTTTATCATTTGCCTCGGCATGAACAATACGTTCTACTGTTGTTCTGTTGCTGCGGTCATTGTGGATTTCAAACGTAATATAAGACGAGTCAAATCGTGCCGCGAACCTTCGTCCGTGAGAGTGGCAAGTGTGTGAGGTAGAAACGCGCGCCCGATTTTGCGATAGAACAGGTAAGATGGAGAAGCCGGGAAGCAGTGCATATTGGGCTGATCGATTTCTGCACTCGCCATTCAAAGTTGTACTAGCTGCTGTCTAACAGTAACACACCAAGAAAAGGAAAAGCAAAGAAACAGCCTACCGAGTAATAATTCAATCGTTTGTCATACCTTTACGTGAGAGAGGAGAGGACAAGGGGTGCGAACCCTTGAAAGCTTGATAATCCTGCCAGTGGTTGCCACATGCTGAGACGCGACTTCTGAGATGGCGTCAGGAACGTACGACGTAAAACGTAAAACGCTTCCAAGTGTCGATGTAGGGTCCAAGGGGAACACCCATATTGGTAAAAGAAAGTTAAAGATAGAGCCGAGTGGAGTAAGGCAAGTGCGGCAAGGCTTACCAGATATTACTATGCAGGTCCAGGTCCAGCTGGGTTCAGGTTACCCTCGTGTAACCAACCTTGTCGGTAACTGAAATGAAGGACTATGTACATTAAGTTACACCCTTGGTGACCTGTATACATGCGCAGGATAGTCAAATTAGGATGGGTTACCGAGGGTGAATCCCACGGTCTAGCCCTCCATCTTGAGTTCTGTAAGCAACAGAGCACAAGGATTAGTGTAGCTCTTTGAAATCCGTTAAGACTATATACGTACATATCCGCTATACACGCGGATGCCAAGGATGCAGCATATGGGACACTTTTAGAAGATGTCGATAGAGATTGAGGGAGAGGTTGTCCTATGGAGGGAGTACCCTGCAACCCTGAAGCGAGTATGTAGAGTGTGGAAGCAGGCTAAGATAGTTGCACAGTGTTACTTGTTGCAAAGCCAGGTTAAGCGAATTCGCAATTATTCCTTGAGTGTAATCCTGAGTAGTCAAATAACGCACCTCGATTGGCCCTGCGTGGGTCTCGTACAATCAACGATGAAAATCTGATACGTTATCGTCCCTACAAAGTCGGTTGTAGCCAGAAAAGGAGAGTAAGGCTGGCACAGAGATATACAATCAGCGCAACTCGATGCCTTCATTTTTTCAATTTGTGGCGAGAGATGGATCAGAACCTATCGAGTTTAGTCAGTTAGCGTTTGAAAGAACAGGAGGCGGCGGCTGGCTGGTACAAGCCTTGAAGGAGAGGCAAAAGCGGGTAAGTGACTTCAAGTAAGCGGGTGACGCATTGACTCTTTCACTGTGAGAGTTTGTTTGAGATAATGCACATTTACACATTAGCCACAACGCCAGAAACCCGATAAACCCGAAGTCTTCCCGATACCGATAGTCCGTTGTGTGGAATTGACTAGTGTGTACTTACTGCGTGCTGCGGCTGGAACTTTGACGCAGGATGACAAAGGTGCAGAGCTCCTCCTCGGAGGGCGCTGGAAGACTGATCCGTGAAGTAATTGTGAAGATGCAGATGGAAGACCACAGCGCATTGCAAAACGATAGGTGATCGAGGAATTTCCACGATATGTGTCGGACTTGCGGGGTAAGAGCTCGGCATGATCGCCAGCCTACCAAATCGAGCAAGTTGTGGCGGCTCCTCGGTGGCACCAAATATCAGTGGTAGTACTGAATATCGCCGTGCATCTCTGTGGGTCTGATTAATATGCGGAAAGTCCTCTGCTTGTAACATCCAATGATAACATTGAGTAGAGAATATGCGGGTCATGCTTTAAGGTGTAAGATGCTAATTGAAAATCATGAACTGCATGAGTTGGCTCAGCTCCTAAAGGATGTATTCCATTAAATTCTTATCCTAGACTACATTTTATTATGTTACAAGGCCCATAGATGCAAGTTGAATTAGTCCACTGCATGTATCGTTTGGGGTATCTTCATCGAGTGACCTTCAGGTCTTCGCTCTGTTCGGGCGCTAAGATCCAGGCAGTTTGCTCCAAATTCCCCGAATGCTACGTACAGCGGAGGGGGTTCTGAGGATGCTAGGCTATCAGTCTGATACTAAGCATTCATACATATTACATGCAGGCTTCGAACTCTCAAGTTTTGAAAGCGTGTGCAGCGTATATGCAAGTATTGAGTGAGCCACACATGCCGGACCGGCCAGGCTGATTTCGTGATCCGACATTTATCACGCAGAATTTCCACTCACCTATCGTTTTGCAATGCGCTGTAATATTACGAGCTCAAGTCGTGTCGTGTCCGGAACTGTTAACAAGAAACTGATCAGGATTGAGACAACATAGTAATGTATGCGAATACATGCGTGGCTATAGCCTACAGAAGATGTAGATGATGATATTATACCTCGTAAGTTCCCTCGATATTCGACGTTACTCACGAGCGGGTCCGAGCGGTCCAATGGTGACGCGGGTGAGGATGAATGGTTCGGATCAGAATGTAAACATGACGCATTCTGGAAGCTAAAACCCCGAAGGCCTGCGAGGCGACCGTGTCCATGTCCATGATCTCGCCCGTCCAATCATCAAAGGCATGTTCAAGTAATCTTGGGCTCGGTACAATCTAGAGACTAGGCTATAGGGGAAGAACCATATGCGAGTGGAGGGGTGCTGATCAGTGATACAGATGGGGTTCCCGGTCGTCTGGCAGACCAATCAGATGTTATCGAAGTCACAGAAGAACATAGAGAGAAGGTGAACAGGACAATTGATCGCGAGCATGTCGGAGTTGGAGTTTCAAGTTGCTTGCTTCCTGGCGTAATCGACCAATCGTATGTTTCTGTGGGGACCCAGAACCAGTTATTATCAACGGGTGAAATCAGGAACGAGGGCAGATAGATCCGTAGTGGTAGAAGCCTGAAAGACATATCGAGAGAAGTGGAAGACGTGGAGATGGGGATCCGACGGAGTTGCGAGGAAGAGTTCGACGGGTATTGGTAACGTACAAAGTACAATTGCAGATCAGACAAGAGGAGAATGGCCGGTAAAGTGGCTTTTGGAGGTTGCTCAGCGAATAGACGACATGTAAGTATCCCAGGGCTTGGCAGTGGTGAGTGTATGTATACGGGAAAGGAAGAACGTATTGCTTTGGATTATTCAGAGGGCGAGGGTATCCAGGGAACGAAGCGAAATACGTTGGTATCCGTCGAAAGAAGCCTCTCAAAGCGTAAGCGAGACAATGACAGTTGATGTCAGGGGTGAAGGGCGCGTTGTATCTGACTTGAGAGGATAGACAGTGAGTGAAAACGACCAAAAAATGATACGGCAGAAGCCTCTTGGGTCGGCGAGCAGCAAAGAGCGATGTGGATGATATCTGGAGGTACGTCATAGAAAGAGATAACGTTCAATGTTCATCAGCCAAATCAAGCTCGAGGGGAAATTGGGAATGCGATCAGTAACGTTCATGCGGACGGATTGGGTAGGAGATGACGAAGGACTGATGAGGGGACAGAATTAGGAGACGCCCTCTGTGGCAGCTGGAATTGGAATTGGGATCTTGGCTGGAGCTGAGGAGAGGGTGAGAGAAAAGAGGGTGGGCCGAGGGGGGGCAATGTCCGAGAGTGGTCGGTGATAGTCAAGACGATCGCAAAATATGATATATGACGAGTATCTGCATGTTGGCCCCCTCAAATAACATTGGATCAGTGGCGTCTTCTCAGCTATAGGACTCGCAGAGACGAAAGGAGAGGGACATGGGGAGAGGGGGCAGCGGGCGAGGAGAGTCGGAGGAGATGATGGCAGGGTTGCAGTTTGCGACATTTGGTCGTGTTTTGGTACGGTTTGGCAATTGCTTGGGTGGGATTGGCTCTGTTTAGGACGCCCGATGTGATCTGAGCCCGGGAGAGTGGTAGACGCGGGCCAGGGCCGGATTGCCGGGGGCGAGGAGGCGGGGCAGTGATTGGCTGAGAGGCGAGTCTGGGGTAAAGGCGAGGGCGGGGTTGGCTTGTGCGGGGAAAACCCTCAGCTACCCTCTGCGTCTACCCTCTGCAGTACTTTGCCCTTTCCTCTCACCCTGCGCGTCGTCTTGCGGATCTACCCTCCTTGCTCTAGCAGTCGCTGCACTGGTTTTGGGAGTGCTCAAAGGGAAGCAAGGGAAGGAAGACGAGAAGAAGGGTTGCTACAGCTGTTTGCGGTGCCATCATTACGGAGAGTGTTATATATTAGCCCTCGGATTGGAGATCTGATTCACTCTCACACCTCCCTCTTACCCCACATTCAATTACGACCGACCATCGTCCCGCCCTTTCCTCTTCCCCTCTCTTTCTCTAACCCTCACCAGATGACGACCTTCTACAACTCCTACAAACCCCAGGTGCTGTCGCGCACCGAAGGCTTTCACCTGCCATCCCCAGCACCGTCCACCCCGCCCTCCACCTCCTCCGACCCGTCCAACAACCAAGCGTCCAGCAGCTCCCCAACCACCACTACCTCCTTCGACGCACACAACCTTTTCCTCTCGCCCCCAAGCTATCTCAGTGTACCCGAAACTTTTCGCAAGTTTCCCGCTTCGGGCGATCACATCGGCTCAGGAGGAAGCAACATGGACTTTAGCGAAGAGCTGGCCAGTCTGATGGTCCATCCCAGCACAAACAACTCAAGCAACACAAGCCACGAACGATCGACACAGAGTCCGGGGAGCTATGATGATTACAGGGCGGCGCATACACACAACATCTTTGATATCTCTGCCCCTACCACTCATCACCAACAGCAACAGCATCATCCTTCTCACTCCCATCACTCGTCCCATCATCCTCATCATGCCCATTCTCAGTCTTATGGCTCCAGCTCCAGCTTTGGCGTCGGCCCCGGTGGAAGTGCGACCAGTCCCTTGCACGACTTTAGCTCACATTCGCATTTCAACTCCACCGTACCGGCTATCGGCAGTAGCATGCGCTACGAGCCTCCTCCTCAATCTCCCTTCAACCTCAACCCAAACGCTCCCACCACTGCAGGCGGCGAACCATCAAGCGTCTCCTCGTTTTCGTCTCACATCAGCACCCTCTCCTCTTTCAGCGGTCTCTCCAACACCACAACCACAACCACCCCATCATCAGAATACCATCCCCATCAATACTCTCACTCGCATCAACAACCACAACGTCAGACCCCCAGTCCGATCTCCACTGAACTCTCGAGAAGTCGCTCGAGAAGTCGGTCTCAGGTGGGCGTTAATGGTGTAAATGGGGTTAATGGAGAACCGCCTAGTACGAATGGTGGACCCGCGAGGAGGACAAGAGCAAAGCGAGGGAGCGTCAGCTCCGTCAGTCCCCCGCCATTGCATCGCGGGGCACAACCGTTAGTTATACCAGGTACTAGTGCACATGGTTAGTATCGCCTCTTTTTATTCTTATCCCTGGATTCAACCGTACGCTCATCTAACTTCATCTCGCTCACCCTCACCCTTATGTTATGAACTGTCTTGCTAACGCCATCGATCCTCCCGATCTCTAGGTAGAGGCCCAGCAAGTCCTTTAAGCCTACACACAAACGGCTGGGGCTTCCTCGGCAACGGCACAGGTCCTGGTTCAGCATCAGGTAACGCACCTAATGGTGTTGCGAATGGCGAGTTTAGCTTGCCGACGCCAGAAAGTGTTCATGGTACGCACTATCCCATCCTGTGCCAACCCTTCGTTTAATGCTCACCATCCTTTGTAGGCGGCTTCCCGGCTTTCAACGGCGCTCTTCCCTCGCCTATTGCTGGGTTGGCTGGGTCGATAGGTTTGGGCGGGATCAACGTTGGCAGCCTTCCTTCGAACGGCGCTGGTGCGAATGGCACCACGGGTAAAGGGGATGGTAACGATGTCGCCAGTAAACAGTGAGTTACCCTTTCTCCTGAGGCGCAGGAAAGTGGATATATGCGCTTTGCTATCGCATATACTCAATACCTTCTCGCTTCTTTTTCAATATGAATGACAACTCACATGGTCACCTGTTGACACAGAGCCCTCCTCGCCAACGAAAAACGTCGTCGGAGACGAGAATCTCATAATGCGGTTGAACGGCGTAGACGGGATAATATCAATGAGAAGATCAGTGAACTTGCTACGCTGATACCTGAACACCTTCTTGATCCTGCTGCTTCTACGTCGTCTCCTACTGCGTTGAACCCTGATGATGTCCTTGGTGGGAGTCCGGGGTTGGATGAGGATGAGAAGGAGGTGAAGGATAAGGAGGGGAAGGAGAGCAAGGAAAGTAAAGAGAGTAGGGAGGGGAAGGAGAAGGATGGGGCTGCTGGTGTTAAAGCGAATAAGGGGATGATTTTGAGGAAGAGCGTTGAGTATATTCGGTATGCTTTGCTTTCTCTCCCCTCTTTTCTCTTTCTATATCTTTACTGATACTACTTGTGCATGCATGTAGGTATTTGCAACAACTGGTTTCGGCGCAAGCGACGAGGAACCGGGATCTTGAACAACAACTTCAGGCGTTCAAGTCCGGGTCTCCCCCTTCGTCTTCTACAACCGAAGACTTGGCTGCCACAGACGACGCATTCAACATCCTCCCTTCCTCTTCTCCCACCACCCCCTCCACCGCCACCGCCATCACCGCTGTCAATACTTCTGCCACTTGCAATTCCTCGTCCTCTCCCCTCTCATCCTCCTCATCCTCCACTCCAACCACCAACACCAAAAGGAGAAGTAAAGCCTACACCGGGTTTGACCAGACCACGCTAGAAAGCGTCGTGGAGATGGATACAGAAGATGATCACCACCACGGCACTCATGCCCATGCGAATACGAGGGATGAGGATGAGGAGATGGATTTGATGATGGAGGGGACTAGTCCGTCTGTTGGGGATGGGGATGGGGACGAGGATGATAATGATGGGTTGGGTTTGGGGTTGGGGTTGGGTGGTACCGGGGAGGAGGAGGAGAGGGGACGGAAGGGGCGGCCGCTGAATGGTGTTGGTGGGAGTGTTAATGGGATTAATGGGATGGGCGTGGGTGGTGTGAGTGGGAGTGGGAAGGTCAAGGTTAAGGAGGAGGGTGGGGATATGGAGACTTCATGAGACGGATTTTCGTTCGCCTTTTCCTTTGGCTGGACGCAAAAACGACATCTCGGCACCTTCACCGTCGGCTCTATCCCTGGTATTGTCTCCGTCTACCATTCGTCTCGTCTCCCCCATCCAAAACACGTCGTCCTCGTTCTATCTAATGACTCCTGCTGCTGCGCCACGATGCTCTGAAACGCAAAACGCCATCTACATGTCGTCTTGCGTTGTTGATATACTAATATATTGTTTCTTTTTGTGCTCGTTTTTCTTGTCTATCGGTCTCTGCTCTTTTTCTCTATCTCTCTATTTCTCCGTCTCCTTTTCTCTATCCTTTTCCCTCTTCTTCTTACGTCTTTCCTCGCATACCTCCGACCCTCGTCATCTTCCGACACTAGCACGTACGTACGTGGCTCTATGGCTCTATGGCTCTATAGCGGTATTCTCTCTCTCTCACTCATATCTCTCTCAATTCAAATCAATCCAATCCAATCTACACTGTTTTTCTTAAATCACTACTTCTTGGGTTGGCTTCCATCTCACTGTTCATCGGTTCACTTCCATTTGCCGTTCTATATGGTCCCCGGCTGCTTCATCCTACCTCCTCCGTACCTCTGCCCATTCGTGTATCGTGTAACAGTAAAAGAAGTCTGAAAGGGCCGGTTTCAAGTTTTTTTCCCCCCCCTCTGTGTATAAATACTACGGCTAGTCGTTTCTAAATGTTCCTAAGTGTGTGAGGACCCAGTGAGGCCGCATATGTCTAAATCGAATCAACTTCTGCGTCCCTCTCCACTTTTTCTTCTTGTCCAAGCAAGTATGGCTATATGGCTCTATGGCTCTTCAGCGGTATTCTCTATCATCTCTCATCTCTCAATTTAAATGAATCCAATCTACATTGTCTTCTTTTTTTCTCTGCTTCTTGGGTTGCTGCCGTCTCATTCATCAGTTCATCACTTCCATTTGCCGTTCTACCGTTCTGAAAAGGTGGCTGCTTCATCCTACCTCCTCCTCCGTATCTCTGCCCATTCGTGTAATAGTAAAAGAAGTCTGAAAGGGCCGGTTTCAAGTTCCTTTTCTTTCTTTGTGTATACTATTTCTAGTCGTTTCTGAATGTTCTCAAGTGTTGAGGACCCAGCGGTGAGAGCCGCATATGTCTAAATTGAATCAACTTCTGCGTCCTCGTGCTCGAGAGTGTTTCATACTCTTCAATGCGGGATCGACATAAGTATCGTCACTACGACTCATATATGAAACCATAACGACCAGGGCGCACCAAGGGGTGAATACTATACGCCGTTCGCGTCGGGTCTAGCGTAACACCACGATCGATTGCGAGGAGTGATACTAAAAGAGCTCCAACCGCAAAACAGAAAAAAAAAACCGCAACCGCATTGTATTGAAATGGCATGATCATGATAGACGGTTCAATTGTTCTAGACTTTGAATGACTGAGACGAGTGATTGAGTTGACCAGATGATCATAGGGAGACCACAACATGTAAACAGTAACCCTCCCGCATGACCTGCAGCCAACCAACGATCTCGAACGAACGGCTAACCTAACTCATCCCTTATGTCAACAACATGGCCGATCAGGGCATCGTCGAGTCCTTGACACACGGACATAATCCGTGGATAACTCCTAGCGGGAGATCATAGGTGATGCCAGTGGTGACCGTTGGATGGCTCGGATGGCTCGAAAGGCTCGAAAGGCTTAGCAGCTGGTTCAAGACAGGACTCAGGAGGATTAATCATTGGAGCGTTGGAATCCGAGTCGTACGTAGGTGAAGACGTATCGTGGAGAAGTGTCTCGATTGAAACCAGAACCCGACTAAGGGGTTTAGTCTGCAGAGCAAGATTCGACGAGATGGCTAGTGTCCAGTGTCCAGTGTGGTGGGTACGGATTGGATTGGATGCTCATGGACATATGTATAAATCCTCCGTATGTGAAGACGTATCGCGGAAAGTCCAAATCAAGAGGAGCATCTAGGTCGGGGGACAAAATAGCCAGTGTGGTGGTACCGGCTTACAGTAGATGCCCATGGCCATATACAGTAGAGACATATGAATCGAAAGTTTGGGGGAGATAAACCGGAGGTAACAAAAAAGGGGTGCCGTCGGGATCGATTGCTACCACTATTACGGAGCGCACTAGTGGTGTTGGCTAAGAATATTGGAATCACTTTTTTTGTTCCACCGTGATTTGAAGGTTTAATACCAAGCTCGAGTTGTTTAGGGTCGGGAGCGAACGAGCTGTGGTGTGTTTAATGAGACCCCTAATTGCCGATCGGTCGTCGTAATGAAAAGAATAGGAGTTCCTTGCCTTTGATTCTGGAGGTAAAGTGATTGTGGGCGTTTGGTTTAGCCGGCGGAGAAGGCACAGTGATGTGTCATGGAGTGTTTTTCCAGGAGAGCGGGTGGAGGGAGTCTCCAGGCGTTACTATCGCCCAAGCAAAGGGGATATCGAGAGTATACCGGGCCCAACCAATATGGGAAGTCCGTCAATATTCGTTGGGATTCGTGGGTAAACTCTGCACGCTGGTCAGACATTGTAAGACGTTCGAAAGGGAAAGGACATACGTAAGATGGACGAGAGAAAGCCATGCATTCTGAACGCATCAACACTTGTGAAAGGGTCTGATATGCATGGCATAGACGGCGACTTGAAGACTGAAGACCTGTTTAGGACCTACTCGTCATGAAAGTCTATGTAACATAGATCCAGGAAGGCAAAGGTGTACCGGGGAATAGGACCTCGATACGTCAGTGGTGGAGACTTGATCGCATACATCGTAAGGAATGAACTGTCATGAGTGATTTCGTATCGTTTGTGAAGACAAGGATAGAACAGTAATGACCGCGGTGTTAGCGTCAGTTCGGCGCCGGCAACTGTGATGGTAGCAGGGCCGGAGACGCAAGATATCCTGTAATGATCACTTACCTCAACATATCACTAGCATACCTTGACCTTATTCGCTATGGTATACTATCGGTGACCCAGTAATGCAATTGCCCCCAGAAGTGCAATTCTCGAGTGCATTCAAGCTCTTCTTCGTCTTTCCTCCTGAAAATATTCAGACATATATTTCTGAGCAGTGTTTTTGGGTTCCCAAAACTTGGAGTTTAATTGAGTAAGATGGGACAATATGAAAAATCGGAAGGTAGGGGATTTGCAGTGGCCTGTACTGGCGCCGGCAATGGCGTACTCGGCGCACGGATGATACAAAAATTCAAACATTTTGTGAATATCCTCAAGGATGCCATGCTCAATATATCCCGGCATGTCCGAAGGCAAGAGAAATGCATTTTGAGGTAGATGCGCGAGAAGTGCAATTGAATTGCATTACTGGGTCACCGATAGTAAGAGGAGAATCGTCTCGCTTGCGGTCGTTACGGCGACAACAGCCACCGAACAAAAGACCCGCAGCCTATCTTGAACGAGTCGCGAGCTGGAGCATACTATCTGAAGCCTGATTTAAAGTGAAAGGATACATGTGCTAGGAAGATGCGGACTTACCTCGGCCATGGTGATTCTAGTTCATCGAGAACATGCTCTTGATGCATAGTAGATTCGCGGGAACGAGCCCCTGCGAGAAGGGCTTCAAGCAGTATCCTTGAGCGTCAGAAATGTGCAAGACTGAACCTCAGGCTAGGCGTCCACGTCAGGACGAAGAGTCGTCCCTCATTATTACGCCACGCCAGGTGCATCAGTCTAGCCACATAGGTCCGAGAATATGAATAGAGCCAGAACAAAGGAATGTGTGGTAAGGCACTGGGGGACGATCGCTTGATCTGGAAAGAATAGACCAAGATAGTGAGAATGAGAACGACCGGTATGTGACAGATTGACTGTCCAGAAGTTTCACCGGCTAGTGTTGCCATCACTCGTAGACTTCCGTCACAGGATTATTCTCCCAGCAAAGGACACAAGGAGCTAGAAAAGGTTATTGAGTCCGCTGTAGCGCGGTACAGGTGTTTCGTACAAAGATTCACGCGAGGGTCGGTGTATCTCCAAAGAGACTGGTTCGCCAAGTGGACAGCGCGACATGATGGCTTTTTGTCCTTGCTAGATTTAACGGAAAGACACGGGAGAAGCGTTGGTATTCGCGCTCTCAAGGGTAAAGAATCAATTCGAGAACGCATTCGGTGCCGATAGCAGGAGAGGACGCTGGGCTAAGCCTTCTAGAATCAAACCTCAACTGTTTGATGGTTTCTCGAGAGAACGGAGATGGAGCAATTGATAAAGGTGATCTTCCTTGATAAGTAATTGCTCGCACCAGCTTGAGACAAAAGGGAAGGCTGATGTACGCCGGCGAAAAGCCCCTGCACAAGGATGGGCGGACTTCAACGTTTTGTCCGACGATTTCTGGATGCCGGGTTCAGGAGAGAAGAAAGGCTCCACCTGGCAGGCGAAGGCTGAGCGGCAATATTCAGCGTTCAATATCCATCGGGATGCGGACCCCTACCCACGCAAGAGACATTGTTTTACGTCTTTAGCTCCACCTATTATCAAGAGGCTTGCTTGAGAACAGATGCGGGAGAGAGGGAAGATACTTGTGAGATAAAAAGCTTGCATTTGGAAATCCTGAGTTGGGTATCCACGCTGCATCAGATTTTCAGTGAACGAGGAAATGGATATAACAAATGATTCCTCTCAAAGGGGCTCCCTGCTGACCTTATATTGCCTGCCAATAATTCTACTTGATCAAGGGCAGTGTCATGTAGAGGAGCGTTGTACCGACTTTGAGCCATGAAATAAGCTCGACATGGGATACATGACTCCGTCGAACAGGATCACGTTGTATGCAATACGAATATCGTCCGTTTCATATACTCTTTCCAGTATCACGACGGTCGTATCACAAGAGATTCAATAGGCCTGAATATGGGAGAAAAGTCAGATCTCCACGAATACATACTGTGGCCAATACCTCCAGCCCGACTGTGCCAGTCTTCAGATCTTCAGAAACCAATATGACTGCCAGAAGACCTAACCACCTCAATCGTCGGTATTGGTAGGAAGATCATCCAGCAGTGTAGCGAAGCATTGGAAGACGTATAAGGCAGCCTGGAGAAACTGGAATGAAGGACTTCGTTGTCTGAGAAATATGATGCATCGAGTGAATGAGAAAGTCTCAATCATCGTAAGTAGCGTATAATAACCGTGGGAATATATGCTTATAATGACTGAACTCTGTAACCGGGCTGCAGCGTTGAATCTCATAGTACTTGCTCATCACCCACCACTACCAGAATGCTTTCAAAGTGTTACTATGTAATTGAGAGTATCCGAGTCCTACGTGTGAACGAGGCGGCGGTATGTACATGTACACTTCACCTGTCCTATACGTTGTGATGTCACATATCCTGTGGTAGTACATTGCTGACAGGCCGGTTTATTCAGGTTTCTACAGTATATGGGCCCCAACGTTGACCACCCCTCGTAACCCACTGATAAAATCACCACGCTTAACCAGCATAGCAACCTTCGAAACAATGATGTGAGTTTATGTACACCGTTGCGTGGGCCTGTAAAGAATGAGGCCGTAGCTTTGCTTTGGACCATATTGCTCGCTCCACTTCCCCAGCACATTCCGGTTTCCACGCTTTGCCCTCTTCTCATTGTATATAATCTCTTTAGAACCTTTCCCGGGAGCCAGCCAGTCAAATGTCTCGCTCGTCTCTATCGCAACTCTGTGAAGCTTACTGTAAATGTCTTTGTCTAGGCAGTCCGAGGTGAGTGATCATGTCCTGCATCATATTAACGTACTATTTAAGTCAGCTTTTCTTTTGTACTTGATATAGCATTACTTTGTAAGTTCAGCGACACCTAGATCCTCCGTTCCCTACGAAAACCTGAAGGAACGTAAGCAACACCCCTACTCGGACAGAGGCTGTGTCAGATACCTTTCAGATGACCTGTATATGAATTAACACCAGTCCATTGCTCTCCACTAATATTTAATTCTTTAAGTCATCAATACGGTCTTCCGGGGAGCTTCCCACACGACCCCACACCTTCTGAGACAAACAAATGAGGCGATGGTGCTCATCCCCAAGACTGCAACAGATCAAAGGTGTCTTATGATCAGGAGCTCGAGTCTGTAACAGGCAGATGCAACGACGTTCGTCTTTGTGACATTGATGTACAAACTCAACCCGAATCAACGAACCTTCTATTTGGTGACGAATCGGAAGACAAGGGCGAGACCGAAAATCCCTCTGTCCATTCAGACGAAGATACGCCTCTAAACAAAGATTATCTGGGCCTTCTCCATGAGGGATGTCTGTCTGTCGAAGATTGGGATTCCTCCAGTACTACCAGCGATTCATCTCTGGACCGCTCAGCTCCAGGATCAGTGGATATTACCTACGCAACATCTCCTCAATCAACTCTCCGGACTGGGACGGAGAAATTCGGTACCAGTCGACAAACTTCCACGCCTGACCATCAGGTTTCCGCTTACCTGAATGTCCTCAATCGAATTCGGGAAACCTCTAAAGTCTACATGCAGAAATTAGAGGAGAGACAACTTGCCATACGGGACAATTCTGTCCAATTATCAAACACGCCTGGAGCTGTTGACATTTCGGCCCCACAATTTAGGCGAATTGCACTATTGCCAGCTCGACGTTCCTCGATTCCCCCTGCTCAGCGTGCCAAAGTGGTTCAACCTATTCCGACGCCGATAATCATCGGGTTTCTATGTTGCTGGTATCCCACTCATGGTTATTACGACGTCGCTCGTATTCGACATATGAGGGCGGGCCGCATTCGTGAAACCTGGGCTCCACTGTTGTGATAATCCGTTAGTGTTATATGTTCCAATCTGTGAGGCATCGTTAACCGTTAACCATGTCTTCGCATGTAGCACTTGGGTCGCAAGTAGTACATTAATGTAGCTCAGGTTTGACCTCATAGTGCGATGCAAATTGTACGAATATCTATCACAAATGTTTTGTTTTGATATGAAAGCCACGGCAACTTGTAAAGTATAGCGAAAGAATTAGAAGAGATAGGGCTCATGCCATTGGATGATCCTAAGTTTCCCCATTTTCTCCATCAACGGAAACATTGCCTTCACAGTTTGCTGAAAGGCGTCTTTCATGAAACGAGGCTCTTCAAAAATGATTAGACAAAATTCCTCGAGGTCCTCAAACTTCTTGTTTGCCAGATGATTTTCGGTGTCCACGAGCTCGTCGAACTCTTCCTCGTCATATCCGGTGATGATAGAGATTTTCCACAAATGAGGTGCATTGAGCTGAGATAGCAAGAGGTGGATGATCTCGACCTGATCAGTGTCAAGATAGTCAAAATCCGCCGGGAAACATATAGTCCTCAGATTGGACAGCTTAGAGATGTCCAACCCAGACGTGATAACTGACATTCGTGAAAGACTTGATGAGCGAGGAACTGTAAAATGAGTTTAACGACGCACATGCTTCAAGAATGCCAGCAACAGATATTTTCAAATGTTGCAATGAAAAACATGGTCCGAGATCGGCAATGAACTTGGCTATGGATGCGACGTTGGTATTTCCACCGATGTCCAATGATTTGAGACTTCGGGAAAGGGTCTCGGGGCGGAGCCAGTCACGTACGGTCAGAAAGTCGAAGGGTGGGTATTGTGTTAGTGAGTTATCAAATCTGAACGACTTCAGTTGCGGGTATGAATGAAAAATCGGATATTCCACCGGTGGGTTCGCGTCATTTGACTCGTCTGAGGACATAGATGAGTACACTGTATCGTCAATTGCAGAAGTTGATGAAGTACGTGATGCTTCACGTCGGTGTGAGATAGATGTCGGTTCAGAGTTGTCTGGGAGTTCGACGGGACCAGCAGCCGCCGAACCAAGGCTGCCAGCAGGAGAGACGTCGCGTAGAACTGTCAGATTTAGCGTAGTAAAGTTGGCTTCAACAGCGGCGAACAAGTCCAATTTTGGGAATGCACGAATAAGGGCGGATAGGCTGTTTGCGCTCATTTCGCAACGCAGCAGATGCAGCTGCTCAACTGATTTTAGTTTCGTTAAGTGTGAAATCCAGTGAGCAAATGCTTCGTGGTCCTCGCGCCGCGGACTCAGATGTGCGAAGCCAAAAATCTCAAGAGCCTTGATACCTGATAGCGAAGTTGCGAGAACAGAAGGGAACTGATATATCCATCGATCTGGATCTTCTTCTACGCCTTCCAGAGGTGTTCGATATTCAGCCTGCATGGGTAAGGACGTCCCTTCCAGGCGAACTCTGCGTATCCACCCTGCAATCATTGCTTCGCCACGAATGAGCTCAGCTAGGTCATAGAGACGACTTGGATGCCGTATGAATATGAAGCGAAAGATATGTGGGCGAGCAGCTGCGCGCCATCTTGAACAAGTCAGAGCACAAGCATGCAGGGTGGGTACAAGGGTGCGTGGGTTACAGGGATCATCTTCTTTTCCCCACAAATTCTCTAGGATGAGATGATGAAGTTCCACCGGTAGTAAGAGTGGTTTGCTGGAAGACAGAGGATGAATCTGTTTTCCTGAACATAGACTAGATGATTGTTTTTACCCTTCAAAGCGTCTGAGGCCTTTGTCTGCTCCAAACGGATACGTTTCGCAGGCCTAGGCTCATTCTCCAAACCAATCCTGTTAGTTCTGGTAAATCCATATTATAGAAACCAAAATTAGAACAACAGAACGTACGAAGGCTCGTCGTCATCAAAATTCCGTTTGGGTGCACCAACAACGTTCAAGCTATATCTGTAGTAGCAGTCAATAGGCTGTGATACAACGACCAACATGAACACATACTCGGATATTTCTCGACCAACCTCCAAATCTTTCAGGGTGCCCAATCCGGTGGGTTTATTTTCATGTATTAATGGAGCAGTTCTACTGAACAGACCGATGTGCCAATGTTCATAGGAGACTAGGGGATAAGGTGCCACATACGTGTATTCGAACGATCCGAGATCATCTACAGGTGGTTTCAGAGGTCTTATTGATGTGATTGAGGAAGGCCCGGGGCTTTTTATTGATCAGTCTTTCATCTTCGGTTCAATAGATGTATAGCCTACGATGTCTCGGCTACGTCATTGAAAGGCCGAAATGTGTATGGGATGTCCCCGGTTTCCAAACGAATTCGTTTCGTAAGTCTCGAGCCGCTGTGAATGGATCTGACAAAGAAGAGTTCAACACGATTTCGTCCGAATTTCTCCATGTGATGAGAACGCACGACGTTCCGTCGGACTGAAGATCGTCCAGTGGTCTCTTCGGAAGTCTGATAGGCGTGGTTGGGTCAGACCTGAATTGCATAGTGAATACATCGTGTCATATTATCCAATGTTCCTGTGACATACGAATTTCTGTCTTGATCATGTTGAGGCAACGAAGGACCTGAGCCATCCGGGTCGTCTCTATGAATTAACTTGGCAAGTCTATTATCCCGTTCTGCATGTCTAATAGTGGTAGCCAAAATCATTGATTCTTGAATACAGTGCTATACAGTGCGTTATAACGCACGATATCCTGCCCGAGCTTGTTCCTTGTGAACATAGTGTCAAGGTGCTAGTTGCGACTGTTGGACACGCTCTAATTCGGTTATTCAATACAATGATTGCGCCTCATTCAGTTCTGTCATATTGTAACGTACGGGTATCTCCCCAACTCGAGATCATTTCCTGAGTAAGGCATAGTGAATACAGATACCTTCTGCCGTTTCGAGATGATGTGGACAAAGAACGATGCTATTGTCTACGGACGGCCCGGCGCGATCAGGATTCCTTATCTAATCTTATCATATATAGTTAAGTTGGTCCTAACTACGTTGAACGTTGAAATAATGACAATTCAACTAGCTGACGGTCTCATCAAGGCATTTTGAATGTGAGTGCCTCTTCTCAAGAGAAATAAGAAACTGATACGAACAATTCTTTGCATCGTTTCAGCGCCACAAGGATGGGACGGGATGCCAGTGCTCACCTAGAAAAGGAACCTGGCATAACACGTTGTTTGCGGTGGTTGGCCTTATGGTGTTACTGTATTGTCTTCCAAACGAGGAACACAAAAGCACGTTGCAATTCTCTTCTATTATTTCCCCATTCGTTACCTGGAAATCGTATCATGACCGTTGACCAGGTTTTATTGTATTTTTGATCTGCACGTTGCGAGGCACAGAGAATATAAAATGACAGCACCTTGCCATCTTACGCCCCACAGTTTCTATCCTGCTTGTTCTGATCTACCCAGTTTTTCGAAGCTTTAATCAGTCATGTGCCTCCAGGGATCAGTACCAGTCGCAGTAAGCCCTTTCCTACTACGAATGAGTAAGAAATTGTATTTATGCTACCCACAGCATGATCGTCGCGGTATACCCCCTTCGCGGAGGTGTCCAGTTTGTCCAGAGGATAACGTGGGCAATCTCAGGGAACATCTGTGGCTGCATAAACAAGCAAATGGCGCAGTATTTACCAAGCAAGAAAGGTTTGTCCATTCCCCTACATGTAGTCCTTTCATACTCATCAGATACCACAGAGCCCACAAATGTCCATGGCCAAATTGTCGTTTCTGGCTTACCCGTTGTTCCAATATGAAGTCACATTTCAAGACGCAGTAAGTCTTCTCCGAAATGGTTCAGCCCGTTCTGAAAGTCTATCTCTTAGTACAGGCGAAAAAGATACTCTATGCCCTCATCTGGTAGATTGGCGTCCAGGAAGACGAACCCCATGCGACTGGCGTGTTGGTACCAAAGGGTCAATCTTAAAGCACAGAAAAATCTGCTCATGGCTATGAACCTTTCGAGCACGATTCCGTGGATCCATGGGTTGAGGACCCGACAGGAGCCCTCGAGCTTGCAGAACTCAAGGGAGGTACTGTCCATTCAAAACTACGGCAAAAAATTCAAGTCCATCGCGAGTCTGGATCTACAGTCAAGGGGAAATCTCGGGACGCATCTTCCAGCCTGACCTATGCTCCTACGTTTGATGAGTCTGATAGATCGTCGGAAACTGTCATCGGATTAATTCCTAACACCCAGGCGACAATCTCCACTTGCGACTGTGAAGATACCATCGAAGTCAAGTCAGAGGGTTGGAAAACAATTACCGAGCCTTCTGCACATGAGACAGATAATGATGAAATTGCCAGGCTGCTTCCTAACGTGGGTCGAGAACTACCTATCGATGGTCCTTACGCTGATCCAACGCCGGGCTGGGCGGAGTGTCAGATTGTCAAAAACGGTCATCCTCATATACCCTCTACTGTAATTCCGAATTCATATCATAGCCACCCCACCGCGACTATGCAACCACTTTATGACCGCCCCAGTTGCATCCGTGGCCTGGTGGATTGCCGTCCAGGAAGGAAACGTTCCTGTGACTGGAATGGTACCCATTGTGATACACTGACGGACCACAGGACGAACACTCATGGAGATCACACATTTCGGCACGATTCTGTGGGTCCGTGGGCCAACGATGAAACAGCAAACCTGGAACATACCAAGCTCCGAGTCAAAGGTGGAGGTCTCCAACGGAACGAAGTCAAGCCTCCCAGGTTCACCACCGTAGAAGGCGACAATACTCACGATGCAACTGGGTTAGAATCTATGAACACTCATGACTCTGGTCTCAAAGCTTCCACCTCTAATGAGGTCAATGACCTACGACGGCAGAATGATCCCTGCGCTCGAACGTCACCTCTTGGTAACTTCGTTGAGAGTCGTAGTATCCGAAGGCCAGAAGTAGGCCGATCCAGGAGTAATTCATATCGTGTACAGCTGCCGCCTATACGAGAAATCCTAGGGCAGGAACTCCAAGCTGGTGTTCCTCCAACCGTAACACGCCCCGTCTACCCTGACGTCTTTCGCCCTCAATCAATGTAACACTGACAGTGACCCAACGTTTCACTAGAATGGCTTTCTGACCAAGACGTCCTACTGAAAGTCTCCAATCGAAATTGACAGACTGCACGGATCCCGCTTGTGTCCGCCTTTTGTCCGTCATGCTCAATTTATATGCCACCTTCATGTCTTTATGATACTATGCTCTGGTGAAATCTATGTCATGCCCTCGAAGTGCCCGTCAATTGAAGTTTCGGTGATACAGTATCCATTATTTCGAGGCATCTTTCCAATTAGCGTACAGCAGCTCGGCCAAAAAATAATCGAAACGAACGTGGAGAGGCTCTCAAAGTAGTACCGGAACATATCTATATTCATACAGTAAGTTACATAGCATACATGTTACTGACATAAAGTGATACTTATACATGATTGAGGAAAGAACCTACTCAAGCGAAGAGTTGAGGCCGTCACCAGCTTAATCTTCCCCCTCCTGACACTAAAGTCGATCTCATCAGGCAAAAGTCAAGGATACTCAGCAAAAAGATATACTTACCCAGCTGTCAGGGTATTTCGTTACTTTCAATATGTTACGTTCCGCAGCGAGCGGGAAGACGGCTCGCGCCCTCTGCACGACTTTCGAGGGGGTCAGAGCGCCGACGTAGATCAACAGAAATTCCTCGAGATGCTTGAATTTAGGGGTCGCGAGACAGGCGTCCAGTTCGACATAAGTTTCGGGTCTAAATTGCCTATAGTATCGAAATGAAGTGTGAAGCGCAATTCTGCGTAGCCGGGGTGCGTTGAGTTGGCCGAGGATATGTAAGATCGTAGGAACCCGGTTGTCATCAAGCGCCCTAATACGAATGTGAAGTGTTGTCAAGTTCGACAACTGAGAGAGGTCCAACCCTGCGTGAATGGCTGACCGGATTAAGAAGCGTATTAGAAAGACAAGATCAAACGACACCGGAAGGTTGACGACGATACGTACCGTCTTGGACATGGTACCTGACGCAGAGCTCCAAGCGCTCCAGCGCGGGCTCAGCACCCAACCCAGTGAGAAAGTGTGCTAGAGAGTTCAGATCTCCAATCGCATCTAACCTCTTCAAACTCTGTGCGATTTCCTCCGGCTTCACCCAGTTCGAAAGATCACTGAATTTGAACATCGACCAGGCTTTTTCAGGTCTGTGTATCTGTAGTGTGCGAAGCTTAGGGTTAGGATGTAAGGAGGGAAAGACTACGCCATCCTGAGGTGGTGGTAGAGGGTGAGGGTTCAGTAGTATCGGGCCCATGGGAACGTTATGGACGATAGGGATTGCACCTTGTATTCCGGGTAGTGGATGATGGAAGAATTGCTGTGGAGGATTGAAGGGGTGAGGGTGCAGATGCGGATGCGGATGAGGGTTTACATTAACATTCGCATGGTGAACAGGGTGTGGAGGAACTGGGGCAGGGTTGGGCGGAAGAGGCCCGTTATTCGGTGCATTCTGGTTACCAAAAAAATTTGGAACAAGCTGAAAGATTTGCTGTATGATCTGCTGCAATGGAAAGTGGAAACTATCCGGGCCCAAGACGCTGGTTCCATGAAAGTGCACGTCGACAAGATTTGGAAAGGCGCAAGCGAGAGCCGTCAGGCTGCGCTCGTCGAATTGACAGTTGGTCAAGGTTAATTTCCTAACCCCCGTCAACTCTTCCAACTCTGATAACCAATTGATGAAGCATTCTTTTTCAGGAAGTTCGGTAAGCACATGTTTCCAGCTATGGAACTCAATCGAGGTCAGCTTTGGCAGACGGGGTGTGAACACTGCAGGAAAACAATGTTGCCAGAATGGTGGTGCTGGGTCGTGTGGTGGAGCTCCTGTCATTCGCGAGTCGTATCCATACAGACGAACCTCGCGGATCCAGTAAGCAACGGTACAATCTGCAGAAATCGCCTCGACAAGAGCGTTGATCGAAGGTTGTCCTCGCAGAATAATGTTTCGAAATATGTGTGGACGAGCTGTAGAATGCCACGAGCGGCAAGTCAAGGCGCAAGCACGCAGAGCCTTTGGTGTCCTCCATAGATATCCGAATACGATGTCGACCAGTTCCACGGGAAGAGGAAAAGCCGTGTCTGTGGACAAGGAATCGTTGGCGAAATGAGCAGGAAGTGGAAGAAAAGGAAATGAAGGATAAGTCACTGACCAGCATGATATGCTTGTACCCGCTCTATGACATTCCCTGCTTTGCGGCTTCTCCTAGAACGCTTGGCGTGGGACATCGTCTGCAACTCTCCTGTCTTGATCGAGAAGACGATTAAGTACACTATGGATGTTTTCACAGCTGTTTGTATGGAAGATGACTGCACAAAGTTGACTCACATTGACCCAGACGTCCTACTTCACTTCAAGCTTGGGTGATGAGGGTGTGGGACAGGTTGCTAGTAGGCGCCGGGAAGCACCGAAGCAGTTCTTCGCATTGGACACCTCCCAAATGCAGCCATGTCTTTGCCATAGGGGCAAAAGTCATATTAGATTAATCTAGACAAACCTATTGACGGATCCCTTCCCTATCTGAAGTGTCAATCGCGAAAATCTCCACAACATGATGTTATGGTGAATCGATCCAATGCGCCTTCTATCATCCGGAGAGGTACGTAGAACGCAACGTGTTTGGAGCCACCAAAGGACTATACGATACCAAAGAACCTATCCCTAAATAAATTAGCGGGTATAGAGTAATACTACTCAGCGAAACAGTGTCTGAAAGGTGCGACGCCGTGAAGAAAAGGTACCAATCAGATCCAAATTAGACAGCTCGAAGGCCCCAACCAAGCAGCTCAAAAATGACGGGCATCACACCTATAGCGATGATTCCGATACCGCAGTAGACAAAGACCTTCGTCAAGACTGTTAAAACGTGATATGAGTATCCAAGATGATGAGGTGAGCCATAGAGCCATACCATCGGCATCGTAATGCTTCACAACCTCCATCTGCTTCCCACCCATCTCCTCTAATCCCAGCCCAAGCCCGTCGGCGCGTTTCTGGAAATTCTTCTCATTCTTTCCACCTTTACCGCCTCTTAACTTGATATCCCGGGCCGCACCGTTATCCTGACTTCTTCTATGTCCCGTACTCGCACTATTGACGCCATCTGCTTCAAGCTCGACCATACCTGGCAAATCGATGACAGAGGGAATTGGGTGAAGACCTTTCTCCGGAGCAACGTTGGTGTAGTCTGTAGCTGGGGTATAGAATCGACGGTGTGGGAGGGTGAAAAGATGCGAAAGGAAACGGAAAATTGGTGGGAGGATACGGTGAAGGAGGAACTTGGCAAAAATACGCCAAGCAAAGATGGTTAGAACACCTATGAATATTGCCTTCAGCCTAAGCTCTGCATGATCTCTTGGAAAGACATACCAACGACCATCTTAGCAGCTGCAATGCTCCACCAGAGAGACATTTCTGACCATGTCCCACCAACTGGCTTCCCGGGCATCACTCGAAGGAAGAAACGTTCGTCCAGATGGTTCTTCGCCATGAACCATATCGTGAGGAATTGACCGAGCACCACTGACATGAATGCAATTGCGTCTTCAAAGCATGGACAGTCATCCACTGGTTGTGGGTGACGGTGGACGAGTAACAGACAAAGTGGAATAGTGATAGCAGGTACTGAAGAACATTTCAATGAGTCATCATCTTACAATTGACTTGAGGAAAGCAATGCCTACCGATGTAACTTGGTTGCCTCAGCCAATCACCGATTACGTCTCCGCACCAAAGATGAAGAGCCCAAATGAATGTACCTAGCAGGACACCCACGGCGCAGTCCGTGAGTGAATGCATTGCGGTGTACACTCGACCATATACAATTGAGAAAGTGTAGAACACGAGGACCGAAGACGCCGCGTAAAATGTGGTCTTGGATATCATCATTTCCGGTTCAAGAACACCATCAACACTAGAAAAAGAAGGCGTGCTATACAGTCGATAGATCTGGGTGAAGAGATACAGAGCAATGGACATGCTGTTGGTCGAGTGGGTCGACGGGAATCCATATTCGAGGTGGTGTGTTCCAATGGCTAAGATGCGTTACCTTTAGGACTTCAGAGTCCACGAATACAATATTTCATACTCACTGAGCCTGGTAACCGGAGGAGCGAATGGCCTCGGCGAGCATATGAGGTCCTTAATGAATGACGAGAGATATACTCCGAATGCAAGCACAATAAGCAAACTACAGCGAATGGCGAGGATCTTCAGTGAACGTCGGAACAAAACGGTCAGAGAACGTACCCGTGTCCGACCTCTTGGTATCCGAAGAAGTAGAACGCTGGTAGAACCGTCATAAAGAACGTATGTGTTCCGAGAGACGAGGTATAAACGAAATAAGCGTCTAGGAACGGTGTGCGGACATACTCCTAGAACAATGCAAAGTCATCGTCAGTCATAGGGCACTCGAGCGGAAGCACAGTATCTGTGTTTTCTACGGGACATTAGCTGCTAGAATTGATTTTTCCACCCTCGCCCACGACAGAAGAGCAGTACTACTTGTCAGGGTTCATTTCCAGCCACAACAGCAGCGTCGCTATGTATACGGCGTTTCTCGGATAACTCACCTGCATCGTAGCAATAAGTCTCGATTCCCATTCCACACTCTTTACCAACTTCCTCCGAACCGCAGCCCTCCACCAAGAAAGTGCTCGGTCATAGACTTCATCAGACAACCTTCCGACTCCTCCCAGAACTAGATTCATGTCTTCACCCTCCATTTCGTCCCGGTCTCTTTTCTCAGACAGATAGTCCACGTCCACAGACCCTGGTGTAGTTGCGCGCGATTCATATGTGTAAAAAGATGACCGATCGTCCGTCGCAGAGCTCTCCTTAGAGTGCCCGTTCGAAAACCAATCTGTGCTGCGTAGGTCGAAAGGCCGACTCGGTGTGGGACTCTTGGGCGTGGTGTCGTCCATTTCGAGAGTCCGTAGCTAGTGTTGTTATAGGATACTTTATCTGTTCGTCAGAATTAGATGGAAGGGAACATAGGAGGTGGTCGGGAACCCTTGGGTGGCGGTGAGAGCAAGAGCCAAGAATATCCGCCGACCGTATCACCGTCTACCACCCCACTGAATGTTTTCCAAAACGCCTTGTTGAAACTAGCCTTACGATCCAGACTCCACGCTTGGTGCTGAAGCTTAGATGTAGATGCAACGACCAAATTATTGCATTGATAAACTACACTATGGCTCGAAATATACATTATATGTTAAGGTTTAGGCCTTAGGGCTTACTTGGTGTAGTATACACTAGAAGCCGATGAATTCAACGGTCATTGAGAGGAAACACTGGAAGATGAAAATTTATATCAGCAATGTGAATAAGACAAACACAAGAGAAAATGAGAAGAGCTCAGAGAACATAAAGTGTCCTTCATGTATAATCGGACATATGCTTGTTTATAAATAGATGTAACATCATAGGAAAAGTGAACCAAGCAGCAAACGAAATCAAAAGCTCACCTTTACCTGACCAGGATACACATAGCGACAGCGGCTATGAACAGCAACCTTCGCAGCGATAGAAGCAACACAACGGAAGCTTTAGGACTCCGGAGGTGGTGGACGTTAGCAATGGGTCCGTCCGAGAGGCTCCCGCTAGATCTCGTCACAAGGTGGCAGCCGGAAGCCAACGAACGAATACCCTTGCCAAACAGGAAGTAGGCAATAGGAAATCTGTGAAAAGCAGGTGTTAGCAAGAAATTATCAAAAGAAACAACAGAGAAGAGCTCCGTTGGTGATGCATGTTGAGTACGGCTCATGTTGTGGTCGCCAACTCGAATTGTTATGGAAAACTATCTTCATTGCAGAAGTAACAGACGATGACACTCACAATTCTACACCATCTGGGATACGGAAGAGGAGCGAGGAGAAAGATACGACAACGACGAGCAAGCGACGAACGAAAATATCGACCTTGAGCGCTAGATCTCATACCAAGGATCAGCCACAGCGGAGTTTATCGGAGTTCATCAACTGTACAGTCCGCGTATAAAGCGCACGCTCATCAGTTGTCAAGGAGTGTCTTGCTCCTTTCAATCGGTTGTCTCTGCTACTGTACCTTGCTATTGTTGTTGTGAGTCCTAGTGTCTTTTTCTTCGAGCAGTGACCATTGCTCGTTATGTGATGAACTGTTAATTCAGTTCTGCTTCCGAACGAGAGAGAAATCTCCTTGTGGATACCCTTTATACCAAAAACTTAAATCTGATCTTCTTTGTTGGATTCATATTTTGCTACGAACAACTGTACTCATCTGCTTTTTGACTAGGTTTTACATCAACGCTTTTGGACTTAGGGTAGTGCCGTGAGGTGGGTTTTGGTCACATCATGTTGCTGGTTGATAGGACGAAAACAAGTTCATCCATTCTTTGAACGTCTCGTCAAGCGTCTTGCATCACCTACCTCTCTTTTGGGAGGCCGCGTCTGCTCGCATCGTCTTGATGCTTGCTGGCCTGGTTGGTGCGAGAAGTTGCTCGACGAGAAACAAGAAAATACCGGCTTCTCTGATCTTTCAACTTTCAGCCTTTGTTGAATATAGCTGACTAGTCTCGTCTCTTTAGATGTATGTATACCATTGTTCTAGTGTATCGTATGAATGTGATGTTGTTCCCTGTCCTTCGATGCAAGATGAATGAAATATGGTCAAATTCTATCATCCGTCCACGATCGGCTTGTATGCGATAACCAACCTCCACCTCTCGTCGGTACCTCCACCGTCCACGAAGTCTCTCCGTAGTTTTTGATTCACAGTCATTGTTTTCTGTGCCCTCTGGACTTTGCGAAACAATTCAACAACTCCAGACTCAGGTAGTAGTTCGGCTTCGGAGGAAGCGCGATCGCAGTGAGCACGGCTAGATTTATTGCGACATCTGCAGCGGTTCTGGATGTCGGCTGGGATGGCATTGGTTGGTCCAGTACAGGTGATGTCACCAAGGGCAAGAACGACGTCCATTGATCGGAGATGAAAGTATTCCTGCCAATGGAGTGTCTAGCCATTAGCTCGCACTGAGGTACGACTTATTCCGAGCTCATACCTGATTCCAACGGTCGATGACTTCGCCAATAGGCGACGACCGCTTGCATTTCATCTGCTTGCCAAGACCCATGGTCATAAGCTGACCTGTAATTGCTGAACACATCCCGGCGCATTAGCTCGTATAATTCTGTACGGTCAAAGCGTACACACGTAGGCGTTCCATAACTCCAGCCAGACCACTAACCACCAGATCTTTAGTCGTACTCTTGCCGGCCTCCCGTAATTCCATCAAGAAACGTTCCCAATCTTCCTGCTTCACGGCGTGCGTGGTGAAGGGATGTGGCTGGGTATCGCATGACGGTTGGTTACCAGGAAACCCGTTGTCGAGGTTTTGGGCATTTGAGAGTAGAGTGAGGGGTTCGAAGGGCTGGCTCCTGTCGGTGGAGTTGCCAGGAACGTTGCTCTGCCTGATATCTTTCGAAGACCTGTGAGGCATCGAATCAGGAGTCGGGCAAGATGTGGAGAGTAGACTCGTCTGGCTCTCGCTAGAGGTCGATTGTGCAGACATTGCAGACCGCGTGTCTCTCTTCAGAGTTGACATTGCAATGGAGGAATGTGTTACGGGTAACAGTGTTTGGTGCTGACCCGCAATGGGTCGACCCATATAGCTGGAATACGTTCCATGCTGGGAAGGCCCTTCACGTCCGCCAGAGTCCTCAACCTCCAGCACGGACGCTTGGATGTATTCGGATTGAATTCTGGGAGAGACCATTGGAGGCCCTGGTTGTTGGCTGTAATGGACAACCGGAAAGCCTCCGCCTTGTGCTACGCTTTCATCGTATGACGGCGGAGGGGGGAGATCAGCGACGTCGTCATTTTGATACGCCTGAGGCAACAGACTGCTGCCAGCCGTGCTGGAAGACTGGGCACCCAAAGCATCAACCAACGGTCCCCGTTGCGATTTTTCGAAAGGGAGGGCATCATCAAGGATCATTTTCCCAAAGGTCGTGGTGCATCTTCGAACAGCCAGAACTTATACCTAACTGTTGTATGCACAGCCGACAGATATATCAGCCGTTTGGAATCACCGCAGTAACTACTTTCAATCTGGCTAATATTGCAGTGTGCTCCGCCTCAACTCTCGGTCCCAGGAACATGATCAAAGTTGGCGCTTTGCCTGTCAGAGTGATATTCGTGCTGCTCCCAGCTGATCAATGATCTTTATATGAATGCGACGCCGCAGTTCGTCGGAAATCTCTGACACAGAAAACGCAAACAGGTCTGCATTCGAGGCAGAGTCCTTGCAGGCAGGACGACATGTTCACACCACATTGACGAATCAGTCCAAACGAGATGTAAACTTTGCATGGTGAGTTGACCAGTTATCGTCCGGAAACGTAAGCATCCACGAGGAATCATGAGAAATCTGCAGACAGGTGGACTTGGTGCCAAAACGTCTCCCTCCCTGAGCCGTAGATGTCTGTATGAGTGGCAGAGAGTCTCTTACGTGCAGTGTGAGAGCATGGAGGTTCTTTGTATTGTCCTCAATGCAAGACTGGGAGGTGGAGATGACAAGTTAGTGAGTCCTTAAGCATCTATGTATACGGCTCTCGATAGGTGGGGTTTATCGAGAAATATGAAGTTATCTATAGGGCTTATGTACAGGTACCATACCATTTGCAACGCGATCGATGGTGAATTCGAATTTAGCTGTGGTTACTGTTGCTAGATAACATATAGAGGTCCAACTGCACAATGGTGTGTAATCGCCTCTCGTGCTAAAATCCATGCTGCCGTTGATTAATTGATTTATGGTTTCAGAGTTACTGCAGATTACTGCCTTGCTTACCGAGATCGCGACAGATTCAACCTGATTGAACACACAGACTCACGCGGACGATCGCACCGCTTATACAATAGCTTTGAGATTTATCAGACAATGAGCCAAGACTAGCTTGCCCAAGCCTGGTACGCTGGCTTGGCCTAACAACAAGTCGCTGCCTGTGTAATCATCCTGACGCAGTGATTTCGTTTTGACGCGTCTGGGTGACGCGATCGAGGCAAGATCGATTACCCGTGACGTGACATTACGCGTTTTGGTCACGCAAGCAGTGAGCAATGGCTCGAAGTCTCCAGATATCGAATTAATATCCATCTCCCAATCTAGCCCGTACTACCAGCCCGATAAGTATATAAGTGCAGCATGCTACCAACACCCAACCTCACTAGCACTCACAATGACCATCCACATTCACGGTTTCGCTGCATCCACCTGCACCCGTCGCGTCGCTGTCGTCGTAAAGGAACTCGGTGTCCCTTATGTCGTCCACTCAGTTAACCTCGCAACGGGCGAGCAAAAAGCACCCTCCTTCCTCGAGCATCAACCCTTCGGTCAAGTCCCCTACATCGTAGACGATGCTAACGACAACTTCGAGTTGTTCGAGAGTCGTGCCATTGCTCGTTACCTGGTACATCAATACGATGCCAATTCGGGACTCATCCCGAAGGATATCAAGAAGTTGGCAAAGTTCGAGCAGGCGGCGAGTATCGAGACAGCAGACTTTGATCCATATGCAAGCAAGATCGGATGGGAAAAGGTGTTCAAACAGTAAGTATAACATTGTGTCCTTTCAAGTTCTTGAATGCTAACATGTTCACAGATTCAGGGGTCTTACCGCCGACGAAGCCGTCGTAAAGCAGAACCTTGAGATTCTGACTGCAAAACTGGATGCCTATGATCGTATCTTGAGCAAGTCCAAATATCTCGGCGGCGACGTATGTAGTTCTTCTTTTTGATTCATTATACCATTGCATACTAAGCACAATTCTGTTTGGATAGGAATTAACCCTCGCTGATCTCTTTCACCTTCCTTACGGCGACATCCTCTCCAACGGAGGGTTTGCCGATCTTTTTGATAATGAGAGTAAGCGCCCCAACGTCACAAGGTATGTCTCTTTGGCCGTATCTGTTTGTATAGTATGATTCTGACTGGTTGATTCTCATAGATGGTGGAGAGAGATCGCTTCTCGTCCCGCTTGGCAAGCCGTCAAGAACGGCGTGTAACTTACAAGCTATCGTCATAAGAAATGGAATCTTGGAGGAGGACCTTGCATGTTTGGGATTGTAATGCCATGTATGTCATGTATACCATTACAAACATTGAATCTTGCAGTGTACGGTTGCCCTGAGGCCTTTAGGAACGAAACTTGGAATGAAGGCATCTCGAAATAGCAGGCTTCTGTGTGTCACCACCTTTATGATACCTTCGCAAATGCTTCCAGACACTGGGTTGAGAGGTAAGAATAGTGCATCGCACCATGATATTATTTCATTATTCCACTAGGTATGCAGTCGGGATGTAGAAGGTTTGCTATTCAAGAACAGCGGGCTTATACGCAACCACCAACCTCCACTTGTCATCGTCCAAGCGTCCGGGGTCTCTCCACACCTCTCGTCGATCGTGCCACTGCTTTTTCAGCTGTTGTTTAAGTCCCCTACGAGCACTCCGACGTTCTCGTCGTCTGTTCTCACTTCGCACATCTTCCCGGAAGGATCGACGCGAAGTTCGATATTCGTGAAACACCACACGATCTCTAATACTGGGCGCCTTTTCTTCTTCTGAGATGTAACCGTCGGGGCTGTCAGGACCATGCTTGCTATCCATCGTTCTGTCCGCTGGGACGGCGTTGAGCGGTCCAGTGCAACATACGTTCCCATGGGCAAGGACGACTTCCATCATGCGAGGGTGAAAGAATTCCTGTTAAAATAGTCAGAGACCACGACGATTCTCCGTCCACCGTGTGGACATACCTGATTCCACCGATTGATGACGTAGCCGATGGGTGACGACCTTTTGCAATAGATTTGTGCATCAAGACCTGGGATGACTGCATGCCTCATCTCATTAGCTTCAAGATCGCATATGCGAGTGCACCTGGCAAACGTACGTAGATGTCCCATAGTATCAACGATACCATTAATGACTTTATCCCCAGTTGTATCCTCGCTAACGTCTTGTATCTCCTGGAGAAAATGCTCCCAGTTCTCTTTTGTCACGTCATGCACAGTAAAGGGATGAGGATTTGTGGTGGACGGTGGCTTCTTATTTGGAAAGCCGCCCTCCAGGCTGCTGGTATGCGAGATAACAGCAAAAGCTTCAAAGCATTCATTGTACCTCCTCAAGTTGTCTGTAGGAATTGCCTGTCTGAGGACCTTCGAATTCGTCAAATCCATCAAGTCATGTGTGGGAAATAGTGATGATGACAGGTTCGTCTGCATGCTAGCTGAGCCCCATTGCATCTCACCGCCTATAGACGGTCGTACCAGGTCCAGGGAATGTGTACCTGGTAATGACGTTTGGCTTGTACCGTCATTGCCTTCGACCACATAGGGTCCCGAGTATCCTAGTGGTGTAACGTATTCTTCGGGGTTTATGACACGTAGTCTTCCTGACTCGACATAACTCCGGTGAAGATTATAGGACACGGTGGACACCCCAGGTTGTGTTTTCACGAACACTGGAAATTTTCCACGATATCCTTCGCTTGCATTGTACGCAGGCGGAGGCGGACGAGCTGCAGTGTCGACAGATGCTTCAAGATGATATTGATGTTCATCAGTAGTGTTATTGGAGACCATACTCATAGAGGTGTGTTGCGGAATTGTTGAAACTTTCAGTCTGCGCAAGTAGTATTCGTACTTATATACATCCCCTTGTATGCAAACAGCCACACAGTCTCTTCTACTTGCAGGAACTCCCGGTCCCCGTTCATACTGCCTCCCAAGCATAGTATGAGCGGCAAGCTACTGCGACTTCCGACTTCTGTCACTATACATTCAGCGCTTTCCGTCTCATGACCACAGCCTTCACTTCGTACTGTTCATTTTTGCAGTGACCACAATTGATACGTAGATATCACAGCGTCAATTTGAAGTTTCCTAGAAACTCTCAGATAATATGCCAGCAAGTTGTCCGTCCCACACTGGCAGTGTGTGATTATTGTATATCGTGCGCTAAGTACAGCTTTCAAAAGCAAGATAAAAGCGCTGAAGTCCCGCAGTCCAAACCTATCCCCATAATGTAGCCTCCCATAGGCAGTGTACACGAAGCCTGTTCAAACGTTCAACGTTCGTACCCGTACCTCAGATATCTCTGTTCGACCTGTGATGTATTGAGTGTTTTTTTTTTCGGGCTGGAGGATTGGCTTCTTCATGGCTCTTGCTTATGATTCCACATAATTGTTTCACAGTCTTCGTACATAATTATTACACAATCAGTCGCCGGGGAGTTTTCTCTAATTCAAGTCCACCGTTCCTCATCGACGGGTTTGTATCCGATCACTAACCTCCACTTCTCATCGGAAGCACTTGTAATGCCCCTCTTTGCGTCACGTCGCGCATGCTTTCGTTCCCTTTTGAGTTCCCTCCTTCGTTCCTTGCGCTCCTTACGACCAGCACGCAACCCCATACCAAATGCCTCTCTGCGTTCCGACATCATGCCGAGACGCACACCTCGTACGCTCTCATCTGATGAGTAGGAGTCGTCGGAGTCATCGTGAGCACGACTACCGCTATGGTTGGATCGGCGATGGTGTTGAAGATGATGCATATCCGCTGGGACTGCGTTGGGTGGCCCTGTGTGGCAGGTGCGGCCTTGGGCGAGCACAACGTCGATCAGACGAGGATGAAAATACCCCTGTTGATCGGAACAGTGGTCAGGATTTTGTTCAGAACTGGAGAGGACCAAGCGTAGGTACCTGGTTCCATCTACTGATGATTTGTCCAACAGGCGACGATCTCTTATCTCGAGCCTGTGTATCGAGACCCATAGACATCAGTCTTCCAGCAATCGCTAAAAATTCCTCAAATCGTCAATTCTATTACAGAGAAGGAAATTCAAGAGATTTCACGTACGTAGTCGCCCCACCACGTCAATGAGCCCTTTTGCAATTTGGTCGCCTGTTGACCCCCTTTCCACCTCCTGAATCTCTGTAAGGAATTGTATCCAATCCTCTTGCTTCACCTCATGTGTCGTGAACGGGTGCGGATGGTCATTGGAAGGCGGTTTGTCTCCTGGGAATCCATTTTGAAGGTCGCTTGTGTGCGAGATGAGTGCAAACGGTTGGAAGAACTGATTCTTAGTTGGGCGGCCACTTGCATTGACCGAGGAGGGATGCGTCGAATACGACGGGTGAGACCAGCCTGATGCAGAGTGTGGTGCGAACGCAACGCTCGACGGGAGAAACGTTTGACCTGTTCCTGGATGCTGTAGAGCTCCCTGTTGCTGGACGCCGACGGATGAACCACCCACATATCCTGGATATACTGCCTGCTGTATATATCCGCCTGAACGATGGGGACCTCCGTAGTTCATGACTTCTGATGCGGGATATTGAGGTCCAGCGTGAAAGCCAGGGTTTCGTTGGGCATGCTGGAAGTTCGGGAGATCTTTAGCGTGCGTTTCGTGTGCATCATATGCAGGCGGAGGACGGAAACTCGCAACATCTTGATTCTCAAATGTCCAGGATAATTGACTGTTACTGGTGGTAGAAGATGGTCCACCTGGTGGGCGAGCAAGAGGTTCATCTGGATGTTGTTGTTTTTCAGGAGGACCTTGAGTATCGTTGAGGATCATGGTCGCGGAGGTATGTAGGGTGAAAAGCAATGTTGATTATCTCCAAGTGCCACTTATTTATATATCGTTGAACACAGCCAGCTGCGCAATTCAGATTGCTCTCTTGACTGCAACGCGTCTTCCATTTCCCCATGCATAAGTGCTGTGCTAAAATACGCCTCATCGTAAGTACTCGTATGTTAAAATCAATGCTCTGCCTTACGGAAGTTGAATATCTCCTTGATCTTTTGATGAGCCTGTCGTGGTTGCAAAGCATCCTTGACAGGAACTCGACGATGTCTGCAGCTCATGTGTTCTACAATCACTCACGTTTGGCCGCTCGCCTTTAATGACAGTCTAGCGTCTGTCGCGTCTAAAAATAACTTGGTGTATTATTGGAAACCTTGAGATTTGAGAGCCTAAAGGCGGTGATACATACGCAGCGATGTACCGATGTGCCATGCAAGGGATTTCTGATACCTCTTACCAATCTCCATCCGGCGGAGCTGTTTATGAGTACTTCAGACGAAGGGAAGTTTGATGTGAGCGAATATGAACTGATACGTACTCACCCAGCATGTCGCTTGACTAAGATTTACGGAGTTAGACCATTTCTTTTCAGCCAGGCAAAATTTGCCAGATGCTGTTGTATTCACAAGAGGTATGACCACTGTAATAAGCGTCATGGTGCGAAGAGCAACTCCGTGCCGAAATGTAAAGGACTAACCTTCGCATGGAGGGAACAACCATGAATGGGGCCATGTACGCTTTAGCATAAGCCTCTGATTCCTCGTTCATCTTTGCAAGCTCATGCTCGTTGAAAACTCCGAGCTTCCCCGGCGCGAGATGCTCGCTTCAATCACTATTTCTTAGACTCTCGGATCCCCGGCGAAGCTGGAATGTACGGCAAGCCTACCCCTTGAAGTTATCGAGAGGCGGTTAAATATCCTTCATATTTGAGGAATACGAGTGCCAAACATTTTAGAGCGGAAGACCCTTGTTCATCTTTTCCTAATTAATGCACCATAATTCAATGCATAAATACCCACTAGATCATGGATATATCACAATTTGCTTGTAATCAGGCAGAGATCAAAGACGCAAGAGAAGGAGGGTTTTTAGATAACTTCAAGTTTCTTCAATGCGAAATGCAGCCACCGATCGATGCTTGCCACGATGCCACGATGACGTTACGTGTCGCGTGGGAATGTGATGATACGCGTAGACAGTAGACTAAGACACCCCGAAGACACCCGTCCGCTGCGTGTAATAATATTGTTATGCAGTCTCACTTTGACTCAAACTTTGAGTCTGTTCACTACACCTTTCACTACCCAAATCTGTGTTTTCTTCTACTCACTTTTCACCCTATTTGCATAACTGATTGAAATCTTTTGGACTATTGTTTTATCGCCGTGTAGCGAAAATGAGCATTATAATTCGTGAAAGCGACGATTCGGGCCGAAACCATGCTACCTATATCCAAACCACTGAGGTGCATGCTCAAAAATAGCACGAGTCATAGGGTACCAGAATCTGATACAGCAGTGCAGACGATCCGACAGCAGCAAGAAACATCGCGATTGAGCAGCAACTGGGTCGAGTTTTTTCGAGGCATTTTTCTACCTGCGGGGTATCCTGCAACCGTCTCGCCAGGTGCGTTCTCTTGGTGCCCGTATATTCTCACTACTACATAGCGATGCTGCTTTTTATTATCCCTAGACTATTTACAGTTCGTGCTCACCTAAATTCGTTTTTGGCTTGAAAGTTGAATCACTTGACTTAGATGTCAAATCTACTACGGAGTCCAAGCTTTCTGTAGCTCTCTTGCAGGTCTAATTGCATCTAGAGCTGTGCTCGAAGGGCACGGTATTGGAAAAGCAGACGCTTCTGCAACGGATGCAATGCTCCTGACTTTGCTCCAAGACGCTTTCAGTCGCCTAACTAGTCAGCTATTACTATCTCTTGTGTCGAACGCCCAGTTGACATATTCCTTTTCCCCTCCACTCTATCCCAGCAATTCTGGGAGCGTACTATCTCGGCACGTCACTCTACCCCGAAGCGAAGACCTACCGCCTTGTAGCAGACATAGCCAACGACGTGGCTATCGTCCTCGACCTCCTTTCCCCACAGCTCTCAACATACTCACTTTCATTGCATTACCCTTTCATCACTTCTCAATCAAGTTCAGCATTACGTACCGCTGCGTTGTGTTCCAGCGGCGGTTTTCGCGCACTTTGCGGTGTTGCTGCTGGTGGGTCTAGAGCTGCACTGACGCTCCATTTTGCTCAAGACGGAAGTATACCTGGTGACGTTGGCGACTTGAGTGCCAAAGATGCGAGCAAGGAGACCGTACTTGCCCTTATCGGGATGTTGGTAAGAAGCATGCTTGTGTGTTCGAGCTTATGGAGGCTGAGGGCGATCTTCGTTTGCAGGTTGGTTCTCTTATTATTCCGCACCTCCATACGGCGCAAGCGACCTATACGGTCGTGTGCATACTGTTGATCGGTCATCTTTTGGCAAACTATATCGCTGTTCGAGTCGTCATTATGAAGGCCTTGAATCGACAGCGAGCAGCCATCCTCTGGACAGCATATCGCGAGACCACAGAAGGTAATTTCATCTCGAAATGCTCAACGTTCATCTGGAAAGCACTCATTGCTACAATACTAGATGAGAAAGGACCCTGTCGACGAGTACTTATGCCGAAAGAAGTCGCCAAACGGGAGTACTTATTTGGTCGCGAGAATGCTCTCTTGAACATCCACTCACACACCGACGAGATCGCAGGGTACGCCACAATTGGGTCATCCTTCTCCGATCTCTTTCCGTCTTCTCCACTCAGAGGAGACGCAACCTGGACCTCAAAGCTACTCGATGTATTCGCAGACGAGAAGTTCATTGTCTGGTTCGACCTTCGACCCTCTATATTCTCCATCTTCCCCCTTTCTCTAGTAGTTCGAGCCTCACCTAAACCACGATTCCACATCCTACTGAAGGAAGGTCACACCTCAACTGATCATCTCAAAGCTTGGGCATTTACTTGTGATCTTGCCTCGTTCTCTGGCATTGGTTACCCTTGGGAGAGCCCAGTAGGGCTCGTTAAAGAGATTGAATATGTGAAGGTTGCTTTTGACGAGGCCTATGAAGGGTTCGTAGATGACGTGAAAAGAGCCGGGTGGAATGTTGATGTACAGGGTTTAGTTTCTGGTTCTCCGAGGGTGATCTCGGTGGAGAAGATTGAGCATGGAGCAAAGGGGTATGAAGACAAGAAGACAATCTAAGTTATTATGGACCTTATGGTACTCACTTGCTTATCGAAGCTCACATCTAGATTGATACATGTAAAATAGGCTCTTGCTTTAGAGACGGACGGAGGCGAAGGATGTTGGTGGCAGAAGTGGAGGGTATATTGTTGTACAGATACTAGACGCATAGATTTTACTTCTCGTAACCTCAACGCGGAACCTGCATGTTCTCACTTCGATAGGGGAGGCGTGCTTCCGAACAAAACCGCGGCCAGAGCAGGAGGGTACCTATCACCTTGCCCGGCACTGGCTATGTTCACAAGACCCCGAATCTGCTGGACTTCATCCGTCGTGAGCTTCACCTTGAGCGCTCCGAGGTTCTCCTTGAGATTCTGTGCGACTGAATGGTTAGTCATTTGTTTATGCTAGTCGAGAAATCACGTACCTCGATCTTGGAAGTTCCTGGAATCGGAATCACGTCTTCTCCTTGTGCGAGAACCCAGGCTAAGGCGATTTGGCCAGCCGTTGCACCGTGGCGTTCTCCGATAGCCTTCAAGCCATCGACGATTTTGAGGACGTTCGGGAAGTTATCCGCGGAATAGCGAGGGACGAGTCGACGGAAGTCATCTTCCTCAAAGTCATCCGGGGAACGCTATACAACCGTCATGGTCAGCATATTGCTCAACAAACTCGGGAAAGAGCTCCACGAGATGGAGAGTAATACACGTACGTATCGACCAGTTAGCATACCCCGGCCCAAAGGCGAGTAGGCAATGATCGTGATTCCAAGTTCACGAGCCGCCTTAAGGAGACCAACCTTCTCGTCCTCGATATCGAGAGTGAAGGGGGAATACTCCACTTGAAGGGCGGAAATGGGATGAACGGCATGAGCCCGACGAAGTGTCTCTATGGAACATTCAGAGAGGCCGAGGTATTTCACTTTGCCTGCTCTAAAGTTCCATGATGATGTTAGCGAAAACTCCCTGGAATAGGGGAGATCAAAGTGTACATACTTCACGAGCTCAGCCATCGCTCCAACAGTGAGCTACATGAGAATAGTTTGTCAGTCAGCCGTTCATGCGGTCGAAGTAATCTGACCCTACCTCGATAGGGACTTCAGGGTCCGGACGATGCAAATAGTACAAATCCACATGGTCTGTACCCAGCCTGGAAAGAGACCTCTGGAAGGCTTTAGGCACGTATTCGGGGTCACCGCAGACGGTGCGGCCGGGGATGTTAGAGTCCAAGCCGAACTTAGTGGCGAGGAAGATATCGTTTCGTTTTCCGGTGCGCTTGAACCTACATAATTGCCAATGTAGTTTGAAGGCAGATAGTAAGGTGACTTGTGGATACATACCATTTACCTATGAGGTCCTCGCTATCTCCGTAACGGTCAGCGGTGTCCCAGAACGTACAACCACTTGCATAGACAGCGTCCAAGACCTGCGTACATTCAGCTTCAGATTTATAAGTCTCATATGAGAGGATTTGAGCGTACCTTGAACCGTTCCTCGTCCGAGGGAACGGCACCATAGAATGCAGAGATGCCCATAGCTCCCCAGCCAATAGCCGTTACGGGAGTATCGCGGATCTTGCGAAGTGGAAGAGACATGTTATTACTTGGGTTAAGTTATCTGGCAGGTGAGTTTAGGTACTACTACGACTGTTAGTACTAGTTGGCTTGAGCTTTGGAGACGTCCCAAGTCAGTTTTTATACAAAATTCAAAGCCGTTCAAAGCCGTTGTCCGAAGCCTCCTCGAAGGGGCATAGGATGTTGTAATCATTCAGATGATCACCGAGTGGGTCTTGTCTGGCCCAAACGGGATGCATGAATTGACAACTTTGGCTTCGAAAGCGGCAATGTGTTGTTGGACTATTAATTCAGGCTGACCCACATTCTCCCCCGGGGCTGATCTGACCATGGTATGGGGTATAGAAGCTTGACACAAACGTGCTGTGAAATCATACTCTCTGCTAGTACCGGGGCGGCAATAGAGTAAGGCATTATACACAACGAGTCGACACGAACACACCGGGCAAGTAACAGAGAAGTCGATCAAGTCAGAAGTTGCTCCGGGTATCCCACGCGCGCGGCATTCCCGGGAATGTGTACTGAAACGCTCTTCGAAAGGCGCGAAGAAGATAACAAGTGCAACATTCAGAAGATCGCTAAAATGCTAAGTGCGAGGTACCAATTCTCAATTTGAAGCTCGGCCGAAGACTTTCCGTTGACTTGACCCTCAAACCACCTTTTTGACTTCTTGCTTCACTTTTGCAACGGAGGAGTATCGGCAAACAGGATAGCGGCCAACGCAGGGTCGTATCGAGACCCTTGCGCTGCGTGCACCTTGTCCACCAGCCCTCTGATCTCCTCGACCTCATCTGGCGAAAGCTTCACATGTAACGCGCCCAAATTCTCTTTCAGATTCTACGCCACATGTTCCAATCATTATGGTATCCACTCTCCAAAACACAGGCAACACTCACCTTAACTTTGGTAGTGCCGGCAATAGGAATAACGTCTTCTCCCTGTGCGAGAACCCATGCAAGGGAGACCTGAGCTGCCGTAGCGTTGTGTCGATCTCCTACGGCTTTGAGGCCATCAACGAGCTTGAGGATGTTGGGGAAATTCTCCTTGGAGTAGCGCGGCACCGTGCGTCTAAAATCGTTTTCTTCGAAGTCATCGGGTGAGTGCTACATTGTGTGTGTCATTTCATGTGTTTTATAGAATGTGAATAACAACTCACGAATCGACCGGTAAGCAAGCCTCTCCCCAAAGGCGAATATGCAATAATAGTGATACCTAATTCACGCGCCGTCTTCATCAGACCGACCTTAGGATTTTCAATGTCCAACGTGAACGGCGAATACTCCACTTGGAGAGCGGCAATAGGATGGACTGCGTGTGCACGGCGAAGGGTGTTGGAAGAGCATTCTGAAAGACCGAGATACTTCACTTTGCCCGCTCTGAGGAAAGGTTTGATTTGGTTAGGCGCATGTAAAATGAATAGGACGTACTTAACGAGCTGTGCCATCGCACCGACGGTCAACTGCATGAGCAGGACATCACTTCACAGAATGAGCGAAGGTTATACAATCCACGGACCTCAATAGGGACTTGAGGATCAGGTCGATGCAAGTAGTACAAGTCGACGTGGTCAACGCCAAGTCTCGAGATAGATTTGGCGAAAGCTTGGTGAACATATTCGGGTTCACCGCATACGACCCCCTTTCCGGAAGCGAGGCCGAACTTTGTAGCGAGGAAGATATCATCGCGCTTGCCGGAGCGTTTGAACCTATCGATATGTGAGTACCGCCAGTCAGGATGGTTGGTTGGAGTAAGACAGGGGTACCATGTGGTACTGACCATCTACCAATCAGTTCTTCGCTGTCACCATAACCATCTGCGGTATCCCAGAATATACAGCCGGACTCATAGAGAGCATCCAGGAACTACGCGAAGACATTAGAATGTCAGTATGTTTGGATTCGAAAAGACCAAACAGACGCTTACCTTCAGACGCTCCTCGTCAGGAGGAGGGGTACCATAGAATGCTGCGATACCCATGGCCCCATATCCAATGGCGGTCACCGGCGTGTCACGAATCTTACGAGTGGGGAGAGGCATTCTGTGTGAGAGGTTGTGCAGCTATAGATTGAAAAAAGGGCAAGGAGATAATGATTCGCAGAACGCACCTAACTTTATACGTTCAGCTTTAGGGGCAGCTTGGATGTAAGTACTGATATCCAAGTTGGACTCGTCGGTAACCTGGCAGGTAGACTGGAGCAGCCAAGCGTATGATATCATCGATGTATAATGCGACAATTTTGCATCCCCTTCCAACACCGTGAATCGCACCTGCAGTTGCATCTACTAGTATGACGCTTCTTAACACGTACATCGTAATGGCATTCATCTTTAGGCTGTCTCGTCTGGGGCCGTCTCGGGACCCGTAGGGCAGCATGCATGGGTCCACATCTGCGCATTGGTTGGTAATGGTTTGAGCGGCAGGCTACCCTTGGGAGCCCTAGCAATTCTGACCATGCTTCGAGCGTGGTGATCGTCTTGAGTCGGACGACCCACATACGTCATCGCATCTCTACGTCTGACCGTCACTGGTACTGTGCCTTCAAACCCATCTCAAGAGTTTTCATCTTACGTCCCAAGTGTTGACGGCTGCGCCCCTGTCTAACATGAATCAGAATAAATCGTCATGATATAGGCTACTTGCCCATTTGCATCAAACCGTGGTGTGAAACCAGCACATAGTCACGTATCAAGTGCTGTCAGCTCGTAGATATAGAAAGCTGGGCTTTGAAGCTCGCAAATGAATTTAATGTTTTGGATTATCTGGAGCAATGGACGTTTACATGACAGTTCCACGTGGGCGCTATACGATATCATCCCATCATTCTCCTTCTCCGACTAGACGAGCGACGATTGCATGTCTTCAAATTCATGATCAATGCCGGAGATGTAAGCTTCGCACTTCGAAGTTCGCGTTCGCTTTGCAGCAGTCACGACCTCATTTACCCGCTCAGTACTAGGTTCGCTGAGTAATTACTGTGACATGCAGGAAAGCGCAGGCCCTGTGAATGTCTTGTGGTAGCGTGCTTTATCAGCAAGTTACCAATAGTATGTCGTTTCAGATATGACGGAATCTCTCGCAATCGCATCCACGATTACCTTGCGTAGACAGTAATGGAAGCTTCCGTTCAAGGCGTGTATAAAAAGGGGCGGATGGTGTGGTCGTAGCTCCCACACATCCAGTACTTCTCCTCTCTCCCAAACGACGTATAAACATGCCTGAGCGAATCACCCTCTACACCGCTAAGGTACGTCATGCTTTGGCGCATCCCATGTGGCTTGTGTACTTACTTCATGACATTAGATTTGCCCTTATGCTCACCGAGTATGTTCTTTATACAGATATCAGTCAAGAATTTGACTTAGTTGTTCACATGTTCAGGTCGAGATCGCACTGGCTGAGGCCAAAGCCGAGTTTAAGCGTTTTGAGATCGACCTGAAGAACAAGCCTGAGTGGTACGCTCCCAAAGTCAACCCTGCTAGCAAGGTTTGCAACGCTGCAGCTCTATTCGACTTTGCCATCTCTAATGTTGTCTATGCTTAGGTCCCCGCAATAGCCTATGGTGGCCCAGATGTCCCACCCGACCAGCCTTCCCCTGAATCTATCAAGATCGCTGAATCACTTGTGCTAATTGAATTTGTGGCCGACCTCTTCCCTTCTGCCTCCCTTCTACCTTCTGACCCCGTCTTGCGCGCCAAGGCACGTTTCTTCTACGACGCGGTCGGGACCAAGTACAATCCTGCGTACTTTTCCTACGTCATCCGAGGTGACGGGTCTCAAGAGGGTTTGTTCAAAGGCATTGAAGAGCTGCAAGCGTTGTTGCCGGAGAAGGGGTACGCTGTAGGGGATTGGAGTATTGCAGATGCTGCGTGGACGCCGTTTATCGCCAGATTGCTTGCGGCACTTGAACTTGATGTCGGGGCTTACGCCGTCGGAGAAGGACCTGAGACTTTGAAGACATTGCTAAGCGATGCGAGGTTCGCGAGGTTCCAGCAGTACTGGAAAGACGTGAGCTCGAGGCCTAGCTTCACATCCACCTTCGACAAGGTACGGCATCATGCTTGTTTAGTCGTTCTGACATGCACTGATCGTCTTGGGTTTAGGAATACATCAAGAGCGCGTTTACGAAGCGTTTCGCTGATATCAAGCGTGCGCAGAAATGATTCGCAGTGAAGTTATGACGAATACCGCTTTGTATTTGTATGAAATATGTGAATCATGATGCATTGATGTTCTGGGCCTGGAATGCCGCTTGCAAAGATCATGTTCTGAACATCAGTGAAGTGATATGGGTTAGGGTCAACCGATCGCCATCAAACCACCCGATCGCACCGATTAATTTCAGGCGACATCTAGAGGCTATCATCTTCAAGTTGAGCTTCACCCCAAGACTCGAGCTTCGACATGCGTATATAACTAGTACCTTCTACTCATTCTGTTCAACGCCGCCTATTTTTTCCGACATCCCTACCGACATGCACCCGCCTGCCGCTGCCAATATTTGACGTGGCAGTGATATCAACAGTCCGGGCGCGGAGCGAATTACAGATGACCAGGCTTAACAGGAATCTATTTGACCTTACCTGAGGCGTCAGACTCTACGCCGCAGGTTCTCTCGCCGACTTCATAGGAGACATCATTCGAAAACCCGACACGCCCGAACTGAAGATGGTACTTGGCACATCTACTGCGACTCCTCACCGGAACTCATAAAAGGTACACTGTTGGGAGCTTTTGCCTTCTTTGCAGCGTCTTTACATCTTTGGCAGAAGCAGATCTTGCAAGTTTGACGTGTGGCCAATAAACGTGCGACCCGGAAAGTTGCGATCTTTACGGCAACATATACATAGTTTACTACCAGATGATAGACCGTACAACGCCCTGGTATGTACACCATGCGGTGCTGAGCGAGTTCTGATGCGCTGACTCCCTCAGGCTTAGGAAAGCTCAGCGACAAGGAGAATGTAAGGAAGCTCTGTACAAAAAAAGCCCTTTTTTGAAAACTTCCAGAGACAGAGTTCCGGGCTACGAACGTTACGTGCTGCGGTGCATGACCCTTGATGTGATAAGCTCTCTCCGACAATTATCGTACACGGCCCTATCACTTATTCGGCAGAGGTTTGTCCTCAGTTTCCCGATGGCGCTTTGGTAACCGTCGATCCATCTGTCCATTCTGCTGTCCGTCTCGGCCATCGAGGAAGTCCTTCATTATATTATCGTCGAAGTATATCTAGGTGCAGGTCCGTATCCATACAGCTCCTAACAGATCCATCCTTTCAGCAAAGCATGTACAAATGGAACCCCATTCGCGAGGCTAATGAGCGAGGTGAGTGAGTTGTGTCGTTTGCACTTGAGCGTTTGAGATTTTATATACTGCATGGACTTGCTTTATTCATGTGAGCCTCTTCCTAGATGCGTATTCGAAATTGGTGCATGTTACAGCAGGACTGTACTTGTGAGCTCGAGCCCCCACACCTTGCGTCTTATTCACGCTCCTCACTCTTTAATAGTTGGGAGTTTTTCACTTCTCTTGACTTCGATTGGACTTTTCTCACTGGCAAGCGACGCCTGAAATGGCCCACGGTATGTTCTTTATGCTTATATTACGTTTCCAGCGGAACTTACCGATGCGCCCTTACAGGTTGTTTATTTTCTCAATCGCTACTGTTTTCTTGCAGCTCTGATATCTTTGTAAGTGATGCATCTGTGTTTCTTCGGGAAATATATGATTGTTTAATATAATCTAGGATGTACGCTCAAGACATTACGACTACTGTGTAGGCCCTCTTGATTTTCTTCTGCTTACAGGTTTCATACTTACAGTTGCTGAATCGCAGCCAAATTGATTGTCGCGTAGTATATGATATCGTTCAGGTTGGTCATCTTTGAGGGGTTATTCTCTCGAATACATACTCATAGCGAATATTCTGAAGGTCACTGGTAATATGTCTGTTGGTTTGTCTAGCATGACTTTTGCTCTGCGCACGCAAGTGTTTATCTGTTCTTTTGGTTGATCAGACTGACATTCTGATGCATATCCGACAATACTATAGTGCCGCCATCTAGTCTTTCAACAGATATATTGTATTCTTCCTAATCATCATGATCTTGGGGCAGTGGGCTCTTATTTTGCAAGGTACATTTACATTGTGTTGTTCTGACCTACACATGCTAAGCACGTGTTATAGTTGGCCAACTCCGGTTCAACTGGGTATCGGGAGAAGGTTGCCTCAATTTACAAACTGGAGACAAAGTACTCGTGGCAACATATGTCTACTCGACCTGCCTGGATACTATTGTTCTGATCCTAACCGTCTTGGGACTCAGGCTAATTTCGCGCATGGCTCAGAAATCGCAGACTGTGACAATGCTGTTCAGAGATGGTCTTATATATTACATAGTCGCGTAAGTAAGCTTGGCCAAGTTGTTTGATTTAAGCGGCTGACGATGAGCGGCACTTCATCTGACTCGCAGCCTGCTGGGAAATGTTCTCGTTGCTGTGTTTGAACTTCTCGATATTGATCCTATCTTCGACGTTATGTTCAACATGCCATCCATTGCAATCATGACTGTCAGTACTATTTGTTGTCACCGTGTTGCTTTATTCCAATAATTCCATGCTATCAAACACCACAATCAGATCGCCGCTACAAGGGCTGTCCGTAACCTCCAAGATGGACTCATGTCCAACGGGATGACCGTGTTCGTACCTTTCAGGATCACATTGTGACACTTTGCTGACCATCTGCCTTGATATATCATACTCAGGACTTCGGGAGTCGAGTTAACAACCGAACTCGAGGTCGTCGAATTGGGCAACCCCAATACTGGCCAATGAAATGGCCGATTTGACCTGTGCCCGTCACATAATGAATGTACAAAGCTGGTCTGACCGACAATCGACCCCTTTGTACCGAGGGCTGACTGCATATGCTCTGAATCGTACTACAAAGATGCTTTGTTCGTGGGGCTGGACTTCGGTGCAAAGCATGCTTTCCCGCAAGGCAATACATTTCCTGACCGTGACCAAATAATCGAATCACCGACCATCGCAGCCCCCCGCAAACTTAGAGCTAACTCGCTAAGTACAAGGTCAATTCCTTCCGACCCGCAAGAATCGGACCTTATTTTCATTTCAAGTCCCCTATCTCTATCGAATGTCAAGGTGTCGTACAGCCTCTAAACTCGATAGTCTTAACTTCTAAGTTGCAGGATGTAATTTGCAAATGATTTGTACCTCCGACCTGATGGCTGCCTTACCAACACGGCACGCAAGAACCCATCCGTAGTTAGTACAGATGCGATGCAGAGTGGTGAACATCTTGGCACCATGTCTTTATTGTCTGTCCCCCAGGCAGGCTTTTGATGGCTGCTTACATTTCTGGGCGCTGATTGGTCAACTCACTCCAGAGTTTAAATCTGTCGTCGGACAGATGCATTGACATGTTGCCAAGACGTCGTCCTGTCTGCATGGACTCTGCCTAGAAGGCAGACACATTGATGTTTGCCGTGCAAGTGCTATTGGTAACTTATCAAAAGAAGTGGAGTTATCTTTCTTCACGCTGCCTTAACTTTGAACGAAGATCAAATGGAGGGCTGTGGGTGATGGTTACGAAAGATCACTCGCACTGTGGGTACGAGAGATACAACCATCGCTCCATCAGCAGGTAAACGCGTCATGATGAATTGTTCCCGGTAAAGAAACCAATAAAACGTCACTAGCATAATCACTTGAGAAAGATTGAGACCTCGAACTCTGGCCAATGGAACGTAATATTGTTGAAAATGTTTATTCATTGCCTAGAACTGTACGGGTTGATTTGTTCTCAAGAGAACACCACGTAACAGTATCTTGACACTTATTTTTACTATACTTCACCTGCCAGAGTTGAGTCCAAAGTTCTGAATGATCCTCGCTGCTGACTTTCCCGTTAGCCGACACACTCTCGCCGGATGAGAAGCTCTGCCTCCTCCGAACGTGGTTCAATTGTGCACTGGAATGGCCTTGGGTGACTGACACAACACCGCAATCGTGAGATCCGGTGAACGTCGGAGTGTGCATAACGCACCTAATGAAACCATCGTATTCAACCCGGGGTTCAATCTCTCTTCCCTGGTCATCCCTTGCCTTCGAGATCTTGAAGACATACAACATCATTACAATGGTGATGAAGACAGTGTTGTCCGCAAAGAACATGCCGGGGCATATCCTAGTAAAGTATGGTTCAAAATTTCCCCCATCAGATACGACAACCTTACCGTCGACCGAAACCAAACCCGATGACGGAAGGATCTTCATGGCGTTCAAGAGTCCTCTGCTTGCCAAATTCGTCTAGAAATCTTTCAGGACGAAATTCCGTCGGATCTGGGAAGATATTCTCATCATGAAGCATTGTCCTGCTGCAATGTTAGACAGCGTTTGTAACATTGCATATCGTGTCGTAGCGCACCAGATGTTCGCCCACACTATGGTACCTTTGGGAAGAACACGTCCTCGGTACACATCATCCTGGGTCAGTCGGTGGGCCAAACCTGAAAATGCACAATGTGTCAAGGAACTTCTGATATTGATGGTGTCAACGGCAGTTTCAATTACCTAGAGGAACACTTGGGTTCCATCTATAGAGCTCCAAGACAATGGCATTCACATAGGGCAGCGAATCGCGATCGAAGAATGCTGGGAGTCGTTCCCAAGATTTTCCAAGGACCGAATCAAGTTCAGCTTGGGCTCGAGCTTGGACCAATGGATGTAGGATCATTGCAAGAATGAAGGAAGTAATAGAGGAAGGCGTCTAGAGAAATGTCAAATCTCAGACCAATTTTGACATATAATCTGAGCAAAGACAGTGTTTACGGTATCTGCTCCCGCTGGAAATGGAAAGAGTGAGAATTTCCGTGGGCCTTGATCTTAAAATGAACATACCTGAATATAAAGAAGCTGCTGCCGCCTTGATTAGTCCTTCATCCTCCTTAGTTGGCGTCCCTTTCTCCTCGAGATAAGCGGACGTAAATGAGGATGTGACGGTGCTGTCCTTCTGCAGAAAAGGGCAGTGTTAGTAACATTGAAACTTTATATATTTTATTTTGGCTCCGCACCATGGACCGCTTGACAAAATCGAATGGGACGTCATAGAGTTTTTTTAGGTCGTGCCGCATTAACTTCGCAACACGCTTGAAACTGGCTCCAGGTGTCCAATCTGGTATGTATTTCAATATAGGGAAATAATCGACGAGAAAAGCGCCAGGTTCGGAGGCTTTCGCGAATCCTTGCATTGCCTTCTCGACAATTTTTACTAATGGGTCTTCGTCTTGATCTTTGATCACCTTATAGCCATAAGCTAATTGAAGAATGACGGCTCCAGTGGACCTGCAACAACAGATCGCGATTGATTAACGGAAATCGCTTCATGCACGTAGGGTAAGCAATACAGAATACTGACTGCCTGGCATGAGTCATGAATTGTGTTGGTTCCTGTAGGATCTTAACAAGCAAACTTGCCGCAGACTGCTCTTGCATACGTAGAATACGAGGATGTTGCGAAGGTCGAGGCCCAATGAACCGATGACAGAGTCTACGAAATTCACGGAAGCGATATTGATGTGGACCTGGAGAGTAGCCTAACCCTTGGTCCCAACCGGCACTATTCAAACAAGTCAAAACATTATTCGTCATGGAAGGAGAGGCTTACAGTTCGCCAGCCATGATAGAGACTGGTCTGTCCGAATATAGGTTGCCTGGATTAAATTAAAGATATGGATGCTACTGGTATGCACAGAGAGATGAGCCCTACCTCGGACATCCAAAAGATCATTGGCTACCTTGGCTGATCCCAGGATAACCGTTGGCTGACCTAAGACATGCAGTCCAACGACATCGCCTGAATTCGGCATACAAGACATCGATGCTCGATCAATGCGACAAGAACAACAGAGATGGATAGAGACTGACCATAAAGACGGATCCACTCGTCGAACTTAAGCCATTGCCGACCGCGGGGTATCTGAAAGATGTTCCCTAGCAAAGGTAGTCCCGAGGGACCTGGAAAGCGTGGTCGTCTGTGGAATACAATGCTGTGGAAGGTGAGGAAGGTCAACACCGTGACAACTGTAAGGATACTAGTATCGATTGTTGACCACGCCATGATCGTCCAGTGCTAAAGTACAAGCAGAGCAGTAGCCTGGAAAATTACTTGAGGCCACTCCATTTATATACGACAGGACTCAGAGACGTCAGTAAACCGATGTGACATTGTGGACCCTTTCTGGTGACATTTGTCCGAAGAATAGGTCATTCGCAGAACACCCGTTGGTGGCTGATGCACATGGTCTGGAAGCGGCCAGGGTTTACTCCGACGAAGCCGACGCTTCCAGCTAGGATTTCCGCCGCTCGCCGTTGCCCTTCGCATTCGCGTTTCTCCATTGTTTTTCTTCTGACGGTCCTGCGGTTTTTGATATTGAGGTTAGACGATCCTCCAACTCTAGGCATCATTTTCGATATTATCCTTCTCTCGCGCTAGCGAATTCACTCCCTTCTCAATCACGTCCATCAACAACAATCTCCTGTGGGTGCGCTGCTAAGGTCATCCTGCTAGGATTTCCCGAGAAATCGGGATGGCTTAGTACTAGAGATGTTTCCAAAAGCCTATCGGATTGGAAGTACAATGAATAGTGCTTCTCGAATGCAGTTTTTAGGAACCTACTCTGAATTGAACCATTTTCAGCCATCAGGATTTGGTTCGAACCAACCGTTTCGTTGAGACTGAAGGCTCTTTCTGCGATTCATAACTTGTTTGCCTTAATTCGGCACGCCATATGTTAACTGTCACATGTCACACTGGAGAAAGCCAATGATTTGAGCGCTCATCCTCAACGTGAAGGAGGGCTTGTACGTACAGTAGCAGCTTGTGTAATGGTACTTGATAGCATAGGAGTGCTTATCTGTGATCGGTAAAGGTGTGCCAAGAAACGGAAAGTTTCTTGATTGGGCTAACCTTCGCCTCCCGGGAAATCGAGAGCACCGGAGGTCCTGAGGCCTGAGAAGGCGACATTTAGGGCGGCCATTCCATGTGAGCACAAACCGCTCAACATCCAGGTATCCCAATTGTCACCGTGCGGTCCAAGACTTAAATTTCAATCTGAACCCCGATGATTCCCTTTTGATTGTCACGTTCGGTAACATATCCTCGATTACTGACTTGATGGTCATTGAAGAGTTTCACACTGTGGGTATTATTCTTGAGTGCAGAAAGAATGTAGGAAACAACAACGTTGAACATCATTCCACGCAATATATACTTGCTTCCCACATTAGACCATCCGGACACATTCCCGCCGGACGAGAAGCTCTGCCTCCGCTGAACGCCGTTCAACTATACACTCGAACGGCCTTGGATGACTGACGCAACACAGCAACCGTGAGATCTAGTGAACTTCAGAATGAGCATAACACACCTAATGAAACCATCGTATTCTATCTGGGGTTCAATTTCTCTTCCTTGGTCATCCCTCGCCTTCGAGATCTTGAAGACATACAGCATCATCACAACGGCGATAAAGATGGAGTTGTCCGCAAAGAACATGCCAGGACATATGCTAGTGAATGGCAACTCAGTTGTTATGCATTATCGTGTTTCACTGCGAAAGACACCAGGCCCTTACCGTCGACCGAATCCAAACCCGATGACGGAAGGATCTTCGTGACGTTCAAGGTGCCTCAGTTTGCCATTGTTGTCCAAGAATCTTTCAGGGCGAAATTCCGTTGGATCTGGGAAGACCTTCTCGTCATGAAGCATTGTCCTACTGCCAATGTCAGACGGCATCTGTAACATCGGACATCGTGTGACATACCAAATGTTCGCCCATACTATGGTACCCTTGGGAACAAGACGTCCTTGGTAAACATCATCCTGAGTCAGTCGATGTGCCAATCCTGACAACACATTAAGAGCCCATTAGCCTAAACGATGCAAGTGGTAGATTCACTTACCCAAGGGAACAGCTGGGTTCCATCTGAGAAGTTCCAGTACAATAGCACTTACATATGGCAATGATTCACGATGGGAGAAGGTTGGGAGTCGTTTCCAGGAATTTCCAAGAACTGAATCGACTTCAGCTTGGGCTCGAGCTTGAACCGATGGATGTAGCGTCATGGCCAGAATAAAAGAAGCAAGAGAGGAAGGCGTCTGAAGAGATGGTCGAATTTAAGAACAATATTGACGTATAACATGAGCGGAAATAGTGCTGACAGTATCTGCTCCTCCTGTGGATGATTAGAGTGAGAATGTCTATACACCAGAATCTAAAAATGAGCAGACCTGAATATAAAGAAGCGGCGGCCGCCTTGATTAGTTCTTCATCCTCCTTAGTAGGTGTGCCTTTCTCCTCGAGATAAGTGGACGTAAATGAGGGTGTAACATTGCCATCCTTCTATAAAAAGAAAAACACAACATGAGAATGGTGTTGAAGCTTTGTTTAGCTTCGTTTTACTCCGCACCATGGACTGCTTGACAAAATTGAATGGTACATTGTAAAGTCTTTCTAAATCATTTCGCATCAGCTGCGCGACACGTTTGAAACCGGCTCCAGGTACCCAGTCCGGAATGTGTTTCAATACAGGGAAGTAATCAACAAGGAAAGCACCAGGTTCGGAGGCTTTCGCGAATCCTTGCATTGCCTTCTCGACAATTTTAACTAATGGGTCTTCGTCCTGATCTTTTGTCACATTATAGCCATAAGCTAGTCGAAGAATGACGGCTCCAGTGGACCTGCAGCGAAGAATCACCATTGATTAAAATAAAAATCCCTTCGTGCAGGTAGAATAAATAGTGGGGTACCTACTGCCTGACATGACTCATGAATTGTGTTGGTTCCTGCATGATCTTCAGAAGCAGATTCGCCGCGGCTTGTTCTTGCATACGTAAGATACGCGGATGTTGGGCAGATCGAGGCCCAATGAACCGGTGGAAAAGTCTACGAAATTCACGGAAGCGATGGCTGTGTGGACCTGGCGAGTAGCCTAACCCTTGGTTCCAACCAACACTATTCATATAGGTCAAGACGTTATTCACAGTGAAGTGAAATACTTACAGTTCGCCGGCCATGACGGCCACTGGTCTATCCGAGTATATATTTCCTGTTTCAAATAACGATATTGACATTACTTGTAGCGTAGATAGCTACAGTGCATAAACCTTACCTCGGGCATCCAGAGTCTCGTTGGCTGCCTGAGCTGATCCCAGGATCAACGTTGGCTGACCTAGAACATGCAATCCCACGACATCGCCTGAGATTCAAACACAATGAAAGAATTATCGATATCCGACCAGTGCGACAAGACAGGTAATCATACCGTAGAGGCGGATCCACTGGTCGAACTTAAGCCATTGCCGATCGTGAGGTATCTGTAAAATATTCCCTATAATGGGCAGGCCTATGGGACCTAGAAAGCATAGTCGTTGGCGGTATAAAATGATGCGGAACGCGAGGAAGGTAAACACCGTGACAACAATGACAACAGTGCCAGCGGTCCACGAGATGATCATCCTGTCTTCAGAGCCCTTGGATCAGTACGATAGAACCTCTCTCTATGACTCTGCTTATGTGGGACGAAATCGGATCCTCAATTGAATAAGACCCGCCAGGGACATTTCAAAAACGGACAATATAGGTCGGTCCGGATTCGGAGTCAGTTCAATGTGTGGCACAGAGAGAGATAGAACGCTTCAGCCTTGAGCGAAGTCATTCGCACAACGTTCATACTCGAACGCCCTGTTGAGAACAATATTGATCCTTAGCAAGACGACGAACTTGAAGTTGAAGGTTGACCGCGACAGCCCTCCGGCATGAAGAAGCGCCGGTAGCACTGTGTAAATACTTCAAGTTGAAGTATTTTGAAAATTGTCGCTTCTGTAGTCGATTGTTTCACTTGATGTCACTCTACATGTACTTCAGATTAATCCAGGGCGCGATGCATCACGAGAATACTAAAGAAAGGTACAAGAACAATATTCGTAGACTGCAACTAGGTATAGGAGAGAACTGAAAAACCCCACACGATCATCCCAAAAAAGTCCCGTAGTCGAGAAGACGCAATAATCCGCACCTGCTCGAGTACATCTGCAACCTAGCTCGCAGACCCAGTACCACCTCCTCCCTTGTTGCCAGTGCTCTGTCCAGCTACATGATCTGCTAGCTGCACGAGTTCAGGATCCTGAATCGGACTCTTCTGATCAAAGGTCTCTCGGATCAAAGACATCGTGCTCTCTAGGCTTCGTCGACGTGTGCTAGGGCTGGTCATCGTTGTACCAAGACTGGCTTGACGACCATGACCGCGTTTGAAGGGGATTGCTGAACCGGACGTCGGGCTCATTGGTGAAGTCGGTGTTGCAGCAACGGGTGATGAAGGCACAGAGCCGCTTGCAATTGCTTTCTCCAGGGCAGCGGCAACACCATTTGCAGGTGCTGAGACGCTTGCGATGCCCTCCGGCGTTGGGGGTTGCGAAAGAATCGCTTTGCCCTCTTCTGATGCGGCATCGTACAAGTCAGGCGGTAAGCGTTCGTTCTCGATATCGGATTTACGGCTGAAGAACCACATGAGCAAGATGACTAGAGTTCAACCGCAAGTAATACGCACGCATCCTCAAAGCCGGTGATAGCATCCTTGATACCTTCTGCGCCCAGCGCAAGGGTACCATATGGCAGGCGAGCAGAGCCAGAGACACTCTTGAGTTCTGATACCTTCTCCGACTCCTCACTGTATTAAAAGGATCGGCAAAAGGACTGGCAATCACAGTAAAAGATACCCACCGTAGCAACGCGAAAACTCTTGACATACGCCCCACAGCCAAGATCTTGTTCTTGATAACTTTTCTACGTTCTTGCGACTCTTCTGAAGGAGTGGTGGGAGAGATGATGGCCTCCTCATCGGAGCTCTCTTCCAGCTCCTCTTTTGTGCAGCAGTTCAACAGTGCCAACAGCATGTCTGTGACTAAAGCATTGTTAACATCTGAACAAAGTCTCTGATAATTCAAACAGTTCCTTACTCTTCTCGCCAACGAATGGCAATGACCATGTGAAAGCGTCCATGAAGTTTGGCAACCAGTAAGGATGAGGCGTTGAGTTAAACTGACGAATGTTCAGAACGTTACTCTCATATTTGAGGATTGCCGCCTTGTTGTTGTATACGTCGAGGTAATTCGGTGCAGAGAAAAGGGTCATGACGGAAGGGAAACCAGTCGTTCGAGTCTTGCGGTACATACGATAACTATGGGGGGCGAATAAGTCATACGGTACGTCGCCTTGAGATGATGACTGACCCAGCATCTTGTGCCTCATGCGCTCGGATGATAGAGAGGAGCTTGTTGCGCTCAAGGAACTGACATGCCGCTTGGTACCTGTCATGAAAGGCCGTCAGAGGCATTGTCGAAAGACGTGAAGATGACGAATGCCTCACGTGAAGAAGAAAGAGCATCCTCGAACATGATTGTGCACGAAGCTTTCTTGTGTCTTTTCCTGTCCAAAGTCTTCCACAGGATCTGACCAGAGAATATCGCACATAAGACCCTGAGTTGGCGGCTCCCGGAATCTGTCCAATTGTCGGATATCGTCCAGGGTATGCAGGTCGGGAGAGAGACCACCATGGATACAAAAGAATTGTTTGTTCATAATCGCAGCAAGGGGCAGCGCGCAGAACGAATCCATGCATGCTTCGTAGATGCGCTCAGAATACTTGCGTTTGCCTGGTCATGGACACATAGCGTCAATGAGGCGTGGAGCAATGGTATACAAAAACGCCTACATTCAAGTTTGAAAGTGAAATAATCGGTCAAGTGACGGCATTCATGGTTACCACGGAGAAGGAAAAGGGTATCGGGGTACCAGATCTTCAAAGTCCAGAGATACAACACGCACTGTTTATGCAGATAAGCCAAAATAGAATAGGCGGCAAGCGAGCAACTCACTTCGATACTAAAGTATCCTCGGTCAACGTAGTCACCCAAGAAAAGATATCGCGTGTTGGCAGGGCTACCACCGATTTCGAAGAGCTTCATAAGGTCGTACTGCAAGTCAAGTCAGGAAAATCCGCCACGTAGCACGCTGCATTGGATTCGCATACATATTGCCCATGAATATCGCCGCAAACTAATAAAACATGCATAAAAAAGAAAATGAGATGACACATTGAGTGAATGCGTACCAGTGACCGGAGCATCGACATGAAGAAGATTAGGTTCGCTACGCAGGATTTCTGTCCCCTTCTCTATGATAAAGAGGGCTTGATCTTCACTCAAACGACCCTCGCGATAGAAATGATTCTTGAGGAAAGCGACGTCCGGCTTAGTAGAATCTTCTTTAGACCAGAATTGCTCGTCTGTCGGAATGGCCATCGCGGGGGATTGTACCTATCAAATCGACCGTTCCCGAAGGCATATTATATTCAAATATTCCATTCGGGCGAAAGTCCCAGTCACTGCGTACCTCCTTGACAACCCTTTCCTGTGTGCTAATCAAGTATCCATTCTCCAGCTGGTGTTGCGTAAAATCAATCTCGGGGATTGGTTGTTTGTTATGGATCTGACCAATCGCCTTCTCTATCTGGGCCTGTGTTCCGCTCATGGTGAAGGCCCTTGGTCCGGTCGTCGTGGTGGACGGCGTAGAGGTGGTGGTGAAAGTGAAAGTGGCGAAGGGCTACCCTGAACTGTTGCTTCACTGCACCGACCACGATCAAACAGCCGCCTTGGCGGGGTTTCAATCCATTGGAGAAACGCGCCATCCAACAATACAGTAATACCCCTACTCGGGTCTCGCGACTACAAAGCGCAGTGTATACAATAAGAATATGGGAAGAAACGGGGATGTATTCTACGAGGATGTACATGTTGCGGACGAGGTCATGAACCAAAGTATAATGGTAAAACATGCTGGGCAACATTGAATCCTAGCAAGGAGATGACATAGCCAGTGAAGAGAGGCAGTAACGGCGCCAATAACAGCTCCGTCCGCACAAGGAACGGAAGGGCTAGGCAATGATGGGTTAGTGCGGGCTACGGTAATTGCAGGAAGGCGATGCATACCATTAAGGCCGAGATATAGGCCGTAAATATACTGGGAGAATCTATGGGGAAGCGTAAGGCCCGGAACACATGTTGGTGAAAATTAACTCACGCTGCCAGATACAGTGTGTTTGATAAGAATAAGCAGATCCAATTGTTCTTCATGATGACAGGCACAAAGAACAGTTGAGCGAGATACAGCGTCAGATATAGAGGGAAGAACGCGTTAGTATGAACATCGAACGCATATGCCCACTCGACAACAGAGTCTTGAGGACTTGAATGTGACGGAGGTGACACTAGTACATTGTTTGCAAAGAGCCTGTTGCAACTGTTAGATGAGTTGTCACGGAGGCTATATATTACGGACCAGAGTATCGTTGCAACGAGAATGCCTACGAGAAGGTAATCTCGTAAAATCATCAGGAATGCCAACTTGATGGCATCAAGAGGGCTGAGCTGATACACAAATGACCACGCTAAGGCGGATACTATGAAGGTATGAGATGCAGGGAAGAGTTAAGGGGTTGAGCTACAAACCAATGAGACATGCTGCAATGAATAAGGGTCAACCATAGATAGTCGCTAGACATGCACACTTACCGCCTAGCAGAATGAGTATCGCGGGGTCATCTCTTGCCCAAGTATTCTTAGTTTCTAAGACGTCATAGGTGATCAAGAAGTATTGACAAACCAAGGAAGAATGAGCATACGCTTGTGGAAGTACACGTTTCGGTATCTGCAATCTTGTCATTGACTGTAAGGCGAATACGAAGTGCAATACACACTTACACTCTTTTGGGAGCAATGCACAGGTACGTGAGCTGCCATGCTGCTAGTTCAAAGTCCTACTTCCATAAGTCATGTGCATCTGCGACATACACTATTATGGCAAAGACCTGCATACCATCTGCGAGAATTTCAGTAACCTCCGGAATATGACAGGTATTCGGCTTGACAGTGATCCTGCACCGCGAGAATCGAAGCCAACATTATACATAGGCGAGGGCGAGACGGTAGGCAACACAGACATTTCCGAGCGTATCCGCAGCCTATGTAGTAAAGAGCGACGAAAAGACAGCTTGAGAATGCGTCAAACGACGAGGAAGAATAATTGGACGTCGTGTAGCACAGTGAGGTAGCACGGTGTGCAAGCGCCGTCGGGGTGTCAACTTTTCAAGCGGCGCGCAGGCGTCGTGCCTCCTACAAATCGCAATGTGCCGAAAACAAGCTCGTTCTTCTCTCCCACTTCTTGCACGAGGTCGACATCGACGACACTACCAAAGACGATGGAGGAGGACACCGAGGTACTGGACTGGGGTAACGAGGACGACGAGCAGCAGGTACAGGGATCCCATGGGTCTCACCATTTACAGAAACGTTCGGACGCTCGAGACGATGCTGAAGATGCTGTCTCGTTGGGTGGCGACGACGACGATCTTCAAGACTTTTCTGCCTACCAGTCAAGACCGGAGCGTGACGTTGAGAAGATTCAGCCTTTGTCGTCTAAGCGAGTGTCGACACCCCAACCGCAGCAGAATTCTCAAAACAAACGCGACCTACAACGCGAACACTCTGGCTCTACTCAAATATCATCACGGCAAGCCGAATCTCCTCAGCTAGGACGCTCTCAATCGCTTTCTATGACTAAACTCACTCATGCGTTACCACCAAAACCGGTTCTGGTTGTGCCCGACGTTGTGCCTTCACCGCCACACGCGAGTACGCTCGCCAGTTCTATGGTACACAGAGACAGAAGATCAAATGGACTTGGAAGGGGCAAGTCCGCTTCCGTAGAAGCAGGTGATCGGTTGCCTGCTGACTGGGAGATTAGACATCCCAGAGGCGGAGGACGTGAGGCCTACTACTACAATGTGAAAACTCATGAGTCCACATGGACTCGTCCTGACGGTACCGGTCGCGTTTCTCCTACGAAGGACAGAGACTCTGTGGCTCGGTCCCCTTTGCGTGGTGTTGATGATGGTACTCGCTCACAGGGACTTGCTAGGGTTGCGCCTCGAAAGGAGCCCAAGCGACAGGTTTCGCCGGCACCTAACCTAGATGGTCTGTCCTATGAAGATCGTCACTATCGTCCGGGGGATTCTTCCAACTCCATGAACACAGGCGACAGGAAAGAGGAGCGCGCTCCTCGTCCTCAACTACCCAGAACTCTCGATGATCGCAGACCGCGCTCTGTTACATCACCTCGCCGCGATGTTCACTTACGCAGAGGTTTGTCTCGCAGCCCGTCTCCCGTCAACGATACGTGGAGAGGCGCAAGAGACGAGTTCAGGTCTAGATCTCCCGTCCCTGACCGTACACGGGGACGACCTCGAAAAGAAGACACACGAAGCCCAAGTCCCGAAATCCGCCCTTCTCGAGGAAGACGTCAGCGCGCGGACATTGAACCGCCCCTTGCTCAAGACCAAGCCATTCGCAGAGGTATCTCTAGAGAGTGGCCGGCTCACAGTACGTTATCAGCCTCCTCCCCTACCCCCACCTCTCGTATCCGGCGTCTGTGCTCCTTCCGAGGTGGAGGACACGTTTGCGGTTGTCTCGAGAAGCCTCGGGAGTTGAGCCACGCTACATCATCCCTTCCTGTTCCGACCTCTTCCCCTACTCGACTCGAGGACGCTCATCATGGATTCCTTTTCTTTTTCTCCCTTATTCTTTCCCTCTTACCCTTGTCCCTTCCGTTCTTAACTTCTCCTCTCTCTCTGTGCTTTCTGTAGGACATAGATCGCCTCCATCACATCCACGCGAGCCATCGCCGGTCAACTTGCGGCGGATAGCCGATTCATGGGAGCCATCTCCCACAACAGCTGCGCCCACCACAAAGCGCAAGAACCGCAATGACAGATCGCCAAGTCCAGTCTCGAAACGGCCTATCTCGCGGCGCGATGAATACACCGCAGATTCTTATGTTTCTGATGCCTACGTTCGTCAAACGGAGGACGCCTATGCACCTCGTCAAGTGGATGATTCCTACGTTCCTCGCTCAACAGGCGATGTCTACGTCCCTGCTGACTTGATTCCACAGAGGCGCGGCAGAGATCAGGATCATGTTATCGAGAATGAGAATGAGGCAAAGAGAAGACGTGTGGATGATCGTCCAACCGAATCGTCACCGTCTGTTCGTCGAATTCCCCTGCCAGACCGGGCAGAACTTGCAACACCAAATTCTTTGCCTCAGCGTCCAAGTTCCACTCAGGAATCTGACCAGCCACGTGCGTTTGATGTTATACAATTGAAGCCCACCATATTCACAGTTCACGTTGGTGTTGTTGCACAGGTCGAAAACGACAGCCACTTCCGCCGCAGAGTACTCGTTTCAAGGAGGCTTCGAAGTTCCCCTCCACACCAGCCATCCCTCCTCCTGCACCGACTTTGCCGCCCGCACCATCGCGCCCACGTGAATCGCAAGATGCAAGGTTCCTTAATGGACCCATAAATGTGTACGCTGACGTGCCATCGGGTCCTCGCAGTAAAACCAAGGGATTGCAAGGTGATCTGATGCCCCGCGTGCCCTCGAAAGCTTATCCTGCGCCACCTATAGTTGCTCCAACACAACAAGAGCCCCGTGCGATGGATGTTGATTATCCTCAGCCTGTCAGGTCGCAACCTCCACGACGTCCTGATGATTCTCTTGCCAGATCCACCTCAAGCACGCATCTGGACCGTCAGGTCAGCGACATGCAATCAGAATCTATTCCAAAAGGTCCTCGAGCAATGACGAAGATGAACATGCCGGGTGGATATGGTCCTCCCGCTTCCTTTCCCCCAGCTCCAACCAGTAAAGGAACGCCGGAGCCTAGCAGGTCTCCTGCGGCGATGCGTGGTCGGCCATTGCAGGGTCGCCCTCCTCCACCCCACATGGCTGCTAACCCAGATGTCTGGCCACATAGGCGGGAGTCAATTCCAACGGGCCCAGGCACACCTGGTGCAGCACCTCAACGTTTTGAGGATACGAGAGACACTGCTCCTGGTGGTCCGTCGAAGAGAAGATTGAGCAGCGCACGAGAATCAATGGCTTCAAAGCCAGCAGTACGTTATTCATACGTTCCCCCACGCTCTGAAACTTACATGTCATCATTTCACCAGGACGTTCGCGAATCAAGTGAACGGCCTCTGCGACGCATCGCGCCCACCCCGTCTGCGCCTGCGATGAAGCTTTCAGGGACGAACAATATACCTATAGGTACAAGAAGGACCGCGCCAGTTACCGAGCAACCTCTCGCAGCACCTCTTCGTCCTGCCGAACGCTTCAGATCCACTCCGGGCCTGCCTCCTCCCGACCGTCTTGAGATTAAGACGAGGTTTCCCGAAACGGTAAGTCTGTGTATGTTCTCTGACGATGCGTAAGTTGTTAACGTGTTTACTAGTGGGTGAACGTATCGCAGGAAAGTTCACCTGGCTATCGATACCGTAACCTGCTTCCGGAATCGGAACGTCGCCGTGTATCAGAATCTTCTCGCGATGCTCCAGAAGTAAGCATCTATGCCTGTGCACTGAATATCAGTTGTAACCTGATGGTGTTGACTTAGAGTTCCAGTCGCATTCCTCAACCCGAGTTCCGAGCAGTCCAACTGAGTGTTAATCCTCTGCGAGAATCCTGGATTGGACAAGGCGATAGACCAACTCGACCGGTATGTTTTTGCTTTGAGCCCGTTTTGTTCACATTGATGTTCTGATATGCGTGCTACCGTAGACTCGCTTCGGGCCTGAACCTTCGCAAACCAGTCCGACGAATTCAGATCCGCCTGAACAAAGACTGTGGGTAACTAGACAGGAGTCTCTAGAGGGCTCAAATCGACCGGGACGTCCTGCGTCTGATGGTCCTTCTTTGAGGTCTCAAGGGCCTTCGTCCACCTCTTCCTGGAATGGAGAAGATTCTCGTCCAAGAGACGGCGGTGTCGCAAGAGCAACAGATCAGCCCTCTAATGATGAATACCTTCGATGGCCGAGAAGAGACCATACTCCTGATACTCCTGAATATGCGGCGCTGTCCGAAAAGTCGCATTATCCAGAGACCCAGACTTTGGAGGGTCGGTTGTCGTCGGTATACACACCTCGCGATTCATCGGCTCGAAGTGTCCCTCAACACGGAGGTGCAGACATAGAAAGAGCAAGGGTAACGTCAGGTCCGGGACATCCACAGCCGGGTAGGGGCAGCCCTGCGACTCCTCCTCATTATGAAGCTAGTCGAGGTCGAGGTCGGAGCCCTTCACCGACGAATTACTCGCTTACTTCGAGCGTTCACGTACACCCTGCACATGCGGCTTTCGTTGAGCGTTTCTCACTGCCTCCAATTCCTAGACCAGACATCCTAAAGGCTTCTAAACCCATTCGCATCAAGCGTTCGCAGAACAGGGATGAGTTTGATGGTGGTAGACAGGGTGGAGGTTATCACGATAATGTTGAACGATCGCTCGATGAAAGTCAACAGCGACCCCTTGTCCGTCGTGGAGGTTCACTGTTGGATAGGTTGCAACTTGACAGCCCTTCGTCAGGCATGTCCTCGCCTCCAACTTCCCTCCGACATCGAGTAGACGGTCCAGTAAAGAGGCCAAATGAAGATTCGATTGGGGCCCATTCCACTCCTATCGTAGCAACGAATAACCAAGAAGGACTGGATATCACTACCGAGGGTGCATCAAGGACGGCAAGGGGTAGAAAGCGGAGTGGAAAACCCAGGCGGGGAAGAAGAAATGGTGCACCTTCATAGAGCTGTCTCTTTCTTTTTGGATCTGAAAGCTTTCTTGTCGTCATGAGATTCGCATTGCTATTCTTGTCGCACGCCTTGTATCAACCAGGTTTTTTCAATATATATAATGTCTCCTACCGCTGTGTAAGATCGATCGCTCACTTCAACTTAGAGCGCTTTCACCCTGGAAGGCAGTACACCCATGGGAAGTCTCGATTTGGATAGACTCACGGCTTCTCGCACGTCGACAATTGAACATTAGAACTGTGCAACTATTACAGGCCGTAGAGTGCACCAGCTGTAGTGAAGACAACAGCCCTCGGAAGTTTGGTACTCATGGCTCCACGCCGAAGAGCGAACCGAAGAGCCAATTCGCCTAAGAGATCCAGAGGAGAAGGTATGCCCACATCGTCGTCAGATGCTCCTGTATAACCTGTATAAATAGCTACGCAGAATCTTGGTGAACTTTCACCAGATGAGAAAGACCGCCCTTCGATCATAAAGAACTTACCGAACGAACTCATCCATCACATCACAGGCTACTTGTGGAACGACCGCTACAGCCTTCTCGATTGTATCACCGTTTGTCGATCATGGCACACTGCTGCTCTGCCGCATTTGTACCACACTTATGATCTGGCCAAGATGGACGATTTAGCTCAACTTGAAGGCCAGATCAAAAATGACCGGAGAGTCGGATACTGGATAAAAGAGCTACGCATCCACAGGGTATCGGCACTTGAGCCGACCGTATCCCAAAGCCAAGGGATTCTCCCTCTCCAGCTCTTTTTAGAGAGGTTTCCCGTGCATCTGCCGGAGGCTTTGAAGAGCTTACGTGGAATTGAGTTTCACGGATTCTATGCATATCCAGACACTGCGTGGGCAAACGTTCCCTTGACATCGTTTCTCGAGGCCTTAGGGAGCTTTGCATCAGTCACGACTATTACATTTGTCGGTTGCTCGCTACCTCTCTACGTTACACTAGCATTTGTTCATGCCTTACCCAACGTCGTTGACCTTCACTGTCATGGGAATTATTGTGTCGACTTCGGCTCGCCCGAATCGACAGTTACTCAAAGGTTTCCGCGTATTCACCCTCTTGCCCTCTCTTCCATTCGCCTACATCGTGCTGGAAGTGTCAACGGAGAGTATATTAGCATGCTTCGCGCAATTACTCACGACTGTCCTAGCATCAAGTTGCAGACTCTGCACCTGGACTTGTGCGACACTTGGTCTGCTCGTTGGGAACCCTTGACGTCATGTTTGACTCAACTTGGGCCTACCCTCTTGAGTCTGAAACTCATCTTCCCCCGTGCGATTCGTCCTCAAAATGATGCTGGGGCATTCACGGGTAAATAAACATCCATTTTGCAGTCTATTTCCGTCTGCTGAGACTCTGTGTTAGCGAACGTTAAAAGACATGTAGATCTTGGGGTATTTACCAACCTTAGAGCGCTTCATATCTACAGTCTTCAATATCGATCCGCGACTCTCCACTTGCTATCGCACCTCTCATCACCTCATATACGTGAAATAAAGCTCGATGCAAGCTTTGAATATATTCGTCAAATCAAGGCGAAGGACTTCATGGATCACGATACCATACTTGCGAAGCCACACTTCTCAAATCTAACAGAAGTACGTGTAAGATATAGTGGACCGCTGACACCGAAAAGGGTTGAGCGGAAGATTGTATCGGTATTCCCCAAGACCAGTGCAAAAGGTACATTGCGCGTAGTTAAGGTGCGCGCTGGCAATTGGGTAGGTGGCTTTTCGATATATAATACACTTATGATTCATGTCGAACTTTCATCTTATTATAACCTTGCAGGATATTTGCGAAGAAACGTCTTAGGCTCACACTAGAACCCCGCGATGAGGCTCCATCGGATTGATTTCTCGTCGCAGATTATTGTAGTTTTATATCATTCGCTGAACGGTTTCGCGCATTCCTCATTTGCTGGAACGTTGGTTTATTGATTTCTACAGATGTATGCGTAATGGCGGGTTTTGCGTTGCAAGGTCTTTGCTCGCCATTCGAACATTTCAGTACTGATACAGTTAAATTTGCACAACGTCCTTTACAAGCAAATTCCCATAAGCCGCCTTGTGTAAGATATTATCTTCTTCGCTAAAGAAGCAACTTTCTCCAGCTTATTGGCCTCAGTGAGCCTTGACAAAATGTCAAAGTCGATGATTAGTGGAAGTTTGAACCTAAACACTTTCCATATCGGTCAGGGCAAAATGGCATAGGTGTTCCATGTATGGTAACACCGACATCAGTTCAGGTTGCTCCTCGACGTTCACAACGATGTCTAGCCCTCCCGCTGCAGTCCCCGTCCTCGATGCACCTAAGCCTGAACGCCCCAGTGCAGGAGTACGCATGCCGTCTCTGAACCAGCTTGCTGCTCGTATCAATCTCAATGGTGCACAGTCTAACAACGCATCTTCAGCGCTGCGGCCTCGTCTTGCGGCCTCACTTCTGCGAACAGGATCGCAGACTTCGCTCGCATCCTCTACGACGGCTGCATCTGCATCAGACTCTGTAGCCGTAAATGCTCCGACCACTAGGTCAACATCACCGGCTGCGTTGTCGACATCACCGCCAAGGAGTAACACTTCTACTCCACTCGGGTCAGAGAAGGGTGAGCAGCTCACCCAAGACAACTTGGAGCATTTGAATGAAGAGGTCGAGAAGGAAAAAGAGCGGAAGAAGGAGAGGGCACCCGCAGGATATAAGAATATTCCTAGTCTCGATGCTATTACTGCTCGATTGGCCAAGGCACGCCAACTGAGTGTTGACGGTACTGCAAAACCTCCAGAGGCGGAGACGATTGAGGATCCCAAGACTCCAGGTCTCCGGATCAAGGCGCCTGAGCACCCTCTGGAACATACCTGGTAAGTTGATGCACTGAACTTTCAATATCGGCCCAACTAAATTATGCTATTCCAGGACACTGTTTCATGATACCAAGGCAAAGATGCCTTTTACACCTGCCTCTGCAGGCATTATCCCCGAGGCACCTGGATCCGCACATCCTCTGGCACCCGATACTGACGAGTATGAAGCTGGCCTCTCCGTTATTGGCGAGTTTGATACCGTCGAATCTTTCTGCCGGTACTTCAATTGGCTTAAACCGCCTTCGAAGCTGGAACGCAACTCAAATTATCACCTATTCAAAGCTGGTATCAAGCCAATGTGGGAAGACGAGGCCAACGCAAACGGAGGCAAGTGGGTGCTTACAATGAAGCAAAATCCCCAACTCTTAGATCGGTGCTGGATATGGCTTGCTATGGCGCTCATTGGTGAAGATCTTGACGAAGGTGATGAGATCTGCGGCGCTGTGGTTAGTTTGAGAAGTAAAGTCGACCGTATCCAACTTTGGACGAGATCGAAAGATGACGTCGAGAAGATCAATGGAATCGGCAAGAAACTCGTCAAGTTACTCGATGTGTCGGAAACCGACGGTATTGGCCTTGAGTTCCAGGTGAGTCGTTTCATGCTTTGACATGTGTAATGTCCATTTCTTATATGTACGTGCAGTACAATAACGATGATCGGCCAACTCCAAACAAGTTCCTCTCCATCCAGGCTCTTCCACAGACGTCCTATCGCTCGACGTTCCCGAATAAGCCAGGCTACGCAGGTACACCTGCAGAAGGCGCCGGTGTGCCTGCGAATGCCAATCCTCCAGGCCCAGGGGGCGCGTTCGCTGGTTTCGGTGTTGGTCTTGGTGGCGGATGGAGGGGCAAGCGGTGAATGTATTCTCTCTGTAAGAATGGGTCTGGAGTTCATATTTATTACTTTTGGACTGTTCATCTTGAAAGCGTGCGTGTTCTGCTCTCGATATTGTCTATGTATATTTGTGTAATGACTGACTCCGACCAGAGGAGGAAACTTTGTAGGTTACAGAGCAGAAATCGACAGTGTATTTTTCGCATATAAACGTATCCATATCGATTCGATTCTGCCACGACCCCATTATATATAAGCCGAACTGGGTTTCTCAATTCCTCCATACATAGCAAGTCTTTTCAATACCAGTCATATGGAACAGTAGCGTGCGAACTCGTGACCAACCATGAGAACCCATGCCTCGTGTTACTTCGTATATATGCGAGCCGTCGAACAGGATGCTCGTGGAACTCCTCATTATCGTCTCTGTGCTTCCGCCATGACCTCCCCTCTCGACAAGCTCGATGCGCTCGAAAAGGAGCTCTCGCGCTTGTCGACAGCAGAGGATAAGCTGAACTCTGTCACAGCCTACCTACGAGACACCCGTGATTCATCTAGACGTATCATACACGATATTCGAACAGAAACGTCAGAGACTGACGATGAAGCCAAAACCGGAAAGCGTCTGACTATGTTGATGCGACAACATGGTCTTCTGGAGGCATATGCTGAATTGCAGATACCGAAGATGCTTTCAGAGGCTGTCAAGCCCTTAGAGAACGTCCTTTGTGCAAATGTGGACATCACCAACGGAAGAATTTGCCAAGAAGAAGGCAAGCAGGCGTGCGGCGGATGTAAATTGGTCTTATATTGCTCTAAAGTATGTTACACATGTTGTAACGCCGTGTGCTCATCTCATGCACGCTCAGACATGCCAGACGCAACACTGGCGTCTTCACAAGAACGGTGCGCGTTATGGAAAGATATAATAGCAGATGTTTACCTAACCCGTTATTATTCATGCAGATTGCAAGGACCCCATTCGGTCGCCGAACTGGAAGCCGGCCTGGATTGTTGAAAAGCGATCACCGACATTTATGAGTGGCAATAACACCCTCAATGAACGCTGGCAAAACGACGTTGATCGGATTGCGCTGACTCGGGCACATTTGTAGGTTGACGGAATTCAGATGAAAGGCAAGATTGATCCTTCTATCCTAGATGGGGTAATATCCCTGCATACGACGTACTAGCGTTAGCTAGGAACGAAACTGTCCTAGGCAAGGACTATAACGTGGCGTTCGTCGGTAGCTACAACCTCTACTCCTCAGGAAAAGGCCTGCAATTCGCTGATGTGGTCATACAGCATCGGGCGACCTGCGCAATGTGGTTTTTACCGTTAATGGCCTCCCTGAAGAGTTCTCTGGCCGTCTAACAATAATCTTGAATGATCGTGACTCACATGTTACATTGAGGAACATCTTACTGCTTTCCCTTCTGGGGTTACCTGATGTCAATTCCGCCGCCGAGTTGGCACTTCATGCCTGGTATTCGGTCTTCCTTCCAATGGAGTATGCTGCTCAAGTTAGCCATGCTGGTTTCCGAGCTTTGCAAGACTTGAAAGTCGACGGATCCATTCATATGCAACTTAGTCCAACATCTACCCTCGCTGGACAAGTGTCAGATGATATTCGATCTCATTTTCTGGCCTGCTTAGATGACACTTCGTTCGGAATGGGTGAAGCCGCCCGAGAATACGAACGGGTCCGGTAAGTTCACACTTACCTGAAACGAGCTCAGCGGTTAAAACATCGATGGTTATGCTAGGTTCGCACCATCGCGCGTTGACCGACATCATCGATGGTATGGCAGACTAGAGCCCTCTCATCGTCTGGCTTGCTTGGAGTATCGTCGGTTTGGACTCGTTCTTCCTTTCGGGGCGAAGAACGATCATTTCAACATGCCAAACCGTACATTATTCTCTTCGGACGGATGTTGGTTACAGAATGACCTGGCAAACCCTCTAGATGGCTGGAAGTATGTCATCCTTCTCCCGCTTTGAAGGGCTAACCGGTGTTGAATCTTCTCACAGTGCAAAGTCCATAGTAGAGGCTGGGCGAAAACACGGCGCGTCTCGTGCCGACCTATATGGTTGTCTATATTTCTTCCTGTCTGAACAGTTGAGGGTTTTCGCTCGGCGTCTGCGGAAATTCCGTATCTCGTTTCACATCTTTAATAGAGATGCTAGCGATCTTAGCAAGGCAATCCGAGCAGGTAATTTGGCCAGTTATGGGGTTCCGTCAACCATACGATTCGATCGAGTTGACGTGTCGAACATCATGGATGCTGAATATGTAGGCATACCTAGAATTGTTACATTCTGGGGTCCATTGCTTGCTACAGGGCAACATGCTACTTTACTGGGTTACTTCATGAACTGGGTAAACAGACAAAAAGGCGGCAACATCAATTCATTGGATCCCAAAGCATCGGAGTACAGTGGAATGATGGAGGGGCTTGAGGACGAAGGAAAGGTGTGTCTTAGTGCTATTTGAGCACCTCGACTAATATTCCCTAAATCGTGTCGTCCTCTTAGATTCCAAGACTAACCAACAGGTCACTGGCCACAGCGCAAGGTGCGTAACATGATTTCTGCAACAGCGGACTTCATCTCACTTTATACTAGAATATGCGGGCATGATCGGAGTCTACATGGGATTTCTCATGACGAAGTACGACAACTCTAAGGCGTTCCAAACGTATCTTGATAAACATGGCATGGCGGAGGTTTTACAGAAGGCCCAGCTCAAACTACGTCAGCGGCATACCATTCTCCCCAATGTACGTCCTAAATATTCAAGCATCCCTAGTTTACGATAATGAACTTCACAACATCAGCGAATTGGCAGCCGTGTGGGTGGTGCTCCGAGTGATCTGCCTGAATTCCCAGACAGTGAATCGTGGTATTTTGATGTAAGCTTTAGATGACGCCTGTGTTTCATGTATCGTACGTCTGACCAGGAGGCGGTTTCCACAGGCCTGCGTCGACCAACAGTTATGGTCAGAGCGTTTCATCGAGACTGTATGGGCGTAATTTGGTAGAAGGACTTGACTACTTTGTACAAAGCTGACGCCGAGAGCAAAGTGATGAATCGCTCCCTCCCACGGACATTATCGCGGACCAACAGGTCTGGGTATATTGGACAATCCTAAGGTATAACGACATGTTGTATCGCATAGACAAAAAGAAGCGTGATGAAAACAAGGTCTATTCTATGGCAAGAGAAAGGTACGAGGAGCGAGTTTAAGGGAAGAAACCACCACACTATTATGGGCAATAGATGAAGCCAGGATGTCTGTGAGGAGGGATAATCCAACCTTGTGTTAGGGCGTTCGTAGCAACGAAGCAGTGGCGCGCCCCGAAATCAATATCCCAGTAGCAATTGAAAGGGTTTGAACGGTGATTCATCAGCGCAACTCGACCTCGGCCTGGCAGATCTGTCCGTTCATGACGTACATTATTCGTAAAACGGTATAACATCCTATAGCTGGTTGGTATCGAGCGCGATATCCCATCAGCAGCGGCTTCTGCAATGCAAAAATTTGCCGAGCAAAATCATCCGAGAACATCGCATCTGCCTGAGGGTGAGTTGGCATGTTGAATGGCCCCGAAATATAGTTCCCTTGGATAGTCTGCCCTCCCGCGACATTCAGCACGGGCCCTCCCACCACATTTCGCATAGGAATAGCAGAAGGACCTGCGTCTGGTCCAGGGACTTCCACGTCCGGCAGCTTTGGTCGATTGCCACTACCAGCAGATCGGGTAGCGTCTGCGAGGGAGGATGTAGGTGATATCGGCACACCATCAACGAAGAAAGTGACATCATTGCGAAGCCGATACTGAGGGGGCGTGCTCGGACCCCAATAGCTTCCCTGCTCTCCCAGTTCAGACCAAACGTCATCGACACCACCATCCAAGCACGTAGCAGCAGCGAAGGAGGATCGACTCGCAAATGTGTCGGGTAGATCGTCACCAACTTCGAAGGTTTCTGGAGAGGAGTGAGGAACGTGGTTTTCGGGGGCGTGCTCCTCCTTGTACTCCTTGTAATGCTCTTCGTATTCCTCGTCCTCGTTCCTATTCTCGTTCTCAGTCTCATCCTCGTCCTCGTGTTCCTCCTCGGAGTCCATCTGGTGTCCTTCAGACGCATACTCTGGCTCAGATTCGTATTGATCCCGGAGGTCAGCCTCGTCCTCGAGTTCATCATCCTCGTCCTCAAGTTCATCACTCTCGTCCTCGAGCTCATCATATTGGGACTCGCCATCATGCTGGACTTCGGGTTCAGTGTCATCCAGATGACCACCTAGTAATTTGGTGGACTGAATGTCTTCCAGGACGTCTGCCACATACGGATCCCTAGAACTCCCGTCCACAGGCTCGAAGTCATGAACGATCCTTCGGTGCTCATTGAATAGACGACGAGATGCGGCACGAAATCCGCACAAGCATATTTCTCCGTCTTGCAGTTCGACTACATGGGGACAGATATAACCTCTCGTATCGGTGCTATTAAGGAGATGGTTAAGGTTCATACGGACTCATTCTCAAGAATAAAAGCTCTCACTGAGTTCTAAAATGTCTTTTCAGCCCAGAAAGATCCTCCGCATTAACGCGGCATCCAGGCCAGGGGCAGCTACGCAACCTGGAATGCTAAATGAGTATCGAGACAACAAAAGTTCTGCATTCGAATGCATACTTCTCTTCGGGCGTTAGGGATTCTCCCTTCTTATGCATCCACCACAAATGGCCAATGAGGTCCAATGGAAAGTCCTCATTGCAGTGAGGACATTCTTGGGAGTGTTCAGGCGCAGATCTCTGAAAATGTGAATAGCTATGAGCACGTTGGGATACCGTAGTTCGCAAAGATAAGAGTGTACCGTGTAATTCATGGTTGACGGCGAAAGCTACACAGAGTAGAACGAACGAGGATTATCAGGAGGCTGGTTTTGAAAGACGCTTATAGAGAGGTCCATTTAAATGATTTCCAGAAGGTCCAAGCTCTGGAGTTAGTGGCGAAATGAATACGGCAGAAGGTGCAGGAGACAAGGTTGATGGCCATGCACATTGATACCTGGAATGATGCATACAAGAGTCGCCATGCGACACAATAGCTGGCTGTTGCCTTGAAGTTGTGCAATACGGTCAAAGCATAGAACACCATCAGTTCGGCATAAAAATTGTCATTGCAAGGTCCAGTGCATCTACGAACCTATGAAGAAGCGTAAAACTATTACAACGACGCATGTCAGGCCCTTAATCACCTAACCTCTACCGATGAGGGGAAGCACCGGGGAATTTATTGTAATCAGTGTGCGCTTGGTGTGCGCAGTTCGCAATTTCATGAGTCGGGTAAGCGCACGACAGCATTTCTCACCGCGGTACCATGTGATGTCTGGAGACGTTGACTTGGAGAAAGCAAGCAGTGGTTGTGCCGTTACTTAGGCTGTGAGTCGGACTAAGTACAATTGCAGGCGCTTCCTTCGACCTGGAATGTTCTTCTGAACTTGTTCGTATTCGAAACGGCCTTATGCTGTACTAACACAATCCACGGCCTCAAATCGGAAGTTTGTCTGGCTTATTGTTAGTCTCCGGTACGCAGACCAATGACGGGTCTTTTGAGGGAGGGAGAGACGACCCGTATAAAGGTCTGCTTCAATACGCGCCCCTCATACCGTTGCAGTTCATTAAGGATTAGCGCTCGAATGCCGGGTGATCGCCAGGCTTGCCGGATGATCGCCAGGCATGCCGGATCAATGCCGGTGGCTGCAAAGTGGCTGAGGACACTTGATAGAATTTTACGAGCTACCACCATGTATTGTCTACAACCGCCTCAAGAAACAACTTGTTTCTACTGTCCCAACTGCATGGTTTTTCTCCCAGCATTTTTAGGTTCACCTGTGCAAGTTCAGACCTCGACTCCTCAGTCTTCGATCCCACAGAGAGATCTGTTCTCGCCGCAACTTGTCCATGGTTCATTTGGATCCCCAAGTACCCCTACGGCAACCAATTATGCAACGTCAAGTCTTTCAAGTTATTTAATTACTCCTACATCTCTTCAAACATGTCCCCATACCTGTGACACCAAGAAAGTCCTCGAATCAGCAGTTTTGAGACCCGGAAAATGTTGATCCATGCACTCCAACAAAATTTCCTATAAAGAAGCGCAGGAGGAGCCCATCACAGAAGTTAGATGATATTCTGCATACCATCAAAACTGCTCATTGGACTCTAGGCCAATTCTTGTGGTTTCTCTTCCATGTCTGAGGGGGAAATAATGAGAAGATATGCCGTTTTAAAGGTCATGCGAGAGCCGTGTCTTACTTTCTCTACTGCTTCGCTGAGCTTCATCAACTGTATCTGCATTGATTACCAGTGTTGACAGTCCAACCAAATTGAACTTGTGCTCCTGAAAGTATTGCGACTGAATGATAAAGAGAGATGGGAAAATAAGTGTCACATACCATGTCATGTTCAAGCGCTTTTGTTGGGCACACAACAATCATGATTGCTCATTTCTTCATGCGCTTCTGTGGGCACAAAGAAGAGTCGGACGCAATGGCTTGCGTCCCGAGCATGTACATGGTGAGGAAACCAGTTTTCCGGATCCCGTAGGGGTTCACGGCCAGGATGTCGATGCCATCCAACGCTTTGCGTACACCTTCGAGCTGGTAGTCATGTGGTTGGTACGGCAACGGTGTTTTAGCGAGAATCTCTAAACAGAATGAACGACGCGAATTTGAACACAGGCAGTCTGGGTATGATCGTCATAAATACATTGTAGTAGTTGACAAAGTCTGCACGAAGCGCGGGTAAACGCGTCTGTGGCTGCAAGCCCTAGGTGGACGCGTTGCGGAGTCTGAATATTTCTCGGTTAAGCCCGAAAGTGGTTGCAACGGTAAGAGGGGCGCGTTTAGAATCAGACTAGCTTATTGTAGGTGTCACGCCTTTCTGCTTCATATCCAGTTATTCGCGCGTTCAAAAAGCTCGGAAGATGCCGCAGTAAGAACAAGGATGAGACAACATCAGGTGAAGATGAAATCGTCTTCTTTCGCAAAGTGTATCTCACATTTTCGAGCGTACCAGCACAACGATAAATCGCATGTACATACCGTATGTCAGACCCTCGCTGTTCACCTTCTGAGTTGAATGGTGTCAAGTCGTACGTCCTCTCTTCTGGCACAAGAATGCCAACTTGGAGTGACCATTGAGATCAGGGACCCTTTAGCTGCTAGTACCCTTACTAGATCTAGTAAACGACACGCGGACGTTGTCGAGTCAGAAATATCGTGAGCCCTAATTCATTCATCAAGCTGTCTATAAGGCTAATTGGACAACTATTGAGATCTATTCAAAACGATAGCGGCAGGCACCTCAAACGTCTTCGTCTGGATGGCGAAGGTGTCGTAGCGCATTCATTACCTGACGATGGTCAGCTCAGATCTCAGTATGCTATATCACTGTCAAGCAACATTTGAACCAACGGATACTAACTGATGACCTTAGTTCCTCCGCTTCCGCTGTAACCTTCAAGCGAGCCCGAGATGAAGATATACTAGAACGAGATATAAGGTCGTGCGCCCTTTTATTTTACCGATTCGCTGGGGCTTACTCGTTCATTTATTCTGTAGTCTGGCTGGGGTTGATGATAAAGGGTCATCCAAACAGACTTCTTCATCACATGCAGTTGATTCTAATGCAGAATCTGGGTCATCTGCAGCTTGGTATGTAGTCATATGGAAGAACGAGGCGGTCATTTAACTAATAGACCCCCCATGCCAGCGATACGAATGTCGTCGGACGTTCAAAGCGGCCCATCTCATCCGTGTACAAAACGGGATCCCAGGACTCTTCGTATGTATCTCATTTTAATCGATCTTCCCTTGACTATTTACGTTCTGCGTTGTTTGTAGAACTGATTTAGCGGACCAGGATAAAGATAGAGCAACCAAGCGTATTCGACTGCAGGAGGAAGATGTTTTGGCAGGCTCAATCGAGAGTAATGGTACGATACTACATCGTCCTTGGGCGCCAATTGTTAAACTTATTGTGCACTTCTGGTGTCCGCAGCCAAGACATTATTGCTACCAGTGGAGTTGCATGATCTAATACTTGAACAACTATGGGAGAACACAAACTTCGAGTGCACTGACTCTACCACTTTTAGGGCTTGCGCTCGTACGTGTAGCGTATGGCGGGCTGCTGCTCGGCCGCACATCTTCCGCTTCGTTCACATAAATCGCAGGAGCAAGCTTCTCCAACTGTCCAAGCTAATTCATGATGATCCGAGCATCGCAAGTTGGATACGCAAAGTACGCCTAGAGGGGGTCCCGCCGTGGAACACAGAGTCACACTCCAAGGAGGCTGTACTCGATGAAAGTCTTGATCGTTGGATCCTTGACTTTCCAGCAACGTTCAATACGCCTTTAACGAATGTTCGGATTCTGGAAATTATGTATCTCTGCCAAAGCTCGGTAACGCTCAAGGATCAAAGAGCATTCGCTCGCTGGATTCCGCAGCTCAAAGAGCTGCAGTCGGTCCAGGAGTTGAACGTGCTGCACGGCCAGATGAGCCCAAATACTATAACAGCTCTTATTCGCGCTTTCGGGCGGTTGGTGAAACTTGGCCTTTGTGAGGTCAATTTCGGGGAATCGAACAAAGCACTAGTCCAACGGAAGTACCCCGTAGAGTCACCGGGCAATAATTCTACTACAACTTCCACCAAGGCCGTACGTATTCATCGTACATGGGTAAAACCAGTGCCATACCCTCTGTTGCATCCTCATCCGTCCCTGCAATCACTCTTCCTGGGCAACGAGTTCCTATCAGACATCAACCTGAAGCTTGAAACCTTGCGCCGGTGTCTCAAATCTGATGATCTCTCTCGAACTCTCAGTTCGTTGTATATTGGTACCCTCATTCCATCAGAATATCTATGCAAATTCATCACCAGACTTGGTCCATCTTCTATGTTAGAATCGCTGAAGATACCTCTCCGAGACGTCCTTCAACTTGGTAAGCCCCCTTGTGTAACTGTGTTGTTCAATCCCCAGCCTCATCTCGTCATTTCAGCTGTCAGTCTTGGAAAGGCGGTCTCTAATTTGCACAACCTCAAAACTCTCTGCATATATACACCATTCCTGAATTCTGAACAATCTGACGTGATTCGCCACTTTCTCGTCCTTCTCGATGCTTCTCATCTACGACGACTTTCTATCATGATTGAGATAGGCGAACCATTTGAAGATGTGGAAGTGGTCGATGAGACGGTCGCCAGTGAGAAGTTCGAAAGCCTTCAAGAGTTCGTTATCGAGATCGTCGAGAAGGGTGACTGGACCATGGAAGAAGTACAGGATGGAATCAAGGCGTTGTTTCCGTTGATGGAAAAGAAGGGTATTCTACGTGTCGAACGATGGATAGCCCCATATTTATACCGAGTCGCAACTCATCCGTCCCCTCCTTGGACCATCATTGACCCTTACTACTAGGTTCCTTCCTCCGATCCTGCCTAGCTGTAAATGCATCAATCATGTTTAATTAGATCGAGGTGACACTGTGCTTAGATGGTACTCGCTCTCGAACTTGAGCTCTTCAGATGCATGAAGACCCTTGTCAGCGTCATCGCCCGAAACCTCACGACTACGTTTGATCTTCGTACCATGATTGTCGTTCAATTTGGAATATCTGGGAAGCTCAACTACATATTAAGAATAGAGCTCAGCATTTGCGTTGATGCTCAGGAGCAGGTTAGCCCTCCGACAAGATTGATCAGAATGTGGCATCATCGAAGCCACTTACTGAGTTCTGGGACAATCTTTCAGATGAGACGAGTTCCTCCTCAGAGCACCACACCCTGGCCACGGTAATCAAGCAACACTCGTTGCGCAAAATTCGTACTTCACTTGTTCACTTAGAGATGACCCATCCTTATGAATCCATTACAGATGTCTAACGAGTTGATGGAATAGAACATCTTCCCCAGACTCAAGGCATTCCGGTGAGTGTTTGTCTTCAGACTCCTGTCAGTGCGTGCGCATGGCCGAATAGTCGTCTGAAGGGAACAGGAAGGCATGGAATGAGTAGATCAATGGAAACTACTGATACACATTTGATCGGACAAGAAATTAGAAGCATTGCGACTGTAAAAAGAACAAGATAGGTGAGTCAAAGAGTGACATGCCAAGAGGCCTGTCGACATACATAGTAGTCATTGAGAACAGTACATATAGAGCCCTCAGTGCAGGTTATGCTACATTATGAATAGGATAAGCATCCCGTAAACTCACAAATGAAAAGGGGTCACTCACGATCCGGAGTGAGCCAAACCGCCGCACTGAAGACTCAATAAGTCGAAGAGAACCTGTTGTCAAACCAAGCTACTTACCTGTCTGTACTTCTGAACCACAGGACCGGCCGGTGCCGTGGGAGCAGTTGAAGTTGTGATAGGAGGCGCAGGCTGTACAGTGGTCGTCGGGTTTCTGATGACAGTCGTAGATGGACCCGATGAAGGGCTGCCGATGGGACCAGTTGTGGGACTTGGGTACTTCGAACCAATAGCACCACCGCCGTACTGTTCCACGCCCCAGTCACCTGTGCCGCCTCTGGGTAGTACAGGTATACTAACTATCAAAATTGACTGTTTATTCTTAAGGTAGACTTACGGAAGAAGAACAGGCCCTCTGGGTGCAGTGTAATTCAGCGACATGGCTGTAATTTGCCAGAGTTGAACAAGGATCCCGGGGTCATGAGGGTCGTAGGAACCGGGAAGAGGGATACCAGCAGGAAGAGTCTTTGTTCTGCTACCGGTGACCTTGACTTGTATACAATTCGGATAGAATTGTGCGCCTATTAGGTTACCTGCGATGTGAAGTCCGAGAATCTATGGTGAGCAGCTTGGTGAGAAGATGTGAAGCATCAGCGCAGCGAGCGGCTCACCTCATGGCGGAGAAGGCATTCACCAGGCTCGATATTGGGAATGTGGATGCTATACTTATTCCCTTTCATACAGATGATGTTCTCGCCCCATTCAAAGCCAGTCCTTGAAGGGTTAACTATAAATATCGGTTAGCAAGGTATGGAAATTGGGCAAATTACTTTGCTGACATTGATCCTGATCGATTTCTAATGGACATTATTGTAGTCAGCTTTGTTCATTCAAGAGGATGAGTGACCCATAACGATACTTACTGACCCAGACATTGCCTGTGTCGCCTTTGAAACTTGCACATCCGTTAGGACACTTTGCAATGTAAGTCATGACCTTATCGAAATATGTAAGCAGTTCAGGTTGCATAGTATGAGACTATCTCACTGGTCTCTGGAGGAATTAGCTTAAAAACTGGGTCAATTCAGCCAGCTACATACCCAGAATGACTTGATGTCCAACTTCCCCAGTTGAACGTGACAAGCTCTCCAGCTAAAACCTCAGCCAAAGACGCAACAGGTACATTCCCACCTTCCTAAATAGAGAACATATGAACACTTTGATGAATGTGAAAATGTCGAGCACTTACTCCACATGTGATGGTAGAGCTGGTGAAATCAGCTGCAGGTCCGTATGTGTTGAGCTTACCGATGGGACTGTTTGGGTCTGCAGCACCATACGCATCTGCAGCAGCGTAGCTCTTTGTCAATGTGATGAACTTGTGAACCTGACCGTGACCCAGGACAGCTGGAAGAGAGACTACAAGAGCAAATGAGATTGAAACGCTTCGTAGATGCATGGTGTCAGATATAGAGATCAGGGCGAGGCTTCAAGGGGAGTGACTTGACATAACAAGCATATAAGTATGCATTCATTAATTCAGAGGTGTCACATCTACCGTCAAGGAGAACCACTGGAGAGATTGGACCGGGACATAACCGTACTCAACCAGCTCCAAACATCATTGTATTTAATATCGAGAAAGGTACTCAACTCTATGCCATTCTTTAGCTAAAGCTTTGATGGTGCACCGATGATATGGTCAGTCCAGTCGACTGTCTCAACGGAGCTCGAAGAAACAGAACGTCGGATGACCTCAACACCAAGCCTTCCGGAAAGGTGTCAGTTGCGCATCGGAAGAGTCTACCTAGGAGTTCTTAAATAAGATGCATGGATAAGCAGCCGTGCATCTCGGCTGGGGTAAGTTGATAGCTGAATTGTCGAAGTGCGTTACCCCACGGAGAAGAAGCACTTAGAGACTTTGAAGACCAAGTGGGAAAGATCGGTGCATTGCGGTGTTCTAGAGCTTTCTGATAGACATACTGTACCTTTGTGCAGCTATACCAAGTACCAAACGTCTCTGATATTCTGCTGAAACCGGCCCAGAAGGACCCTAACTTTGTAAATCCGAGAGTTAGCATATAGACATCTGATCGTAAGTTGAAGGGCAGACTGCTTCAATATTCTAGGTTGACTGGCTGCCGTGCATGTATTCACAGCAACAAGCTTAGGACTTCATGCAAGCTGTTGAAAAGACGGTCGTGTATGCAAATTAGGATGAGTTGGCATGAAGTTGAAGACAGCGATCGATAGCATTATTTAATATCAGAGATCGACCGATCATGATATAGCCTCAGGAGCCTCGCTTCGCACCTTAAGCTTGTGCCACTTTGTGCTGGTTGTCTTCGATGTTCCCCAACTTTTCGATAGCATTACTAGGGGGTTGAAGCCGATCTCTTCGGCGATTCCACGACATTGACCGTTTTTCACCGTTGCAAACCTGCAGTATGCTGGTAGCTAATCAAACTCAGCCTGAGTTCAGACCGCAGGTGTGGCATTAGCCCGACGGCTTACATCTTGTTATTCTCACTGCGCCCAAAGTGTCCTGCAAGTAGGCTTAGTTGGCGCAATCCGATTCATCGGTCACAATAAATGAATCAGCAAGAAAACCATCATATATATATATGACAACGAATGGATGCTTCAGGTCGAGATCCCAGAGCAAACACTGATTCACAAATGGCTATTCGAGTATCTTGCCTTCTCAAGAAACGCCCTGAAATGACTTTAGAGCAGTTCAGCGCGTACTGGTGCGTGTTCTCCAAGCACCTCATGTAATGTCTCACTGAATGCTCTATGTAGGAACGGACATGGAAACCTCTTCACTTCTCAAAAGGCGACAAAGGACAACGTAATCCGTTACAACCAGGTTCATCATCTTGCACTTGGGCATACGACAGAGTATCCTGATTTCTTGTACTACAGTTCCGTCTTGCTCCTCAACACAGCGAGAAGTTGGCCGCTGCCGGATTCCCGATTGCCCCGTACGATGGTATTGCAGACGTTTACGTTGATAAGCTCGAAGACTTGTTCGCCCTCTTCGCTGACGAAGACGTGAAGAAGGTATGCGATCCCCCCGGTTATAGGTTTTCTTCCGCATTCAAATATCGATAACAGAATGTCCTTCCTGACGAGGCAAACTTCCTCGATAAGTCGCAGATTCAAGCCGTTCTTGTGGGCGAAAATAACATTAAATGGGAGAAACCTCAAGCTTAGTACATTATCGGAACAATGCAATGTTTCGCAGTGCTTTCTATTGGTAGTTGCTAATGCATAGTGCTTGGAACCCGCAGGATCCTAGTTTTTGTAAATATGAAGGTTATTTCAAGACATCGTAAGAAGGGCACACTGCTTCAATATGCTAAGTTGACTGATTGTTGTGTACCGTAGTAACAAGCTTAGGAGATATGCCGAGGATGAGGATGAGTTGACACCAAGATGATCCATAGCGACAATATCAGGGATCGACCGATCGTGATTGCTGGTCGTTTTCAAAGTTCAACGTCCCTCAACTTCAACTTCACTCGTATTGCAAGCCATCCCCATATAATATCGGTTTCTGTAGCGTTAATGATGACGGTCTGAAAATATCTTATTCTGCGTAGAACGAACAGGTGACGTTAACTTTGACCTCTGAGTCGGCGATTGCACGACGCTGACCGTTGCAAACTTGGAGCATGCTGGCATCTAATCAAACTCAGCCTGAGCTCAGGCCGCACACGTATCATTAGCCCGACGGCGTACATGCTTTTCTCACTGCGCCCAAGGTGGTCTGTTTGTCGGTCACAATAGCAGCTATTTGTGGAACGATGGGCCACCTTTTGAAAATATCCAGCACACGAGTTTCAATCCCCGGAAGCTAATTGCAGTTTTCCGAGCCTTATGAGCAAAATTTGGAGCATTCATGGAGCAGGAGCGCTTGTAGCTCTCAGCCTGAGTGAGTGCCATCTTCAGCCGAGAATGGAGCTGTATGCTTTGCTAAAGTGGCCTATCATCATAGCTCGAATGAATCAGCCAGAGCACCATCGTATATATACCTATGAGAACGCGTGGATACTTCATGTCAAACGTCCCAGAGCAAACCCTCGACGCCTTGAATCGACGTGATATTCACAAATGGCTATTCGAGTTTCCTGCTTTCTCAAGAAACGCCCTGATATGACTTTAGAGCAGTTCAGCGAGCACTGGTATGTACTTTGAAACAGGCTATGAAATATCCTGAAATATCTCACTGAATTTTGTATGTAGGAACGGACACGGAAACCTCTTCACCTCTCAGAAGGCGATGAAGGACAATGTGGTCCGTTACAACCAGGTTCATCGTCTTGCACTTGAACATACGACCGAGTATGCTGAGACCTTGTATTCTAGTTCCATCTTGCTCCTCAACACAGCGAGACGTTGGCTGCTGCCGGATTCCCGATTGCCCCGTACGACGGTGTGGCAGACGTTTACGTCGATAAGATCGAAGATGTGTTCGCTATCTTCGCTGATGAAGACGTCCAGAAGGTTTGCAATACATCTGTTATAGGATTTCTTCCATGTTGACATGACTGTGGCAGAACGTCTTTGCCGACGAGGTAAACTTCCTCGATAAGTCGCAGATTCAAGCCATTCTCGTGGGCGAAGATAACGTAAAATGGGAGAAACCTCGAGCTTAGTACATTATCGGAGCAATGTGATGTTTCTCGGTGCTTCCATTTAGGCTTGCTAGTATAATCGAACTCGATCCCGGATGTGAATCAACCAGGTCTCTCTGCAGTTGTTATGAAACAATGTTATATCGATATGGGCTACAAAACTAGACAAAGGATTGTGATGCGCGACAGAGTACGTACAGTCGCGAATGAGATCAGCAAGACTACAAATAAAATGCGCGAGGCTACAGATATGTACGTGGACGTGAACGAAAGCAATACAATAGTTATGCAAACACAGGAAAGCGAATTACGAAGAGTGTGCGAAAGTAAACAGATACTTGAGAGCGAGACGAAGAGAGCTAGAAAACCGAACTATCTATCGATACAGTGAGTGATTGCGTATTGAAAATTGAGACGAAAGGAACGTGTGATTGGCGACCATGAGTTGTTGAGAAGGCAAAAGTAGGTCGTATCTTGGTATGAGAGTACTCAACGGAGCATTCATGCACGCATGAAGAGCTCAACGGGGATCGCTTTCCTTCGCAAGCCAGAGCTGGAAGTGCTTTCTCCACTGTCGCTCGCACTGTCACTCGAGGACGTCCTGGAGCTACTGCTGCTGTCGCGTCTGGTCAAGCCAGAACCCCTGTCCAAATCCAAAGACTTCTTCGCCGCAGGACTCAGAGGGACCTTTGGGCCAGACTTGCTAGGCTTTGGCGACCTGGACTTCGTAGGCGAAGATGAGGAACTACTACCGAGATGGAAGCGGGTGATCCAAGCAGAAGGTGATAAGGGAAGCTGTTGTCGATGTTGATGGGCGTGAAATTCGGATGCGAGAGTGGATGAAGACCAACGTGAGCGTAAGTTTCTTTCGCGCATCATTGAAGTGGAGTCAAATTCGTGCGAGAGGGTTGGAGACGAGGAAGCGACATCGGCAGCGGCCGTGGTGAAGGATGAAAAATGAGGAGATTGGTACATACCCGCCATGGGGCTCTCTGAACGAGTGGGTGTTTGGATGTTGAAGTCAAAGGAGGAAACGGGCGAGGTGGGAAGAGCGTCCATGCTCATGCTGGCTTGAGAATAGATGCTAATGCTCTCAGGAGTCATCGGACGATCGTGTTCTTCATCTGGCTCTGTAACGATCAAGTCAAACCCGGCGTCCGAGACGTCAGTGACAGGAATGTCATCAATGAAGTCATTGATGTCGGCGGGGATGGACATTCTCGGTGGGGGGCGCGTAGCAGTGGGTGTGGTGATGGCGAACATGCTGCTTGGAGTCACAGGCGTAGAAGCGAATTGCTCAGCGTCAGAGGCGAGACCAGAACCGAGGAAGTTGCTATCCAGAGCAGCATTGGCGAGCAGAGCGAGGAGCTCGTCAGTCTTTTCCTCCATGGTAGGAGAGCGGCAGGGCTCGATGATCGTGACTGGGGGAGGTGGAGGAGGGCGAGACGGGATGTAACGAGATCGTCGCCTGCCTGTATGGAAAGTGGGGTCCAACTGTGCACTTGGACCGCGTGAGGCTGGGGTCTGAATGGAGAGGGGAGCAACAGGAACAAGTTTGGATTGTCTGCCGCGACCGCTGTGGCGAGGTGGTGGAGGAATGGAATCAGGGCGAGCTCTCTGCTCGGAATAAGACTTCGAGGTGGGAGTGTGAAGAGGAGATGACAGCGTGACGATGTCGCTGATGTCTTGGGCAAGCCATGAAGCATCTTCGCCATCACTCCACTCCTCCTCAGAATCCTGAATAGCTGGTTGCCGAGGAAGCGACTGCTTCAAATCCGGCATTGACTTAATGTAAAGAATGGACGCCCGATGTGACTTGCATGTTGGCGCACGAGCAAGATGCGTGCGAGGATGCGACTCGTCGTCGGATGTGGGAGGAGTCATTGGCATCTTGGAAGAAGAACTAGAACCGCTCGAAGTCGTAGTGCTTGATTCGGAAGGTGTGGGTGATTGATCTCTCCGCGAGCTGCAGGAGGACTGATGAGGTGGCGAAGGAAAGTCAAGGGAGATCCCTAAACCGGAGAAACGCAAGTTGATCTCATCCAGCGGTGACTCCATAGTTGAGACTGGAGGCTTGGGAGCAGGTCGTGGAGGTGCATTGTACATGGGGAAGAAGTCGTCAAATGTAAGTCCTTCTGCACCAGTGAGAACGATACGTCGGGATTCGCGCTTGATGTCGACAACGTCCCATGCTTCAGAGTTGCGACCGCCAAGAGTCATATTCCCGCCTGCACTGCGGCTGGCGCAGAATGGAGAAGTGTATGATGAAGATGACGTGGAAGAGGTGGAGTGACGAGTCTCGTCCTCTTCTTCTGTAAGTCCCGGAAGAATGTCAAGGGGTTTCGCTTTTGCTGAAGAAGCAATATCTTGCTTCGAGCGTGTGCGATGTCGACGCTTGAGATTTGGTAGTAAGCGATTGCTTGAGAAAACTGTTCGAGAGTATTGAGATTGAGTGTCTAAAGACACAGAAAGAAGAGAAGGAATACTCACTGGAGTTCATCGTACACGTCGTTAAGTTGTGATATATGGTTAATAGTTCCAAGGAAATATAATGCTCGAGGAGCTAGCTCAGCTAGGTAACGAACAGCGAAGAGCAGGGAGAACAAGGGCCAGCCCGGGGTTGCTTTAGTATCTGAGAGAACGATGCATAGCAGGACTGCCTTTTGTGCTTGAAAGCCATTGTACCTTCTAATTGTTCGCTCGCAGTGCTCCTGCCAACGTTCGGGAACAAAAAGCCTCGCCTTCTGGGAACAATGCACACAGTACAATAGACCGGCGCCTCGGTCCGGCATTGGACGCCCCAAATCCACCAGCGCTCACCGACGGTCCTGCAAGAACCGTGAGCATACATGGATACACATGTCTTGGCCATGAGACTCTAGAAAGCAAAGTTTACAAGTTACCAAGTTCGATATGTCAGGCATCGCACTCCCTCGATGGCATATCTAAACCAGGTCGAGCAACGCCCAATTGTTCTCCCTTTCTACGCAAAATGCATGTCAAGGCGTCATAAGCCTACTTAAACTTCATGATAAGTATTGAACACTTACTACATCATCGTTGCCACATTGCCTATGCTTACTGGGCGTCGGGCAAAAAAGTCAGACAATGTGCCCAGCTAAGCGCGGGTGCCTATGCTTATAGTGTACCGCTTGAAATCGTCCCTGCTTCTGTTTCATGTGTTTTCAATGCTCCTGTGTCCGAGTTGCCGGGTATTCATCGCTTCCAGAATGACGAGGCATGATCACATTAACGGTCAGGAGAGAGTTCAAAGCCGACAGTCCTGCCAGTTCACAGCCTACAAACAGCAACTATATCGTTGACGTAATGATCTAAAGCACACATGAGACTCCGCAATGTGGAGCATTTGGAAGATACATAACTTGAGAAATTCTCTGAGTTGAGGATTCCGGCGTCCCCCCAACCCGACTTTTGCAAAAGTCGAGTCCTGAGAACGGTATACAGTCCCGCGGACCCGCTGAGCGTACTTTGTCTTATAATGAAACTGTCACACATATAATAAAATGAGTCATTTTACCGAGTAAACAGACAGTAAAATAGGACACGATTCCAAAACTTCGTTGAACAAGAGCACAATAATTCTTTCCAAAATAGTATAGACGCCCAATCTGGATGAGCGTTCAGTACGTAGCCAAATACAGCCAAACACACGCGTGCGACGCGTGGAGTCCTGCTTTCCCTCGATGATTGTAGTGACTGCTCACCACAAAGACTCAATTCAGTCCTGTATGAGTGCGTACATGTCCATCATATGCGTCTTGAGAGCTCACAAAATGGCCGCAGATTTCTTCAGCGTAAAAACGTGAAAAAGCTTCTCTCTACATTTTCGTTACAACTCATGGACGAATACGAGTACGACGTTATCCAATCTGACGATGATGTGAGGTCTTTTCCCCCACAATTGACGTCTGTCCTGAGAGACATGTCTAGCTTGAACTAGCAGAAGCGCTGCAAGCATCTCGCGAAGAATACCACCAAGGCTCGACTACCCGGGGTCAGGCTGGTCCATCCAGACTTCCTCACAGTACCACCCACATATCAAATGTCGATGAACGCGGGCTTTTGTCAAACGTAGAAAGTCTGGATGCTGAGATAGATAGCGTCCAGAATCAAATAAAACAACTTCAGAGCGTGTACCAGAAGCTGAAATCACAGCGGCAAGAAATCACCCGACGCTTGGAAGTTGTACGATCAAATGCGCCTACTGTCGTCAAGAATAAGGGCAAGGCGGTCGAGAAGCTTATCGACTACAATGTAGAATTCGACTGGACGCCGGGACTCAGGGCGAAGCTGGAGAAGGTATTTAGAATCGACAATTTCCGTCTATGCCAAGAGGCGTGCGTACTATTTATCTCCCATGATTGGTACCTTGCCTTGAGACCCGCTCTGACATTTATTATTCAGGGTTTGCAATGCCAATATGGATGGCCGAGACATCGTCTGTGTTATGCCAACTGGTGGGGGAAAGTCTCTTACATACCAGCTACCAGCTGTCATGACTGCAGGCATGACTCTTGTTGTTTCTCCCCTCATTGCCCTGATGCAGGACCAGATACTACACTTAAAGGATGCCGGAAGTAATGGACCTTTTTCATGGGTGTTGATTGAAACTAACCCTTTTTCATCATTGCAGTCGAAGCTGCGCTGCTGGCTTCATATCTTGACAAGTCTGAATCAGACGCAATCCAGAATCGTCTCAAAGCTCTAGCTACTGGACGTTCAGATCAAAGAGAAATCAAGCTTTGTTATGTTACTGTAGGTCCATTTTTCGCAATGATCCAAGTACCCTACGACATCTAATGTTTGCTGCCCAGCCAGAGAGATTATCCAAAAGCAAGCATTTTATTGCTCTTCTGACCCAGCTATATGCAGCAAAGAAGTTAGGTGCGGTGCTCTGCTGAACATTCGGATGGTTCTTGCTCATTCGGACATAGCTCGCATTGTCATCGACGAAGCGCATTGTGTCTCGCAATTAGGTCACGACTTCAGGTCTGGCGAATGATATCTCACTGCGATGCTACCAGCTAAATCTATTTATAGACCAGACTACAAGCAACTTTCTACCCTTCGCAAGCTTTTCCCATCCGTACCAATCCTTGCATTGTCCGCAACGTGTCCTCCACGTGTCTTGCAAGACTTGGTGCAGGTTCTTCGTCTGAACCGCGTGGTGGACGGTCGTGGTATGTAGCCCCCTATTCGCTTACAGTGGCCGTGCTTACCGTTTCTCCTCGTACATCAGCGGCAGATCCAAGGAAGGGCACACTGTATTTCTCGAGTCCGCTGTACCGCAAGAATCTCCATTACAAGGTATTGCCGAAACCAGCATCAGCCAACGCAGTCATCAAAGCCATGACCGAATATATCCAATCGCAACATCCTAAAGATAGCGGAATCATCTACTGCTTAGCTCAAAAGGTATATTTTTTGTTTCATTTTATTTCGGAGATGGGACAGCTGAACGACGTATATCTTCCATCAAGGAAGCAGAAAGTGTAGCGGACGGTATTCGTAAAGAATCAGGTGGAAAAATTAAGACAGGTGTATACCACGCAGGCGTTCACGACAAGGCGAAAATGAGACTACACGAGGAATGGCGGAAGGGCAACGTGAAAGTAGTTTGCGCGACTATAGGTAAATGAAGAACGACTCACCTATAACATGTGTTGATCGCCTTATTCACCTTCTTTTCGTAGCGTTTGGTCTGGGCATTGACAAGGGCGATGTTCGCTTCGTCCTGCATCATTCAGTGAGCATCGGTCGTTCTTGTATGTTTTCCGGTTTTCCTAATATTGTGTGCGCAGATCTCAGTCCGTGTATCATGTCGCTAGAGAATCCCCTACCTTCACTAAACATTATCGTTGCAGAAATCGTTGGACGGATTCTACCAAGAGTCGGGTCGTGCCGGGCGAGATGGACAAGATGCGGATTGCGTTTTATACTACCGTCCTCAGGATGGCAGTCGATTATCCTCCATGACGATCACTGAGACGAAGGGTTCTGAAAAAGGTGATGTTCGCCATATGGCATAGATGGCACTTCCAATCGATAAAGTTGCCATTATTTACGACAGTTCATGATATGCTACGCTTTGCACAAGATGTAGTCGAATGTAGGAAGATACAGTTTGCCAAGTACGTGACCTATATTTCCCAATTACCCGCACGTCATACTCAATTTACGATTTTATGCTACCATCACAGCTACTTCAATATGTCCTCGCAAGTGGGGCTCAACGCATGGTCTACCGAAAACGAAGATGCCTTGACACCCTGCGGCCATTGTGACAACTGCACCAGAGATCCAGATTCTGTCGAGAAGAGGAATGTGACCCTTGAGTCTTGGCAAATCCTCAAGGTCGCTCAAGCTATACAGAATGCTGGCGGACGTGTGACCCTCGCTCAATTAGCAGATGTCGCTCGCGGGACAAGAAAGGGTGAATTCGGAATCGCAGGGGGCGGAAGGAGGACAGCGTCAACAGGAACGCTTGATGTTGAACACGTTGCTGGCGGACCAGTGAATCTGTCTAAAGATGTAGGTACCCCACTTTTATGAATGCTTCGTGTTTGTTCACACTCGGGGTTTCAGGATACGGAAGTTCTGTGCACCCACCTCATAGTGAACGGGTTCCTCGACGAGAGTCCATCTGCCACGGCGCACACGGTCAATATCTACATTGTGCCGGCCACGATGGCAGCACGGCTGACTCGCTTTTCTCGCGCTGACATTGAAAATCGGGTCAATCCCAATGTGCGGGCTCCACAAATTGAAGTAACTTTCATAGTTGCTGGACCAAGACGTAGGAAGGCGAAAATGGCGCCTAAGAAGCCAAACGTAAGGGGAATCTCTGAATTGGAGGATGAGCTCAGCCCTGTTCCTCCGAATCGGAAGCGAAAACCGTTGGACCTCGATTCGGATGATGGTGTCTACAGCGTGGATAAAGCGAGCCTCAGTGATCGTGTGTCTGGGACACCGCTCACTGGTGATACCTCTCGTGACAGTCGAACGGCAGTCGAGGGTGAAGTAGACGTTGAAGACGAGGACGAAGATGACGTCGATTGGTGCTCTACAATGCGCACCCCTCCACGTAAACCTACTCGGTCTCATGCTACGTCGTCAAGTCCTTCTCGCCCGGCAAAGCGCTTGAAATCCTCCACGAGTAAGATCAAGGCCTCTCGCCGCCCTGCTTCTCCCGAGGTCATCGAGATATCCTCGGACTGAAAGCTCACTGGATAACTTATTGATAATATTTATGACTGAACACTGGTGCAACTCCTATTGGCGTTTGGTGATAGAATACACATTTGATTATTATAGTTGAATAGCATTATTTAGTTGTACTTCCTCCCCGTTCTCGTATACCGCTCTTCTTCTTGGCCTCTTCTTGCTGTATCAACTCTCCCTCCTTTCGCCATTGCTGTCTTTCGTACGCATCCCATTCTTTTTTCGCGTCAATCCATCGCTCCTGTACATCCCGCACATCACTCCTAGGTCCTCGTATCTCCCCCAGTGCACTCGAGAACAGACCATACACATTTGGACGCTGTGAAGCAGGTGCAGAGGCAGCCTCAAGAGTACCTTCAGGTTGGGGTGCATTCGGTGGAGGGACGAAGACGCAGCCGGTGGCCTTGTCAACAACCCGCATTAGGTGCAGCATGGATTCTTTGTCCTAAGAAGACGTGAGACATGGTGTATTTTTTTCTTCAGATAAACTCAGACGAACCTCCACAGCTAACGTCTCAAACCCGATCAGTCCATAGTCTTCAATAAGAGAGCATATTGCCATGTTCAAAGCTGCAAAGCGAGGGCTTGCCGAGGACAGGGCGTTCTCTAGATAAGACAAGTCCTGGACCTCGGTATAGAAGTCAAGGTTGAAATCTAGGAAGGAAGTGAGCTACGGTCTGTAACAACAAGATGCGTGATCACGTACCTAAGTCTCCGTATTGTGTGATCAAATCTACCTTCGACAGCACGTTCACGTGTGGAAGCTCCAGGTGAAGCATCGTACGTAGCGAAAGCATAAGAACAGATATATACTTCGACGCGTCCGTCACATAATGCGCATCACAAAGATGTACGGCAGCTAACTATTCATGGTCAATACTAGGTCCAATATGAAAGAAATCGAAACGCACCCGGAATCCGCTCTTCGTCAACTTTCTAATAATTCTCTTCACACTTTCATGATTTGTGGTGAGCTCGACCTGACCTGGGAGATCGAAAAGCACATATGTTTCCTCTCCGAGCTCCTTCAACCGATCTTCAAGCCAGTCATAGTTGGCCTCGAGGTATTCCATACAGTAAAGCATGGCACCATTCGGCCCAAGCCCGTGTTCGTCCATGGCCTCTTGTAAAGTAATGAGGGAAGATATGTCTATTGCACAGGGGTATGGTATGGATTCATTGGCAGGATCAAGGTTTACCACAGATATTGGACGGTTCAAGGCATTGAATAGCTGATATTTTCCGTAGCAATAGGTTGACTTCCCGCTTCCAGGAGAACCGCAAACGACCTCACCGAATGGCATTGTGTGAATAAGTGAAGTCAGGAGACCTCTTTGTTGTCGGTCCTCGGGGTGAAGGAAGACTGTACGGCTGAAGCAATGACGACGCTTTTGTATCTTCCAGAGAGTGTGGTAGAGCAGTGAACGTCAAAGGCTAGGAACGCGAAGGTGGTCTAGGAAAATCGCATGCAAGGCGCTTATAATGAAGCTAGGAGACTTCGACAGCTTGGTTGGATCCCTTTCATGTTCCTTACAGTCTAAATATTGTCTTCCAAGTGTCCCAGATATTTCAGGATAGGAAACGTCGATGTCTCAATTACCGACATTCAACTTCTCAATAGTAAGTGAGATTCGAGCCTCGTCTAGTTATCAAGAATGCCGGGTGATCTTCGCCATCTCGCCCGCAGAATGATATCCGTGATTTGCTAGATAAGGTCGTACTCACCTTGGAGGACTGGTCTAGAGGCAATGCTGTACAGACCGAGGTGGTACAGTTGTTAGATGATGCAATAACAACACTGCGTTCCGTTTGTAGCAGGGCGGAAGGACTTCCAGCCGAAAATAACCGGCAGATCTCCGCTAATCCTCCACATGAAGGCACATTGGTAGATTATTCAGGACACTTCGGGTGGAGACGTACTTTGAAGCAGAAACTGCATTCTCAGTTCAAGATACGGGACTTTCGTCTATGTCAAGAGTTGTAAGTAGTCCATTACTGTTGGGCACCAACTTGAACCCACTGACTTCATCCAGCATATGCAATGCAAACATGCATGGAAGAGATGTCTTTTGTGTTATGGCCACTGGTGAGTTCAGATAAATGATATGTCTAATACTCCGATGATTAAGAGATTACTTTCAGGTTCCGGAAAATCATTGACTTTCCAACTGCCCGCCCTGCTCCTTCATGGTTGTACCATTGTGATCGAGCCTTTGGTCTCACTTATAGCAGATCAGGTGGAGCACCTTAAGAAGCTTCATAGTAAGTTGTCTCTGTAATCTTGTGTTATGTCCTCTAATACAGTACTCTGGCTTAGTTAATGCTGTTGCACTAGGAGTAAGACATGGAGAGGAGGTGAAGAAGGAGTTGATCTCTATGATCAAAGGAAAGGCTCAAGGACCTCCAATCAAAATATGCTATATAACAGTGAGCCCATTATTTTGATGTTCACCTGAGTATTAATCAGCTTCATTCAGCCAGAAAAACTATTCAGGGATGAAGAAATCATGCCCATCATGCTCAAATTGAATGAGTGTAAGCAACTTGGTATGTGTACTATTGACTTTCATGGAGCACTTTTCAACTTGTGATCATAGCTAGATTTGTCATTGATGAGGTCCATGGAATCCACAGGTTCTCAGTGGAATTCAGGTGTGTGAATTATTGGATTTCAGTATCTAATATTCAACAATGATACATACTGTGACTGACCTCTTTTTTAGACCTTATTACCAGGAACTCAGTCAATTAAAACAGAAGATGCCCAATATACCTATTCTGTGCTATACAGCCACATGTCCTGTTACAGTTATCAATGATATTGTAGCCATGCTTGGATTGAAACCTGTAGTTTCAGGGCCAGGTACTATTCTTAGCCTGTATTTTGAGATTCACTAATCTAAGTCTGCATTTCTTTTATAGTTGCACCTGAATCTGGAACTGTCTTCTTCTCTAGTCCTATCTATAGGTCAAATCTACACTATGTAGTCTTGGCAAAGCCCAAGCCTGCAGAGATGAATCAAGCTCTTATCAGATATATTCTGAAAAATCACAAGGGTAAGAGTGGCATTATTTACTGTCCTACCAAGAAGGTATTGATTATATGGGCTGTGAATAATTAATGAGAATTTGATGATCCTCTCTTTCTAGGAGGTGGAGCAAGTTTGCAGCACTATACTTGTTGAAAGTGAAGGGCAGATTAGGACTGCTGTTTACCATGCTCATCTAGGGGATAATATCAAGACATCAACAATCAATAATTGGAAGAATGGTTTGATACATGTTGTATGTGCAACAAATGGTATGTTATATTTCTCTATTGCTTAATAAATATATAATGTAAAAAGAACTTTTCTAGCATTTTCATTGGGAATTGACAAGTCTGATGTACGGTTTGTCATTCATTACTCTGTGAGTTCTAAGCTATTCTGCTTCGCATAGAAAGCTCACTTCAATATACTGCATCTTTAGTTGGCAGTAAGTAAAATGTGTAGATGAATTCTAAGAGCACCTCTCACTGTTGTGCAGAAGTCTCTTGATGACTTTTTTCAGGAATCTGGAAGAGCAGGAAGAGATGGTTTACCTGCTGATTGTATTCTGTATTATTCTCCTCAAGATGTCTTTGGACTTAGAAAGTTTATGAAGGATGATGAGTTTGCTAAAGGTATGACTCATTTCACCATTTTGATTAATTACTAATATGCATGAATCTATAGTGCATGATATGATTACTTTTGCCCAAGATGTAACAACTTGTAGAAAGAAGCTTTTTGCATAGTGGGTTAAATACATTGAATTCTTGGACAACTTCTTATAAATATGTTGTTTTCAGCTATTTGTCTAGTTCATCCAATCTTCCACAAGAACTGGAGAATTGCCATGACTGTGATAACTGCAACAGGAGCCCCACAACACTTCAAACTCTCTCCATGAAAAGTATCACTTGGAAGATGTTGAAGTTATTAGAGCAGGCACACAACACCTCCAAGTCCTTCACAGTGCTTCAGCTGGTTGAACAACTACAGACTACAGCTGATTTAGCATATGTCTCAAAAGATGTAAGTTTTAAACAGACTCTCTGACTTAAAACTCAGCTTATGCTTTTTCAGATGTTGCTACGTCTTTGTATGAAGTTGCTGGTTGAAGGATATCTGGACACCTCCCAACATAAGATAAGATGGGGAACTCTTATCCGTATTATCCCGGGTCGGCGAGCTACAGAATTTACAAGGCTTACCCAGTATCGCATAGACAATGGCGAAGGACCCGAGATTCGCTGCACGTTCAGCAACGACTTGGCTGCAGACAAGCAAACATGGCGTCGCTATGGCTTGACGACCTCCGGGCAGGGTCGAAGCAGAGCTCCGTCACCCGAACCCACAATTTCGCGTGGCGCATCTCATCGAAAGAGGCGACGTTCTCCGTCTGGTGGCGGCGGGGGTTGAATTTACGAATGATTGTTGGCTAAGACGGAGATAGAGACAGAATTGTTATGCAAGCAATGGGTATCTCACGTGGAATTCGAAGGAAAGGAGAGGGCCTAAATACGAATGTATGTATTATGCAAGGATGAGGACGTGGATGTATTCTACATAGGTGTTACTAGCACATGTCGCGTGCGAAGAACTCTGTAAAAACGACTAAATGAGGTTTACATCAGTAGCGGAAGCCTGCTTCACACTACTCGGGTGAACCATACTTAGTTGAACCATATTCATACATATAGTCATATCTTATGGAATATCTTAGGTGGTAGGTGAGGGTGTCGTTGACTTAGGACGTTTCAACGCAGAGCGAAGCGGCGATTTCGGGACCAGTCTGTGTTGCATGTCAATGCGAACACCGTCCTCATTCATCCACCCATTATTTGGCTCCGGATAGTTCTAAAGAAATGCAGACGTCAGAAAAGCTCGCCGTCAAAGACGTGAAACCCCATACGTACAGAAAGGTCGGGCGGATATTCAAGTCCAGGCTCAGGGGACTTAAAGCGACCATCATTGGTCCACAGTTGGTCTCTGGAAATGGTGTGGTGAGCGACAAACTATGAATACTGTCAACGATACAAAGCGACATACCCTCTGCGATTAAACCAGCCTTTCCGTCGAGGTGTGGGTGAAGGCCAAATTAGGTTCTCCGTCCACCGGACACAGCGTCGGGTACCGATTGTCAAGACACTGTCAAGATTAGGTTGAGGAGGAAGTAATGTAGGCGAGTTTCTCGTAGGTGCCGCTGGCTGGAGTCCAGGTGGCGCTCGAGGATTGATCTCGTCATACGTGGCGATGGAACTGTCTGTTCGCATCGAGCATAATGGCGGTCGAACGTTGCCGCCAGATGAAATTGTCTCTGAAGGACGGCCACTGGAGGATCGCTCCAAAGCATTGCGACGAATTGGGGTCGATAGAGGAAGGGAGGCACCAATACTTGTCGCAGTGACTCCGCCTGACTGGGCCAGGTAGGGTCTAGCAGCATTCTCTTGGTCGCCCTCGGAAACAACGGTGTCGCTATCGTCGTCCGAGGCCACAGCAACCGAAGGAAAAGGAACAACAGGCCTTGACGTGTGATTCCTCGACGATATCACACCTGCAGGACCTGGAGGAGAAGAACGCGTCGTGAACGCTACAGGCTGCGTGGCAGGGGGAGAGACGGACAAGAATGGCTGTCTCGAATTTTGTTCGATCAACGCCGTCGTTTCCAAGGTCTCTGTGCTACTGCTAGCACGAGTAGACGAAACTTCCAATGATAGAGACATGGCATGATCTTCGCTGAAGTCCGAATCCGAGCTTGATGTCGAAGCTGGGCTAGCTAGGAGATCGGACGCTGATGAAACGGATCGTTCATAGATATAAGTGTCATTGACAGAGCTTGGATAGATTTGATAGGGCCTGTGAGATTTTGAACGTTTGGGCTCGAAAGGAGGTGCATACACGGAAAGCTGGCGGGAGTCGGGAGGTGTTGCTTTCCGGTCAGTATCCTGGCGAGAAGGGTAGGACGAGGGTTTCGTCCATACTGCGCCAGGAACAGAGCGGTTCTGGCTCTCGCTATATTCGAGTTTGGCAGGGATTACAGCAGGCGGCGGCGCCGGGTTCTTGAGAACATGTACAGAGAATCCTCGAGGTACCTCTAGTACATACTAAAGGAACGCTGAGATTCAGGACATAACCAGTCACCAGACAAGCACACACACCTTCGAACCGTTACGGCTAGCTGTGCGCCCAGCGCTTTTCATGTCAAATCCCAGCGATGAGAGCATTGTGAGCATGAGCAACCTAGAGAAATGGCATACTACAGGTGAAGACCTTATATTGCCGGTCAAGCAGCGAGGCAAATGGTTCCGTAGATGCAAGGACGTGCTTCTTACACGAGTTTGGCCATCAGCACTGGAAGTACGCTCCGAAGGCAGGAAGTCTCCGCATGGCTTCGGCCAATGTCCAGGATCACGGAAGGTATTGCACTGTGTGGGAAAGCCCTACTCGTAATGCGTTCATCGGTCAGCATCGGAATGAGCTTTTCCATTGACGAATAGGCTTCGATGTCGTCGTGATGATGCAGGGTAGAACCCTAGCCATACTGAGGTTCGTCGATCGCTTCTGTGTAAAGATCAATCAGTCTAAACTTACCGTTGAATATTGTGTAAAAGTGAGAGCGTGAAGCTCGTAAAGGAGCCTCGAGGACGAATAAAAGGGAATGTGATTCGGCTGTTTGCAACATGGTCCGAGGCATGAGCAATGTGCAAGGTAGGACGGGCGCTTGAGTAGAGTACGTTTACTGAAGAGGCAGTTGTTGTAGATGTTTGAAAGCGCCGTCCAGAGATGGCGATGTCGACAGCTCGCAGAATACACAGAATGTGGATATATTAGACATGTGCATAGCGAACGAATATATTAAATGTACATTAGTATGCGCCTTTACCACGCACCTCCCAAACTAACCCAGTCCTTCATGACAACGGCTCTCTCAGTGGCGATCTGACGAGTGACCTCATCTTGCCGAGCAATAGGCAGGTCCTCGAATGCGGAGAGAAGATTTCCATCTAGAACACCTTTGGTAAGGGGACGGGCGACACGATCATTGTGCACGATACTAAGAAGACGATCAGCATGGCCGTGCACAGGATACAGGGCGTAAAACAAACCGGAATGCTTTGGGGTTCAATCCTGCCGCATGTTGCACATTCCTAGTCAATTGTCCTTGAAGTAAATGCAAACGCTTGAATGCCCCTTCGTCCACGTATGTCAGGGAAGAGAGCGCTCCATCCGTAGAACCTGCCATTGAACATGAGACAAACCAAATGTGACTGAAAGTGAGTACGAACCGCAAATTAGTTTAGCCTGGGGAATCTCTGCATCCGTACTAGTACTTCTCGATCTACGAGCGATGACATATGAAGAACGGTACTCTGTTTGGCCGTGGAACTCCGTTTTACAGAGCAGGCGCTGTCCCCCTCTCGACTCAGGATCTAAGGAAAGGTGAGCGCCTGATACGAAGGGAGCTAAAATAGACACATACTAAGAGGATCATACTCATACAACCTAATAACTCCCTCTTCATCGCAGCTTACAATGGACACTCTTCCATCCGCGAAGAAAAGCTCGGCCTGAGTCACAGAAACCGGACACACATCTTTGGCAAGTACAATCAACTTATATGGATCCTCCTGCGTTAGACTGAATAAACCCCCGTTCATGGCGCGATACTATCGGCAACGCACCTGAAATGCAACAAACCAGACACTCTTCACAGCGTCTCCGATCACGAGCAGGTTCTTGATGGCCCGCAGAGACGTTACATATACGCCTACATCCAAGAATGCAACTCCCACAAGGCGCTCATCGAGGTCAAATGCACGAACAAAAATCTAATCATGAATGAGCTATGAATGAGCTAGTCGAGAATGTGGCGTCAAGTTGAAGGAGCCTACCTTTTGGCCCATGGAAGACACTAAGTACCCATCCATTCCACAGATCGCGGTCACTGGTCCTTTAGCGTCGTCCCTGCATAGCAGCTTGAGGCGATACCATCGTTTCGGTGACATGGATGGATCGGGTACAACCTCAACGACTTCGAAGATATATACCTGGTGCCATCGTTCAATCAAAAGCCATTCCAAGAATATGTATGACTCACTGCGCCTTTGACGGCTAAGTCTTCTCCACGGTTGATAGTCGTTCCAACTGCTATGAAATCTTTGATCCCTGCTTCCGTACTAGCTGATTCCAGCGGAATGCAATCGACGCAAGTGACGAACTCATTCTGTGCAAATTCATACCTGCGAAATCTCAGCTGACTGAGACGTATCAAATCAGTGATACGCACCCATCCATTACAATCCAAGTCTCCGGTGAAATCAATTCAAGTGTAGACGTTTCACACGAGGGATATGATATGTTTGGCACTGCAAATATGTTGTTCAGAATGGTGATGAAGGGTCCAGAACACAACGCTCACCATCAGGTTCCCAAAGTATATTGCCATCTTCATCGTACGATGCGAATGTGGCTTGTTGAGATGTTGCGGCGACCAGCAAAGACGATGACGGTTCATAAACGATGTTTGAGTACACCCTGTCTTTTGGAACGGAACGTGAAGGTAAATGGTTATCAAAGTGAATGTCTGGTATCCACTCCAGAAGACTGGGTCCCTGTAGTAACGTTGATAAGAGGGGTGCAATAGATGCGAAGTAAGATCATACCTCTTCCGAGTATAATAGAAAATCGCCTTTAGACTCCCACAGAGAACATGCCGTAAACGCGTGTACGACCGAATGGCCAGAAGCATGCATTTTGACACCCCCCTTATCAGTAGAAAGAATCCAGCATGGCCTATCACCTGTAAAAAAGACCCCTGAAAAGCTTCTGCCTGGCGCAGGCGACGTCACAAATGGAATAAGAAGTCGTGAGATGCGCTTCTGTTCGGCTAGAACCGACTTGCCCCCCTCCTCCAGATGTTGCTGGATGTCGAAAGCTCTAGACAACACCTTCACAAACTTCACTGGTAGCGTAAAGGCACGAGTCAGTGGCGGCGTTTCATTTGTTGTAGAAAATGATGGAACAGCTTCGTATATTGCGAAATGCCCTGAGCGAAGGAACACCTACATTTCGTGGGCTTCGATCAACCATGCAACTCACATTCATGATTGTGAAACACATACCAGCAGGTGAGGCTTTGGAGAGGATTCGCCCAATGGAGCAATGAGAACTTGCTCAATATCTAACTCTTGAGGCTTGCGGGGCGGGTCTTGCGGCAACGACGGAGTAGGGGCATCCCCTGAGTCCACCAACACGCTTTCTAACATGGACACCGCAGTAGTTGAGAAGATCAACGTAAGTTTGGGAAGCGTCCAAATCTGGGCATTGATCGGATGAGCAGAATCCTAAACTGACTTCATATGAATGTTTACCTCCATGACGCCTTGAGGGCGGACGAGAAGTAGCCATTGAGTCTTGCCTCCGGCTGCCACGACTGTTTGAAGGGTCGACGTTACAGTCTTCTCGGAACTTTCTGCCGTCGAGTTGGGTTTCGACCGAAAGACGCCTGATGTGTCCGCGTAGAAACAACCGGCGACATACTTTGAAGTCTACTGAAGGCGTTAACGAGGATCGGGATGATGCATGAGAGCGACTTACTTTCTCACCCATAGGCGACATGTCTTTTCGACGAATCTTTCCCCTCTCTGGCTCGCCGATGAACAGACCCAATGAGTCATCCTCACGAATGATCAGGATGAATGGGTCCGATATACTACAGTAGCGAATCCGTGGCCGATCCAGGTCCTTGATAATTTGTCGTTCAGTCCCGTCTAATGCCGTCCGACGTTAGCAGCGAAACGAGGCGTTAGACCATTAGGAAGGGCAAATGCACACCTGGTTCAAGCACGCGAATAGAGTTGGACATGACGTGTAGAATCGCTGTTCCTTGGAAGAACGGCGCGGCACCGATTGTAGTTCCGGGGATACGTGTGGTAATTGCGATGTCGCTTTTGGGCGATCTTTGCGCAATCTATATGCCGCTGAGATCAACAAGATGCATACTTCAGTTTGCGAAAACTTACGCGCGAAAGCCCCGGTGACGGGTTTGCATCGGTGCTGATGATAACTGCATCGTTCTCAGTACGATGTGGATTCGTAGGGCGTTCATAAGTCGATCCATTGACCTTGACAGCTTGCCGTACAGGGAGTGACCACATCCCACGACCACCACCAATAGCATGCAGTTTTCTCTTGGTTCGAGTTGGCAGATCCCGCTGGGAAAGCTTTAGTTGAGATGCTCTCGCGGAGGCAAGACGGGAGAACTATACCTGGAAGAGCGTGAATCCTCCGAACGAACCGGAACCAGTCGCAGCGACAAGCTCCGGGACATGACGATCCTATTGAAAAGGAGTTAACGCAGAAACTTCATGGGAGTCCATAAAAGATACTGACGCCGTTTCTCGTTACAGCAAAGGTAATGTCGCATATAGGGCCATACGCAGGTATCGAATCGCATAGAGATAGGTGAACGACGGATCTAGTCTTCCGAGTAGAGACAAGACCATTTGCTGTGCCGTTGGCTGTCGGTTTCGTGTCCAGCCGGATAGGACCATAGATATCTGGATATATGGGAAATGAAGCATAAGTCGAGAAGAAGCAGCGCGAGATGCCTACCGTCGTCATAATCCAAATCCATCGTATTGCCCGTATCAACAACGGCAGTAGGAGATGTCTCCATCTCCACATCCTCTTCCGGAACCTCTTCTTCGACTTTCGCCGCCTTGAGCAGAACCGAAGAGCCGACTGTGCTGCCTATGAACAAGTAGTCGCCTGGTACCCTTCGCACTACTGCAGGTATGGTTGTACTTGCTACCGGCGTTGTTATGGACAGGTGCGACACTGTTCGTCCATCTGCAGCAATGTCCACCGGATAGACTGTCCCATCTTTTAAAATGATGAAAAGGGTCTTATCGTCGACGAACTCTGCTTTCGAACCCTCAAGTTGAAGATTCAAGCCCGGGTTCGGATGAAGCGTATTCGATGTATCGCTGACACGAGGGACCCATCCGTTAACCGGTAAGACGACGCGACGTGACGTCTGGTCGACGTGGATGATAGAGTTAGCTGTGGTTATGATGACACCGCCAAGCGTACTCGAGCAAGTTGTGAGGTACAAACTATCGTAAGGTAAGTTTTCGACTGCAGTGATTATCGGACAATTGTGTGTTGCGAGATCGAGGGTGAAAATGAACAGCCCGACTGTATCTTTGTATTCTTTCAACCGCCTACATCAAGTAAGTTCCAGCGGCTTTGTACCTGAAAGGAAGGGCCACTTACCCTGTCCATGTTTGCTGAGGTTGGAAGAGTACGGCAATAGTTGGACTGTGGAAACCGGGAAGGAAGGCAAAATCAATGACATGTCGGATTCGTTCGTCAACATCTGCAGTAAAGTCCAGGATGAAGCTAGAAGAATACGGCATATCTCTGCTAGACGTCATTGAGCATACAACATGGGCTGCAACATGTCCGACGAACATACCTTGCTTGAGTGACTTGTTCCATTACATCTAAATCTACTTGCGACTGGTAAAATGGCAAAACAGCGATGGAATCTTTCGGGAGCAGAAGTGCCGCACACCGAGAGAGTGGGTCGCTCCGTAAAAGTGCTCGAAAGAGAGGTGCATCCAATGCGGACTGTCAATATGTAGATTAGCCCGAAAACTCAACGCTGGTGAAAAACGGCGCACCAATTGCGGAGCACGTTCATATGTGTGGATTGACACCGTTGTGAGATTTTCTGTCTCTGTTGACCATTCTAACAATGCAATCTTCGGGAGTATCAGCAGCAATACCATAACAAATAAGAAGTATAGAGCTTGCCTTAGCATCCTTAAACGATACAAGGAGACGGTCAAGACCATCTTCAAGAGAGCTAATAGTGCGAACGCCCTCTATCCCAGTAACAATTCCATGCAGACGATGCTCGCGCACGAAATAGAACCGGTGCACCGAAATGGCGGTGGCGTCCTGCGCAGTAGACTAGGAACAACAAAATAATAGTCAGCATACTGGCCAATAACCCAACTTTGTGTCACACAATTGAACACTTTCAAGTGGAAAGGCATATCATTGCATAGTAAATGTGTAAGAACAAATGGGTACCACGAATTCACCTTGACCAAACCCACATTCACAAAGCCTTCTCCACACGCATCCATCTCGACCTCCCCTTCAACAGCTTCAGTGCCCCTTCGAACACTAGCACGCCTTTCTCGCTCGTCTTCTTGCTTAGGTGAGATAGGTGGAGGTTCTTCCCGGACTTCGAATATACGTAGAAGATTTGAGCGGGCAACTACAACGTTGAAGAGAACTCTCGGTTGGGATGAACTGGAGGCTGCCATCCCGACGGTGGAAGGTGTGAGCTTGAGACATGCAGCGCATTCCACACCGCTAGGTGGAAGTATCTCGTGCCGTAGAGCATGCATGTGGGGAAGTCAATATGCTTGAGCAACTTCAGATTCGGTCGCAACCAGGATATGTTCAACAACTTCAGATTTTGCCGCAACAAGGAGCCTTTGGAAAGCTTTTAGAGACCTTTACTCTCCCTGCACAGGCACTATCAAAGCAAAACTCATATGCCCGGAGCAGAACTCGACTGAAATGAGATGATCGAACAAGAACAAGATCGCAAAACCGGAGAGTCAGGGTATATTATTATTCACTTTCCCACGCTTTGTTCTGAATGCGATACGATACTTGCTAGTAAAGTCTAGTATGTGGGTACGTTTTGGAACATATGATAGCATATTCTAATCGTGCTGTGATATTCAGTTTCAAGAATCAAGGCTAACAGGTAATGATCTACGTTAACAGCCCATTGACTTACATGGTTGCTTTTCAGCTCGCGTCGACACCGCCGCGCTATTAGCCGAATGTCACCAGAAGTTCGCAAAGTCAACTAATACACCTTCACTTCATGGAAGATCATACCTTCAATCTCGGTCTGGATGAAGACTCTCGCTCGGAGAATTCGGATAGCATCAGCGTGGCGAGTGGCCACGATGTCGCGTTTCTCGTCACAACCGAGCTTCGACGCGTGTGGGCCGAGTACTTCGCCTGGGAGCAGCAATACTGCATAAATATCATCAGGTCGTTAGCATCTAGAGCCTCGTTGACCGACGCGTCCTCGGAATACCTGTGTGAAAATGACGCTCTGTCAGAACTTCACGCGACCGACCTAGAGGCCGAGGCATTCACTGTCCTTGACTTCGAAGTAAATGCAGAACCCAAACTTCAGGTCGTCTCGGTCTCATGTTTTGAAATTCTCGACTATCACCCTTTCCCGCCTTATGAAGGCTCGACTCCGATTAACTGCGTCATGTTCAAGGGTGACGACTCTGATGACTTGCCCTTCGTACCCTTTGCAGAGGAGTCAAATTTCCGTACCGACGACTTTATGAATGTGCATGGCAGTTTAGGATGGCAAGACGAGCTGAATGACGTGGATCGTATGTGCTGTCTTTTCAGCTCTGACTGATTCTTGTTGAAATATTGTGTTGTTCACAGGTAAGCGGATATTTGTCGAAGTTGCTCGACGATTGTACAGACAGCATGGCGTGAATCCCTCGGATATCGATGCTATGCAACTTTTGCCGTATCCTCTGTGCTCCACTTCATCTCGATGGGGTTTGCTGTGGGTTGATTCACAGAAGTACTCGCAAACGTTAACGCTGCACGCTATGTTGTTGATTTAGAGCCCTTCTTTCACAGTGATGAATTGAAGTGGATCGGCTCGGAATTACGACGTCCTCTTCCACCGCATAATGATGAAGCGCCTCCGACGGACGACCTGAAAGGTCGAACGCAAAGCCTGATGTCTCACTTCTGCGCACAGAAGAATTGCATACGACCTGTCTGCATGTCTCATGGTGGGTCTTCGTCACTATGCACAATATAGTAAAGAAGCATCATTAACGCGTGAACAGAACAGAAACCGAAACATATTGTTGTCCGAGACGAAGATATATTGGCTAACTTCAAGATGGTCACACCGGTTACGCTATGTGGTATAGCTTGCTACTTGCATTCCCAAGAGGTAGCAAAGGTGAGTTCTGCGATAATAAATATCCCAGAGTATCCCATTTTGACCATCAGTCAGAGACCTCAACCCTCTTCATCGGAAGCCGACATTACGAATCTGCGTACAATATTATCCATTGCTCCCGAGTCGACCGTATGTGATTTGGCCGTAATATGTGGCAGACCATGTTATAGGGTAAGGGCGCAATACTGTCCAGTGTCGGAACACCAGCTGATGTTCATGTCAGGTGCGAAGAGAGATCGAGCAACTTCGTGACTCGATACGGGATAGCCGTCAGAAACGACGGATGCGAAAATTGCCAACTAGGCCAATCGTCGAAACTTTGTTCTTTGGTACGGTCGGATTTCCTGTTTTTATGTCACTTATCAGGCACTGAGACACGTCTGGCAGACGGTCATCGGTTTGAAAAATTCACGCCGTAAGTGCTCTCAATCAAGCAAACTCTCTAACATGATTCATTCATACTCGACTCATTGCAGCGTACCTTCTTGTGATCACCTAGGACCATGCAATATGACAACAGAATGCGGCTGTGACGCCGGGCGAGTGCATTGTGAAGGTAATTGTCGATGTGATATGACTTGTACGTATAAATCCTTACTTCTACTAGCTAATTCGAGTGTTGACTCATGACTACGAACGGTACGGTCTAGGTCCGAGACGATGGAAAGGTTGTCAATGTGGCTCAATAGCAGATGGAGGAGTAATGTGCACGCTCGAGCGCTCGTGTCCCTGCAGGATGGCCAATCGGGAGTGCGAGCCTGAATTGTGCGTTACTTGTGGGTTTTGCGAGAAACCGTCAGGCAAAGGCTGCACAAACGCACCGTTGCAACGTGAACACTTCAAGGTGTGTTTTACTTCATGGTTATACTGCCTGATTCAGTGTACTCACGCCTCCTCCCAGCAACTCGAGGTTCGTGTGAGTGAATTTGGCTGGGGTGTGGTCCTCTGCGAGCCAGCGGCAAAAGGAGACCTTGTTTGCGGTAAGATCCATAACCCTGCACTTGCCGCGGAGCATTGACTTATGTGGATTTATTCCTTAGAGTATATCGGCGAATTGATATATGAGCCTACATTCAAAAGTCGAGCGTACGTCAATTCTATCCAGTGGGATGGAATTTATCTTTACGTGGATTCTTTTTCTCTTCAGCCTATTGGCAGACCACCGCGGGAGAAGCTATGTCTTTGGGCTGAATCGAACATTCGACGTGGATGCTTCATATGCTGGCAATGAGTCGCGTTTTATAAATCATTCATTCGACCCCAACTGTGTTGTACGAAGTAGGTTTTCTTGTCGCCTCTCCGGCTTATGTCCACGCTCATAACATTTTCGTCGCATTCTTGTTACCAGTCTCCTTCGTTAATGGTGACCAGCGGATCGGTGTCTATACTAGTAAGTATTCATCCCTCTACACCAACCAACATGTCGCCAATACGGCATTGATATATATTAGGTGTCGACATTCCTGTAGGATGTGAGCTTCTCATCAACTATGGACCAAAATTCTTCTGAGCACCAGTACCGCCCGGACCACTGCAAACAAGCCATGTAGTTAACATATCTTGAACCATCTGTAATGGCAGGCTAATACGAAAGACTCCATACCACTCTTTCATAGTGTATCCTACATAAATACCAGAGATTCTAGGATTGAACAAAACGAAGATTACAAGACAAGCTAGGAACTGCCCTACAGGTTTGTTTTGGTCACATACACTAACCCTGACTACCAAAACGCCGCTTGAACTCCACCTACAGACGCATAATAAGCTGCTTTACCCCAGACATCCACAATCCGATGTCATCCGTAAGTGAACCTCTAGTCAACAATTCAACGTGGAGAGCGAGGGAAGACTCCCGATCGTGCGCAGCCATAGCTAAAAATTCTCGAGTCAGTAAATGATCCTACAAGTACAACAACAAACTCTTACCTTGTGACAAGACAATCAGCTGATCGCAAACATATTTCGACAGTGTCTCACAATTAAGAGCGTCGAACAACGGGTTGATGCGCCTTTCGAGATCATCAACGAGTCGTTTCTGTTGGGGCTAAGAGGAGCAGAATTCAAAACCAGTACACTAGCTAAATTCCGAAAAGAAAACTTACAGGTGTCGTTCGCTTTAACCGGTCCAGCTCGCCATTGATTACCTGATACACAGGCTGGAGGTGATTAGGAATATGGCTTCGATCACCAGGGGCTACATAAGACGATATCAGCTTATTACTTATTATCGTAATGAGTGTTCACGCACGGTATTTTGGTGGTGGGGGACCAGTCTGTCGTGGAAGAACAGCAGAGGCCGGTCCTCGAGCAGGACCGCCTGGAGGTGGCGGACCACCAGCTTGCCCGGGAGGTCCAGGTCTAGGTGCTACCTGGGACGGTGGCGGAGCAAAGGAACTCGGTGGTTGTTGAGGGGGATAAGGTCCCTGTGGCTGTTGAGGCGGAGGAGCGAACGAGCCTTGCTGAGGTGGTGGTGCATAAGGACTAGGTTGTCCTTGAGCAGGCGGAGGAGTACCACGAGAGAAGGTTGGAGATGGCGTTATCCGCGAATAAGGCCCTTGGGCATGTCCGGGAGGTGGAGGAGGTGCATGTTGTCCTGGAAAGCGAGGAGGGTATGCATATTCACCTGGCGCTCTGACCGGTGTACCTGGTCCACCATGTGGAGGCGACATCATCCGACTGGGTGGCGGAGGTATGAATTGGGACGCGCTAGGACCGGGAGGACCAGAAGGTGGTCTCATATGAGGAGGTGGTGCAATCCCTTGTCCCTGTGGTGGCGGCGGAGGGCGCTGAACACTGCCTGGCCTTGGAGGAGGAGGCAAGTTATGTGGGGCGTGGCCACGCCCAGCAGAGAAGGGTGGTGTGCTAGGAATAGGGGGTGATGGCGCAGAGTTGGGGAACGGTGCTGTGATAGCTGCCGGCTTACTCAATGGCAAGTTGCTAGGGGTGCGACGCTGGCTGACAGTAGGTGCATCGTTCCATCCACCATTATCTCGTTTGATTGCAGCAGCTCCTCGAGGTGGAGGGCCTGGAGGAGGAGCTGCTGCCGTACCGTTGGCCCGTTGTAGATGTTGCTGTTGTGGCTGAGGCGGTTGTGAGTAGGCAGTCACTGATGTATACGGACCGCCCTGATACTGTTGAGATTGGTATGGCTGAGGGGCACTTTGTGTAGCGGCAATGGGAGGAGCATATGGGCCGGAGGGCTGCACAGGCTGGGCAGGTTGAGACTGAGCATAGGCGTTATACACAGACGTGGCAGCAACAGTGGCCGCAGGTTGCTGTTGGGGAGCGCCATATTGACCATAAGCATAAACATTGCTTGTTGAGGCAACAGGAGCCAACTTGCTAGGAATTGCAGGAGCCGATGGCAGGGAAGCAGTTCGCACTGGCAGCGTGCTCACACCAGCGGCAGTTAACAGACGCTCGCGACCCTCGGCGAAGTCCAAGTGAGAACCATGAGAGCCATGGTACTCGGAAGGAGACAGCTTCAAGAACGCAACAGCTTCCTTGATCAATCCTTGAGTAGCCAACAAGTCAGCGTACTCGAAGTATCGATCATACAATCCCGCCAGTTTATATGTTCTTGCTTCAGCCTCCTCCTCCTCGCCAGTTGGTTTGAGGTGGAGATCGGTATCCTCGTAGTTGATTGCACTTCGGAAGACGGTGACCTTTTCAATGAATGTTTGGAGAGCGACAGCATGTGCAGTGTAACGTGATCCGTGCAAATGTTCCTTGTCCACCAACAATGTCTTCTCCTCTTCCGCCAGCTCCTCAATCCAGATATTGACCAACCTCTCCAGCTTGCCCGCAGCCAAATACGTCAACGTGGCATTCTTCCTGAAGTCTTTCGCCTTCTCCGCGACATCAGCCACGGTCGAAACCTTGGCCAAGCTAGACTGGAACTCCAACCGTTGACCCAATTGTTCGGCCAAACTCGAGAAGTCCTCTTGACCAGCGAAAGTACAAAGCACCACGAAAGTCTCTTGCCACTCTTGCAAGTCAGCGTTCTGAACGATATCGGCAAGATCGTTGGTAACGATGGACTGGAAGAGACGAAGGTATGGGTGAGCCGTGGTTCGACGCTCGAAGTATGCCTTCTGAGTACTCTGCAAAAGCTCGGGTCCGCCGCGAACAGCAAAGAGGATGGCATCGGCAAACCGATCAGAAGACAGGCAAAGCGATACAGCAGACTCAAAGTCACCCAATACCAAAGCCTTGGTAACTAAGCGGTCGGTCTCAGACTCGTCGTTGGGGTAGATACGGAAAGTGTTGCTCTTCAGGCTCTCTGAAGCAACAGACGAAGGCCTTGAGCCAATAGTAGCGGCGACGGAGGAGTCAAGGGGATAATTGTGGTGAGGAACCTCCATATGCTGGTCATCGTCCGATCGGGCAGTGCCGATGCTACCGAAGAAATCAGCAGCGGCATCTGTCTGAGGAGTACCACCGACAATCTCGTCGCCGAAGAGAGACGGAGCAGTTGTGGTGGACTCTCCATCGGCCAGACGAGTTGCACTCGTGGTGTCGGAAGCTGCGCCAGCGCTGACCTCTGAGGGAGTATTCTCCGTGGCAAGTGCGCTGGCATCGACAGTATCTTCGTTGTCGAACTCGGGACTAGATTCACGCTCAGGTTCGGCGAATGAGACAACAGGTTCGTGAGGCTTGAATTCAGTGTCGTCTTGCTCGGTGGGTGAAGTCTCGGTTGTGTCTTGAGCGTGCTCAGCTTCTGTTACAGCCTTCAACTTTTCAACGGCCTCTGCCACCCTGCTTGCGATCTCTGCTTTCGAGAACCCAAGCAAGGTGATCAGCTCATCCCGTGAATTCGCTTTAAACAGACTTAGCAATGCCTTCCAACCAGCAGAACTTTCTGCGGCAGGTGTCTGTTCATCGTCAGTCTTGGCACTCCTTTGTTCAGCGAGCTCGTTCAACTTCTGTTCCTCTATAGCGGCCTGTAGCTCCTTGGCGCGCTCCACGATCGCCTGTTCAGTTGCGACCTTCCGAATGTGGACAATGCTGCTCTGGGTCTTGCCCTGGGAAGAAGGCAGGTTGGACACAGACACGAGTTTGCCACCATACCCAAACGAAGCTGACGTAGGACGACGGAGCCACTTTGGTGGTTGAGTCAAAGACAATGTAGCTTGAGATGCGCGAGAGAAACCAGGTTGATTAAAGACATCAAAAGCGTCACCCTGAGTAACAGCAGCAGCTTGACCTTGAGGCTCGTTCGTGGACTGGATGGAATGAATGCCGATGGTCCCATCGAAGAACGCGGCAGCAAACAGATCTGGATTACGTGGACACCAATCGACTTGGAAGGCCCAATTATCTGCAGAGGGGAGCTAGAACAAATGTACTGCGCATCAGAGTGTGCGAATGACAGGGTGTGCAGACCACGTACTTCGCCTATGATCTCTGACGTCTGAGGGTTCCAACACAATGCGCGGTTGTCCTTGCCGCAGGAGAGCAACAGATCCGCATCTTGCTTACACCATGATAGGGACAACACACCCTTTTCGTGTCCGGTGAGAATCTAGATTAACCCGTAAGTGTGAATAGACCGTATTCGGTTAGCATATGGGACGGAGACGCACCTTCTCGGGTGCTCGCGCATTACGAAGATCCCACATCATGATGATAGGTGAAGTATCATCTTCCGAGGACGTAACCAAACGAGTAGCCTAGTCGTGCATATGAGATCACATTGTCAAGCGACATGAAGAAAGTACGCACGTTGTCCGGATGCCATGCGACGTCACTCATTCCCCTTCGTCCGCCAACCGCCAACCCTGCAGCACCAAGTCCCTGCATGCCGCCAGCCAAAGTACCTGCTCCACCGCCATATGCGAGAGCGGCAACTTCGCGTTTTCCACGTAGATCCCAAACAACAGTGTATCCTGTACTGCTGGACGCCGCAAGAGCATATTGTACATGATGGTTCCATGCAAGTGCGGTTATCTCATCGAGTTTTGTACTGCGGGTGCCAGGGGAGTAGGGCTTGCTTGGGTCTTTGAGGTCCCATATGTAGATCTAGGCGTAACGTAGGCATGACGTCTAATACATTATGTCGCAGTGACTGACCTCTCCATTAACGGCGCCGGAGGCGAAAAGATTCGTTTGTATTGGATTGAAGTCAAGACCGCGGACAGGTCCTGTATGTGTCTTGTTCCTCAGAATCAGTGACTTGCTTGGGCTGGTGTGCACGCGTCAGAACATGTCTCATATGTTTTAAGCAGCAGACACTTACTCCGCATTAGCCACGATCTTCGAAGGATCCCAGATATCCAGTTCTCCATTCTCCATACCCGCAACAAGTACGCCACGTTCGCGACTTCCATCTGTGTAACCCCACGCTAAGCGGTTGAACCTGCCGCGTACCCTGGATTAGACCACCTGAATGCAAGCACAGGACGTAATATGAGCATACCGAGAACTAGTTGTGACGGACGCCTTCGGTCCTGGTTGACCTTCTCCTCCCATGTCGAACTCATTCTTGTCCAAGAAGTCAGGTGCCCATATCTCTAGTTGGCCGTTATTGCTGAACGATTCGTCAAGTGCACCAGCAACAGTTCCGGTGGCCAGCAACGGAAGAGAAGGGAGGGGCGACCATGCAAATGTGGACGTTCTGCGTATCTCCTTTAATTTCATGGTGGTCGTGAAGAAACAGAACAGTACAGAGGTAGAAAGCTGCTGAGCTGGTGGTGTACTGGTGACACGTTAGATCCCCAGCCCGCAACCGAACCGATCCGGCGCTTATAGCTCAACTCGATTTGGCGACATTCCAGCGACCATTCCGACATTCAGCTTCAGGCAAGATTCAAGCTTACTGCCATGGAGTGCAAGAGGTAAAAATTAGGCACAGTATTTAGTACATTTTACAGCATCGATAGCAACAACAACATGAAAGAAGACAGAACTCTACACTATACAAAATCGAATTATTCATTCCTCATCGCTCTCCATCTCCTCATCACTGTCGCTCTCTTCTCCCTCCGCGACCTCGATGGGTTCCAAGTTGATGTCATGGTCCGCACCAATGTACGAATCGCAGATGACATAGAGTTTTAGGTTATGGGTGCCCTGTGGTAAAGTGAACTCAAGCTTAACAGCCAGGTTCTTGTTCACTGTGACTCGCTTGATCGAGAGCAGTTGACGAGACGAGGGGTCACCAATGACGACCCACCAGTTGGCCATCTTCTTGAGTGGGTAGAATGGCGCAACAACGGTCTGTTCAGCGTCGCTCTCCTCCTCCTCTACATCTCGTGTAAGGGCGACCGTGAGTAGGATAGGCGAACCGGCGGTGTAATCGCCTTTGGCGAGCTCGAAATTGACGTCTAGGGTAGGATACGAGTTGACGAATGTTGCAACGTCACGCCTAGTAGATAAATGACTTGTAAGCTATATGTGAAGATAAAGATAAGTAGGGTGCTTACATTTGTCGCGCATCCATCTGCAACAGTTTGTTACGTTGGTCATCCTCCATCTCCATGATATCATAGACGGACTCGATTCCAGCTGCCTTGCATCGCGCAATAACCTAGAGATCAAGAAGTCAGTGCCGTCACGAAGAAGAAACAAAGAGGAGACATACATCAGGTTCGAAGTGAGGAATTTGCTTGAGTGGCGAATCCGTCTCCCAGCATGCCTGAACGCACATCTGCGACAGGTCCATCGCACCTAACGCGTTCAACCAGGCATTCGACGACATCACGTCTACACACGCCGAAAGGAGGTTGAGAATCTTCTCGAGTACCAGCACTTGATCAGCGGCGAGATCTGGAGGTAGTTGTATTCGGGAGAAGTGTGCTTGGAGGAGAAGGAAGGTCTTGAAGTGAGGCGCCTCGAAGTCGACTCGGTCGAGCTTAACAGGTACACGGTCGTAAATACGCCTGAGCAATACGTCTTCGTGTCGGCGGATGGGAATGGTCTCGAACTCAGCAGAAGATGAGACGACTTCGAGTAGACCCTTCAGCTTGGTACGTTCCTTGAGTGAGAGTGTATACACCTCAACCGTGACATCTATATGACCAGTTAGTTATTGCAATACACAGATTGTTGAGTTTAAGAAGGACTTACATGAGATGTTGTAGTACGCAGCAATCATACCCAGGTTCAGTGGTGACACGTCCATCTCCTCCTCTGCAACATGGTCAGCATGATTTATCATCATATATGGGTTGAATATGAACTTACCAATTGCAATACACTTCGAGTTAACCAAGTCAGTGAGTGTGTTCTCCACAAGTTCTGAGAGATGGTCGGACAAGTGTTGATGGCTGACGTTATGCAGGTTGTAGTAGTTCGGGTTCTGCGTCATTCGACGGTAGAAGTACGTCCATGTCAGGATATCCATCGCATCTTGCTTGTTCTCGATCGTCTTCACCGCAATCTCGGCTAAGAAGTAGTCGTGAAGCATGTGCGTAGGCAGATGTGACTCGATCGGTAGACCTTCAGCCAGGAACTTCTTGTAGAAGTCCTTACGAGTTTGTTGAACCATCAAGACGCATCTACTCCTGTCGTCTTCAGTCGGTCGGCATGCGCGGCCCATCATTTGCAAGACGTCCATAACGGGGTAATCGATATAGCGATGCTCCTTGCCCTCGTAGTATTGAACGCCCATGATGACAACCATGTAGCTTGCCACAGGAAGACTCCAAGCAATATCCTTGGATGCAATGAGCACTTGAATGGCACCAGACTGGAAGAGCCGTTCGACAATCTTCTTGTCTTGCTTGTTCAGTGCTTCATGGTAATAACCGATACCATACTTCAGGGTCTCGACCAGACCCTGGTCACTAATATGGTCAAGGTGTGGCTGCAAATCCTCCTCCTCAACGTTGAGGAATCGTTTGGGGTTGTCATCGGCTGCACAATGAGTGATGATATCCTCAGCAGTAAGGCGACATTGACGACGGGAAGGAACGAAGACAATGACGGGCTTGGTGGGTGAGTACTCGACGATGGAGAGGTACGCAGGTTTCGACATCGCGATCATGAGTGAGGGGAAATGTGGAATATTGAAGCTTTGGATGTGGATGTCCATATCGAGAGGTCGTGCACTAAGAAAACCGGATAATTAGTTACTGACAGGCAAACGACTGAGAGGTAAAATCGTACCTTGGTGGGAAGTTGAATATAGCGTGCGAGGGAGCACCAATCCATTCTCCAAGATCCCGTGCATTCGCCAACGACACACCGCATGCTACTATCCTCGTCTTGATCTCTGTCTGCGCAGAAACGTATCTTGTACGAGAGATGACCACTTCATACGTCGGACCAACTTCTCCACCAACTTGCTGAACCTCATCCGCGATGAGTAGACCAATGTTCTGAACGTTCTTCCGCTGTCGCCATCTTCTTGACAAGACGTCCCATTGTGATGGAGTGCATACGATCAAGTCGCCCTTCTCCAGGAGACGCAAATCAGCACTGGTCTCGCCGGTCAGACTGACGATCTCCTTGCCACCTTGCAAGTTACCGAATTTGGCACGCCATTCTGCAACACGCAAGTCCACCATATCCTGGAACGGCTCGATACAAACAGCACGAGGTTGCTCGCGCTTACTCCAAAGTCGGAGAAGAGCAAACTCGGCGCAAATAGTCTTGCCACTTCCAGTAGGTGCGCCAATGAAGACGTTGTCATCGGTGGTGTACAAGGCTTGGAATACTTGCGTCTGGATCTTGTTGAAGGTCTGGATGGTAGACGAGTAGATACTCTCGAATTCCTTGTTATGCAAGGCGGTAAGTGGGAGAGGTTGAAGGTCAAGGAGAGGGGTGGGCTGGGGGAACTTCTCAGGAAGGATGAGGTGCTTGAACGAGATGGGTAGTCGAGTCTCTGCGTGTAACCAACGATCCGAAACGACGGAAATGTAATAGTTTGGAGGAACAGGTTCGAACATGGGAACAGTGAGAGTCATGTTATGTTCGTCCTGAGAGTATCGTTGTCGAAGGATGAAACTGTCATGGAAAAGGACGATTTCACCGTCGACATCCTCAACAACGACCCAGAAGGACTCGGCGGCACCATGAATCTTCTCATCCCAGACGAAGTCAGGTATGATGGTCAAGTCGATACGAAGAAGCGATCGCGTGATAGGCTGCACTTGTGCCTGTAGCTGAAGTTTGGGGAAGTTGTGGACTAGACGGTACACAAGTTTTCCAGCAGCGAGTTGAGAACCAAGAAGCTCGGCAATCTCAGGAGGGTTCAAGTCGAAATAACGGTACCATGGGAATTGCTTGCTCTCGGCCTTTCGGATGAGATCTCCAGGTACACCTCGGAATTGACGTAACGGTGTCATCGCGCCCCACATCTTCTTCTCAACCATTTTGCACATATCCAACGCAGCTTTCGCAGGAACTGCCCAACCACGTTTGAGGCAGATCTCGAAGATAGCACGCAGGATACGGCCGGCTGACTGCTGAATATAGACCATATCGGCGACGAGAGCGAAGCCCTCGAGCTTCAGTCCGGAGATGAAAGCCTGGAGCAAGACATTGATCTTGGCCGCAGGTTCTTCCACGGTCTCCTTGACCGGAACGGGTACACGCTCGAGCAATTTGGCCAACTCCAGCTTTTCGTCCTGTCGAACTGGAAGGAGTTTGAATTCGTTCGATAAAGCGAAGACACGGAAAAGCTCTAGGTGATGCATGGTCGGCCGCAGGTGCTGGTTGTAGGTGGCCATGGAGTTGTAGGTGACGTAGTAATGCGACGCGATACGACCAAGCTCTGTACTCTGGAAACGACCCGTAGAACGCTCGTACTTGATGAGATAACACTTCTCGAGCATGGCTGCGGCAGTGTGTACGATATCAGCTCGTTTCTGAACAAGGGCAGGATCACCCTCCAGGTAGTCGATACCGACACTGTAGAGCACCGGGTCCTTCAACATACGGACGTATCTAAAATGAAACGTTTTAGTCAGGCATTTACAAAAAAAAATCAATAGAAGAGTGTACTGACAGATACGTGTAGCCCAGCCATTGTACGGCTTCATCTCTGTTGCGGATAGTACCAAGGACAATTTCGGCGTTAAGGTTGTCGGACAACTTTGCCACGAACTGTGACTCAATTGGGAGCTGCTGGTTCATGAGGGACAGGTAGTACTGGAGTTCGGAGTGGTTCGTGATGATGATACCTTCACCGTATGTGTCATACTGTGGACGACCAGCACGACCGAGCATTTGAAGGACATCTTGCGGAGATAACTCCACCCAGCGACCCTTCTCGGGGTTGTAAATTTGGGTACCCTTGATGACAACTGTATGTGCAGGTAGGTTGACACCCCAAGCGAGTGTTGCGGTACAGACGAGGACTTGTAGGTGACCATCGGCGAACAGTTCCTCCACAAGACCACGATCTTCTCGGCTCATGCCAGCGTGGTGAATACCGAAGCCAAACTGCAGAAGATCCCTGAGGTTGGGATCTTTGACGTTGTTGGCCTCCTCGAGTAGGATTTCACGAGTCGCACCCTCAGGCTTGACGAACTGTGTAATGGTCTCCTTGTCGATAGCCATGTCCCGGATGAACTTGGCTGTCTTTGCTGTCTCCTTTCGAGAGTGCACAAAGACAAGGGTTTGATTCTTGCCAGCTTGATCAAGAACCTTCTCATAACAAACCTCGTTCATGACCTGGTACCGCTTGATGGCCTTCTTCTCCGTGACACCGACGAACTGCTGCTGAAGTGGGCAAGGACGGAATGACGCGTCGAAGTAGAAGAGACCCTTGGTGGGATCCACACGAAGGAAGGCAGCCACGTCCTGATAATTGGGCAAAGTCGCTGAGAGACCGACCAAACGAACATATTCGTTCGTCTGCTCCATCCTACGAATGGTACGAGCAACAATACTCTCGAGCACTGGACCACGCTCGTCATGCAACAAGTGAATCTCATCGACGATAATGAGACGAACCAAGTTAGTGTAGCTGGTATCCGTGCTTTTGCGAGTGATAACATCCCACTTCTCTGGCGTGGTCACGATGATCTGGGTCTCCGAGATTTGCTGCTTGGTCATTTGCGCATCACCAGTCAATTCGCCAACTTTCACGCCGAATACACCAAGTCGAGAGCTGAAATTGCCGACCATCTCCTGTACAAGAGCCTTCATTGGCGCGACGTAGATGATCTTGAACGCGTCCAGGTCAAAAGCACCCGTCTCTTCATCACGGTATTTGGAAAGCTCGTTCAGGACGGCAAGCATCGCAACGTTGGTCTATGACAAAGGAATTAATAAAATTATCCAGCAACTTCGACAAAACCATGAATACTAACCTTACCGGCACCAGTGGGTGCACAAAGGAGGAGTGGTTCATCGGTCCCAAACGCAACAGGGAATAACCTGCTCTGTACCCGATTCAAGTTCTTGATTCCTTTGAAACCTTCTTGCGCCCATGGAGGGAGATCACTGATCGGCACAAGTTCGCCTTCCTTGATCTCCTTGCGCTTCGGTGCAGGGACATGAATTTCCTCATATCCTTTCTTGGCACGCTTGAACGAACCTTCCGGCAGCTTGCACTTCTTGTTTGACATAAGATGCGCACCCTGGCTGAATGCCATACTCTCGAGGTCGACCATTTTCTTCGGCTGTACGGTCGAACCTGGCGCAAGAGTAGCTGTCTTCGGGACCTCGACCAACGGCTTCTCGTCAACGTCCATGGCCTCAGGTGCGCGTGCCTTGGTTTTCCGATCACCAGCGAGTTCTCGTATGATCCAACCCAATCCCTTCTCACGCATAGCGACTTCGACATTGACCCTCTCGTCCGCGTCGCTACGCATGAGCTTCGTACACCAGACAATAACATCTCGGTTCTTGAGGAACTTGGTGATCATATCGAAACTCTGGTATTCGAAGAGGTCCATGAGCTGGTTCTCGCAGTCGCGCAAGTTGGACTCAGAACCAAGGATGGTAAGAACTGCTTGCGCCTTATCTGCGGCGGTAACAGGATCGGGATAGACTTCTGAGACTTGCCGTTGTACCCAGAACGCGTCGATCTCGTGGGGAGAAACGATATCTTTGTCGACAGCCTTTTTCCCTCGCGCCGTTGAGGGTACACCACCAACAACAAGCTCCTCTTCACCCTCAAGCATGCCTTCGGGTGCTTCCTCTGCTTCCTCTTCCGCGGCACTCTCCTCCTCAGACTCTTCTCGAATCTCAAAGCCCTCCTCTTCCTCTTCCTCCTGTTCCTCCTCGTCGAAAACGACAGCCACGCCCATCTCTTCGTCAATCTCCGCTTCTTTTCTCTCCATATCCGGTTCCACAGCAGTTTCAACTTCCGCAGTGTAATCAGTAATCTTCTTCGACAGATTCAGCAACTGCGAGAAGGTCTCGTTGGAAATAGGTCCAAGGATCTCTTCCACCTCCTTTTTCTTGTCAAAGTCCTTCAGGTTCTCATTTTTCAGGGACTCCAGCACGGCATCCGCAGCAGAGCGGACTATGTCCTGTGCTTGGTCACCAAGAGCCTGGTGAACGGTAGACAAGATGAGCTCGTACACTTCTCTAGTCTCTGCAGTTCGTGGGCGATATGTAAGCCCCTCGACGTCCTGTGTCGCCTCGATAATGTCGGTGTAGCCAAAACCAACTTCTGCAGCCCTACGCTTCGGTATCCTTTCAGCTGCTTCTTGTTTCAGCTCAGCAGCCTTCTTCTTCTTCTTTTGGAGGTCCTTTGGTACCTCCCGTTGTACGCGAGAACCCATGTCTCGCGGGTCAATTCGACCAGCGAGTGAAGTAGGCGCGCCATCTGGCTCCTTGTCTCGTCGAGGAAGTGCAGACCTATCTGCCGTCAGGACTAGTGAAGAGATAGCAGCATAGTTGTAGCCCGAGAGATCTGGCTTGTGAGACATCGTTAATGAGAAACAGAGAAAGAGTGGTAGTGATCGTAAGAGTCGCCGTGGAGGACGACGAGTGAATGGTCGAGGTTAAGAAACAAATAGCTCTGCCCAAGCCAATTGATGACTGAACGCGTCTATTTGGGCGCCTAATCGAAACTGGAGTTTGAGTCTCGGAGGTCGCGCATCGTACCAAATGGTCGAAATCACTGTTCCTTTCGTCGTGTGCGACCGCTAAAGTCAACTCTTCCCTCATCCCATAGTGAGGGACGCCTCATTACCGCCCCCGAGCGCGGTACCCATTATGACAGAGCTTCAGCCTTCACAGCCTCCAAATATTGCCCCTCAGAACGATGGTTCAGGCGCAACGGTAGTAGAAGCTCCTCATGAAGCTCCTGAACCCGTTCCCATTACCGAACAAGAGGTTGGGGAGTATCGCGAGCAGGACCGCTTTCTTCCTGTACGTACAGGCTACAGTATGGATCAATGGTAACCTTTTGGCTGATCTCATGTGTGACGCTTTTGACATGAGTGAGTAGATTGCAAATGTCGCACGTATCATGAAAGGTTCTGTACCTGGGACAGCAAAGATTTCCAAGGAAGCGAAAGAATGTGTGCAGGAGTGTGTCTCTGAGTTTATCAGCTTCATAACTTCAGAGGCAGCAGAGAAATGCCAGATGGAAAAGAGAAAGACTATTGGCGGAGAGGACATCCTGTATGCCATGATCACGCTAGGCTTCGACAACTACGCAGAGGTCCTAAAAATACATTTGGCAAAACTGCGGCAGGTACGTTTCTCCTTCATATCCAGATGTTTGTCTTCCTGAATTTGGACATAGCACCAGACCGCAGTGGCTGGGTCTTCGCGCGAAGCTACCAACGAGGGTCGTGGTGAATAATTGTATCAATCCCTCAACGTAAGCGGAGACCGCCATTCGCTTTGGGGCTCTCCTTCTGAAAAGTTGTCGGTTGTGCACTTCTCGCAGTTCGCTCGAGCCTGTAGAAGCTTTGCACCGTACGTCCTGAGTCCGTATGTATGTACGGCAATTTGTTTTGAACGATACATGCATTCTCATGAATTGATGTGTTGGATGGTACTTACATGGAGCTTGTAAAAGAGTGATTATATGCATCATGCCTAACCCCCTTCTACTTGTAAAAACCTGGTAATGCGAACAGCTCCATGAATGTTGTTCTGAACAAAAAGTGAAAATGTAATTCGGATACGGGGAATTGAACCCCGGGCTACCGCGTGAGAGGCGGTAATGTTAGCCACTACACCATATCCGATAAAGAAATAATTTATATTTAGATATAATTTGAGAAAATGAGACAATTTAGACTAACTAATAGTGCAATCATCGAGGCAGGTCAGGCTGCAATCAATCGCGCACTAGAACTTGCATGAACACCGATAGGAACAGCTTCGCTTTGTAGCAGTGCAAGTTCGAAACGGCTGTTGGAAATGCAAAAGATGTCGAAGAAGACTGGACTCGAGGAGATCTAACTTATTGACGTACGGTGACCGGCCATATTCTAGCTGCGGTGTGTGAGCCGTCATTTCGTACTCATGCACTTGTTGAATGTACAGGACAGGATCGCAGTTGCTGCATTCATGCGACGTGTTCTCGTTTACGTTGTTATAGTTAAGAATTCTGCTATGTTCACCTACCGAGCAGCATTACTGCCGCGATCAGAAAACAGTGAGCGCTTCCACCATAACTCGGTACAACGACTAATGTACTGGGCCATACAAAAGCTTACTAGCCCCGCCGAGGAAGTACATCCACAGGTACACCCAGAGTATACACCGTCTTCCGATATGATTCGGAGTGAACCCATCTACTGAGGAGCGGCTCGAAGCTACAATACACTCAGCGATCTGCTCAGAGCCTCGCCCGCCGATTTCCATCCCCAAGTCCTGCCTTTCCCTCCTTTTCCATCATATCGAACAGCCTGCCGTTGACATATTTAAAATTATATGCCTTATGTACCGGCCTTTGTCCTTCTCTCCCCTCTCATATCCCATCGAACGTGCTGATTGTGTGCCCTACCCTCCGGTCTCAAGACACATACACAACTATCGGTCTATGGCATGGAGAAACCTCACATCTATGACGATTTCGAATTGTGAGTACATTCTGAGCTTCTGTACTTTTTTTGGCAAAGTGAGCTAACTGGAACTCACGCCTTGCCTATATGCAGGTTTATGCATAACGTCTTCCATCTAGTAGGTATATGTGCGTAAGGATTAATCTCTTCAGACCTTACATGTCTGATATCTCGCAGGCATCCTGTACTACGACTATGCCGTCACCTTCGCCGATGAGATCTTCTACATCTGGTCGAAACCGTTATCACACGGATCATGGCTGTTTATGCTGAATCGCTACTTCTCACTTCTCAGTGTATGCTCGAGCTTCTTACGCGACCCTCATTGGTTATTTACCGGTCATTACTTGCAGGCCATCGCTATCAACTGGGGGAATTTTTCGGACTTCGAGTCTGTCGAAGCATGCCAAGGTTACGCTTTCTTCCGCCAAGTGATACTAGTGATCGCTCAAGTTATCGTTTGCTGTAAGTACTAGCCTAAGCTTCGTTACTGACGAGTTAATGAATTTATATTCAGTTCTCTGTTTTCTCCGAACGTACGCTCTTTATGGGCGAAGTGAACGAATTCTGGTCTTGATCCTGTCGGTCGCTCTGGTCCTTTTCATTTTGGCTTGCGTGAGTGTATTATGTAACTTCTTCCCGACAGTCTCTCAGAAAGCTCTATGCAATTCAGTGGTCTCTTGTTGGCCAACATTCGGAGTATAGCATCACGCACGGGTGCCATCAGGCAATAAACAAGACCACGTACGTCGTCCTCGCGTCATGTATGCACATTCTAAGTTGACGAGTATGTTTATAGTGCCGTTCGTAAGTTTTCCTGTGCTTGACAATATCTTATTCATTTCTCACGAGAACACAATACCTCGTTAGACCTCGCGGTTGCCTGGGAGGTGTTATTTGCTTATGACTGTATGATCTTCGCCCTCACCATCTACAAGACGTATCAAGAAAGAACACGAAGAAATGTTGCGGCGCTCAATACCTTGGTGGAACTCATCTGGCGAGATGGTGTGTTTTCTTTGTCAATATAGTAGCCATTGTGCTTATGGACATTCACATAGGTGCTATTTACTTTGCGTGAGCAGCATGGTTCTGGCAATTTTGTCGGCCTGATTAATCTTTCCTAAAGCGTCATGGCTTCCGTGAATGCTGCGAATGTTTTGACGTTCTACGTGCGTATACGAATCACTTGCATTGTCTTCCTATTCTAACTCCTATGCTAGTTCCTCTCGGTATGAAACACTGTACTGGGGCGCTTGCTGACCCAAACCGATACCTTTCTTTGAATAGCCCTCACTCAAGGGTGTATTGTCCACATTTGCTAGCAGGTGTGTTCTCGACGTTTCCTACTTCCATAGTACAACAGCCACAATTTTTAATGCACGCCAGCATCTCAGTGACCATGATGTCCCGTATCATGCTCAACCTCCATGAAACCGCCTCTCTTATCAAACCCAAACCAATACCCAGGTCTGCATAGATGTCAGACTCATCGAGCAGTGCATTGTTTTTTGCTAATATTGCTACAGCACTGGGCTAGAGCATTGCTGGTCACCACGCAGTACCGGAATACTCTCGCAGTGCTAGGGGCTATATCAGTCACGAATACCAAGGATTTGGGATTGAGGGGGAGGGCTTGAGCCTCGATTCGGAGGTTATTGAGTTGAAAAGTATGAGCACGCCGACTGCGCTCCTTCCGCATCAACATTTATATCGGAATAGATGGTTGCCGACGGACGTATAGGTTGTAGCCCGGTTTCTTTCTATGCTAGGTCGGAGTCTACAACGGCTGATAGAAGGTAACAGCATGTGGACCTCTATCACCAGTCGCGGGTGCCAGTGATGTGCGGCTCTAACCTGTTTACAATCGGAATGTGATAATGTTTCAATTGAGTGTGTGGTTGGGGATTTCCAACGTAAGGAAGGGAACGGCTAGAAGTGGGCCTGCATTACGATCCTGGCTTTGTCGCTTTATGACCACAAACGAAAAGAAAAAAATCAAATTGACATTCGGATACGGGGAATTGAACCCCGGGCTATCGCGTGAGAGGCGATAATGTTAGCCACTACACCATATCCGAGTTATAAATATGGGAAAGAAAAATTCCATATGTTTACAGTTTACTTACACATGCTCGTAGCACAGACCCCTGTCTTTGACAGAGAAACAATTCAGTTGAATCCACTGACTGATTCCTGACATCGTTGTCTACCCAACCATTTTAACCCAAACAGTCTCCAGGTTCTTACTGTCATATGTACGACCCTCGGTGAATGGTTGGACATCCACCCGACATCACTGGGCTCTGACTCGGTTCCATATATTACATACGACGCTACGTCGTTCCAACTCTAACATAGCTCGACCAGAACCATCCATCATGACATCCGGTTCTGCCTCGCCTGTAGACTTTAGGTCTAGGATTAACGACGAGGATTCGAAACTCATCGCACGGCTATACGCCCTAACGAAGAAGTCCCCTAAGCTCGTGCGGTCTACCGAGTATGCTGCACCGGCTGATCCTGCGATCAAGCTTCGTAGCTGGAAGATGAACGAGTTCAAGTACTATGACATCCCATCACCGTTCCCAACTCTTGCACGAGGTCTATTCACACAAGAGGTCCAGGTCGATAATGAGACTAAGTACAGGATCGTCGTACGGGGGTACGACAAATTCTTTAATATCGGTGAGGTTCCTTGGACATCGGTAAGTCATTCGTTATGGTGGTTCTTCTCTGTCCTTGTGGTACCAAGTTACCAACTCAACCATAGTGGGCGTCCCTAGAATCACACACCTCGCCACCATACACTCTGACGCAAAAGTCGAACGGGTGTATTATTTTTATTGCTGCGTTGACTCCTACGAAACTGGTAGTCACTTCGAAACATGCTATCGGAACTGCGGATGAGTCTGGGAATTTAGCCCATTCCCAAGTGGGCCACAAATGGCTCAAAAAGCATCTGCAAGACGCAGGGAAGACGGAGGAGGAACTGGCGAAAGTCCTCTGGAAGAAGAACTGGACGGCTGTCGCTGAAGTATGCACTTTCCTCAGCTTCTTTTTCGACGATGGATTCACAAGTACATTAGCTGTGTGATGACTCTTTTGAGGAACACGTTCTACCTTACAGTCAGGAGAAAACGGGCCTTCATCTTCATGGTCTGAATGAATGTTCCAAGCATTTTAGGACCATGCCTCCCAACGTCGTAGACGCATTTGCCAGCGAATGGGGCTTTATCCAAACTCTTTCCACGGAAGTCAAAACCATCCCAGAAGTCAAGTCCTTCACGGAAGAGATAGGACGGGCAGGAAAGTGGAGAGGCGAAGCCTTGGAAGGTTTCGTCGTCCGTACCCATGTCTCAACAGACCCTCCAAGTAAAGGCAACCCAAGTCTTTCACCATACGAACCCGGTTCTTGCTTCTTTTTCAAAGTGAAATTCGACGAGCCATACATGATGTATCGAGATTGGCGTGAAGTGACCAAGATACTCTTATCGAAGGGTCCAACGATGTCACATGTGCCGAAGAGTAAGATGAGGAGACTTGAAACGAGGTTGTACTCCCAGTGGGTCATCAATGAAATCAAGAGGGATCGCAAGCAGTTCGACCAGTACACAAGAGGACGGGGGATCATTTCAACGCGAGAACGGTTCTTGAAGTGGCTGCAGTCTCCAGATGGGAAGAAGGCGCTCGCTGGCGAGAAGATGGGTCTTCACTCTAATGAATCGGCCTCTGCAGAGTTAAACAGTGACAAGACGTTCGGCAAGACCATCATTGTGCCCGTTGCGATTCCAGGTGTTGGGAAGACTTCGATCGCTGTAGCGTTGGTGTACCTGTTTGGGTTTGGTCATACACAGAGTGATGATATCCGCGCCAAGAAACCTGCACCCATCTTCATCAAGAATGTCACGAACTTGCTCAAAAAGCATGATGTTGTCATTGCGGATAAGTACGCATACTTATCAGTTGTTGTTGTAAATCTTCTCTAATATGTATTTCCAGAAACAACCACCTCCAACAACATCGACAGCAGCTACGAGACGCTACGGCGAACATGAGACCTCCTGTTCGTCTGATAGGCCTCAACTGGTCATTTGACATTCCTCAGTCTACCATTCATCGTATCTGTAGTGAGCGAGTTGCAGCTCGAGGTGAGAACCACCAAACGCTTCGTGCGGACACCTCACGGTCATACGAGGACGTTCTCTGGATGTTCCTGAATAAAGCTGAAGAGCTTCAGGAAGGCGAGGTCGATGCCTCCATCGAGATGGACATTGAGGAAGACTTGGAGAGTGCTCTAAAACGGGCTGTTGATGGGTGTGTCGACATTTTGGGACTCCCGAGGCCGGATGCGGAGAAGATGGGTGAGGCATTGGCCGTAGCGCGAGGGTATTCGCCACCAACATCCAAGAAAAAGGACGAAGAGAAGAAGAAGGCTCCTTCTGAACCAAGATACTTTGCGCTCCTACCGGAGCTGGACTTAGTAGAGGTAATGAAGAAGAGGATGAACGAAGAAGATGTGCCTCCGGAGGGCAAGACGTTCTGGGAGACGCTGCTGGCCAACAAGAGGACTGGCGACCGTTTGCCTCATGTCACTGTTGTTCATTCAAAATCTGTCCAGGGAGACGATAGCGACAGCAAGCGGCTCTGGGATCTTTGTCGAGGGCTTAATCTTCTACCCAAATCACCGCTGTTCACATTCAAACTCGATCATGTTGTTTGGAACGACCGGGTCATGGCGGTTACTATCTCTAACCTTGCGGTCTGTAGTGATGATAACTTGGATCCCCAATCGGACGAACGGACGAAGGCGATCGAGTTCGTCATCAAATTACCATCAGATGTGCGGGAGAGGTTGCATATCACTGTGGGCACTCAGTCTCAGGATATCCCACCTGTTGAGGCGAAAGACTTGGTCGAGCGGTGGAAGGCGGGTCAGAAGGAGGGTATTGGAGAGTGTGCTTTCACTGACCTGTGGGTGAAAGGACGAGTGAAGGGACTGCAGAGGTAGGCAATGTGCAGAGGTCTTGTTATGTAGTTTTCGGTATATGTAATGTAACGTCAAGAAGCACTACTCAAGAAAACATGTCAGCTGCGTATATTTTGAGCTTGGATAAGGTGGCTTGAGCTCAACGTCAACTTGATCAGTACTTGATCTAATCTAATCTACTTACCAAACTTGTTTCCGTGCGACGAGCGCGTCCAAATCTCCTCCATACAATCCTGGCTTACACCTCTCCATTCTCGAAAGCAACTTTAAAGACTCTTGACCTTTCTCTTGCTGTGCATCACTTTCTGCATACAAGCTACACTTAATACTTCTCTTGAACTAGTGGCTATCTCAACTAAGGCTGTCTCTGATAACACTTTCCGAAGGGGACGTTTCAAGATGGCCGAACGAGCGAACTCCAATATGCTCTTCGCCAACTTCAACCAGGACTTCACGTGGGTTTCTAAATCTCATTGAATCAAATCTCGTTCAACGTTCTTTAGGTGCATATCCGTTGGAACTCGGAAAGGTTACAGCATAACCAACTGCGACCCGTTTGGTCGTGTCTATACCATGAGTACGTCTCTAATCTTTGATCCTCGGTATGTCTTCTCATATAGTCATTGCTTAAGACGATGGCGCTCGCGGAATAGTTGAAATGCTATTCTGCACATCCTTAATTGCCCTCGTTGGTGCAGCAGACCATCCTCAGTCTAGCCCTCGGAAGTTGCAGATCGTCAATACTAAGGTAAGCTCTCATCCTTCACATGTTTACGCTATGACTCCTGGGAAGGTCGAAAGTGATGGAAGCTGGTGTATGTAAACCTTTCTGGAAGGAAGTCGGCGGTGTTTTCCTTACTCTCCTATGAGGGTTATGAATGAACGGGTTTCTTAAGACGTTCCGCTCACCTTCATCACTACAGCGGCAATCCATGATTTGCGAACTTCTCTTCCCTTCGTCAATTCTTGCTGTCAAGCTGAATCGTAAAACTCTGGTTATCGTGCTCGAGAACGAGATATACATATATGATATATCCAACATGAGATTACTTCACGTCATCGAGACAACCCCCAATCCTGAAGGTCAGTGTCTTCGTCGAACAATCCAGTGCCAATCTGAGGTCAAGCTTTCTTTCCTCAGCGATTGTCGCTCTATCACCCTCATCAGACAACTCATATCTGGCTTATCCTTCGCCTGTCCCATCGCCTACTTCTGCAGTGTCGACCACATCACCACCCGCAGCATCAGGGTCACAGTCGGGCGACGTTCTCATTTTCTCTACTCGCACTCTGTCCGTTGCAAATGTTATCCAAGCTCACAAGTCACCTATCTCCTTTTTGTCTATCAACTCAACTGGTACTCTTCTGGCTACTGCATCTGACAAAGGAACCGTCATTCGTGTATGGAGTATACCCGGTGCAGAGAAGCTCTATCAATTCCGACGGGGTACTCGAGAAGCCAAGATATACTCAATCAACTTCAACATTGTCTCGACGTTATTGGCAGTCAGCTCGGCGCATGATACAGTTCATATCTTCAAGCTTGGTCCACAGAAGTCGTCGGGTCCTAGCCAAAGTGGCGTGTCATCGCCATCGAGTCCGTCTGGATCCGTCGATAGCCGCGATGTCAGTGCGCAGGGGTTAGATGCTGGATATGATGCGTTCATAGAGAAGAAAAAGAACGGCAGTGTCTCGTGCGTATCATACCCATGTCGGAATCTCTAACCCCTCACTTAGACATGCAGATCGAGTCTCCGTCGACGATCGCTTCACCTTACGAAGAACATTACATCTTCAGTTGGTGGTTACCTTCCAAATACATTAACAGAGATGTGGGAACCGTCTCGGGACTTCGCATTCCTTCGGTTGCCATCGAGCGGCACGCGATGTATAGTCGCACTCAGCGGGTACGTGTCCATCCTGATGTTGACGTCCGTTATCGTATAAGTCGTCGTTCATATTCAATGATGGTCACTTTGGTGAATTCTGGAGAGTCCGCGTTGTGCTTGGGATTACACGGCGTCTTGGGACTGTCCTTGAATATGACGGACTCGCCATTTACTTCGCGGAAGTCGGGCTGACTGCTTTTATATCTCCGTTTGCAGAACACTACCACAAGTCATGGTTATATCATCGGATGGTTACTTCTATTCATACAGCATTGACCTGGAGAACGGTGGAGAATGTACACTGCTGAAGCAACACAGGTGAGCATCTCCTAGGTGTCCTTTTGGGCTACACACTCATTCATGTTGTCACAGTCTGCTTGACTCCAATGACGAGTTGAATGATTGAGCAGCACCTAGGCTACATATGATTGTAATGACCTATGACCTTTCATGACTCGGAGCATTGTAATATTCATGTCAGAGACAGGATACCCCTTCTTATTGATCAGTTAATTGTTATGTGAGAATGCTTTCAATGGTTTCATTCCATGTATGTGAGTATGTATGTAGTCTCCTGTATGATATGCAAGATAAATATGAAGCCTAGTGACTCTGTTGCCAATATTGGTCTCCATAATTGAATAATAATTCTTCCCCCTTTTTGATATCTCTGGCTGCAATGAAACTTCTAGCCAAAGCTCTCAAGCACTGTGTAATATATGTGCTTACCTGCATAGAAGGCTATTCTGTGTTCACCATTTACAACTAGTGCTAGGCAAGGTCAGTGCTTGCTTAGTGATCTATAGAGCATGCAGCATAAAACATGGCACTTACTATTTGCTAACACATTGGGTGTCACTGAGTGATTGAAATATCTTGTTACATTGCCCACAGTGATTGCATCCAGATTTTGAGATGAATTAAGACCAAAGTTGTAGTTGAGACCAGTGTAGGACCAAATTGGTCTAGGAACAAAACAAGACTTGAATGCTACAGAGAGATTAGACAGTCTGTCACTTACTCATGAGTTACATCATGTCTCCAAAATGACTCTGCAGTATATTCTATTTGATGTAAAAGATGAGTAAAGCCTTACTTAGAAAATGCTTGAGTTGTACATACCTCCAAGAAAATTGAACTTTTTGATCTTCTGCATGGCAAATACCCCAAGGCCAAAAGAACCTTGCTTCACTTCAGTAGCCTGCATTTAAGACAGGGTTAGAAATAATCTCATCAGAGAAGATAATGAACTAACTGGAAGTAAACCTTTTTGAAGCACTGTATTTGCACACCCATGTATACATCCACTTTGAGGATCATCTATAATGGAGTTGTGTCAGCTATAAAACTCTAGAAGTGTTGCTAGATATCTACCATATTTCTTTCTCTGTCTATATTATATCAATAAATAGATGTCAAATTAGAAAGAAAGCAGAAACATACTGCTTGTTCTTAACTCCAACAACAAGTCTACATAATTCAGGATCACACTCCCAGTTGTTCTTGACACATTTGCACTGGGCCTTTCTCTCAATTGTCTCCTTACAGTTCTTTGACTTGTAACAAGTACAACCAGAAGGTCTGAGAGGACCTGAGAAGATTGTATATAGCATGTGATATCAGATATAAATTAAATAAAGAGAGAACCTCACATGACAATTTGCAGAAACAATTTCTTGAGCAATGCATATTTGCTAAGAAGCATGGACAAGTTGTGCTACAAGGTCCTTTATGTGTACATGGGTCCTTCCTAAGAAGCTCAGTCAAAATAATACTACATTTGAAGTTGTAAATAAAACATACATTGTGAAGTTTGTAACTTCATCATTATAGTCAACTGCAAAGAGTTAAGTTTTGTCATAGATATCTTGCAATGTTAAGATGTTACATACCAAACTTTTGTGGTTTCTTAATCTTGGGAATAAGTCTGTTTCTCTCTAAAAGAATATCATCATCTTTGAATAATTTAGACCTATAAAGATAGATCTAGACAAAGTTATCAGTTTCTTTATACTAAACCTTGAAGCAGGCTAACCTCATAGCATGGCCTCTTGCAAATTACTGAGAGGTCACATGAAGGACCATCTGGAGCCAAGGTAACAGTATCATGTACTACCTGAGAGATTTGATTAGAAAGTGTTATTTGATCCTATATAATATGAGATTAGATGTGCTACAAAGTGATATATGAGTTTTACAAGGTAAATACTTGCAAGGTTCTTCTTGGTTTTGAAACATGAAGGTCCACAAGGTTTAGTGACACCCTCAGCAATCTCTGTACTAGTGATGGAAGGTTGAGGGTGATGAGGTTCCCAAGGGCTTATAGCTACAATACAAGAATGAGGATTATCATCTATTGGTATCATGAGAAAGAATTGATTCTTACCATGAAGAATGCATAGAGGCCTAATGCAGTCTATATAAGGACAGAAATGCTGCTGCATATTATTTATGACTTGGTTGAATAGGCTCTTCTCAGATGATTGAATTTGGGGCCTGGAATTATCTGCTATCTCTCCAAATGTGACTGATCCAGGCCAAAGAAGAGAATCTCTAAAGCATGTTAGCTTAATGACTGAACATCCAAAGTACATTGTATGAACCAACTAACCTCTGAGACATCTCGTAGAGTACCTCACCACATGTGAATGGCAGGTATTTATCAATATCTTCGTATGTAATCCTTTCCACAAAATTATCTTGGTTTTTGTCCTCGGTTAGCTGTTTGATAACTGTAGCCGCAATCACATATTCTAGAGAACCATTAGATACTCCTCGCAATTCCACTATGAAGATAACACAGATGAGAAACAAAACACACCGTCAGGATCCCGCCAATGGTCCTGCCATTGAAAGCTCTCGAATTCCTCCATACCGATATACTCCAGCTCGTTGAAACCAGGCTCACCACCAAACGGTATAAAGCGACATATTCGATAATCATGCGTGCTGAGAATATTGCAAGACGAAGGTGTACATGCGAAGTATCTTGGATAAGGATCACAGTGCTTGATCTTGAAGGTCGAACAGACCATGGTTTCTGGACGCCCTGTCTCGAAGTCACGTACGGTGAAGGAATCTTCCGATGGGTAGCTAAGACTGTCCACATCCATTCTGTCTGAAATATCAGAGTCGTGCCCCGGTTCGTCGAATAGGTACTCGTCGTCGGAGTGGCGCTCCTCGTATGGCGAAACGGCTGCAAGGGAAACGATGGTCTGCTCACAGGCGCCAGGTTCCCAGTTGTAGAATTGGTCCCAAACGTCTTTGTACACTTCCCAAGTACGTTTTCGAATCACTTCTTGACGTTGTTGATCCTGTAGAATCTCGCCTTCGAGTTGAAGGTTCACCTCGTTATTATGCGCCTCCAGAATGTCGTCTTGATCGGCGGTGCCTTCTGGCACGTAGACGACATGACTTGCCATCCTCTAGTCGATATGGGTTAAACAAAGAACAGTAGAAAGCTGGAGAGCATTAGAGGTGCACGGCTTGAGGGAAGAGGTACGAAGTACAACAATGGATCGGAATCGATCGCGTATAATCGAGTGACCATATATGGTCTTCGTTGTGTCAAACAAGTCCGCGCTACAAACCTGCGGTAAACGCAATGGTATCATTCCGCTGACCTAGAAAGAACAATTACAAACTGTAGGGTATTCAAAAGAGACATATATCTACGAGGAGAGCACAAGTGATTCACGAGATCCGGGTAGATTGAAGGAGATCATTAGAATTGTCGTACCTATCCAGACATACCCAAATCCAAATCCGTAGCCAAGAGTCAGAGATCCTGCAAGTGTATGTCGAGACGACATTCATTCATCTCCTCTACGTGCGAGGAAGACACCAGCTTCGCTGTTCTTCCGTCTGATACCACCGGGAAGCCCGACGCTGGGGAAGCCGCCGGCTGGCTTCGCCTCCGGAGCAATGAACTCCGTGTGGTTAATGTATTCACCATCCGCTGACGCAACAGAAGGTGAGGGGACAAATGGGATTCTTGATGGTTGCTGTGTAGGAGAGGCGAGAGATGTGGACTGGGAGGTCGTCGACACAGACTGTCGTGAAGTTTTGTCACGTTTTGACTTTTTCTTCTTCTTTGGAGTCGATGAAGTCAACTCGAAAGGATGTGGTGGTTGGTTAGCTAGCATGTGCGGTACCTGCATAGGTTGCTGTGAGAGGTAATAATGGTTATATCGTGACGAGTCAGGATTTGAATTCGAGGCTGAGGTGCGAGAGCGAGAATCCGAACCGCTTCCCATAGAAGCACCACGGGGAGCACGGCGAGTATATGCGTCTGCATCAAGATCTCCGGTCTCTGCATCGTCTGCGTCATAATCATCATGTATCTGACTCTGTTCAAAAGGACCAAAATCCTCTTGTCTGTGAGGTGAGGACAAGTCAGAGCTTCCAGCAGTGGAGCTTTGAAACGGGGAAGCAATATGACCGTGCTCTGGTCCGCTCCCCTACATACAATAAACTCATTCAGTACCGGGTGATGCATATTTGGAGTCTACGTACGGGGAACCCCTCGAATTCGCCTTCTCCTGACATTGACAATACCAAGACAGCGCGTTTCAATTCTTTCCTCTCTCTACGACGCTGCCGCCTTTCCTCCTTTGCACGTCTCTCTTCATCTTCACGAGTAACTCGTTCTGCGATCTGAGCAGCGGACAGCTCTTCAATAGTGGAAGAATCCAAAGGTGCTGCGTCGGAGTCAAGGGTGAAAGTTGAAATAGTACGTGATCGTTCTAGCCTGTCCCTCCGACGACCCGAGTCGTCCACACCCTCGTCATCGTCAGGTAGGTGAATGGGAGGTCGTCCGAATAGGTCGTATCCGAATAACCTAATGCCTTTTCTCTGACGTCGTTTCTTCCGTGAACGATCCCGGTCACCGAGATTTGAGTGCAAGGACAATGTTTCAGCATCGTCCGACTCTGCAAGCAATCCCTCGAGTTCGTCTGAACGCGCCCTAATTGGACCTCCTCGATCGTTGCTGTTTTGTTCACTATTGGAGTCAAGACGAGGAGGGCGTCCGAGACAAGAGATACAGGAGCCAAAGACAGCTTGAAAGCTGTCCGACCAAGAGAATCTGTCCATCCCTCTGGGAGGTGGGGGTTTGGTTCACTTCAGGCCTTGGGGACAGTCAAATGTCAAGATGAAATGGTGAACAGCTGCAGAGTCGCAGCAAGTGATAAACATGAGGACCGGAAGTGATCGTACCATAACCGGATGTAGTCATTTTCCTTGGGGGCCTTGGCCCAATTCTTTTCAACATCCGAGAAAAGTGGAAACTCCGCTCGAAAAGCTCCCACTTTGGGCAGGTTTGCTGCCAGGGGGTTACAGAAAGATTATCACAGGCTCAGAAGTCGCTGTTCTGACAATCACTTGCTAGTTATTACAGTACTATACATACATCTGAAAGATGTGAAAACTACAATAACGAAAAGCCGAAGAAAACAAGGGGAAAGGTTATCGACTCCAACCAGCTTGAATGAGAAGGTTGTTCGCAGCTCGTTCTGCAGGAGGAGGCGCCTTGCCATCGCTGTCACTGGATGTTCAAGGTCGGTCAGCACGGAAGAGTACGAATAAAACGGAGGCGTACGCATAGAAGCTGCGAATCAGGGATTCGACTTCCTCAATGGACATCTTGATATCTATTTGTCAAGTCAGTATGATTCAACTAGCCCAGCTTAAGCGTGCTCACACTTCTGCGGATCTGAAAGAAAAAGTGTCATCTAAACGAGCAGTACTCGGAATAAACAAACAAACCACTCACTCTTGCTAAACTCCTTTCCCGTATTTCGCTGAGTGAACCTCTGCAGCGACGGAACGACCAACTTCACAACCTCGTCGCACATCGTTTCCCGTCCTTCCCTATCGTCCTGCAACACCCTCGCAAGCCGGTGTCTCTCAGCAACTTCCTCTAATAAATCAAAGAATCGCGTAAACTTCTCTTTCGCCGCACTCTTACTCTGACCCTTATCCTCAGTCAACGTTTGCATCAAAGGAGAGAAGTTGGAGTCAAAGTATGCGGCTTTGGCGGTACGGAAGTTTGAGTTGAGACTGTCTTGGACAGGTTTGGAGAGGAGTGACGGGATGTCAGTGCGGGGTTGGACAAGGAGGTGGGTACGGATGTAGGAGACGTTGTTGAGCAGGAAGATTGACCCGAAGGAGGGACGTTTGTTGGTTCGCGAAAGGGTGAGAAGACTACTAATGACGGTGTTTATGACATCGACTGAATAGCAGCGTAAGAATGAGCACTGAGAACAGACGAACGAACGAAAACATGCTACTTACACAGATAGTGCTCCAGGATCGTTCGCTCGTTAACTTCTGTTGGCTTCGTACCTTTACCCACCTGGACACCCTCACCCATCTTCCAGTTGCCGTCACCAAGCGTCAAGAGGGCAGACGCAACAGCATCCTGGACTTCGGGCAATCGTTCCATATATTGAATAGTCTGGTTTATGATTGTTTAGTACGAATACTCCACTTGGCATCTCCTTAAATGACGCACCGAAAGTGTGAAGTCTGTCAACCCAGTACTCAACTCCCCACTCTTACCCAGCGCAGCGGCCCTAATATCTGCAATGAATTCAGGGAAGCTTCTCAACACCGAAGCCCTGATCGAGTGCAACCCATCCTTCAACTCGTTCTCTCGTCTATTGGCTCGACGACACATGACTTCCTCCCATCGTGTTTGCGCGGATGAGAGACTGGAATAGACAGAGAGCGCAAGGAAAGTATACTTGTGCAGGGAACGCTTGATGAGAGCGCTTAGGGAGGATAGGGTGCTTGTGAAGATAGAAAGAAGAGGAGAGATGAGGGTTGCGTATGCCGACTCAATCGCTGATGGGGTCGAGAGAGGAGCCAATTCGAGCAGTAATGAATACTCGGCCTGGAACAATGACGGACGTTGGTTCATGCAAATAGATACTTCGAATAGCAATGCAACATACCTCCGCGACGCTGATTAGGTCATTCACCCACTTCCCAAACTCCTTCCCTGCAGCAATCCCATCAATAGTTTCTGCGCGGTCAACAACTCGTCGACCATAATTTTCCAAACACTTCTTACTCCACGACCCTCGCATGTCAGCATAGCCCTTCTGGCCTTCTTTCAATGTTTGTTGAATAGCAGGAGCAGCGGGATGTGAAGGATGAGTTGGAGGAAGGGGGAGCGTGCGGAGGAATGTGACCAGGGGAATGAGAGCAGAACGAAGGTTGGACGGGAAAGGTGAGAACTCAAAGTCAGGCCCGTTCAGAGCTACACCTGAAGAGCCTTCTGCGACGAGCTTGGTATACAGCTGTGTAAGTTTCTTGACACCTGTCTCGACGAGTCGAGCCTACATCGATGTTAGAAGATGTCAGTCTATGCAATGTACATGGATATTTCGAACTAACTGTATCTCGCTGGTCCCGATCAATGGACTTGAATGCTACGCTGGCGTTCAGCCTTTCGAGTACATCCTTGTACTCTTCCCACTGTCCAGGCTGAGGCCTGGGCACGTCATCAATATCCTATCCTTATGCAAAAGGAGATAGTCAATCATACACACCCGCGTAGGATGAGAGCTTCCTCGGCAGCGATGCCTTCTTGGTTACTCGCAATCTCGTCAATCTTCAACAACGCAGCTTCAATATCTACGCAAAAACACCCAGTCAGTCAACCATCTGTCAGTGGACATATGATGTATCTAGTAACATACTGCCGCCTCGACGGTTTAAGACTTGCGTGGAGTTATACAATGGTAAGATAGACTTCTCGAGTTTGACTAGTCTTGTGTCGAAACTGGACAAGATGGCTGCAACGTAATGACACAGATATTGAGCTAGTAGTGTTTGGAGGACGTACAAGTCATGCGTTGGGAGATTTGACGCGTCTTGTTGAGGTTCTGCTCGAGCTATATAGAAGTGGAATATAATATTGAATCGAGACCCTTAAGGCCAAGACGACGAGTAGTGGGACATACCAACTCGATCTCTGCAGTTTCGTCGTCCATGTTGGATGTCTATTCAGGTCAAGAAGACCAATAGATAGCCGAGTGAAGGGACAATGTGTACTGTTTATACTGGAAGTTTATTCTGCCCGGATGAATATTGGTATCTCAAGAGTCAGTGGACAGCCAACGACTTGTGGGTAAGTAGTCTGATCGAGGAGCAATGTACCACAGAAGAGTTCCCGGTGTTGTGGGACGTGAAGAGGCGCGTAAAGAGCAGACGAAAGGCCTAAGCAAGCAAGCAAAAGTACAGTGCGGTTGCACGGACTCTGCTATGGAGATGGTGGTTGTCAGGTATGAAGTTGGCTTCATGATCGAAACGGTCTGCCGGCGATCAACGTCAACGCTTTCCACTGGCAGCGCGAACTCAGTTTGATCGTGAACACTGCAAACAATTCTGATACAGTATACGACGTGAAGGATTAAACTTAAGCATTCGAACCTATTCCTAAAGCCACGATGCGTGAGCTTTCACACTGTAGAATTCTCGAACAATATCCGGTCATAGAAGGAAGAGATATTTCCAATAGCGAATTGTCATTATAAACATAACGTACTCAAACACCAGAGGGTACTATAAGTCGTCGTAATACAAACACAAATACGTCCAAAGCAAAAGTCCAAGAAGAAAACAAACCCATGAATCAGTGATTTTGCCAAAAGTCCGGAGAGGGGTAACGAGGTGTGATGGAATAGTGGAAGCGTCGTGATACGTATATGCATGATCATGAGGGTACCCAGTAAACACGAACCCCAAGGAAGCCAGAGACTCGAAACCACATGGGTCTAAGGGGGATTTTCTAATGTATGAGCAATCATATGGATAATTGGTCACGTAGACGGTACGGCGGCCGTCGCGTTATCGGAACAATGAACCTCAGGGAGACGTGCGTGACAGTGGCGTGGCGAAGAGGCGAGCAAGCACAACGAGGATATCATGGAATGAAGAGAAGATCGTGAGGTGAAATCAAGCATCAGAGACGAGAGGCGCAGGAGATTCTCCGGCGTCCTTGACGCTAGCCTTGTCAATCGAACTCTTTTCCTCAGCCGCAGGAGGGGCGTGACCTTTCTCAGCTTCAGCCCTCTTGATATCATCCACATAAACAGTTTCCTCGTCATCATAGTTGGTCTCTTTCACTGTACGGATGACGAGGAACGCGAGTGGGTACGAGACGAGCATGAGGATCCAGGACGCAAGGTGTTCATTGAGGTAGGGTGTGGCTACTGCGTCCATGCCGAAACTTCCTGCAGCGCCCTATAAATGTCATAGAAGGAATGTTAAGAGACGGTATCGATGGGATAAATGAAAAAAAAACGTACGGCAGATTGGACTGCTTTGTAGAGACCGGCAAAACGCGCGAGTTGGAATGGATCGTTGGTGAGGGCAGACATGATCCAGTATGCGAGAGCCTGGTAGCAAGCGTCCGAGAAGAAGTCTACAAAATCAAGATCATCAGTCTCCCATTTCCTCCTCGAATAATGTGCAACAGTATTAAAAAATGGAGAAGACTCACAGAAGAAGTACAGAGCACCTTTGCCCTTGTAGTTTTCATCCTTGTAGTTTATCAACTTGGCAGCATCCAACAACGCTTTGGCATCGGCCCTATCGAACGTCACTTGCCAACTCAGTGCGACACCCCAGATGATAATAGTCATGGCGGCCACAACAGCGAGACCCAAATAGCCACGAGTGCGACGCCCGAACCATTTGGAATCAAGAACAAAGAAACCAATAAGCAGAGCACCGATAATGGCTCCGGCACCTTCGAGCGTCGCGTTCAATGCACGGGTAGGACCGTCAAACATTCCGGCATTGATGGCTCCTTGGTAAGCGTAGAAGTAGTTGGAAGCGAAGAACATCGGGAGAAGGGCGATCATGCGCCAGTCTTTGAGCAGGTGAGCCATACCGATGACTTCTTCGTGCACTTTGGAAGCAGCTTCGAGCTTGACGATGGTACCATCGGAACGAATGACACGATTTGGTGGTAGAACCAAGAAAGCAGAAGCGATACCGATGAATATAATGATGATGAAAGCCTGGGCGTGCCCGTCTTTAGTATGTGAAGGATATGGGAACCTGAAAACAGACGCAAACTTACAACATATGTAGATGTTGACACAGCGCTGAGGGAACCACTCCTTATGTTGATAGCGAGAGCGATGACTGAGCCGATAAAAGACCCAAACTGGAAGATAGCCCAGAAAATACCAAAGGATTTACCCTTGTCCTTTTCGAGTGGGTAACTCATCATGATGGATCCTTGTGCGGACCACAGCAAAGCGGCGGTGAAGCCAAGAACGGCGCCAGCAAAGATAAGGAACCATCTTGTTCCTTGCGTTTGGAAACTGAATGGGAAGATATCAGGCAAGGGAAGATACCAATGTAAACCGAATATGCGTACCACCAAAGTGCGCCGACATACAAAGCATAACCGAGGGTACCGATGAACAGGGTGAGCCGAGGCCCGAGGACTGTGCAGTCCTAATATTAGATGCAACTCCGAAAATGCAGAGATTGGGAAACATACGGTTATTGATGCCTCCAGAGATCAAACCAGTCAAAGCGAACATGCCATAAAGGACACCCTGGGAGATATCCGACAGTATAACATCTTGAGAACCTCCAGCACCTAGATTCGAGACTGCGCTGAACATTCCCACTGTCGCAAAACTGGCAAATCAAGTTAGCGGCACACCCACCATCTCGGGACAACGGTCGCGAGGGGAGACGTCAAACTAGCACGAACACTCACCAGGTAATTCCTACGAGGATCACCTGCGTCAAGGGAGTCCTGAGATGCCAACATGAAGTCAGTTTACTCCGCATTCTTAAGAAAAGGTAGAAACCTACGTGTAGAACGCGGGGAGATTCAGTTGGACCATGGTGCACTACAGTTGGCTTAGAGTTACAGCACAACTACGCTTGGGTATGGTCCACGACAGAGAGGAGGGCCTGGAGGGGGCGACGCTGGAGGGTATGGAGGTAGTTTGGACATTTATATGGAACATGGTCGATAAGAGCAGGCGGCCCGATCATCCAAGGAGGAGCGCATGGTGAAGTGTGATATATGTCCTACCTGTGCTCCCTCGCGCTTAGAATTTTGATATGCCACGCATAAGGAGCTTCGGCTCTCTCCCATACATGTCGATGCTCATGTGAGCCGTAGTTCATTCTCCTTACCTTCTGGTCTCTTTTTCTCCGTCAGGCGTATCCAAGGCTTTGGGCATTTCTTTCTGCCCCTCATCCTCTTCCATGCTTTCAATCGTGTAGTCCGTTTCACAAACTCACAAACGAAGACGGCGGTTCCTGAAAGATAGCGTGCTGCTTTTCATTTCATATCTAGCCATCTCTCGTGAACATATGAGGACTTGAGGCCTGCTTTCTTGTTGACTTCTTGAATTATGGAACTCGCCGGTGCCACACCGTGGTCGGTATGTACCAACCTGCATTCCGGCAGGAAGTGACCTTCGTGGGGGTTTGGTATCAAAAATGTTTCGATGTTAAGAATGATCTCATTTGAGCAGGCATAGCTTTCACTCTAGAGGTGCATATGGAGAGCAGATGCGGTGGCTCGCGAACATGGCTAGAAGGCAACATGTTGTCGGCCATGAGTTGCCGGTAGTCTCAAACAACCTCCTCTCCGATCGTCCTAGATGAACCGATCGGAGGACGCCACACACGTATTTGAACGTTGTGCACTAACTACGGGTCAAGATCACCTCGTCCACATCGCCACAATATAATGTATTCGAGCGCATGGCTGTTGGTATACCCTAGATATTCTCCCCAAAAAAATCCTTTCAGTCTGGTGAACAGGCCGACGCAAGCTCAAGTCTCAAGATGACTTCCAGAAGCCAATTCCGAGCCTCGAGACCCTGAAATGGCCCCTCTTAACACAGTCGCGCTATCCGTACGGGAAGGAATCACAGGTACCTATTTTCGTCGCTCGTGTGCAACTTTTGTGTCTAATCTGGTTACGTATGGGCCAAAATTTCCTTGCATCATGTTCCTGTCGCTCGGAGGAACCCAATCATTTTTTTCTTCGGTCCTTGGCCGTTATCTAAACTACCGAGGTTGGAGAGTTTGTAGACACTTGTCCATGCTGAGAACTCCTTGAATCCCATTTCATAGTCTGTGGTCTCCGTGTTGCCACATAGCAGCCATCCGCATGATAGGCCGCTTTTCCTACCCTCTTTCGACCCGAGTGAAAGGACGAGACGGTGGCTCGCTTCTCACATAATCGACTCTTCGATGTAGGATCGATGAAACACAACCTCAATACTTCGTATGAATTGCATTAGATTTGCATTCGTATACCTTTCTCATGCTCAGAATGTACAAAGCGTCGCGTCTACTCCATCATCTCCTGAGGGGGAGGTCCTCCCCCTCCTTGCTCCCTTTCTGCGCGCTTGGCTTGTACGACGTCATCGACTCGCAAGAGCACACGGGCTGCTTCAACAGCGGTTTTGTAGGTTTGGATCTGTAATCAGAATTGCACGGTGAGTAAGTGAAGAAAAGACAGAGCGAGAATAGCATGCCTTGACACTAGCAGATTCGTAGAGACCATACTCCTTCATGTCGACGATCTTGCCGGTCTCACCATTGATACCCCAGGAGTACTCGCCGTTTGCATGTTTCGCCTATAGTCACAAACAGACTCATCAGATCCAACCAATGCATCTCAGCGAACAAACGACTTACGCGAAGCTCAGTAAGCACCCTAATCGCATTTCCACCACTGTTCTGAACCAACGTCCTCGGGATGACTTCGAACGCGTCAGCCACAGCACGGAACGGCCAGCCCTCAACACCCGTGATAGTCCTGGCCTTGGCATGGAGTCCAACGCTGATGGCCATCTCCGTAGCACCACCTCCTGGTGCGAGCTTGGCGTTGAAGAAGACATTCCGAGCAACGGACATGGCGTCTGCCAGGTTTCGGTCGACCTCGTTGAGGATATCTTTTGAGGGGCCTCGAAGGAGGATGGTGCATGCTTTTGGGGTCTTGCATTCCGTAAGGAAGGTGAAGTATCTGATAAAATAAATAGTATTGTCAGGATAGACAGCAGTATGTGTGTTGAGGGACAAACGCACTCGTCACCGATCTTCTCGATATTGAAAAGACCACATTTTGTACCGATGTCGGAGTCACGTAGGTCTTCCAGTCGGTTGACGATTGTTGCGCCCACTGCACGGGCGATACGGTTGTTATCCGACTTGCGAACCCGACGGATGGCAGAGATGTTCGCCTTGTAGAGGAAATGTTGTGCGTAATCTAAGTCATGAACAATGAGCTAAAATAACAACACAAGAATGATCTGAAAACAGACCTGAAACGCCCTTCTCGGTAATGACTAGGTCAGGCTTGAACTCAATAATTTTGTCAGTCATGGCCTTGACCTGCTCCTCCTCAAGTTCCTGGAACTTCGAGAAGTCCGTCTCTTTCGAAAGCTCAATATTTGTCTGAGATTCTCCCTTCTTATACTCCAACGGGCAATCAAGCAAAAGGATCCTAGGGTTCACGATCCGTCTCCTCATCTTGGGATGGGTGATATCCTTGTTGATCATAATACCGTTCATGACGGTACTCTGCTCGATCTCGCCTCCAGGGACTTTCTCTACACGTGCATATCGCTTGATGTCGACACTCTTGATACCGTTCTCTTCTTGAGCGACAGTTCGGACCGCTTGGAGAGCGAGTTTGCACATAAGATCTGACCAACGTGAGACAAACTTTGTTCCGATGGAAGTCTTTATGAGAGATAGCATTTCGGCGTCGTTGGAAGTGTCGATGGGGATTGATATGCGATTGATAATTTCTAGAGCTTCTTTGAGAGCTTTGTTGTAGGCAGAAATAATGACGACTGGGTGGATGTCGCGTTCGAGTTGGGCTAATGATTGAGCGAGAATCTCGCCGGCTAAATTATAGAATGAGAAAGCAGAAGATGGTTAACAGGAAGGCATGGACGTACCAAGGATGATAACACTAGTCGTTCCATCACCACATTCCTCGTCTTGTGTTCGGCTGAGCTCGATCATATTCTTCGCAGCAGGATGAGCAACATCAATCTCGCGCAGAATAGCATTTCCATCGTTCGTCAGTCTGTAAGTATATAAAATATAAGATGAATATCATGAAGGTGAATATGTCCCAAGACAAAATGAGCACGCACAGAATACCGCCCATAGGATCGAGGATCATCTTCAACATGGCTTTGGGGCCCAGACACGTTCGAATAACATCTGCTACGGTCTGGTGGTCACCAGAGGTGCTCAGCTATCTGACATTCAATTGATAGCTTGATGCATACTTTTGCAGCAGTGATATTTGAGATCTGTGCTTTACGCCCTGACTGCCTCTCGGGCGCAGTGTCTAACATAAATGTATCAGTCTTTCAAACATATACTTTCATCTCCCTCGACTCACTCATAACAAATACCGGTGTCTGTCCTGCTTGCATCTTGAGTCGAGTTTATGAAGAGGATAGGATTGAAGCAGACGGTATTGAAATGTTCTCGTGAAACGCAATGGACTTGTACGTCGCATCTTACGTCAGCGATTTCGCCTTATGCAGAACCCTAACCTGCTTCACAGATGTGTTCGTTGGGAAACTTGCAACAGTGCATCTTGCCTCATGATTTCACCTCCACGACGAGCAGGCCTGCTCGACGATGAACAATCATCCCGTCGTAACTATTGACTTGGTGAGATGTCTAGATATTCAGTTGGATGCCGATACTCATGCGAGGACAGCCAGGTTCTTGACAGGCACACGACTAAGGAAGTTCTCCGAGCTGTGCTACATTCTATACTGTTTCATAGGTTATTCGGCATAGTTAAACCACAAACATATGATGTACTGGACGTAACCATGGTGAGCGAACATCATGATCGAACGAGGAAGTAGTTCATGAATTGGTGTAGCCAGGCGTGGATGACCCTGAGATCAAGCAGTTGATCCAGGACAAAGTTGATGCGTTCTGGAAGGCGGTCGACCTCCGGGCTGATAAAAAGGGGGAGGTAAGTTGTATTTGCTTGAGAGGTGTTGTTTGGTTTGAACTTCAGGTTGACGCCCTATCAAGATCACCGTGACCTTCACTGAAAAGCGAGCTAGGAAGTCATGGTTCCTCACCAGTGAGGTACGTCTCAGATTTACTCTAATTTTAAACAATCATCTATATGCGCGTCGCAGGAAGAGGTACCTTGGGAGCAATGGTATGAGTATACATTCTATGGAGATGCTTCGTTCTGACCCCATCCCCAGGACGATCAAAGCAGCAATTCAGCAGCCGACATCTGAGCGAGGTACGTATATGCTTTTTCATCTGGCGGCACTTTTCCTTATCCCTACTCGTCAGAGAGACAAAAGTTCAACTCGGACCTCGCATCCAACTTGACCGAAACTTTGAGGACAATATTAACTCATACATCATCCGAGCGCGGTCGTTCCCGCGTGCCACCTATTACAAACAACCAGGGCATATCGCCCTTCCCGGTCAAAATAACTGTGATCGTGGGCGGAATTGAAGTGAGCTAGGTAGAAGCATAAGCCTGTCTACTTCTTGACTCGTAATCCCTGCATTCCTTCGGACTTTCTGGATGGGCTGACTGTATTCATTCTGTACCATAGCATATATGGACGTTCTGCGAATCTATCGTCTTGCACTTGGATATATTCGTATTGTTCTGACGACATTCGCTTGATGGTATCATCTATAGTCGGCTGTCCCATTGTGGCTGAGACCGTTGTGAGTATCTGTTCCATGGCCCAAGCACTTTGTGCTGCTTTACTTTTGAATTCTCCGCACTCACAAAACTTATTGTCCCCGATTGCCCAGCAGGAACAATTGACCCTTTGTCTCCAAGAAAGCGTGACCTCCACGCGGTTGACTTTGGCCTTTGTGTAAGGTATAGATACCACTAAAACCTTTGTTGTTCCGCCACACGCTCCAGTCCTTTTAACTACCACTTAACCATATCATCTTTCCGATCCCTTCGCAACACAGGACTAGACATCTTAATATGAATCCGACACATGAAACCACGTTCTGGAATATCCCACGAAGTTTTGAGGATGTGAGTACTCCCTATTCTCCTCCTGCAATAACGGTCAAACTCGATAATTTACTTCAGGTTAAAAAATACATACACGATGCAGGGGAAAGAATCATGAACAGAACTGGTGCTCCCAATCATCTTCAAGATATCGTTCAACGAGTCATGTGCGAAGTTAACTCATCTCTGTGAGTAATCCTTTTCCTGTTCGTCATCTGGAAGTCTGATTATCTGCCATGATTGTAGTGAGGAAGTCGACTGGTTGTTCAACAAGAAGGTAGTGGTTCCCAACCCTTTTGTACTAACCCCCTTTCCGATCTGGAGTATTTACTCCGCTCTCGGTAAGCTCTCGCCTGTATCTTGTAGTACAGATGGCCCTTCTAAGTATATGGCGTACAGCTTGGCTTATCAACATAGACATCCTCGGATTGTATCAGACCATTACAAACCAAGCCGATGAAGATGTACTAAACGACGTTGAATTGGCATATCGGTATGCGCGCATGTGTGCGTTGATGACAATGCACTTGGACACGTCCAAAGGCCCCGGGATGATCCAGATTTGGAGAGCTCAATGTGCAGAAGATGCTATCAAAGTACGCTTCCTCTGGCCCATGAACGACACCACTCGACAGGCATGGTCAAATCTCGTCGACAGTGATCAATATCCCCGAAGATTCCGAGGTTCGGATCTCTATTTCCAAGACAGCGGAGACGCAGCTCAACAGTCGCATGGCTATTCATGGATGCTTACGGAACCTCCTTTTATCTCGTATGTTTGGAAGGATCTCAAGGCCATTCCGACACTGATGATTTAATGTTCTAGGCCTCATTTTATCTTCCGTGTCCAGAAGTTCTCCGCCATTGAGGTCCCAGTTCCCAAAATGATCACTAACGTTCCTAGGGACGAGGTCCATTTAGTTCGTCCAGGACTTTGCAAAATTGATAGAGAGACTGTTTATTCTGGCAGCCAAATCGCGCGGACTCATCCAACGGGTGCATGCTAATTCTTTGTCGAGGCATGAAGACTGCGCCTCTATCTTTCCGTCTAAGATATCTTCTCACTTGGAAGGTGGCCGTATGTCGGTTCTTAACTCAAAGGTGTTCTGTCCACCATTTCATGTTGTTTCCCTCCGCGCCTTCATGCCTTATTCATATATCTATATGTCTACCATCTGCCTTTGTACTGTTGCACGTTATGTTTGGTCCCTGTAGTCGTAGTTATACAACGGCGGTTAAATCACAGCGAACGACTTAATGGCTAAGCGCGTGTCGAGGCAGTTTCCGTCTTATCCTCATCCTACCGTCTCACGTCTCTTCAGCTGCTGAAGGCGATTCAATTTGTGATGAGACAGGTTATATTGACCTTGTTTGACTTCTTGTTTCGATACTGGAAACGTTACGTACGTCGCTGCTTGACAGCCGGCATCTTTGGCCCTTGGATGAGATTGTACATTGAGATCACGGCCAGGAGTTGAGTACAGTTAGGCACCATCCAAGAAATTGCACACGATGACTATATCCCTCTTGATTCTTTTGTTTAGCTTTCCCCTTTGTTCACAATTCAGTATCGCTGCAGAAAGGCGTGCCTGCTTTTCGGTGGCCATAATGACCATGGACGCTGCACACAGCGCTCTTTTGACATCCTTGGTCCTGGTCAATGGTCATGTCTCAACTATTGCATCAGCCGCAGGGTCTTTGTCCTCAGATTGTCTTGGCTTCGGCATGCTACTTTGACTGACTTGCTGCCTGGACATAAATACGCATCTACAGTACTTTCGTCCCGGTTGAACACACATCTCCCCATCTCCGAGTTTCTTCTCTATTCCAATTCAAACGGTACCCGTCGCCAATCAACAACCATAATAACATGGTACGCGCACTCATCACAGCCCCCGAGTCTGCATGGGACGTGAGTGGAATTATTCTGTATAGGATTGTTCCGGGCCTGTTTTGACGTTGTGTTTGCAGGTCATAAGGTATGCGTTGAATACAGCAGAAGACTTTGACAGAAGGCCGCTCGGCACTGGTAATACCATTTGGATTACGAGTTCCAAAATACTGAATGTCATAAATGCGTGCCGGTATGTTCTGCGATTTTGCTGAAGAGTAAGGGCTATTGGTAGTGACTTTCATGGATCCTAGTGAAAATAATGATTGGCGAAGCAAGGAGCTCTTTTCCTTGGAGATTCCGCGCATGGGGCTTACCGTTCTCGTGGACAATGTCTACTCAGCGCTCGGTAGGGTGTCTTCCAGATTTTATAGTGTACAGCTCTCAGTTTCCCGTCCACAGCATGGATTATCACTGCGGATCTTGCTACCTCAAATAAACACCTCCCTGAAGAATCGGACCGACTGGATGCTGAACTTACGTATAGATTCGCAAGAATGTGTGCCCTCGTAAAGAAGGAATATTTCAAGTCCGAAGGTCCAGTGAAAGTGCAGATGTGGAAGTTTCGAGCTCTTGATGCATCCGAGTGTACCCGATTCATCTGGCCTATGAACTCAGACTTGCATTCTGCGTGGTCTAATCTTATATGCGACAGGACGAAGGACTCAATCTTCCAACAACATCGCATTTTATTTGACGACATTGGAGATATTGGCCATACGCTCGAGGCTCGCTCATGGAGACTTACCGACAGTACAGGATCTTACTGGTGGGTATATGTATCTTCCTCCTCTTCCTGTCCGATATCTCATCTAGAGTTTCTCAGGTCTGTTGCAGACTTCACGGTCTATGAGTTCACGATTCCGACAACGCTCACAGAAGGTATTATGGATAAAGTCGCATTGATTAACAATATGCATTTTGAGCCTCACGCGAAAAGCCGCGTTACTCTTTCCGAACTACTGACTGGATTTTCCGAGTACGCTTAGTTGGAAATATATCATTGCTGAGGTCGTTCATCGTGGCCACATCGCTTCATTCAATGTCAACAGCATTCTCATCCGACTGGGCTGGCAACATCCCCGATGAAGATCTCTACAGTCATGGCCATTTCATGTTATCAATAGGCACGTAACTCCTTTGATTCAGAGGCCAAAGAAACCTTGTGGCTTCCGCTAGCCGTTTGCCACAAAGCCGTTCGTCAAAGACTATTTGACTATTTACAAGTCTTGGCTTTGTCTCGAATCCAATATATCCGTTGATTGTGGCTTTGGCTCTCATGATATGATACAAAGCATTGTCATTACCCTCACATACTAGCTACAAACGGCAAACCTATCGAGACCAACTACAATTTAGTAATCTATAACATTCACAGCTGACTGGAGCCAATGGGTACATCCAGTATTTCGATCAACATCAGTATGAGGTGCAGTTTGTGAAGGCACCGGCCGGTCTCTTAACAACACTCCAATATCCGCCGTAGGACGAGAAACGGCTACATCGTGGACGAAAGACATTCGCTGGGGTATGAGTGTTTAAGGATGTTGAGCATGAATGCTATTTAAGAGTGTGAGCTGCGGTCGCCAAATGAGCCTGGATATGTACGCTATACAGTATGGACTGGGTAAAAAAGAGGAAATGGGCATATGGTTGTTTGAATGAATTAGCATATACGTAGGCGAATTTATGAATTTGATGACCATGTCCTCAAGAATAAGATTCTTACTTACAACACAGAGTGAGTGGACATCTCGCTTTGTCCAAAAAGATGATATGTAGGAAACACCAGCATTGTGCACAAGTCTTGAAGGAAAAGGGCGGTCGCTTTACTGACGTCCATGGCAACATTGACGCACTCGGTTGCCCGGCCAGGGAGAGATCCTGCCTTTGACGTGTTCCCTATAGGCCCACAAACACCGTGGCGCAAGGGAATACCGCCGGTTGCAATCGGCAGTGAGATATACATATACATCCATATGTGCCTTGAAGACAGCATCATGCTCAAGCGACCAATCCGTTGTCAGAAAGTAGCATACGGAGTCACTTGCGAATAATGGCATTTGATACATCATTTCGACGCCGATGCAGTTTTCCACACATAATAGATCACCTACGCATAAAATCAACCTCTGACAATGTGACGAAGATGATGGACGTACGCGCAGGACCCTGCCCAAAAGAGCTTCAATTACTGGGCTGGAGTCACAGTAGATACCGTGTCGTGGTTCTAGTTGAACGTTCAACAAAGCTGATCGTGATCGAAAAGTCATAGGCGCTTGTAAGCATGTCCGTGCCATGAACGAATTCAAGGGGTGACGCCGATCTGAATCTTTGACCATGGAGAGGCCACGCGAGAATCTCTGCCGTAGCAAAGCCGAAATTGGGATCAACGTCCATCACCGCCTTTCAGGAAATTATTTATTCAGTAGGAATACACTTATATACCCCGAATCTGCGATATGTATCGATGGTGAATCCGCCAGAACCCTTGCATATGAGCAGGACCATAGAAAATGAAGCTGGCTTCTACTGTTGCAACGTCAGGTAGAATTTGGATTGTTGTAGTGGTTGAGTTGTCTCGCTGAGGTGGAAGAATGGTACTCGGGCGAAGACATGGCAGGGTCCATCTTCACTTAGCTGTGAGGAGGAAATGTCATAGAGGCTCTGTTACTAGTAGTTGTGAAGCTGATACGCCCGCTGCACCAAAGATCAGTTGGGAATGTGAAGATGCTTGCGCTGTATGAGAGATTGGATAGGAACTGAGTTGTCATGGGTGATCTGAGCGCAGGGACCAAATCTGACATGATATATGCACAAAATATCAGGATCCATTTACTACGGAATGACTCACAAGAGGTTTGCCGTATGATGCTGCATTAATAGAAATGTCGTTCAGTCGAATGCCGTGAGAGGCGAGCAGTTTCTCTTCCAAATAGAGAGTTGCTACTACGTGAATGCGAGAATTTCCATCTCAGAATAAGTCAGTAGTACTTACGCTGGGCGAGATTAGCAATCCACAAAGCTGGTAAATGCCTCGACAAATACTGCACTAATGCATCCAGTCAAGCCGAGTTTATTGCATTCATGCTGTCACTCACAATCCCTTTCGATTTAGGACTAGGGAAGTGTGTGATGACATAATGGGCGACACCGACCAGAGAATGATCGACACAAGCAGGACTGTAATGAAAGCTCAGAAGATCGCACCTTCAGTCCTCCATCAGAAATCTGTCGGTGTATTCAACATTATCGGATGACCCCTTATGTCCATGAGAAGCAGAACTTATCATATTACATAATATACTTAGCTTGACTTCTCGTGGATTGGTGGTAGCCTCAATTCCTACCGTCTATACATGATTTTGGTATCTACTCAGAGGTTCTTGAGCCCTCTGAGTCCAATTATGAGCTCAGAATTGCGACTCAGTACATGGCAGGAGAAAGTCGATTGCTCTAGCGCTTGTTGAATATAACGTCAAGAAGAGTGGGGACCCTACCTACCCACGTGGGTGAGGTCAGAGATTTAGATCGGCGTCACCCCTTGAATGAATTCGTACGACCGCGCGGGTTTGTCAACACTGCATATACTTATGACAGGCCTGGCCGGACAATATTATGAACTTAGGGAGCGAAGCCAAATATTTGGCTTCGCCTTTTGAACTTTGGGCGTCCCTTTTGAACTTTGGGTGTCCCTTTTGAAATTTGGGCATCCTTTGAACTTCGGGCGTCCCTTTTGAAATTTGGGCGTCAAGTTTTGTAAGCGCACAATGCGAATTGGGCGCTCAGCTGCCTGCATCTTGAACTCCAACCATTGTTGACTGCTTCCTTCTTGGAGGTGGTACTCGCGTTGCTTCCTTCTTGGAGGCTTTGGTACTTGCTTCGCTTCCTTCTTGGAGGCTACAGAGCCATTTGTTTCTTCTTCCTTCTTGTAGGGATCCTTTCTCTTCATTATCATCGCACCTCTAGAGTCTTCATAGCCTCTCTCTAGGTATGTCTTTATATGCTCATGTGTGCGACTGATGTGATTCTTTATACTAGCATTTCCTTTCAATTTTTCTAGAGTTCCTCTCCCTTCCCCCGCCGAAATCATTACTTCCATCATATCGTCAGTTCTTTTTGCCCTCCCCCTGCTTCAGACATATACTCATTTCAGCCTAAGTCATGGAATGAATGCGCAAATTCCCCAAGATGCTCAAGGCATTCACCTCCCCCTGAAAAGTATATACTCAGCATTTGAGCTCCTGAAGGATGACGTTCAGATTGCTCTGCAGACTCAGCTAGGAGCCGCATGCCATCTAGAGGAGAGGATCTGCACTTGCCTTCGATTTTGGGAGCAGACTCTCCAGGTGTGTATCGATTCATCGGATTCAGAAAATTGGGTTTTTGACACTTGATCCCGGTAATACTCAGCATAGTCAACTCATTCCACCTGCCAATATGGACGTAATCTGCAGCAGCATTCATGACATGCTCACTCAACTTCAGGCAGCAAAACTACAATCTTCTGACACTGCAGATATGGATGCTCCGGAACCTGCTAAGCTGGTGTATACAGGATGCCCAGGATGCCCTTGAGTAGAATTTGACCGTGAACTACTTGCAGTATGTCTACAGTATCGAGGGGTGACCGAACTTGGAAAGTTGTTTGGAACATCTGCCAGGACAGTTCGCCAGGCAGCGATTGCTCTGGGCTTGGCAGAACCTGCATTGCCGGTATATTTTGAGTTTACTGAGAATGGAGTATGCTATCGAGAGTATTTTCCCGCTCCTTCCACTCTGTCCTCCTCCCTCTCCGATAACAAACTTGATTTGATCATGGCACAAATCCTTCAGCCATTTCCCAGCTTCGGACGCCGTATGATTGATGGTCATTTGACCCACCTCGGACACACAGTTTCTCATGCTCGTGTACAAGCTTCTTATGCACGAGTTCATGGTCCCTTCACCAGGGTCTTCGGTGTGAGGCGAATTGAGCAACATGTATACCATGTTGCTGGTTACAACTCTCTATGCCACCATGATGGCCAGCACGGTATCTACATCCTTTCATCCATCCATCCATTGATTTGCTTATATGTCTGAACACGTTTAGGCCTGATTCGGTACAAGATCGTTGTCCACGCCTTCATTGATGGCTTCAGTCAGTTCATCACTGGAATCCGAGGCCACAACAACAATCGAGCTCAGACTGTGCTCGAGCTTTTTGAGGCTCTAGTGCAGGCTCACAGTTTACCTAGCTGTGTACGTGGAGACCATGAGGGGGAGAATGTGATGGTCGCTCACCTTATGGAAGATCTCAGAGGTCCTGGTCGTGGTTCTTACATCTGGGGAAGGTAAGTTGCTTTATTTAAAGTAGTGTCACTTGCTGAACTTACAGGTCTGTATTCCAGATCCATTCATAACATCAGAATTGAATGCCTATAGTTCGATTTCACTTCAGGCATTGGCTCAAAGTGGAAAGCTCTCTTTCAGAACCTTGAAGCTCATCATGGTCTGGATGTAGAAAACTCTGCTCACATATGGCTTCTGCATTACCTCTTTCTAGAGGCCTTGAACATCGAGATCCTTGCCTGGGCCAACATATGGAACAATCATAAAATAGACATACCTGGACAGGATAGATGAAGCCCTGCTGATCTCAGATGGTTTAGCATGCTTCAGGATGGGCCAAGGGGCTTCGCTAGGCTGGAAGCTCAGCATGCAAGTGAATCATTGGAGGGTTTGGATGTTGCAGAGTATGGAATTGATTGGGATGCTCTGGAGAATGGCAGGTTTGCATCTCATCACCAGGAAAATAATGTGCCTGATCTGTTTCATGACAATCCTTTTGTTACTCACCAACCTGAGCAATTTTCAGTAGTTCATGTTGAGGAATCTGATTGTCCCTTTAATCTACAGCAACTAGAGTATCTTACACAGAGAATGTCTTCAGTTGTAGGAGTTAGTACAAGCATGCAGGATTACACTCTTAGATGGATACAAGCATATCATATATGTACTCAGGAAATGAATTGGGCTGCATAATACATGTTGTACTCTATTCTTTATCTGTAGTGGCTGAAGGAAAGTGTCCAGTAGTTATCCTACCCAAAGCATCATCAGTACTAATGTAGTAAGGCTTTGTCCTGGGAAACCTTCTTTGAGCCTCCTTCTCTGCTGTATTCATTGCATTTACTGAACCAAGCTCTAATTCTGAGGCCTGTAACATGCTGGCTTGAGTGAACCACACAACAGAGGCTCTGCCTCCTTCTTCATCATTGTCATAAGAGAGAGATGTGGTATTTGTCCTAGTAGGCTTCTCATTATTGATAGTGGACACTATCTCTAGATCTACTTTCAATAAGTATAATGCTGCTAATATATTAATTATATAAAACCAACCTTGAATGTCAATGTTCCAATGAAGAATGAGAGCAGAAGGAAATAGAACCAGAACTCCAGGAGGAAGTTCCAGTATGATTCCAGCCTTCCATAGCACTAGCCAGATCCTTTCATCACTTTTCAAAGGCTCTATAAAATATTTAAGCTTTTAAGGTCATATAATATGCAGTAAAAAGATGCTTACTATTGCCATAGATGTAAGTCATAATAGCACATACCAAGATGGCACTATTCTTGGAATCTATATGGGGTTTACAGATAACATGATGAATGCCCTGACTTCTTAGAGGAGCATTAACACACAGATTGAAGAAAACTTCAAACATGCATGCAATGTCAAATTTCTGCCTGATAATCTGAACAGAATCCAGCATCCTTGAGTAGATCTTGGGAAACCTTCTTTTAAGCACACCAACTACCCATTTGCTTGGAAAAATTGTAAGAAAATTTGCCAGGTGAAAAAAAAAGGCTTTAAGCATACCTGATAGCTTTTATTGCAGAGTCATGTGTATAGAATTTACTAAAAGCTTCAGCATTCCTAGTGTGAAAACTTGAAAGCTGGGGCTTCTACAGAGAATAATAGTCAGTATATAGTACATCTTCTGCCTACCAATAGTTGATAGTTCACCTTCATGCTCTGTCTATGATGGCCAAAGATTGAGAATCATTGAGCACCTCTAGTGTTTTGCATATGATCTGCATCACTCAGAATGCAGCTCTCTACCAACTGCATTGCCTCCTGCCCAAATTTTGAGAGTAGTTTCTTGATAGCAGGAGAAAGATCTGTTCTATAAATGACCAGTCTGCCATCTTGATCAAGAATATAGGTGGGCTTCTATTTTCCAGGTCTACAAAAGAAAGATGTTGAGTACATTATGTCAGAAAATATAAATACAAACACAAACATGTTAGGAGAGTCAAAAGGGACTCTTTGAAAGGTTTGAAGAATAGGAATAATTTCTCCTGATGCTTGAAGTTCCTGCATATATTTTGATGTACTTTTATCAAACTGGAGACCTTGCCATCCAGTTGAGCTAATTGGCAACTTCTGAGCACTGAAACCACTGAGGTTTAATTACAATTAGCAAAGGTATCTACTATAGAAAAGAAGTCTACACTTGCCTCTGTGCTTTGTAAACCTCAGACTCTGCCATAGAAAATCTCTTCTGATTTTTTGCTTCATCCTTAGCCTGCTTTCTCAGAAGCTTCTTGGACACAACAGGCTGTTGCTGTAATATAGACTCTTTCTGATTAGCAAGGCCATAATCCAAGACATCACCAGGTTGCAATTTTACTGATTTGGTCCTTTTTGCCTCTTTCTTGCTTCTTTTGACAGATGGTTTAGCCTCTGGACTGCTTGGAGGTGAATGTGCCATTTTAGATGGCCTATGTAGATATTAAGCCTATACTTTCAAATTAAAGTCATATTCACTTACCCCTCAACCACATATCCAAAAACAGTCTTTTGTTTATCACCAAAATCAGCAGCAGTCTTCTGTGGTTGGTAGTTATCTGCAAAGTGATTTGGAAGTACATTGTGCATGGTATGGTATGCATGTACAAGGTCTTGCTGAATATGCTGATGGGCAGTCTCATCCTGTGATTTTTGGAGGGTAGCTTGTAGTCTTGTCTGAACTTGAGGATCCTGACTATGATGTTTCAGCTCAGATTGAAAATGTCTGAGTTGAACAAGAGACCCAATATCTATTGAAAGCTGCATGATCTGATTGTCAGAGGTATTCTGTCCTGCAGAGTCTGCTAGCTTCTCAAAGCTAATGGATCTAAGTAAGCTTCATTATGAATGACCATGTAGCATACAAACTTACTATTCATAGGTTACTTCATATATAATATTGACTGAATCCTGGAGGTCAGAGCAATCTGAAGGTTGCACTTCTTGATCCATCTACACCAATCTAATAAGAATAGTCAGCCATAGATCTAACACTTGACATACCAGTAGGGTGTCAGCTGTAAGGGCAGATGGTGGTAGAGAGCATTAGAATGTTTGCACTTGCAATGATGAGTTTGCTGCATACAAACCTTATGGAAACCTCATGCAACCTCATGGAAATCTCATGCAACCTCATGGAAACCTCATGTCATCACATGCACAACCCTTGGTTTCCAGAATCTATCGTGGCAAATATAGAATAGAATGATAGATGAAACTATACAATGATACATGATGTCTGATGCAAACAAGATATCATAATCAATGCCAACTACATATTGTCCTCAGTTGGGCATTTTGAGCTGTCATTGAAAAAGTGTCTCAGGGGGAATTAAGGGAATCGTTGGAATATGACCATTAAGACTGTGGAAGCAACGAATGTAGAAGAGGAAGGTGATGAGGCGTTGCTCAGATTCTCCAACCTTCATAGCCTTGGCCCTCATTGCCTGTCCATTTGGCCACACTGACATTACTACTATCATCTCATGAACAGACATGGACCTCCGGAGACCATTTCTACTGCTGACATTGTCACATTCGCTCATTCAGACCCAAGGTGGAAAGATCTGATTTCGTCCCCAAACTTGAGACACACTCTGCTGGCGATCCTGCACCCAGCCAGAGCCATGGCTATTGTACTCTTGCGACAGCATTTGATGATCCAAAAGCAGGAAGTCAAGGTGAAAATTAATGATAGACAACTCCCACACAACTTCAGCTGCAAGACAACGATTGCTCTTTGCGATCTGAATGTCGACTTTGAGATTGCCCCAATTAGGACAAACCGTAGTCTCCGTCCACTGGGAAAATCCGCCATACATGGTGAACCAAACGTGGATATCCACTCGATCGACAATCTTCTTCGCGTTGTGTCTTTCCTTCTGAGAAACTGCCTGTCTGCTATTGGTCTTCATGTATTTTCGTGATGGCCCCTCAGAGAAACGAGGTTTTCTCTTTGAGGCGAGCATGTCGAGCGGCAGTTTGGCAATGTCTTCAGGCTTTGACTTTGGCGTAACACCCGGAGACAAGGATGTGAGGTCTACAGCACAAAATGTGCCCTCCAGTGTAACCCTCCACTGGTAGGTAGTCATCAGGACATTCGCGTCATCACCTTCCAGCACGGAAAAGCACCATGGTCGAATGCGAAGCCAATTGTGCACCTTTTGCCCAATCCAGCTTGTAGCGGTGTCGCTGAAGAAAAGATGACAAGGAGGGACATGGTACAGCAAGGGAAGCTGAGGATGATCCCTTAGCGAAAACTTCTCCACTGCAGCCAACCAGCCCTCGACCTCCACGGGCACCCAGTCCGGAACTTTGACCGGTCGATTCGCCCTCTCCACATTAGGGTAGGTTTGCACAGGAATGTTGAAGGAGATGCTGTGACTCAAGCGGGAGATACTGGCTTGGCTATGACCTTCCGCATGCGCAACTACACCAGATGAAGATGCTCCCAAACCTGCATAGGAGGAATGAGTGTATACT